AGGATCCAATGTACGTCCCTCGCCCACCCTATTGACCAGCTAGTACTCTCAGCTCATGCACCATTGTTAGGAACGCTACCAGGCAGGGACGTCGGGGCTGGTAGGCGATACTACATCAATATTACTATTACTATTGTAGACTTTCATTTCTGCATAATCGTAATCGACGCGCTTTGTTCTGATATAAGACGTGTGATAAGCACATATAAGTAGTACATCGAGCCGTCCATAGTCACATATCACTATCATAAGTCAGACAATCTTACCAAAAATACAGCAACCACGCGTTTGTGACTTAAGTAAAACATTCACGTACTTCGTCATAAGGGCAGGGGCAAGCAACCCCCTGCTTTTCATAAGGGTATAAAAGCGATGTTTTAACTTATGAATGAGAAAGTCCTTACCAGTGGCAAGCGGACGCTGAACTTATCGCGGGAGCACTTATTTCCGGGCTACTTCCGGCTAAGCGGCGCATAATTTCCCGATAAGGCAGCTGTCGTTTTCCTGATGCGGGTTCCATCTCATCACTTCCCGGAGCACGGCGTCGATGTAGGGGAGCGAAGGCCGATCTTCAAACGTGGGCAAGCGATCGTCGCCAATGACGGACTGAATGTCAGCCTGCGCGCGTCTCTGAACTGCAGGGTTTTTTAACATGGCTAGGACGAGTGTCTGTAGCACGCTCGACGACTGGAAAATGGTTCAGTGTGATTGAGTCATGGTACAGAAGAATAGCACAGTCCCATACCGATTCAGCGCCACCTATGGAGACCATGCAGTGAGCGTACATATCAACGATAGAGGCGTCCTGAGTTACCAATAAAAGCAGTAGCAGCGAACTGCTTCAAGTTAATCACAGGTATGCTCTGGCCACTCTCCTCGCCGCTTCGAATCGTCTCTGAAAGTACACAAGGAAAGTCAGGGTTGGAACGCTGTCATTCTCGTAAGATAGGAAATACGCATTCGATGGAACAACGTTACCATTTTCTCCATCGTAAAATTGTACGGAACATCGACAAACTGCTGTGCCCAGGGTTTTGCAATCTCAGCTCCTCGGAAGATGGACGTTCCAGGTGCCCATGCCGGTAAATATTTGACTAGTCGAATACGGAGTAAGCTGTGAGATACCGCACGTTGTTTAAAACGTACCGAAGGGAAAGGTGTCAACGATTATCGTTTTCTCGGCCTTCACGAGTGGTATGCCGGTCGCGATCGTCTTGGAGCCGATGTGAAACAATGGGTCGTCAAGCGTGGTGGCGTCGTAGCCGTACACTGTGGACAGGATTGTAGACGATGTACATCTAACACATGGCTGGATTAGTTTGATCGTATGTCGAGGGAGTGGATTCGAGCGTACAACTGGAAGAGGTCCCAGAGCTTTTCCGCAGGGTTGCTACCTATGTTCAGCAGAAGACGATGGGCGGCGGCGCGCTGTGTTGACCAGTAATCTTGCACCTTCTTCTCACGGAAGGATTGCTGGAAAAGTCGTCGATTTAAACGCCACTTATCATCGTAGCGATCAAATCCAAAGTTGAAGTCCCATCCGGACCTGCCAGTAGGACGAATTAGGATGGTGTAGGGAAAACTTCACATTACTTTGTAAGAACTGACAAGGTAGTTGTGGACATCTCAGGTCTGTCAGAGTATATTCGAGAGCGTCGCTCGAGGAGGTCGTCTGCGACTTCTTCAGAATTCAAGACTATCACCTGTGTGCCGAGTAAGAGACAGCTGACGATATCGCCTTGTTATCGTGGGGCAGGTCAACACATGTGGTGAGAGAATGGAAAGAGGGGAGAGCGCACCATACTTGGCTGCCCACTGCACATACGTCAGCCATGGGTTGTCAGCGTTAACCTGAAGAGCAGCGCCTAGGAAAGGCAGCCCATATGGGCCCGGTGGAAAGGGGAGGGTGCGCTTCCTTCTCGACTTTGCTGTTGCGTAACCTGCAAGGGCCCAAAGGGAGGTTACAAATAGGAGAATAATCGGTAAGGAGAGGGCCATGATGGGCTCGTTCGCGGTGTTCGTGAGTGGTTCCCACTTGTCGAAGGGATGGGCATCCCTCTTTATAGACTGGTCGGAAGGAGGTGGGTATCCTTGGTCATCGCATAGAACATGTGGTTAGTTTACTTTCTCTGATAGCCGTCCTGCTATCCACAATGCTCCAAGACAATGTGACGGTCGACGGCAAGTAGTATTGGTGATGCTCAGGCCGAATTCACTCCTGCACGAAATGCACGGATCTTTTGCGCATCGACACTGTCAGGTAAAGCAAGGTAGAAGCCAAACGAGGACCGGGGAAATTCCAATCCGATTGACATGCGCATACTATAGGCATGCTCGAGGGCCGCTTAACGAGTCTAGTAACAGCTGTGGCGCACAGAACCGGTCTTGTGCAGGTTCAAGGAGCCTACGCAGCTCGCGGGTGACGCGGGTGCTTGGGGATCGGTTTGATCCTAAGAACACGAGGGTGTATAACAAGCAATTCAACATCCAGAGACAGCATTCCACGGATAGGGGAAGGGCAGACTAAGCGATAGTGGCACTTGCGACGATCTGCCAAGTAGTGCTTGGGTCCTAGCTCCAGAGAGCGGATCGTCGTCCAAGTGTGTCATGCAATGGACGGACAACGCCACTGATGAAGACAACGAGGGAGCAGAGCTTGTAGCGGGTGTCTATTCGCGTTTCTGCTTTGATCGTCAGCATATGCAAGACACGCGTCATAGGCTGATCGCTGGTAGAGAAAATAGGAAATGTTCGTCATAGGCCGATCTAGAGGGTATCCACCGTTGGAGAGAAACGCGAGTCAAAAATACCAAGATGTCGCCGTTCTGTTGCCTGTCCATGAAGATCTTCCAGCTCGGAATTGGGAGGAAGACAAGGCTGTATGCGTGGGAGGGAGAACGGTCCCGTGATGGTGGTAGGCAGGAGGCGATTGAGGGCCGGAAAAGGCAAGTGTTTGTTTGGGGTTTGGTGGCAGACGCTTGGACTCGGAAAAGTCGACATCGTTTGTCTTATAACATAATATCCCCTGTACAATCTTTGACAATCTGACACTCACACCACTCTCTCCCTCTTTCCTGTAGCACCATGGTCAGTCTCCTCCCCTCCTCGTCGCAGCAGTTACTGACAGTCTCTTCGCCAGTCCAACTATGGTCGCAACAGGCAATCAATCGCAGACATAGAACAAGAACTCAACGACATCTTCAACAAGCACCCAGATGCCCACGTAAACGAACAAGGAGAACTCGTCGTCCCCGCTGACGCTCTCGTCGATGTAATCCGCTCCTTCTCAGACCGCGACAACAGCGTCGAACTCCTTACAGAGTCCGAAACCGAAATGCTCAAGCAGCTCCTCGACTCCAACCCCGGCATCCAGGTCACCCCCAACATGCTCCTCCAGTTCGTTGCCGCGCGCACGAAGCAGAGCCCTACCCACCAGAACACCGAATTTGACCTCTCTCCCCCGCACTCGCCAAGGATGGGGGATGACGACCACACCCTGCCCTTGCGCGGCCGCATGCCGACGCGCGAGGATGACGAGGAGTTTGAGCCGCAATCACGATCATCCAGCAAGAGTTCTACAGGGACCTCGCGTGCGCATAGTCGTCCTCCCTCTGCGACGCCTCAGACCCCGACTTCTGGCAATGCATTCGACAAGCGCCAACGCACAACCCCGCTCACCAATAGACCACCTTCTAGCTGGCAGCGAAGGCCAGCACCTGCTAACCGACGCAGGTCATCCAGCGCAATGAGTGACGAGGAGGTGTGTGGCATTGCATTTACGTTCCATCATTATCTATCCCCGACATGCGTTTTGCGTGCCCTTCTGCTCCACGCTTTACCGTATTGCCTTGCAATGTACTAACGCCGTCCAACCCCTAACAGTCATCCGACACCTCTTTTGGCCAAACTTCAACGCCCGGGTCGGGCCGCAAGAGCCGTCGCCCGTCTGGCTCCTCGTCCGTCACAGCCAGCCCCAACTCCGCCGGCACGTTCTCCCCTTCCCCTAGCACCGCCGCCACCAGCGCAGGCTCGCCCTCCCCAACATGGGACCGCAAGTCGCGCTCACGCCCGCACTCGCGCACGCAGTCATACAACCCTTTCACCATCAACGTGCCCCCGTCGCCCGAGCACGGGGAGCACGGGGACCACTCCTCGTCGGACGAGCCCGGCTCGCCGCTCGACCAGACGCCGGACTCGTCGTTCGAGTACCCGTCGCATGCGTCCGGCAACAGCTTCACCCGCTCGCTCGCCGAGCAGGTCTCGTCCCTCCCCATGCCCCGCATGAGCGGCGACTCGGATAATGACTCAGACGAGGAGGACGAGGTCGCGGCGGGGCTGGTGCTGGACCGGTCGACGGCGTCGAGCACGGTGTCGCTCGAGCCCCAGGAGCGGCTCGAGGCACTGCAGAAGGCGAACACGGACATGAGCCGGAAGCTCGCGGAGGCGGAGCGGACGCTGCAGAAGAAGCTGCTCGAGCACGAGCTCGATATGGAGGAGATGCAGAGTAAGCTGGACGAGCTCAAGAGTGAGCTGACGGCCACGAAGAGGGAGGAAAAGGAGTTGAGGGCGAAGGAGGTGAGCCTGGTGCCGCCCCCATGCGAAACTGTGCTGGTTGATCTGACTTGGTTTTGCTTTCTTGTAGCGCACGAACTCGACGCAGCTTGCTTCGCTTGAGCAGGAGGTCGCGAAGCTGAATAAGGCACTGGACAACGCGCGTACAGCGTACCAGAGCTTACAGAAGCAGTACCAGGAGCAGTGCAGTGCGTCTCTTCACCTATCCTACATTTTTACGCATATAATCAAACTTAACTCGCATTTTCCCAGACGAATCCGAGCGGTACCGCAACACCCTCCGCCGGCGCGACCAAGAGATCAAGGACATGCAAGACGCCGCAGGCCTGCAACAGATCGAGCAGCAGAAGTGGCTTCGCGAGCGCGACTCGTACGACTCGCGCATCGCCGCGATGGAGGAGGACCTGCTGATGGCGCAGCAGGCGCACGCGCAGCTCGACGAGCAGAAGCAGGAGAACCTGATGCTCAAGGAGACGATCGACCGGCTCCGGTACGATATGGACGAGATGCGCAACAATGCGAGTCAGGCGGCTGCGGCTGCGGGCGCGGGCAGCCTCAGTGCGCGGAACTCGATGAGTAAGAGTTTGGGCGCGGAGCTGATGAAGATGAAGGACTGGGGGATGCCAGTTGAGGAGGATATGATGCATGATGTGGGCCACGAGGGGATCGAGGTGGATGTGCATCCCGAGGAGGACGATGGGGATGATACGGAGGGTGAGGATGTGGTTGAGCATCATGTTATTACAAGGACCAAGAGGGTGAGTATCGATTTGTGTTTTGAGTGAAGTCGGATAACTAATTCGCTTCATGTTCTTCCTTCAGAGGATCGGCGGGCGCAAGACGGAGACGCTCAGGGTCACGGAGACCAAGGAGTATACCGAGGTTGCTATTCAGCACGAGCCCTCGCTGTCTACGTGCGAGATCCAGACGGACCCTGAGCCACGACCGGTCTTACGCACGATGGACGTGCAGACGGATGAGCCCCCTGTCACGCCGACTGCATCCATGGAGATCCAGACGGACGAGGAGCCCATCACTCCCACTGCGTCAACGGAGATTCAGACAGAGCCGGAGTACATTCCACCGCCGAAAGTCACAGCGAGCATCGAGATTCAGACGGACGAGCCCGAGCCCACGTCGGAACCCACGACGTCTGACGACGAAGAGACTCTCACATCCTCATCTGCGACGGCGCTCCCGCCGACTCCGAAGCAGGCGGAGAATGACCTCCCACCGTCATACAACCAGGTCGAGGAGCAAGAGACCGAGGAGGAGCAAGAACAGCGCGAATGGCGCGTCGTCTCGGACACGCTCAAGAAGTTCCACCGCGGAATGCAGATCCCGCTCGACGCACTCCCGCAGGGCATCTCCGAGGACGCTGTCGAGGAGTGGCGCGCGCTCAAGGAGGAGCTCGGCGTCGAGTGCGCGGTGATCGACAAGCTCGTCGAGGCGTCGCCCCGTACCGGCCGCCCGCGCCGCTCGTCCTCCAGTGCGAGCGGCTCCGCGCCTGGCCGGAGCTCCCGGCGGAACAGATTCTACAACATCTATAACACGTACGTCTATGGTGCCTCGAAGGATGCTTCGGATCCATCCTCCGCATCCAATGGCATGGGAAGCACGCTTGGCGCAGCGGCGAAGCAGCTGCTTGTGGGTGTCGGCGCGTCCGCGTTCGTGTTCCTCGCGATGAGCCCCTATCTCTCTCCTAACGCCTCGTATGCGAACCACTATGCGGTGCCCGGCGGGCCGACGTACTACGACCGCGCCGCGTGGTCCGGGTTCAACAGCATGCAGCCTGCTGGCGAAGGGTTCGGGTTCGACGGCACGGCGGCGCTGTGGAACATCATTGGGCGGGTCGGGGTCGGTGCGGCGAGGATCGCTGGCGGGTTCCCGACCTAGGGTCGCAACGCGTTCAAAACTTATCCATCCGACGACCTCTTGACGACTGACTGGCTTCTGGATCGCTCACCATCCCTGCTCATTCGCAGACTCGTCTCGACCCTCTATGCCTCTGCTCACCTATGCCCTTGCACACACGCCCCTATGTCTCCCCCTTGGTCCCTTCACTTCGCATCTTGCATCACCCCACAAATCTCGCATCCACACACCGCACACCAACATCAAAATACAATCAACGACCTTGGCATTGTACATAGTTGCTCCTTATATTCGCCCGTACCATCTCGCTCCGGTTTGCTTCCGCTGCTTATTTGGCCTCCATTTGCTCGCTTCTACTAACGCCTAATCACCTTTATGACCCCTTCATGCCCATGCTTCTCCTTTTCTCCTTTTACTTCAGGTCCCATAAACAGCATATCTAAATAAGCCTTCGCACTCGCGAAGCCCACGATATGCATTTGCTCAGGTATAGTTAACTGTCTATGGTTTTGTTCCGTTCGCCGCGTCCCATTTTGCCTCATTTCCTTTCTGTTTCGCTGGTTTGACATTTGACGTCTGACGTTCTACATACATACATACACAGGTTCTCGCGTCCCTTATGTATACCAACCTATTCCAAGCTCTTACTCAACCCCCCACACCCTGTGAGGACACCCTCGCGGGCTCTTATCTAGCCATCTCCACTTACAGACTCGCATCTCTCTCTATCGTGTATATTTAGACAAGCCACGGCATAAACAGGATAGACTGCATTCCTCCATTCTACTACAAATGCCACCAGAATCAAATTCATTTCAACAACTAGCTCTACGCTTTCTAAGAACGCACGGTCGATCGCATGAGATGAAATTCTAAATAGGTCTCAACCTTGCAAGCTTCCCCCGTCGCGTCTATGGTCTAGTTGGTCCGTGCGTGAGGATGTCACTCGTATACTAAGTTGTACAGCAGCAGCATATCGGCGAAGCGCGGTTATCGTGCTAGGCCGAGGCAGACGGGACGATTCAGAGGGTGTTTGTTGCGAGTGGATAGAAGCGAGAAAGTAAACAAACAAACGCGAGAGGGGGATCTATAAAAGAGACGCCGAGAAAGACAAGGACGAGGTATGTGGAGAGGCGAGTAGTAATGGATTGAGTGAGGAGGTGACCAGACCAGATGCAGGTGTAGGAGTTGAATGACGGAGCCGGAAGCGATGATGGGTGGATGGATGGATGGAGATGATCTAATGAAGGTCCGTGTAAGTGAAGACAAAATGGGGGTGGAGACTGGTGGCGCGAGATATGAATGATCTGAAAGGAAAAGAAAGGGCGAGGTAAAACAAAAGTGAGGACCAATGGTGGGAATCAGGCCTAGGAATTGCAAAGGTGAAGGGGAGAGAGGCCGGGGAGGATAAAGACAAAAGCATATCAAAGCTATTCGAGAAAACAGACCATCATGGGGAGATCACGGCGAAAGGGGAGACATCGGAGGGCGGCCGGCAAACGACTCCGATGGCCGGCGGCGCTTCACCTCGAGAGCGTACGTCTGCTCCTCTTCTTCATCGTCGTCGTCATCGTCGTCATCGGTTTCGTCGTCGCCCTCTTCCCCTTCATCCTCATCATAATCCCTGCGTACCTGGACGTCGTCGTCCGGCGGGTACATATGCCGCATGATCTGCTGCGCGGCGTGCATATCCGCCTCCGATGTGCCAGGCTCCTCGTTCGCGCGGTAGAACTCAGACACGTCGCTGTTGTACGACGCCGCATCCTCGTCCTCGTCGTCCCCGCCGGGTTGGCGCTGGCCCCACTGGCCATACTCGGAGCTCGAGTCGTACGCGACCTGGACGAGCGGGCTCGGGCTCGTCGTCCCCGAACGATGCACATACCCCGCCCCGCTCCCGCTCGGCCCCGCAGGAGACCAGACTTCCTGCCCCGCCGCATAGTACCCCGCCGACGGCCCCGCCCCAATAATCAGCCTCTCGGGCTGCGGATGCCTCAGTGCCCCCGGACCGCCCGGACCGCTCGCCATCGCCAGATCGCTTGCGACACGCGTCAAGCCAACAGGCAACCCCGACGCGAGCGTCATCGGGTCGTTCGCGATCCCGCCCGCGCCCATCATAAGCGCGTCCTCGCTCAGCGGCTCGTGGTCGCCCGAGCCGATGCTCATCATGTCCTCCGTCGTCTGCCGGCCCGCGCCGATGACCGTCACGGCCGCCGCAGCAGCGGCCGATGTCGACGAGGACGGGTCGCCCCAGCTCGACGCGCGCCGCGCGGCGGTGAAGTCGCAGCTTTCCGCGATGCTCGGCGCGGCCTTGAGCGAGCCTGCGCGACCGTGATGCCTGAGCAAATCGTCGCTCCGCCGCAGATACTCGTACGGCGTCCCGCCTAGCGACTTCGAGTTGGGGCTCAGACCCGTCTGGTCGTGGTACATCGACATGTTCGAGGACGTGTCAACTGGGGATGATGCTTGCGATGGAGTCTGCGATTGGTTGGCCGATTTCCGGTTCCTCCACGCGGGGAGCGAGAACCGGTACTTGCTCCGTTCGTGCGGGTCGTCGTGCCCGCCGCCCCCGGTGCTGAAGTGCCGGCTCGAGGGCCTGCCGATGGATTTGTAGCTGCTGGGAAGCGGTGGCGCGTCGGAACCCCGGCGACCCAGGAACGGCTGGACGGTGTCGCGCGCCCAGGCTTCGACGGACTTGCGTCGGTTGATGTTCGGAGTCGACGCGTTGGCGAGCATGTCGCTGATGCCGGCACGCTGTTTGCCCTTTGCCTTCGACGACATGGCAGAAGGAAGAGGATCCCGAGAAGCTCGTGCACTAGCGCTCTTCTGCTTTGATGACTGGGTCATGGCAGCTTTCAGCTCTTGTTCGGACCGGACAGACGAAGGCGTGGGCGTAGCGGTCAGAGGGCGCCAGACGAACTTTGAGATCTGGTTAGTGATGCGCTTGCCCCAGCCCCACGAGAAGATTGCCTTCGTAAGAGCCGTGTCAGTTTCGCCATCCGTAACCGTGACCATATCGATTTTCCGGGGAGCCGTCTCGCGAAGCCACTCTTTCTTGTTGGGAATGTCGTACAAGAACCAGTCTTGATGCTGTACAAGGAGTAGCCATTAGCCATGACTATGAGGGTTCGGGACGGCACACCTTGAGCTGATCAAGCGTCATGCGCTTGTGCTGGTCCTTCTGAAGCAGCCCATCCAGTATACGTATAACTACACGAGCTTCAGAGGGGGCACTTCTCCCAGGATGTCGTCCGCCAGTCGGGATACGCCCATACGCCATGGTTTTCCGGGGCGTCCAATCCTCATTACAAATCACGGTATAGAGAGCGAACTCGGCAGCAGAGCCACCAATGCCGGGAGGCGGGTGGAACGGGCAATCTCCGAAGAGAAGGCAGTACAGTGTGACGCCAAGCGCCCACACATCGATCGCCTTCGTGATCTTCCTCTTTGAGCGACTGGAAGTCGTTGGTGAAGCATGAGCTGTTGCAGAGGACAGAAAGGACGTGGACGTGGACGTCGGGGACGCGTCCGACGCCCTCTCGTACTCGGCAATAATTTCCGGAGCGAGAAAGGATGGTGTTCCTGAGCGTTTCGACAGATCTGAGTCGTCAAGCAGGAGGGGATCCGTGTCGTCCGCTTCTACCTTTGAGCGCCCTGCGGCTGCTAATCGTTGTGCATACGAGAAGGTGGAGACGCCAAAATCCGATATTTTGACCATCTGACGATCTGCAGTCCACAGCAGGTTACCGGGCTTGATGTCCCTGTGGATGATACCCTGGTAATGTACTCAACGCGAGTTGAGGTTTATACGCGCGAAACAAGGTGAAGATGGACATACAATACTCTAGTCCCAATATGACATCCCGTATTATGCGCCTGACTTGGTCCAGTTGTAAGATAGGTTCATAGCAGGGATGCTCTTCGCGCGCCTTGATCCTCCATTTAACCTCGCCACCGCTAAGGTACTCCATGACTGTGCGTGTCAATCAAAAATCAAAGTAAGAACATGACCACGTGAACGCTCGAAAGGGGGGACGGAAGCGTCGTCTCTGCGTGTCCCGGATGAATACCACGTGCGGTAAACGCTGGAAGACGCAAAGCACACAAGCAGGAAGGGCAGGTGGCGGATGGTGGTTGAACGCGAGGCGCAAGCGAGGGACGACTCACCCATATATATGCGGTCATTTAGCTTGTCGTCTATGACCTCGATGAGGCGTACGATGTGCCCATGCCTCAGCTTCTTCATAATGGCGATCTCCTTGCGTATCTTCTGCTCGGCGTCGCCGATCTTTTCGGAGAGAGGGGTATGGGCCTGTTGGGGAATGGGACGATTCGCGCTATAGCGTAGCATCTTGACCTTTTCCTCGCGTGGGTTCTTTCTCTTGATTGCTTTGATGGCCTGCGCGCATGCACATGTATATGAGTCAGCAAGACCAGGTGAGGCGAGCCGGAGAGACGGATGTAGGGGGAGTACGCGCATATAGACAATGGTACGTACCAGCTGACGCTTTGGACTGTTCGTGTCGGTGCAGAGCCATACCTGTCCGTGTTGGCCGCCCCCGACTTTGTGGTGGCGTAGATAACTGTTGATGATTGGTTTGCGGTCGTTGGAGTGCTTAACTTTGAGCTCTCTGGTTATGAGGACTGAGCCTGGAGGATCGAAGGGCTCGTTGATGACAGGCATGGTTGGCGAGTGACTGCCATCATCTGAGCTGGTGCTAGGGTCTCCTGAGTGGCCATGGTGGGACATGGTGGTGGGTTGGGAGAAAGGGGGAGGTGGATGGAGCGTCCGGGTCGGTGAACGGGTGGAGGTGTGCGCTGTTGCGTATTGAGAAGAGATGCTGGATATGGATATTCTGTGGCACGCCCCCTGTCACCCTATCGCATTCCTCTCATCAAGGCACAACTGCTCCGGCTACTAACAACCTAAGCTATTTACTTGCTCCGCTCAACCGGCACCCTAGATCAGATCTCTCCAGACTAAACTCAGCCCCGGGGACACGCGCACTTGTCTTCATCCTTGACGTCCTTCATCACCTGTGCCCATGAACAGCTCAGTAAGCAAAGCAACGACTCTCTGCGGTGTCAAGGGGATAGGGGACGGATACAGCGTTCATAAACTTGGACCCTCTTTCACTCGAGAACCCCACAGAATCAGGGAACCGCTCCCCGGCAGGCGTGATGGGGTCTCTCTTCCAACAATCCACATCAATCCCCTCGCTGCTCGTGGAAACAGCACCCTCCACGCCCACCTGCACGCCCGCTAGAAAGTAAAAGTGACTCGTGCACTCACCTGCTCGACATGGAGCCCGCATCCCTAAACGGCACAAATGGCGATCAGCACACACAAGCTTTGCAATAAGCGCGTCAAGGATCAAACTAAGGCCCAAGGGCCAACATCATCGCCCAGCGCCCTCGAAACGCCACCGAGGCGGGGCGTGCCAGTGGCGTGCACGCATATTTGCATAGGCACGCATCCCACGTCTTCACTTTGCCGCCGGCTCGCCCGCGAAACACTCGAAGGCTGCTTCATTTTCTCCCGACTAAACGTGCAACCCAGCGCATAAGGTTCACATTCCGCTGTGGCTTCGCCCACTGCGCTCAAAGGGGTCGTCGGCATGCCGCGCTCCCAAGCGCGGCGAGTCACGTCCCGCCCGAAGCCCACACCCCAGCCGAAGTCGCTACCAGGCAGGGGCTCCTCTATAGGGACCACCCTCGCACTTTAGCCCACCGCCGCCGACCCAATCACGCCCCGCGGCCGCGCCCGTGCGCACGCAGCACGCAGTACGAGCGGAGAAAGTGTTCAATCGTAAGCCAAAGGGACTCACCCTCCAGGTAATTTTGCCGCACTTGCCACACTTCGTTTGGAAGCAAGTGTCAACGGGAATAGCAGGCGCTTGGTCGGTGACGAAAGCCATGGGGTTGACTGTTGACTTGTTTGATTGCTGAGAGAAGTTTGGCGCGGGTTAAGGGCTGTTCAGTGGTTCTTTCTGTTCTCGCAGCAGGGTCGATCTGATGTCGCAAGTATGTTGGTTGGTTGGTCGGTAACTGTAAGCTAAACCCTGCGAAGAGATCAGAGACTCACCGATTTGCTGTGGACTGTAGGATGAATAGGGTACTTGGTGGCTGCCGAACGTTATACGAAACTACTAAATACTGCACTGAGTGTCCCCGTATAGCACCGCGTGGCGCGATGCTTACTCACGTCTTGCAGATCTACACCTTATAAAGATAGTTAGAAATCCTGGCTTCCTCACGTGCACTGACTCAGTAGCGACAGACCTTATAATAGCCGGTGAAAGCCCCCACTAAATCGTCAGCCAACCGGGCGCGGTGAGAGCGTAGACACAGATGTGAGCTAACTACTTTGAGCTCAGAAAGCTTGAGCGGCAGAGTGTCCGAGGTTTGAAAATGTATGCGCTGAGGCCTAAAGATCTGAGGTGCGCGACGTTGGAAGAGAGGTGCGATAAGATCTGATACAGGGTGATAACAGCCACCGGGTCCCCATTGCCACGTGGAGCTCAGTGTCGGATCCTCCCTTTGCCACCGCTTTGCCACTGGTCCCAAAACATTTGCAAAACATGGTCCCAAACCGCAAGATCGCCACGGCCGCAGTCAAGCGGGTCAATCTTCAAGCTCACATATGTACCCATACATGTCAAAGAATACTGGAAACTTGGGAGCCGAGTCACTTCTAGCAAGAGCCATGCAAATCAGACTGGAGAGACGGATAGTAGACACCCACGCGAAGCCCGAGCTATTCCTTTCCGACGCCTCACCGTTGTCCAAATATCGTCCGATCAGATCTTCAGATGCACAAACCAGTGTATGGGTACACCACTGGTACACCTGGGTACATAACTCTTTAATCTCCCCGAGACAAATCCGCATATATGCGATATCAATTGCCTAGCTGAATCTTTTCTCAGTCGGTGGCATCAACGGTTGCTCCAACGCCCTGAACGTTAAACAGAAAAGCACAGTCTTCAAGGCAGGCGGGCCGGTGCTGGAAGCGCTTAAGTCTGGATCACCTCTTTCCGAGTATCTTTTCCTTGACCTACAGAGAGACATACGTGAACTGTCCATGTTGACCGATCCACCTTCCAAGCTGCGCTTTCTTCAGGAGAGCCTCAGCGCTTCATCTCTCGCGGTCATCTCAGTTGACGATCTGTCCGACGACCGAATCAATTGCACCTAGCTAAACCTTGTATATTTAGCTGTGCATTCACAGTCGTCGCAAAATAGACCTTGGGAACGCGCTTCAGATCTGAGTACCAGATCAAAACTTGTCGACAGCGGCCCTACCTACAGTATATTCAACCTACACATTAATCATTTTCGGATCGTCGAAGCCGCCAGAAGACTGGTCTGAGGCAAGGACAGCCGCGGGATCACTGCGGAGGCGTCTGGCGTGCAATAAGAAGATCAGTGTTTCCGCGCCCGCCGCTCTGGCATACTCTATTGTCCTTCGTAAGGTTAGCCTGAAAGGCGATCGCGTATGTGGCTGATGCATCTCATTTCGTTTTAATTGACAAAGGGGAGAATCACATACATAAAGCAGCCCTGGTGCCAGTGTCACCACTTGAGTGTTCCTCAGTCTAGTGCATCAGTCCTTGTGCGCGTAAAAGGTTATATGAACCACTTACAACTGTATAGGACATTGGAAAGCACATACCGGTCTAAGCACTGGCCTTAATTCTGCTTAATGATCAAGCTATCAAATACGAAGTACATTCCGGACTCGTCAACCCGTTCCCAAACACCCGGCGGTGGCCTGCGGTGGCGTATCTTCGCACCCCGAAGCGCCTCCGCTTCGAGCCTGGCATGGGTATGTACCGAGCGAGCTTCTCGTTCCCCTATCAAGACCATCTACCGTTCTTCTGCGAACGTTCCGTGGGCTTCACCCCAAGCCACGAGATTTCTCCGAGAAGACGCGAAACAGGCTGGGAAAGTTATCTCGAGAAGCCCCAATCCGCTGGCTCAGTGGCGTGCGGACGGCCAGTATCGTGGATAAGTTGACGGTGGGTCCACGATTTATCATGGGCAAGTGCAACAGAAGCCTTCTTCGCCGGCGCCTAGTCAATCAATGATAGGTATGCATACCCTCAGGTGAAAGGATGCCCGGGGTCCGCGAAATATCAACGATGCCCATACACCATGATGCACCATGACTCGCCCATCCTGCTGCACTGGCGTAGCGTCGCTTAGCTAGGAGAGACTAACACGCTGCCCTTGCACCTGCACACGCCCATTGTCTTCCTCCAACGGCAAGCAATCTTACCCTCCTTGGCCGTACCCCGCATCCCGTGCTCTGCCATTGTGCCATGAGGCAGGCCCTGGCAGGCCGCCGAACGGACGTCATATTTGACAGGTGTCAGTAAGCCACACTGATGCAGGAGGCCGAGGATTGGCCTTTTATCTCCGTTCAACTCTAATCGCCTCTCGAGTTTTCTAGTTTTTTCTGCGCCTCTTGCTTTCACGTGAATACAGGTGGGAGAAAGAGACGAATGGCGGAAAGGTGCTCACGTTTCCGTGAGCGACCACTACCTGCTTCGTTTGTTGCTTGTAGAGTTTGTACTTAGATCAAGTGTCCAGCTGAAGTGGAGACCTAGTGTAACGGGCGATCGGCACTTGCCGAACTAGACCGACAGTTTCGCGTGCAAGCAAACTAAGTCCGACCAGGTCCGACCTTTGTGCGCACAATGATCTTTTGCCCATCTTCCACCACCAATAGCATCTAACAAGTTCGTTGTGTACCGATTGCGTTCTGAGATATAGTGACATACCCGGATTATAAACGCGATATTTTCCTTCTAAACACCTTCTCTCTCCTTGAGCACCGTCTCTCTAAGCCTTCTCAACGCCTCCCGCACCTGCTCCTCGCTGAGAAGACTGAACGCCGCACGGACATGTGCAGACTTGCGTCCGTTGGGATAGAACATCGCCCCGGGCAGCGCAAGCACGCCATTTTTGAACGCCTTGTTGCTGATAAGGTCAGATGAATCTCCGTCGTCGTCTCCCGCGTTCGCGTTTGGATTGAGGAGAAGCTTGAACCTACGGGACGAGGCGTTAGCGTGGGTCCAGAGTGAGCAAGGAGGTATAGAATATGATGAGGAAAGAGAACGAACCAGAAGAACATTCCCGCCTCGGGAGGTGTCCACTCCGCGAGCCCGCTCATGCACTCTTTCATCACCTTTTGGAATATGTCCCGTTTCGCGCGATAGAACGTCGACACGGACCGGATATGCGCATCGAAGCCCTCGTAACCCCACTTTTCAAACAAAGCGATCATGATGGCTTGCCCGAGGTGGAAGCTCTGCAAGCTAGAGCTCGAGGTCTACGACGTATGCGATCGGCTTAGTCGAGATCTACGCCTAAGAAATAGGCTTACATGGGAGTTGATTGCTTTCACCAAAGGCGCAGGGCCCGATGCGATACCGAGCCGGAGGCCACCAGAGGCAACTTTCGACATGCTGTCGAACCGAAGAACACGGCCAACACGGGGGCTACCGTCCTTGGTGGGCATGTGCTGTTCAAGGCTGAAGTACGATGCCGGGCGGGGCGCATCGCCAAAATAAAGGTAGAAGTACGGGTCGTCTAAATCCAATTAGAGGGGGTCGCAATTAGACATTTAAAAGAGCGCACCCTCAAAGATGAGGAAATTGTGTTCTCTCGCTAGCTCTATGACCTCTTTTTTACGGTCTTCAGAGGTCGTAAAGCCACCTGGGTTGCTACCGTACTAGAGGGTGATGCGGTGCCTTAGAAGTGATTTTGGGCAAGTGTGTGTGATACTCACAGGTACAGTGTAGAGGATCTTAGGCTTAGGCTTGTCAGAAGGCCACGAATTCAGCACCTCGCGTAAGTCTTGAGAGCGAAGGCCGTGTGCGTCCATGGGGATTTCTAACGACAAGAGTATTAACCATTGGCGCGCTTCAACATCTCTACCGGCAACCACGCACCAACAAATTCGCACTGCAAGTTTTGAAAGATAGGAATCACCCCACTAGCGCACAATTAGCTACCATCCATTTGTCTTGAAAATGCGATCGCACCCATAGGCAGGAGCCTCGATGAGCACAACGTCACCCGGGTTGAGTACTGAGTTTGCCGCCTATGTAGTCGCTATCAGCCCCCAGTAACTCAATGCAAAGATAGGTTGGGACACACACCTTGAATATGAGATCCTGCGACCCACTCCCAAGCGTCAAAATCCAGCTCTCGTCTCGCTTACGCCCATGGTACCGCTCCTGCAACCCGTAGTACCACTCATGCAACTTCGGCAACCCCTCCGTTGGCCCGTATTGCAGCCCATCCCGCAGCGTGTCTCCCGACAACTCGACCTCGACCTCCTCACCAGGAAGCGGAGCGCCGCTCACGAGACTCTCGGCGTAGTTAGGAAGCGTCGTGGGAGCGATGGTGAACTTGAAAGACCTGAAGGGGAACATGTCTCCGTTGGGTTTTCCCGCCATGAGCGAAATGACGCCTGGCGTGCTTTCGAGCGGAACGAGGACATGGATAGGGCTCGGTTTGCGTATCTTGGCCGCATCGGAGAGGAAGGGTTGGTAGAACGAGTCAGGGAGATGATCTGTCATGGCGTCATCGGTGTGGAAGTGAATGTGAGGAGCGGAAGGACGATGGAGAGTACATACAAGTTCTCGAAAACCTTTATGCGCTTGGTGCTTTCGCTTCTGACTCAATCCACAGAGCCCCACAGAACGTCGTGTCTGACTCGATGTACAGACCACGGATCTTCGGCCGTCAGGGAGAATCGACGAGAGCAGGTGATCATAAGACACATTCCCCGCGTTCTAAATGAGGGAGAGTCGCTTAACTCATATATGAGTAATAGATAAGGTCATCCGCTCACTACTGGTTTCATAAGCCTCATCTCCTCGGCACAGGGCAATTAACAACTTGTGGCTGTTAGTAAACCGTCGATGGCGTCATTTGCATGTAGATGGATGGACGTGTAATGCCTCCAGCATAAGATACACTGGTCGTCGATGGAAGGAGGGAGTCCATGTCCGGGTTTTGCACGACCGGAGCAAGCGTTGGTCAAGGTGAGAGATGTTTATGGGCAACCCCGACTCGGCCGATATTGACTTTGATGATAGCCCCGACTCGGCCGATGCCGACTTTGCACAGCGACCACGCGTCTGAATACTCACTACATCATAGCTACGACGACATGTTGCTGCATTAAGATAGCGAAGAAAATCCAGATGCTTCCTATGTCGTGATCTTTAAATTTGTGACCTCTTGATCGCACGCTGTGCGTTCGACTTTTTTGTAAAGTTTCCGCGCTGTCACCAAATGTTTACCCCGTAAGATGTATGCCACGGGTTGCTATGACCTTTCAAGGAGCTTCGGTTTGCAGTGTGGTTGGATTAGGAATAGATGGGGAAAATGACCAATAGAAACAATGAATTTTCACTATAAGCGCGCTGTTGAAGCGTTGACCATATCTACTGTTACAGTAGGACGTATCCAAGATATGATACTTTCGCTACCATATTTTTCTTTCGGCCACGGGAATCGCGCTCGTTTCCCCACTATGGTCCTCCCGGTCCTTCAAGAGTGTTTCCCGCAGCCTCCGAAGCGCCTCGTTGACGTCGGACTCATCGAGTAAACTGAAAGCTGCACGTACGTACGGAGTCTTTCGTCCGTCTGGCATAAAACCAATGCCCGGAAGGGCCAAGACACCGTTTTTGAAGGCTTTCGTCTGAATCAAGTCGGACGAGTCGGACTCGCCATCTGGGCCTGGAGGAAGTAAAAGCTTGAACCTGTTTGCGTATGAAAAGCCATCAGTCATTTGTCAGAAACTGCGTTAGTCAATAGCAACATACCAGAAGAACATTCCCGCCTCGGGAACGTCCCACTCTGCGAGGCCGTCTAGGTGCTGCTTCATCGCAGCAGCGAAGACCTCGCACTTCGCTCTATAAAACGTTGAAACCGAGCGGACGTGAGCGTCAAAGCCATCAAGACCCCAGCTGTTGAAAAGGGCGACGAGCATTGCTTGGGAGAGCGATGAAGAGTGTACGCTAGAGATACCCGACTGCAGAAAATTCAGGCTCTCATTCACTCTTCAAGGACGGTCAATTGACGTACATGCATGTCTATGGCATTCAAAATAGGCGTTGGTCCTGATACCCAGCCCATTCGCATGCCGGCCGAGATGAGCTTCGAGAAGCTATCAAAACGGAGTACGCGGCCGACGTTCGGGCTACCTGTTCGGAATCAAGGTTATCATTAAGCTCACTGAATGAGAGGGAGGCCGAGCGACTTACCGTCTTTTGTGGGCATAGACTTCTCGAGTTGGAAGAATGACGGTGGGCGCGGAGCATCTCCGAAGTAAAGGTTGAAATAGGGGTCATCTGGTAAAAATCAGCACACAGCGCAGACGTTGAGATGTCACAAGTACCTTCAAAGATGATGAAGTCGTGCTCTCTTGAAAGCTCGATGATCTCTCTCTTTCGCTGCTCGGTCGTGGTAATGCCAGTCGGGTTGCAACCGAACTATAAATCTCAGTCAGAAATGAAAGTAGTATCGCAGAAATATCACATACAGGAACATTGTAGAAAATCTTGGGTTTAGGCCGGTCTGCGGGCCACGACGAGAGAATGTTGCGGAGATCTGATGAGCGGGTACCTGATGAATCATTTGGCACATCTTGAGGGTACGTGAGTGAAGTGACCTCAAGTCGACTAGTCCTAGTCAACCATGGCCGCTACGCACCGACGAGATTACACTTTAGTGAATCGAACATCGCGATCACGCCGCTGCATCGTGTGTTTATCGTTTTGTGATGAAGGAAGCGCCTTTTAGACTTACGCATATGTGGGCGCCTGTATGAGGACATAATCTCCGGGATTCAACAGCGCCGTCCCTGCCTAGTATCTGTAATCAGCGAATACTTGCCTAAGCGAAAACAGAGAAACCATGCCTTGTATAGCATGTCTTGCGAACCAACTCCGACACTCATACGCCAGCCCTCTCCGCGCGAACGCCCATGAAGGTGCTCCTGAAGGCCATGCAGCCAATCAAGCAGCCTCGCTGACCCCTCCGTCTGGCCATACTGTAGCGCCTCCTCAAGATCTTGACCTGTGAGCTCGATCTCCGTCCGCTGGTCCCCCTCGGATTTCAAGGGCTGTCCGGTCCGAATCCTCTCAGGATAATCGGGAGAAGTAGTAGGCGACACGGTAAACTTGATCGAAGTGAACGGAAACATCGTCGTGTTTGGTTTCCCCGCTAGCAGCGAGATGACGCCCGGCTCATTTTCGAGATGGTAGACCTTGCGGATCGGGTTGGCGCGCCGCGAGCGCGCAGACTCGGAGAGGATAGACGCATAGTATGAGTCAGGTAGATGTGAGGCTGCCATCGCGTTGCTGTGTTATCATTATCAGTAGAGACATGGGGCTTTATGCCCTGGAGACCGCGCGAGTCATATTCCCTCCATGGGGTTGACTGCGTGGTGTTCGTGCTCTGTAATCGGCATGCAAGTGCTCGTTAGTAATCAATGGAACTCTCGTTTCGGACGAGTGCAAAGTTCTTTTCCTTAGTATCGACGCCTAATTCTTGGCAAGCGCACATTGATTTGACGTTGATCCGTGCTGATGGTTAGGTCGCTAATCATCAATAAGCTGTTAAGATAGGTGCACTGCAATGACTATGCAGCTAACTCTGTTGAGTGTTTCTGAGGATTTGACGACAAATCCAACGACATATTGACATGCCGGAGACATCTGGAAGAGCTACTGTACCGCAAAAAAAGCGTAAACGAGGACGAATGTGGACTTACGGACTAAGGCATGTTCCCCGCATGTACCCCACAAGATGAAAAGCGGATACAAGATGTGCCGCCTCAACATCTCGGCCGGTTATGCCCGAAGTATGCTCCGCCCGGCATCCTCTTATGGCTCCTTCAGCTCCGATTTCCTGCTCTGTTTGGCTCCACCTGCGTGCATTTCGGAGTCTGCTGACTCGAACGCTTCAGCTTCAATCATCGCGCTGGCAGCGACTCTTCCCCCCCATATTCTGTTCGCCACTCCGACCCTCCAAAATACGAGCTCATGTTTCCTGGTCACCGTAACTCGCGTGGCTGCCAATGTCTCCTCGCCACAGTCAAGGCGCGGAGCCATCATCAAGCACCTATGCGTCGGACGTAATCCCGCTCATGATGAGCATCAACATAATATCAAGAATGTCTCGTATCTTTCTCCAATGTCTGACTCGACCTTGAATCTCGCTGCGTCTCTTACACGGAATCAACGATATCATTCAGCATGCAACCATCTCACCAGTATACGCACTAAGTCTGATTTCCACTCGCACGTTGAGCGCGTTCCTCTTTGCTTTGTTGCCTAAATCATGGTATGACTACCCTAGTCTATCCTGACGTTTGTTTCGGCCTGAAGCCATTTACACAAATCTGACCGCAGTATAACTTAGGGCAGGAATTATTGATGCGCTGCGTGAGCTCAGGTTGCATCCCGCACGAGAACGGGTCAGCGGACCGCATGCGCAGCTATGATCAGGCACTTTGATTAACTCTGTCCACGCATACGATATGTAAGGTTTGTACAGAGTAACTTGTCCATAATAGCTCATGTCCATGTTTGACTTTCCTTTAGCTTTGCTTGACGGAAAGATCCGAACCCTGTATACAGGCATTGACTTCTGGCATCATTGTTACAGACCTTGCTTACCAATGGTGGTCGCATTGTCTTCCTACGGAGCCGAAGTTACCAGTTTGGAGAACTCCTTTCTACTCACTGTAAACGTCCCTTGCGCTCCCATAGCACTATTTAAACCCGGTGTTTTGTTTTTCTTCCGACTAGTCTATAAAGAGACCTGCTATCCTCTCCGGAAAATGGCGGTTTCCACTAACTTTTGCGAACGTCATAGATCAGCCCACCATGCCTCTACTCTTCGTGTCAATCATCCCTCTAGGGCTGATTATATGGACCATTTCAACGTGCGCAGCTGCAAAGCTCAGAAACAAGCGCTCTCTACCCTTGCCACCAGGGCCAGATCAACTTCCCTTCCTCGGCGCGGCTTTGCAAGTCGACGCCAATACTCCGTGGCTGACGTATGCGGAGTGGGCAGCCAATTATGGTGCGCTCTCCCCATATTCTCCCCGCTAACGTGTTTGTCGTTCTGATTCATGGCGATATAGGCGACATCGTCAGCTGCCGTTTCTTTGGCACCCAAGTGGTGATCTTGAACTCCGAGAAAGTCGCGAATGACCTCTTGGAGCGGTGTTCTCGCATATACTCCGACAGAGCAGAGGTCTCTACGGTGGCTATGTCTGTCATATGGCAGTCTGCACTTAATTTACCTGCGTGTTAATCTAATCCTGTTGTAGGACCGGGTGGGATTTCGACTTTGGATTCGACCGCTATGGAAATGAATGGCGCCTACACCGACGTCTTTTCCAGCAGGCTTTTCGCGAGCAGAAAGTTGCCGATTATCGGTCAACACAACGTGCAGCAGCCCATCGCCTCGTGATAAACATAGACAGAAACCCAGCGGAGAATCTGTGGGACCTCATATTATTGTATGTTCAAATAATGCTTTCCGCCTAGTTCATTCGGATCGGGCTCACATGTTATACCTCAGGTGTGCATCTTCTTCGATTCTATCTACGGTGTACGGGTACGAAGTCGATAGCATTGACGATCCACTATTCACCATCAACGACAAGACACTTCAAACCGGATTTCCACTCTTGAACGGTGAAAGTTCAATCATCATCGACACGTTCCCATTCAGTATGGTCCTATACGACTTGTCGATGCTTCATCTTGACCTGAAGTCGTGTAGTCAAATATCTACCAACATGGCTGCCTGGCACGTCTATTGTTCGCGACGCCCAGATCGCTAAGCACTGGGCTCAACTATTCGTCAACTTTCCATACAACTTTACGATGGAGAAGATGGTGAGCTTCTCCTAAAAAACTTCCTCTCGTGTTCCCCGCCTAAAAAGAGTGATAGAAATCTAACACCGAATTCTCCTGTGCTCTTTCGGAGACGATCCGAAACAGCGAGGAGAACGGTCAAGCAATACCAGTGTATAATTTGAAGAAATTCGCTGCTACCGCTTTCATTGGTAACCTTTACTTACATCTACTCTCTTTCACATGCTCACTGCCCGATCTTTGACAGGTGGTGCTGAGACGGCGGGTGCATCTCTCATGCTACCTTATCAAAACGATGCTGATCCATGGTTTAGACATCGAGTGTGCTACAGACGCTCATCGTAGCTTTGCTGCAAAACCCCGCCGTACAGAAGCGGGCACACGCCGAATTATGGGCCGTCGTCGGCAATAATCGGCTGCCCACGTTCGAGGATCGGCCTTCGCTCCCTTACATCGACGCTTTGATTCGAGAGGTAACGAGATGGAACCCGGCAGCTCCTCTCGGTGAGTCATATTTCATGCAAGGCCTCATTTCATACTTCGAGCGGATCCTGATACTCAACCCACAGGCCTTCCGCACGTCTCTACAGAAGACGATATCTACGAAGGATATTTCATCCCCCAAGGTTAGTGAACATGTTGTGATACACGAAACAACGACTTAATCAATGTTGGACTGTGCAGGCTCAATCATGGTTGCTAATACATGGTGCGTGAAACAACAATGTAATTGACTAGCTGAACGCTCATTTTCTGGCAGGGCAATGTCTCGCAATCCTAGTCGGTATCCCGACCCTGAGACGTTCCGACCAGAAAGGTTCCTAACCAAAGACGGAGAACTAAACAATGACGACGTGAGGTTCACCTTCGGATGGGGCCGACGAATCTGCCCGGGAAGATACTCTGCGTTCGCAGCAATATGGATCGCTGCTGCATCTCTGATAGCAACTTACGCATTTGAGAGGGCCAAAGACGAACATGGTATAGAGATTGAGCCGACTCCCCAGTGGACAACAGGGCTAGCGAGGTAGGTAATCCAAGCTCTGCGTATGAACACTTCCTTAGAATTTCTTTTGTTCAATAGGAAGCCCAAACCCGTCCCGCTGCGTGTCATTCCTCGGTTTGACCAGTCAAAGCTTGAACAGATGGTGAAAGACGTCAATGATAATTGATATTTTCTCTTAACTCGCTTGTATGTACGTGATCTCGAATAAGCAACCTACCGGAAGACATACGAATAGGACGTTTCTTATTCTGATAGCAATTCAAGTATTTCGTCGGACGTACAGTAGCTTGTGTCAAAGCTGAAAGGATACCTGACATGTGTCCCCAACGCGATGGTGAAGGAAGTGCTTCCGAGTTTTACGTCTGCCTAGAGACGAACTCGCATGGAAACGTCTTGGGATATCTGTACAAAAACCCAAATGTCGATTGGAATCTTATGAATTAACTTGTATGACTCATTGACTCACGTTGTTACGCCTTGTACCCACTCAGGAGTTGGCTCGATCGAGTTTCCCGAAATGTCCTTTGCTTTTTCAATGGTGAACGTAGCAAGTATCTGCGCCATGGCGATCCAAGTTGAAGCCTGCGCAAAGTGCCTTCCTGGGCAAATACGCCGCCCAAAACCAAACACAAACTCGCATGTGTCCTTAGTAAGATGTCCACTGGCGTCCAGGAATCGCGTGGGATCAAAATCATCTGCGGAGGGGTACCGTTCCTCATCCCGAGCCATAGCCCTGATATGATGTTGGTATAATCCATTGCCCCAACCTAGATACGAAGACTCACCAGACATTGGGTATGATGACAGTGCCTACATTTTGCTGTCAATAAACTTGGGCACTGAGGTGCTGAATTTCTTACCTTCAGGAATACGATACCCTTCATAAACACCTTCGCTTGTTGCAGCATGTGGTACACCTACGTACGAAATAAGCCTCACGATGGTGGGATGAGGAGAGCTTGTGGCACTTAACACGTACCAAGGCGAACGACAGGCCTCCATCTCAGCGTCTCCCGAAACACGGCTTCAAGATAAGGTAGCATTTCTCTATCGTTAAAACTAGGAAGGCGACCGCTTCCCACAACGCTCTCAATCTCCTCTTGTGCGCGTTTTTGAACTTGCGGGTGAAGGGCCATGGCAAGGATAAATACAAGCAAAGTCGAGCCCGTCTAAACGACAATGATAGCTGATCAACATCGATTCAAGAATAATCTGCTTTGACAAACCGTATCTTCTCCAGCTGCCGGCAGTAACAATGAGTTTGATTTGTGATATGAGATGAATGCGCTCACCGACATATGCAGTACCACAGGCGTCTTTGATTACTTGTTTAGCATTGTTCATTTTGGCTGTACCTTGAAATCTTGCTAAGGCATCGGACATAACACATGGTTCAGCCTCTCCAGTGGCCTGAGAGAAACCAAGAAGTCAGCTTCGAGTCCTGTGATGATTAGTATGTGGCACACACCATTCTTTTTTGTAATGTTTCATAAGGGGCGTTGACCATCGCTTGATTGGCTCGGAAGGAGTGTGCGGCATTAACCCAACGTCCTCCTGGAAACCATGTAGGCGTGTATCTCACTAGTGGTATATGAAAGTGTCATTCAGTAATTCAATTTCGGCGATAGAAACAAGCGAACAGCAGCTTACAAAAGGGCAACGCGGTGAGTAGTGCAAGCATCCCAGGGCTCCCAATGAAGAAAATGAGCTCAGTTGCCTCCGCCATGGCTCGGAACGTCATATCGTCCATTGGCTCAGCGGGTAGTTCATGGTCATACATAGTCCCCAAGATTGTAGCAGCGGAGAACCTGAGTGTCATGTGTATTAGTGGAGGTATACAAAACAAAGCTAGATGGCTAGTTAACGGACGTTCGAATGTGTCGCCACCATGACTTTGGAGTGTCGTGTAAAGCCTGTAATAGAGTGGCTGCACAACGGGCCTGTGTTGGCCAGTGAGCAGCAATTTTCTCTGGGCGTAACGTTTGCTGGAGAACCTCGCGTACATGATGCAGAGTCTTGAACAATACCAGCTATACAAGTATAGATGGTCAGAAACAATACCGGCCTGGACAGCAAGACGGCGGTTCAGCATCTCGGAAAGACCAGCACAAAGAAGGGAATTGACGCACGCGACACCTTGTCCTCTGGTTATTTCAAGCTTCCCGGAATGCATTGCCTCTTCGACAATTTATCAGTACTTTGGGGCTTTCTCTTGTGCTAATTTGTGTCCACTTTTCAGCCCACATGGTCCCAGAGGTCAGATGACCTCGTTATTCACTTCTCAATACATTTCATCCAAACCTATCATTGGCGGGTAGCACTATTGTTCCCGTTTATCTATTATCCTATCAGCTTCAACACTAGCCTGGCATCAGCTTTGTTCTGGAGCAGTCGAAGCACCTCCATGTGTTACTAAGCTGCATTCATTTGTCTATATAAGCCATCATCAAATCCAGTTCATCGCTTCATCATCCGTTCCACCATCATGCATCCGTCAATCTTGGCCTTAGCAATGGTATTAGCCGCGATGCTGGTTGCCGCCCTCTGCGCTCGCCGTAGGTTGCGTGACAAGGGCCTTCCGCCAGGGCCTGATCCACTCCCACTTGTCGGCAATGTGCTTCAGGTTAATCCGGCATACCCATGGCTCACGTTCGCAGAGTGGAAGTTGGTATATGGTACTGTACTTTCTTTTAGACTTCGGACATCGATATGACTGATTGTCCTACAAGGGAACATGGTCTACTGCAGGATTCTTGGTAGAGATACTGTGGTCATTAACTCCGAGAAAGTCGCGCAGGATTTGCTAGATAAACAATCGCGCAACTACTCTGATAGGATGAGCATGTCAAACTTGCCAACAATGTAAGTATGCCAAGTTCTTTACCTGTAAGCCGGTAAGCGTCAACGCTCTGACCACTCATGTTGCAGGTATGGTTTTGCCTGGGCTACTTCTCTTCTCAATCACGATGACTTATGGAGAGGACACCGGCGTGCTTCGCGAGAGCGGAGGTGTGTCCTTGAGTTGACGATGTTGTCTGGGAATGGCCGCCCTCGCGGGATGTGAGGCACTTAAGCTTCAGCGCTTCAGCAGCCAAGTTCCAGCGAGCTTGCGTCATGATTTGGGCATGAGGCACGACTTTGCTCCGTCCCGACTCCGCCCAGCGTAGCGCCTACTTCACATACTGTAGAAATGGCTCGGAACCCCGTCATTCTGTTAAGAATTCGTAAAGTTCCCGTGAAAGATGTTTAGGATATCATACAAGCCAAATATATGAGAAAGTAACGGGCAAATTAGGAGATCAATAACATAGCCCCAGAAAGGGAAAAAATCATGAATGCCAATGAAATAAAATCCAGCACACCAAATAAAGACCATCGCAAGATACAAAAGCGGTGTGAACACCGTGGCAGTGTCTAAGTCAGGTCAATGACCTCGGCAGGCTTTTCACGCGCACGTTTAATCCGTTTCGCGGGACGTTCCTCGGGTTCCATCTTGACAGAGCCCGGGCTCCCGGCCTGATCCTCTGCGCGCAGTATCGTAAGCTCGTCCTGTGGGTACGTTAGTTGTACGTCAATGCATCATGCATGCGCAGAACTCAGGGAAGTACAGTACCTCTAGAGCCCGTATGCGGGAGCGGCGCGTTCTCGGGCTTGCAGCGTAAGTCCTGGAAGGGTCACGGGTGTGAATGACATAATTACGCGCGGCGTCTTGAGCGGCGGTACAGTGGGCGGGTGGAGGCGCAATGCCCTGAGCTTGCAGAACAGCTATTTACGATCAGTCAGTGAATAAATGCTATACAGTGTGGCCTCTTTGAAGGTAAAATACCTAGCGGTCTATACTTGAAGACAAAGCAGATTGTTGTAGTAGTCCGATGCACAGTAGAATAGCCAGCCATGGCCCTTCTTTCTTTACCGAGTCTGGTTGATTACCCGAAACTGTGTTAACATGCTGTCTGTAGCATAGTCAACTGAAAGAGGGCGTACCCGACACGATGCACCATTGCTTTCTTTTCCCTTTCATGTAAAGGTCGGTTTTCAGGAAGTGCGAGGGGGTGGCCGGGACTGCTGCGAGGTACTAGCATTCCCTGAAAGATAGTAACTGAGATCTCGCCAAGTTCCTCCAGGCCGGGAGCGTGACGTTGCGTATCATCATCTACGACTCATATTGAGGTTATGCGTTCCAATCATAGCTTTAAGACGCACCTATAAGCTCTACATTTGAAAACATCAAGTCCCGTGTGGTCCAGCTGTCAGTAAAGAACACCGAGCACTTCGCGGTATCTTTGTCACCGAGCAGGCCGGGCCGTATCAGTGACTCGGCGGTCGGTAGCCCATCCACCATGTACTTCCCACATGTCCAAAGTTCTCTCTCTCGTTGACAGCACTTCCACTCGATCGAGAAGCTCTGGGAATGATGCGTCAAGTTCGCGGACACCATCACAGGTGAGAACCAATCAATCACCTTTCCAGCCTGCGAAGGGACGTAACATGTAACCGTAGATCCATCCACTACGTCAACCTCGATGTTGTATTCCTCAAGCGGACCATCGTCCACAATGATAGAGGCGGAAAACTGTCCCAGCCGCATGTGAGTATGCACGCTTGGTGGATGTAATCGGGGTCAAGGGTGTTCGACGGGAATTAGCACGCGCGCGTTTATACGCGTCGCGTCCTACTAAAGCGTCCGTCGGCTAAATAGTGGCGTCAAAGTGGCGTCGCAAACGAAGTGCATAAACCGGAAGTGGGTTCCACAGTCAATCATGGTTACAGTGAGTGGCCCGCAACTCATCGTAGAGACCCTATCATCCCGCCCTTAACATTTTGCATCGGTGCGTGTGCTCCGTTGTTGTATTGATACAAGCGAGTCCCGTCAACGAGCTGAGTCTGTACACTTCAATCGATCGTATGCTAAAAGTACAAAACTATTTCCTCTTCATGGTATGTCCCTTCACCCTGAAATCCTTTCGGTAAAGAAACCTCAGCGACCGAGGACAACTTCCTACATTGGTCTGGCTAGGTAACTTGAGCTTGATCCGTTTCGCGGGGCGTTCATCGGGACGCTCGTCTAAAGTCCTCTTCACAGGAAGCGTTTGAGAAGACTGCCCCTTCTGCAATTCTGCGACCGCAGGCTTTGCATATATCAGCCAAGCTCACAAAAGGCGATGAGAAATGGGCCCCAAATTATCTCAACGTACCTCTAAAGCGCGGATACGAACACTGACGCGTTTATTGGGACGGAATTCGATGCTCGCATCGGTGCAAGGGCGCTGTGCGACGGGTGTCTGTGAAATTCCCTGTGCCTGCAGAACCGCTGTTGACGTTATATGTCAGCTCCCAGTGATTGGCATAGCACATGTGTAGTACTAAATGCACCTAAAGGCCTATACTTGAAAACAAAGCGTGAAACGGGGTGCTTTCCCAAGAAACAGAACCGAGAGCGTCTTGTTGGGCCTGAGAGCTTTCTTTCCTCGGCAAAGCTGCGCCATTGACTCGTTAAGGAGCAAGCACAACGTGATACTTATTGGAAAAACATACCCCACACAATGCACCATCGCTTTCTTGACCCGCTCGTGGACGACGCAGTTATCGTTGGGTTTCTCGTCGTACGAACGAGGTGCAGCTGTACCCATGACTTTCCCCCGCCAGATCTCGAGCGATATCTCTCCAAGCTTCTCATGTCCCAACGCGTGAAGTTGCGCGTCGTCGTCTGCATATGAAGACGCTGTCACCCGGTGCCCTGTGGAACGACTAAGGGTATCAAGCACGTACCGGTCGATTTGATATCAGAAAACATAAAATCGCGTACGGTTCTTTCATCCACATCAAATCCCGTGCGCTGGACCGTGCCTCTGTTGAGCATCTTGGTAACCTTGCCCGAGCACCGAAGCCCATCCACCGAGACAAATCCAGCGCTGTCCATACCCTGCTCCCACGTCCAGTCGGCCCATCTAACGGTGAATTTCTGCAAACGCTGTCAGAATGTTACTGGGATCCAGCGCGATCTCGCCCAGCGCGATCACTGCCACAGTGAAGTTGTGGCGCTCTCACCTTGCCAGCCTGAGAGGGAACGTAACACGTAATCTCCCGTCTGCCTTCATCCGCCACAATGTCATATTCGTCCAGAGGACTATCATCAACGAAGAGCGATGCGGAGAAATCGCCAAGTCGCATCGCGTTGATAATCAATAAGATTTTCAGGCGCCTTGTGTGGTCCAACGGACTGTTCTGCGCGATAGAGGCTCAACTGCGTCGAAGTGCCACCAGTGCGTTGCGTCGCACCCCCGTCCGTCAGGGAGCAGACACCGCAATCTCGACGAACGTTGAACAGGGGATCTGTCTGTTGAAGAGTCTGTGGGCAGTGTGTTGAAAACGAAGTCAACAAGGTGCAATATTTATATCAGAAGAGCACTTGCCACAGCAGAGAACAATGGACAGGTGGCACATGGCACTGATACGCCTCGATCCTAAACTTAACCTTGTCCCTAGATTCAAACACGCCCAGAATATGCGAATATCAATATAGCATTATGAAAGAAGTCAACGAGTCACAATTTTGCAGTGCACGAGTGACGCATGATGGCACTAGGCCACGCAGAACACTTGGTTCCTAAACTTAACCTTGTGCCCAGCTTCAGCACAATCACCAAACCAAACAAACATGTCAGGATAAATACTGCATTATGCACAAAGGCAAAAAAGACTAGTGTTACATAACGTACAGTACGTGTGTATGCGTGGAGCGTTTTATGACAAATGACATGAAGTAGACGAGAGGGGAGGAGGAGGGAGCGATAATGCATGTTTACGAAACGCGACGATGGATGAAGAAAACATGAGTGGCGGAAGCGCAGTGCCAACGACGGCGGCGACGGAGCAAGGCAAGTGAAAACGACGCGAAAGAAACCCCAGTAAAACAACAAACAGCCCAAGAACTCGAAACTACGAGATTGGAGTTGTCAAAAGGGAAAAGAAAACTTAAAAAAGACGTGTGCGGTAAGAGGGGTTGATGATACAGATGCAGAGTGCAAAAGAAAAGAAGAAAAAGGCGTCTTGCAAGGTCTCATGAATGTGTGTAAGTCATAAAAGCGAAGAGAGAAGTGAAAAGAGACGCGAAGAGAGGTGGTGCGTATATGGAGACGGCGGCACGTTGTGATGCGCTCGCCTGTCCTTTCTGGGAGGGGCAAACGACGTCTAAAAGGTGTATACAATGGCGAAAGATGAATGTCACGGAGAGGGGATAGGGCCAGGAGTCGAGAAGAGCGGGGACGGAGACCAGCGCAGGCACCTCAGCGGAGATACTTCTCGTTGAGCATATGCACTTGCTGTGCGAGATACGGCCAATTAAGCGCCTTGGCCAGCTCGTTTCTCAACACATCGGGATCTGGCTCCCGCTTGGCGTTAGCGCCAGGGGTCGCCGGAGACGCAGCGATGGCGCGCTCGCGCGCGAGCTTGACCTCCCAACCGAGCAGATTGTACAGCAGCCGCATGTTCGGCTGAATAAGCACCGAGAGGCGCCGCGAGCGCACGATCAGGTACGCGTCCACGAGCGGGAGCCCGAGGTGCTTCATCACGTAGGCGATCTATACGTCAAAATACACATGAGCCCTCCATCAACCCCCAAGAGAAGAATAACTCACAGTAACAGTCGCACTCCGACTAACCCCAACCCGGCAGTGCACAAGTACCTGCCCACCCTCCAACCGTGCCTTCTCAATCCAGTTGCACACAGGCTCGAGCTGCGGCTCGAGCGTGTCGATACCGTCATCGCACACGCCCTGGATGTCAAGCACCTTGATACGGCCCTCACGCTCCTCGATCCACAGGCTTCCCTGCCCACCGGGACCCTTGCCAGGCACGTACTGCGCACTCGGCGACGGGCGCGAGCCACACACGCCGGAACTGGAACCGCACGAGGCATGCGGAGCAGACGCGTCTTGCGACGGGGGAGGGACGAGCGCGCACTCGCCCACAGAAACGACGTGTGTAATCCCGAGCGCGTGAAGCATGTACGCGTTCGTCGCGTGGTTTCTGAAGCGTATCATGGTAAGTACTCTATACTCGTCTCAAAATCGAAAGGACATACAGGTTACCAAGGTACAAGAACGGCAGCACCCGGCTCGGGAAGCTCCCATCGAACCTCGGATCATTGAACCAACTTTGGTGGTCGGGCACGAACGCCGGCAACGTGCTCGCTCGCGGACGGCGTATGACAGGCGCCAGCGACGTCGGGATCAGGGGGACTGTTACCGATGAGCCGGTATGAACCATGCCGGGCTTCGCTTGCGACGTTGCTTGCGAAGGGACCACGAACGGCGATGGCGGGCATCCAGACGAGAGCGGCGAAGGCCCGCTGTACGACGAGCTGGGTGTATGCGAGGGCATCGCAGGCGTGGGCGACGCGTACGTGCGACGAGCGACGGCACCGGTGCCACAGACGCCAAGGCGAGCCTCGACCTTGCGCAACAGACCGAGCTCATTCTGATATACGAAGAAGCTTCTCCGCTTTGCGACCTACACAAAAACTCTTCAGCATGATGGGGACAAAGAGATTGCGAGATCAACACACCTGAAGCTCAAGATACGCCTCCGGCAAACTCAAATGCCTAATCGCCATCAACAAACACAGCGCCGGCACCGAACTCTCCGTGTACCCATCGGCCGAATACAACAGCACCTTCAACGGCCTCGAAAGCGTCGTCCTCGACTGTTTAGCAGCCCCAACCGCAACGTTCCCCCCACAGCTTCCAGGCGACGACGCCGCGCGCCCATGCCCCTGCCCATGCTCGTGTGGAATCGGCGGCGCAGCGCTCGCAGCGACCGGTCCCGGACTCACCATCCGCTCCAAAAAGCGCACGAACGGCATGAGCGCATTCAGCGCCGCCGGACTCGCCTGTGACGCACTGGGGAACGGAAGATGCAGCACCGCGCTCGCGTGCGGTGGCGGTCTCGGCCGCGTCCCCGAATGCTTGTCACCGCTTTGCTTCGCCTCGCGCCTACATCGCCCCTCCCACGCGCGCTCCAGCGCCCGGATATGCTCCTCCGCGGCGCGGAGGTGCGTCGCAGAAGGGAACGGCACATAGTCATGACACTCGACGCAGATGTCGAATCCAGCGCTCTTGGCCGGGTCGTTGGTTGCGCAGTCAAACAGGTCGTCTTCCTCGAGTCGCTCCTCATCCGCGTTCCGCGCTCGCAGTTCCTGAGAGCGCCGCGTGCGATGGCGCTTCGGTGGAAGGGGTACGTCGCTCGCGTTGCCGAGGTAGACCTGGCCCACGCGGGGATCAAAGAACGACTTGGGCGTGCTGCCAGATGCGTAGCTCTGGGCTTGAGACAGTGTCTGCGGCCCGCGTTGTGAATCTATGATGGGTGCTGAAGCTGGACGGTCGTCAAGCCCGCGCGAAGCGCGACGTGACGCCCGCTGCGTGGAAGGAGATGCACATGAAGTCGACGGTCGCGAGGAAGATGAAGTGGAAGCCAGCGGCGATGATGGCTGCCAGTCGCTGGGGAACACACTAATGATCTCGCTTGCGCGCGTAAGATCGCGCATTTCCTCTTTCTCGCGCTGCGCAAAATCAACTGTGTTTGCGCGGTGGTGGGGTCCAGCGGACATCTCCGGCTGGTGCGATTTCAGCGACTTGGGGGTGGCAATACGCGCATCGTGCCCCTCGGTGTGTGCGCCGCGTGTTGAATCCTCTCGTCGTGCGACGAGGTGGGGGAGCTCGGAATGAACGGTCCGTGCGTCTGCATCGAGAACGAAGACGTTGTAATTGAGCAGATTCCGCTTCGCCTCTTCCGTAGACTAGGAAAAAAAGAAGGTCGTGAGCATGCTACTGGTAGACATGGATATATGCTGTGCATTTCCATTACTGGAAATCGAGACATGTACGCATCTGCATGCGCGAACACGCCTACAAGGTCCTTGGCCCCCAATATGGAGCCATTGTATGCATGTATACATGGAGCCGCAGAAGAAAAGGGGACACAGAGCAACGGTGAAACACACACCTGACCACTCTCCTCCAACCTTGCCAGCCGCTCCTTGTATACCTTATCAACCGCACTCCGAAAACGTGCTGCGAGACGCAGCGCCGCGGGCGATGCGCCCTTGGGCGAGTAGACGACGATGTCGGAAAGTGTGGCAAACACAGGCTGTAAGAAGATCATATGATCACGATAGTCAGCAAACCATTGATCCCGTAACGTGGCCCCGTGTCCTCCATCAAAACACGCCAAACGTCAACAACACCACTTCAAAACCGTAAACCGTAATAATGCATTAAAAGGTGCGAAATAGAAGATTGCCGCCGAGACCCAACCGGTACACCGCCAAGCAAGGTCCCCGGAATCAGGAAGCAGCCAGAAAGGGGAGAAGCGAGGGAAACAGGAGACAAAGAAAAGGGAGCGATCAGAAATTCACGAAAGGAACATTACACACCACTTGGATACCAAAGTTACGAAGGCTGATACCGTCTGGAACAATGGCCGGTCGGAATACCCAATCTTCGTTCCCAGAAGCGCCCGACGACAGCTCATCGAACATCTCGACCTCGTCAATAGCCCCAAAACGGACGCTGTTGGTGCGGCGAATGAGAGCACTGGGGAGGAAACTGCTCGTGAGCACGGGAGGTGGGCCCACGCGCGTCTTGGAGGCACCAGTCGGCGAGGGGTAGACAAACGAGTCCAAGTTCATATCTTCGGGTGCGCATATAGGCGACGGAGGGGTAGACAATGCGGGTGAAGTTGCACTCGTTGCACTAGTGGCACCTGAGTCGCTTGCCAGCGAGCCAGAGTATGACGACGGGGTGGACGCGTCTGACCCATCCGAGGCGTTCGAGGGGCGGCGGTCGTGGTCCCACTGCGACGGAGATGTGGAGATGGGGATGGGCCGGTGGGCGACAGGATGCATGTGCGCCTCGGCGCTCGCGAGCGTCGGAGAGACATGCTCCATCGGATGGGACGGAGGGTCGACGTCCACGTCCATGTGCATCTCCGTGGCAAGGTCCATGGCGTCGGTGTCGACGCCCATAGAGTCATCCTCGTCACGAGCGAACTCGTCGTCGCTACTGCTAAGATAGTCATCATCTGACGAGCTGTACGCTTCATCGTCCTCTTCCTCGGAGCGCGTGCGCGCCCCTACGGCAAATCGGAGGGGGAGGTGTTGGGGGTCGACGTCCTCGTCACAGACGACCCAGACGAGGCCACGATACAGAGGTGGACGAAGAGCCTTGCCATTTGGATACTGCATCATGCCACCAGAATGCTTCTTGGATGCGTCCTTTGGAGGGTCTACGGTAGAAAGAGTAGCAGAGGGGGTGGAGAGGGAGGTGGACGCGGTGGGCACGGAAGCAAAGAAGTGGTTCTGGGAGTCATTGTCGCCTTCGAGGCCATGGAGAAAGGGAAAGAGGATGTTATCTGGTGGATGGGAGGTGGTGTGGGAGAGGTGCAGCTCGGAGAATTTGCGCGGGGGGAGGAGTGGTATTTTACGGTCTAGAGCGGAAACATGGGGGAGGGCGTCTACAAACGATTCTGGGTAGTCTAGTCCGTGAGTGGTGATATGGCGAGTGGAGGGCGCGGGAGTGGAGGTGAGAGTGCGCTCGTCGGTAGAGCGAGAGGCAGACATGGAAGCGGGGAGAGTGGAGGGCTTGCGGGGAGAGTCAGGGGGAGAGGAGGAAGAGGACGGGGTGGTGTGCTGGTGTGTGAAGTGGTACGAGTAGCCCGTCTGGGGGCCAGGAGAGAAGAGGGTGTTTGCTGGGTCGAGGATGGCAGCGGTGGCCATCGCCATCATGTTGTTGACGGAGAAAGCTGAATGTTTGGGTTCACGAGAAACAAGAAGAAAAGTAGGACGGGACTCAGAGACGGTGCCAGTGTCGAGTAGATAAGAATAAATTCGTCCACCCCCTCTTGCCCTCTTCCGGTCTCCAGATCTCAACGAGCTGTCCACATCTCAGATCCGAGTTTGAGGTCCCTTCCCCGCTTATGCTATATTCATATCACATCACTCCAATTTGCCAATTCCCTATTCCGCCTCCTTTCCACTTCCATACATCCTCCTGCCAGGTCTAGATTCCATGTCTAGATCCCGACCACTCCCCCATTTCTTGCCGTCATCTCCCGGCTCTCTCCTGCCCTCTTCCCCTCCAGGGATTCCTCCTCAGGTCGCCCGCCCCACTGTCCAAACCATCCAGAGGGCAACCCCAAGCTCAGGGATCCCCGCTCAATTGACACCTCCCACCGACCCTTCTCACCGAAGTTCGATCATCCTCTCATCCTCCGCTTCTCCGCAGCACCCCAGACACCCCCTCGTGACGTCCCCGTGACAGCAAGGGGTAACGTAACGTCCCACTCCCCCGTCTCCTTCATGCCTCTTCCGCGCGACGCGATCGCTCCTCCACCCTCGGTCTCTGTAGATGACCTACGTCCACCGCACCCTTATGAGCGCATACCACTTTCTCTTTCTCTCAGCGCACCCGTCCTTGTCGTCATGTCGCCAGGAAGTTCATTATCCATGCTGCCACCGACACTCGGCGTAATCCACCCACTTCTGCTCATGTCTCGCAATGCAAGCCAAGTCTCGCTTTCTTCATTTCCGAACCGACGCCGTGTCACCTCTGTCTCACTCTTTGGCTTCGGCTTCGTTGAATGCAGATACCACCCGTGGCGCCCACCGCGAGCCATTCAATATTAAGTTCCTGGTTTCTCTCGGAAGCGTCCGCCCATATGGCGCGGAAAGATGCGTGGGCTATGTATACCTGTTCGTGGCGACGTAGGCGCCGTCGAAATTTCCTTGTAACCTTGAAACCTTCTCTCTTTCTCCGATTTCCGACCTCTCCACCCAGACTCGTCCTATATCGCCCTCGCCACACGCACAGCGAACGCCAGCCATTTCTCCCATTCAAACAGCTCCTCGAGTACACGTCGCGTCGATCTAACAATCTACCTGCGAATCCACGAGAGGCACGGAAGGCCCAATCGAAGTAAGGCTGTAATGCTTCTCGCGATCCTAGGGCGTTGTCGCGAGACATACATAGAACACGCATAGCTCCCGCAAACGTCCATTTCTGACAAGTCCATTTCCATCTATTGACACGCTTCTACCCGTCTCTCCCACCGGAAGGAAAGCCAAAGCTAATCTGGGCTGATGTTGATTGCTTTCTCCCGCGGCCTTTGCCTTCATAATCTGCTCCTCAGTCAACTCTGACAAACAGACCGAAGGCTAACTTGGAATACGGTAAGTTTCCGAACATCGTTTTTAGACGCACCCGTCACGCGCGCTGTTCTATGAATCCCGCTGCTGCTTCGATCGACGTTGAAATGCTCGACATCATCCATTTCCGACGCCGTCGACGTCGGCCCGAGGTCATGATTAAGCTTCCGCGTTAGCTTGGTATTCTCTGGTATTCTACGGGCATCATGCGATGCGCGCAAATCCGAACCTTTGAGCGAGCCTTCGCTATCCATGCCATCAATCCGCAGCAGTTGTTCTACCTTGCCTGGAACGTTCGCGAACGCAAACGAAGTCCTTGCACCCAGAACATCCTCCAGAGTCCATCTCACCTCTGCACCGAACCCTTGATATCATCCTCGCTTATAAACGACCGCTAAAGCCTCCCCCATTCCCCACACCCGACCCCACACCGAGCCCTGACTTCCCCACGATCCGTGCTCCCGTCATTCCATCAACGGTAAATGATGACTCCAACAACATCGGATCCATTCATTGGCTGCCCGTCACGACCACTCGTCTGTCACGGCAAACCTGCATCTCACTCTCACCCCGACCCCCCGGCGGCTATATGTGTACAGTACGGGTCCGTCGCCCCGCACCACACTGTGGTCGTGAGGCTCTCGGTGAGTGTTGATCAGTACTTAGAATGCAGGGTCAACTGCATACTGTGTATTTACTCAAAACCATGGACTCACAGGTCCCGGAAACCGAGAGCCAAGGGACGACGGAGAAATCATATCAGATATCTATCAGAAAAACTAGGAAAGTTCATAACGCGTTGTATACATCCGTCCATTGCACACACCCTGTGCTCCACCCACTTCCTTCCAAAGTCCCCAAACCCTCGCATGGCCATGTGTTTGGTGTGTACTTATCTCTTATACCTACCCTTTTTGTTGCGGTGCGTCACCAAGAACCGTGAAGCTGGCTGCGAGTATGTAAGAAACCCCAGGAAAGAAGTATGCAGCCAGCGTGCGGGATAAATCTAAACTCTATGTCGTCTTTTGTCGAGTGACGATTATTAGCATAGACACGCGGAGCAGGTAAGGAAGAGAGAGCCGCCCGAGCGAGATTCAGGTGGAGATTTCACGGATGCAACAAGACACTGCCGGAAACCCTTCGGGCTTTCGGCTCTCAGCGTCAATATCGACCTTCGACCCTGACGCGCACGACCTGCAGTGACTTCATCTCTCGGAAGCAGTTTTCCAGGTAAGTCACCGGGCCGGCGGATGGATATCGACACCAGCTTTTCAACGGGAAGCAAACTCGTCGAGCACTCGATGAAAGAAGCAGGTTTATGACGCTGACATATGCATTACTGACAACGGGCTCAAGTACTCCAGCTTCTCGCAGAATTCTTCCGAATATGAACTTCAAAGAGTAGCGCATTGCAAGAGGCGCTGCATGCTCGCTCGGTCGCCGCCAGTACTAGTTGGCTCTTCTCCATCTGCATCTCCACTGTTCTTGGGTGGATCCTCGATGGGAGATCTACACTTGTAACAATCTTTTCGAGCATCTCGAAGCCATCTGTCTTACTCAAAGTCAGTGCTCGCCTCGTAATCGGTTGTGACCTTTGCGCGTCGGTGTCCTTCTCCAGAACGGCTGGCAACTCGCGTGGCCCTTGAAGCACCGTCACCTATTCATATCCTCCGACCCCCGATGCTTAGCGCTAGCGCTTATCCCTGGCGATACGATAGGTGAGTTCGCGGTGGCACACCAGTATCGTGTTGGTAAACGGACCTGACCCCTATTTGGCCTCAGACGTCCGGCGTGTACCATGGCCATGCGTCCTGTGCGCGTTTGCCCTCGAGCGCTCGATTTGATCCTGATGTTGCGCCCTCAGAGGCTCCTCCCTATGTCACGAGCAGCGGTACCCCGGGCCCTGCGCCGCGCCGTTAGGATGTCAAACACAGAGCAGAGGTTTCTCCTCTCACACTGCAACGGCGCTCCACCTAGATCTACAGTTTCCCTTTTCACAGTGACCCGGTCTTCGACATGTGCCCTCCTACTCCTCGCGCACCAAGCTAGCATCTGAGAATTCTCCACAGGGGTGCGATCGTGGGGTTAGCGTGCGCGACGCGGCCAACCTCCTAGGCAGTATATCTATGACGCCAATGGCTGCTAGGTGGCGTCGCTGTTGATACAAGCCAGGGTGCCGCGTTAACCTTTTGGCTTTCTGACTTTCTTTGACTGAAGCTCGGGCGCGCGTGCGTGACCCGGTGCAGCATAGTTGCAGCCTGTGATAGTGTATTGTCAGTGGATTTCTCGAGCCTTGGTAACAACCGACAACTTACTACATCTACCTCAATTATCAAATATCCCAAGAGCGCAAGCTATCTTTGACTATCTTCACGATCAGCGTGATCTCGATCGCAATCTTTGGCAATTTGCCCGGTGCCGGCGTTTTATCATGGACTTGGTGCACTGCCAAGAGGTTTAATTAACGACCGGCGCTCGGTCGAGTGTCCGTTGCTATTCTCGCCCGTGTTTAACTTTACATCAGCACCGTCTGACAGACACAGTGTGCGGTGTCTGGGAACTTTTCAGCTTGTCACCTTCAGAGTTAAGTTTGCGGGCCTATGCATGTTCAGGAGGGACCACTGATCGAACTTGCGTCTGGACATTAAATGTACGTGTGTCGTCACCTTGCTTGAAGTTCAAGTTTTGCACAAGCTCACGCTTCTAGCACATCTCCGATGTGTTGCTTCCCCATGCACAAGCTAGATTGCCGCATGGCTTATGGCTCGGGCCCCTATCTGTGACATATAGTTGTACTGGCATGGAATGCCTAGCAGCGGGCTTCGGACTTTCCACCCATGTGTTCTGACGGTGCCTTACTGTAAGTGAAACCACGAGTGTCTCAGAATGCATTGCCTGCGCTCTTGTACTGTCCTGTTTATAAGGCGCAGCCCCGGCAGCACCATCGCGAGTGATTGAGACGTTACGAGTGCGCCATCCGTGTTAGCACGAACGACAGATGGCACTTAGGCACGTTGAAGAATGAAAGATGATTGCACATGTTCCACGCGAGGAATGATATGAGCACAGCCCCGGGGTTCCATAGTCGTGGAAGTGTCGCGGATATATCAGTTTGATGATGCCTGTTGCAGTTAAACGTGAAGCCCTGACGCCGGCATGGCTAGTTACTCAATAGTTACCATGCTCTAACCACATTAACTGATAGCCAAGGATTGAGAAAGGGAACGGCGGGTAGACGTTGCAGTGCAAATGGCAGCTCAGTGAGGTACCTACCAGTTGCATACCCCGGAGCTCCGGGTCGAAGCTTGCGTTTCGAGCCTCGGCGCTTACAAGTATAATGTAAGTCGACTATGGCCCAGACCCCTCACGTACAACAACGCCGCCTACTCTCGGCCCTTGTCAAAGATTATCAAGGCCCCGCGGATCCAACTTGCAGCAGCGACGTAAAAACGATTTACCTTGAAGACAAATCGATGTCAGATGACCTGGGATCTGCATGCACCTACACTACGTTTGTTCGGCGTTGATCGCCGCCAGAGTGCTGTGCGCCGCTTCTTGAATGTTGACGTGGGCGCAGGTTGGTGCTCAACCGCCGGTGCGCCCTTCAGAGCGCGCCGACGCAGCATTGTTCAGGCGGGTTCGGAAGTATCTCACTGTGCCGCCGGGATCAGGTTCTGGCGGGATCGCTCGCCGGAATCCCGCGATGCGAATCTTCCCGCGCACAATGAGCTGCTGACGCGCTGAAGCCCCTGTCCAGGTACCGTCGCAACTTGAGCAAGGCCTCCCGTCGCCTGACAGCGTCGCCCCTTGTACACCCAGGCGCATCAACCGAGGCTCGACACGGCCAGAGCGTGAAATTGACCTTACGGGAGGGGAGGGGCGTAGGTTGCTCTGATCTAATGAAGGAATACCAGGGGAGATTGGGGGTTCGTCGTCTGTGTTTTAAAGTTCAATCGGAAAGTCCGTCTGTAGGTCGTAAGGCGTGATTGCAAAGTGAGGCTAGACTCGGCGAAAGACGAGCCTTGGGTGTTTTCTTGCTTTATGGGTGGCATGGTGGTAAACCTGCCGAGTTCAAGGCTGAACTCCGCCTAATAGCAGCTGTAGAAGGAGCTGCCCGGAGCAAAGTCAGTCTTCGAACTGAACGATGATGGGACCTGGCGATCTAATATGTTCACGAGAGATGGAATATGAGCAAAATTTGTTTCCTTCAGGTAAAAAGTTGAGAAATGGAAGCTTGAGGAGCAGCGTGAATAGAGATGGCAAGTTAACAAAATGACACTGCATGCAGTGCGCGCGCGCTGGGCGGAGCCAAACCGCCGGATCGAGCCGCAACACAGCAGACACCCACACGCTCAGTCGCGATTGCTCAAGGATAGACTTCAACCTTAGATTTTCCAAATTCATGAATGGTGTATACTACGTACTTGATGATTGCCGCTGATAAACAAACCATAGGATCGACACTGCTCACGCGTGCCGGATTTAACCGCGTCATGACTTGACCTCGAGATCAACGTCGTACCCTCGGCTCCGAAATTCGGAAGGTGACAGTATTACATATCCAAACCGCTGCCATACGAATTGGGCATTATAATTATGGCCCTTGATTGCCATGCTGTGCACGTCACATACTACGATTTGCAATGGCGACAAGCTTAGAAGAACCCCCTGATTAAAAATGCAGTGCCCGGCGGAATTTCCGCAAAACAATATTACCTTCCTTGGATTGTTACGACGAAGCTTTCTTCTGGAGCAGATCGGTTGGGATAGGGCTGAAGTCAACGAGGATAGAATCCTTACTCAAAAGATAGCGCCCACATAATCATATGCGAGTCACTTCCAACACCTCCTAAGTTCTGGTTGTTCAGACTTGCGATAGGCTTCAGCAGGTCGTCAGCCAGCAGCTGATCCAAAGTGCATTGTCAGGTGGTCTCGCAGATAAGCTTGAAGCCGGATTTACATCCCCGATCTTGAATCTCACCCAAATTCTACGATTTCGATGCGCCCTCGGGCACTGTGTCTGTGGAACACACGCCTAATTTGTCAACGTCCTCGATCTGCACCTCTCGGGGAAACGTCATCACTGACAGATCGCCACTTGCACATTGCGAGAAGGTCGAACGGGTAACATATTGATACTCAGCAGCGACTCCCCAACTACAACATGTTGGAGCACTTCGCGTTACGTTGAACCCTAACTCTGCGACGTTAACTACGGAAGTACAAAGTCCGTTACTATCCAATTCCCCTTTTCCTCCCATAGGTCTTTTTAGGAAGATATAGCACTACATTCTATGATGTTGACACGGGCTGTTAGTGACACATTTGGATATGTCCCTATCGACTTTGATTGTGTTCTCGTTTCATGACCTATTGAATAGTGGTCAGGTAAGTTTCCACTGTCGAGGCGTCAACTTTCCAGCATTCTAGACGTGCGGATGATAACGCTGATATACATTGAGTTCTGGGGCCCTGATTTCACTTGCTCTGACACCTGATGTACACCAATGTACACCCCCATGTGTCACAGCTCCAAGCTACTAGCCACCCTATTCATTTTTGTCGACAGCGTCTCCCACCATCTTCTCGGCTGAATAATAATGTAGGTACAATACCCACATGGATACACAACGCTAAGATCATGTTATTAGAGGCTCGGAAGGCGCACTGGTCCCAGCTACAAGGCGCTTATAATATCATCTTACTTGTGTAGTCCTAGGGCCGCACTTCATGTAAACACCATGGAGGGTAGGACAAATTGGCCTATGAGAGCGTTCTCTCATCAGAGACACACTACTATTTGGGTGTGAGACAATTGGTTGGACTTCATTATTTCCTAATGTGACTACGATCGTTGGCGTTGATTTTGGGTCAAGGTAGAATATTTTCCAGGTGGAGAACTATCTGTAGTCAAAGAATCGAGGGAATGAAGTGCAACATCCACCTTGTCGCGAGATCGTTTTGTCAACGCTAACATGAGGGCCGCTTCAAATCTGATCATGATGCGCAGACAGAAGTTCAATTCAAGGACCAATAAGTACGTGAATCCTCTGATGAACCCAATTACCAACCCGTCAATCACAGGACGACAATAAAAAGGTCCAAGTCTACACCACAGACAATCAACACGTGCCCTGCTCCGCTAACAGACTGAAATTACGGACTCGCTTCCTCTCATTGCGTCGGGCGAAGGAGTGGTAAGCTATCTAGAGCGAGCGAAGAACTGTAACGCCTACCGGTTACATCGAGGGTAACCACAGCTCCGGTTGTCAACCCCCCGGGCGCAACCCAGCCTGCGGGTGCGAACCCTGTTCCGGAGAATCCCAGAAACACACTCGCTGCATAAGCGGAGACTTTCGCATTGCATCGAACGGCCATTCTTGATGCAGTGCTGGTGGCGACACTTTTTATAGACAAGTTCAATCCTACTTTGAGCCGGACAAAAGCAGGCAAACGCTAAAGTTTGAGAGAAGCTTTCATGTTAGCTTATCGTCGTAGTAGTTGGCATATCATAACATCTGTGTAGCGCTTACGGCGTTTAGTCTCGACCTTCTCAAACGTCTCAATGTCTTGTAATGAGGCACATGCCGCCGGACTTGGCTACCACCAAAGTTCTTCCTCGCGTGTGGTCGGAGGCCTTCGGCAAAGACTTTCAATTTTCGAATAATGAAAGACAAATTATCGAAGGAGACAAGCCTGAGAGTAATCTACTTTTAAATGTGAATTCGAGCTAATTTTGGAACACTGCACCAAGTAGTGCACACCTTGGGCGTGAAATTGCGTACTAGGTATATGACTCACGATAAGCGGATCATAGTAAGTGGGGCTTCTTCAACACGTTGCAGCTGCATTGGCAAAACAGTAGCATCACAAAGTCCGACCGTATAGCAAGCAGTGACACCAGCTTTACGCCGTTATTCTCCGAAGTGGTGTAACCACCTAGAAAGCATTGGCTAAGGTCATGACTGACTATGGCATGATCAAAGGGGCAAGAACGTCGGATGTAATTTTATATATATTAAGATCACATTCACTGCAGATGTTTACCAGTAAAGCTGGTCTTTGTTACAGTGCGATGCGGGAAACTAGATGACACGCGTCAGAGCTTCATAAGATCTGTATGTTTTCTTACGATGACAAGCCAAAGAAAGCTTAGTGTGTTGTAGCCAGCAAGTATGATAACATAAGTTCACGCTTCTGATCGGTGGCGTTACTTTCTGATCGGACCAGAAACGGATGTCACACCGTCCACAAATTTGGACCGTTCTTCACAGAGCGTGGAGAATATACCCACCGGTTGACCGGCACAAAGGTAGCTTGCTAGCGATCGACCCCTTGTTCTCCTACCTTCTTTCACGAAGTGACGGCAGCCGCAACCACGTCCGGAATAAACCTGCTTTTCGCCGTGCTTCTATCTTCTTCTTGAAAGAGATGACAACCGAGAACCTTATGCCAGTCGCGAGTTGAAATATACTGACAGCTTTGGTAAAGCTAGCCCGACGTGGCCCTTGCGTTTGCGCAGTGTATTGTACTGGAAAACCTTGCATTCGAGGATGGTAAGTTATGAAGACTCCATGAATCGCCGTATCATAGGTTCTCTCCAGATGCCTGGAGAGTGGATGCGTAAATAGATTAGACTAACATTGGATCAAGACAGCACTTACTCATCAGAACCGAGGTCCAAGTACCGGTACGTATTTGAATTGAGACCGAACGCCGAGCGCTCGCCAGCCTAAGGCACGGCCCACGCCAAGTCGGTCTCTGATGTCCCTTCCCTTCTATACAATAACGGAAGCTTATACAGTCAATTCAATGGACCTCTAGCCGTGCGACCGTAACCTGAAAACTGCCCAGAATCAACCTCTCGAGGCAGTTGAACGTATGTACGCTCGGTGTGAGCCTCCATGGCGGATACAGTAGTACATACCGATTGCAGACATGCACCGCCTACACACGGGTATAAGCGATGCGCTAGTCACACGAGCAGCCCAGACTCTCTTTCAAGCGGTTTTCACTTACCTTGGCAGAACAAGGTTACAGAAAAAGTGATTCAAGTGAGCAGGCCTCGTGTTACGAAGGAAGGAGGTGTTCCCAAGCGGATCCGTAGGTCGACTCTGAAATTTTGCGAGAAAGGAGGCATAAAACCTGAGGACCAAACAGGAGATGACTCTATGGCTATACCCACCGAAACGTCGAGGTTGGCAGGGATTTGTGATACACCATCGCGCCGCTGGCTTCAAGGCGCAAATGCCGAACAGCGACATTAGGTTACAAAGCGCTTTCAGAGTCCCGAATCTCAGTAGGGAGAGATCGTTCCCGAGTGAATAGAAGCCCCAAAAGGCTGATGAGCTCATAACCGCTGCGGTACTTAGTGGTCAGTATGGTGACACCGTTCGCGGGCAGTTTGATCAGGTGGACTGCGTGTGGTTATCAAGGGTCCATTCCCACTAGACCGCCGGTGATGCCAGAGCTGAGCATGAAGCGATCCGTGAGGGAATCAAGGTCTCGATGTATAAGAAGACAACTTGCAATCGATAGAAAGTATCAGCGTGGGGAGTGTGGACCGATGAAAATCGGGGATGCGCTCAGCTTCGGAAGGCACGAGCTTCGTGAAGCTTTGGTTAATACTTCGGGCCTCGAGATAAGGCATAGCAAGCTACGATGATGCGATGAATGGCATAATAGATGAGCATATAGTAGTATCACTAGTAGAGTTCAGTATATTATTCACTACATGCCATGAAGGCTGGCATTTCTCCGTTGAAATAAGCTTAATTACTTACTTGGACATTTGAGTTTGGGTAGTTCGTAGAGCCGCCCCCATACCAGTTCGGAATGATAGCATGAATAGAAAGCTTCACATATCAGCAGGGTAAGCTCGAAGCATCCGTGAATAAGACCTCTAGCGCAAGCCGTGCGTAACAAAGTCGCGGCTAGGACTCGCGAAGGCGCGACGAGCACGGAAGGAGAGTTGAAGCTAGCGCACGTGAGTAGCATTGCTTGTTTACATCAATTTGTATTGAGGCTTGCAGCTAGCAAACCTTATTTCGGCGAATCAACAGGAAAGTAGGCAAGAGTGCACGCGTTCAAGTCAGCTTCAAGACCTCAAGATCATCATCGACCATGGCCTCAAGACCCACCGTCAACGTCCGTTCGGCCTCTGGAGGTGTGTATGCAATGTTGACAGTACTGACATCTGCTCACGATGCCGACTTTCCTAGAGGCTTCGACCTCCCTCCCCCTCCCCGCTGTCTTGACGGCCCCCATCCGTCTTGATGTCGTCGCTCAGGTTCACAGTGAGTGTTTGGCCAAACGCGGAGTGTAGGATGTAAATCTCACTATGTGCTCAGAGAGCCTTGCTAAGAACCGCCGTCAGCCCTACTCCGTCAGCGAGAAGGCTGGCCACCAAACCTCCGCTGAGTCCTGGGGTACCGGTCGTGCTGTCGCCCGTATCCCCCGTGTAGGTGGCTCGGGTACCCATCGCTCTGGCCAGGTGCGTTGTTATTTCAACTATGCAAGACAGCATGATGCTTATATCGCTTAGGCTGCGTTCGGTAACATGTGCCGTGGCGGTCGTATGTTCGCGCCCACCAAGACCTGGCGCAAGTGGCACGTCAAGGTCAACCAGAACCAGCGCCGTTTCGCTACCGTCTCGGCCCTCGCTGCTTCTGCTCTCCCTTCGCTCGTTCTTGCTCGTGGCCACCGTATCGAGGAAATCGAGGAGGTTCCCCTTGTCATCTCGTCTGAGGCCGAGTCCCTCAAGAAGACCAAGGAGGCTGTTACCCTCCTCAAGACCCTGAAGGCGTACTCTGACGTCGTCAAGGTTTCCAACTCTCGCAAGCTGCGTGCCGGCAAGGGCAAGCTGCGCAACCGCCGCTACCGCCAGCGTCGTGGCCCTCTTATCGTCTTCAACGAGGATAATGGCATCGTCAAGGCTTTCCGCAACCTCCCTGGTGTTGAACTCGTTAACGTCAGGCGGCTGAACGTTCTCCAGCTCGCCCCTGGTGGTCATCTTGGTCGCTTCGTCATCTGGACCGAGGGTGCCTTCGGCCTCCTGGATGAGGTCTTCGGCACCTTTGACAAGGCTTCCACCTATAAGAAGGACTACATGTAAGTTCTTATCCCCCGACCATAGATCATTACCTTAACTATGCGCTTCTAGCCTCCCGACGGCCAAGATCACCAACCCCGACGTTACTCGTCTCATCAACAGCACGGAGATCCAGTCCGTCGTTCGCCCCGCCGGACCCAAGATCCAAAAGCGTCCCTGGACGCAGAAGAAGAACCCCCTTATCAACAAGGGCACTCTCTTCCGTCTGAACCCCTATGCGAAGAGCTTGCGCCGCCAGGAGCTCCGTAAGCGTCATCCTTCACTCTCCTTCTTCACCCCTCCTCACTGTCTGTGTTTAGTCAAGACCGAGCGTGTCAAAGAGGGCAAGCAGGCTGTTCGCAAGAACAAGAAGAAGCCCGCTCAGCCCGCTGGCGAGGCCTTCCTCGGCACCCTCTTTGCTCCCTAAGGGATTCTCCGTTAAAGTTCGCCTCATGCATTTTCGATAGCTATGTTTGTATCGCCACATTGCATATCCCATGCCTGTATGTCATGCAAAAACTTGCTCCAAATGAACGGGTTTCGTATGATTACTCTGAATTTGTCTCGATGAGTTTTCCCCTGTAATCGACTCTGACCAGTCCAGATTGTAGGTCTATCATTGATTATCATTGATGGCAGGTAAGCTGATAGCGCGTTGTCGATGTTGCTCATTATCGCAGCTCTACTTACTATCAGTACAAATGTACAACAAATAATAACGTAATGTCAAATAAATTAACCTCTATCCGTCGTAAATCCTTACGCGTCATAAATCACTAGATATGATGGCCGGATGGCATCGTCGGTGTAGCATACAAGTTCGTCGTAATTCAGGGAGCCGCCCGCTGCGACTTCAGCGAGGACCTGCCACAAGTATGAATTTTACCACCATCGCTGTTGTTAATGCGACTTACCGAGTCATAGCCAGGTGGTGGCGCTGTTAGAGTCGTGTTATCTTGCGTCATCTTGCAGCCTTTGCCGACTACGACCTTGTTCAGCATGATGGCTTTATAGCGGGATGGCTTGATATTCGTCGAGTAGTCGTTCGACCTGGTACAATGTGAGTCACGACTTCTACCCTACTATTGAAGAAGCGGCTTACTTAGACGAGGTCGCCGAGGTGTAGATACCGCTGCCAAATCTAGATTGCCAACTCGTCAGATGGAGAAAGGAGGCGGTAATAGAGAATATTCACCTTCCCCAGCCAGTCTTCTTGCCGCTGAAGTTGAGCCTGTACGACGTCCGCAGGATGCAGCACAGCGAGCATGTTGTCGACGAGCACAAAGTCGTGTTGCCGTTGTCGCCAAGGAGACATTCGCGCGTCGTTCCGTGCCATCGCCTGTTCTCGTTGCCAGCGCTCTTGCCGGCTGCGACGAAGTTGCCGCGGGCTTCGACGGCAGATCTGTCCGTGTCGCCATGAGCCAGTTGCTGGTGCGTGATGGGATGGAAAGGGGGCTTACCGGTATGCTTCGTACTTCTTGAGCGAGGCTGCGTCGGAGATGACTTTGTAGATCCTTTTGACGGTGGGCTTAGTCGTCTGATGTCTCCAGGATGTCTCGAACTGGTCCTTTACTGCAGAACGCCGCCTTTGATCAGATGCGTCTTCAAGTGGTTCAGGCCATGTCTGGGCTTACCGCTCTGGAACGTCGCGTGTCCGGCAGGAACCTCGAGAAGTGCTGGCGCGCGCTGTTCAGCCGTCGTGACGCACTTCTTGCCGCAAAATTGCCCCTGACTCGAGGGCTTGCCACATATGAGGCAGCCATTCTTGCCGTTAGCGATGCCGGTGCTACAGCAGGCGCAATGAGCTCGAATACAGAGAAGGATTTAGGGGCTCGCACAAACCTCTTGGGTGGGCTGCTGGCTACACCACCAGTGCCGGCCGCCTTCGCCTTCTGCGCGCAGGACCGGCTGCAGTGAGGCAGTGTCTTCTGGCCATCGAAGTGCTTCGGCCGCTGATGGCAGTACTGCATGTATGCGTGCGAGCATGCAAGCCTGCTGGTCGGCCTCGTGCATTAAGAGAAGAGAAGGGTCTATGACTCACGTCGCATTTCCCTCCTGCCGCTCCGACGACCGTGTGGCTTCTTCCCCTCTTGCCCGCATTCACATTAGTGCTCGTGTTCATGTTCGTGGTATTGTTCTTCGCTGCGGTTGCACACCCTTTGCCACAGTAAGGGTGGGTCTTCGTTCCGTCGAAAAACTTCGGTCGTGCGTGACATTCCTTTATAAACCAATAAGCTTTATCCCATATGGCAATGAGGAAATGAGAAGCTCACATCACAGAGGTTCGCCGCATTGGCGTTTACAGTGGGTTGCGTAGGTGCGAATAAGTTAGGAAACGACGAGGGTTGCTGCGGTTGCGGTTGTGGTGGCTGCTGCTTCGCGGCCTGAGCCTGCGAGGCCATATACTGACCCGCCATAGTGCCCAGCATAGAGAGAGCGGTGTGCATAGGAGTCGGGGTCGCGGCCATGGACGCCATTTATGCTTCTTCGCTTCTCGGTTCGACGGAGGTTCAGAGGCCCTGGATACAAGACACGTAAATCAACCCTCGCAAGCGAAGGTAAAGTGGACGGAGACTGAGGTTGAGCGAAGCGAACTCTCCAGGAGCTCGAGATTTGTGCACAGGAAACGGAAAGCGTGGTTGATTGGCTTAGGGATGGGCCTCTGGCTTTAAATTGGGGGTGAAACCTGGGGCATCCTGCTCGCTCGGCTCAGCTCGCTTAGATGTTGGCAAAACGTGTTTGTCGGCGTGGCCGCCTTGAGGACGCTCGGAAAGCTTAGGAGGGCGTTGTCCAGCGTGTTCGCCGGTGATGGGCACGGTGTCGAAGGCAGTGCGCGCCCTCAAACTTCTGTAGAGGCGAGATGAATATCAGCGAGAAAACCTCGTGTTGAGTTGCCTGGTCGAAGTCGGGAATAGCGGGCCGGATGCCTGATGGGCGGTGTCTCGTCGGTTCGTATGTAGTTAACTCATAGTCCTGATAAATAGTGGGCTTAAATAATCATAATGTACACGTAGCGATCATGATAATGTTACGGGCGAGCGACGAGCTCATATGGGCTCCCGAGTTGTTCGTCAACGGGAAGTTTCGGCTTGTCGCCGTACACGATGATGAATGCAGGCCGGATGGCATCCTCTCGATAGCAGACAGTTTCTAAGGATATAAAGTGTCTGAGCCAGCGAAGAACGACGCAGTCTTAATTAACCTACCTTGATAGTTGAGATCCCAGCCGGGTTCGCCTGTGACCTATAGACCTTCTATTAGGTGACGTTGGTAATTTGGGCGAGATCACTCACGGAATGATACCCGGATGGAGGCTTCACATACTGTGGTGCGTTCACGTAATGTCTGAATGTGTTCCCAACGACCACGCGACAAATGATTAAAACACGGAGATGCGCGTCCCCTGAGGTATTCTCGACGTAGTCGTCCGCTTCTACGGGCATGTTAATTCTATTTGAGGGACGTGTGCGTCACGACTTACTGGAAGAACAAGTGGTTGTATAGATTCCATCTCCAAATCTGCTCGTGGGTTAGCGTGAGACGGATGATAACTGGACCAACTCACCTCTTAAACGTGTTTCGTGAGCCTTTGGTGGGATGAAGCAGGTCAGATATGGTATGAGGATAGACAGTGAAGCGAACATACCACACTTACTCAAGTCAAACGAGGACCTGAGAATGGAGCACATGGAACACTCATCAAGAGAGCACAATCGCGCATTCTTCGTGCCTTCCCCCAGCAAGCACGCTCTGTAGGTGCCGTGGAAAAGAAAACGCTCCAAGCGAAGCTTTGGACGAGAGCGGAGCGCACGCTTTACTTGCTCCCTATGGACGACAAGTCAATCCGGTAGTTCAGCGCGCGATGGTGATTATATGACATACCTGTAATCCAGGTATGGCTTGAAGATAGTTTCAGGAAAGACGACCTGCACTACATCGTAGACTTGGGGCAAGGGTTTATCGTGATGACGCCAGCCTCTGTTAAAGAGCTCCACCGCTGCAATAATAAGTGAGCTCGAAATCGACATGAGGGAAACACAAATCTACCTTCGACATATGTCTTACTCTCTATATCCATCGGAATCAACCTCGTCCTGTCACTACTGATTCTATCAACAAAGCTCGAAATACTCTTCTTGAGAGATATGGAGGGCATTATGGAAGTGTCTTGGCCACATCATGTCGAATTGAAGGGTTATTTATTCGAGTTTACTGAAGCGAAAGATTCATTCTAAAACACAGGTATCATTTGACAGCGTCGTCGACGAGGAACGTGTACTGCGAAGAATGATAAGCGGGTGCTTCACCATGATGGTGGTCTAGGTTAGATCAACACGCGTTTGCCGCGCGCTCGACGCGACGCGGGTTAATTGAAACTCCGCCGGGCTGACACTGCCCGCTCCTCGCCGTGCCCGGATGGTTTCCTCCTGTCTATAGCATCTCGTGGTGTGCTAGCTGTGTGTGTCCAATGCTGCTGTGTCCTTTCTTTGTCTGCAATCACCAATCACGCGTGGTAGCTTCATGTGCAAGACTGGCCTTGATCCTCTGAACTTCTGTACGATCGTCGCCCCTGCTTCAAGTTGCATAAGTACTTGCAGCGTTGCGGAGGTGCGTTTGAATAATCTCCATCACGTTATTTCTCTGATCTCTATCATGACGGAAGTCCACCCGATTATCCGACTAGCCAGCTTCTTCAGCGCGGTCCTCACTCAAAGCGACCACTCGCAGACCACCATGCAGTCGTCCGTTCGTCCAACTACGACAGTGTAAGTCACACTCGTAACTAATGGGATGCGACTGTACTCATCTTTTCTGGGAGCAGTAACACGAACGCCCTCCATGTCAGCACTCCCAGTATCAACGTCGTTCCTCTCACTGCGCCAGTCAACCCGACTCCCGCATCCATGCCGCCATACAAACGGAGTCCAAGAGGCCGCGTTCTCTTCTATGACAAGAACAAGCCCTACTACGAGTTCACGAATTTCTCGCCCCACCCGGTAGAGTACAATGGGAAGCGGTTCCCTACTAGCGAACACTTGTTCCAGTCTTTCAAGGTGAGGCATGACACCCATGACGCCCGAAGTGATGCTCAGCTTACGCAACGCAGTTCATCGACGCGCACCCGGAGATAGCAGAGTACATCCGCACATGTGGCGATCGTCCCATGGCTGCATTCGACGAGGCGCATCGGTATCAGAGCTGGGTCCGGCCCGACTGGAGACAAGTCAACATAGTCAAGGTATGTTGTGTGCATCCACGCCAAACCGATATTCACTGTTCGCGTAGATGGAAGAGGCCCTGAGATTGAAATTCACTCAGCACAAGCGTCTACGTCAGCTTTTGCTAGACACTGGCGACGATGAGCTCATCGAGGTGAGTAGGCGTCAGGTTATCCCTTAGGCAACGGCTTGATGCATACGTCTCTAGGATTCACCTCGAGACTACTTCTGGGGAGTAGGAGCCGACTACTCTGGTCGGAACGAGCTCGGAAAGGCACTCGAGAGACTTCGTGACGAGCTTCGTAAGCACCCTGTGAGATTTCCACGTCCTTCAGCAGCTAACAGGTACTAGGCCACGAGAATAACCCGAAGTATTTCCTTCAGCCTCACGGTAAACGCGATATGCACCGCCTTTCACTTCAAGACATCCCGTCCCTATTGTCCCCCATGTCAGCGGCAGGGCATGTATCCAACTTCATCCGTACCGTGTCGAACTCGGCGAGCTCGACGCCGCAGTCACCCATCAGTGCTGTTAGCGCCTCCAGCAAAACCATGTGCGAGGTGTGCCCCCCTCGGACAGTCACTGATGCGGTACACCAACTCACGATTCATATGCAGTTCTGTCAACAAAAACCAAAGTTCCAGCGACACCGGTACTGTAGCCGCAATTGCGCACAAGCAGCCAAGATGTGCATTGTACGTACAGTACCTCTACCATCGCGTTTTCTTCGGTGGATCTGATGGTCGCTATCCTCGCAGCATTGTCGGACAAAACCTAAGTTCGACAAACACCCGTATTGCTCCAAGACATGCGCTGCCGATTACGTAAAAACGTAAGGAGTCCTTCACTCCTGATCAATCGATCATGCTAGGTGTAATACGTGGACTATGTAATTATTGTTTCGTTCCCGTGTAATCATGGACTAAGACCTGGTATCCGCATAATGTGTTGCTTTTGAGTTTCGACTCGTTGTATTCTGGTTACCGTGGGCCGTGGCGTTATGGTTTTGAGCGCCAATTCAAAGACCGAGGCCGCGGTCTGAGAATGCCACCACCTTTCCCTGATACACCCTTCCTTGGGTGCTTCTCTGAGCAGCGCTCATATCCATAGCGTATGCTCTGGATTCATGCTCATTCCCAGGGACCTTGTTATGTTCGCCTGACCTTTCCATGGAGATTTCCGTGCTTATCCGCGTCCCTAGACTCCTCCTTCTCCAACGCTCGCATCCATTTATAGAACGTTGTAGAGACGGTATCGTTTACAATATAGATTTTACAATGCAGATGTTATAATTCTGGTATCCATTGTGACGTACTCTATGTAGGCCCCAGTGAAGAAGGGGTAATACTAGGTATAATCTGAGTATCATAAAGGTATGTTACTGAGATTGAAAATAAGCTGGGTACATAATTACTGAGTCGTGATAGGTGTTATGGAGAAGTGTATACAACAAGATATGAAGGACGGATCGCGTCATTGGTGTAGCACACCACCTCGTCATGCTGTAGATCCCCCTCATTCGGTTCTCCAATAACCTAGTGTACGTACTGTCAGCTCGATGGAAGAAACTCGACGTAGTCATTTACGATAGCATGGGACTTACCGAGTCGTATCCTTCAGGTGGACTCTTGAAACTCTCTTGGTTCTCTGTTGCCTTGAATGCCTTTCCCACAACGACGCTGTTCAACAGCAGAACCTTTGTGCGCGATACAGTCAGGTTTGTAGAATAATGGTCGGATCTATATCAAAGTCAATCTTTGTGAAGCAAAGAACGGGCCACTGAGACGTACTTTGAAGAAACTGAGGTCGTGTAAATGCCGGTGCCAAACCTTTATCCGTCAAAGTTCACGTTTGAATATCATGAAGGCCAAACACATAGATCTACTCGCCTTTCCCAGCAAGTATTTGTCTTCGTAAGACTGGTCTTAAACGACGTTCGTAGGATGGAGCACAATGAACATTGACTGGAGTCGCACAACGTTGTCTGACCGCTGTCGCCGAGTGTGCACGCCCGCTTAGTGCCATGCCAATATCGCTGTTCGTTTCCAGGGAATAATCCAGGTATAGATGCGAAGTTCCCTCTTCTCTCAACAGCATCTCTGAGGGAGGCGAACTTGAATGAGACGAGAGCAATAGAAATGGCGAAGACGTGCCGCTCACCTGTATTCACCATACTTCTGCATCAAAGGCAGAGGCATCAGAACCTTGTAGACTCTCTCGACGAATGGAGGGCTCCTCGGTGAAAGAAGCCATGTATCTTGGAATTGGCTCGCCACTAAGGAACGCACAGATGAGCTCAAGTCAAATGTAAGAGGAAACTGATCATATTACCGCTTGCGAAGATATTATGGTCCTTGGGTACCTCAATTATTCCAGGTGCTTTGCAGTGAGCGCTAGCCGTGCACAATGGGCTACAGAATGGACTAGCTCCTGCAGATTGCCCACAATGCATCAAGCATTCGTCGTTGCGCGGAAAACTAGACGCCCTGGACCCCAGGCTAAAAATAATGATGAGCCTATCGAGCCAGGAATTAGGAGCCAACCCTCACTCACTGCTTGGTTGAACTATTCGTCTTTTCGTCCTGGAGCCGTGCCACTTTCGCACATATTCTGCTACAGTAATCAAGTGTCGTACTTCCCTCCACCCGTTTCGGCTTTGCATGACATTTCTAGTCTCAGCGCATGAGTTAGTTCTAGACTCTGATATTTATGCCACACCACACGCACAATGCAGAGGTTATCTCGTAAAGATAGGCTACCAGTAATCCGAGGCCCCGCGTCCTGAGCGCACACCTTGCCATACTCGTTAGGATTATTTGGCTCAGCAAACACCTTTAGCCTCTGGTTGCAATGCTGCGAAATTTAGAGAGATGGGGTCGGAAAGCGAATCTGAAAGCTCACAACAGAAAGCAGCGATATCGCGAAGAAGAAGCCGATGGACGCTGCTGATATTGTTGAGAGTACGAGCATTGTGGAAGATGATGATTTGATACCGCAAAGGAAGCGAGGAATGCTGGTTTAAAACGCTTGAACTTGCTGTACCCGGCTGTGCATGGATGGGTGTTGTGGTGCCAGAGAATACCCATGAGGAAACAACGAGGTGTATTGTACATCGCTCGGATCATTCAGGATGTGTTTTCTCGAAGTCTCAAGGAGTGTACGAGGGCGTCAATTATGGTAACCTCCAGCCCTGGGTTCGTCGTTCCACGCCGCTCCCAGAAACCTGTTCAAGTGTCCGAGGATAGCGTCCTTGCACTGGGAAATATATCATAGCCTCGAGGATGATGGACTAGATACTGTACGTCTGGGTAAATAGGTCAATGTAACCTCCAGAATATGCGATTCGCAGCTGAAAAATGCAATGCATAAATTAACAAGGCGCTCACATTTCCTATGGAGGTGCAGTTTTCACAGCAGCCTCGAAGATGTATGTCATCCATAGCGGTGTTGTTGGATCAGATCTCTGGCGCCTTTCATAGCGCATGCTTTCAGGGCGTGAATCTATAATCAGAGAACAAGGTCAACAGTGAGTTAGGCTGCATCGCCTGGCCCCTCCGACTGGCTACAACGTACACCATGTTGTATCACATCTGATTGAGAAACCCGTGTCTGTCCTTAAAATTAGCCGTCCTGTTGGCCATTGGCTGCGTGACATAGGCCTAACGCGGGTGGTTCCGGCTGCCGTACTTGCCGGGTGCATGGTTTGATTTGCACGTTCTTATCTTCTTGTTCCCCGTAGACCTGCTATCATTAATTCATTGCCCTTTGAGTGCCCTTCCTCGATAGGGTCACAGGGGAATTGCGTAGTTGGCTTACTAACACTTACCGGAGTAAGTAGTAGGAATCGATCCATTTTCCAGTCCATTGTTGTGAAAAGGACTCATACGTGTAAAGTGTATCTTGAAATTATCTCATTTCGAACTTTGGTTGACATCTGATGAAAGAGCTGAGTCTGTGGTTGTAAAGTTGGCGTCGCTTTTAGGGCTTTTAGGGCGGCTTTTGGTTCAGTATAAAGTGCGCCGGAAAAAGCCGCACTGGGGCTGTGCTGCATTAGCCGACGCGGCGATGGTAGCGCGACGCGACCCTTTCAGACCCTTTCTCCTGTTCAGCGGCCCTTTGCATTCCTTTACCGTGACCAACATCATAGCAACCTATTGTATGCATCCTTAATGCATCTAGGAGACTTCAATGCCAACGTCATGGTGGATGGCGCTGCTCTGGACGAGTTTGACGTCGTGGTAGATGAGGCAAACCGGACGGCTACATGTTACATCCCTTCGCAGGCTGGAAAGGTGAGGACAGAGCCAATGACGCCAGCGCAGCCTGCTGACAGATGGAAACTGTCGCAGAGGTTTATAATTGCCTGGGGATGTGGTGCGCCGAAGAGAGAACTATGGACATGCGGGAAACCGTCTGTGGATGGAGTCTGCTGCGGAGAATGGGCGCTGAGGCCTGGTGGGCTAGGAGAGGGAGATACTGCAAAGTGCGAGTATATGCTCGTGGACAACGTTACCACGCGAGATCTGCACTTCTCCAATCTGCAGTTGACGGGTGCGTTCTTTACCGATCTGAGAAGCGGGTCTGAACCCGCTCGTTTACGCGCACCCCGAAGTCCAGCTAACATTCACCACACAATCCCGCTGTAGACGACGAAGCATACCTGCATTCCTCTGTGGATGACAAGCTCGGCATAATCTCGCTCATTGTCTTCCAGGGCAACGCCGAAGTTCGGATAGCGACCATAGGGGCTTGCGTTGATGTAAAAGAGAGTCAGACAGTGCACGAACGATCCAAGAAAGCCGTGGTCCATTGTGTTGGGTGAGAAGTTTCCCCTTGCTCACTCGACTAGAAGATTGCAAATCAAAACTAACATGGGCACATTCACGGATCTTCTTTGCACAGATTCGGTGATGTCAAGACACGTTCACTCCCTGCAACAAGCACATACGTGCAACAAATCGGACCCGGATTCAGCTTCTCGTTTAAGTATAGACCGTTGGGTACGTGTTGATTTGAGCGTCGTATGTTGTATGTACTTCAGCTCAAAGCTTCCTCAGCCATCCTCCAGGCACAGGATATTGCCCCTCCGCCAACGCCCCAGCCTGCACTCGTCGCGTCTAAATCGAAGAAACGCCCTGCCGCGTCTGATGACGTCATAGTCATACATGACGATCCGGAAGAGCCGGAAACGAGCCTGAGTGACCGAAACGCACGCATACAGGCACTGAAAGTACGATCTTCATGACTTCCTGACATAAACCGGGCATGTATTGATATCTCCGCAGGATGAGCTTGCCAGACTTGGGGCAGAGGAAGGTGCATCGAGTAGAAACGCCATCAAGAAAGGACCGGGCGGCCGCCCCGCTAAGCGTGTCAAGCGCGAATCCGATCGCTCACCCCGGCCTACAGAAACAATTGTTATAGATTGAAGACCCGTTGTCACCATGGTTCGTTATTGCCGCTGTTTCCATGATGTTCTAATTCTTTTGCCACTTCCTTTACCGTGTATTTTCCTATTGTCTCAAGTATTCTAACACCACAATACCGCACTGTACGTAAAACTCGTACCTTATATCGTTTCGTAATATACCCTACTCTGCATGCATACATACGTTACTCCACGGTACTATTATTCTTGTTCATACTGGTCGTGAATGTTGTTGTACATTTGTCTTCGGAGAATCCGCAGCGCCCTGACGAGGTTGAAATACTGTCGACATATTGCATCAATTGCTACGTCCATCACCGAACGCTATGATTACAACTACGGTATCAATCCCACTGCATATTAGGCGTATATGACCAGATATGCAGGGCGAATCGCATCGTCCGTGTAACACACCAACTCGTCATAGTTCAAACCTACTCCTAGCTCCGCGAGCACCTATATAGGACACATCCCGTCAACATTCTATCCGACCCTGAACAATCACAGCTGGCTTACCGAATCGTACCCCACTGGAGGGCTTGTGAACGCTGGCTGGTCCTGCGTTGTTTTGTATCCCTTTCCAACTACGACCTTGTTCAAGATCAGCGCCTTTGTGGTCGAGGCACCCAAGTTTTTTGCGTATGCGTCAGACCTATGAAATGATTGGATCCGGAATCAACGTTCCCGTTTCTGATGCGGACGCCACGAGATCAGATGTAAACGACCATACTTGGATGATGCTGAAGATGTGTAGATCCCCCGCCCAAACCTGCATTGGGGGTAGATGAGCAAGTGTACATCCGGGTCTTCGCACAGAGAGCATACCTTCCCCAACCAGTGTTAGATCCCATGAATTTCATCTTGTACGAAGTCCGTATGATGGCACACAGGGAACATACGCTGGACGTGCAGAGAGAGGTGTGCCCGTTGTCGCCTAGGGCACACGCACGCTTCGTACCGTGCCACCTGCGACGTTCGTTACCTGGGCTTTCACCTTTAGAAGAAAAGTCCCCTTTTCCTTCTATTTTGGTACTGTAAAGGGTAAGCATAGCGTAATGCGGAGATAGGCATCCCATCAGTCTCAAAGCGGCTCTTCGAACCAGAAAACACGTACCGATACGCCTTGTACTTGTGTACCAAGTTACCGGAAATCACTACCCTATACACCCGCTCGACGGTTGGACACGGTGTCCCGTCTCGCCACGAAGTTTCGAACTGGTCAACCACTGCTCGATAGTTAGAATGCTTTCGATTGCGGGAATATAGGTGAATAGTAACGTTACCACTATCAAAGACGCTGTGTCCTTTAGGCACCTCAATGATTGTCGGCGCTTTCTTGTCCGCCTTGGAGGCGCAGGACCTACTGCAGAAATGGTGCCTCCTAAATGCGGCGCGACCACATTGCATTAGGCACTCGTTCTTGGGAGATGCGCCGCCTACTGCCACGTTCCTTTAGAAAGCGATTCACGAGCCGTCAGTATTCTGGGAATGCATAGTTCAAGCTCTCCGCACCGCCTAGTTATAGTTGAACGGTTCCCGCCTCCAAGTCCTGAGCGCGCACTCATCGCACATGTCTTGCCGCAGTAGTCGTGCACCTTTCCGGTTGCGTTGTCGCAAAATTTGAGTCTGTTATGGCAGTTCTAGTGTGTTTATGTCACTATTGGATAGCTAGGAGTAGACAGTGGATACTTACAAGGCATAAAGCGTCATCGGCGCATGTCCTGCTGCAGTACGGGTGGGTCACTTTTCCTTCAACCCGTTTGGGAAACGCATGACAGTGCTGCGGTGCAAACAAGTTAATGAAGAGCTACACTGTGAGGAGGTGTATGAGTGGCCTCACATCACAGAGGGCGTCTCCCTTCGTAGGTGTAGAGCTTTGCTTCGCAGCCTGAGCACACGTCCTGCCGCAGTAGGGGTGCACTGTGTTCCCATTGGTAAACTTTGGTTTCTGATGGCATTCCTGGTTGCAAGGCAGATTAGAGAGGATCAACGTGGTGCTAACGTAGACCCACGATGCAAAGCTGAGAGGACATGGTAGTTTTCGGGCGATTTGCGGGGTCTGGAGCGAAGATAACAGAGGAAGAGGAAGAGGGCGTTGAATTCATCCCCGTGCGAGACTTATAACTGATATCATGAGACGTAGTAAGCGCCAAAAGGGCACGTTGCGGGCTTCTTTCTTCATTCGAGGCTCGTCGCTGATGATAACGATGCTGGTCACCTTGTGACACACTATGGATCTTCCGAGAACCAGCGCAATCAAGAAAAGTGCCAGACAATGCTAGGTTGTGACGGTGTCGTATCTGAGTGTGTCTTTTGGCAAGCACTCGTCTCCGAGGCCATCCACAAGGCGATGAACTCTTCCTGACAGTTTGAGTTTCTTCGGCTACGCGGTGGCGGTTTTCGGCAAGAGCCGCCTTTTTCAACATCCGCCAATATCGCTGTGTTTGTTGTTGGACACGTTCAATCCACCCGGGCCCCTATTCTGGGTACTGCGACAGAAATCCGGCACAGTTGTCGAACGAGGACACGATGCGATTCGGGGATTTCTCTGCATCGGTAATCGTTGATGGAAGTCCTCTGCAAGAGTACGATATTGTGGTGGATGAAGACGAGCAGGAAGTTACGTGCTATATCCCCTCCAGGAGTGGAAAGGTTAGCCTAACGACCACGTTTAGTGAAACCACTCCGGTTGCTAACACCTAGCTCAGAGGTTCTCCGTCAAGTGGAATGATTGGATGTGGGAGCGGGGTCTTGACAGTTCTGGCTATGTGACGTTGGATGGGCTCAAGTGCATAGGCAGAGTGATTGACACCACGAAGGACAACACTGCCGAGCGTTCGGGGTTTGATTTAGACGAAAGAACTGTCAGGGACTTTATGTTCTCTAACCTCAGGTTGACGGGTACGTAAGGTTATCTCGTCCAACTGGTCTGATAGCGTTCCAATCAGTTTTGTCGTAGACGACGACGCGTACCTTCGCATCCCGGGACTCGAGAAACTGGGAGAGATCTCACTCGAGATCTGGCGGGGAAGGTGCATGGGACCAGGGGCACATCTTAGGTTCGGGACTCCTAATGACAACCGTATTGTTCACGAGCGAACCAAGAAGGCGATGGTTCACTGTGTTGGGTAGGTAATCCATTCCAACTTTACGCCGAGGCTGTTAGTGACCTCTCGTTCGCGTAGCTTTGCCGAAGAGAGGAGCTTGCTATATCCGACAACGTCCGTCAACTTTCACACTTTAGGGACTCACCCGGCGGCCCGTTTTATCTTCAAGTATAAGCCATTAGGTGCGTTTGGCAAACTCGAGCTGCGTTGCGCGAGGGCTTATAGCGTCGACAGAAGTTCTGCAGGCACAGGGCATTGCACCGCCACCCATTGCAGAGCTTTCGCCAACGAGTGAGCATGTTGAGTTTGCACCAGTAACCCCCAACTCTAACACAGGAAAAGGGACGATCTCCAGCTGTAGGCACGCCAGCGCCCGTATCCGCGCTTTAGAGGTGCGTGGAACTGGCTTGTAGCTCTTTGCACACGACTGTTTCGTGAGCTCAACTGATTATTACAAAGCTTGAGGTCGCAAGGTTGCAGAGGAAACGCTCTTCCCATACTGCAGTTTCCGTGAGGAGTGTGTCAGACGAACGTCCCGCAAAACGGATTAGGCACGAGGTAGATGGAGATATCATTGATTTGACTTGAGTAGGTCTTTTGGCTTCACTGAATTCCGAGGCCTCTATTGACCTTCTTCCAGGATCGAACGGATTCTTGCTGAAGCGGACTTTTTGTATTGTTGTCATACTTATACTTCGTTGTAATGGAGGGCTTACTCAACTATAATGCATCATTAACAAACATATTATCTACAGTATCCGCGTTAGCACGCAGGAAGAGTAGTACAAGGCCACAACTAAATGCTTTCGGGCCATTGACGCTGGTAAGTCTAGAAACTACTGCAGTCACAGACTATCAATTGAGGATATCTTGTCATGAGAGGTCGAGGGATTCTCGTTGCGACGCGACTTGGACGCCACGATTTAGCCGACGGAACCATTACGAGGACCCTGGCGCGGCGACGCGTGCGGATGTGCATACCAAACGTCGCGTTACCGTCTTCACTATCATTGCATCCATTAAGCGTAGCTGCACAACATGCGTCTGAGTGACTTCTCCGCTTTTCTCGTCATATAGAGGGAATACTTGAAGAATACGACATCAACGTTGGCTCGAATGGATCCACTGCTACGTGTTACGTCCCTCGAAGGCGGGAAAGGTGGGTGACTGGCTCCCGCCTGCGACAATGTCGATGCTGACTTATTCCTAGCTATTCTTCAAGCGCAAGGTATCGCCCCTCCTCCAGTCCGAGAAAGTCCGGTCGAAGAACCCGGAGGACTCGAGATAAACATTCCGGAAGCCTCCGGATCCGGGTCGCATGCAGCTGAACTGGCACAAGCTTCACAACAACCAGTGGACTCGGAAAACATTGTGCGAAGACCTGGAAAACCCAATCACCCAAGCTCGAATGTCACAATCTTCAACGCTCGCATCCACACCCTAGAGGTGTGTTATAGTACCGCTTGCGCAATACAAACCCTTTCTGATTGTGAGCGCAGGTTGAACTCACCCAACTTCGGGAAGCGCGTGACCACGCTGCTGTGGATTCAGCTTCTATTAAGACGGAGCTTGAGGAGCGACCTGCGAAACGGATCAAACGCGAGCCTTAATCGCTCTCCTGTGCATTTAGGAGTCGTTGATTTAACTTGAATGACTATGGTTGATGTTTTACTCTTTTTTACCCGTTGCTGGGTTCTTTTCTCGCGTCGCGTCGCCTTTTGTTTATCGTTACCCACCTTCTCCCAACATACCTGGAGCAACTCAGTGCAATCAGTCATGCAAACGTGGGAACGCCAGAATGAAAGGGGGCTTTAGACGGTGCCGCATTGTGGCCATATCAAGCCCACATTTGCCAACACGACGTGCCCTAGAGGTACTGTATCCCGAACTCATTTGGGATGTAATCTGTCGATCAACATTAATATATGTTCTGCGTGTCCTCAAGCCACTTGTGTGTGACTGTTTCCCCAGGCTACCTGCAAGACTTAAATATAATCGACCAACTATACTATCTCCTGTGTATCGCTGAACGACTTGTACATTGGCGACGCTGATGGTGCCAAAGCCACACCTATCCCACTTGGCGCTGGCTTGTATATCCCGAGGAGCATGTCACCGTCAGGTCCCTCGTCTTCATGCTGGTACCCAAGACTCGCATCGTTCTCTATAGCCATAATCGCACCGGTCCTGCTATCGATGCCGAACTCCAGGCCAGTGAGCTTCTCTTCCATGCGCTTTTCGTTGTCGTAAGGGAGTAGAAGTTCTCCGAAACCAGACCGAGAAACCAGTGCAGCGGCTGCGCCAATCGACCCCGGGGAAGCGGTAAGGTGGAGTTGGCTTCGAGCGCGAGCGTGCGTCCAGTGCAACAATAAGCCTATGGAACCAATAGCCAGAAGGAATGCGACGAGTGCGTGAGATGAGCATGAGCTGATTCCAGCATCCATGGTTGAACAGTTAGCTTTGTGACATAAATTATGGAGAATTGGGTAGGCTTACTCAAGAAAGAGACGAGACACAAATGAAGTAAGCTCCCCTGGAATAGTGGACGATTCTTTAATTAAGTACGTCGACTTCGAGGCCAGCGCGAGGTGCTGCGTCTACTCGAGGGTGAGAGGTTTGTATGCCTGTGATATATCATGGAGTACTCACGTAGACATTCTTTGTAACGTTAATAAACCCACCACTTGCACCCTGGAAGAGGGTCACAACACCGCCGTTCAGTTGCATCCCATACCGAAAGATTGTTCCTGGGATCTCAGTTCCGATGGATGTCGCACGGGCGTTGACGATGGCATCGTCGCTGGGGTCAAACACCACCCTATGACAAGGAGTTTTAGCACGATCACCAGGATAGTATAGTCAACAACGCGTCGAGACGAATCGTCCGACATGGGGTGACCAACCCCGATGGACGTACATGGAACCATAATAATAATAATAATAATAATGACACGCCGAGAGAACGAACATACCCATTCCACGCTCGTCCATACAACGGCGCTCCAGTCACATTATCGGAACCTGAGTACGGACCTAGCACTTGAACTGGTTGGAGTGAGCCATCGTTCAGATTCTGTACGGCCTGAATATCGTAGAATTCCATTGTCGGGTGACAAAACACGGCGGCGGTAAGCGTGTCATTGGGCTGATACGGATAATACCACCAAAACAGGACGGGCTGAAAGTGCACGGGTATGTCTTCGCCCGACGACAGACACGCCGAGGCATTGATGGTGCCGTACTGGTTCGTAGCGTCCGAAGCATTGAAGTTGACTTGAGTGGGCCCGGAGCATCCGTCTAGTGATGCAGTCAACGTAGACAGCCCAGATGATGAATAGTTGAGGGAGATGTATGTCGCAGGCACACAGTTGACCGAGGTCTCTAAGCCAGTCGTATTCACGGTCAGAGTAGCGTTGATCACTTCATACGAAGACCACTTCCAAAAGTTGAGTGAATTCCTTGTGGAACGTCTGACATAAACTTACGCTGAATTCTGCCGCCGTCCAACTCGCACGAACAAACGGGGGATCCGTTAGGTTGTTGTACACGGCAGCATCTGCATACTGTGTAAACGGATTTATGAAATCATGACCTATGTCACATCGCTGGCGAACTTACCCCGGCCGATGAAATATAAGCCCAAAGCTGCGGCAGATCCCACAGTAGTCCAACCTTGGAGACGCTCGTCGCGTTGATTGCTAAGGTCGATATTAGCAAAACATCTGAACGTTTCCGTCTTTACTCACCAACGCTGTGGGGAACCTGCTTGACTGTAAACACGGAGCCTGCAAGCGGTTGCAGGAAGACAACAGTACAGCTCAGGATCGTAGAAATACAGATGATCCAGTGTCTCTTATTAAGAGACGTCCAAAGAATCATTAATCGGCTGCAATAGGAAAGTTAAGTTAGCTAAAGTCTAACGTTTCTCTAGCAATGTCTGACTTCAGTGTGACCTAAGCAAAGCCTGAGTACTACGATGAGATGGATAAAAATGGATACTTACATAGTCCAGTAGTACGCTGTTAGAAGCAGACGCACTTCCCTCGGACAACATGATGTAGGGCTGGTTCATAGTCAGCACACGCTGGACATGACTCCGTTACACAAAGCTCATACCTGGTACCACCTCACCATCGAGTCCGCCACGGTCCAATAAAACGCGAGCGGTGCCACTAATAGCGTCGGAAAGAAGGACTGAATCACGAGCCCATCTCAGAGTAGAAACGGGAGCTATTTTTCCATGAATATCTTACTGCAAGGACCTGGGTGGATGCAAACTCGAATGGGTCATCTTGCGGTATGTGAAACCCTGTTAAAAATTGATCAAAAACTGGGTAGTACGTAAACCGTGATATGGCACACCGTTATTTCTGTTCGAGAAATAGAGCAGGATCTCCAGTGTTGCAGCCAAGGCGAACATGACGGCTGTCACGCCCCCGACTACCCACAGGTTGATGGTCCAAGGTTCCTATGGAGGTAAAATGAGGCATAAGGACGTTTAATAACCCGAATACGCACATAACGCTTTGGTCGAGCCACCACCTCCCCAGGAGTAGGTATTTCGTGGATCGAATGCCGGAATCGAGCAGAGTAGGGCGGCGAGTAGGGCGGTGAAAACGACGACGAGGACGGAGACGGTTGATCTACGAACTTCAAGTGTTCAGGCATACTGGACCTTTAGAGATTGACGGCGTGAGGTGGGTGGTTTCATGCACTGCAATAATATTGACCTATATACCGCACAGTGGTCAAAACCGAAAGCGACCCGGGTCAAAACGCCGCCCGTGACGGTCTATTCTGGTGGCTCAGGCATGCAGGGGATGGTCTAGCACCGTCCCGGCGTCTGATAGTGCCCCATGATCAGGCTGATCGTCAGCGTCACTGGTATCAAGTATCAAAGAAGGAAGATAGTATGGCGATGCATCACGCGCCGATAGCCTCAGGAGGTGATATGTTGTTCCCGTCCCGTGTCCTATCCTTGGGTGTTTGTTGGATAAAAGTTCCTGGACGTGAGTTCATGAAGTCTAAAGCAAGGTATACTACCTCTTTCGGATACAGCGCGTGTGCTAGATGCACCACAGGTTTTCCGGAGCGTTACATGTTCAGATCGTGGGCGCGGAAAGGAGGGAACGGTATGGATGTCTTGTGTCACAGAGACCAAGTCGAGAACGGCTCCGAGAAAAGCGCGAGATAACGTCGCCAATTTGATTAATTTCCTGTGACCGATAAGCGCTGAAAAGCTCTAAATTCTGTCATTTTAGCGATGTCCAGATGTTTCAGTGAGCCTAGCTGAAGAGCACTTTCCTAGTGAGTCCCCAGAGCACGCAACAGGTGAATGTCATCACCTTCCAGCCACAGTATCTCCGAGATGGCCATAAACTCTACGGCACCGCGTGGGGCCCCATCCTTGGGTTTGATGTCGTGAAACACAGCCAAGTGTTCAGCAGCAAGCGGCAGCCGAACTTACCCATATACAGCATTGCTTGGGATGTGTGCATACCTGTGTATGTATGTTTCAGATAAGAAAACGCTAATAGAAGCGCCTGCGGAGATCTTCACCTTGGGAACAACTTTGCGTCGACCTAAGTTTAGTCGGGGCTCGACACATGGGCCCAAGTTGATATTGGAGTCGGACCGCGGGACGGCGCTCACACTCGCTACTCGAAGGCTTGACGTCTTGTACACTCTCACATAGTCGTATCAAACCATTCTGCCTGTGCCGGGATAACAGGACAACCGACCCAATGGCGGATGGTGCCGTTTGGTGGCTCTCAGGCACAATGCTGAGTCAGGCGTAGCGGTCTACCAAAAGCTTGCCGCCTGGGCGCGATGCGCAGCGCATGATGCTTCCGGCATACACTAGGTGGTCTTCCTCTGCTGAGAGAAGACAAGAAGATAATGTATCGACCATGGGCTCACCGAGCTTTGTTTCCCCGAGAAGTCAATTGTCTTTGAGCAATGTTGTATCTGTAAAGGCCGCCAGCAGAGTGTTTTGCGACCAAGAAATCGGGAATTCGAATGATTACCTGCGGAAGCTGCGATGTTGCAAAAACGGTTTAGTGAGGCGCAGTCATTGGGTGTAGAATGGGGCGTTATATGAGCGTTATCGGTATTTGCGCGTAAGGAGGTGATATTGGGCACAGTGTGAGATAAAGTCCTGATTTTCGCGGTCAGCGTGCAAACGACGACAGTTGAACTAGGCGTCGCGCCTCTGTGCACGTAACGATAGCTTTAAGGACAGTGGATGGCAGTGCCATGCTAGTATCCGGTGTCCTTGAAGCTTGGAATACGGTACCAGCTCATTTCCTGTATCATAAATTCAAGCCACCTGCGGCGCAGATGCATGAATCACGATAGCCTGGTCGTCACAGTCAGCAATACATACGCTTTTCCAGATAGGACCGGCTTACCAAGAGGAAATGCAATGTCTCGGGCTGTCTAATCTCAAAAAAATCGTATCATTATTATCGTGGTTTTGCTTGTCTTTGTTTATTTTAATTGTTTCCTTTTTTGCCTTCCCCCTGTTGTTGACGTGCGTACCTTGTATGCTGTTAGACACCTTGCCTTCGAATTCGTCGTAGACCTCTCCAAATACTAGTTAGCCCTGCACCATAAGATAGCAGATGTAATTGATATGAGAATATGCATAATGCGGCAATTTGACATCCTTACAAAGAAGGCGCCGCGGAGTCGTTTGATCCTGTCAAAGTTTAAAACGATGTCGGTTCGAATGTTCGGCTAACCGGCTCCCTTCCAATCCTTACCTTTCTCTGTCGGCGACAGCTCCTCAATGCGATACGAAGACTACCGCGCCAATATCATCGTGGACGGACAAGAGCTCGATGAATACGCAGTTCTCATCGACCAGGAAGAGGAGACCGCCACCTGTTACGTCCCTTCGCAAGTGGGCAAGGTAAGCCTTCCGACCGAACATTCAGTCACATGCGGCGAAAGCATGTTCTGGCAATACACCACCAGTTCTGTGTGCTCCACCACTCTTTCGACCACTGAACTCGACTCTCTAGAACTTCTCGGTGAAATGGACATGCGTGGCCGAATATCGCGATCAAGCAAGTAAAGGGACAGTGACCATCGATGGCATATTCTGCGGAGCGAGTACAATCCATACAGGCGAGCGTGGGCTGCGCGACACTGCGCAAAGGTATCATGTCGCGGTGGATGATAGGACGGTCAGGCAGTTTGAGTTCGCGGAGCTTGCGACCACGGGTGAGTGCGTGTGCCACTTGCTTCGTTCCTCTTATCCCACTTCTTTCGCATGCCTCCGCCTTTGGCTGACTAAGAGTATGGGGTCGCTTGTGCAGATGATGACGACCATGTCGAGTCCGGCAACCTGGAAGATGTCGGCGAGATCAAACTCGAGATACGCAGAGGCAGGCTGGTACCGAAGACACGACGACGTTCATCACAAGTGGCCATTTCGGCACAACGGGACCGACGGCGACGCGAGAGCGGGCAAGGTCCATGCGATTTCGAGCGTCCACGGGTGGTGCATGAGCGGTCGAAGAAGGCGTTGTCGCATTGCGTTCGGTGAGTGTTGCCTGTCTTATGCTTATGGTGCTCGTCCCCCGCGGGTGCGCTTACTGATTTGTGGCATGGAGATTCGATAGTACGCCGTCGCGTCATGGACCGCCGCCCTCGCACCGTTTGGGTCCCGACTACGCGTTGAAAGAGTCACTCCCCCGCATATCCTTTGTGTTTCGGTATCGACCGCTGGGTATGTCTTCTCCACGCTGAACCATTCCTATGTGTAGAGACTTACCCCTGTCACCTTCTAGAGGTCCTGCAGGCACAAGGCTTCGCCCCCCTCCCTCGAAAGAAAGTGATACCGCCACCACGACCACGTATACGACCCCAGATTCACACCGACACCTCAAACCACGCGTCATCTCCATCCTGTCCCCCCGCCCCCACTCTTGCCCCTGTGCCCGCCCCTGTTCTCACACCCCAACCTGTACTGACACCCACCGAAGAAGACGACAGCGATATCGAGTTTATCGAGGTGCGCTACCCTGACCCTCCAGCACCGGAGCTCGAAGATGTGCAGAGTCGCATTCAGGTCTTGAAGGTATCATCCACTCATGAATTTCTTCCCCCCATGAAGCTAAGTAACGATTACCGCTAGAATGAGCTAGCACAGCTCGAGGCTCGACAAGCCCAAACAATGGTCGGAATCAAGCAGGAAGACGTGGGTCTCGGCGCTGACATCTACGCGAACGCGGGCTTCGGCATGGATTTCGCGGACACTGAGGACGATATGAGAGATGCGGAGCAGGTCGAGCGTGAGATCTGTGCGATCGTCGAGCCGGACATCATCGTGATTGATGATTGAGTCTAACTCGGACGCGAACTATCATGGTCTTGGTGCGAGCATGACATTTTGGGACTGTACGCTGGGCCAGGTCCGGAGCCTCATCTGGGATACTTTGGCTTGTTTTCTCCTGAGGTTTCATGTGGGCATAGGAGAATTGGGGGAACATATACGGAACACTGCATTCACAAGGAACGGGATTACTCGTATCTTCAATATTTCTGCCCGCTTTTGTTTGGTTTGTTGTTTGTGCTCTTGATCAGATCCCCTTGAGATCAGATGCGCTCTCGATCCGGACATCCTCAATCGTTTTGGGCCAATACTCCCGTTGATAAGATAATGGTCCCTGAGCTGGCGCTTCGTTCGTCGCCATCCTTTCCTCCCCACCTTCTTCCCCTCCCCATTTTCGCGTTGTGGATCCTCACGGTCGCAGGATTGGTATGTCGCTCAAGTTCTCTAACGTTTACACATGCTTATTTAAGCTCTGCCAGGACTACGGAGCATGTTTTCAGTGCGTACCATATCTATCGCTTTTGGGCTATGAGCTCACGAAAACCTGCTCCCAGATGACGATAACCCTCTTCCCGACTCCGCTTGATGTTCGCAAAGAACACCTTGCCTCCGTCCGATTCTACTCCCAGTTTGCTCATGATTCTCCCTCCTCGTGGCATCCGATGCAGAATTCGCAGGTACGCCCTCTCGCTTGAACATCATTCCCCACTGATGAAAATGTCCATACCAGACCTGAGCTCGCTACCCATGAGCTCATGCTCGGCCACGGCCGATTTGTGCCCCGCCGCCCGGCGCGCCCTATCTCGTCCCTGCGCCTTGGCCGGCCCGTCCATGGCCAAGTCCTTGCTCTTACGCTATCCTTCTGCAAGGATAAACCGGCAACCCGCGTTCGGCGAGCTCACACCCATGCCCAAAGCCTCCTACACGCTTGGGTGTCCTGTTTGTGTTTGTGTGCTCTGCCGTGTATCTGGGATTCCCGGCACTGGTTCAGGTAAGTGGTTCATCTTTTACTCACGGCGTTTCTTTGACCGCTTGACCGCAGGTCGCTGCCGTTTCACTCCCTCATAGTTAATATGCGGATGCATATCACTGATTATCTTTTATTGAGCGTGATATGTTTACGGGCAGGTACGTAAGTATCTTTCAGCTACAACTTCTTATGGTAGATTAGTTCTGTTAAATATTCAATCTGTCTCGATTTCAATGTAACACAATTAAAATTGATCAATTCCGTGTATTGTCCTTTTCCCTCCGCAAATGTTACAAATAATGAGCTGGAATGACTCGGGAGTCGGCGTCTGCATCAATGATATGAGTGCCTTCATTTTGGTGATCGCTTCGTTGCACTGGCACTCAGGCTGATGGTGATCGCCTTGAACAATCTGATGGGATGTGGGGCATACAAGGCCTTTTCGTGACAATTGGTTCCTGATCTATGTCATACTGATATCACTGCTTCCGTGCTCATAATTTGTCTTCCTTAGTAAAGGATGATAGTGAGCGGGTGCGTTTCGTGGCAGGATCCGGAATCCTGCTGCTGTATTTTGTGATTGATTGTATTGCAATACATCAATGTAGACTTAGCTACGCAATTTACACAGTGGAACGAGGCGTGGCTTCTATTCTTACTGTACTTTTGCTTGGTTACGTGTGGTAACAACATGAGAGTTAGGGTCAGTGGGTTGCATTGTCAACCATCCTTCAAATCATGAGCCGGAGCGTAGCTCGGCGTGTCTTGTAGCATATACTATCTAGTACTTCGTAACCGCGGGAACATAGTCAGTAATTTTGGAGTCGACATACCATACAAGTTCATAGCTGTAGTACTAGTATATACATATGTATAAGAGTGAACGGTCCAGCCGGTTGTCGGATGTACGAAAGCGATCAGCGAGCATCAATAGTAGCTCGACAGCCCAGCCAGACCATGATCAACATGGCAAACGTCAAAGTCAAGCTGGAATGAGACATAAACGTTAGCAACACGAACTCAGCCAGGTCACCAGCGACACTCACGTCTCCAACAACGAAAACGCTATAGCACACGAGAAAAAATCCGCATAAGTACTCCGGTACCGACAAAACCGCCCGGCGACTCACCAAACAGCGTCTTCACCTGCCCGCAATACACCACGCCCGCGCACGCCTCCTGCCCCGCGCCGACGCCGACGCCCGCGAACAGCTGCGGCGCGCCGCGGTTGAGCAGCGCGGCGCCGACGACCCACGCGGCCCACGTGGCGAGGATCCAGAGCGCCTGCGCGCCGACGGAGGCGATGGGCCGGCGCGACCATGCGGGGTCGAGGAAGAGGAGCGCGTATGTCCCGGCTGTTGTGAGGGTCCAGCAGCCTGCGAAGCTGGTGTGGGGTGGGGTTTAGTTGGTGGGGTTGAGAGCGAGAGAGAGGGAGTGCAATTGGAGAGGAGGTGTGGGAATAGAATGGTGGAGGAGAAGGGGAAGAGAGAACGTACAGAAGGACCCGCACGCCCGTGATGACCGATATGTTCGGCGCGTTGCCGTTGAAGCGGAACTGGAGGAGGAGCCATGCTGCGAGCGCCACCTCCGCGAGACTGCTGAGCACCAAGAACCCGTACACCACTGCCAACGACGGCGGTGGGGACAGTGACGGTGAGCGTCAGCACACAGTTGCCAAAATACAGCGGGGAAAACGTACTGGGCGCCCAGACCTGCACCCGCGCCCCAGCGACCTTGTTCACGGCGCGCGGATGGCGCTTCGCGTGCCGGAAGACGAGCACGAGCGGGCAGAAGTAGATCAGCGCGAGCATGGGCGTCACGCCCGCGATCACGGCCGCCGTCGTCTGTGCGTATTTGTGCGCTGCGCTGTCATCATTGATAGCTTTGTTTGGGGTGGTGTCGGGTGATGAAGGTGCTGCTGTAGTCGTTGCTGGTGCTGGTGCTGTTGGCATTGCCGTATGCATAGCGGATGGAGCGGATGCGACCGGTGCGGCGAGCGCGAAGACGCCGTCGTCGTCGTCGTCAGCGAACGGGTCCAGCGGAGCACTGCGTGCGACCAAGCCTGATCCCGCGCTCGAGACGTTGGGCGAGTCAATACCGGCGCCGCCGGGGTTCACATCGAGCTGGTGCGCGAGCGCGCGGGAGGCGTACACGCAGAAGAGGCCGACGAGGAGTGTGCCCCAGGGGAGCACGTCCGCGAGCGAGAGGGCGTGTCTTCGTGGGGCCATGGGTTTCGTTTCGCGGGGTTTCGGTGTTCGGTGTTCGATAGTCAGTGAGGCTGCTGCGGGGTAGCGTAGACGGTCGATGGTGTTGGTGTATCTAGCCGGTGGTGGGGGTGGGCTGTGCAAGGCGGTGGTGTTTGTTGTATGTCGTATGATCAGGGATTGCGTGAGTGCCAGACTCGTCAAAACACAGCGAAGAAGAAGGGAAAGGTGAGATGAAACGAAACGAAACGAAACAAAACAGCTGCAGCGAGAGCAAGACGTTTTGTGTGCGTGCTGCTGCTTACACCACGGCACCCGCAGACCACGACGCTCGAACACGCCGGTCCAGCTCGCGGGAACGTGGCGGCTCGTCCTCACCGCGCACGGGCCGCGGGGCACGCGACTACAGGCCGGGTAGCGTCTGGTCTACCAGAACTCGCCGTTATCGAGCCTCCGAGACGTCATATCCGTGTGTCTGAAATGAAAACGACGCTGACTTCTATACTCTAAGAGCTGAGTGGTGGGGAGTTGCGAATTCCACGCGCCTCTAGGGCTATCGCCACGATACGACAAGCCACGACGACAACGGTATCCTGCGTGCGTGCGTTACATATGTATTCTCTAATGACTGCCGGGCGGGGTGTTTCAGTCCCTCGGCAAAAAAAGCGACATAAATGGTGCCATAATTGCACACTCACATAGTTTGTTTGTGCGATGCGATAACCAATATCCCATAAATCATTCCACCCTTCCTTCCTTCCACCGAATGTTCCCCATTCCTCGCTCCCCACACCCCCACTCACGTTCTCTCCAAAATCCACAGTCTCTCCGCCCTCTCCATCCTTACCACACCCATCCACCTATTAGGCGACCACCCCGCGAGCTCCCGGACTACCTCCCTCGGACTTATCCCCCGAATCCCCTTCCGCATGCCATCGATACCGCCTCCACCTCGTACATCGCCGATGGACGCGGGCAGATCGAGCGTCCACCGCGCGAACCCCTCGACGGCCTCGACGACGCGCCACTGCCCCGTCGCGACGAAGGGCGCGGGTGTGTCTTCGACGATGAGGTGTGTGAAGTGCGTTACCGCTGAAGAGGAGGGGGAGGGGGAGGCGAGGAGGGCGGGGGTGAGCGATTCGGTCTTGTTGTATGTCCAGCCTTCTTTCGGGGTGTTGTCGTTGGGCTCGTTGAAGAAGAAGGAGGAGAGGGAGAGGGAGAGGTCGGAGGGCGATGAGGAAGAGGAGGGGAGATAGGGCGGCGCGTGTTCGTGCAGGAACATCGACGCGCCCGTCTGTGCGGCGAGGTTGCAGATGTGTATGTGGACTGTGTTGGACAACGTCTGCGTTAGAGGATTAAGGTGGTAGAGCGTATGAGAACGCACCGTGTTCCTGCCCAGCGTACATCTCGTTAAACCGCGCGAGCGCTACGCCCCCGGGATAATTGACCATCGACGCACGCGTCGACGCGGCCGTGATCAGGGTGTTGGCAGCGAGAGTGCCGAGCGCGAGCGCGAACGCGAAGCGGCCGAGGATGTTGCTCTTCCTTCTTGATGCCCTATATATCCCCCGAAATCAGACGCAAGTTCAGCGGATTAATGAGAATAAAGGGAGGAAGGAAAGGAAGAACTCACAGCCACCACGCGCCCCGCGCCGCAGCGACGTTGAAGAGGGGCACGACGTACGTGATGAAGCGCCACTCCTTGTGGCCGAGCGCGCTGAGGAGGGCGACGTACGCGAGGCAGGGGAAGAGTACGGAGCGTGCGCGGGCGTCGGCGAGGGCGCCGAGCGCAGAGAGGGGGAGTGCGCCGAGGAGGAGTTTGGGGAGGTGCGCGGTGAAGTAGGTTAGCGGCGGGGAGGTCTAGGATGGGTGGGGGTGGTGAGTGCGTGGAGTAGGAGAGAGGGAAGGAAGGACGTACACCCCAGTCGGCGCTTTTGCCCTGGAAGACGTTGAAGTAGATCCCGTAGAGCTCGGGCCAGAGCGGCCACTCGTCCCAGAAGTAGGAGTCGACGAGGGTCGTCAACGCTGCGCCGCTCATCAGCATTTCATTGCTTCAATTCGAACACCGCACTAGTCAGTGCACTCACCGACGGAGAGGAAGCCCCATGTGATGCCGACGCCGATGAGGTCGAGCAGGCCGATGTACCCCGCGAGGAGAGTGTACAGCGCCATGGGCGCGAGGAGCAGCGCGACTTCGCCGCGGAAGACGACGGCTGTGAACACGAGCAGACCGAGGGCGGTGCTCGTGCTAGTCGGCGAGGGGCGCGTAGCGTTGCTCGCTCTATTCCAGAGCAAGTAATACGCGACGTTCACTAGCAGTCTGCGTAAGCACGGCGCATGGGAAGGGGAGGGAGGGCGGAGAGCGTACCAGGGAGGAGAGCGAACATGTTCGGGAGGGTGCGGCCCATCCAGAAGGGGAGGTGGAACTGGGAGCATGTGAGGAGGGCGAAGAAGAGGCTGGTCGGGCGGCCGAAGCGGCGGGAGACGGCGTGGCGGACGAGGATGAGGCCGAGGGCATTGGCGGTCGCGAGGACGAGTCGGGCTGGGTCGGTCTCAGTATTCGTGTTGCAACTATATAAGGGACTAAGGACAGACGACGCACCGGCAATCTGCACGTCTAGCTTGCTGGTGACTGGTACGAGCTCGGTGCGGGCGGCAAGGAGGAGGGCGAGCTTGGTGGCCCACCCAAGAAGAAGGCTGCCGATGAATGTGCGGGGTACGGCGCCGGGGAAGGTGAAGTGGTCATACTGTGCGCATTACGCGTCAGCACCGATTTGAGGAGGAAGAGAAATAGGACGAACACGATCGAGAGCGTCTGGGCTGACGCCATACATGAGGACGTCGTGGGTCGCGTGCAGGTTGAAGCTCTCCTCGACCTTGGTGTACGGGGCGACGACGACGTGGGCCCAGGCTGTGCCGAGGATGAGCAGGTCGGCGACGAAGCTCATGGTGAGCTCAGAAATGTGGTGGCTCTATGTCAGAGTACTATGTTTGTATGTCTCGGACGTGGGAGGGATGCGGGGCACAACCTCGGGAATCCAAAAACGGAGAAAGGTTCCCACGAGTAGTCAAAACGCGGTGTGCCTGGCGAGATGAACAGCCGAGTTCGTTTCGCTCACCGCAGCATACATCCACCAGCTCTTTCTTTCTTTCTCTTTCTTCACCTCAAGCTTTGGTTTGGTTGCATGAGGTGGCCCACGCCAACAATGCTGGGCTCACTCCCCGTTTCTCTCCTCGCTCTCGCTCAGCTGGCCCCGGTTGTGTCAGCTCGTGCCAACACCACGTCATGGAACACGCCCACCTCCCCGTACGGCCTCTCCGTAAGCCCCTCAATCTCATTCACAGTCGCTTGAACACGCACACTCACCGCTATCTAATCAGAGTCTCACTCCGCTACGAGGTCAGCCCACAATTTTAATCATAATTCGCTCGCCCGTATTCGCTGCGCACCGAGCGCTAACCGTACCCCACAGACGAGAAATGCCCACCATGCTTCAACTGTCTCCTCCCCGCCTTCACCTGCGGCCAATACGGCGAATGCAATGAATGGGACGGCCAGTGTAAATGTCCCCCGGGTTGGGGCGGCATCGACTGCCTTACCCCCCGTACGTCCAATCCTACCATCCTGCAACATCACTCGCTCATCCGCCTCCGATACGCACAGAGTGCGGCTCGCTGAGTGACGGAGAACACAGACCACTTAGACAGGGCGACCAGTGCGAGTGTAATGATGGTTGGGGCGGTATCAACTGCAACGGTGTGTAACCTCTCGCTCAACCTACTCCATCGTCTATATATACCTTTGGTTCTGCGCACCTTCCTCATCATACACTCTTTCTACCGTAAACGTCATTGATGGTTCCGAATTCTGACCACCTTTGCCTGTATACAGTATGCGAAACAGATGACGCGTGCGTCGGCTTCCCTCTCGCCGGCGGCATCGAATCCGGTAGCGGCGACAGCAACGGCGTCGCCAACATGACGTGTCACAAGGGCGGCAAAACCATCTTCGCCAATCACCAGATGTGCGACATCACCAGTGCGTCTCCTTCCCTTCCCCCCACCCCACCCTCTGCTCTCCAACTCACAATTCAACTCACAACCAAACGCACGCAGACCGCAAAATCCTAGACATGCTCCCCGACCGCCCGCCGCAAGTCACATTCAGCTGCGACGCCGAGGACGCGACGTGCTCATTCCAGTTCTGGACCGCCCGCCAGGAGTCGTTCTATTGCGCGCTCGACACGTGCACGTCCGACGTCACGCCCGGGTACGACACCAATACGACGAGCTACGCGTGCGACAGGATCAAGTGCAAGTGCATCACGGGTCGGTTTTTGTGTGGCGAGGACGGGAGTGTCGGTGTGTTTTCTTTCTCTCGCGCATGCGTGATGGCTTTGCGTTTCGGTGTTTCGGTTGATTGATTAATGACGGGCTGACGCGGACGCGAACTTGCAGACATCAGCGACTTTCTCAAGGAGGAGATCCGCGGGCCGGCGAAGTTCAGCTGCAAGACGGGCCAGGGGTGCAAGTTCGAGGAGCCGGCGATGAATAGCCTCATCAATGATATTTTTGGCGATGGGTATATCACGCTCAATTGCAACGGCGGCGAGTGTCTGCATTATTCGCAGGTGCCCGGATATGTGGTACGTGCCCCGCTGCCTGTGTTGTGATCATTGGAGTGGAAAATGATGACGTTCGCGGGGATGCTTAGAGACCGCCGAAGCCGGATAACACGAAGATGGTCGCGGTCAGCGCTGCTGGTGCTGGGTTGATCGTTATCGCAGTTGTAGCACGTACGCCTTCCTCCTCCACACTTCCGCACCTCACATCAGCTCACTGACCCGCCTCCGCACAGTCCTCTGGTGGGCCGGCCGCTCGCGCAGCGGCAGCGACTGGGGCAAGATCCGGCTCCCCGAAAACGAGCAGTCGAAGCTGATGACCGACCACGTCCCCGCCTCTCTCCACTTCTCCAACATCACGTACACGCTCACCGGCGGCGGAGTCGGGAACGGCGGGGGCGGCGGGCAGCGCACGATCCTCGACGGGATCTCGGGCGCGGTGAAGCCCGGGCAGGTCATGGCGATCATGGGCGCGTCGGGCGCGGGCAAGTCGACGTTCCTCGATATTCTCGCGCGCAAGCGCAAGCGGGGCGTGGTGGGCGGGCGGACGCTGGTGAACGGGCGGGAGGTGGCGGACGCGCAGTTTAAGAAGGTGGTGGGGTTCGTGGACCAGGAGGACACGCTGATGAGCACGTTGACGGTGTATGAGACGGTGCTGTATAGTGCGCTGTTGAGGTTGCCGCGGGAGATGAGTCTCGAGGCGAAGAAGTTTAGGACGCTGGAGACGATGAATGAGTTGGGGATACTGGGGATTCGGGATGCGAGGATTGGGGAGAGCGGGAGGAGGAGTATCAGTGGTGGGGAGAAGAGGAGGGTGAGTATTGCGTGTGAGCTGGTGACGAGCCCGAGTATTTTGTTTTTGGATGAGCCGACGAGCGGTGCGTGGCCTTTTCCCCTTACATTATTCCTCTTACTTTGTGGATTCTGACGGCGACACAATGGTTGCGCGAGAACAGGTCTGGACGCGTACAACGCGCACAACGTCGTCGAGTCGCTCGTGACGCTCGCGCGCGACTACAACCGCACGGTCGTGTTCACGATCCACCAGCCGCGCTCGAACATCGTCGCGCTTTTTGACCAGCTCGTCGTGCTCGCGCAGGGCAAGACGGTGTACTCGGGAGAATTTGCGAAGTGTCAGGCGTACTTTGAGAGTATCGGGCAGCCGTGTCCGGCTGGGTTTAATATTGCGGATTATTTGAGTGAGTTTTGCTTTGTTTCGCTTCTCTGTGGGATGCTATGCTGCCGCTGGTGGTGGCTATGTCCACAGTTGCAGCTGTATGCATGAACATGGAGAACCGAGAGCTGACGACCTATTGTACACACAGTCGACCTCACGGTAAACGCGTCCATGGAGCCCAAGTCCCCCGGCAGCCCCGCAGGCGACGTGCTCTCCTCCGCAGCCACCGAAGCGGGCATCGACATGGGCGACGAAGAACAGGGCCTCCTCTCCCCCTCCTCCGGACACGGGCACTCGCGCGGCTCGTCCAGCGCCGAAAACCACACGGCGGTCGACGACACGGCCGGGCCCGACACCGAGTCGACGGAGCTCCGGACGCGGCGCATCTCGATCTCGTCGTCGCTCCGCCGGAAGACGCATCAGCTGCTCGAGGCGGTGCGCCCGACGCCGGCGGGGGACGCGCCGTTGCCGCCGAAGCTCGCGGAGCTGGTGCATGCGTATGAGGCGAGCGGGGTTGCGGCGGGGATACGGGCGGAGACGGAGGAGGTTGAGCGTGCGCAGCAGGCGCAGGATCATCGGGCTGTCGATGGCACCGGAAACGGGAATGGGAGTGGGAATGGCGAGCTGAGAGACGTGGTGGTGGAGAGCACGCTGTTGAGGGGGCGGAGGCGCGCGAGCTGGGGCACGCAGTTTAGGATTCTGAGTGGACGGGCGTTTAAGAATCTGTATCGGGATCCGGCGCTGCTCGCTGCGCATTATTTGTCGGCGATTTTGGTTGCACGTGCGTGTTTTTGTTTCTTTTCTGTCTTTCTATGTTTTCTGTCATCCTGTGTTCTTTGCTCGTGGTCGTGCCGACGGGCTTTGTCACTGTCTTGTTTCATTTGCCCTCTGTTCCTGTTTGCTTCCACTACCCTCTGTTTCGTTTGCAGCTGCCATCTGTCTCTGTTTGCCTCTGTTACCCTTATTTGCCTCCTCCTCTCTTCTCCGTATTCGTATCTGCCTCCCTTCTGTCGCTGTCAGGTTCCACTCGCTGTCTGTTTCCACCACCCTCAGCCTCGTGTGGGGTTTTGATTTTTTCCCATTCAAGAAAGGCCTAGTTTGGGGCTAGCACAGGGCGGGTGGTGCCGTCGTGCTGGGATTCAATGTTCTTTCGCGGGCGGTGTGCTCTGGGCCGATGAGACGTTGTGCTGACGTGATATCTTTCCCTTTCGTAGTGGTTTGCGGTCTCTTCTTCCACAACGTCGGGTGCGCGTTTAGCCTAGCCTCGCCCGATCCGCTGTGCTCATTGAGACGCACCCTCTATCTTTCATTTACAGGAACGATATCGCTGGCTTCCAGAACAGGCTCGGTGAGTGTTGCGCCTACACCCCTACATCCATTCGTTCATTTGTTCGCTCATTCGTCTGTTCATTCGTTCGTTTGTACACCACCCTGTCCTTGTATCGTCGCCCTCGAATTTGCCACCCCGCCGACTTCTGCCTTATCTTGGCTCTTATTGATTCTATCTTCTATTCATTCCACTATTGTGACCTGTCACTGACTTATGTGCCTCGCATGTGCTGCGCACTCCATCTCCAACAGGCATATTCTTCTTCACCCTGGCGCTCTTCGGCTTCTCGTGTCTGTCAAGTTTGGGACTGTTCGCGAACGAGCGGATCTTGTTCATGCGCGAGAGGTAGGTGGTCACGCTCATCTTCTTTGTTCTATCGGCCCCTTTGTATCGTCTTTGGTATTATCTACCGCACGCCACGACGCAGTTGGAGGATAATGCCGCCGATTGGTCGCCTTTCTTCGTGATCGGCCCATTCTTAATCGATTGTGGTGGCTCCCAGGTAGTGGAAGTAGGAGCTGAAGGCTAACGTCGCATATATTTGCAGGGCCAATGGATACTATTCCTCGTTTACGTACTTCTCGTCCAAGGTTTGTTGTGTTATCCGCATTTTGTTCGCTCCACAGCTTGCTAACAGCTTATTTTTTGGACCCCAATCACTCCCGGAATCCCGATGGAATCCCAATATGCAATCTGAACCTGACCTCGCCCAACCTCGTCTCGCCAATCGCGATTACCACTCGACTACAACTCCAATCAATGTGACGTCCGAATACCTGCTGTGTCACTCTGGACGTTTAGGTCCTATTCGACATCCTGCCGCTGCGCCTCGTGCCCCCGCTCGTGTTCGGCGGGATCGTGTACGGCATGGTCGGGCTCGTGCCGACCGTCGCGGCGTTTTGGAAGTTCATGTTTACGCTCGTGCTGTTCAATCTGACGACCGCGAGCGTGATCCTGCTGCTCTCGATCACGTTCTCGAGCACAAGCGTCGCCTCGCTCGTTGGCACGCTCGTTATGCTGTTCAAGTGCGTCTTCCCTGTTCCACCTCGTTTTCACCGAGCTAACGTCGGTGCACAGCCTGCTGTTTACGGGCCTCCTGATCAACCGGGAGACGGTGACGCCTTTCTTGCAGTGGCTGCACACCGTCTCGTTCTTCCACGCCGCGTTTGAGGCGCTCGCGGTCAATGAGCTGCGCTACCTCCAGCTCAAGGAGATCAAGTACGGCGTCGAGCTCGACGTCCCTGCTGCGACGATCCTATCCATATTTGGCCTGCGCGCTCAGGTGTGTTTCCATCCCATATTCGTCTTGGCGATGAGTATGGACAGCTGATGGCATCTGGCCGCTTGATAGTCGTTCTGGTGGCCAAATATCTCGTTGCTCGCTATCTTCTTCGCGACGTTCACGACCGCGAGCTTCCTCGTGCTGCACTTCTTCGTCAAGGAAAAGCGGTGATATACGCCGGCTTCAAGGTAGCCGCCCTCCCCTGCCGATTAGTCTAGCGTGCATGGGGAGCTTGAAGGGAAGTCGAAGTTGGTTACATTACGTCCCGCAGCGATGGGGTGGAGCATGTTGAACGCTAAAGTTGCGCGGTCGCCATCCTCCCCCGAGCATCGAGAATACAGTTACCTATTAGCATCCATTATGCGTACGCTTTTCTGTATATTAGTACTTAGCCCATATATACGCGCTACTTGTTCCATAGGACCACGACGACGCGTCGGGTTGAATCGAGTTGTTGACATGACAAGCAGTGGTTCTGATAACCGGTATGAACGGTGTTTCGCTGAGGTTCGTTAGTGCCCGTGTGTGGTGTTACTAGAGCGGTAGTCATCATGCTTGGCCTGCGTCAAGAAGGTCCACCAAAGGGGAAGAAAATCCAGATAGGACGGCCAGGTGACTTAGACGCGCATGCCTGACAGACTTCGACAAGATCATACGACCCCACGGCACGCTGTCGATAACGCTCAATTTGTTGGGTTATAGGCATACGTACTGTATGTTTACATTAATGAGGTCGTTCGTCGGGGTCCGACTTAGCAACAGTAGCACTCCCGGCAGCCCGAGCTCTTGCTTCCCGGATCTGGGTAAGTTCAACCTGCGTGTACGGTCACAATGTACTATGGCTCGAAGGAAATGGACTATTACTCACCTCTAAAGCGTTGATACGAGCATTGATGATCGTGACATTTGAATCTATTGAAACTGAACGGTCGGACTCTCTGCGAACAGTATTTTCGACTGCTTTCGAAACCTGCGTGGATTCGGTTGTAGGAAGTCCAGATCCTGAGGTTCCACCGACGCTAGCCTCAAGTTCTTGAGGTCCCCCTTCCTGACTTTTTTGCACTGAGGGAGGGGCAATGCCCTGCGCTTGAAGAACGGCTATCAAGAATGTCAGCAACAGATAAGACGAAGGCTAAAGGACAAACGCAAAGGTCCATATTTGAAGAGGAACTTGACTTCGGGGTAAGTCGAGAAAAAGCGGCGTGGGCGAACTGGTCTCGAGGAATACCGTACTTCGCCAAATCTACTCGCAATGTTTATATGCTGTCCTGGGCATTGATTGGGTGGTAAGGGACAAACCCAACGCAATGTACAACAGCTTTCTTTGATCGCTCGTGGACGGTGCATCCATCTCTCGCGCCAGCCTGCACTTCTCGGTATTCCGTCCAGGCTCCGACGCGACCTCGCTCAATTAGGAGGGAAATCTCTCCAAGTCTCTCGATTCCACGTGTATGAAAATGTGTCTCATCATCTAGAGAGAAGATGAATGAGCACCGTATCGTAAAGTCGATGAAAACGCACCCGTTAACCTTACGTCCGAGAACATGAAGTCCCGCGTATTCCACCTGCCCACCTCCACCCCAGAGCGCTCTTTCGTGTCCGTACGTCGCATCGGGCCACCTTTCATGACCTGTCCTCTGCAGCTATATTACCGTCCACGGATACACGCCCACTGGAATCGTAGGGTCTCTCCCGTAACAAGCATGTCCACCGAACAGTGAAGTTCTGCGTAATGTACATACATTCGTAAAACATGTATGACACGTGTCTAATCGTTTCGAGCTCGCACCTTTCCAGACTGGGAAGGTATCCAGCAAGTGGCATTCAGCTTCGCTTGGTCCACCATCACATTGTATTCATCCAGAGGGCTCCCATCGACAACAATACATGCAGAGAAGTCTCCGACGCGCATAAGAGGATTCAGATTAAGGTGAACGGTCTGATTGAGGGCTCACTCGAAGGATTGCGATGGCTGTTGAGTGAACGCAGGTGGATGCGAGAGGCAAAGGGCGCGTAGCGATAGGCGCAAATTGATGGCGCGCGTTTTGTCAAGATGGTGATATGACCGAATTGCATAGGTACGGATTATATCAAGCATGATGTAAACAAGCTCCGCGTTGGTTCCGCGAAAGACGTGTCAAGCTTCATGCAGGGTACCATCTGTATCGATGTAGCCTTGACATCTTATAAACAATATTATTGCAGGTAAACTTAGAATATAAGTAAGTAGCTGTCAAGTAATTATAGCCATTCCGGCAAATTGATAAGGAAATAAAGTTTCAGTTCAACTATAAGACGCAGCGAAAAAGAGAAATGGGCGTACCCAGCGCCTACGTCAAGCCAATGATCTCGACAGGCGCCTCAGTCGCATCGCAGCGAGAATCACTCAACCCCTCATGCCAACGAGAACCTCCTCAGTTGATGGTTTGTGACGACACTAATCTCTGGGCGTACCAGCGCCAATGGACCAAAAGCCTTTGGCTGTGGCCTTGCACTACTCTTCCTGTGTGCTAACGCGGATACTGTAGATAATGTGTTTGTTAACGAAACATTACATTTGAGTAAGCCCTACATTACAACGAAGTACAAGTATGACAATAATACAAAAGTTCGCCTCGACAAGAAGCTATTCGTTCCTGGAAAAGGAATGTCAATGGCGCCCTCGGGGATCAGCGAAGCTCAAAGACCTACTCAAGTCAAATCAATGATATCTCCATCTACCTCGTACTTGATCCGTTTTGCGGGGCGTTCATCTGACCTCACAGAAACTGCAGTATGGGAAGAGCGTTTTCTCTGCAGTCTTGAGACCTCGAGCTTTGTGATAATCAGCCAAGCTCACAAAATGGTCGTGTGCAAAGGGCTGAAAGCCAGTTCAACGCACCTCCAAAGCACGGATACGAGCGCTAACGTGTCTACGACTGGAGATTGTCCCTTTTCGTGTGTTCATATCGAGGATTACTGGAGCGAAGTTAACGCGCTCACTCGTGGGCGAATGGCTTGCGATGGGTGACAGTGCGATACCCTGTGCCTGCAGAACCGCTGTCGACGCTATAAGGCCCCGAGTAGCACAGCCCGAGTTTGTTGAACGCACCTAGTGGCTTATACTTGAAGATAAAGCGTGCAACTGGGTGAGATCCTAAGAAGTGAAAGTGGATGGGGTGGATTGGATATAACAACTTCCTCTCCTCGGCAAAGCTACACGGATGAGATGTTACCAGCAGGCTCAGCGTAATACTGGAACGACTCACCTAACACAGTGCACCATCGCTTTCTTGGTCCGCTCATGAACAATGCGATCATCGCTAGGAGCTTTTCTAAATATAAATCTGGATGCACCTGGCCCCATACATTTTCCACGCCAGATCTCAATCGAGATTTCTCCAAGTTTCTCCAGTCCAGGCGTGCGAAGGTATGAATCATCGTCTGTGGAAAACATAGTATGAGAGTGTCACCGGAAACCTCGAGGCGTTATCCAAAACACGCACCCGTTAGCTTCAGGTCAGAAAACATCAAATCTCGAGCAGTTTCCTCGTCTATATGAAACTCTGAGCGCTCGGCGGTGCTCTCTTTCGTCGTGTCGAGAACTCTCCCTATGCACTTAAGCCCATCCACCGACACATAGCCACAGCTGTCAAGACCCCGCTCCCACACCCAATCCGTCCATTTGACGGAGAATTTCTGAGCGAGATGTCGGCAACTGGCGGGATCTCACTGACCATAGTGGCTCTCACCTTTCCAGTGTTGGAGGGGATATAACATGTGATCTCCTGTTCGTCTTCGCCCACCACAACATCGTATTCTTCCAGAGGACTGCCGTCAACGATTACTGATGCAGAGAAATCACCGAGTCGCATTGTATGTGCGCTTGACTAACGTGCTGGGATAGGGGATTAGGTGGGTTGAAGCAGGTCGCGTCGTTGAACAGCGGACGCGATGCCAATGGATGTTGAACAAGACCGTGACGGGTCTTGCCGAAGACAGCCACAGGGTGATTGATGGAATTCGACTTATCAGGAGTAAGCCGATCCATCCACAAGGGAATGAAGATGTCGATGAGTACCGTACCAATATTTGCCGTACTACCAGTTGTGCCAAAAGACACGTCGTGTTGGCAAATGTGCCACCGTCCAAGACCCCTTTTCATTTTGGCGTTCCCACGCTTCGCCTAACTGATTGCACTGACGCTGGGAAGATCCAGACGATGTGTCGAGGGGGCCGGCATCGTTATCGCCAACAACAAGCGTCCTTAACTGAAGAGAGAAGCCTACAATGTGCACTTTTGGCGCTTGCCAGCGTCTAGCCTGAGGGATACCAAATATAAGTTGCCCACAGGAAAGGGCTCGATGCCGCGGCGTGCTAACATGTCTGAACTATTAATTGTTTGCGGCAATTAATTGCACTTTACAGTATCATACTGCACCCATTGCAGAACTAAGCCTCCTCTGAAGAACGTTGTTTTCCGAGCGTGATATTGGTTAGTCTCTGCTTGCAATGTGTGCGGCAAATGAGGCGAACGTGTGCTCTTGTCGGCAGACCATCGCGCAAGCTGACATGTATCTGTCAGCCTCAGATGTTGCCTGCGCACCCCGGACCATACAGGAGATGCACGGTGGACGGAGTATCAACACGCAGCCCAGCGTCGTGCCTATCCTTTTATTAAACAGCGCCACGAAATGAACCATGGCATTAAAGATACCACTTCTACTGCCATCAACACTTAAGCGCCATATTCATATGAGCATACCAAAATCCAAAGACGCAGTGAATCTCACAGTAGGATTGTCATATTCGTCTTCCTCTTCTTCCCCTTGATCAACTCACAGAGTATGAGAACTTCTACAGACCACGACACCGCATGGGTAATGAGGTATTTACAGCCAAGGTTTGAGGTCCGAAGCAACCATACAGCAACTCTAGGGCTAAGGGCTGCCTAGAACATATAAATCTAGGGCGAATCATAGGATGAGACTTTCTACGAGTCCAACTCATTCTCTGTTTTCTGGTCCCTTCTCATACGCATAGCATGGTCACTGCAAATCATTCATCCCAGCTTTGCATTGTACGTCTCTCATATATCTCATCTACGTCGCCTTGTTACTCATATTTCTGCTCTGTTTATATAGCATTGCCATCGGAAACCGAGATACAATGATGGCAACACCATTCATCCGTACTGCAGTAAAGCCTGTGCGAAAGCAGACAGCAAGCTCTGTGTGGTAGGCGGCACCTACAAGCGCGCATGTCGCGGAACCTTTCATTCAATCCTATGCACAGGTTTGCCATGCTAAGCCCAAGTTCGGAAATCACAACTATTGCAGCAAGACATGTGCTCATAAAGCCAGTTCGAATGGCGGGTCGAAGTGAGTTCACATTGCATCAGTGATATAGGTTTCTTTTTTCTGAACAAGCATACCTTTGGTAATTAGACATCCAGTCAAGGACGAGTGTCTGATGCGCTGTGGAAAGCCTTGCTGCGGCAAGTTTCACTTCTGCAGCAAGAAATGTGCGACAGAGGCGGAGAAGAAGGCACCGACGCTTCTCGAAATCCCCAAGGACCATGCGGCATATAAGAGTGGTAAGGACGAAATCGCTAGTGCCAGTCGCACGCTGCGCTGACCAGCATTTACCCTTTTCCCATAGTCAGTCACCAATTTCAAGCTACCTGGAAATACGGAACACCATGCCCCACTGTGCAAAGAATATACCACGTCGTTTCCACAAACTCTTCTGTTAAAAAATATAAGGACTACCGGTAAGTCAGGCTTGTGATATTCTGTGAGGAATATCAACTGATCATTCCCTTCAGCGCGGCAGTTGAGAGTAGAGGCAACTTCACGCAGAAAGGTATGGCCAAGGGGAACGAATCGCGCCGTTGGCACGGTACAACACGGGCGTGTAAGCTGGGGGATAGCGGGCACACTACACTTTGCACCAGCGCCAGCTGTTCTCTCTGTGCCATTTTGCGCACATCGTACATGATCAAATTCGTGGGTTCGCACACTGGCGGTGCAAGGTGAGTTATTTGGCGCTAGATAGATGGTAAATAGGCTGATAAACACCACATACGCCTCGGTGAAGATTTGGCCGCGGGATCTACACATCCTCGACGACCTCTGAGTAGGTAGAGTTCTGGCTGATACCGATAGCAACTGCTCACTGTATTTAGGTCGAATGGCTACGTAAAGAACGTCACGGCGTCTAGTTCGAAGGCAATGCTCCTCAATAAGGTTGTGGTCGGAAGGGGATATAAGACCCAAACCGACCAACCCTCGTTCACAGCACCTCCCGCGGGATATGACTCAGTGAGTGCAGAACATGACATCTCGGTTATACATTATAGATTAAAAAATTGACAAATCCCGCACTAGGTCCTAGCAGAGCCAGGAGCCTCTCTAGACCACGACGAGCTGGTGGTCTATCGGGAAGATGCAGTTCGACCCGCATACCTGGTTGTTTACTCTTGAGATGACATTACGTCAATGCACACGAACTTCGAAGTTTGAGAGACAGATTTCCGACGGAACGCGTTATATGGTGACTGAGCCTAGTATGGTCTGATCACTGTTTTACTGTACAAACGTTGATAAATTCCTAGTAAATCGAGCAACTTTGTGCCATAACTGAAGGATAGCTTGTAAGCTTGTTTCACGGAAAAGTACTAGTGACTGTGTCGAAGAACGGGGCTGGCTGGCTTGAAGCTTGAGGTGTGGACTGCTTCGTGACCATCCTAAGGCTTCGAGCAAGAGTACTGTAATCCTGGCAGGAAACGGAAATGAACCGTGGCAACAAACATTGAGCATTTCGTCCGTCTTGAACTTTGGTACCCGCAGTAAGTAGATAGGCGATTATGTTCGGGCGCTTAATTTCATCGCACCATATTCACATGTTTTCGTTGCTCAATTGCCGAAGCCTTCGAATTTGGCACTCCGTTTGCATCAAGAGGCATTTGGATTTGCAATGAGGCTTTCAGAAGCCTTGGGAACATTGGCATTGCCATCGATGTAAAACGAACTCGGAGATGAGCACTCTTCGACTTCACTCGTGGGGCCGAATGAGGGGCGAGGCGAAATGCTGCATGCAGAGTGGATGTCCGGAATGTCTTCCCGGCCCGGATTTCCGAGCATATATTGCCTCCTTCCGAAAACCCCTGACCGCGCACGTCTCCTGCTTTTCCCATGGCAGTCATGATAGTGGTGAGCGCGCCCATCCACGTTAGTTGATATCTAGACACCACCGGTATATTCACAAGAGATCAGAATAGCATGTAAGATAGAGCCTTAGAAGCACGTATTGAACGATTGCAAGAATTAAAATGCAGAGTGTCGAGGGCACAAGCGCCTGGTGCGGGAACGTGGCATGAAACGTTCGAAGCCGGACTCGCAAGAATAGCGACAGCTCAATCCAGTTCGATAACCTCAATGGGAATCGCTGAACGTCCGTGCTCGCGTTTGACCCGCTTGGCAGGACGTTCGGCCGGCTCTTCCTTGACCTTAGCTGCAATAGCAGGGTTACGCAAAGCCTCAAGCTGGGCAAGTTCATCCTAGGCAAAAGAGGGTTAGCCAAAAGACCGCTCTCAAAACTGACGTAGTACCTTCAAAGCCTTGATGCGCGCATCGAGCATGCGTGTGCTAATATCTGACAAACCGGGCTGCTGTGAAGGAACATCGTTACTCGTCTCGGGAACGTCCTCCGGGGCTGCATCGACTGCAACAGAGCTTTCTCTTTCACTTGCTGGAGTCGCGCGAGGAGCTATTCCTTGCGCTTGCAGAACATCTAGCGGGCGTATCAGCTTGCGCCTGCACACCGTGTCATTTGACGCACCTAAGGGCCGGTACCTGAAGATGAAGTAAATGAACGGATCCGTTGATGCACTGAAGTGCCATCCTTCTCTTGGTATTGAACGCTTCCTTTGTTTGCCAAACCTGAGTCGTCCGAGAAGGCGGCTCTGCCATTAATATGAGGATATCTAGTATCAAGGGCAAGCAGCATACCCGACGCGGTGCACCATAGTTTTGCCCAGCTTCTCATTAACAGGTTCAAATTCCTTGACGCCATTGTTATACAGCATGGGTACAGTCTTCAGCGCCGAGATGCCCCGCTTTATTGTGAGTTTTATCTCGCCGACTTTCTCGAGGCCGTGAGTACGAAGATACGCTTCGTCATCTGTTTTTCAATTTGGCTTATGAGAGTCTTGCATGGTTGGAAAATCATGCACCTGTTAGCTTTACGTTAGAGAAGACGAAGTCTTGGGTCGTTTCGCGGTCCAAGGAGATGCCTGAGCGCTCCTTAGTATCCGACGTTCCCAATATGCCGGTCCGCACGACGTTCCCTGTTTTACAGGTAATGTCGTCCACAGAAATGTATCCACCACTCTCCATCGTGCGGATCTCTTCCCAGCATTTCCATCGGACGCTGAATTTCTAGTTTGTCTGATAGCTGAGATCTGACCTAGACGGAGCAACTAGTTTACTCACCTTTCCCGCCTCTGAAGGGACGTAACACGTCGCGCTTAGCTTCTCCTCATCAACAACAACATCAAACTCGTCCAGAGGGCTGCCGTCCACCAAGACGGAAGCAGAGAAATCGCCGACGCGCATGCCAAATGATTTGCACTTGATTTGCTCCTTGACAACGTGTTTCAAACGTGACTCTGAAGTAGGGTTGTAGAGGCGCAAGCTCTACTTTGAACGTGTCGCCAAAGATGATCCTTGCCTCTGAAGGGAGAACGTGTCGCGGCAGACTGAACCCTTTGATTAAGAGACTAAGCCCCGAGGAACGCGAGATGATAGAGGGAAGACGCGTAGCGGTTGTGACGCGCTTGCCGCATGACAGCCGTCAAACGCGGCGCGTCTTTTGCAATTATGTTGATTTGATCGATTGTCAGTGTCGTGAAGCTACTATGTATACAGGGGGTATTAAGTACAAAAGCGATGCGATATGGTTTGACTAGTATGTAGAACTATATTGAAGTGCCTAACGATCGGATGGCTGTTTAGAATGCAGCTGCCTTCAAGCTTAGTCTGAGTCAATGATGATGACCTCCGTAGCTTGGCCAGAACGACTGCCGTCGGGCTCGCGTTTCACTCGGCGTTTCGCGGGAGGTGCACCCGGTTCCGATTTGACGGGGGTCCTGTTCGAGGCGGCTTGTCGTGCGCGAAGTCGGTTCAATTTTCTCTTCTCAAGAAGAATGTTCGAATGTTAGAGTAGTCAAGTACTACAAGGCAGTAATCTCACCTCAAGCGCGTGTATGTTCGCATTAAACGCCGCGGGATTCTCCGGCCCGTCGTCAATGATAATGACGTCGTCATCAATAGTTTCTGAGCGCTTGATAGGAGCGCGTTGCGGGACTGGTAGAGAGGCGATGCCCTGGGCTTGAAGGACAGCTATGACAACGTAAGTACGGGGATTGAGCTGACTCTGCTCTCGTAGACGTACCCAGAGGACGATATTTAAATATGAAATGAAGCGTTGATCGTGTGGGGCGCACTTTGTGGGTCCTTGCGCTGGGGATTGGACGCTTCTTCTCTCTTCCGAAACTGACCAGACGAGCGTGAATTGAATCAGTAGCTCGTTTGACGTAGTGTGAAGAGTAATGACGCTAGGCACACACCCAACACAATGCACTAGCGCTTTCTTCGCTCTCTCATGCATGGTTCTCGAGTCTTTGACGGACCGCCTGTGCTCAGGAGAGCTATAGTGAGTTTCGGGCACGCCTCGTACGATGTCGAGCGTGATCCCGCCGAGTTTGTCCAGGTCAGGGACGTGAAGATATGTTTCGTCGTCTTCAGCAGCGTTTAACCTCGATAACGATATTGAATGGCATACTGCGCACGCACCGGTAAGATTAATGTTCGAGAACATAAAATCTCTTGTGGTCGTCTTGTCCACGGTAAAGTACGAACGCCTGGCTGAGTCTTCTTGCCCGGACCGCGCGGACCTAATCACCTTGCCTTTACACCACACGCCATCGACCCCTACCCTACCAGAGCTCCAATGCGTCCGAGACTTCGACAAGCATCTCCATTCGACCATAAACTTCTAGAGAGGCCGTCAGCAAGTGGCTATATGCGCAAACCGAGCCTTCTCTTACCTTTCCAGCCTGGGACGGAATGTAGCACGTAGCAGTATGCCTCGCCTCGTCCACACTCACGTCGAGCTCGTCAAGAGCCTTTCCATCGACAAAAACAGATGCGGAGTACTCTTTCACGCGCATAGCGAGAGCGCACGCGCTGAGGGGATGGTGTTGAGCGACGAGGATACTTAGGGGATGTGTTCAAGGGCTCGTCGCGTGGGGCCTGCACCGGAGAACGGCGCCCAATTAGACTTTTTCGGCATGTTCCAGGCACGCGGTCCGCAAGTCCGCGGCTTGCTCTTCAGAGTGGACAAGAGCCCGGACCGGCGACCCTTGTAGGTTGTATGGCTTTCTCGACGCTTTCTCGAATCCATTCCGTCCCAAAACAGTGGATTATCATGACGTGTATATCAAAGTCCCAACGGCTAGCTAACTATAAGCAAATGTCCAAGCCACCGCGTCATCACCAACGTCAGCCCAATGGGCATTTAGTTAGGGTCTTGGGGAACAGTGAGGTCGATCGGGAGGTAAGTAGAGCCCATCGTGAAGTACTGCTGGCCGTCCGTGCCATTCTGGGGGTACGTTACCTGCACTTCGACAGCGTAGCTCGCGTTGAAGTAGAACGCGGCAGGGACCTGCATGCAGATTCGTTCCGTCAACCACAAGTCAGCAAAACGTTTAAACATAGCCAGATACGGAATGTGCGAGGAGCAGTCGCGAAAACGCACATCAGCAGTGAAGGTGTCCCAGTCGCCACCGGCGGGGTTGTAGTCGCGGCGGTAGAGCAGCACGGGCGGCTCGTGTCCGTTGTTGCCCTCGGGCACGGAGATGTAGTAGTCCGTGTACTTGGGCACGATGCCGAAGGTGCGCGCGCAGCTGAAGTCGGTGTGGATAGTGAAGCCCTGTTGCCAGTCAATGTCTCAGCACTTTCACCTTCAGTCGCGCAGACACGGGTACTCACGGAGCCGACGGTGAGGTTGGAGGGCACGACCTGAAGGACGCCAAAGCGTGATGCCTCGGGGCAGTCGGCGCGTTTCTCCTGTGTGACGGCAGACGCGGCGGCGAGAGCGGCGCAAGAGAGGGCGCTAGCAGCAGTGAACTTCATGGTTGACTGTTGGGTGCTCGTGTACGACCTGAGTGACGATGCCCTTGAATCACTCGCATGCCGCTCCCTTTATACTTTTCATGTGAGGCGATGGTAGCCCGTAGCTCGTCACCTTCATCAAAGGTGCGTGATGAGCAGGGTTCGTGCCGTCGTGAAGCAATCGCAAAGGGACCATATGGTTATCCCGGCCTCTCCCAGAAAATACGGTCTGGCATGCCCGCAGCTTCCCCTCCAAGGCGACGGGGGACAAGTATCCGGTCAGGGCCTAAAGGCGGCCATTCCCGGCAACTTTTACTTCAGAATCAGGGATGTACTTCGGAGGGTACATTGCGTGGTGATTAACTTCTTAAAAGTACCGTTGTGTCTTTTTGCGCTGAAATCCCATCAAGGAGTACGGCCAGACGGCGGATGACAGCCAACGCGCGCGATATGTCACAGAAGCAAAAGAACTGAGACTTCGTTCATCAGCTCGATAGACCTGTTAGCTTGCTCGAACAGTGAAGATGACTTTATAGTCTTCAGAGTCGCAAATACGGTGAGCGCCATTGTCCAGCGAAGCATATAGCAACCATCTATTATCATAACGTTAGAGTGGGGAGTGATTAGCAAAACAAGCTAATAAGGAGCTCAGTACAAACATATTCATGCTGGTGGGTTCCAAACTCCAAGCTCTTTATGCAGCTCGCTGAGGTCCTGCTCCCATCTCTTCTCCCAGTACACAGTCAAGAGATTCCGAGAGCTACTTCCGCACTTGACGGCCCAGGGAATGTACTGAGAAAGAAGCTTCTCGCGCTGAGCAGGCTTGAGTTTGACCGCAGCCCCGAGAGCCATGGCGGTCATGGGGAAGCCCAGATTGGTAAACTCGAAGGCCTTGACGGCGAGCTCGGGGAGGGCATTCACGCGTAACCCGAAGAGGGCGTGATAGAAATCGTGCGTTTCTCTGTAGCGCTGCATGACGTACGCGAGTTCGGGATCGGAGATATAGTGAACCTGTAGCGTATAAGTTCGGTTCGGGGCACATTCGAAACTCAGCTATGAAGACTCACCGGATCTCTCGAGTCCGGGGTGACGCGACAAGAATCTAACCAGCCCACATATGCCCTCCCCCATGTCCCATTCGGCAAGCTTCGTAGCCGATCCATGTTAATCGTGGTTGAATGTATGCGTGGTCGATCACGTAGGATGCGTCGGCCCTCGGGAGACTCTAGCATCGCGTCGCGGAGCTTCACAAGTGTAGATCCAGCAGTTGTTTCGCCGAGGGCAGCCACCATATCTTCATAAGAGCACAATGAATATCATCAGTCACGTCAAAAAAGTACAAGGAGCCACGAGAGGCGCGCGCACCTGCACGTCGGGGGTCCAGGAACGCCATGACGGCTGACCCCACTGCCAGAATGCCATTCTCCAACGTGCTTAGGGGTATGTGTCCGGGATAAGCGGGTGGTAAACGGGACCCGGTGTTGTACTTGCGGCTCGTAGTCAGAGACAATGCAGCAGGAGTAGCGGTCCCGGGGCGAAGGATCGACCGTGAAACGGTTGCAATGGTTTGAGACGCGTACCCGTGCTGGGCGCGGTCAAGGCGTCGCGCGACAGACGCATAAACTTTCTCCGACTTTCCTAGCAGTGAAAACGACGGGTGGTGTAGCAAAGTAGAGCGCGAGCTCTGCACAAGTGGGGCGGTCAGCATTGCGTAGAGTCGGTGAACGGTGCAGGTCAATGCAACGGAAGCACTCCGGGTGTATTCACAGCAGTGGCATGGCTGTAAATAGACCCTAACCTTAACACGTGTTTCATGAGCCCCTGAAGCCCTTTGCGACCCCAGTCCCAATTTTTGATGTCTCGTTCGCCGGCTACTCATTTACTTGTCTCAACGTTCCATCTCTCTCAAGTGCCGTTCATCAGTTTTTACGACGTTCGCCTTGTTCTGCTTGAAGACTACGGGCAGCCACTCGGGCCAATGCACCAACAATAGGTGACTTCTTGATGGTTCTAAGCTGTGTGGTAAACACGATGAGTCCATCATGATGTCTCGAAATGGTCGATGCTCAGCGCTTGGCCACAGAAACCCCCACGGCATAGTAACGAAGGCCACAGTCATAATCCCAACCTATATAACCTCTCCCTAGGATGTCCCTCCTCTCCGTCGGGAGCTTGGCCTCTTCTCGTCCTCTTCAAGGTCCTTTCCTCACTCTGACCCTTCTCCTGTTCGCCAAGAACCTTCGCTAGAACATCCCTATCCGCATCTCGTACGCGATGCGTCCATCAACAGACACCATCTCTACCGTCTCTACTCTGCGAGATACGACGGTCAGACATCGGAGCGCAGTCACTGATATAGCAAGTCCCACGCTAACCAACAGACTCGCCGCTGCTTTTCTTGATGTTTCTCACCACCCAGGCCTGCAGGCAACGAGGGTTGAAGGCAGCGAGAAGGCGGATAACCACGCGTCTCGGCCGGGTGTTCCTCCCACCCTCCCTCTCAACCTGCGCGCAAAGCGACTCATCCCCGACACCGAGCCCGCCGGATACGGCTCGGAGCCCTCCTTGAGCGCTGCGCAAGAGATAGTCGCCAAATACAATGCGACACAGCCAGATCAGCAGATTATCCGCGATGGTGCCAGCTCCGACGATCGACACTCCGTTCTCACCCTGGGCGGTGCTTCCGACGGACAATCGACCATAGGCCATGGATGGAGGCCTAACCCGAAAGTGCACTATCGACGGTCGGATATGGTGGATCTCAATGCTGCTGTGCGTCCTGTGTTCCTCATCAAACAACTATACCCGCATGACTAAACTTGTCCCCCACAGCAATGCGAAGCTATGAAAACTCTCCAGCGTTCCGGCGCATCCAGCGGCGCCGACCTCATCTGCCCGCGCCTCGGGTGCAATAACCGTCTGCGCTCCGTCGAGGCGCTCAAGTACCACTTGCACATCCACGATATCGGGACGCAGATAGACTCGCGCAGTCGCAAGCCGTCCTCGTGTGGGTCCAGGAGCGTCAGCAGCTTCACTGTCCTGGGCGAGAAGACCCAACCCTCGAAGCACATCTGTCCTTACTGTGGCGAGCATTTCAAGGCTGGATGGTTGCTCGACTTTCATTCCTGCAACGCACTCAGCGAGACGCGCAGAAGGTGTCAATCAACTTCAGCCTCCCTTATGGGCGCCATCAGTCGTAGCCGCAGAGCCAACCTCTCCTCATCTACCTCGCCAAACCTTCACTCAGATGTCCCACAGACTTTCGCTCCACGAAGGAGCGGCGAGTCAGAGATGAGCATCGCGCGGAGTCTCTCCACGGTCATGTTCGCAGAGCCTTCTGTCGTCCCCCCTCCTCCTCGCAAGCGCCGCGACGTCGTACCCGACCCTCAAAGCCAAGGCCAGGGCCACAGACGCAAACAGAGCGGCAGCACACAACCGTACAGCCCGGTGTCCCAATACTCGCAGGATGTATCCGTCAGAAAGAGCACCACCGCGAAACACGCCTCCGCCGTCGAAACCCTCGAGTTCTCTCGGCTACATGCGAGCACCAACGAGGCCAACTATTACGACCCCGGCCCGGCAGCAGCCAATCTGCCTGCCAGCCGTCACGCGAGCATGAGCATTGACGGCGTCTTATCTTTGCCGACGAGCCCGACGCTCGTCCCGCGCACGCTCGCCTTGTCATCCGACCAAAGGAGCGCACCCTCGAGGTCGAGCAAGGTCGAGCCGAACATCCCGGCGGTGTTCACCGTCCCGCAGGCGGGGCGATCCGTGTTCTCGCCGGCCAGCAGCCAGGCGCCGCGCGGCGACTCGGAGAGTCGTGCGGGGGGCTTCGTCACAGGTACGGTCAGTCGGGCTGTTCGAACCGAGTGCGCTCGTTCTCACCCTTGTTCATTTCGATAGGTGGATTCAAGCGCGTATTGTCGGGAAGATGCTGCGTGAACGATTCATACGTCGACGATGTTGCCTAGTTTGCCTTGGCGTTTCAAGGTGTGGACTCAGGCACTGGGGTACTGATCATCCAGGACACACGATTGTTTCATCCCGGAACTAGACTTTCTTTCATCATCTTTCTATTTGTGCTTCACTGGTTTCTCGCGTCGGCCTTTTGTATTTCTAGCTCACACAGGATGCTTGTTCTTCAAAATGGGGTTTCATCGATATCATTTCATCATCAACATTCACTTAATATTTCATAGATCTGTTTGCTATCATGTATAGCCTAGCATCGCCATAGCTATCTACCCACTGTATCGTTAGATATCCTTCTTTGTATTACCACACCATGTGTATACGACGCTCATTCGGGTTCTTCATTGATTGTTCAATCTTCTGTTGTATTTATGCCACACAGTTTCAGTTATGTATTATTATCGACTGCCAGAGCTTCCGCTGTTACCTTGCGTATAGGATAGACTTCGTATGGCTACATGTTCTTAGATGAATGTTGAACTACGCTAGGCTTAAGGCCAACCTTTGTAGATATTCGAATACTCGTTATAATAAAATCACCCTTTTCTGCCCGTCAAACACATCCATCATACTCAGCCTATCGCATATCAGGCTCTACCGCCCCTGGCGAGCCTTATCCACCTCAGCATGCTTGAGCAATAGCACGTCCTTCCAGAATTTAGTTTCTTGGTGTGTAGTCCACACCGACGAGTTTCCCCCGACCTCGACGTTCGACAGGTTAGGCGTCATCCGCGCCAGCAACTTCGCGAGACGGTCAGCTCTTGGAGGCGTTAACGGGGTGTGGGTCAGCATCAGCGTTCTTACCCCGTCGAAACACTGTGTCGCGGGGCCTGCCAGCGTGGTTGAGCCATCGCCTCCGCTGCCTCCGCCGCTGGCAGTGTCATTTCCGGCAACCTGTCGAAGCAGCGCACGGACATCCGCGGGAGACACCTCGACGTCCAGCCGCACACTCACGAGTCGCGGACACACGCCGAGAAGCGCGACGAGCTGCACCATGCTCAGCGGCCGGCTGAGTGGCGCGAGCCGGAGATCGGTGAGCAGCGGCCAGCAGCTCGCGAGCGCCAGCACCTGGTCGCTCGAGAGTTCGCGAGGCTGGCTCGTGAGCTGGGATGTTGCGCCTGGCTGGCCGTGCAAGGGCACGTAGGACCAGCGGACGTCGAGTGCGGTGAGCTGGAAGAAGGGCGCGAGGGGGCGCAGGTTCTCGTGCATTGTCCGGAGGTTGGCTGGCGCGTGTTTGTCCGGCCAGGTCATGGTGAGTGTGAGCTCGCGGAGCTTGTTGTGCGGGACGTGCTGGGCAAGGGCGGCGGTGAAGAGGGGTAGACTGTCGGGATCTGAGCAGCCTGTTGCGTCGAGCGTGAAGTGCTCTATGCCCCGCTGCCGATGAGGTTCTTTGGAGGGAAATGTTTCGCCGCCTGTCGATGTTGGCGAGAGCAAAGCCTGAAGCGCACGTACACCGTTCCTCAGGTCGTCCGTCGTAACTTTGAGTGCATTAAAGTTATGATACACATTCACGTCCTGAACAGCTATCTCGGCATCTACCTTGTCCTTTAGCTCAGATGAGACCATTAGATCCACTATTTCGAGACGGGGCAATGTCGATAGTTGCCCCAGTGATTCAATGTCGCTGATGGGTATACCGGAGACATGGCGCAGAATCTTGGCGACACCAGCAACGCTAGACGCCGGAAGTGATTGTTGAAACGCACTACCACCGCGTATCATGAGCGTCTCGAGAAGCGGAAATGTGTTGATTTGCAGGGTTTCAACATGCTCAAACACCCCACTGGCTGCTTGACGGGACAGATCAAGCACTCGGAGGTTAGGAAGAGGAAATAGCAAACGACAGAGGGGTCGCAGGTCCTGGTACCCGGGTCCGTTAAGGCGTAAGGTCTGTAGGTTGGGGAAGAAGCATGTCGGTCTTTGTTCGACCCATTCAGGTTCTGTCAGTGCTTTGTAGACATTATCTCCTATGAAAGTCCGCCGAATGTCACCTAGCATCAAGCCTGAGTCATGAAAACAATCATAAGTCCGCAGCTTGGCAGTTCTGCTGAGCAGAACAACCCAGTCGCTTGCTCTCATGTCTCGACAAAAAGTCTTGATCACATAGAACGTAATCACGGTGGGGGTGATTGAGCGCGGTCAGCAGAGTTGGAAACCATCTTTAGCAAAACGAGGAAACGCACCATCTTCCAGTCAATACATTCGCTCGCGCTTAGCGCAGACCCCAGCTGTGCACCGCTGGCGGAAGCTACCTTCGCAGCAGCCTGTGCGCGTGACGCTTCGTAGCGCAGCGACCGGAGCACCCATAAGTCCGAAGGCAAACACTCCAGTATCTCGACAAAGTGCTCCGCCTGCGCATACAGCATATCCGCTGCTGGACCGTTGAACATCTGGCACACCAGCGCCACTCGCGCGAGAGTGCGCCTATCCATATCCTCAAATATGAGAAGCAGAATCTCCGGAATGTGAAGGCACGGGTGGCATGCCTCTTGTGGGTCGGGCGGCGTTCGTTTGATGGGCTCTTCGGCTGGTTCTTCAAGTTTCTTCTCGCTTACAGGTTCCAGGACATCGGGGACTACTGTGCCCTTACGCACATAGAGCTTCCCTTTGGTCTTTTTCATCAGCGAGAGGCTACTACGTTTTCTCTGGTTTGCAGGAAAGTCACTCACGAAGCCACTTCTTGAGGGCCTGAGAGAGGCTAAAGCTTGTGATGGGCATGCTGACGAAGGCAGCCTTCTACGATGTTGCTTGCCTAGTTGCTGCGGATAGATCCTATGTGCAGAGCCGTGAAAAAGCAAGAAGCAAAAGGTGTCAGGGTTGTTTCGCCGGTCAAGTACCACTGACAGGTGTCGCGTGGAAATGGTCTTTGTTTGTGAATACAGACGCAGCCTGGCGCAGCATAATTGATGCGCGTGCCTTCAGAGCTTCAAGTCATGGTATACTATTCCGGGGTAAGGAGGCGTGAATGGATAGAACACGTCTTCCTTCGAATCGTAGTTGTGGAGGCTTGTTCTGCAACGTCAGCTCTGACGATACCCTATCGTGGCGTATCTGCAACTCAAGAGTTGGTTCAAGGAACGCTTGTACTAGCTGTGCTCCATTTAGACATGAGGCCATTCTGACGTCATCACTAAAACAGAGAGAAAAAAACGCCTACGCTGCCGCATCCAGATAATAACTTCAAGTGCAAGGGATCAGAGATTCTTAGGCAAACTTCTCAAATAATGACACGCGAGGACGCGAGGGTATCTCATTGTGATCGCGCTAGACAAACCCAAGGAAACGGCAACGGACATGATTACTGGCCTAATCCATAAGACGTATACTGCAAGTAAATAGTGTGTAGGTGATGGATGAGTGGAGGTGGAGGTGCGCAAGTGGTCGTCTATATCACTAAGACCAGACAAAGATCCGTAGAATAGTCCGTGTATGAGGTGGGTCGTCTAAGAGAAAAGACATGATAAATTAGGCGGTCTAAAAGCGTGCAAAGTCAGCAATGGGGTCCACAGCTAAAACCGAAGAGTCAACTCACCGATTCCTTCAACCAGGTAATGAGGTCGTTACGGTCCTTCTCCTTCTTGAGACCAGCAAAGGCCATTTTGGTTCCGGGGATGTACTATGATGCCTATCAGCGAAATGCAAGGATAGAGTATGGAGGCAAACACACCTTCTTGGGGTTCTCGAGGTACTCAAAGAGGGTCTCTTCACTCCAGGTCACACCCTTGTTGACGTTGGCAGCAGTATAGCTGAAGCCCTCAACCTGACCAGTCTTGCGACCGAAGAGGCTACACAAAGACAATCAGCACGCGCTGTCACCCCTCCGAAGCTCAACGACGTACCCGTGAAGGTTGGGGCCGACCTTGTTCGGCTCACCAGCACCGACGGTGTGGCACTGAGCGCAGCGAGTCTTGAAGAGACCGGCTCCCTTACCAGCGTCACCTTTTGAGTAAAGCTCGCGTCAGTTCTCTTGTTCCTCGTCTGCCGAGTATAAACAGAGTGACTTACCAGCAGCGTAAGGCATGTCTAGAAGTCTATGGGATAGGTGGAGAAATAGAGGAGGAGGGCGGGACGGAGGGACGTGAACGTCTCGAGGATGTAGAGGAACAGTTTGAAGAAGGGATAAGGAGCCGGTGGCCTAATAAAATAGTTTCGCGTTCCGACCGTGCCGATGTGCCTGCCGGTTTTCTCCGTTGTCCATTGGCCCGCATCACCCAATCGGAGGCCGCGGGGCTATTCCGCGCCGGGCAGATCGGCGTCAAGTTGTACAACCCGCGCCGATGCGACGTCTTGCCATTGGTCTGCCACCTCCGTCATCGTCGTCGTCATCCTGCCTTCTTATGCTTCCTCTCACTCCGAGACACCTCAAGGATCATGCGACACGGATATGCAAGGGCATTATGAGAGCAGAGGCATCGTATTCTGGTATAGTGGCTCCAAAGCGGACCTCAAACTGCTCATACGTGGCTTGCAACGCAGTGTAACACCGCCCGCATTCACAATCTCACACAATGAGCGGGCAAATCACAATCAGATGGACCTGGTGAGACAACAGCGACAAAAAAACTGCCATGATATAACTGTCATCGGAGCGAATCGGAGCTGTGGACAAAACCTTGACTTCAGGCTTCAACCTTCGCGTTTAGGACTCGACAGGCCAAAGAGGTTTTCTCTCTCTCTCGCGAGCTACAATCAAGGGTACAGTTTCTCTTTATTATCCTAAAAGTGACGATGCCCTCAAGCAAAGTCCGTCACCTCCAAAAACCTCTGCGCTCCTGTCCAATATGTCCTGCAAATGCGCCCTCTGAGCCCATCGAATCCCACGATCTGCCAGTTTGATCCTCCGCCGGGAGGCTCGGGGAGCTGCACCTGCGACATGACGACCCATACATCTCCTTCGTCGTCAAACGTTATGGCGTTGACGATCCGCGATCGGGGCGTCATGTCGTGCACAGCTCGTGCGCACCCGTCGAACGCACAGTCGATGAGGAACGGCTTGAGCTTGTCGATGCGACCTTGCCTGGACACATTGTACCCGATGTCGCCGACGTCGCCGGTTCGGGTCGTGCCCTCCAAACTGTCTTTGTTCTCGGCATTGCAGAGGGTTAAGCGTACTCGGACGATGGACGCGCGAGTGGAGCGCCATTGATCGTAGCCTTTGCCAATGAGTGTCACTTGCACGTTGCCGGTGTGGGGATCAATCGTGGAATCTTGGAGAACGCCCAGCGCATCGAGATGGAGATCTGGTGCTTGACCGAAGTTTGTGAGGATTAGTATTTGAGATACAGAGGTGGCGGCAGTTTCTGAAAAGGGAGGCAAAGCGAACGCTTCGACGTATGTTGCCCAACCTTGCGCAGGGCTGTAAAATGTTAGGAACGATAGGATATGCGTCAATGTCGACGCGTATGTTATCTGCATCTCGGCATTGATCGTTACGGGATTCTGAAAAACTTCGGTCGAATGCGGAGAAGACAAGAGGACATCAGAAAACCGTACTCACGTCATGTAACACATGCGGCGGGAGTTGATATTCTCGCCCTTCATTGACGACGTCGAGTACTCGCACTTTGCGTGGTTCCGCGTGGTTGATGTCCCCTTGACCAGCGATGATTAGGGCCCGAGGACCAATGATAACCTTGTTTAGTGGGGCTGGATTTTGAACTCCTCGAGACATCTCGACCAGTTTCACTGGGCCGTCAACTAGATTCTCGAGTTTGAAGACAAGGCTAAACGACTCGATCAGTAAAAACTCGCTTCCCGAAACCGAGAAACTCACACAGTCGCATACAATGGCCTGTCGTTCTCCTTGAAAGTCTCCTCCAGCACTAGGTACCAAACCCGCACGCCATCCGCGGTAGTGGTCGACACGGCCTGCATCGCACTGAACCGCACCCCTTCGACGCTCTCGTGGACTACATCTCTCTGTGACAGCTCTGCCTCCTCGTCGGAACCGAGCCGCTCGAGATCACAGCACCGGACGGTGTTGCGGTGCACCACCAGCATCCACCGGTGCGCAACGAGCGCGAGGTGGTCGATCTGGGGTATGCGTACGGCATGCGAGGCCCTGGGGTTGGCGGTGAAGGGCGCCCAGTTGCGCTGGAGGCGCGACGAGCGGACGAGGGTGTCCTGCAGGAACTCGAGCGATTGGCTCGCGTGCGGCCCTGGAGGGCGGGGGAGGTTGGAGGTGCGGTAGAGGTTCGCCCATATGCTGCGGTCTCGCATGAAGTAGCGCAGCGACCTGCATGTCTATGTGCGACGTGTATTTGTATGCCTGAACATGGGGACGAAGAAATAGACGAGGTGGCGCTCACTAGACTAAGGCTGAGGACATCGAGCACTGAGAGATAGCTGACAATGATGTACAGCACATCCGCCGGTGCGTCCTGGAGAGAAGGACGTTCTGGGGATTCTATGGGCATCACAATGCTATCAGGGGTCGAACAAAAGCCACGTCGGATCAGCTGGGTTTCGTGCGTGCAGACAAGGAGGAGAAGCGCGGATGTCTCAACGCTATCATGAGTGCCATGGGAAAAGCAGCAGCAACGGAGAAATCAGGGGCTTGCTCAAGGAGGCAGTTGCTCGGAGACTCGGATCGGGTGGCGGGCCGACGTTGGGCCGACGCATAGCATTCAGCTGGGACATCAACAGCACTTCTTCCGGCTCCTCATCCAACCCCAAACAATGCCTCACCGGCACCCACAAAGTCGAAGAGTGCAGAGACTTGTCCCAGATCCTCCTTTATATCTAAAACCAATACTCACGAGGCGAAGTCTTCGAGAGCCTTATAGCAAATACGACGATGATTCTCCTGAGTACTCATTGCGCTTGAAAGAGGAAGCCCTCAAGGCCTCGAGAAGTCCCTATGGTGATCAAAAGCGAAGATATGTATGTTTACATGTTCATCCAGGTGAACAACGCTCGATGTGCTTTCTAATGCAGGCGGAGCGCTAAATCAAAGTTTGGGTCAAGTCAGAAATCAAAACATGCGGATGGGGTGTGACGAAGCCAAGCGCCCGAACATACTTAATCACATACGTACAAGCAAAGAACTTTAAGAAGGACCATCTGCTTAATCGCCGTTTCCATAACTCATTTCCGCTTCATTACAGTTTTGCTCGTGTCTGAAATTTATGGGATGATCGCCAAGTAATTCACATTGCAAGACAGCAAACCTCATTCTTCGACACGATCACCTTCCCACCAACGAGTTTGCTAAAAACTATCCCTGAGCGACGTTACAACGTTGCTCAGTTGACTAGGAAGAATCCATCAATGTTATACAGCAAAACCTCAGACTAAAATAGGCCCATCCACCATATCAGGCGCTGCGTCGGAAATCTCCGCGACCTTCGAAGTTCGTGTGCCAAATATTGTGATCTCCGCTCAGGCGTAAACAACCAGGTACGCGGGTCGAATTGCCTCTTCCTGGTAGACCACCAGCTCGTCGTAGTTCAGAGACATTCCTGGCTCTGCTAGGACCTAACGCAGGTGTTGTCAAAAATCTATAACGTATAACCGAAATCTCATATGCTGCACCCACCGAGTCATGTCCTGCGGGAGGTGCTGTGAGCGAGGGTTGGTCGGTGTGGGTCTTGTATCCCTTGCCAACTACGACCTTGTTGAGGAGCATTGCCTTTGAAGTAGATGCTGTAGCGTTCTTTACATAGTCGTTCGACCTGAATACACTGAGCATCTGCGACTGGTACTAGCCAGAACTCAGCCTACTTAGAGGACGTTGAAGACGTGTAAATCCCGCGACCAAACCTTTACCAAGGCGTATATGGTACGTGGAGTTTGTCAGCGTGTTTATCGCCTGTCTAAAACCAAAGAGCTCACCTTCCCCAGCCAGTATTCGAGCCCACGAATTTGATCATGTACGATGTGCGCAAAATGGCACAAAGAGAACAGTTGGCGCTGGTGCAAAGTGTAGTGTGTCCGTTATCCCCTAGCTTACACGCCCGCCTTGTGCCGTGCCAACGACGCGATTCATTCCCCTCGGCCATACCTTTCTGTGTGAATTTTCCTCTGCCCTCTACCGCGGCGCTGGAGGGAATGATCAGTCGATATTTGTTACGGCATTATCACTAGCCTAACTTACCGATAATCCTTATACTTCTTACCAGCGGAGCTTGTGGAAACGACGTGGTATATTCTTTGCACAGCGGGGCATGGTGTGCCGTGTTTCCAGGTAGCTTGGAATTGGTGACTGACTATGGGAAAAGGGTAAATCCTAGTCAGCGCAGCGTGAAACTGGCACTAGCGATTTCGCCCTTACCACTCTTATATGCCGCGTGGTCCTTGGGGATCTCGAGAAGCGTCGGAGCCTTCTTCTCCGCCTCTGTCGCACATTTCTTGCCGCAGAAGTGAAACTTGCCGCAGCAAGGCTTTCCGCAGCGCATCAGACACTCGTCCTTGACCGGATGTCTATTCACCGCAGGTGTCTTACTCAGAAAAAAGTAACGTATATCACTGACACAATCCGAACTCACTTCGATCCGCCATTTGAACTGGCTTTATGAGCACATGTCTTGCCGCAATAGTTGTGATTTCCGAACTTGGGTCTAGCATGGCAAACCTATGCATGGGGTGAGTGAACGAAATATTCAGCAACAGGTGCGGTTATAAGTAATTCTTACTGTACAGAGCTTGCTGTCTGCTTTCGCGCATGTTTTACTGCAGTACGGATGGGTGGTGTTTCCATCTTTGTATCTCGGTTTCTGATGGCAATGCTATTTAAACAAAGCTATGAATAACAAGGCGACGTAAATGAGAAATATCAGAGGCGTACAATGCATAGCTGGGATACGTGATTTGCAGTGACCATGCTATGTGTAGGAGCGGGCGGATCAGAAAACAGAGAAAGAGACGAACTTGGTGAAAGCCCCGTGCTAGGACTTTGCCCTGGGCTTATATTTCCGGAAAGCCCTTAGCCCTAGAGTTGCTGTATCATTGCCTCGGACCCTGAACCTTCTCTGCGAGCGCGTCGTTGCACGGGCTGTGTTGCTACTGGCCAGGCTTCGGAACGCTGCAATGAGTTAGATGGAAATTAGACGGCGCCATTTCTCTATTGCCGAGCGTAACCTTCATGGCTTCTTACTATAAAACCTCCGTAACTTACCATGGTATCACAGTCTATAGAGAAGGGATAGACGAGGAACAAAGCGGACATGTATTTGGCGCCCAGCAAGTGCTTATACTCCTGTGAGCTCTCGAAAGGGAAGAAGAGGAAGGCAAGTGTGAAGTTGTATCAATGTGTCTTCAGACTTCGGAAAGCTCATGTGAAAATGCCAACAAGGGCGCTTATGGAAGGTAGCAGAAGACGAACCATTCATAAGTATCGCTCGTTACATGCTCTTCTTTGATGAGCACGATGTAGAGGTGTGTGTTGATAATTCGTCCACAGTATGCATGCTGTATTGTCCAGGGTGTAAAAGCGGCCTAGGCTGGCCAACACGTGTCACTTCGACGGTAAACAAGGCTACGCTTGAAAAGCTTCATTTAGCACGCAAAGAGAAAGTATAGGCTAACCGATATCGCCTCGCCACGCAATCCACGTTAAAAGGAGTGTGACACGCCTTGTACGCGCGGCAAAGCCCTGAACGACCTTTCGTTAGCTATGTCACTGACCATGGCCTTGCCGACGTCAATTACCATTCCTTGAATTTTAACGGTTGCAACAAACCTATACATATACAGTTAGATCTCTTGAACGCGCGCTTCCTGAGAGCCCAGTTCGGAGCATGAAGGATCAACTTGAGCTTGAAGCTTGATAATTACTATAGGAATTGGCGCCAAAGGATGAAAGACAATATATAAAGACATCGAAGAACGCCTGTGTTTCCCAGGTGGACCCTCAATGGCGCTGAATTGACGGGAATGGTCCAAAGAGTGGTTGCCGATACGACAGGGGAGAACATCAATTGCACGTGGGAACGCGCGGCGGCGCGCGTCGGTCGCGTCGCTGACGCGTCTGTCACATCACCACGTCACAGGTTCGGGTGGTTGGAGAACTGTCACACTATAAGACAACCTCAGAGCAACCTCACAGCACATCGTCGGCAACGGCGAACCCAGCCTTTTCTTATCCTCTTCTGCCCCCCCAAAGGCATTCACGACCTTGTTTACGACCCACCCACACCATAGACATGAGCCACAGCCGCCCGCGGCCGTCTGTGCTCACCCTCTTCGACCCGCTCAGCGCCGCAAATTCTTCCACTCCTCCACGCGATGCGCAGGACGCTTTCACGTCTGAGGGCGAGTCTGACAAGGAGAACGATGGTCCCGAGTCTTACTCCGACATGGCTGGCCACTACTACGATTCGGACAGGCTCACGATGACCATGTTCTTCAACCGCACCTACTCCAAGACGGCCAACGTTACCAAGCACATATCGCCCCTTCGGAACAGGCTTATCGACGTGTCTATCAGTGGCGACGATGAAGATGAAGATTGGGATGCGGAAAACGAGAACGAGAACGAGAATGAGAACGAAAACCAGGAGAACCAGATTCAGAACCGGTCTAACGACTCGCCAAGCTTGTCATCCAAGGACGTGGACGGGTGCTTGCCGTCGCTGAGCGCGCTGACCCTGGACGACCTCAAGGACGATAACGCTAATCTAATGCGCGCTACGACCTCTCTCAAGACGCCCAGCTCCTCGCCCAGGAAAAGGAAGGGAAGTGCCGCTTCTTGTTCCCAGCGCACCCCATTGGCGGATATCTCGGTTGACGCTACGCCCATGCCTCCCAAGCTGCCCGCTGTTGCTTTCGAGAAGGCGAACCCGTTTCTCTCGTCTAAGACCGTTGTCCGTCCCAAGACTGCTGCACAACCGCTGCAAGGCTCCCCACTCGTCTCTGTCACCAACAAGATTGGCCTGTCGTCGGACCGATCGGTACCCGAATCACATGTACAGCTCCCTGGCGATCAGAGGGCACCCAGTGGCATATTAAGCGCGCAAGACCTGACTCCGACTATCGTTATTTCCGAGGAGGGCTATGTGGAGGATGGCTGTATCGCGACGTCGAAGTCATTTGTATGTTTTTCCCCTCCCCACCTTAGTCTTGTTTCACGGATATGACATATAGGTTGCGCTCCCCTCGCCTCCGCAGGAGCGCACCAAGGCAAAGGAACGCCCCCCTGCCGTGCGAAGCGCAAGTTCTCCGCCTTCGCAGCTCCGCCCGCGTCGCCCAAATGCGCCGCCTGTCACCATGATAGATCAAGACCCACGTCTCTCCGTCGACCTACAGGCGTCCTTCGACTGGCAGATGCGGTGCCCCGAAGCATCGTTTGACCTCATCAACGACCGCGTCTCATTCTTTGGCGGCGACTCTTTCTCGTTCGGTGATATGGACGCGCACGAGTTCGATGGGGCGAACGCGGCTGCGGCTGGTGGGCGGCACCAGCAGCAGCATCAGTCGCAGCAGCAGACTGAGCTAAACAGCAAAGTGGAGTATCATGTCCGTGCGATGAGTCCACGCCTCTCCTACGGCGACTCGCCGAGTGCTGGCGGGGCGTCGCCGTTACACACGATCAAGGAACATTGTGCGTATCGTCTATGCCCTACATGCTACATGCTAACGCCAGTTCCAGGGCAAGAGCTTAGACCCGAGAAAGACCGGCTTGCCAGGCAACGAGCTAGTAGTACATCGCCTGGCCGTAAGCAGATATCTTTCGGATTTTTGTGTCCCAGGTTTAAACTTATCTCTACCAGGTGAACTCAAGGGACGTCACGTCAGCGGTACGGTGCCTGCTAGTCCACTCGCTAAAGCGGCACAGTTGAAGCCCACCACACCTGCGACGACGAAGACGCCCGACTCCCCGTCTGGCGCGCGCAGGAGATCCTCTACAATCATCGGGACCCAGCAGCCGTCTCCCTTAGCCCCATCTCCCAAGAGTGGTGCGGTCACCAAGGCAACTTCGCCGCCCTCTTCGCTCTCGCGCAGAAGGTCTGCTACCATCGTTGACGTCGGTGCCCAGCAGCCCACTCCCAGGTCCACAGGGCTTTCTCCCAAGCCCACCGTCTCCCCGGCCGAAATCCCGCTTCCGATGTCACCGCCTCCCCGCGCCGAGCTTACTTTCTTCAAGGAGATGCCTGCGAAGTCCGCTGTTGCGCCTGTGGTCCCCATCGCACCGGCTCCCGTGCAGGCTCTGCGGATCGTCAAGCGCACTGCGCCCCTTGCGAACGGTGGTTCTTCCTCCGCCGCTAGCAGCACCGAGGCACTCGTACCGCCCGCGAAAGCCGTATCTAAGCGCAAGAGCCGCACCTCGCTCGACGTGGCTCCTGCGGCTCCTGCCCAGCCGACGCTCCGCCGCAAGCCTACCCTGCGTGGTGTACAGCGACCTCCGCCTGGCGCCGTGGTCCCACCGGCCCCGGTTGCGATTGAGTTGGCGCACCACCCCAAGCAGGCGTCGTCTGGGTCGGAAACGGAGGAACACGCCGCTGTGGCGGTGCCGAAAGCCAGCACGAAGAGCCGGCTGACGAGTCTGTCGATGCTCCGCACCAAGGCTGCTCCCGCTCCAGACACGGTGGCTTCACCGTTGTCCCCCACGCGCAGTGCTACGCCTACGCTTTCACTGCAATCGAAGGCGAGCGTGCTCAAGGGCACGGCGAGCAGCACGCTTAAACGGATGGCGTCCATGTCGGGCTCAGGGCCTGCTGCGACTCCGAAGGTGGCGTCGGGCGCCGCTCCGGCTGCTCCGGCGGTGGCGAGCAAGGGGCTGCAGTCGCGACTATCTTCTATAAGGGCGGGCACGGGTAATGCTAGTGCGTCGGCGCTGCCACGGCCTACGGTTGCGGCTTCGAAACTTCCGGTGCCTGGTGCTGGAAGCACGAAGACTGCTCGTAGTATTGGGCGTGGCGGGAGCATCTGGCGCGGGTGAGCGCCTCACCCTTGGCTGGGTGTTCCGGACGGATCAACAAAGTTTAAAGTCACTTATCGACATCAATTAAGGCTCAAGTTCAAGGTTCAAGCATCTGTTATCAAGGTTCAAACGTTCCAAAGTTTAGGCATCAAGGCATCAAGGTTACCGTTCATTGTGCTACGCGTATACTACTGCACGCTACTAACTGTCTCACATCGTACAACGTACAAGTGTACGACTCTCATTGCAAGCAAGCGGATCCTACATATCATAAGAACGCGAAGAGACGATTAAACGTTATCGTTATCTAGTCCTATGTCACCAGCTATCCAGCAATTGTCCTCATTCGCTCGCATCTCGCTGCGCATCCATGATATGTCCCCTCTCATTGCCACTACTATAACTCTTAACTCATTACCCCCTTTTCCACTGTCCATCCCCAACCAATTCTTCATCCTTAAATGACTCTCCTACATACTGGTGCATTGTCGCGTTGTCTTCGCTGTTGTTGTCGTCACCGCGTATATGTCCCTTCCCCCTGCGCTTTTGTACATAGTCGATACCACTGGACCATCAGGCCTCGGAAATTAGGCTCGTACATAGCGGTATTTAACCAATAAACACTTATGCATGTTAAACATTTCGTCGATGGGAGAAGGGACTGGTCACCAGCATGGAGGCGCTTCAGCCACCTACTCAGGGGCTAAAGTGACGTATATAGTATGTTTACTAAGCGCGGCTGCTGTCGATTGGAGCGTTGCCGAGCCCACAAGCTTTCAGTCCGTCGTGCACCTCGTTTCTTACCAGACTCTTCAATCGCTCGCTTTGACACCACTGCCTACCCGGAAGACCGTTCAAGATGCCACCGAAGAAGCAGCAGCCGCAGGGATCGTCATCCAAGGTCAAGGACGACAAGGTAGGTCCCGTCTCGGCTTCCACGCGTGAAGTGGACTGACTGATCAAGGTGTCGCCTGCAGACCTTTGGTATGAAAAATGTGCGTAGCGCGTTCTTTTGACCTGTACAACCCTCCAATGTACTTATGAATACGACGATCTCCAGAAAAACAAGTCCTCCAAGGTGCAGAAGCAGGTGCAGATCATCCAGCAGCAGCAGGCTATGGCGGGCAAGTCGCGCGCGGCGATCGAGAAGGAGAAGGAGAAGGCGCTGCGCGAGAAGCAGAAGGCGGACGAGGACAAGCGTAAGAGGGAGGAGGCGGAGATGTTCAAGCCCGTGCAGGTGCAGAAGGTGCCGTTCGGTGTGGACCCCAAGACGTTGCTGTGCGCGTTCTACAAGGCGGGCAACTGCGACAAGGGGAACAAGTGCAAGTTCAGCCATGACTTGAATGTGGAGAGGAAGGTGGAGAAGAAGAATTTGTATGATGATGGGAGGGAGGATAAGAAGGATGGTGAGTTTTCGTGGGCGGTTCGGGTAGGCGTGGATTGCTCACGGGCGGTGTCTTGCAGAAACGATGGAGGACTGGGACGAAGAGCAGCTGCGCAGCGTCGTCTTGTCGAAGCATGGCAACCCACGGACGACGACGGACGTATGTTGCACGCTTTCATCCATCCGTTTGTGGAACTAATGACGTACTCTGGACAGATTGTATGCAAGTTCTTCCTCGAAGCCATTGAGACGCAAAAGCAAGAATTCATCTTCGCGCCCGTTCAGCAGTACTGATCGCATCTCTTTGCAGATTTGGATGGTTCTGGGAATGTCCGAACGGAGGCGAGAAGTGCCAGTACCGCCATGCGCTTCCGCCGGGATTCGTCCTCAGATCGCAGAAGAAGGCCATGGATGATGCCGCGAAGGCTAACCAGATCAGTCTCGAGGAGTTCCTTGAAGTCGAGGTGTGTTTCGGACCCATCCGCCTATTCTGGTCGGTCGTGCTCAGTGTGGATCGATTCTACAGCGTCATAAACTGGGAACGAACTTGACACCTGTAACGCCCGCGTCGTTCGCTAAGTGGAAGAAGACGCGGATGGACAAAAAGGAAGCCGAGAACGAGGCGCTGCGGAAAACCAAGGATACGCAGAGCGCGGCTGGCAAGACCAACGGTATGAGTGGAAGGGACCTGGTATGTGTACCATCGCCGTCGCTTTACTCCCCTCCCTCACTCGATCTTTCGTGTAGTTCTCGTACAACCCCGAATGGTTCGATGACGAAGACGAAGAAGAAGAAGAAGATTGGGACTTGTCGAAGTACAGGCGGGAGTACGATCAGGATGGGAGTGATCTTGCTCAGGAGGTTGATGAGCTCAATGTCCAAGATGATGCTTCCGATGGAACAACATAAGAATGGGAGCGTTTGCGTTGCGCACACTGTAGTACTTCATGATACAATGTACTATCCCATATCGGCCATCCACTAACTCGGATATAACCAGACTGTTTATGACATCGCGTGTTTACATAGAGTTACGTCGGTTTGAGTTCGGCGGACGCGCTCCGGGCCTCGAGGCGGCTTGAGCGTCTGTTTCACAACTTTTACCTTCTCCCTTGTTATTGCACACTTTTGTTTTCTCCTCTCGTTTGACGCCCGGCCTCATAGATCTCACATATGTCTCGCATACCGCAACCCTCGTCTTCACGAACACCGGCCTCGCGTGCACCAGCCCCCGCCAGCACGCCAACCCGAACGCGTACGACAAGCACACTCAAGCCGCCCGCTACTCCTGCCTCCCGCCTTCGTTCCCAGTCTCCCTCCAAAACTCCTGCGAAGGCGACACCTCGAGCGGCGGCCAAGCCACCTGCGCCGTCGGCAGAGATGCCCTCGAAACCTGCCGTGAGCCTTCGGGAGGCTATCGCCCTCAAGCGTGCCGAGGCAAAGAAAGCTGCGGCCTCTACACGAGGCGGTGGGGGTGGTGGACTTGGAGGAGGGTTCGACGATTTCGGGTCTCTTGAGGACGCACTGCCTACCACGTCCAACAAGGACGATGACGCCGTCTTAGAGCTCGGCCGTTGGTCTGTCAAGGAGACGATCGAGCGTGCGCGGTCCACAGGTATGCAGAGTCGCTTGCCCTCGTCCATCAACACGCGTTCGTCGCATGTCAGGAGGAGCTGACAGGCAAAGGTGATCATCTACAGGCAACGTCAATCTCTCCTCGCGCTCCTTGCCGTGCATCCCCTCGGCGCTGTTCGAGATCCACCTCGGCGTGCAGCCCGACCCGCTCGCGTCCGTCCCGGAGGAACCGCTCATCTCCGAGCACTCGGGCTTGGATACTGCCGGGGCCCGTAGGAGAGAGAACGGCTCGTCGGGGCCGTCGTGGTATGATGCGCAGGACCTGCAGGTGATCAAGATGTGGAACAATGAGATCGCGGAGATTCAGCATGAGATATCGCTGTTTGGGTCACTAAAGATCGTTGATGTGCGCTTTTTCCCTTCAGGAACAAGTCTCGATTTACTGATATGCTGAACATCTCCTGGTAAATACAGTTGCACCAAAACAAACTCGAGATCCTCCCAGACAGCTTCGCCGACCTGACATCGCTCACGAATCTTGATCTATCGCAGAATGCGCTCAAGGCCCTCCCACGTGCGCTGTTCACCCTGCCGAACCTCACGAATTTGAACGTGTCTCACAACAAGCTGACGGAGCTTCCATTCGACGTCGCATATGAGGTCAACAAGGAGTCCCCCTACAAGAAACCCGACAGCTTCTTCGCACCCGCCGTCGCGCGCGCCGCCATCCCCCTCCCACAGCTTATCGCCCTCGACGCATCACACAACATCATCCCAGCGTCAAAGATCGACCACAGCGAACGCAGCCTCCCGCCCCTCCTGACTAAGGTCGATCTATCCGAAAACCCGCTCTCCTCTGACGGCGCCAGCACCGTAGGATCCCTGCTAACCGCCCTCGGACGCCTCACGAAGCTCAGCGAGCTCCGGCTCGAGAAGGCGGACATCGACGATGCGGCGCTCGCAGCTCCAAACGTGCCGGGCCTGTTCCCCAAACTATGCACGTTCGATGTGGGCGAGACGCAGGTGACGGCTGAGGTGCTGGGGCTGTACTTCGAAGGTATTGGGCGACCGCTGTCGATGGATATTACCATGGAGGATCCGCCCGAAGGCACAGTGCGCGGCGTGGTGGGTAAGAAGGTCATGAAAGAGGCGTGGGAGATCGACGCGGAGCGGCGGGCTGCTAGGAGGGGAGGTAGAGGTGGGGTAGCTGAGCAGGCGAGTGTGGACAGAGGCGCAGCGGGCCCTAGGGCTAGGGCGGAGGGGGCGAAGAAGCAAGAGGAGCCGCTGAAGGAGGCATGGGAGATAGAGGCGGAGCAAGGCTTGCTCACGGAGGGCGGGAAACGGCGCGCGAGGGCGGCTGCAGCTGCCGCAGCCGTCGAAGCTGCTAAACCCGTCAGTGTCAAAGCCAAGGAAGTGCCTTCCCCTGCGTCGAAGTCGCCTTCACCACCGCCGAGCGTCGGCGCAGCCCTTATGAATCCGAAATATTTCGACGCGCGGATGCTCACACTCGCCCTCCCAGCTCTGGCGGCGCCGTCGAAGGCGCACGGGCGCTCCGTCTCGCTTGCTGCGTCCTCGTGGGGTCGGCTTGGCGGCAATGACAAGCAGTCGGGATCCAACACCGATATTGCGCTTCCCACACCTAGTGCACCACTCGCGTCTATTGCAGCGCAGAGCTACGTAGGCGCATTGCGCCAGCTCACACTGAGCAACCGCAAGCTCGACGCCGCGTTCACCCTCCTGGCCTCTCGTTCCTCAGACGACGGACTCTTCCCGAGCGTCGAGGATCTCTCCCTCGATGGATGCGGCTTCGGGGACACCGTTGCCGTTTCTCGCATCGACCCTTCTTCGTCCTCCGATGGCTCGTCCTCAGGATCCCCGAGAACGCAAGAATCCCTCCTCCCGCTCATCGCACGCCTTTTCCCGAGCCTGCGCACGCTTGATCTCAGCTACAACGCGCTCACGTCCTCCGCGTTCTCCTCGCCCGAAATCCTGCGCGGTCTCATCCTCGCTTCGCACGATCCAAGCTCCGGTGACGCGGCCGCGGATGACAGCGCTGCGGACTCTTTGGGAAACCGAGACCCAGACCAAGCGCGCCGCGCGGGCCTGCGCCACCTCCGCCTACGCAGCAACCGGCTCGTGAACCTGGACGGGCTCGCCACGCTCGCGGGTGCGTTGTTTCGCGGGCACAGGGCCGAAGCGCGGTGGAAGCTCGAGGAGCTCGACGTGCGGGACAACGAGCTGGCGCGGCTCCCGGCCGAGGTGGGGTTGTTGCCGATGGACGTGTTCCTCGTTGATGGGAATGTGTAAGCTCTTCTTTCTTCTTGCTGTGTGGACATTAGTGCCAATGCTGACGTCATGACTTTGTATCTAGGTTCCGAATTCCTCAGCGAAGAGTATGGGAGCGCGAGGGAACGAAGGGGCTGCTGAGCTGGTTGAGAGGACGCATTGAATAAGAGCTCACGGGATGGACTTCAGGGTGATTGTATCAGGTTCAACTGTCGTAATACCGATGAGAGGTTTAACTCTCCGGACATGTGTCCATATTGCCACCATGTTTTTATTTCATTTTCTTTAATAGTTCAACGGCTGCGTTGAACCGTCTACCCAAAGTTCGCAAGAGAACTTTCTCTGGCCTCATATGGCCTCACTATTGCCTTTCCAATCGAGGAGTGTGACCTAATGAAACGGTGAGCGGGAAGGACGGGTTGACAAGGACTATTGGCATCTATCAAGCCCACATCACGACAGCAGAAATGAACTGTGTATAATCGTGGCGCCGCCTGCGACGCGTTGCGTCTACTGCTAGATGTAGTTTTTCGTGCTACAAATTAACGTCTGCTGACACTGATGGAATCATACACCATACCACTTTACCCTTACTCTTCCTGATGGAAGGTCGCTTGCACCTTCTCGTTGCCCCACTATTTATGTAACACAATTTTGGCTAAGAATCCGCGGATGCCGTGACAAGTTCGATTCCTTTAATTCCAGATAATACCTAGACACACTACGACATCTCTTTTCAGCCATGGGATATCTGCACTTTACTCTATATTCTAATTTCTAACCACTCAGGACCATCACTGACAAAACAGCCTCCACCACTCTGAGTCTGGGTCGAACGTCCGCCAAATGAGCTGATGTTGGATCTGTGGGCAACATTCCGGGGTGACTTACCATAGGTCTGGCAGATATCCCAGTGGGATTGTGCACCAGGTGCCCAGTGGCATTGATGATGTGTTTTACAGTGTCGACGGATAGCTGACTTGTCGGACGTATAATAGGTGCAAGCGGCTGTTGTGCAGCCTTTAATGCGCTTGAGTCCAAGGCTACGCTTTCTGTGTCAGCGCCGTGGTCAAGGTCCATTTCGGGGAGCAGTCACGATAACAACGTTGACGTACTGTTTTCCTTCTATATGACTTCTAGCACTCCTTTCGTGCTGAAAAATCTTCGTGCAGCCTGACCAGGTGCATGAAAATACCTGGTGTGCCAGCACGATACAGTAAGTACATCTTCGGTAGTAGAAGACGATCGGACGCGATGGCAAAAGACTAACCATCGTGTACATAGGAAGGAAGGAGATATTATGCACCAGACTCGGGAGGAGAAGTGAATGTTGCTTGTAGTTAGAGCTGCTACCTCTCGGGTAGAAGTGATATTTTATTCGTCTGCGTTGCCGCCCACATTGTGGAAGATATCTGCGTTCGTCTGCATTGAATGATGTAGCAATTGAAAATAATAGTCCTCGTACCAAATTCATATATCGGTGTGTAGAGTAGTAGGGCTGGAGTGGTCACTTCTTATGTTGATTTTGAAGGGAGGCTTCGACTAATTATGGGAAAGGAGCAAGCTTCTTCAGGAAGGGGAGCTGTATCACGGCGTCATCTCGTTGCTTACTGCTTAATGTTGGCTAGATGTGCCACTGTGCGGACCCGACCGGCGGAACTATCCAAATCCATGACAACGACCTTTTGGCTCAGGCTGTCTGTGCGTCGAAGAGGCATTCTTTGTTCCGCTTTCGTTCAGCGTTTGGCTCCTAGTCGGAGTCAAGATAATTGCTGCTTGCTGCTTGACATGTCTGGTGATCGTACGTAACAATTGGCCAATGCTGTTTTCAATATCCAGCATTCGGCCCGGGTGCCTATCGAGCCCCGATCTTGTGAAGACACTTGTTATGAAGTCCACAGTGATATTGAGACTCGGCGCCTTGCAACTTCTTGGCTCTGAGAGGGAAAAGCAGCGTTTGCGTTGTTCGGGGGATTATGCGGACTTTGCTTGTGCCGTGTCATGGGCCGTGTATATACTACATGATAATAGGGTAAATAGAATATATAAGCCACCCTAAGCTATCCTCACAAGGGTAAGGAGCAGAAAGGCACTGATAGCTTAGGAACTAGCACATTGATCACGCATGAGGAGACTAAGGCGTGCATCCAAAGCCGCTCCGAAAACTGGCTCCAATGGATCTGGGTCATGGTTGTCCAGGAGGTCGAAGATCTTGGAAGCTCCCGACATGTACGCCACCTTGCAGCAAGCCGCGTGAATCCTAAGATATATGGGTTCCGGTAAAGGGAGAGTATCTGGGCTATCGGACGTGAACGTGGTCATTTCGAGAGAGCCGAACCTGCGCTGGGGACTGAACCCCGCGCCTTGAATGACATAACAGTTCGGAACATCCTGTGACGGAGGTGGTAAGGAACTCGGCATATCAAAACTTGCAGATGCAGATATTGTTTACGTACCGTCTCCTCGAAGTATAACTTGAGGTGGTTAAAGTAGCAGTACGCATTGTGAGAGAGGGTGAGAAGGTTTCTGGGTGAGCGGAATTTCTCTCCGTCGTGTGCTGGGAATAGTTCTTCAAATCCAAAGTGTTCGAGTACATCCCGGAACTCTGCCGCCTGGATCACAATAAGATTATTAATAATATAAATAGGGAAACAATAAAGACCTAAATACCTTTTTTGAGTCTTCTAAGCCAATGCCTGATATTTGAGGTAGGATGTGGGAACACAGCGTGAGCTCGCAGCGTGTGTCTTCGGTTGGGCCAACAAATTTATCATCTGTTATCCCAGTCGCCAGACACCGTTTATCTCGCTGTAAAGCCTGTTTCAAAATGGGCTGAGACATTCATCCGCTCACGAAAATCACGCTTACGAATTTTTTTGCTGTGTAGTCATTTCTAGGGATAATCTCCCGTAAACTTCCCCGTTCTTTATTTCCCATAGATTTAACAACGGAGGTCGTGCCGGAAGATTCCCGTGAATAGTCAGGAGACGCGGGTTCCACTGTGATAACTTTAAATCGGGTCAGCTTAGTGCCATGCAGACGAGAGTACATTACATGGAAAGAGCAAATGGTTGCAGTAATGTTGCCCCAGATCACTGAGCAATTTTTGTAGAGGATGCTCTGGCGTAGCAGAACTATGGCAGAGAAGGACCTCGTCTCCGAGACGGCGGAGAGCTTTCTCGCTCGGCGCGTACACGAATAGATAACCAACGATACGCAGGTTTACAAGGAGGCGGGATTCGGAATGGTCTCCCGCGAGACCCTGGCGCAGGACGACGTTGCGCTCTTCTTCGCGGCATATGTTGTAGGCGCGTTCTAATTCTTCGTCTGGATGTTTGAAGACTCCGGGAAGCGGCTGCGGACCCGGTGCCATCGTGGGCATTTGATTTTAGGGACTTTCGCATGGCCGCGACTTTCATATACCACCGGAGACCCAATTTTATCGGAAATAACCGCACGCAGTGGCACGGGTGGCACATAACAAAGCAGTCACTGTGACTTCCTACTTACCAACCATCTACTAGCCAACATCTCACCTCGTCATCTAAAGGAATGGATATGATATATCCTGATATCAACCAAATCTCGTCAAACAAATGGCACGGGGCTAGAGGGTGCCTCAACGGAGTCAACGCGTTTTGAGTGACGCGTAACGGGCATTGCCGTTTCCACGGGACACTAGCTAGGCCTTCGTTGGCGCCCGCAGCATGATTTATATCAGGCGCGATGTGCGCGCCAGTACACCTTATCACCACTATTCACAGCATGGAAGAATCGAAGATCGCTCATGCTGAAGAACCGCATGGAGGATCCCCCGATGTCTTGACAGAGTTCTCGGTTAGTCTAGCCTGCACTCCTAAGGCGTTTATGACCGGTTTCAATGATGCTGATGCCAAAACATGTGGTCTTGAAAGGTTGAATCATCGTCGTATGCAGTGCTATCCGAGTCACTCGTTCAAACACCGACACACGCCGAGCAGGGTCCATCCAAAGGATCGTCTGATAAGGCTTGGCACGACAACTTGAAGCGCAATTCAGATGGCAAGGGTACTAGCACGGCAGAGATACGCGAAAACTTCAAGGACGGTTGGCTCAGTCTCAGCGAGGGGAAGCGGCGCTCTCCCGTTACCTTTGAAATTGATGCAGTGGTGAAAAGGCTAAAGGACCATAAAAAGCACAGCTGCCAGTGCACTGGCTGCATGAGCAAACTGTACGTTTTACTACTATATCGTTCCCGAGGAAACCCCACGGATAAATCATGCAGCTTCTCCCCCTCACTCGAATCGACTCTCTTCGTGGTTGTCAAAAGTCACGGCGCTGCTATCGAAGAGGAGGCTGAGACCCTGTACAAAGCTTACTATGACGAGATTGAAGCGCATGCAAACTACCAGGGCCGCTATGAGGCGTCAGATGATGTCGCTGATCTGCCATCGCTGCGTTCGGATGTGGAGGACTACGACGATGATGATCTAGAGGTGCTTCCGGGCTTTCTTCCGCAATATCCTCTCTCGTAGCTGATCGGCTATAGGAGGTAATTAAGGAACAGAACACAGACGAAGACAAACGGAGGATCTACCTCGTTCCCTCGCGTATGCTCGAGCTGCGAGTACTGGAGGAGTATCGAACGAATATCGTGAGCATTGCAATAGGGAATTTGAATGCACGACTCTAACATACAACAACCTAGACTAAACCTGAGCAGCGTTCACGAGTTTCTCTGTCCGATACTGATTCATTTTTCAACGTGCGTGTCTTTTACGATAGGAAACTGAATTCTCAACCTTAGGTTACGTGATCATGCCGACTTACAGCGCCCCGCGACAATCTCGAAACGGGATCCGAAGACCGCGAATGAATTACTGTCCGCGGACGAGGCCACAACGCACGTACGCATCCAAAATTACTCTGCATATCCATCGCTTCAATAACGACATTACTCAGGCTTCGCACAAACATTCCGTAAAGAAACGGCCCAAGTTTTCACGAGTCGAATTCACACGACCTTGGGGTCGCACCGTGGCTTCGAGACAGCACCAACAGGTCGTGATAGACGCCACAGACAAAATCTAACGGGTGAAACAAGCACCGTCGAAGTATCGCCCGCGAAGGAAACACAGGCGAGCTCTTGCCGTCCCAGTTTTCGGGGTGCAAAAGCTGATATTGTGCTTCAGCGCCTCGCGGTCGGTCTGCCTACGAAGTTGAGGCTACGGTTGAAGAGGGAGAGGCGTGCTGAGGAGAAGAAGTTAGAGCAGGCTGCGGCGCTTTCTGACGATGGTACGGAAGAAGATGAGGAGGAGGACGAAATGCGGCTAGGCTGCTGCGCGGCTATCCGCCGTTGATTGCTTATGACAACCATATTTTCTAGTAAGCTCGGTGTACATGTCAAATGGGCCGCTTCGCTGCCGGTGGGCTTGCGTTCGCTGTTGGACAGACAGGCATGATGGGACGGTCATGCGAGGGACAATCTGGCATTGATGATGATGGTCGTTTGTTTAATATGTTTGATTTGTAGAGCCCAAATACCCTCCTGCCAATATGATGGGACTCTCTACGAAAAAGCAAAGCTCGGAGGTTTAAGTCTGAATAAACATAAAAGTCTAAAAGCACATCTATCACTATAAACAAAAGTCTCTCTACAGCCCCAACGCTCTCAGACCTTCGCACCCTTCTCACCCTTCTCGTTTGCCGCTTCCTCAACGTCAACTTCCACCTCATCCCGCACCGGCGGTGGAGCGACGTCGTCCAAGTTCGCATCGCTCGCCTGCTGTGCCCACATGCGCGCATACAGCCCGCCGCGTGCGAGCAGCTCCTCGTGCGTGCCCTGTTCTGCAACGGCGCCGTCCTTGAGCACGATAATTACATCTGAGTGTTTGGATTGTTCGTCAGTGAAATCATGATAGTGATGAAAGGCAAGAGGAGGATGGTACGCACCGGCCTCGACGACGGTGCGCAGGCGGTGCGCGATAAATATGCTCGTCCGGCCGCGGTCGAGCAGCGTGCTGTTGATGCTCCGCATGAGCGCGGCCTCGGTGTGTGCGTCCAGCGCCGAAGTCTATCCACGCCAGACGTGTTGTAATTTGAATTCAACGCCATGAGAAAAGAAGGGGGGAAAACGCACCGCCTCATCAAAGAACAAGATCGGCGAATCCTTAAGCAACACCCGCGCAATCGCCAACCGCTGCTTCTCCCCGCCCGAAATCATCAGCCCCCTCTCGCCCACCGTCGTCTCGTAGCCCTTCGGCAGCCTCTCAATCGTCTCATGCACACTCGCCCTCCGCGTCGCCTCCTTCACCTCCTCATCGCTCGCGCTCAACCGCCCATACCGCACATTATGCATCACATCCGCATGGAACAGCGGCGTATCCTGCGGCACGACCCCAATCGCCCTCCGCAGACTCTCCAGCTGCACTTTATGGATATCCTGCCCGTCGATCAAGATCTGCCCCGCTTGCGGGGTGTAGAACCGGAAGAGCAGGCGGAAGATCGTGGACTTGCCGCAGCCCGAGGGCCCGACGAGCGCGACTTTGGCGCCCGCGGGGACGGTGAAGGTGAGGCCGCGGAAGATGGGGCGGGAGGCGTGGTATGCGAAGTGGATGTCGCGGAATTCGATTTGGCCGCCTAGGCTGGCTGGTTGGGTGCCGAGTGTGGTGGTCTTGGGAGGGACGAGGACGAGGGGTTTGGCGTCCGGGGCGTCCTGTGGTCGTCAGTGTTCGACTTCGATCAGCACGCGGATGATAAGAGCGGGAGGAGGGGGAGAGAAGGACGGACCTTGGGCGGTGCGTTCTCGGATTGGAGATTGAACAGAACCTCCAGGTCGAGCAGGTTCTGTCGCATCTCGCGGTACAAAGAACCGAGGAAGTTGAGCGGGAGGGACAGCTGGAAGATCAGCTGGTTGACCATGACGAGGTCGCCGACCGTCATCGTCCCTGCATGCACACCGCGCCACAGGTCAGCTCTTCCTGAATCATCCCATACCATGGACAGCGACTAAAGGTGGTGAGAGGGGAGGACGCACCGTTGATAACACCCTGCGCAGCGAGGAGCATCGTCGCCGTGAGCGCGGACGAGAAGATGATGTTCTGGCCGGAGTTGAGGAACGCAAGCGAGGTCGTGATCTTGACTGAAGACTTTTCAAAGTCCTTGAGGTACTTGTCGTACTGCGCGATCTCGTGCTTCTCGTTGTTGAAGTGCTGTCACACGCATTAACGCATCAGAAAAAGTGTGTGCATGGCAACGTAGATAGTGGGAGGGGGCAGACCTTGACGGCTTCGTAGTTCATGAGCGAGTCCACTGCGACAGTTGCGGCTTTGTTATCGGCTCTGTTCGCGTCGCGACGGAACTGCGTCCTGAAAGAGGTTATGTGAGTTGATAACACTTTTGCTCGAAAGTGTCATTAACTCACCGCCATGATGTGGTCCGAACGGTGAACCACGTGTATGCAGCGAGCGTTATACCAGTGATGGCGGCAAAGTCCCAGCCGAACTTGTACGTCTGCGGTCGTATTAGAGATGTAGTTCTGTGCCTTTTGAGGAAGCATGAAAGCACTTACCAAAATACCGCAAACCATCGAAATCTCAAGAGCCGTAGGAACAATCCGGAATATGATGCTCTGTAGGAGGAACGTGATACCCCTATCGCCCACGTCCACAGCGCGTTAGCTCCCGACCCATATACCATACGGCATTATCCAAGGGAAAGTGTAAAAGACTGACTTCGTGCCGCGGTCGATAGCCCGTGTAAGCCCGCCCGTCTGCCGGGAGAGGTGGAAGCGGAGGTCGAGCGACAGGAGGTGCTCAAATGTCTCGCGGGCGACCCTGCGGATGGCGCGCTGGCCGATGTTGGCAAAGACGGCGTTGAGGAGCTCGCCGAAGATCGTCGCGCCCATGCGGGCTGCGCCGTCTATTCAGGCCCGTATGTATGAGTCGGAGTAATGGTTAGAGGAGGGGAGGGGAGGGAACGCACAGCCGAGGACGAGGGAGCCTGCGACAACCCAGACGGTGGAGTCGGACGCGAAGTCGATGTTGAGCGCGTCGATGACGTTCTTGAAGATTAGGGGGACTTGCACGTTCAGGACCTACAACGATTAACGGAGTATGTCGGCACAGGCGCGTGCGGGCGCGGGCGTCGGCGCGGTTAAGCCCAAGAACGAGGAAGGGGCAGGAGGACGTACCTTGCCAGAAATGAGGAGCGCGAAGCCCAGTATAACACGGCCACGGGTGTACCAGTCGTCCTTGGGCCAGACATTGACCATGAGCCTCTTGATGATGTCCCAGTCCCTGCGGCGCTGCTCCTTCACGGTGACATTGTCCGAGTCCTTCTCTTTTGGCTTCGCTGGCGTTGCTGGCGTTGCCGATGGTGTGGCAGCAGCAGGAGGCTGTGAAATTTTCGAGGCGGAGGTGGAATGTAACGAGCGAATGAGTGGTGAGTGAGATGGAAGGACGGAGAGCCGGGGCGGATACGGGATGTTATGAGTGCATGGTGACCGCTGAAGTGTCCGGAACGCTTGAGAGAGGTTGAGAGAAGAAGTGGGGTGTCTTGGCTTTGCAAGGCGGACAGGAAGAAGGGCTTTCCTCCTCCACATAAGTCTAAGCAGTGTCCAACGTCGTGCGCTGCAACGTCGGGAGGACACTCCGGAACAGTTTGAGGAGTCGGAGGGCGTCGAGTATCTAATCGTCGCCAAAATGGGCAAGAGCACGTCATGTTCTCCGACTCGCACGGCTCTCTTCCCGTCCCTCATCATCTCATTCTATCCAACACAAACGGCATCGCGTCTATTCGTCTTTCGCTTTCTCAAAAGAAAAAAGAAAACAATGGCTCCCCAGAGCTCGGCATCAGCAATTCCGGAAGAACTATTGGTCCACATCTTTCTCGACCTCGACATCGCCTCCCTCGTCACCTGCAAACGAGTACGCATATACCCCTAATCTTTACCACCACAGCCTCATGCCTCTCTGCCATTCAGGTATGCAAACAATTCGCCGATATTATACTCCGGAGCGCCCTCGTCCAATACCATATTGAGCTCGCCGCCAATTGCATGCAGGACGGCCCTGATGCCGGACCCAGCACTGACCCCGCCACTCGTCTCGCCGCTATCAGAAAACACCGCCGCGCGTGGAATACGCTCGCCTGGCGCGCACCGGAGGTGGTGCCCTCCAGCCTTGACGGTACCACGTGGGAGCTCGTCGGCGGTGTCGTATGCGCGGGCAGCCTCACCGCTGTCGCGTTCACCCAACTGCCCAGCCCACTCAGGGGGATCGAGAGGAAAGAGTGGAGCGTCGCGCTGGCCCCGCTCAAGGTGCGCGATTTCACGGTGGATCCATCGCAGGATCTTTTGGTGGTTGTGGATGATCAGGAGCAAATGTACGTCCTTCAATGCCCGTCCTCATCTTGTCGCCCCTTATTTAATGGGTTCTTCGTCATGTAGGGTGAAAGTACATCTACGTACGATGTCGACGGGTGCCCCACATCCAGGCGCACACGACGTAGCGATTCCGCTCCCACACCTCACCATTGGCGAGCGCGAGTACCACTTCACACTCCAGATCTCCGGCTCTCGCTTGGGGCTCATGGTCGAAGACCTCAACCGGGAGATGAAGCCTGACATCCTCATCTGGGACTGGCCCTCTGGCCAACTCGAAGGCGTGCGTCCTCTTTATGTGATATGTCTCATCGCCAAGTGTTCATCTGTATGCATGACAGGAGCTGAGAAACGGCCTCGCCGAGACGTTCCTACTCCTGCCCGACAACCTCTGCCTCCTCGGCACGACCGACGAGGACGAGGACGGCATGCAAAGCGTGCAGCTCAAAGTTTGGGACCTCGCCGTTAACTCCGGCAAGATCTTCTCTGGCCCTTCCAATGACGAAGATGACTCTGACTCTGACGAATACGATGACGTTGACGTTCCCAACGTCCAGATCACGTTTGGTCAGGACGAGGAGGGGTTAAACACCTTCACCGTCACCGATCACCACACGCGAACCATCACCGTTGTCCACTCCGATGCCGGCTCTGCCGCAGGCGCCGAGGGCTCTGCTTCCGCTTCCTCATCCTCGGCTTCCGCGACTCCCTCCATCTCTGCCGCCGATGCCCCCTCAACCTCTGCCGATCCGTCTACCTCTGTTGATCCGTCTACCTCTGGCGCTGCCTCTACCTCCGCTGCTCCCTCAGCCTCCAGCCCCACACCCTCCCCCGACACCCTCCCCTACCTCATCTCCCTGCACTACCCGACCCTCCAATCCCGCGCCCACGTCGAATCCATCCTCATCCGCGCCGAGCCCGCGCCGGAGTACCTCCCGCCCCCCTCGCACCGCGCACCGTTCGCGCTCGCGCCTGAGGCGCGCTTGTACGTGGTGTCGCTCGGCGTGCGGCTGAACGGGAACCACGACGCGGAGACGACGGTGCTGCTGCTCCCGCTGTGGACTATCATGCACTTCGCGCGCCGCGCGCGGGCGGAGGGCAGGACGGGTGTGGATGTGCCGTGGTCCGTTTGGGGCGGGGCAGATTCACCCGAGAATGCCAGTGGGAGTGGGAGTGGGAGTAGGAAGGAGAACACGGATGCGGCGGGCCTCAAAGTCGGCGCGCGCATGCTCGCTCTCCGCGCGCCGTCCGAGGTCTGGGTGTGCTATTCGTACGGGCTCAAGTTCGCCGTGCTCTCGCATCTCCGCGCGCGGGGGACCGTCGTGCGGATATACGACCTCAACCCCTTCGCCGCGCGGCGCGATGCGGGGCCCCGCGTGCACGAGCGGACCGTCAGGGGCATTATCGGCGCCGCGGCGGCGGCAGCGAAAGCCCCGTTCGAGGCCTTGGGCGCAACCTCGAACGCCGACGGCGCCAGTGCGGTGGCAAAGACGACGCGGGGCACGTGGGCAAGGATGTCCGCGCGGCAGACGCTCAACGAGCAGGCGTACGCGTTTGCCGAGCAGGTCGTGAGCGGGCTCCCGGCGCGCGTCGCGACGGTGTCGGTGCCGCCGAGCAGCGAGGCGCGCTGGGACGCGGTGATGCTGAGCGAGGACTCGATCGTGCTTGTTTCGGTGCGTCACTCTCTCGCTTTCCTCTTTCCCTCTTTGCTCCCTTCCTATTTCTCTCTCTTTGTCCCTTTGACTCTTTTGATCGAGGGATGGGTGCTGAGAGTTTGTGTGCTATGTGCTGCATACAGGAGAGACAGGGCTTCCAGTCTCAGTTGCGATATGGGATTATGACGATGATCGATCCGGACGAGGATCAGGGTCAGTGTTAGTCTGGTCAGGGCAGCGCGGTGGATTCTTGAAGAAGGCGCTCTAGAGTAGAGTACAGGTCGGAAGCCCGCTTCAACGGATAAAGGGAAGGGAAATGTAGCTACTAGGAAGCATTTAATGGCTACAACGACAATTGTACCTTTAGGTCTCGACGATTTTCCTGCGCGAATGCAACTGACTCTATTACTTGATTTCCTCCACCTGCCTTCTTACATAATTGTTTCCTTCCTGTTAGCTATTGGTCTGTAGGTGTGGTCTTACACTGGACGCATGCATGGGCACGCAGTCAGCTCCAACGTACCGCATCTCCAGAATCGATTGGCGCAGCCGCTGCACTGGTTTCTCGGTCTGGTTTTGGCGAGCTGCTCTACCCCTAGCCTTACGTCTTGACTTATAAATAATCTCCCGCTGCTTTAACTCGTTATAACTCGTTCGTCCATTATCTTTGAATGTTAAAGTCAGAAACACAATGCTAAATAAGTACTCCGTTGAGTGCAACATCAGGCAACATCTACACCATGAATACAGTCAAGCTTTCGATTGTACTCTTTACTTGGCAGTCGATAATCCTATGTAAACGCTTCCAATTATAGCTCATACGCGAGGTCGGCAAGCGTAGTACTTACCTTTCGCTGAAAAGCCGTGACAGCTATGCAGACTTACTTATGGTTTCGCACAAAGTCAACGTTGTGGTGCCAGGATGCAGGGAGACAGTACGCAGAACTGCCGTTCGCATACTCCAGGAACCATAAATTGTGATTGAAGTGGCTTAATACGACGTTCTGCAATTATTCATTGTTAATCCGTTTTGTTGCACATAATTTGTGGACATACCTTTACTGGTGTCTGTTTAGACTTTGCTTCCTTCAATTTTGTCGCGAGCCGCTCCGGAATTCCATACCAGTGCCAAATCCCTTTATGGCAAAAGATCCAAGAATCGCCTGAGCCGTAGCAAAGGTGGGTGATGTGCGAAGTATCATCAAGTTTATCGAGCTTGTCGCGGAGAGAGATGATGTCGTTCTGCTTGTACATCGCCCCATTATTCTTGCGGATCGCAATGCGGTTACGAGGTCCAAAGGAACACCAGCGTATGCTGTCGAGAGGTGTTCCTGCAGGAATGCCATGGGAATCTACGACGTGCGTACATTAATGAGAATGTGCGAGGCTGTACAGTACTTACGATGTTTATCATTGGTACGCAAAAAGTACTTGTTACCTGGGCCAATGCTGACCGCCTGTAATTCCTTGACATCAATCTTTCTGATGGAAATACGGAAGTTTTCCGGAAGATGATCCCTAGAATAAGGTGTTAGCAGCGCGGAAATATACAATATACACCCCGATAACTAGGATACATACGTGCGCCAATATCCTTGTTTGCTAATAAAATAACCTTCAGCAGTGGTATCACTGGCTTTTGCAAAGGCGAAGTGGATCATGATGAAACTGGATGGAAAGCAAGGGTTCGGACATCTACTTATATATCCTTTTTCCTTTCATAAGCGCCCCTGCTGACGCGGTGCACTGCTATAAAAATCATTGCTCAAAGCGTCCAAGTACATGTGGATACTTGCACTCAAAATAATGAGGGTGAGCTCTACGACATCGGATCTTTGTATTGCATTGAAGCCCCTATTGGATACAATTCAGCCGACACAGTGTTTTCATGGTAGATGGGAAGAATTATAAGCTTCAAGAACGAGGTTAACGCTCGTGGAACGTTCTGATCTCGCGCACCAATCTTCTATAGCGTAAAAATAACATTATATCTTGAAGCACAGCCAAAGTGCTGTATGCGTATCTAATAAACAAGAAATCCAGCCTCCTTTGCCACTGTAAATGGGATGTATCAAAGTACCTGATAGGAACGAGATCAACTTCACCTTACATACAGTATATAAAATTGAAGTACTTTGAGCTGCAGATACCGAGATGCACATATCCATGGAGTGGAGGATTTAATCGATAAACCTTATCAAACATTCAAGCTCAAGCGAGGCTCTCGACGCTCGCGTAACGCGGACTCAATGATGACTTTCTTGAGAATTTGAGTATTCTGCAAGCGCTTATCAAACATGGGACTGGTATTGATGAGGTGGCGAACGCTATGCACTGTTCACTCTTTGACATAGATTGTCGGCTTTTTAGGGTTGGTGACCTACATCTCGTTTTAACACCCCTTAGCACGTTCTCCGCATTCACTTCGATTCTACGCTGTAGGTGCAGCATTTTCAAGGGGTGTTCTATGTTGAGTCCAGCAGGACCGAGAATGATGTGTACAGCACGATCAACCCACGCTAACGTTCTTGAGCGCCCACCCCAAGAGTCCCCCGTTTCAGCATATCTCGAGCTGCCCTTCTCTTGCATGTTTTGTCCACAAGATTATTGTTCTTCTTGAATTGTCCAAGTCTAGATTCGTCCCCTTGTTCTAAAGATAAGGAAGAAGGCAAGCGCAGTGGCGGTGAATGCGATTCAAAGTACTTTCACTTCACGCGTATGCAGACAGGAACTGAAAACTCATCACATTTTGTATACGGCCAACAAACTATGCACCTGTGACACCTATCAGCTTGATCATCAAGAGTGAAACTGTTGAACCGTAGTAAGTGGTCCAGTCATCCCTAACAATCCCCACGCACATCCATCAAGCCCATACTCAATGATAAATGGGATCCAGAAGGCAACGTTTCCTATTGGCGCCACTTATACTAGGTGGTGTGTCGCGGTGAAGAGACAAGAGGCTGACGAGGGTTTCGACCGTGAGAAAAGATGACTTCGCAGCTCTCGGCTAGATTTCGCCAACTTGTGTCTTGACTCAACACCCCAACAATCTCTTCAGCGACCCAACACACGACTCGGATCGGGATGTCATCTTGTGGAAACCCGGTTGTAGAAGGAGAGGCCCTCATGCCTCGTGCGTCCCTATCTGCCAGTTCATCGACCACGTAATGATCTCACCCGCCTGCCCCATCGTACATCTGTAGGACGCATGAAGTTTGGCGACCGCTCTGCAAAAGTATGCATCAGATGCAAATCCAACATGGGTAACATTGTCATCCGCCACGCCGTCTATTGCAAGTACGCATCTCCCTTCGTCTCCCTCTGATTCGTTCTCACAGTGCATTTTATGCAGAGACTGCTTCTCCCCATCCGTCCTCACGAAGTTCCGCAAAGCCCTCGAATCAACGATCAATCCGCCCGGTACTGCGTCCTCAAAGAACCAGTTCAAAGCCGAGGGCGGCGTACTCGTCGCCCTCTCTGGCGGACTGGGATCGACTGTGCTTCTCTCTATCCTCGACGACCTGTACGTCTCACGCACGCGCAAGAAGCCCGAGCGGCCCAAGGCCAAGGAAAAGGCCAAGGACTCTCTCAGCGAGCCGCTGAAGACAAATGGAAAGGAAGCGAAGATCAAGGATAAGGACAGCAATGGGATCGACAAGGGCACGCAGCATCCGCGGCGCGGGCAGGTGTGGCAGGGCACACCTGGGGTGGTGTATGTCGAGTGCTGCGGGGCGTTTCCAAACGTGAGTTCATTTCAATACATGGACGACGCTTTCCAGTGATGGAGCTGATGCTGGCAGATGGTAGATCGCACAGATGAGCTGCGCACGTTGATTGCGAGTCGGTATTCTAAGTTCGAATTTGTGCCAAGACGGCTCGAGGATGCGTTCGATCCTGCATTTTGGAGAGAGGTTTATGAGGACGACGCGCATCAGGTATTACACCTTGAACTGGCCAGCGATGGGCTCCCTGCACCAGGTACGATACCAAATGATGCATGCATAGATCACGTACTGACAATTCTTCACCAGAGCTCAAGATCTCTCCAGCAAGGTCCAGTACTCGCTCACCAAGCCCAGCAGAGGCTCTGCGCGCCTACCTCTCTGCACTGCCCACGCAGACAGCCGTACAGAGCGCCGTAAAGACACTGATGCGCGTCATCGCACTGCACACCGCACATGCTCGTCGGGCCTCACATCTCCTATTCGGGACACCGCTCACTAGTGTGTCCGTCTCGCTCATCGCGGGGATTGCACAGGGAGATGGGTATGCGGTGCGCGAGGAGTTGTACGAGGAGTGGTCTCCGCCTCTGCCTTCTGACCCATCTATTATGCGTGAGGCCAGCAGAAACGGCGGAGGCGAAGAGCAGTCGATATCAAGGCCAAGAGCTGTGAGGCTGGTACGCCCATTGAGAGACGTGACATTGAAGGAATGCGCGTTGTATGCATGGTGGAATAGCGTGGAGATACTTGGGCACCCGCGTCTCGCGAGGGCGGGACAGAGTATATACGGACTCACAAAAGGTATGTTGTCTATTGCCACACATTGCTATATCCTCAATCTAACCATCCTGAAGACTTCATCATGGGCCTTGAGAAGGACTACCCTTCGACAGTCTCTGCCATCTTCCGCACGCTCGCCAAGGTGGAGCCGAAGGACCAGTCGGTGGACTGGTGTGTCATATGTCAAAGGTGCCTCCCATATTCGTATAACACTACGGTTATGGGATGCAATATTAACAAACCCTCCTCAGGCCGATGCCCCATGGGATCCAGCAGTGGAAGAGCCAGATATCGATACGCACGCCCGAGATGCTCGCCGCCGCGAAGACGAACGTGCCGCTCGACGCAGACGTGTCCGACAATGTCTCGCCTGCGTCTGATCCGTCGTCGATTACACCATATCTGTGCTATGCGTGCCATACGACGCTTACGAGCCGAGGTAGCGCTGCTCTGCGCAAGAACAACGCGCCCGCTCCGTTCGCCGCTTCCGCGCGGCTGCCGGTGTGGGTTCACTCGTCGCTGACACAGTCGCGCGATCCAGCGGGCTTGAAGAAGGCTAGCGAGGCCAATGGCGTGGAGGACGCCAACGAGGATGAGGTCTGGCGCGTTAGACGGGTGGAGCGCGCCGAGATGCGGGAGGGCATCAAGGCTTTTCTACTTGAACACGAGGATGAGGAAGATGACTAGTTTACGTGTCAGAAGCCATTCATAATGTTTTATGAGGCTTCTTTGTACCTATCATTGTGTTCTTTCCCAGACACAATGCGCATTGCTCACGCAGGGGACGGAAGGCCAGACTGACCGACTGAATTGAGACCGTGCAGGGGCGCACACGACCATAAACGTCGAGATGGCGTCTCCGGCTAGCCCGACCACCGATTGAAAAGATCTAGATACTTGCCTCACTCGCGCGCGCACATCGCTCACCTTAGCCGACGAGAACCTCGTTACAGCTTCTCTTCCTGTATATAATCCCTTGACCCCTCCATCCCCGTTTTCTTCGACCATCCTGGCGTCATTTCCGGCAGCGAGCGACGCCCCAGAGAGCCCGTCGCTGAGCACCAACCCGCTCACACTGAACGGCACTGCATCTCTACACGCGACGATAGCAGGCTCAGATCGGGACCCCGACACGACGCTGAGCACGACGAGCGAGCCTGGACCGAGCATGCAGAGCGACTCTACGAACGGAGACACAGGTCTGGAAGGGATGGGTCTGTTCGAAGACGAAGCGTACGACCAGTGGCCGTCGAAGAAGAACACGGTGCTCAAGAGCCATGGGCGGCCGCCGTGGTACGGTCAGGACGGGAAGCGGATCAGCGATGCGTTTGTCATCGGGATTGCTGGTGCGTCCTGTCTGCTCTCCTACTCTCTGCGCGAGGAAGGGAGCTAAACATGGGGACGCGCACTTCTTGCTGGGTTGTGGATGTATGCAGGCGGATCGGCAAGCGGCAAGGTGAAGCGATGTTCAGATGCAGTTGCCTGCGTGCTTATCCCCGTCTTTTACTCTCCCTGTGGACTCCTTCTGTGTACGCGTGCTGCGCCAACGGTTTATCGCGCTGCCTACGCGCCTCTATCATGAACATGTAGACCCACGTCGCGCGTCAAATAGTGCGCTCGCTCGGGAACGTACCCACTGTCATCATCCTTTCTCAGGTACGTTCGCAATATGCTGTGTGAGTACAGCTCCTAATGCATATATGCGCCTAAAGGACAGCTTCTACAACGAGCTTGACCCCGAGCAACATGCGCTTGCACACCAAAACCGATTCGACTTCGACCACCCGTCCTCGATCGACATGCCCATGTTCGCTGCTGTGAGTCTATCTATAGTCCACATGCACTCGACGCGCAAATGCCGCGCCCGGGCACATTAGTGAACGTCATGCTGACGTTGTGGTCCCGTATTGGAATAGTGTCTATCCGATCTCAAGGCGTGCAAGCAGACTAATATCCCGATCTACTCTTTCACGCACCACCAGCGTCTCAAAGAGACCAAGTACTTGTATGGCGCGTCTATAATCATCGGTACGACCTTCGTCCATCCTTTTGCCCTCCATTCGTCCATTTGCCACTCCGTTACTCCGGTCATGTTATACTAACGCATATATGCACCTCAACAGCCGAGGGTATCATGGCCCTGCAGGACCCAGGTCTTCGGGATTTGTATGACCTCAAGGTGTTTGTCCAGTGCGACTCGGACCTGATGCTCGCACGGCGCATCCAGCGCGATGTGAAGGAACGCGGACGGTCCGTCGAGGGTGTCCTGGAGCAGTACCTCCGTTATGTCAAACCCGCGTTCGACAACTTCGTCCAGCCGACATCCAAGTATGCTGACATCGTGAGCTTACTGTTTTATCAAGCCGGAGCTAGGGCTAACCTTGAGTTCGAATCTCAGGTGGTCCCAGGGAGCAACAACAGCGTTGCCATCGAGCTCATCGCGACGCACATCCGGCGGCAAATGACAGGCCGAGCATCGCGCTTCCGGAAGAGCATGACCTGCAAGCCCATCGACCCAGAAAGCGGCTCTGCGGTGCACCATCCCAACCTTATCGTCCTTAAGCAAACACCGCAAGTCAAGGTCAGTCTCTGAAGTCTTCCTTCCCTCGAGGACGGGGCGGAAGCCTAACGGCGCAGAGCAGGGCATATACACGATACTGCGAGATCAAACGACGAAGAAGCAGGATTTCGTGTTCTTTGTGGATCGGCTTGCGACGTTCTTGATCGAGAAGGCGATGGAGCATCTGCCGTACCGCCGGAAGGCGGTTGAGACACCTATAGGAGCTGTGGCAGAGGGATCGGAACTTGATGTCAAGGTGTGTAACATTTCTCGTGTATTCCAAGTCGATGCTAAGTGCGTACTCTGTTCCATTGGTCAGAACATCTGCGGCGTGTCCATCCTTCGGTCGTAAGTCTTTGTGGCATGATAAACGCATTACCTTTGTCAACGCATCTTATGTCCGCAGAGGGGGTCCACTAGAGAAAGGTCTCACGCGCGTCCTGAGCGACGTCCGCGTCGGCTCTCTACTCGTGCAGTCCGATGTCAAGACCGGAGAACCGCTCCTGCTGCACGTCATGCTCCCCGTCTGCGTCCGCGAGCGACATCTCGCAGAAGACGCCTGGGTTTTCCTCCTCGACGCTCAGGTGCGTTTATATCATACCCCATCCATCCATCATGCACCCTCTCACACCTACACGCATCCACACGGACAGATCGGCACCGGCGCCTCCGCCTTCATGGCCATCCGCACGCTCCTCGACCACGGCGTGCGCGAGGAGCACATCATCTTCGTCACTTTCCTCGTCGCGCGTTCGGGCGGTGTCGCCGTCCTCGCCCGTGCGTTCCCGCGCGTGCGCATCGTGTGCGGCGCAGTCGACGATGTTCTCCGCGAGACGTGGCTAGACGGGTACGAGCCCGGCGCGGGGCCCGAGGTACTCGCGGGCGCGCCGGGCACCGAGCTGTCGGTGGATGCGGGGAGGAAAGCGTGGATTATGGAGCCTGGTATGGGTCAGATCGGTGGGTGGCTCTGATGCATCGGCGGACAAAACGGCTGATGGTGTTTGGTTTGCAGGCGACCGGTATTATCTCTAGTTGCGGGTTTTACGCGCTAAACAAGCTTTTTTGGGCGCTGGAAGATTCATGGGTGATCATAACGTTTCACGGACGGACAAGGATTTTCTGTTTTCACTTAAGACATCAGCATTGCTTTTTCGCTATCATTTGGATGGTTTACTCGCACTCAGACACGTTAGAGGACACGGAACGAGCACGCGCTCGGAAAAGTATGTATATGGCAGGGGAAGAGGCTAGCTCACAAATGCTATAATATATGGACGTTCAGAAATGGAAGATGGAAGATGAACTAGAAAAGATAGAGTATGGTAACGGAGGTGGAAGGGTAAGGGGAGAAGATATGCTACGGTTGCGGGGGTATGTACAAATGCAAAGGGCAAAGTGATACAAAATCGAGGTATAGGGCACGGAAATGATGTTGGGATGGCTACTCTATATGCAGTGGTAATGGATGATCGAGTCCGATGAGAGTCCACATTAGGAGAGTCCAACAAGAGGAAAGTAGGAAAAAGGTAAAAACGAGTGTGTGTTACTTGCCGGGGCATTCGCCTAGGAGAGTAGTGAAGTCGGATCCTGGTAGCAAGGAGAATATGAGTTTAGGTCCATTCAATGGTTGGTATGTATGTGAGAATGCCACATACCTGGGTAGTACCAGAACGAAACGGCAATGATGACGTAGAGACCTTCACAGCGCATGTGAGTGCATATACCTTCATCGGGAGAAGGTACACTTACAGACAAGGATGAGGCCTTCGAGCCAGTTGGACTCGCCATCGCCCAGTACGTGATTCGAGATTTGCACTGTAGAGGTAATTGTCAGCTTTCTGTTGTCAACTTGAAGCAAGGCTGGAGACATACCGGCGATGTAAAGAACCTAACGTGGATGCGCGTGCAGGTTAGTATACAGACGAACGTGTCTTAGGTAGATGTAGAACGTACGACAGACTCAAAGGGATCAAAAAGGAGCGCAAGGGGTCGGTTCATGATCCACCCAAGGATGACAGTTGAACTAGACCGATATCGTAAGCAAGCGGCAGGCTTGGAAGTCGCCTGGTTCGACTCACGGAATGATAAGGAGTGTGAGTTGCTGTTACAAAGCCGATGAATGTCAGCATGAGATAGTCGCTCTCTATTCGGAAGAGCCACTTACTATGCTAGACCCGACTGCGACGCTCAAGCTCAGCGTGAGTTGGTCCTTGACAGAAACGTTGATGGCAGTGACGCATTCTATCCACCGAACACGGGCTCGATCAGTGCCTCATTACGTACAAATCAAGTGTAGAGAGCATACCGGCGATGGCGCTAACGGCGGGGAGCAGCACGAGACCGATCCACTCCTTGCTAATTGCCGAGTTATCAGACAACGCATCCAGAGACTCGATCAGGTTTTCAGCAGTAACGGCAACCATCTGGTGAGCAGAGGAATTCAGCACCAAATACCCCCGCAGAGTTGAAAACGGCCTACGACAGTGACGAGCATCATAACCACGACCGTGAGCATCCAGCTCAGCCTCGGCTCAGGTGGGATGCTCTTCGTCGAGTCCGACGGCACAAGTCCGGACGACGCATTCATGGTGTCGGTGTGGGAGGTCGCACCAGGGAAGTACGATGACGGCCGCATTTCGCTCGGGCTGATGCTCGGTGTGCTGCTCCTTGTCGCTGAACATCATGACATACGCACATAAGCAAACACCGCAAGGCCCAAACCGTATCAAGCAACGAGCCACTCACACATCGCGTCGTCCGCGCCCATCCTGGCTTGCTTGATGAGCTCCTCCGTGCTGAGCCCCATCGGCGGCATCGAGCCGTACGATGACGAGCGCGAGCCAGACAGCGAGAGCGAAGAACCCTTGGCCCTGGCCTGGCGGATCTTTTCTGTGAGATAAACGGGCGCCGTGGGCACTTCTACGCGTAGCTTCTCGCTCTTCTTCTTCTGGTCCTTGTACAGATGTGTATGCGACCAGAGCTGGAAGAACAGGTACGCGACGTAGACTTGAGATATGTAATTCATCGCTCAGTGGTCTGCGGATAATTACGTGAAACTTACTAAAGATCAGCACGATGGCTACCTGAAACATAGATGGACATGTTAGTCTTGTGAGTGTACAGCGATCGGAGATGAGACCACATACAGCGTGACTCATCTTGATTATCTGCTCGCCCTGGTTTATCAAGGATCCATCACGCGTACCGGTCAGAGCGAAGTGGTAAGCAGCAGGAAGCAGCAGAGCGCCGACGCTGATGCTCAAGAGAGACGAATGAATCTGCGTCGCAGCTATGATACAGTAAGGTTTCAGATCGTAGGCGACTTTGAGAGATACGTACTTGAGTCAAATGCTTGAGAGGAAAACTTTAATCCTCCGGCAAAGAAACAAAGCCCAAGAACGAGTACTACAGGCGAGGTTGAGCTTGTAGGAGCACGCAGTTATGTTGCATTACGCACGTAGTTTGCTGAGAATAGACCCAATCACTACATGACAAAGGTCAGCGTCTGGACCTTTGGGGACAACATGACAACCAAGGCACTTACATGCAGACTGGACGACCTTGAGCTCACACTTGCGTAGCGCAGTGATCTATCTCGCCATCAGTAAATGTTTCAGAAGAGCTGCCCATACAACCTACAGCAATGACCAGCTCAACGCTGAGGGGCAATCCGCATTAGTCCCCTGGCGCGACATACATGAAGAGTCAGTTGCTTACATATTACTCTAACGATAGATATTGAGACCAGTGCTCCTTTCAGTGGAACTGAAGACAACGTACCATACTTGCATTGAGTAGTCCGGTTTTGTTTCCACCGATGCGAAGAGCTAGCTCCCTCGATGAAAGATCGTGCAGCTGGATTAGGTTTAGGAAGATGTAGATATAACGACCAACTGCACGTCACTCACCCGCACTAGAGGGATCAAAGAAAGAATACAAACTGAAAAACGCTCAACCGACATTCACTCATCGACGTACTAGAATGCACCACTCACGAACGAACACTACTGTATATGAATCGCTCATGACAAAACCCAGCGTCCACTGCGGGAGTGTCAAACTGAGAAGCGACCGACAGACAAAGACATGTACTCACTGACACCGGTATTAGGAGTAAGAGGATGTTAAGGTCTGTAAGGCGTCAACGATAAGAAGAGATTGGCTAAAGCACAGACAGAGCGAAGACAAACATACAAGAGCCAAAAAGAACGATTCTCCACCCTTGCCACATGCTTTCCGACGAACCCGCAGACAGCGACGGCGGCGGCCGCCCATCATCACCACGTAAAGGAGAGGCTGAGTTGACGGTGTTCAACGAATTGATGGTGATGAAGCTGCGCACATCGCTCGCTGCGTCGTCGTGCAATGGCATGTCGACGAACGACGACGACGGTCCTTTCTCGAGGTCGGCTGATGTCATCCTGCGGTGGAGGGCGTTCGTAAAGGCGGAAGCATGGAGCTCGATGGGAGTGCGTGGAATGGCTTGGCTGGCGTGGCTAAGGCTCTCAGTTTTCCTGTGAGGCCCGGCCAAGCCCAAGTCACCCTCAGCTGGAAGCGAGAAGCGAACGGAATCCCCGCGCGCGTGCTGGTGGTGACCCTGGACGTACTTGTGGCCGGAAGACCTCAGAACCTCAAGCGTCGTGGAGGCGACCGAGTTGGCCGACATGTCACTGCACTAGGTGGGGGCGGGGAGGGAGGTTGGGCGTTGTTGGCGAAGCCGGAGAGATGAGACGAGCGCCATCGGCTGAGGTTCGTGTTATCTAATTTCCAGTGGCAAGACGTAAAATTATTAGCTCGGCAGCGAGGAGTATCATGGAATATGAATTGCTTGCACCAAGGTATTCGGAAACACGTTCCGATTTGGAATAGTCATCGTGAAGCGATGTCTGACCCTGAGCCAGACGGCCTTCTACGCCTTCTTGATAGTCTAAAGCATATAAATAGCATGCTGCTATCACTGAGACCCTCACCAACAGCCTCTCGCAGTGATTATGCAGCTCGCACAGACAATATTGCCATACCATCCACGCATCGTTTTCAGTCGTTGGCCATACTCAGAACATTGGATATATGCGGAGATCAAGGGTTGCAAGGAAGTGAAACTTGCTGCGTTTTGGAGTCGCTTCTGGCCTCTCCACTGAGTAACGATCGCAACGAAGGAACGTGCGCTGGGCAATCGCTATCATCTATTGCTTCGCCACCGCGCAGCACCAACACAGAAAAGTTAGCTCAAGCGTCTTCGTCAGAGATGAGCCGAATAAATCCTAGGACCCAAAATTGGAGCGAGACAGCTGGGACAAATGGGATTCAGTCATAGTCAAATGCCGCTTGCAAAGCATCATCGAAAGAAGCATTTAGTCGACAACACATGGATGGAAATCGGAGACATGGGCCGCAAAGGAGGCGGAGGTAAGCGGAAGAAAGGTGCGAGTTACACCGACATGTCACGGATCTGTCACAGTGACGACCGCTGCCATCCAGAGTCACGCTTCACATTTCTTTGATACACACAAGTTTACGGTTCGACCCGCCGCTGCCCGCAACGCCAGCCATGTTGTTCACCACCGCCATCCGCGCCGCCCGCCCCGCTCTCGCCCGCGCAGCGCGCCCCACATCCTCTGCCACCCGCGCCCTCTCCGTCAGCGCCGTCCGCTGCTCGGGTCCCGCCCCGCCCTCTCTGCTCGGCCCCGGCTCGAAAGCGGGTGAAGTCCCTTCCGACGAGACGCAGGCGACCGGTCTTGAGCGCCTCCAACTCTTGGGCGAGATGCAGGGTGTCCCTGCCTTCGACTACGAGCCTCTCGACTCGAGCCGCGTCGGTACGCTCGAGGACCCCATCAAGGTCTTCTCCCTGGTGCGTTTTCCGATTTCCTTTCTTCCGACTTCACGCGCGTCTCGCGGGGTGCACGTGGATTGGAACCCGTTCGCTCACATTCCTCCTTCTGTTCTTCCTCGCACATACAGGATGTCGAGCGTGTTGTTGGTTGCACCGGTTCTCCTGCTGACTCACACGAGGTGCACTGGTTCAAGGTCAAGAAGGACAAGACCCGCCGCTGCCCCGAGTGTGGCTCTGGTGCGTCATTACGTGCATACACCCACCACCTCTGCTGATTCTTCCGATAGCCTACGCTCTCGACTTCCAGGGTGATGAGCACCTTCTGGCTCACGGGCACTAAACGTGTAATAGAACCTCGCATTGGCAATCTTTATCCCCTTAACCTCCGCTCCTGCTTGCTTCCCTGCGAATCGTTTTAGAGAGCCTATAACAGTGCATTTTGTTAATATGCCATTTCATCATCGCTCGTGCTAATGTTGCAGACTGCTGATATCATTAGAACCCATGGCCCATGTAGTATCAAGACACATGGAGAATAGTAAGTATCGCGAAGCAAAAAGGTATTAAGAGGCCAATTCACGCCAGGGTATCTTATCCGCGCATGCATGGGAGGACTTGACGAGACAGTGCCACTGATGCCTTGAGAGAACGGCAATGCGGAAGTGCTGTTGTTGCGTCTAGGCAATGATGCACTGCTTATCGTCGATGGCCGGCTGTGGGGCATGTCCGAATGTCTGGATCATCCAGTTACGCAGGCGCCCGCACCCAGGGTCGTCGTGCGGGTCTTGCAGCCACTCGAGTGCCTCGCGAAACTTCACGCCCTCGATAAGTGCAGTATGATAGTCCGTATTGCGTTCTTTGACAGCCTTACGTACGCGCGTAAGTCGAACTGATGAACAAGAAAAAGCGACACCATGCTCACCTCAGCATAGATCGCCCGTAACCTCGCACTCTCCTCTGGACTCTCCAGCTGGGGTGGCAGCATATAGCCAAACTGTGGGTCGTATATCCCGTTATCGCGCAACCACGGCGGATACTCTGCGCCCAGCAGCGCTGGCATGATAACATGGTGCCGCCACCCAAGGACACCCGTGATCCGCCCCTCCCGGTCTACAAAAAGGTTCGACGCCCGCGGATTCCGATGAGCAATGGTGCACCGGAGCAGCGCGGGCCGCTCGTTCCAGGCCTGCGAGATGCCCTGCAGGTGGCGGCAGAGCTGCGAGACCGTCGCCTGGGAGCGGAACTTCTCGTCCGTCGTCCTGTCCGCCGTGAGCGCGCGGCGCTTGATGAACGTCACCTCGGCGATGCCTTCCTCGAGGGTGTTGCACACTTTGGGCACGCGCATCTTGGGCTCGCGCCCGAGCGCGGGTATTACGGCGAGCTCGGCGGCGGTGGCGCCTGCGTCAACGGACCCAATTTGCTGTGGGATGTCGAGCTCGAAGAGGGTGACGGCGTGCTGGGCAAACGACCTGACTAGGTTCTCCTATTCGATTCAATGCAGCGATTGTGGGGCATGCGGGGGAGCAATATGAGTGTGTGAGCGATTTGTCAGGTTTTCAGGGGCTCAGGCACCCGCGGAAGGGACACATACCTTCGATTCCGTGGATAGGGACCCATAGATGACGTGCAGAGGTTCTCCGGACAGCTTCTGGGAAGTCGACACATTACATGGCTGTTCTGGTGATGCCCAGGAGGTGTGAAGAACGCGCGGAACGGGGAGGGACGTGCAATGGCTGAGCCACCTCGACAGCGCGATCTCGCTCTTGAGGCTCTGGGCGTACCAGTCGTTCGTCGAGGGGTTCGCGGTCAGAGGAGGCGTTTGGTGCACGATGATCGTCTCGCCGTTCTCTGCTTTCATCTCTACGACCTATGATGCGGGGTACCCATCAATGAGGACTGGTTCCTAGTGCCAGTGTCACCGGGCGTAGGAATGGAAGCTCATACCAGAAAAGTGTCCGACGGTATGACAACGGTCGAGGAGATCTTGCTCTGGGTTATGCGCTCGACATAGGCCTGCAGCGTCTTCACAGCAGCATCGATGTCTGTGGTCATCACGAGCTGATAGGTTTGCCGAAACGCGTGTGGCGAGGATGCGGGGATGAGATGGAAGAGGGAAAGTCAAGGGTCGAAATGCGACGGTATATAAAGAACCATCGATCAGCTTCCACCTGCCATTGCTGGCTATAAAAAGGAAGGGCGCGAGGCATGAATTAAGGAGCCTCTTCTCTATCGCCGTTAGCGTGTCTGTTCGTGCACGCCCCGCGGAACCAAATGAAAGATGCAGTGTCCCGAAATGAGCTCATGGGTTGCGCTGGTACTGGGCTCGGGCATGAGGCGATCGTGGGGTAGACCCTGGTAGACCGAGAATCGATGCCGAAGCCACGATCGATTTGTCGATTGCGATTAAGGTAGTTGATGCGGGTGCCACTCAGAAGGCGAGGGCAGGCAGCTTGGCCTAGTTGTAATAGGCGGTTGTGGCAGCTGCTGGCTGGCAGGAATGCACATCCGTCGAGGCAAGTGCAATCTGAGAGCATGGATTGTGTCAGTAATGACTAAGAATGGTGGGATAATCAGCCCCTGATGCATTGATGCGCAATGTGAGGCCGCACCTCTGCAGCATGAGCGATTTAACCTCCATTGAGTATTCTCGTCCGCAGCATCTAAACCCTGGCAAGTCACAGGGTCTCCTCGCGTTCGTGCACATTATGATTGTGCAGGGACTGCATTGATTGGTTGAGTGGAAAACAAAAAGGTTGTGGATGCTGCCGACGAGCCGTACCCAAAAACCGCATCAATCCCACGCGGCGCATCCAATTTGTGATCGGCTGGAAGGCAAGAACGTCACAACACTCGCGTCGAGATGCAGAACATTCGGCACAAGTGTCACCACTTCTGATGTTTCGCGTCTTCTCAAAGCCAATCCTAACTAGGAAGAGGTGCTTGAGCGGGCTTAACATGGGCAACGGTTGTCGAATATCCTTGTCGAATGGCTATCAGCGACGCCAAGGGACTCGGACGCGTCGACGTTTGGTTACTTCCGCACTCCGACTTCAGTCCGACGGAATGTCTTGGTTTTTTTTGCCTGCTCCAGCCGAGAGAGGCCTCTCTTGATATGAACCCTGGTTAAACGTAACTTTGCAATGAGCCAACATGTGTCGGTATATCCTTCTGATGGCGAACTCTTTCTTTTACCTCATCAGGGTAATTTCTTTCCAATCTCGTTCGCTTTACGGAGGCTAAGGGTGGCCCTCGATTGCTAAGCACATCGTCATGTTCGTGCAGGCTCTCACAGGATTTCACGGTTTGACTGTGCCACTGACGTGGTCTGGAGGCTGTAAAACAGGCAGATGCACTGAGGTCGCCATTTGTGGTGACTGTTGAAGGTTTACACTCACCTTTTCGGTGGCTTCTCTATCACACGTCAACTTCTCATCATCGAGCACTAAGACCCACACACACAACACGCCTTTACCTATCTGACTGCGCCTGGGTCTATCTGTGGAACTCCCTGGTTATGGTTCTGTGTCCTTCTGGCTCAGAGGCCACTCTTGAACCTCCTGGTTAATTTATGGCTGTCAGTGGCGCTTGATGCATTCTCGGCTATATCATTTCTGTTGGTTTATGGAAATATGTGAGTTAAGTTTGACCTTACCTTCCCGGAATGTGAGCATCAGTCGTCTGCAGCAGCATATTTCTCATAGGCAGACAAGGGTGGTGATTTGTAGCCTCGATCTTCCATCCTTTTGGCGTGTAACCGAAAGGTGGAAAATCAAACCAATAGCTCAATTTCCACCATCCACTCTGGGTTGAGGGTCAAAGCAGGGATCAGATGAGATTCGGTATGTCCATTGCGTCAGAGGTCAACGGAACAATTGGTGCTCACCGATCTACCGTGACACACTGCGAGATTATCTGCACAGACCTACAATCCATGGTGTCTCGTACGTCATACACGTACCATAGAAAGGTAATCAGGTCTCCTCGTGGATAATAGTAAACCACACGCGGACGCGCAGGAGATCAATCCGTTTTCATCGGCCAGGTGCAGCGTCAGCTCACCAGCCATTAAAATGCTGTTTCCTATCAAAACGTTCATGCGCTCGCATCGTCAACTCGAGGTGTTTAATATGACGGCGTCCACCAACAGCTGACAGGGGATGCCACTCACTTGAAAATCTCGTTTGCGGCGAGTATCTCCGTGAGTTGCATCGCGGATGGACTCCGAGTCCAGCTAGCTTACAATGGCGCTTGAAATCTACTCCGAGGGCTTCTCCAGCTCTCGAGCTTTATTGCACGGAGAGAAGACGTTAATTAAGCAACGGACTCTCGCGCCAACTTCGAGGGCTGGTCATCGGTCGCCCCTGGAGCTTCGGATCTGGCGTCGAGCCTCGTGGCTGGTTGACTTTACACGCTCTCGGAGTACTCCGGCGGAGTTCCTTCGCGGCAACTTCCTGCACGCTTGCCGTTTGCCTTGTTCCTGCCTTCCACGTCCCGGTCACCTAATAAACCTGCAAAACGTTTAGGATTGAAGCAGATGAGTAGTACTTGAAACGCTGCTCGGAATTGCTATGCGTGCTCAAGCGCTCAAGATCCTCGACGATGTGCCACCGCACGGGACTTCCCGCTGGACGATCTCTCACTTTTGACGCACCCACGCATACATGAGGCTGGGCGGGCTGGAGTAAATACCGGTAGATTGTCTCGTGAACGCGGCTATGCTTCCGTATGGGTGATATTGGGATGACGAGACTTCACAAGCAGTGCATCGGCCGGTCATCGCGTCAGCACCGGGGTTAACTGTGCCATGGTCAATGCATCAGAAGTGGACGATACACGTAATTTCAGGTCTTTATCAAACAGTCTCGTGTATCCTCTTGATGAGGTTGACTCTTGAATCTGCGTTCTTTTGACCTTATGGGTTGGATATATGTGTTTACACAACTCGCAGCAGAACGCTCTGGAAAACCGAAGTAGCTCGAGGCTTTGGGGTGTATTCACCTATTCTATATTGATATTTGCGGTAAACTTCTCGACACGTCCTTCGTACAAAGTTGGCTAGATGAAATCGGGCAGACCTATCACTGGAAAGCGTGAATATCGGGCAGCATCACTTCCGAGTCGTCGTCGTCTGTTTGCCCTCATCGCGAGTTACGGGCATCACCGGTTCCTAACTATGGCGTCTGTGGATGACCTGTGCTTTTGAGGTGACGCATTCATGCAGGTCTGCGGATAAGGCACAAGGTGATCCGCTTCTTTTGTAAGAAGCTTTTCAAACACTCTTCCTTGTGAACCAAGCCTTAACCTACTGCAGGGAGAATTACAATCATCAAGTGCGGCCATCTACATCGGTCTTCGCCACGACAAGATCTTTCACGAGCTATAACGATTACAAAGTCCCGTTTCTACGTCGGCTTGTGAGTATGCACACAAGTAATGCTCACGGGCATCGCCAGACTGCTGTTCATAGCCTCAGGATAAGACTGCCTACTTTTGGGCTGGCATAATCAGCGACAGGCTGAGTATAGTGCACTTCGAATCTTGTGAGAATTATCCTAGATCTGAGCTTTCTCTCAGCGGTTTGTACTCTTGTACGCATGATCTACATAGTTATTGACTCTATTTGCTAGCGAGACGACCCTAAAAACTCGAACCATCAGGCGCGTTAATCAACGTTGTCCGTCTCCAAGCTCAAAATTGATTCGTACCGTCATAATCAAAGACTGACACGACTAGATATAGAGCGATCATTCAGCACTTATCGGTGGTTGAGAACGATCACCGTGATGTTCACCATGGCGTTTTGTGAGGTGCTTCGGGGATCTACGGAATCTTCCTTAATTCCGATGCTATTTTTTGACCTATATTCTGACAGCATGTGAGCCGAGGAGCACTGTTCTTGTATGCTTCTAGGCTAATACTGGCCGTTCAACAGCCTTCTCATCGGGACTGTTATCGCTGCCAAGAAATAACCCGTGAGCTGCCTCGTAAACCTCCCGAGTCGGTCTCGATTCTTGGTTAGGTGATGCGGTTCGGAACTCAACGTAGGTTCAAGCTGACGGGCCGCTCCCCGATTCAGGATGTGATGATTTCATGATGATGTGGAGCTAACATCGATCCGTCAAGGGAAAAAATAGTCTGAGGGACTGTACAGCCAAACCGCGAGCGGTGCAGCACCGGTATAGCAGCCCGACCCCTTCCATCGCTGTATAGTCACGCAGTGGAATCGGAATCTACGACAAAAGCACCGCGCTCAACTGCTTATCACCGTGACAGGGAATTTGACCGTGGCGGTTGTATCAACGTAGGGATTCATAGGCGTTTGGATTTTCAAAATCACTGTAGCCGGCGGCAGAACCGCCAGCATGTCGGTTTTTGGACACTGAAGAGTAGGGTTTGACCTTATGTTGGCACGGGGATCTCCGCTCATTTGACTTTGCAAGAGAAAAGACGCTCGGGGAAGTCGAGTGAGGCTCTTCGGTGGATACTGCGGTGTTGCTCACCATCAAATCACCAGAGCAGATCTCGGCCTAGCGTCTTCAAGCGATCTTTTTCTAATTTACGCCCTCTGCATTACAGGGTCGGTATCATCCTCATCGTGTTTGAGATTGATGGGTCAGGGACTTGGTGTGTTCATTTCGACTACGCTTTCTTCCGGGAGCTGATGGTACCACAGCTTTCATATGGACGTGAAGCGATAACCCCCATACCCTTCGTCGTCTGCCGCCGTTCCCAGATTCTCGGGAACAGCCTTCTAACCTCCGGACGTCCAAAGTCAACTCACGGCACCACCCGAGATAGAAATTTGAGCAGCCTGACGCAAGTGTGGCATGGGGCTCATTAAAGACTGCTAGTATCGCTGGGCTGATAGCGCCTTTGTGGCTGAGACAGGATAAGAAAGGCCCTTACTGTCGCACTCATCCTGCTATATTGGACATGCTTCTTCTGAATCTGCTGACTTGCCCTTGCCTCGCTCCGGCTCCGTCGCGATGCTTCTAAGAAGTGAGTGAGCTTGACGCTTCTCATCGGCTTCTCCAAGGCTACTATGCACCCGTGTAGAGAAGCCTGGGCATATGCATCACCTGGTACGCAAGTACACCCGTGGTGAGTACCATTCGCCAAAGCGCCACCTGAACGGCTTCCGGACAAACCCGAATCTCCGCGTCGGAATCGGCTTTACACCGCAAGCTTCCACTTCCACTTGAACTAAAGTAGACAAGCTGCCTCCACCAGGCCCACCAACACCCAGCGCCCAATGGCGTCGCACACCCAGGCATCCCATATAATTCGCCGAGATAGCACACAGGGTCCGAGCGTCTATGTCACTGCATGGGTATTGCGCAGTGTGAATCCCGCGATCAGCGTCATCGCACCTCGAGGCGTCCTTACCTAACCTCCGATGATCCCGACCTTCGAGTTCATTGTGCTCCACAGGCCCTTTCTTGTATTGACAGGTCGCTACGCAAGTGACGCCCGCCCCTCCTGTCCTCGCAAATCAAGAAGCGAAAGCGCCGATGGCGGAGCACCGACTCGCCGCCGTTGCGCCCACCTCGGGGGCCCAAAGCAGCGAGTTGGTATGTCTTGTCATGTACTGCGCGCCATTGCAGGTGAGCTATATGCGTGGCTCCCTGATCTTCGTCCGCCTCAAATTCATACACGTATGCATTGAACACACGGAGCCACGAATGAAGTTCCGCAGCCCTGGTACTGCGTGCGCAGGCAGGGTCGGCCACGACCTCGGAATCAAACCAGCGACGTTGAATTGGCCGGCCGTCAAAGACGACGCCGACATCTGTTCGGCCTTTAGGCATCCCAGCCAGCAGGAACGGACATCGGGCGAGCATCAAGATCTTCCTCCGTGTTCCTTAAGCTTACTTTGTTTACCCTTTTTTTTCCGTTGCAGGATCATATGACCATCAGTGGCCTAGCGCCGTCTCCGTCTGCGGAACATAGTACCCGGCTCCATCCTTGTGTGTTGGCTGAGCTCGACTGCGCCTTCGCGACGGTGGCACGATGGACCCTGGCGCCACGCCAGTCGCGGTCGGTGGTACGATGTTGTATAATGCGCAAAGAGGCATAGTCGGAATTGTCATTGGTAAGTGTTTTTGCTATCGGTCTCCAGGTGAGACGGCTAGAAGCCCGTGCGTCGCGAGCAGACGTGTTCACAAGATGTGTTGTCACACGTGTACCATTCAACGATGATAACGACCAAGTTACGACTAACCGTGTTTTGTCATCGACGCCCTTCCCTGGCTCGCAGGCTTCCTTGCTTCGATCCCCGAGCCAGCCGAATTTAGACTTTTGGATAGGAACCACAAACGCCAAGAGCACAACGTCCATCTCGCTGCAGTGCTAAATATACGCGGGGAAGGCGTGTTCACGCCTGACCCCTCCACGGCGACGGCCAGACGGGGCCTTGCATATAGCTTTTCCAAGGCGTCCAAGAGCACTCCAGCGCGGTATGAAGTGCGCCCGAGGGAACGCAGGATGTGAATGGGGAGCGCAGCTGGCGCCACGACTCCGAAGCAAGACGTATTCGGTATCGTGAGTGATGCACTGTTTCACGGTGTTCCTCGAGGTAGGCTGATCCGTATACGCACATACACACTTCATCTTCGACACCATATCGCTCTCCGCACAGGCGCCATCCCAGCGCACGCACACGCACACGCACACGCACACATCTCTGCACCCGCTGGTGTCCAGCCAGCGCTTCCACCGAGCAGCACGGACAACGGGCTCTCCACCGGATGCGTCCAGTCGGACTCTCGACCTTCTCGGAGCGAAGCGAATCAGCGCGACTCGGACCCAGGATTGAATGCATTGATCGAGCGCTGCGATAAGCCGCGATATCCATCCCGGCGAAAGCGGTGCTCCCCTCGCCCCGGAGCTTTGAATCTGAAGAAGCACCGCGGCCGCGGCCGTGGCGTGGGCCTGAGCTTGAGCTTGAGCTTGAGCTTGAGCTTGGGCTTTTGGCCAGCTTGCTCCAAGCCAGAGCCAGAGTCAGAGTCAGAGTTGCTCGCTATTACAGGCCGACTGTACTGTACCGTGCTAAACCGCGACCGCCTCTCGGCATTCCCGTCTATTCCTGGAAACCCAGCTCCGGCTCTCTCTCGGCGCCAGACGCGAAGCGAGAACCGACAAGCGCCCATCTTGCCGATGGCATTGATCAGGATCTCGATTAATCTGACAAGTGCTCCTGTCAATCAAGTGACGTTTGTGGGGTGCCTGACTCCGCACATCCAAGACCCACCGCCGCGGCGCACGGTCGGGTCTGACATGGGTACACGTTGCGTGTTACGACATAACACGACACCACCACTCAGGGTGACTCCGTGAGGTCGGGTCCTCCACAAGACCGAGTCATGTCGTATATGCACAGACTTGTGATTGTGATTGCTCGCGAAAGAGATTGCTCGGTCGCTCGAGTGCAGATTATTACTGGATACTGAATAAAAGCGTGATTGATGTTATGTTGTAATGTTATCCATGCAAGACATTTGTCGATAGAGAGAGAGAGATAGAGAAAGCAAAAACAACGAATCAAAGAGATATAATAGCAGAGCAAACTCGGCGAAGGGGATCTAGACAGGGTCACTACAGTAATAGGGTATTCGTACAGGGTATCAAGGTCGGTATTGGGAGTAACGAAACACAGGCAGACACAGTTGATAGTGAGAACATTGACACAAAACCGAGAAGTCAAGGTATTGAGGGGTGGTAGTGGTGACGGACAGAGGATACAACGAGAGAGAAACAGAAAAAGTCGAATCTTCAAACACATTCACTCATACCCAGGCAGATGCTACTGCGGCGACCCCGCCCCGGGCGAATGCTTGCGGTTGCTCTTCTCATGCCTCTTGCAGTCGCTCTGGTTCTTGAACCCCTGCCCGCAGCGACTGCACTTGAACGGCCGATCCTCCGTATGCCCGACCATATGCCGCCGCATACTGAACGCCGTCGTAAACGTCTGCGCGCACCCCTCGTACTCGCAGCGGTGCGTCGCAGCGTGCTTGCGCCGCGCCTCGTTCGCGCGCAAGATGCTCTCCGTCGCGACCTGCGCGATCACGGGCCGGCCCGGCGCGCCAGTCGAGGAGGACGCCGAGTGCGAGCGCGCGCGGCGGAGGGTGTCGTTTGGGCTGATGCTGAACGCGTCCGACGACGACGAGGCGTAGGAGGAGGGGTAGGGCGAGGCGCGCATGGATTGCGTGTGGCGGTGGCGCCCGAGTCTGGCGGGGCCGTTGCCGAGGGTGGGGCTGCCCTGCTCCGGGCCGGGGCTGGGGGGAAGGGGCGCGTATCGGTCCCAGTGGGGGGAGAGGCCGCCAGCTGATGAGGGAGCGGGGGAGAGAGAGCCGTATGATGATGCCGGTGATGACGGGGAGTAGGGAGAAGGCACGTCGAGGTGGTGGTGGTGATGCGGCGTCGGCATGGGTATAATGGGGCCCTGGTCGAAGCAGCTGGTGTTGATGGAGAGTGGCTCGGGTGGGGTGAGCTGGTGAAGCTCGTTGATAACACCGCCGAGGTTGTCCAGGTCAAAGGCCGAGGGCACGTCCTCGGTGAGGAAGGAGCCATTGCTGTAGCTGTCGGCTAGTGAGGTCGGCGCAAAGAGACCGTTCGAGTCACTGTAGGAGCCGTATGGGGAGTCGAATGACTCGGGAGTGATGACGCCACATGGGCTGTCTGAGGTGGGGGTCAGTCCCATGAAGTAGGAGACGCCACGGGGAAGGGACGAACCCGGCGACAGCCCAAGGCCGTTGCTGTAGTAGGAGTCGAATGATCCATAGCCCATGTCAGACCCATCGTACGAAGTGACACTGTGCGGGAGATGGGGATGAGCACGATTGCATGACATCAGGAAGGGAGAGCACGTACGGTATAGCCTTCGGGCTCGAAGGAGGGGGAACAACGGTGACAGTGGGGAGGTCCCCGAGATAGGATGGCTGTTGTTGGTGGGACATCAGAGGGGCTGGTGCTGCTGGCGATGGCGTGCTCGAGGGAGGGAGTGGAGAGAGGGGGAAGAGAGGATGGGGAACTGGAGGGACTGGAAGTGAGTTCCATCCAGTCACTTATAAAGGGGCAGGGCGGTACCGAGTGCTAGGTGGCGATGCAGCAGGCGCTTGTGTAGACTCGAGAGGGGACAAGAAATGAAGCGCGTGTAGCACCAGCGTCCCAAAACAGCGGGAAGGCAACATCTCGAAATCGAGAGATCGTCCCCCGCATCTCCCACTGACAGAACCTGCGGGGTGCACGGGTTCGCCTAGCCGTTGGCCGTTCATATTGTTTATTTCTGGAAGTGGGGCACCACGAGCCCGGGTTCGAGTGTGTTCAGAGAGGCAAGTGTCCGTCCGTGTTGACGACGGGATGCCGAGAGAGGTGACATATTGAGGCAACGGAAATGTCAGGGAAGGGGCCGGCAAGGCCGCAAAGGCACGTCAGGAGCAAGTTCTTCTTCCATGCAAGTCGCAGTACCATCCAAAAAGCAGGCGAGGCTGTGCGGAGGTATTTTCTGAATCGAACACCAATAGTGGGGGGAGCTGGAGGGGGTGGTCGACAACAAGGTCAAGATGCTGTGTACGAGCTTAGCGGTGCTGCGCGGTGCATGTGCATCGGACGGACATTCGGATTGGGCCGCCTGAGTTTGAATAGGAATAGCAAGACCTCGGACTCTGACCACGGCAGCCGCTCGGCATCCCTCAAACAAGCGCCCAAACCCAACAATCTCTGGGAAAGGCACTGTCAACGTGTCGCGATCCCTCCTTCTTGTTCTCTCCTTGGCCTTGCGCTCAACCGAAGGACGCCGCAGTCGTCCACAAGTGAACCTTGATCTTTCTTATCGACGGGAGGACTCGGAGCAAAGCGCAGCTGGACTGTGGACATGTCCACAGCGGCAGAGGCATTTCATTTGAAGCTCAGATCAATGACGCTGGACAGAGAGCAGGGCTGCACCGCCTCCCACCACGCGAGCGGGCGTCAGAATGTTCTGCGCAGAACACCAGCCTCGAGTGCACCGCATAGCCCTGCTCATTACAGGTTTTCTAATGGAACGCTTTGCACTGTCTCGACGACGTCGTTAACGTTTTCGCGGAATTGACTGTCTCAATCAGCCTCTATCAGATCAGTAACTGATGCGGACGCAAAAGAACACAAAACGGTGGCGGCAACACGCCTCGGTCTTGCGCCGTGATTCAGAAACGGTGACGGTGTCCGTCAGTGTTCCCGCGCTGGACCCATCGACGGCGAATCGGACTCGAACCACACACACCACCTCTCACTTTGTGTGATGGAGACAGGACAAATCCAATGATGATGATGCAGATGGACTGCCCCTGGTGGGCGAAGAACACAGATTGCGATTACACCGCTAGGGTCGCAGAATCACGGCACCGAGAAGAGCAACTGCGTTACCTAGGAATAGGAATAGGCCATCCTAAAAATAAGAAACGCACTCACAACGCCGCGTCCAATCCTGGTTCACTGGCATCTTTCCCCCGAACGAGTATACACGCCGATAGAACACACCGCGTCCACCATCCCGTACGTGGGACGCACCCCGATTTAATCAAGCGAAGGGGATGTAACAGAAAAGCGCTAGCGCTGAGGTCGAGGGGGCGCAGCAACGGCCGATGTCGGTCCGTGGGTTGAACTGATGATGACGCAGGGTCTGGAATCTGGATGGACGTGGGCGTACAGGGATGGACTCATTGCATCACCCACCCCCGCTTTCTCCACGGGATGTGGACGTCAAGTGGACGTGGACACTGGTTCCTGCCAATGGACGACTGAGAACGGCTACATTAGCGAGATACAAGATGTGTATATGGTCGGCCGAAATCCTGATACCAAGATACAATACAGTCAGCATGTGCTAGCTAGAGAGGACGAGGGCTTGGTGTGGCGACGCGGGTGGGCTACAGTACGCAGACACACGGCACGGAAGCAAGACGGAGGCAAATAAAGAGACAAGTCGACAGGTCCCCTAAAATTAGCGAATAGCAAAAACGAGCCAGTTCAGCCAATGGGCGGAATCTAATCAACTCGCCGAATCGCGGGTGTAAGAAGCCTTGACGCTCTTCCATTCTGCCCTCCAACGCTCCCAAGCCTCTATCACTCCTCCGCGTCACTTCCGTAGTCCGCAAGCCCGAGCCCTCCTCCCTCATTGAGCGCCCTGGGTGCAGGTGCTGCTGCTGCCGGTCTGACGTTAGCAACAGGCCCGCTACTCCCGTTCCGCCTCCTGATCTCCGCAAAAAACTTGAGCCCCTCCAGCGCGTCAGCAGACAACAGCCCTTGCGGCTGCGGCACCGGCCCAGGCTGCTCTTCCTCTGACTCGGGCGGCGTCAGCGTCGCCTGAGCTGGCCCCTCAATCCTCCGCCGCTTGCCCCGGGGCTCCCCGTCCGTGTCTCCCTCTTCACCCTCCTCCTCCTCCATAGCGCCGTCAGCGAACTCGCTATCAGCGTCGAGCACGACGCCCTCCTCGAGCGCCCGGACAGACCGCATCGCGTCGACAATCCGCGGGTCCATGCGCGCCTTGATCGCTTCCTGGCCCATATCCTCCAGCCGCCGCTTCTCAGCGACCTTGGACGTCGGGTTCGGGTCCTCGGTCGCCCACCGGACGTTGAGAATCTCGTCGTTGTCCATAGACTGGCACGCCATGGATTCCTTGGCGAACTGCGCGCTCAGCTCGGAGACGTACGTGACGAACGCGACGCTGCGGTACTGCAGTACTCTGACTATGGGCATATGAGTGTCAGTTAAGTTTGCGCGCGCGCGCGTTTCGGAGAAAATAAGGGGATATTGCGCGGATGTGTATATGCAGATATCCAACATGCAGGCGTTTGTGCGCAGGAGGCCAAGCCAGATACATGCACACATGTACCATGCGTAGAAGGATAGATTATTGGTGCAATAAAGACTCACCCTTCTCGATGTCCCCCCACTCCTTGAAATGCCGAATCACAATCTCCTCCGTGTCCGGGCCCGGGCCCGTCTCCTTTATTCGGCCGATGTAGAGCGTGCGGTTGATGCGGTTGAAGCTGCCGACACCGCCCATGTCATCGCGGTAGTCCGAGAACTTGTCGCGCGCGAAGCAGTCCTTGGACGTGTCCGGGAGGGTGTCGTTCGTGTCGGGCAGCGTGTGGCGGTACTCGCACTCCCAGCCGTACGGGCAGCACCCGCGCGCGAAGAAGAGGCAGGTGTATTTGTTGCCGGTTGTGTTGGCGCGGGTTAGGCCTGAGTCTTTGCGGATCTGGCAGCGGGTTTGGGATTTGACTTTGCTGTGGGTAGTAAGTCAGTGTCGTTGGGCGAGCAACGGGTCGGCAAGCAGGCGGCCGAGGGTGTGTTGGTGATGACGTACTTTGAATAGCTGTCCTCGCGGTCGCCGCCTGCCCATTTGTTGTACCATATGTCTGCCCAGGGAACGGTGTCAGTGCCCAGTGAAACAATTAGCAGGCCGAGTGAGAAAAGCGGACTGACTGTACTCTTTGCCCGTTTGGACGCTCTCCTGTTTGTCGACATCGCCTGCTTTGACCTGCTTACGCGCTGGCTTGAGCTTCTTTATGGGCTTGGGCCCCGCAATGACCTCCATCTGGGTGACCTCTGTCGTTTCTGTTGAGCTCATCGTGGTGGGCGGTTGTAAGGTTGTTAGTGCAACTCGAGTTCACCGGTGTTGGCGGCAAGCATGTGACCCTAACCCTAAATAAACCCCTCCGTGCGGGCCGCGTCTCTCCAAAGGTGGCGACATTGACAAGTTGGAACTCGCCTTCATCGCATGGCCCCATCCTCTCCCTCCGACCCCCTCTACCCTTACTCAAAGTAGAGCCATGGCACGCTCACCGACACTTCTCACTTCCCATACGCCAACAGCGTCTGCACCGGCGAGCGTGGCTATCGATCATGTGTAAGTGCACACCCTCTCCCCTCGGCTGTGAGCTTGCAGTGTGGTGCTAACCAGCGCACTCTTCTTCCGTCTTGCAGTCAGCTGCGCGATCTCGTTGTGTGTCCCCGCGAAGCAGGCGTCGTAAATTACGTCTCCAGGTATACCATTTCAGAGCACGACGTCTACTCCCCTGAAGCCGTGCGTATCTCCTCGATTATGTGCTCGAGATTGACTTTTCCGCTGATGACGCCCACAGACCCCCCGCACACTCGTCGACCTCTCCTTCCGCGCCAACACCATCTCCTCGCTCAACCTCCCCGACACAGACCACACCCTCTTCGCAGCCGGCGGCCAGGACGCCGAGGTCTTCCTCTCCCTCCATCCCGCCCAGTACGGCGCCAGCAGCAGCAGCGCCCCGTCCTCGTCCTCGGGAAGCCGGGGCGATGACGACGAAACAGCATTCGCAGTAGCAGCAGCGATGGACGACGACCGCGCCTCCACCGCCAGCACCGAGACCTACACGAGCCACGGCGGGCGCCGCCGCCGCCAACAGCAACGGCGGTTCCAGCACGGTCCGCCGCGCTGGCAGTACGACCGCAACCTGCGCGGGTCGATCAACAACTCTGTTATGCTCACGTCGCTCGGGCTCAGCCGCGCGAACTCGAGCAGCGTGGAGCCGCGGCTGGTGGTGAGCAATAATGATTGTTCGGTCAAGTTCTACGATGTGCCGATCCGCGTGGAGCGCCCGCCGAAGGATGTGCAGGCTGTGGGGTCGATCAAGTTGCGGGTTGCTGTTAACCATTGTGCGTTATACATTTTTGCTCGTATTAACCAACGACGGGTGTGCTGACATGTCCGCCTCGGCCACCAGCATCCATCTCACCAGACGGACGCACATTGCTCTCCGTCGGCGACTCCTCCGAAGTCTTTCTACATCAGATCAGCGGCGCCCGCCACGTCACGCTCACCCCCATCTCGACGCTCAGCGTGCCCGACGCCTCCCCGTCCGCATCGTACTCGTCCTCTACACCTTTTGCGTCCTTCTCCACTGCGTTCTCGGCCGACGGGATGAAGTACGCGGTCGCGTCGCAGGAGGGCGTCGTCGCCGTGTGGGATGTGCGGAGCTCGAAGCCGATGAAGGTGATTCACACGGACAAGACGGCGCGCGCGGGCGAGGGCGGCGGATGGACGAGCGAAGACCCGACGGAGTGGACGAGGGGGTATATGCGTGCGCCCGGATGGGGCGTTAGGAGTGTGAAGTTCGGGTCGGCGCAGGGTGGGCATGAGGTTATGACGTTTACGGAGGTGAGAGTGCTTCGTTTTTATTTTATTTTATTGATGTGGGTTGGTTCGCTGACGGTGTTTTTTTTTTGTGCGTTCGTAGCACACGAATAAGCTGCATGTCGTCGACGCGCGCACGTTTGAAACGGAAGAGATCGTTCGTGTTCCGAGTATTCGTAGAGCTCTGGACGGCGGTGAAGGGCGCAGCAAGCCGATCCCCACGCGGCGTGCCACGGTACCCGTCCCACGCGTCCGGCCGACACTATATGACTCCCCCGAGGAGCTTGCCGAGCACGCCTCGCTCTCGCGCGAGTCGCTGTCCTCGCGCATGTGGACGTCGTATATCCACGCTGACGAGGATGACCGCGGACGCGGTGACGGAGACGAGGTTATGGACGCAGACAGCTATGTTCTGTCTATCCTTGATCAGGTTCGAAACCGAGACGAAGAAGAGCACCACGATAACGACTCCGAAGACGACGAAGAAGAGCAAGAAGACGACGACTCGTCCCCCGTGTTGATCATCAACCGCTCGCGGAGCGCCCGCGAGCGCGACCACGAACACGATCAAGGACAGGGCGAGATGGACGTCGACGAGCTCGAAGCGGACTGTCTCTCCTCGCACGCGCCCTCGCGCTCCTCCACACCGCCGCTACAGGGCCTCTCACCAACTATGCTCCCCACTGCGTCCTTCCCGTCGCTTCCGTCCGCGCCCATGTCGTCACCGGCACAGCAGCTGCTTCGTTCGCGGCAGCCGAGAAGGCGGGATGCGTTGTTTGACTTTGAGGGGCCGAGAAGGGTCGGTGTCGGGACGGGGGTGGGGGCGGGGACGCATCACTATGAGCGGATGCAACATCAGCATCAGCACCAGCACCAGCGGGACGTGGATCTCGCGGGGACGTGTTTCGATCCGAGTGGCGCGTTCGTGTACGCTGCGAGCACGGAGGGCGTGGTTGAGTGGGCGGTGCGCGGTGCGGGCAAGCGGTGGTGGGGTTCGGGCGCGTGGGCATAGGCATGGGCAGGGCATGCTCAGCGTGTGGGGGCGTGTGGGGGCGTGGACCTGGCGTTTCGTTTGCGCACTAGTGCCCTGAGCCCGCCTTTGCCCCGTGCTGGCTTGCCTTTGGTTGTGCGTTCTGTACAGGCCGTTTCTGCTCTTGCTCCTACTCCTGTCTCTGTCACTGCTCCGCTCCGTCCCGTGCTTGGTTGTCTGCTTCGCGCCGATCTCATTGTCAATATTTGGAACCGGATCCAGCTTCCTTGTTTTCTCATGTACCAGCTCACGTTTTATTATGCAGTCCCACATCCATATTAAGCTTAAGCGCTCATTGGTCGCTGTACTTGTATTACTTATACTTTCATGCACGTTCCTCTGGCTTCGCGGTGTCCATTCGCCTACCTGTCTGTCCATCCATCCATGCTGGTGCCCCAGCTCCACTCTACCCACCTCACACCGCCTGCTTCAGATACGTGATACATCCTCCCATCTACACCCTAGCTAGGTTGGTTTTAGCCGCTGTAGTGCCCTTTTCACTTGCTCGAGGCATGGTGTTTCATTCCTGCCTCAACACTGTATCGTTGTTGTTCATTACATAATATACATATGTGAACGGACGTTTTTGCATATATGCATCGCTGTATCTTGCATAGCTTATCCGAGTCTAGAATCTGTTCTGTTGAGCGTTCTGTTGAGCTCGTATGCGTACTACGTCTACTATGGAAGCCCTTCCTGACTGGGAGGGTTTCTATGAACGGTTCCTAGTAGGACATATGTACAGTGCCACGGTTCCCTAACAGAAAGTGAGGAACGTCAGCTGAGCCTCATCTCGCTCTCAGCGCTCTGCTTGATCGCCGATCAAGACGCCGGGAAGGGGCGGCGGCGGCAAAGGGGTTGAGTAGGCGCTCGAGCGTATCCTATGGTACCTTCCGTGCAAGATGCTGCATGCTCATTCAGCCAAACTTATCAGTACGATCCTATAGTGTACGGATACACAGGCCCGCCGCCCCACGGGGATTCGCAGACGGACTCGATGATCGAGCGATCGTCATGTGCATCATGTGTGGCGGCACCCTCAGGTGGAAAGGTCCAGGAGGATTCGACAATCACCACACCATTATTAATTTACATGATGGCCCAGGGCAAAAGCGATGAAGCGATATCACCACCGCACCGACGCGCACGCACCTCACCCCTTCGAGAGTTCTGATAAGACAATCTTGAATCGCAGTATTCACTGAAGTCGTAAATAGCCGCTCCGCTGTCATCGGCCACGCGTTCCGTTCGTGGTGCAGGTGTGGGCGCCTGTGAACCTCGCGGGCGCCTCTTGCCAGGTCAGCGCCTTACGCTCGCACGGGTCATGGCAGGGAAGGCGCTTAATATCTGGGAGAAGGTTCTATGTGGAACGTCGAGTCCTGCCCCCTTCAGGGAAGGCACGCACACCGCATCCAGGTCCCGGAATTCTGGAAACTCTTTGAATGAGGAACGCGGATAATAAATTAAGTTGGTAAAGTTAGCGTTTTCGATCATGAAGGCGACTGTCCGCCCCGGAGTGGCGCTGCGCGGAAAGCGCGTGTCTTCCGCGCTGCCAGTGCCCCGATACGTCGATCAGTTGTCGATGTGCGTTGTATGATATCAATGTCCGTGAGTGTAGGCCTTTCGATTAAGAACATACCGAAGCGTGGAAGCGGCGGTGCACACGGATCATGCTGGGCATATGACGTGTGCGACTTGGGTGGACGGTGTTCGACACTGGCGATCCCGAGTTGGGGTACGTGGAGAAGTGCAAGCTGCCGTCCTGAGTACACGCGCTCCGTGCTTCTAGATCTCGGCCGTTCTTCCATGTGATTGTATGTGGGCGCCTGTTATTCCCCTTTCCAGAACTGATGTAGGCGCTCCCACTAGCAGCAGTGCAACTTGCGTTTGAAACATGCTTGCCGGCAATGGGCCTTTACACTCGTATAGTTGACTTAGTGAGAATCGTCTGGCATGGGGAGTAAATCCCCGATGGACGTTAAATGGATACATAATAATAATAATAATAACATGCTTGCCGAACATTAAAATCACCCTGTTCTAAAGGATGTTCGATATTATCAGTATATGTCGAAGTGCAGCGGAAAATGGCTTGGAAGACCTATATCAGTGCTGGCCCCAGTGCATACAAGGGAAGACAGTACTTGTGATACTCAAGGGACATATGGACATATGCTGTTCTTGAATCTGGTAAATCCGCAAGAATAAAAATGATTCACTGGGCTGGTCTGTCAAGCCTGAGAACAACGCGAAGTGGCATTGTTTGTGTTTTACCAGACATAAAACAAAAGTAAGTGTGTACAGTACACAGCTACTATGTAGATCACAGAAAAAGTACCTCGTACCTCCAGTCGTCCATTCCGGAACGGGGTCCGATTAGCTGTAAACCTAAAGTAAATCATCGCACCATAAGTTCGGAATCATATGGCTGAACCTGCATTAGCGATCCTGGAACGCGTCTGACACGTAGGCTAGTCATCATCCTCATCCTCGTGTTCAAGTAGAAAGGCCTTGATGCCCTCCCGCATCTCGGCGCGCTCCACCCGTCTAACGCGCCAAACCTCATTCTCGTAGGCGTCCTCCATGCTATTGGTCTCGCTAGCCTTCTTCAGACCCGTCGGATCGCGCGACTGTGTCAGCGACGAATGAACCCACACCGGCAGCCGCACAGAACCAGCGGACGGAGCCGGTGCGTTGTTCTTGCGGAAAGCAGCGCCACCCCGGCTCGTAAGCGTCGTGTGGCACGCATAGCACAGATATGGTGTAATCGATGACGGATCAGACGCAGGCGAGACATTGTCGGACACGTCTGCGTCGAGCGGCACGTTCGTCTTCGCGGCGGCGAGCATCTCGCGCGTGCGTATCGATATCTGGCTCTTCCACTGCTGGATCCCGTGGGGCATCGGCCTGAAGAGGGTTTGTTAATATTGCATCCCACAACCGTAGTGTTATACGAATATGGGAGGCACCTTTGACACATGACACACCAGTCCACCGACTGGTCCTTGGGCTCCACCTTGGCGAGCGTGCGGAAGATGGCGGACACCGTCGAAGGGTAGTCCTTCTCAAGGCCCATGATGAAGTCTTCGTGATGGTTGGGCTAAGGATATAGCAACGTGTAGCAATGGACAGCATACCTTTCGTGAGTCCGTATATACTCTGTCCAACCCTCGCGAGACGCAGGTGCCCAAGTATCTCCACACTGTTCCACCATGCATACATCGCGCATTCCTTCATCGTCACGTCTCTCAGCGGGCGTACCAGCCTCACGGTTCTTGGCCTTGATATCGACTGTTCTTCACCTCCGCCGTTTCTGCTGGCCTCATGGGTAATCGATGGGTCAGAAGGCAGAGACGGTAACCACTCCTCGTACAACTCCTCGCGCACCGCATACCCGTCTCCCTGTGCAATCCCCGCGATGAGCGAGACGGACACACTAGTGAGTGGTGTCCCGAATAGGAGATGCGAGGCCCGACGAGCATGTGCAGCGTGCAGTGCGATGAGACGTATCAGTGTTTGCACAGCGCTCTGTGCGGCTGTCTGCGTGGGCAGGGCAGAAAGGTAGGCGCGCAGAGCCTCTGCTGGGCTTGGTGAGCGAGTACTGGACCTTGCTGGAGAGACCTTGAGCTCTGGTGAAGAATTGTCAGTACATGATCCATGCATACATAGCTTGGTGTCGTACCTGGAACAGGTAGCCCATCTTTGGCCAGTTCAAGGTGTAACACCCGATGCGCGTCGTCCCCATGCACCTCTCTCCAGAATGCAGGATCGAAAGCATCCTCGAGCCGTCTAGGTACAAATTCGAACGCAGGATACCGAGTTGAAATCAACGCGCGCAGCTCCTCTGTTCGATCTAGCATCTGCCGGCATCAGCTCCATCATCGGAAAGCATCGTCCATATATTGAAGTGAGCTCACGTTCGGAAATGCGCCGCAGCACTCGATATACACCACCCCAGGTGTACCCTGCCACACCTGCCCACGCCGCGGATGCTGCGTGCCCTTGTCGATCCCATTACTGTCCTTATCCCCGACCTTCGCTCCCTTCCCATTCGCTTTCAGCGGTTCGCTGATAGCGTCCTTGTCCTTGTTCTTAGCCTTGGGCCGCTCGGGCTTCTTGCGCGTGCGCGAGACGTAGAGGTCGTCAAGGACAGATAGAAGCACGGTCGATCCCAGTCCACCAGAGAGGGCGACGAGCACGCCGCCCTCGGCTTTGAACTGGTTCTTGGAGGACGCGGTTCCGAGTGCGTTGATCGTTGATTCGAGGGCTTTGCGGAATTTGGTGAGGATGGATGGGGAGAAGCAGTCTCTGCATGCAATGTGCGTTGAGGGCGGTAGTCAACGTAAAAAGAGAGGGCTTCGCTCACTTGCAATATACGGCGTGGCGGATGACAATGTTACCCATGTTGGATTTGCATCTAATGCATGTTTTTGCAGAACGGCCGGCGAACTTCATACGTCCTACAGATGTACGATAGGTGGGTGAGATCATTATGTGGTCGATGAATTGACGGATAGGGACGTACGAGGCATGAGGGTCTCTCCTTCTACCGCCGGGTTTCCACAAGATGACATCCCGAGCTGAGTTGTATGCCGATGGGCGCTGTGGGTCGCTGGAGAGGTTATTGGGATGTTGAGTCAAGAGACAAAGTCGCGAAATCTAGCCGAGAGCTGTTAAGTCTTCTTTTCTCACGGTCTGAAACTTCGTACACCTCACGCTTCGGGTTCCGGGGTCACTAATGCGGGGTGCACTGGACCGGAGACGGCGGGTACCTTTTGCAAGAGACTACGCCTGAGCGGTGATAGCTCAGTCGCTGAGCACGAAGTTTTCTGGTTTCTTCGTTACGCGAACATACCCAAACATAATAAGTACACTTGTGTTTCTTTAAATTTTATTATCAGCTAAAAACAAGAATCAACTCTCAGACGCCGCTGCCAGCCGAATAACCGTCTACACATTTGCATAAGCGCAAGAAAACTTCAGATTTTTTTGATCTTTTCTATCATGCTCCTTAACTTGACTTCCCCAAACCTTGAGATGATCCGTACTGGGAACGGTTCTGGCTCTCTACGACAGGATCAAGGTTGAGAGTGCTGTTCAAACGAAACCCCACAGAAACAACCCACCTCGTAAGCGCATAAGTCCACTTCGGAATCACATCAACAGGCATCCCATCCCTGTCTTTAGGGGTTTCAAACCTGTAAGCAGCCAGCAGAGAAGCCACGGTAATCCACAGCGCAGCGCTACCCAGATGACGGCCGGGACAAACGCGCCGACCCCAGCCAAAGGCCCATCGCACATCGTCATCATTCAGCTCGCCGTCACTCGTGAGAAATCTTTCAGGTTTGAACGTCTCAGGATCGGGATATTTGCGAGAATCTCGGGACATAGCCCTGAAAAACAGTGAGTATTCAACCATAGATATATACAAAAAGGGTCGCACCACGAGTTCGGAATCATGATTGAGCCTGCGTTATAGGTATATCCGTGGGTATTACATAAAAGAAAGTTTCTCGTACCTCTAGGGATAAAATATCCATCGTACACATCATCCTCCGTAACAGCATGGCTTAGACCTGTAAGGCATACGGGTACGAATAGAAAAGAATAAGGAGGGATAATAGCTAGTATCGCTACCACTCACCCAGCGTGACCGTCGGATTCCACCTCATTGTTTCCCTAACCACAGCATCGATGTAAGGGAGCATAGCACGGTCATCAAAAGTCGGGAGTCTATCTATGCCGCAGACTTCCGCAACTTCGGCTTGCGCTCGCTTTTGTACTTTCGGATTCAACACCATTGCTACTATAAAAGACTGATGTACGCTTGCAGACTGTGTGGCGGTACCCTGTTCAGCGTTGGTTCGAACGATATGGAGAGCCGTTAACTTACCGTTGCGCCACCACCTGAGAAGCAATCCACTAATGAGTTTCTTAGCAGCAGAGAAGAAATTTCCAGTTACCTAGAAACGCCGTGGCAGCGAACTTCTTCAGGATGGCATCCGAAACAATTTGTCCAGTTCCCTGACAGTTCTGGATCGTATCCGAAAGTATACACGCAAATGCTGGGTGAGATCGCTGCGACAACCACCGGTTACAAGTCAAAAATGAGCAGCTTTACTCAATAGATCATAACCCAAGAGCGTACCAGCTTGCCCATAGTAAAGTCGAACGGATAGTTGGCATACTTCTGCGTCCATTGCTTTGCGATATGTACATCACGCATCATGGAACCCCCGGGGAGGAAGGCGGGGATGTATTTGACTGGTTTATTCGTTAGCCGTGCGTAAGTGGAATGGGAAAGTGTTTTACTGAAAGGGAGAATCTCGAAGAGCATAGCTTTTCCCGTGGTGAGGAGTGGAAATCCAGTCGCAAGAGTCTCTTTTCCAATATGAAACATCGGATCCTCAAGGGTTTCTGCCTTGTATCCATATACTACAGATAAGATAGTAGAAGTAGAACATCTATGGAGCAGTCAGTATTTGTGCAGATAAACCTAAAGCAGAATTACAAGGATATCAAGTCCCAGATTTTGTCCTCTGAATGGGACGCTATGTTGAGTAAGAGAGCACGGGCAGAATCAAGTTGCGTGGACTGATAGTCGGCGACTTTCTGCTCCCGAAAAGACTGCTTGAAAAGCCGCCGGAGGTGACGCCACTCGCTCCCATACTTGTCCAAAGCGAACTCAAAGTCCCATCCGCACCTTTCGAGAGACTCAGTGAATTATAACACAGGTCGTGGCTATCAGTTACTTACAGGGAGCGGATGGAAAACGAAGGCCTGTCGGAATAAATGCGCGAGCGACGTTCCAGAAGGTCGTTTGCGACCTTTTCAGAGTTCAGAATCACAATTTGCCTGCCGAACATGCGACAGCCGACAATCTCGCCTGACACACGATTGCAACATCCATCATGAGGCAGAAACATAATTGATAAGAATAGCTCACCATACTTGGATGCCCATCGTCCGTACGTTATCCACGGACTCGCAGCATCAACTTCGAAAGCAGGCCCAATGAACGGGAGCCCCCTTGGGCCTGGCGGTAATGGTAAAGATACTCGATTCTGAAGAAACGATTGGGTGAATTTGAGGAGAACCAGAGCCAGAATAGCTAGAGATACGGTTGGGAACACCAACGAGCTCATCGCGGATATCGATATCAAGACACGAAGGTATCATGCATCATTCCCTACCAAGCGCAGTCTGCTTATATGTTGAGCACTTTGGTGAATAATGGAATTTGACGTTACGCTAACCAGAGGCAGTGGGCGTTTACGCAGCGTTGCCTGTCAACTTGACAGGTGTTATCAGCCATACACGGCTCATAAACTGTCCGATTATCAACATTATTGTGGCTGGCTGCAACATCACTAACTTGCCTTTTTTGAGATACTATTTGGGGCCAAACGGCTGGCTGCGTTTAACCTAAACCCTGCACGCACATGCCGTACGTCCAATGTGTCGCCGCCTGCATTACAGTGGGGACCTAAAAGCGTGTGCGACATCGGCTGCATTGCAGTGGCTGAAGTCGCGCTCAAGCGTGAACCGAGGGCAGAGCAGGAAATAATCAGGTGTCCGACCAGGCCAGTCACCACCGATGGCGTCGGGGTCCCATGCTAATGGATGGTACTGTAGTACCCGTCATCATGTCAACCAAAGGTTCCGTAGCTCGCAATTGCAGCAGTTGGGCCATGAGCCCCGCCTCCCTGATCTTGATAAAGCCGGCCCATCAATTGAGAGCTTCTGGCCTCGTCCGACAGGTATGAGCACTACGAAGAGCGATCAGTGCCAAGTCGCCGATATCAGCCAAGAGGACGGAGAAACTGAATTCAACCATACTGGCTGGTGAGGTTTCTCGAAGCCGACGTTGACGTCAGAATAGTCACCACATCCTCGCCGATCCTGGCACTAGACCGGTTTCGCGCCTTGAGCCTCCAAGTTGTCATACAAGTAAACTGACTGACGTTTACAGGATATTCCTCCAGCTAATCTAATTCCACATTCACAGTAAAGCAGCGAAAACCACGACGTACGACCGACATGAACACAAGCCTCATCTAAACCCCGCTCACAGCTTATTCCGCACATGCGCCCCGCGCCCCGCGAGCTTCTGCACCCTATCGCTCGCGATCTGCAGCGCCCTTGCAAGCTTGACAAAGTCCGATTCCTGCATTCAAAACGATGAGTTCCGCGCGATAAGCAGGGACGCACGCAAAGCAGCTGAGACTTGAGGAAATAACAACAAAAAGAAAGAAAAGAAAAGAAAAGAAAAGGGAAGAAAATAAAAGAAAAGAGAACAAGCAGACAAACAAACAAACAAAACAAACCCACCTCATTCCAAATCTGCGCGCTCGCCCGCACCCACCACCGCCCATTATGCCGAAACTGCGCAGCATACACCCCGCGCTCCGCAATCATCGTGTCGAAAAACACACCCGTGATCGCCGCCGAGTCCGCGATGTCCCCGTCGATCGGCAGCGCCACGTTCACCATGTTGAGCGTGAACTCGTCTTCTGCGTCGTTTGGGGACGATGAAGTGGAGCGGAGAACGGACGTGCCGAGCTCGTGCGCGAGGAGCGCGCCGCCGCGCAGGGCGAGCGCGCGGCAGTACGCGTTGATGCGCTGTTCGCCGCCGAGCCAGCGGCGGAACTCGAGGGCTGTGGAAGGACGGCGGTTAGCATGAGTGTCCGTTTGTCACAGGCCGGCGAAAGAAAGCAGTGTACTGTCAACGCGGGGGATGGAGAGGACAGCGCTCACCCGGGACGACGCTCAGGAGGGGCACATAGTCGATCGTACCAGTCCCTGCGAAAGAAATCACGTTAGCGCATAATAAAGAGCTTTCGTATGCGTCGAGCACGCAACGCGGACGCACATTCAAACATGAGCGCAAAGTCCTGCGGGCCTGCGTACCCCTCGTCCAGCGGCGACTTGTACGTGACCGGCGTCGGAATCGGCGAGCGCACAACGTGCTGGTTCCTCCGCGGCACATACATCGCCGCGCACCCCCGCTTCGCCGAGAGCCACTTGTGGCAGTTCTACACCACAAAAAGCACATCCGCATGATGAGCATTGTCTCCCGCCAAAACCCGGACACGCGAAAACGCGATAGGCCTAGGCCTAGGGCAAGGGTGCAAGGGTGCAAGGGAGGAAGGGAGGAAAGAAGGCAAAACGCACCGACAACCAAAAATCCGGCCCCGCGCTCACACCCCCCAGATCCAGCCCCACCTCCTGCCCGAGCGAATGCGCCCCATCGACGAGCGACCACACACCGTGCGCGGCGCACGCCGCGACCATCTCCGTCCACGGGAGGAGCGCGCCGGGGTTGGACACGAGCGCGTCGATCACGGCGAGGATCTTGCGCTGGCCGCGTTTGTACCCCTTTTGCGTCGGCGTGGGTGGTGGGCTGCCGGTGGAGTTGGCGTTGGCGTTGGCGGTGGCGTTGGCGGTGGCGTTGGCGTTGGCGTTGGCGGTGAGCGGGTGCGCGGCGGTGACGCGCGCGAGAAAGGCGCGCCAGTCTGCGAGGATCTGCGCGTGCGATGTAGGGAAGTGCAGCGCAAACGTCTCGACGCGCGGGTGCGGGGGCGTGTCGCTGAGATACTTGAGCGTCTGCGTGATCGAGCCGTACGTCGTCGTCGCTGCCAGCCTCTTGTCAGCATCGAGCCTCACACGGGGAAAGCAGGGGTTTTGAGTGCCAGCCAGCCATGATTCAGATCCGGACAGCGCAGACGTAGACGCGCACCTCCAATCAACACATCCCCCTCCTCCCACTCAAAGCTCCGCAAAACCGTCGCGACGCCATGCGACGTGTTCGGGACGAGCACGAGCTCGTCGTGCCCCACATTCACAAACTCCGCGACGCGCCGCCGCGCGTCCGCGAGCATGCCCGCCATGTCGAGCTTGATGAACCGGTCCGGGCTCGCCTCGATGCGGTCGGTGAGCGCGTCGCATGCGACGCGGACGGGGCGCGGGAGGGTGCCGTATGCGCCTTGTTATGGTGATCGATTGTAGTAGATTGGTTCACCAGGTTAGCATGCCAGAGCACAGAGATGGGCGTGTAGTACTTACCGTTGTTCAAAGCGGTGTAGTTGGGGTCGATCATGAACATGGAGAGCATGTCGTGTCCGAAGGCAGGCGGGGTTTTACCGGACCTGATGAGCTCGGCGGGCTCGAGGTCTGCGTCTTGTCTGTGGCGCGCGGAGAGGTCGATGGCGGTCATTGTCGTGTTCTAGGTGAGGTTATCGTGGTGTGGAGGGAGGGGTATTATCAAAGAGGTAGAAGGGAAGGGAGGACTGTGTGTGCATGATCTGGGTCTGGGTCAGATGGGGAGCTCACGAGGACGCTGGTCAGTGGTAGCCGAGCGTCGGAGATAACGACCTCTGGGGCAATCTTATCTTATCACCATACAATTAATGCCAACCTTAGGATCATGACAGCCTCTCGCTCTCCCTCGACCCCACGAAGATGGCATCCGCATTCTTCTATGGCACCCTCATCCACCCCGACATCCTCCGCCGTGTCATAGGCAACGACGGCTCCCATCTCCAAGTCTGCCCTGCCATCCTCTTCGTGCGTGTCGCCTCCCTTACCGGTGGCATCCCTGCTCACTCTCGCTGTTGTATTATGAGTAGGACTATACACGGCACAAAGTCTCCGTAAGCGCTCCCAGATGCGTCAAGTACGCAAGCTAAAGCAGACTTTATCGGATATGCGTAGTGGGCGGACTACCCCGGAATCGTACCATATAAGAACAGCAGGTCCATGTTCTCGCGCGAGCTTACCGAGGAGGAGCGCTCCGTACGGGGGACAATGGTGACAGGCCTGACGGAGCGCGATATCCGTCTGTTGGACGTGTTCGAAGGCGACGTCAGTGCCCAGTGTATATCCTGTTTGCACAAACTGACCCGAACATTCACAGGAATACAACCGCGTCCTAACACAAGTCTACACCCTCACCCCACTCACCGCGCTCGCCTCCGCAGGCTCAACAAACGGACTCGCAACCCTCGTGCCCGCGAACCCACCTCCTCTTCCCGCGCGCGACCAGCTCGGCGAGCCGGTGCACGCGCAGACGTACGTATGGCGGCCCGAAATGCTGGGCGACCTCGTCGGCGAGCTGTGGTCGTTCGACGCGTTCGTGCGTGACAACGCATGGAAGTGGCTGGGCAAGGGCTCACGAGACAATGCGGATTATGCGCTCGTTGATGCCACCAGGGAGCCAAACGGCGGAGGGTATGATGTGCCTGCGAAGGAGATCAATGGACGTTCTAGGTAGTTGTCTGGAAATATGTGGATTGTTAGAGGTCGAGGTAGGATACCATTAATACCTGAGCTATAATAAATGGAGACCGTGGAGGTAAGATGGTATGACGTCCGAGGCATGCTCGATCTGTTCACATCCATCAGCAAGCTAACCCAAAGTGACTGCTGCTTTTACGACAGATAAAGTTGGCATTCCACGACACTATTCCAGCCGTCCGCAGCGTCTATCCCGACGTCCAGGATGGGTGAGACAGTGCCAACGACCCGTATCCATGTGAAATTACTGCCATCCTCCTTAAACTCTCCTCTTCTCTGCCGACCGCTGTCAGTGTCACTCCATGGTGACATGCCCCCGTCCTTCCCCAGACATGCACGCACCTGTCTCGCTTCCGCCCTCCTAGCCCTCTGCCTCACATTTCTCCTCTTCCCGAGCTGCAGACCACGCGTCCGCAGACTCTTATTCCACGGCGACAACTCGCTCAAGCCTGACCGTGAGTCGAGTCTCGCCTTGTTATGTCGCACGGATCTTATCTATGTCTGGAGGACAGTCCCTGACTTTGATCAGTATGTGCGTCTCAGAACGCTGGGAGAAGACGACTTCCCAACCAGTGCGTCTTCCCCACCTCTTTCCGCTGCATACGCGTCTTTAACGGCAGTCCCTTCGAAAGACAGCACGCACAAGCGCGTCATCATCGTAGGCGACATCCACGGCCAACAGGAGCCCCTCGAGTGCGTTCCCCCTTTCCCATTCCCATTCCCCGCGAACACCCCAACCTCTCCCTCGGTGCTTACACCCATCACAGCCGCCTGCTCTCCAAGCTCGCATACACGCCCACCTCCGACACGCTCCTCCACGTCGGCGACATCATCACCAAATCGCCCCTAGCCGCCTCGCTCGCCGTGCTCGACTTCATGCGCGCGCACAACGTCTCCGGTGTGCGCGGGAACAACGACCAGAAGGTCATCGGCTGGCGTGCATGGCGCGCGTGGGTGTCCGGGCTCGCGCGGCCGCCTGGTTATTCGTCGTCGTCCTACGCCTCTTCATCGGCGTCGAACGTGTCGGATATATCAGGCCGCACCTTCCTCGCGGCCCTCGACGCAGCGTTCCCCGACCCAGACACAGACGAGCACGCCAAAGACGTGCGCCGCTGGCTGCGCAGCAGCGCGGGCGAACGCGTGGCCGCGGAGAGGTGGGCGCAGACCATCCCCGAGGACAAGGACAAGGACTGGACGCTGCTCGGACGGCACTACAAGGCTGCACGCGCGCTGCGGCCCGAGCACGCGGCGTATCTGCGCGCGCTCCCGCTCGTGATGCACGCGCCAGAGGCGCATACGTTTGTGGTGCATGCGGGGCTGTTGCCGTATGATCCGACGCACAGGCCGACGCACCGCGAGCAGCCGCTGTCGCATTGGCCATCTGCTGCTGGCGGGGGCGGCGGTGATGGCGGGGGTGGCGGGGGTGGCGGGGGTGATGGCCGTGGTGATGGTGGTGGTGGTGGTGGTGGGCGCGATGGCGGGGGTGATGGCGGCAGCGACGAGGAGGAGGAAGAGGCGATAAGGAAGATCCGAGCGGCACAGGAACACGCGCTGCTCGCGGACGTGCCGCAGAACGGCGACGCGTGGGCGGTGATGAACATGCGCGGCGTGACGCGCAAGGGCAAGGTGACGAGCGCGAACGGCAAGGGCACGCCGTGGGCGGGGGTGTGGTGTGGGATTATGGAGCGGTGTTCGGCCGAGTTTGAGCGCGAGGGCGACGCGGACACCGCGCAAAGAGAGGCGGCCGACTTTGGCAAGTCGAGCAAAAAGTCGGCTCTGCCCTGTTACCCGTCGACGGTCGTCTACGGCCACGCCTCGAAGCGCGGGCTCGACATCGGGCGGTGGACGGTCGGACTTGACTCTGGCTGCGTGAGTGTTCTTTCTCCTCCTCCTCCTTCCCCCCTTGCCCTTTCTTCTTCGCTCGCCTCTGAGGCGTTCCTGTTGCATGCTCACCTTTCTCTTTCCGGCTGCAGACATATGGCGGCACACTCTCCGCGCTCGTGCTCGACTACCACACCTTCCACCCTCTCTCCTCCTCCTCTCCCTCCTCCTCATTCGATGGTATCATGCCAGATCCACAGGACGAATCCGGCGACCTCACGAAACACACGATCCCGTACGGCGACAACGGCCTTGCGCGTGTCTACAGCGTCAAGTGCACCGGATCGTGATGCACATCACGTCATGGCCGAGTCTTTATCGCGGTGCTCGGGCTGTAGATTCTCCTAGTGTGTATATACTATCAGAGCGCCGTGCTCACGCCGGATCCTTGCGCACCTTACCTTAGCTTAGCTGTTGTTTGAACTCGTCTCGATATTTTGGGGTACTCGTAGAGGGCGTTGTGCGTTGTATTATTATAAGAACTCTGTGACAATAGACCATCGTTCAACGTTTATCGTCCGTCGTATGTCCATGTTACTCGGACGCGGATCACCAACCGATATCGTCACTTCAAGACAGACACGAATAAATATAGTCCGCTGGCTTTCGTCACAATAAAGAGATACAGTGTGATACAGAAACGACAATGCACAGAAACATAAACAGAAACACAGTTATAGGAACCACCAGAACATCCGTTAACACCACATTACACTGTAGAACATCCATCCTCCGACACCGGCAGACCCCCATCGAAGCCTCGGCAAGCTACACTCGGGCTCTTGGGCTCTTGAGCTATTTGCGCTCGCGCTCACGCGATGAACAGCAGGTTCGTGTCCTAATATAACACACAAGTTTTATGAACGCGCGAGTTAGAAGGTATGCCATGGGCCAGCACAAGGAGCGGGGGGTCACGGGTGCATTGAGACGCTGGGGACGTACCATGGGATGCGAGCACGAGAGCTAAAAGTGCGACATGGACAGCAAACGGGAGAGAGAGAATCAGAACCTCGGAAATTAAAGATGCATGTGGGCCCCGGCGGGGAGATGGAGAGCACGGTAAGAGGTAAGAGGTAAGAGCGGGACGCACCTGCGGCTTTTGGCTGTACTTGGCTCTCAAGATGTCCCTGGTGAAGAGAAGACGCGGTATCAGCGATCGGCCATCATCGTGCCATCGTGTCCGAGTCCATGTTCAGTGCTAGCTATCAGTTCCGTCGCCGCGAACCCCGATAAGTAGGTCCACGGCGGTCCGCGACGATCCGCATCGAATGCATCGTCGCGGATCCGATTCTAGACTCGAAGCTGCAGCCTGAAGGCAGGAGGTACTCACCGGATGCTGTTGAGCAGCTGAATGTAGCTCTGCTGCGGGTTCTGGCCTGCCGCTGGCGTCAGTACACCATTCTCTGACCGAACACAGGCAAACAGAACGTACTGAGCGCAGCGATAAACGCATAACTCATCGCGCCCGTCGCGCGCCCGGCCTCCTGCGTATCCGCGCTCGTCTGCGAATCCTTGCACCCGCTCCACGAGATCTGCGCACGGCGAAACAGGAAACATCAGCCCCTCCAGTACTCGCAAGCAAAGCACACCCTCAAAGTGGAGGAGAGAAAAAGGGCGCTCTACGTACAGCGTCAGCCGGACTCGTCCTCGTCGCCCGCGCGTACTTCTCCGCCTTCTGCTGGTTACCCGTCGCCGTCTTCACGAGGCCGGTAACGGACTTGAACACGCCGCCCATGTCGCCCCGCGCGTAGCTCGACACGGCGGACAGCAGGCCCTGTCCGGCCTCGGCGGCGAGGTTGGGCTCCTTGATCTTGCCTTCGGTCGAGTACTGCGTGCGTGTGCGTGGTTCACGGGATACGGGCAAAGCGCAGTGGAGTATGGGGCATGTGATACGGTGCCGAGATGTGAGGATGCATGCAGAGCGTGAGGGTAGCGTGCGAGCGAGCCGGAGGAGCGGTGCGGACGCCGAGTGGGGTGGGAGGATGGCATGCATCGAGAAACGAGGGGTTCATCGCGATAGGATACGTGCGGACATGACTGGGGATGAGCACGCAGAATATAGAACAAACGACGAAGAGGAACGCACGACGTATGGGAGATCTGTCGGTCCACGAGGTGATGTGATCCGTTAGCGCCTACACGAAACGCGAGCAAAGGAGCGAGAAAAACACTGATCGTACCGAGAGCCGAACCCGAGTGGCAAGACTGTTCTCAGGGTAGGCGTGAGGTTAGGTGCGTATGCGTATACGAGGAGCCAATCGAGCGGGAAATGAAAGTCAGGAGGTTGAGCACGTTTCAGGAGGCAAGGCATGGAGAAGAGGAGAGGAAGGACGGCCACCCGTCAGCGCGATTGACCAGGTGTAGATCAAGGCACATACGTCGAAGATCGCCGTCAGACGGCATCCAGGAGGAAGCGGGCGCACCATGATGGCGTGCATGTCCTACGTGGGTCAAGAAACAAAAATAGAATTGAAAAAGTGGATGTGTGTACGCGTCAGCATGCAAAACTCAGAGATGATGCAAAAGATGATGCGGGACCTACGTCGTCGACAATGTGGCCAGCGTTGTCAAAGTCGACCGGGTAGATCACTGGAGCGCAGAAAAGGCAAACAAGGGCGTTATCAGAATCGTGCCGAGTTTCTTCTATACAATGAGACGCGCCATACCTTCATCGTATCCGTCGTCTTCATCGCCGTCGAGATCCTTGGTCTGACCACCATGGCCGGAATCTGACGAGGTAGACTTAGTGAAGTGTCACACTATGCCGTGACAAACCACGTACAATGGAAGAACAAAGAGTCGTTCTCCGAGGCACTGTTGACGAGCCACTGCATGGCCCGAATCTGACATCATCCTGGCGTGAGCGGTGCTGTATTTTAGCTCATCGCGGTGGCAGCTACACGCACAATGTTGTCCCTAGTCGGTTGACCACGTGGGTCTCGCTGGTCGTCTGTGAGCATCACAATGTCATCCGATTTGTACCCGAACTGGCCTGTTGACACGAAATGATACATTAGATGTGTTCAAACGAGGAAAGCAAGCCAGAGTAGGAAAACGCACTGATGAGGAAGCCCTGAATGTTACGCGCATCGTTGATGCATCCGGCGAGCTCGTTTCGCTGTCCAACGTAGTTGATGCCGATCTAAGTGCGATGTCCTGTGAATTAGCTGGGGGGTCACAATAGATAGGGGCTTGGCGTACGCAAAGGGCCTTCTTGCGTCCATTGCACTGCGAGTACTTGAAGAACGGCTGCTGCTGCTGACCAGCCTGGCCCTGCATCTGTGGACCATAGTGCTGCTGCTGGTTCGGTGGCATGGGTGGGGGACCCGCTGAATTGACGCGTCACAAGCATCAGCTTCGCGTTCGGGCGCTTATGAGCACGTTACGAGACGTACAGGGCGGTGCATAGCCTCCACCTCCCTCATAAGCGCCCCCGTATCCGCCTCCGTATCCACCGCTAGATAGAGGTAAGCAAATGCTACAGCCGGAAGACAGAGATGACGTACGGAGGTGCGCCAGGAGGCGGTCCATACCCGCCTGGAGGGCCTTGAGGAGGGGGATAGCCGCCATACCCACCGCCAGGAGGGCCTGGTGGGGGCGCATATACTCCGCCTGGAGGGCCAGGAGGAGGAGCGTACCCGCCATATCCGCCGCCGGGGGGACCTTGGGGAGGTGCGTACCCGCCACCAGGTGGACCAGGGGGAGGTGCATAGTTTCCGGGATAGCCGCGGCTTTGCTGTTGGTTATGGTTATGGTGGTGGTGGTGATGGTTCCTGCATATAGTCAGTAACGCTCGTCTATGAACTCACGAAACCGATGAGAAACGCGGAGGTGGCGTCCCCACAACAGCTAAAGAGTGGGAGTTCGCCCACCTCTGAGTGCACAGGGGATCGCAGAACGGTCAGAGGGCTACAGAGCCAAACGGTGACCTCATGGATAGCGAAGCGGGAGATAAATAGCTCGATGTGAAGCGAGCAACGAGGGTACACGACTGCGCAACATGGCAATAACTCACGGAGTGGGCATTCTGTCGCATAAGATCAATACGAGTGACGATGAAGATATGATGCCGTAAAAGCTCACCCAGAATTTCCTCCCCACATTGTTGCAGCTGTCGCTTTCAGAGAGTTTACAAGAGGTAGTTGGATGTGGACGATGGGGAGAAACACAGGAGCTTGGCTTCAACTTGCCAAGGGCACTGGCGGTCAACACAGCCACTCAATGACGGTTCGGCCCCGCGCTCCGCGATGCCCGGGGTCATCGCAGCTAGTGTTGCCGCGGTTCGAGAAACCAGCTCAAACCGACTCCTTGAAACACACTTTCTTGCCACAATACCGACCAAGCAAGTGTTAATCTTCGCGGTTTTTAGTCTCTACGCAGCGACGAGGTGTGTTATCTGGACTGATGACAAGTGCAAGCACAAGTTTCTTTGGCTTGGTTCCAGCCAGTTCGCCAAATGCGGCAACACTAATCGCAGCCACTCTTCATTTCCCTCTTTCATCTTGTTTTCATCCAACTCAATCACCACAGCGAAAGCACGAAGGTCGTAGTTCTGGAGACCGACGAATGCTCTGGAGAGAACTAGCTCTTTCTAACACCTCTTCCCCCACAGTCGTTCTAGGCCGTGGCTTCCGCCAGAAGCTTCCCGCACGCTCTCATTGGTTTCGACACTGGTTGGCAACTAGTACTCGCTATTGATAGTCTTCCTGACACGGCGCCCTGCATTCCATCCTCAGTGGTCTATAGTGGTCTATGTCAGAGCTTCTCTGGCGTCATCGCCAACGAAGCACTCGGTGTCCCCCGGTGTCCCTCGCTTGCAGTTGGTGACTGTACTGTACCTGTTCAACCACGCACTTACCTTGAGGTCATCTTCCCACCGACGAACATAGCGAGAGCCACTTCGGGGTGATCCCCCGCTTCCGTCGACTTCTGGCTGATGTCATACAATATGTAACTGTCGGTGTCTCAAGTCACTGTGCCGATGACGAATTCGCGCTTTTCGAAAACGTCTGTTGCAAGTTCCGTCGGCTGCCTTGCCTTATCCTTCTCCCGGGGTCGAAGTGCATGCTCCCGCACCAAAAAACGCCGGCGTAAAAGTGTCTGGCAATAAGGAAAACCACAGATTGCGTGTTAATTCCATCGCTTGCTTCTCTCTACTTAGGGGACTGGCTAGGCAAGTCGATGGCCCATAGCGTCATCTGGCATGGGACCAAGCACTCGAGTTCGCGGTCCGCGCAACCGTGTCGACGTCAACTAAACGAGATAAGCCGCACGAATACGAGTGGGTGTCGGTGAAGCTCAGCAAGATGGCTGAACATTCAAGCTCTCGGCCCCGGTCCGGACCTAGCACTCGTGAAGCACTCGCAGCCAAAGCGCATCCACGCCTCCGTTCGCACAGCGGGTGCCCGACTCTGTGGGCCAAGTCGGAGCAATGCCGGCGACATGTGCGCCATGGGGCTGGTCTATACGTAGCATGCTCTAAACTTTCGAAGTTGCGAGTGTGGGGCAGGTATATAAAGCCATGCCATGCTCCCCTGCTTAGGTTTTATGAGACAGTCTCCTGACCTCTCGGCCCACATACTCCCATCCTCATACCGCATTAATACAACATGGCAGGAGGAGGTGCAGGTGCTGACGCCAGTCCCTATGCCGCGAATCTGCGCCAGGCTATGCAAGGCCGGTCAGGATGGGTACGTTCCGGATGCACGAGGTTCTAGGCATGAAGGGCTGAACCTCACATACTCACTAGGCCGGCCTTGTCCATAATCGCAAAGTTTTTGCTGTTGCTGTCTTCGCTTCCATTGGTGGCCTTCTTTATGGCTACAACCAGGGTGTCTTCTCTGGTGTGCTCGAGTACGTCTCTTGAAATATCCTGCTCTATCCAATTCTAATATCCTTGCAGCATGTATACATTTGACCAGCGCATGGCGAGCGCTGTTGACAATCCAGGCTTGAAAGGCTGGCTCGTCGCCATCCTCGAGCTTGGCGCCTGGTTTGGTGTCCTCTGCACCGGCTACTTGGCTGACAAGCTGTCTCGAAAATATGCCATCGTGCTTGGTATGCTCAATTCTCCTTCAACCTTGTAGACGGTCTGACGGAGTTCTAGCTGTCTGCGTCTTCTGCGTTGGTGTTATTGTCCAAACGACCGCATACCAGCCCTCGTCTATCCTTGGTGGCCGGTTTATCACAGGTTGGGGTGTCGGTTCACTCAGTATGTCCGTACCGCTGTACAAGTAAGCAACTGGCCCTGCTCGATATGACCGATGTTGACGCAAAGTGCAGTGCCGAAATTGCTCCTCCTGAAGTCCGCGGCAGTCTCGTCGCCCTTCAGCAGCTCGCCATCACGTTTGGTATCCTGATCTCCTTCTGGATCGACTATGGCACGAACTACATTGGTGGCAACGGATCCACTCAGAGCGAGGCTGCATGGCGGCTTCCTCTTGCGCTTCAGCTTGTGCCCGCGATAGTGCTAGGTGTCGGTATTCTTTTTATGCCCTTCTCTCCAAGGTAAGTCAATAATATACGTCGTACTGGTCAAGAATTAACAACTATCAGATGGCTTGTGAACCAAGGGCGAAACGACGAGGCCATCGCCGTCCTCGCGAAGGCACGCCAACTGCCAATTGAGTCGGACCTCGTACAAATCGAGTACTTGGAGATTCGAGCACAATACATATTCGAGAAAGAGGTCAACGCCGAAAAATATCCCCAGTACCAGGATGACTCGTTATCCTCGAACTTCAAACTCGGTTTACACGCATACGCGAGCCTTTTCACGAGCAAGAGTTAGCGTGTTTCAGAAACGTCTCCTGGAAGGAAGCTCACCTTGTTCACAGCTCTCTTGAAGCGCATTGCTACCGGCTCCTTGACAATGTTCTTCCAGCAGTGGACTGGTGTGAACGCCATCCTCTACTACGCACCGTCAATTTTCGGAGACCTTGGTCTCACTGGCAATGCAACGAGTCTACTTGCCACAGGTGTCGTCGGTATTGTGTAAGTTCTCTCTCATATCTAAACCTGATCACGCATTTCTCAAACATTTTTCCTTTTAGTATGTTCGTTGCCACGATACCCGCCGTTATTTGGGTCGACAAGGTTGGGCGTAAGCCTGTGATGATTTCTGGGGCACTCATTATGGCTGCGTGAGTTCCGATCCCACAGTTGGGCTGGATTTATGACTTACCGTTACTCATCCTATTCCCAGATGTCACATAACCATCGCCATCCTGACCGCGCTTTACCAGTCGGACTGGCCGGCGCACTCGAGAGCCGGTTGGGCCGCGTGTGCGCTCGTGTGGGTGTTCTCTGCAGCGTACGGGTACAGCTGGGGCCCTTGCTCGTGGATCATCGTCGCCGAGATCTGGCCCCTGAGTATCCGTGGAAAAGGGATCTCCGTCGCTTCGTCGTCCAACTGGGTAAGCCCCTTCTTCCCTACCACGCCAAAATGACGACGGTGCTCATGGAGAGATTTTGGTGTAGATGAACAACTTCATCGTCGGGCAAGTCACGCCCACGATGCTTACCGAAATCACCTACGGCACGTTCCTCTTCTTCGGGTGCATCACCTTCCTCGGCGCCATGTTCATCTGGCTGCTTGTTCCCGAGACCAAGGGCCTCACGCTCGAAGAGATGGATGACGTGTTCGGCGACGCCGAGGGCATTGCTGCAGCAGACAAGGAGCGCCAGGCCAGGATCGCGGATCAGATTGGCCTCGCGGCGTATGGCCAGAGTGCTGCTACTAGCGACACTGAGAAGGGGAGCAGCCACAGGGAGGAGCATTACGACGACAAGCTCGCCAAGGCTTGAGCGCTATGGTTATCTTCTGAAAAAGAACAGCGTGGTTATCAGCGGCTCGGTTGTGGGTTTAATATTTGGTGACAGAGTGTTGGTTGTAAAGTGACGAGCGATTGCTGTCTCGAACGTTTGACTGTGGCTGTAATTTACTTATACTCGTATGTCTTGAATAACGTATGCATATGTATTTTAGCACCAGATTGCATGTCTTCAAATCTCCATCAGATTATCTCTGGAGTTAAAACCTGACCCTCGAACTTAGAAGATGGCCATGGTTTCTCGACGGGTCTCGTACTTTGCCCGTACTGAAATCCTGGACGCGTAGATCTTAGGGGCTAAATTGCCAAATGTACTCACAGTAGCCACCACGTGATGGTCACGACGCGTCTTTGACCCGGACCGCGACCGCGAATCCGTTGAATGTCGCGGTTTGCTCTACGAGCGTTTGCATTCACTTCTAGGTTCAGAGCTACAAGTCCTCGAACTTATGCACACTTCAGCATGGACACGTACCTAAACACGCTCAATCGTGCGCAGCTAGACTGTAGGCATCAGTCTCCAATCTTCAAAACTTTAGCCCTCTGACGTGATTACATTCGTCGCAATGCAGGCGTCCAACACTCGCCCTCTGTCCCACTTCAGATACTCGCAGGCCCAGGAAGCGGAAAGACGAAAGTACTCACCTCACGCATCGCACACCTCATACTCCAGCATCGACTCGAGCCCGGTTCAATATGCGCCGTTACGTTCACGAACAAGGCCGCGAACGAGATGCGGACGCGTTTGACGAAGCTTATTGGGAGCGAACGGACAAACCAGGTCAAGATGGGCACCTTTCACTCTCTGTGCGCACTTTTCCTTCGGAAGTATGGGACGAGTGTGGGGCTGGACGGGAACTTCACAATATGCGATGCGGACGAGAGGTACGTCGCATGTAAACCTGTACGAGGGCATTTGCTGACTAGCGTGGGTTGTGTGTAGCAAGAAGATTATCGCGGGTCTACTCAAGGAGCAAAAACAAGTCTTAGCAGCCCAAGATATCTCCTTGAAGGAAGCCACCATTCTCTCCATGATCTCAAAGGCCAAAGCAAAAGGTCACACTCCGGATCACCTCGCCTCGGTCGCTCAGACTATGCCGAATGGCATACAAGGCGAAATCAACGCTGTCGTCGCTGAACTGTATCGAGACTACGAGAAAGCGCTGCGCACGAGCAACAGCTTGGACTTCGACGACCTCCTTGTATTCGGTGTGAAACTCTTTGCCCATTATCCCGAACGCGCCGCGTGGTGCCGACATGTTCTCGTGGACGAGTTGTGAGTAGTGAAACACCTCGTTAGCTTCGTGCCCTTGACGCGCATTGAAGCCAGGATACTAATACGGTGCAGTACGAGCTCATGCGGTGCATAGCCGCCACCAGTAAATGTGTCACCATCGTCGGTGACCCCGACCAATCAAGTGAGTGGCGCGTTGTCTCGGTCTAAGCTCCTCCGAACCGATTCTCTAGTTTACGGGTGGCGGTCAGCAGAGATAGGCAATCTCAGAAAGATGCATATAGGCAGGTCCGCGTTTTGAACCAGTGGGGTATCGTTCTCACATTTGCTACCAGACTTCCACGGTGTGAAGCAAATCTTCTTGGAGCAGAACTATCGATCGGCCGGCTCTATACTGGATGCAAGCGTTGCCATCATTTCACAAGGTAAATTTCGATACTCCTTTCGTGGACTCGCAGCTGACGCCAAACAGATAAGGCGCGTGTCCCCAAGACTTTGCGCACCTCTTTCGCGACGGGACCGCGGCCTGTTCTTCGGTCCTGCATGAATGAGCACGAGGAAGCTTCCTTCATTGCCCATGAGATCAAGCGGATTGTCGCGCATACAGGCGGTTTACTCGGCTATGGCGACTTCGCGGTTCTGCGTTAGTCCCTCTTTACGCCAGACACGAAGTCCAAGTCATTAACCAAGTCTTTAGTCCGCTTCAATGCCCTTTCCCGAGCGATAGAAAGCGCGTTGCAGAAGGAGGGCATACCGAACCGAATCCTGGGAGGCCATAAGTTCTTTGAGCGTGCCGAAGTACAAGTCCGCTATCTTTTTTCAAGCGCATACACTAAGCAAATTCTAGATCAAAGACCTACTAGCCTATCTTCAGCTCATTGACAATCCTCAGTTCGCGCCAGCCTTCATTCGAGCCGTCAACACGCCAGGACGAGGCATAGGAGAGAAAGTACGTTGCTCCTATGACCTCCGCGAGTATCACTCACCTGCTACAGGCACTATCAGAGATCTTATTGAAGGCAGAGCATCTCAAGCTTACACCCCTTGCTGTCGTAGAATCGATTTGCGACTCGAAGATCCCTGACTTGAGCAGTCGTCTCGCGGTTAAACGTAAACTGAACTCCTTTGTCACTGCTATTCGCCAACTGCGTCAGTTGGCAAACGGGGTTCGTCAACATCACTAGAACTACGGACAACCGTGGCCTGACCGCATCCATAGGGTACATCACCGGCAGATCTGATCACTCGACTTCTCAAGCTTGTTGACTACGAAGATCATCTGAAGAGGACACAGCCTGACTGGGAGACACGATGGGAGAACGTACAGGAGTTGATTAACTTCGCCAGCGAGGCCAACAACGAGCCTGCGCCTTTCACCCTCGAGGATGAAAGTCCTTCCCAGGATCCCGAGTTAGTATACTTACGTTTGGACGCTGTCAGACTATCTACTAATCCTGCACCAAACAGATCCTCTGAGACGCCTCTCCGCCGCTTCCTGCAGGCTTCAATGTTGTCCTCTCAGGGTGATAACGAAGCTGAAGTCGATAACAAGGAGGTCGGTGTCCAGATGCCATCTTAACAGCACCTATTTGACGTCTCAGTACAGAAAGTCACGATCACGACCTGTCATGCGGCAAAGGGTCTCGAGTGGCCAGTTGTTATGATCCCTGCGGGTGTGTCTCGAGGTTTTGCGTACTGACTTGTCCTGACTGGTGCGTCGTCTAGTCGAGGATGGTACTTTTCCTTTCTACCGCACGGAGGACACGGAGGAAGAAAGGTGGGTAGAACACCCAGTCTCGGCGCACGGTCGCTGAACTTCTTAAAGGCGCTTACTCTATGTTGCGTGCACGCGAGCACAAAGCCTCCTCTACCTGTCACATTCCTCGAGCAGGAAAACTGCGGGTCAGTCGCAGAGAAAGTCTGTCTCCGATTTTGTCTCTGCTGTACGAAAGCAGCGCTCGGTACGTTGAGCGAAGCTGCTTTGACAATCCACTATCTCATTCATGCCAGGATCTATTCTCGGATGAGGCACCAACTCTCGCGGCTGCGGATAGAGGGCTCATGGCGAAAATCCTTAACAGAGGTGACCGGGTGCCGTCCGAGACCGATGTGCAGGAGAAAATTAGACAATTGTAAGTTGGAGAATTGATAGTGCCCGACTCATTTACTAACATGTCACCTCCGCAGTGAGCTCACGACGCGTTCATCTCGTCCTTCTCGCCAGGAAACGTTCGGGGCGAGTTACTATTCGAAAGGTTTTGGCTCTGCGCGAGGGTTTAACTTCGATGTACCAACCACTACATCATACTTTCAGAGTAAGTCCAGTACTTCATGATTCGTGATAGACGTCACTCAACTCCGTTATCGAGCAGATGCTTCCTCTTACCCAGGGTCGAGATCACGATCAAAATCGCCAAGGCGGCGTATGTCAACCTCCGCTTCGTCGAGCGGGGCCACCCCACGTTCACCGACGCAGAGTGTTCAATCCCTGGCACCAGTCAATGAGCTGCTCGGCCAGCACAAGGCTCATCCCGTCCAAACAACTCTCAGCTTCTCAGCGAAGGGCCCCCTGCCTCCGATGTCATGCGGCGCAGCACCAGGTGCCCATAAACCCCAGAATCTCCCTAGTTCCAAGCCTCTGCAGCCAAAGGCCTTTCCCTCATCTAACAATCGCCCACCGCACCCTCCCCCGCCTCTGAAAGCTCAAAGCATCTCTTCATCTCCGTCATTGAAGCCGGGGCCAACAACCCAGTCGTCCTCACCTTCGTTGCCGCCGACCTCAGCATACGCAGAGACAGGAGTCAAGAGACGACTTGGAATGGGACGTACGGCGAACGGGTATTCCAACAAGAAGTTCAAGGCCCCTGTGACCTGATCTGACATGAGGACACATGTATAGACACGCTTGTTATTATTATTGGTCACATTGTACACTACTTACACTACATTATGTCTAGTAGGCTGGCGTTCTTGTAATTGATGCTTAATTGCCCTTTACCTTTGCTGTGACTCTTCGCTCTCGAACATCATGGAATGGACTTTGTGACTCGACAGAATAAGGACTCAAGCTCGCAGCAAGGTAATCAAACTTGTCATCCTCTACTTATTTCCGTGCAGACCACATTACTTTGTCTTCACTACGTGAGTGTGTCTTCCACTTAAGCTCGCTGTACACACGAGACCAGAGCCAGAAACGAGCAAGGATCTGAATACTTAGTTGACAAGCAACTCGAAGAAACAACGAGCTCGAAGAGGGCTGCCTAAGGCTGGGGGCGTCTCAGGTTAGTTGTACATACAGATGATATGTATAAGCAACAAGTCAAGACAGGAGTATAATCCTTTGTCCTAGTACAAGTTACAAGAATGACTAGGCGTGCTGCGCTTCTTTCACCATCTGTTCCAGCCTCGGTCGGTCAAACCGAGGAACAACGCGCATTGGGAGCTGTTTAGGTTTCCTAATGCACGGAATAAAGTTCAGTTACTTTGCCGTGATCACCAGTGCTTGAAGCACCTACCTCGCAATTCCAGTCGTCCACTCCTGCACTGCATCGATCTCTGCCCCGTTCTCGTCTTTAGCTCTCTCGAAGCTATACGCCGTCAACATCGAGACGGTAGCGATCCAGATTGCTGCCGACGCCGAGTACCGTCCCGGACAGATTCGCCGACCCCATCCAAAGGTGAACCTCACGTCGTCGTCGGTGAGTTCGCCGTCTTTGGTCAGGAATCGTTCCGGCAGGAAAGCCTCGGGATCAGGATACCGGCGAGGATCGCGAGACATCGCCCTGGGTCAACGTTATCAGCACTTGCAGTAACTGAACAAATGGTTTCGCCTACCATGTATTGGCAGTGACAATCGAGCCTATACGGATGAGAAGTAAGACGATTAATTATCCCATGTGCAGTCGCGCGCGACCACCCACCTTTCGGAATGAAATACCCCTCGTAGACATCGTCTTCCGTGGAGAAATGGGGAACACCTGGTTATTTTTGTCAGAGATCGCGGCCCATCAAACTCAATGCTCGTAAGAACACTCACCAAGAGGGACAACCGCGCCCCATCTCATGGCCTCCCGGATCATCGCATCAATGTAAGGGAGCGAAGCCCGGTCCCCGAATGTGGGCAGCCGATCATCGCCGACAACGGTCCGGAGTTCAGCCTGGGCGCGTTTCTGTACAGCAGGATTCTGCACTAAGGCTGCGACCAAAGACAGCAATACGCTCCCAGACTAGGAGATGGTTTAGCACACAGTCTAAGGAAGATGTACTGGCTTACCGTGTCAGCACCAGCTAACCGTGACCACGTAGTGAGCATACGGCGGCGAGCGGAAGTGGTGTACGTTACCAATGAAAGAGGTCGCCGCGAATTTCTTCAAATACGGCACCGGAATGCTCTGACCATTCTCCTCGCCCTCTCGGATCATCTCCGAGAGCACACAAGCAAACGCGGGATCCGATTGCTGGCATCCTTCCTTGAGACCGGGGGTGCAAGTGGAGAATTACGAGACGAGACGCACCATTTTCTCCATTGTAAAGTTGTAAGGAAAGTTGACATATTGGTGAGTCCAATGCTTCGAGATCTGGGCGTTGCGGACGATTGACATGCCGGGCAACCACGCCGGGAGATACTTGACTGTTCGAGCCTGAATTAGGGCGCAGTATGGTATGAATAGTTCAAGACATACTGAAGGGGAAAGTGTCTGGAACAATCGACTTTTCGGGAGTCAACAATGGGAATCCGCTCTCAACCGCCTTGTCGTTGATGTTGAACAGAGGGTCATCGAGGGTGTTGACCTCGTAACCGTATATTGTAGAAAGGATCGCAGAAGCCGTACACCTATGTATGACGAGTTAAATCGGAAAGCACAGGAAGAATCTTCGAACGTACAGTGATAGAAGATCAAATAGCTTTTCCGCCGGGTAAGTGTCCATGTTCATCAAAAGGCGGTGGGCAGCGGCAAGCTGCGTTGTGCGATAATCGGGCACTTTCTGCTCACGGAAAGTTTGCTGGAAAAGTCGTCGGTATAAACGCCATTCACTGTTATAGCGGCCATAACTGATATCCAAGTCCCATCCAGACCTGATATCGCAGGTGCATTAGTACGCAAGGAAATTAGAGGACCTTGTAACGCACATAGGGATCGTAGATATATCAGCTCTGTCAGAATAAATGCGAGAGCGTTTCTCCAAGAGGTCATCTGCAGCTTTCTCGGAGTTCAAGACCACTACTCGACGACCGAAGAAGTGGCAGCTGACAATGTCGCCTGCATCATTGCGACTCAGATCAACAAACGCGGCATCAGAGCAGATAAAGGGAGAGCGCACCATACTTCGCTGCCCACTCTCTATACGTCACCCATGGAGTGTCGCCGTCGACTTCAAGAGCGGCACCCAGTAGCGGTAGCTGGGCCGGACCTGGTGGTAAGGGTAGAGAGTTTTTGCCTCTGAGCCTCACAGCGGTATATCTTGCAAGGGTCCATACAAACAAGCCAATAGGAAGGATGAGCGATATAGATACACCCATGATGAGCGGGTACGAGTCGTTCGCAGGGAGTCCACCGCCCCCAAAATTCGACAGCCCTCTTTATAGAGTGATCGGAAGACGAGGTCCGGTCGCCATTGTCTGCGGAGTACCTCATAATCAAGCACATGTTTCACATAGAAGTGCTCCGCTTACCTTGGCTCCGACTGTGGTTCCATAAAGAGGGTGCTACGTGCATGGGGTGTATATCAATTACTTTTCCTGATAATGTTTATCGCCGAGCGCTCTCTCATGTGCATTTCTCTGCTACCATTTCGGCCCTGCGGCATGGCGATAGAACGTCTAGCATCAAGTTACCGTCGAACTCGCTATATGAAAGCAGCGATCAATGACGTGCGGGGGCCACCTATGCGCAAAGCTCGGACCTTCTTCCACGGAAGCGGTTACCTTTAGTGGGCAGGGTCAAGTAGCCGATGTTTGGACCGCCAGGTACCACCTGTCACGAGGTCGGACTGTGGAGCCCCGAAAACCGTGAAGCGTTTTATTGGCTTTTTAGCTCGTGTGTTTTCAATTTTGTAGTCTGGAGTACTCATCACGTCGCCAGGCGCAAACGTTTCCCAGCCCCAGGAAAATGAAAGAGCCTCCAAACACGTACCATTCTCGGGGCAGGGAGAGGGCGCAAGGGGACGAAGCTGAAGTAGTCTGAAGCGGTGCGTCGTCCAGCACTGATAAGATTGGCGAATGATCCGAGCCATTGAAGTTGGAGTAAAACGGGGTTCCTTCGTGACGATGCCGCGAGGCATTGGTGGGACCGCGGATTTGCGCGATGCATGTTCTCTGCCTCTCGGAACAGGGGTCAAATCCCTTGGCATGATAAGCGACGTTCCCATCTGTCGTGAGCGCCTGAGCCTCGAGGTTGTCGACGCGGTGGAGCGCTGGCCGAAGGCGCGTATCAGCCGACCGTAACTGAGCTCGGGCCGAACAGCACTAAACAGGCAGAAACGCACCCGACCAGTCGAACATAGTCTCTTTATGTAAGCAGACAGATATAAGTTCCGGAAGACTTACATTTGAACACACGATAGGTATGACTCGATCGAACAGAAGCAGATACCACAACAAAACATGAGGCGACGGGCCCAGAAAACCACTTACTCAGCCCGAAGGCCGAGTCGCGTCTTGTCGCGTCTTACAAAGACAAAGCGCGTCGCGCCATAGAAATACCCCCTAACCTCGTCTGCATCCCCCACTGTACTCGTCCCTAAAGATGTCAGAATCCCCTTTCACCATCTCCATCCCAAACAGCAAGCTCTCCTCACTCCGCACCAAGCTCGAGCTCGCCGCGCTCCCGAACGAAGTCGACGGCGCCGGATGGGACTACGGCGCGCCCCTGGCCGACCTGCGCCGGCTCGTCGAGCGCTGGCGCACGGGGTACGACTGGCGCGCGCACGAGGCCGCGCTGAACGCGGAGCTGCCGCAGTTCACGCGCGACATCGCGGTCGAGGGGTTCGGAGAGCTCAACGTGCACTATGTGCACAAGAGGAGCGTGTGTGCGGAGGCTGTGCCGCTGCTGTTTGTTCATGGGTGTGAGTGCGTTCAGTTCGACTTCGTCGACCTCGCTTTAGATTGTGCTGGTTTCGTGGGGGTTCTAATGGCGTGAGGTGTGTAGGGCCTGGCTCGTTTCTCGAGGTTCGCAAAATCTTGCCTCTCTTGACGGAGGCGTCGCCCGATCATCCTAGCTTCCATGTCGTTGCCTTGAGTCTGCCTGGCTACGGCTTCTCGGAGCCCGTATTGAAGCCCGGGTTCGCTGGCCATCAATATGCAGAGCTGGGAAACAAATTGATGCTTTCGCTAGGATATGATGAATACGGTAAGCTCTTTGCGCGTTCAACAATCGAAGTTCCTGCACAGAGAGTTTGAGATTTGAAATTTGAACAGTCACGCAGGGTGGAGACTGGGGTAACTACGTAGGACATTTCTTGCTCAGTAATTTCCCTCGAGCTCCCTCTGACCTGGCTGCAGGTCACTCGCATGATCGCCATACATTATGGCGGCAAGCACAGTAAGGCCTGGCATAGCAACTACGCCATGTAAGTTCTCCCCAGCTCTTTGAAGCATCGCCTGACCCTCTGACATACTGGCATAAGCGCACAGCCCCCTACTCCCCACAAGAACCCACTCTCCTACCTCGGACACATCCTGCTGCCCTACAACGACTTCGAGAAAGCCGGGCTGGTGCGCAGCCAATGGTGGCAAGGCAAGGGCATAGGCTACTACGTGGAGCAGAGCACCTGCCCGCAGACCCTGGGATACTCGCTCTCAGACAGCCCCGTGGGCCTCCTCGCGTGGATCTACGAGAAGCTGGTCACTTGGACTGACGCGTACCCGTGGACCGATGACGAAGGTGAGCGAGCCTTGGAGCAATGGTGTGCGCACAGGGAGAGCGAGACCTGAACATCCCCGCGTAGTCTTGACGTGGATATCGATATACTGGTTCTCCCGCGGCGGGCCCGAGTCGTCCGTGCGCATCTACTACGAGGTGGCCAAGGCGCGCGCGAACGGCGAGACGACTGGCGGCACGTTCAACATACCCATGGGCATCTCGACCTTCCCACAGGATCTCATCGTCGTTCCCCATTCGTGCGTCTCTTCTGCCTCCTCCAGCGTTATCTGAAAGTGCACTTGCTCACTGCTGCTGATGGTTTGTTTCAGGTGGGTGCGCCGCGAGAACAACCTCGTGTTCGCCAACGCGCATAAGAGCGGAGGGCACTTCGCCGCCTGGGAGAGGCCGGCGGAGCTGGTCGGGGATTTGCGCAAGATGTTTGGAAAGGGTGGACCTGCGTTCGGTGTCGTGTCCGGGAGAAATGGGTACGGAGCGTCCGAACGCAGTCGTCTATAAGTTGGGCTATGAGATTGTACAACAACATGTTCTATGAGACAAGTGGAGAAGGACGTCATTACGGTCGGCCAAACGAAAGCGCTCCGACGTGATGTACTGGGTGTTTATGAGCCGGCATGTCATGGTTCAAGTTCGTAGTCAAAATATGGTTTGATTGGACGGAGTGAGTATGTATAAAGATGTGGATAATGCTAGACTGAACGATCTGGAGGTGCAGAGTCAGCAGAAAGTCTTGACAGGGGGAGACGAGAAATCAGTAGTCGGAGGTTATCCTCAGCTCCGAAGAGGTTTGGTAGTCTAACATGCGATTGACTAGTGTGGCTTTTGCCCATCACGAGAGGTAGAAGCGAGAACAAGGCACTCACAGATCTGTTCCGCAAAGCCGCTGTACAGCGACCTCAGCCAGTGCAGAGTCTGGACGTTCGAAGGAAGGAAGGAAGGAATTGTAAAAAAAGAATGCAGCGCTGCTGTGCCACTGCATTACGTAAAGTGCCCAAAAGGAGAAATCGGAGCTTATGTGAGCGCGGCATCTGGGGAACGCGCACACCTCGGCACCAATCGTCTCGGCGCAACGCTCCATCCTCTCGCGCCGACTATTCTTAAAGATAGGTGCGTGTACACAGCTCCCCTCTCTTCTTAACCACCACCAGCAACGCCAGCCTGCCACTGGTAAACTATCAGTACAACAGTTAAATCCTAGCCCAGCATGCTCGCCGTCTCGCACGGCGCCCGGCATGCAAAGCAGGGCATCGGAATCCAGAAGGGCATCGGACTGCAGCACTCCGGGCACGCCCAACAAGCGTCCCGCTCGTTGCACATCCCGTCCTTCGTCCCCCGCGCCGCCCGCCCTGCAGCCACCACCGTCCCCCCACCCACATCCACAGCCCAACGCCTCTTCACCCAATCCCGCAACTTCGCCTCTCGCGTCTTCGCACATCTCACCGCGCCCGGCTTAGGGGTAATCCCGCAGGCCGCCCAGCCGCACGCACTTCACGGGCTCGGCTCCGGTGCGGGCAGGGGGCTGAGCACGCATGCTCCCAGTATCAAGAGCAGCTTCTCCCTCCCTGTGCGCACTGCGCTCACCCGCCCCCTCGGCGCCCCCTGTCTCCCCCGCCCGCCGGCGGTCCCGCGCTCGGTCGCGCACATCGGTTTGGGGTCAGCGAGGTCGTTCCACTCCGCGCGGCCTATCTTCCAGAATCTCGCTGACAACGTGCCCATTGCGACGCGTGCGCTGTGGGAGGCCGAATGGGAGGTCAAGGGCGCCGAGGAGCGCAAGCGCCGGTTCCGCAAGGAGAAGGAGAATAAGGTGCTGAAGACCAAGGAGCAGCTCAAGCCCAAGGAGAAGGCGATCGTCAAGCCCGCTTCTGCTTCCACTGAGGCTTCCACCGGCTCGCTGGAGCCTACTCACTCCGAGCTCGAGCACTATTTCCCTACGGCCGCTGCTAAGCCCTCCGACGTGACGACTTACCTTCTCGTCCCGCTCGCGCCTACGCCCACCTCTCGTCTGCCGCTGTCTGCGTACGACGACGGAAACTCGATGCATCACCCGCTTTTACCGCTAGGAGACATCGGGGCGATGCACCATCTGCATCGACAACACCAGCTCCGCGTCTCCACGCTCTTCGCGCGTCTGGACGGCGAAGAAGTGTGGGATGACCCGCGCGTGCGGGTCGACGCCTATGCTTACGGCGCAGGACAGGAGTCGGAGAGGGAGTGTACTATGTTGCGCGTCACGCTCGAAGGATGGAGCAAGAACAGTGTCCTGCGCGTTCTTGCAGGCGCCGGGCAGGGCTGGTGCTCGATCGAGGAGGTCCGCGCCGACGAGTTATCGTCCGTATCGACACCGACGATCTCGGGCGTTAGCACGCCCTCGCCAGGCGCACCGCTCTCTCCCGCACTGTCTAGTGTCTCGCTCACCGACACCGACGCCGAACACGTCTCCGCGCTGCTCTCTCCGCCCGCTCACTGGGCAGAGGAAATCGGAGATGAGAGGATGATGAATATGAGCGATGACGACGACGACGACATGGTCTCGAACTCGTTTGTCCTCCCCACCCTCGACTTCTCGTCCTCTTTCCTCGCCTCGTCGGCGATCGCACCGCCCGCACACACTGCTTCGCCGCCCTCATACTCTGTTCCTGCGGCGGCGTCCCCGCAGCCCGAGATGATCCTCCGCACGGCGTCTGAGCTCGCCGCCGAGGCGCTCGGCTCGCCCTGGGCGTCCCCGCTCGCGTCGCCGAGTCTGTCGTCCGCATCGTCCTTCTCGGACCTCGGCTCGCGCGCTGGGTCGGACGGCGGGTACCCGTTCGATGCGCGGAGCGAGTCCTGGAGCGATGTGGGCTGGACGATGTCGCCGCCGGGTCCGACGGAGGTGGGGACGGAGAACGCGTGGATGGGCGTTGGGTTCAGCTCGCGCTTTGCGGATCAGTTTGATGGGAACTGAGTGGGGGGAGATGAAAGAGGGGAAGGGAATGTTACGTGAATTCCGTGAAGATGTTCTTTCTGCTACGTTCTAAGGCGCTATTTGGTTTGACGCCTTCTCACTCTCCCTTTTGATACTTAGGATAGCGCTTGTTTTGACGAAATTGTAGCATGCATCATCTCACGTTCTTTGTTTGTACGAGTCCTGTGTAGGTTTCCGTGGAATATAAAACGTTCAGCCCTACAAATGGCTCGCGTTCAGTAGACGCAGAGACAGCAACGCTCTTCCGTGTTAGAATTCGACAACTGTGGCCCACGCAGGCGGACGACAGATAAGGTTAAGCTTAGACATTGGACAGCCAGCGTACTGTCGACATCAACATGTTCTGCCATGAGGAAACCGCGTTTCGTGGCTTCCCACTGGTTCCTTGAAGCTTGACGCACCGGGCTTCGTGAGTGGCTAGTGGGCAACTGTGGCGGTACACATGTTCACCAGCCCGGTGACAATCCCCCAGCTTCTCAGACGCGGACCCGGATAAACATACCTATCGAAGGTTCTTTTGTTTTCGCACAGCCTGCAGGCCTCCCTCGGGCCTCGAGCCACACTGGGAGGATGCACGTATCATGGATTCGCAACTCACAACCTCGTGAACTGGAGCTCGATTTGGGATGGTGGAGCTTGGACAACAATCAAAGTGACTGTATATAGATGGATATTATCGTCCGCGAGCTATGGAGCACTCGGTGATAGGCGATTCGGAAGGTGAGGGATGGAGCTTTCATTTTGACTTATGTATTAGCTATTGGGCTATTGGACTGCTATTGGACTTGCGATGGGCGCGTACGAGCGGCTCGGGGAACGGACCAAGGAGCGCTGACGGGGAATCCAAAGGTCGGCTGTGAACGGCACAAGGCGAGGAAGATGTGGTATAAATACGTGTGCGGTCGGCTCTAGCTCTTGCGGGATTTGTAGCTCTCTTCTGGCACGAAGAGGTCCTGGACTAGTCTTGCCGGTAGCTGTTCCGATCGACGAGTCAGGCTATCATAGGGAAGGTCGTGTGGATCGGTGGGTGCTGTCAGTGAACGAGAAGGGAGGAGTGCGTGTGCCTGCCTGCCTCGTGCCCGCAGCTCGCCCAATCTGCCATCCCCCGCTGACTTTTTCCTGTACAAATCTTCTGATTTCCTCATCTTACATACCGTTCGCCTCGCAGCTCTGTGCATCATCGTTTCTTGTTTTCGCTTTTCTCTCTCGTCCTTCTCTCCGCTCCGTCCGACCAGCCATTGTTACTGTTACTCCCTTGCACTCACGCTGGTGCTCGCGCTCTCCGCGCCGCGGCCGTGCGTCTGAGTGCCCCTATCGCTGTTGGCAGTACTACACCAGTGCTGCCTGCCTTCCCTCCAGCACGTTTCTGATCTCCCTTGTTTCGACACCAGCTGCATCCAGCAACCACCAGGATCTCCCCTTGCTCCTTGGCGAGGATCATCACAACCCACTATGGCGTCAAATTCGGGCTGCTCCTCGCCCCGCGACTCCTTCGGCGCCTGGGACGAGTGCGACTGGGTCTACTACGACCGCGACCAAGATATCCATGGGCAATACATGAAGGACCATGAATATGATCAAGACCAGGAGTACCAAGAGTACGAGGAGTACGAGGAATACGAAGAGGAAGAAGAGCCGTCTCATGCCGGCGCCAGCAAATACCTGCACCCCCGCCACGGCCTCCGCGCCCCGGCCTCGCAGCGCTCCGGCTCCGGCTCGTCCATGCAGACGCTTGTCGTCGTCCCCGTCGGATCCCCACCTGCTCCCGATGCCGCACGCCACTACACCCAGCAGCAGCAGCAGCAACAACAAGATGTCCTCGGCCGCTCGCATCACAGTTCACGCTCCCTCGCGCTTCCCCAGCACGTCCTCGGCTCGCCGCGCCGGCCCCACTCCGCCCCACGACCCCACTCACGCACCGGCGGGGCGAATAGCGGCAACAAAGACAGCGGCGGCGCGGTGCGCACGCGCAACGCCTCAGACCCGAAGAAACACCACTCCTCCGACCTCGCACCCAGCGCGGCGCACCCGAGCCCCGCACCGCCGGGCTCGGGCTCGGCGTCGCTCGAGGACGTGTGGGACGCGATCCGCCAGAAGAAGGAGCGGCGGATGGCGATGAGCCCGCCCAAGGTCAAGTCGCTCGAGGCCGCGCCCTCGCCGATGCCTTTCGCTGTGCCTGTGACTATGACGGTGCCGATGCAGATGCTGCACGAGCGCGGGATGGCTTCGCCCACGCCCACGCCCCCGCCACCGGTGCCTGCGTCCCCCGGCCCGCAGAGGGTGCATGCGCATGCGATGCAGCGCAGGAAGACGCCGCCGATGAAGCGCAAGAAGTCGATGTGAGTGGATTTGATTCCGTTGCCTTGCCTGTCGGTTCTTTTTTTTGTTTCCGTCCCCATTCACGGGTCCTCTTGCGCCCTGCTGTGTTCGCACTTTGCATTCTTATCACTCTCTTTGCGCTCTGGGCCCCTTGTGATCCGTGTTCTGTGAAGAAGTGCCTTGATGGCTGACATCGTCTTCCGTCCTCCCCGCACACTCTACCCCAATATCCAGCGTCTCCTTCCGCGAGTCTCGTGATGGCCGGACAGTACGTATCTAACCTTTTTCTTACGCCCCCGCCCCTGCGCCTTACGCCTCACACCCTGACCCATTCAATCTCCACCGCTTCTCACTGGTGTCCCCCGTTCGCAGGTAACAGCGACATTCGACATCCCAGGGATCAAGAAACACCAGCCGCACGTGAGCTACCGCGGCAGCAACCTCATCATCACATGGGAGATCGTGCGCGTGTCCGAGCACGAAGAGGGCGCGCGGCTCGTGCGCGAGCGCGCGGTGCAGCAGTTCACGCGGACGATTCCGCTCCCCGAGGGCGCCAAGGTGCGTTTTCCCCGAGCGCGGGGTCGTCGCTGCTCTTCCGCTTGCGATGTCTGATGCTTACAATGCCCTGATGCAACTCGGCTTCGACATGGTGTTCAATTTTTTTTTCTTTTTTTGAATGTGGATGAACGCAGTTCGACGAGGTCCAAGCGTCGATGGACAGCCGCCGCCTCATCCTCACGTACCCAAACATGCGCACGGTGCGCGTCGAACCGCGCACCGTCGAGCTACGCGCCGCCGCCGGGCGCGAGTCGCGCGAGGGCTTCGTGGGCGGGCGAGATTCATCGACGCCGAGAAATCGGAATCGCAGCCGCGACGCTGCGCGGCTGCTGCTCGGCGGGCATGCGAATCCGAATGTACATCATAGTCAGCGACAAGCGTCGCGCGGGCCGCAGGAGCGGGATAGGGACAAGGAGCGGGAGCGGGATCGGGGTCGGAATCGGGATAGAGGGAGGTCTGGCGATAGACTCGGGGAGAGCCAGAGGCCTGCGCACGGACACGCGCAGGGACAGGGACAGGGACGTACACGAGAACGAGAACGAGAACGAGAGCGGGAACGAGAGCGGGACCGGGAGCGAGGACGCATGCTCTCTCCACCGCTCATTGAGCGTGTCTGGGTCGAGCCGTCGACCGTATGCGAGTACTGACTATATCGAGGCTGGAGCGCCTGAGCCGGTTGCATGGCATTCGTAGATCCAGAGCTCGAGGAGCTGGCGGAGGACCTTGCTATTTATCCATTATCCATACATATAAGTTACCCGCATGATATCATAACCTGTGCTAACGTTGTTTTGGTTGTTTGTTGCCACCCGTACTTGTTCGTCCAGTAGGGACTCTAGCTGACTGTACGGAAGATTGTCGCTCGTGTAACAGTATGTACTAGTCATTGTAGCGTCGTGGTACCATCGTGTTGTACAAGTTGTGGAGGGCATACATAGGTGTGAATGCACATGCTCGATAAACTTGAAGCCAGGTCTCGCGACTTGACGTATGGCGATAACACTCACATTCAGTCACAGTGGAAAGTCTCCACAAGTGCACATGCATGTCATGCGGTTAGCAATACAGCTGCACGAATCGCTTCCCCTGCCTTTCGTGCGACACACGGCCGATGCGATACAACAGCAGTCCAGACATCCACCCATTCCTCGCGGAGGGCGAGAGCTACGAAGGCCAAATAAACTGAAAGTGAGGAGTAAGCCAGCACAACCACGAGTGATTTGTTGTACATGCACGCACGCAAAATGTGGTGACCCCTGGGTCTACATGTCGTCGACGCTCCATTCGTAGCTTGCGGCCGTCTTCCGTCTCTGTTCGTTCTGGTGCTGGAACAGCTTCTTCTCGAAACCGTTGCTTCGGTCTAGGGAGAGCACAAATGAAGCGTTTCAGCGTTCAGATAACTGAAGTAAACGTGAAAGAGAGATGGGTACACACCGACGCCATCCCATCTGTACCCTGGCTTGATGCCAAACCGATTCGGTGGCGGTGGAGGGCCTGTGTACTGAGGTTTTCGTGGTCCTTTCGACGATTTTTTCTGTAGCCCAAGACCAATGAGTAAGCTTAGATTGAACCACGGATGAAGACAAAGACGGGGTGAACGACGCACCGTAAGGAACGCAGCTGCCGGATCCGCCCACCGATCCTGCGCCTTCATCTCCTCGTTCATGTCCTTGTCCTCCACCGTCCTTGCGAACGGCCCCGTCCGGTTCTTCTCCATCTGCCGGCGCGCTTTATCCTTCTCCTCGCGCTGCACAACGCCCTTGCCCCACTCCATCTTCTCTGCATCCTTCTCCTCGCGCTCGCGCTTCTTGCGCGCCGCCTCCGCCTTCGCTGCCTTGGCGTCGATCTTGCGGCCCGACGCGTCACGATAAACCGTCTCCTGCATCGCCTCCTGCTCTTCCTGCGTCATGCCCTCCGGCGGCGGCGACGGCGCCTTAGCTTTCGGCAGCGCCTTCCGCAGCTTGTCGGCCGTGAGGAGACCGCCCCTGAACGGCTGCTCCTGCTCCTGCTCGACGACCTGCGGCTTCTCGTCCTCGGGCGGCGGCGGCGTCTCCTCCTTCGGCGGCGGCATCTCTCCCTCCCGGACGGTCTGCCACCCTAGGCTGTCCCCGGCCTTGCCGTCGGCGTCGGCAGCGGTCCTGCGCTTCTTGAACGAGCGGTCCTTGGCGATCGTCGCCTCTTCGAGATCGTCTACCTCCTCGCGCTGCGCGTCTGCCGTGCCCCAACCCGCGTCATCGTCGACCAGCATGGCCGAGCGGCTCGCGCCCGACCCGTTGGCAGACGCGGAGGGGTCCTCGACCTTGCGTTTCTTCTTCTTCTTGGGGGCGGTGCGCGCGAGGATGGCATCTGCCTTTGGGCCAGACATGTACTTCTCCGCTAGATAGGTTTTCATGGACGACATGGCGTGCGTGGAGGAGGAAGAGGGAGGGGAAGATGGTGTGTGGTGTGTTAGTACACTGTGTATAAGCGCGAGCGTGAACCGCGCACAGTGGCTCGGACCGTGGGAACGAGCGCTAGTTTTTAGCCCCTATCTGGGCTTCAATATTTCTGTGACTTTCTCCGTGGTGGACCTGCTCAATCGCCGCACAGGGGCCTCGCCGCACCATGAGGGACAGCACACCAAGTCTGTGCGATACACAGGGTGGGTCAAAAGCTTCTGCTAAACTGATGGTTCTGCGAACGGCTCTCTCAGCGGCTAACAGGCTAGGAGGGTAGACGTCGAAGAATCAAGACAGCATTCCCAAGTTCGTGGCACCCGCCAGATGCCCGCGAGTCAAGGTACTACTTAACGGACGGACAGTAGACTGGTCACTGGCCTTGCCAGTACTAAGGTAAGATTGCCACACGGTGGGCTCGAGGCTACATTCATAGTTCGCATCAGAGAGTCTCCCTTGGCAGACCTAATGCCGCAATTCATGATAGTCGATAAATTGACTGATGGTATAAGGTCTGCTCCAACGCAACGGCCGTTTGGTGAAGGGGTCCATTCGGGAGATGCTGAGCGTGCTACCGGGCTCTTGACAGCACTTTCAATGTCGTGTTACTGGGCATGCTGACGCAACGCGGGCCTTTACACGCATTTGCTGACAATGTTTGACATATGCTTACCTTGCGTCAAATTTCTTGGTTCGAGTCATTATGCATCATGTTGACTCGCCATCTGGAGTTCCACATACATCACTAAATGGGTGGGAAAAGTTTGACCGTTATACCGAGTGATCACCGTTATAATATCGTCGTCGAGACAGTTTTGTATGATCATGAATGGTGACGCATTCCCATTGAGTGAACATATCGTTACGGTGTGGCAGTGAATTTCGGCCGAACACCATGTCGCGGACACTTTACCATTGATCAAAATTGATGATCTTGCTCGTACATTTGTTAGTCGGATATAAAATACGGAGACCATATCAGAAACAAAATTATCATTGAGCGATAACTTCTGCATATGGCAGCCACCGCTTTAGGCAGAGACGAACAGTGACGAACACTAACGAACATTAACAAACATTAACGAACAACAACAAACGGCAGTGTATCTGATTCATAATTGAACCCATGCTCTAGGTTTACTCGATGTTCGAACGTTCAACATTGCAACGTTCGATGTTCACTCAGGCTCGAGCTTGCCTTGCAAGACCCCGAGTTGCATCCGGGGGCTTTGAAATAGGAACATTCCCTTTGAAAACTAAACTTAAACTACAGGTATTTAAAGCCACGCGCTCACGGAGCAAGCAAGCATGTCTGAGCACCCATATTTTACGAATAGATCTGTAAAATGAGTCAGTGTGGCGGAAACGTCTGAGACAACGCATGAACTCGCCCTTGCATGCTCGTGGAGAACAAGTGAGTGGGGGGAGAAAACCGGCCACTCCACGTTGAATGCATGAATACCAACTGCTCGCGATCGGCCTCTGTCTGCTTCTATTCATACCTATCATTCTTGCGAAGCAATGCTTGATAATTTGAAGCGGCGATATGCATTCCAGCTACAAGAACGACGGCAAAATGAAATAGAAGAGGACCTCTAGTTATTTCAAGCGAGCACTGCCGCCACACTCTCAAACGTCTAAATATAATTCTGGCCAATCAGAGACAGATGATGAAGCCAGCCCTAAAGCTGATGGAGAGATAAGATAAGATAAGACATTTTTGTTTGCCTTCGCCTTTTTGAACACTCTCCCCGCCTTTTCTCTCTCCTCCCTCAATCCTCCATTTTAGCTCAACCCGGTGGAAATTGGCGGACAAAGAGCCATAGACGGTTGACGTGAGTAACTTGAGTTGTTTGGGATTATTAAGCCACTAATATCTTCGATCACACAACAGAAACTGCTGGCTCCAGCGAGCACGCGTTCACAGGACCACTAACACGATCTCTCTGCCACAGATGACGTCCAGGTCACTTCTCAACGTCCGACCCGACAGAAGATGAGCAACCCAGCAGCCTCGTTTAAGTCTCGCACCACCCATCCCCCAGCTGTCAGCGAGGACCTGGATCACAAGCCCGAAGTCTGAGGCTATCATATTCCGAGTCAATGGTCACTATTTGCGTCCCCACCCGCCTTCGGCTACCTCATTGTCAGAGTTGGAGCCCGAAAGTAGACGAGTGCTGTCATCGACTACCGGCTTCATGGTCTGTAAGCTCTAATTCTTTCCTCAGACCTCCTGATCTCGTGTACTGCTGCTGCTCTCATGTATCATTGTTGCTCTCATGCTGCTGCCCTCGTGTTCCTGCTCTCGTGTATTAACTTTGATAGTCGTTTTAACCTCGAATAATGCTACATCATGTACTATATAATATTCACAATGAATGTCTTGTCATTGGAATCATGGGCAAGATTGCGAGTCCTCATCATATGGTGTGAGTTTTGATCATACGGCATAAAACACCAGCCGTTCTTATCATGTAATTATCATGCAGGCTCCGTCAACGGTAAGATAGCCATCAATATTATAATATCATCCCTGATCTAACCATTTCACCGTCTGATTTTGGTCTGATTTCCCACATGTTAAAAACGGACTTTACGCTCCACTCGTGCTGGAGATTCGAAATATCATTAAGGTACGGTGTCAGTTATAACTGATTCTACTACTGCTCATATACTTATATTCGATCCGCCCATTTAGTGATGTATAAAGCACAAACCTCACCCCAATTTTCCTCTCTCGTATCCGCCCCTCCACCTTACCACCAGTCTCGATCAGCGACAATGGCCACTAGCAACTCCTCCACGCTTCATAAACAAGATGTCAGCCTCGAGCCCACCGAGCTCATCAAGGCCGACAAGACTCCGCCCGCCTTCGGGCATGACATGCACTCTATTTTTATGCTCGACCCTGACTTCACAGCTCTGAACAACGGTACTCCGTATACAACCCTGCTTTTGTATAAGAAGCTTATGCACTGATCTGCTACGATTGATAGGCTCATACGGCACGCTCCCGCGTCCTGTCCTCGCCGCATGCGACGCACTCACCGCGCGCATCGAGTCGAGCCCGGACCGCTTCATGAAGCTCGACATGCCGGGGATACTCTCTGACGCGCGTAGGCGCGTCGCGGAGTTCGTCAAGGCTGAGCATGACGAGATCGTCCTCGTCCCTAACGCATCGCATGCCTTCGCCACCATCCTGTCAAACTTTGAGTGGGAGAAGGGGGACGTGCTTCTCGGAGGTGCGTCACGGTGTCTGCACCGCGTCTTCCTGTTGCCGCGAGACCGCTGATGCTGGGCATATATGTATGGTGTGGGATGAACACTCAAACGGTTAACAGCTACAACAACGTACAGTTCCTTCGGCACAACTCTCGAATACCTCAGCGACAAGCACCCGCACCCGACCATTGAGACTTTCGAGCTTCTTTTCCCGACGTCGCACGCGCAGATCCTCGCCGACTGGCGCGCCTTCATCGCGCGCATCGCCGCTGCCCACCCGCGCACTTCCGCCTCCTCTAGTGATGGTCCGACGCAGAAGGGGTTCAAGTTCGGCGAACGCAAAATCGTCGCCGTCATTGACTCGATTGTGTCCAACCCCGGCGTCCTGCTCCCCTGGAAGGAGATGGTTTCAGTGTGCGCCGAGTACGGAGTATGGTCGCTCGTCGACGGGGCGCATTCGCTTGGGCAGGAGATGGATTTGGATCTGGGAAAGGATAAGCCTGATTTTTGGTTGTCGGTACGTCTTTCTTCCCTTCCCTTCCCTTGCCGAGTATGCCAGGGATTAGGTGGAAAGAAAGCTCATGTGGATGGCTATGCACACGGGATGACTATATAGAACTGCCACAAGTGGCTCTCGGCCAAACGAGGCTGCGCGGCGATGTATGTGCCCAGGAGGAACCAGCATGTCGTGCGCTCGCCGATTCCGACGCCGGCAGTGTACAAGTCGCTGCAGGGTGAGGGGTACGATGGGCCTCAAGATTTCGCACTCCTCTTTGAATGTGCGTCCTCGCTCCGTTCTTGTTTTATGCATACGACTGTATACTCAATGAAACTTGCAGGGACCGGTACGGTCGACTACGTGCCCTTGCTCAGCATAGCTCCAGGTAAGCACCTCTCTCACCATCACACCAGTAGTACTCTCTCAACAGGCACTCGCACTAACCTCGCCTTTCCCAGCCCTCGACTTCCGCCGCTGGCTCGGCGGCGAAAACCGCATCAATGCCTACTGCCACACACTCGCCCTGCGCGGCGGCACCGTCCTCGCGCGCGAGCTCGGCACCTCCTTTCTCCAATCCACGTCGGCCTCCCCAAACAACATCGACGAATTCACGCTCAACATGGTGAATGTCGAGCTGCCGATCGACGGGGACATCGAGGAGACTGCGGAGATCAAAGACATTCTCATTCATACCCTCATCGCGGAGCATGGGGTGTATGCGGCGCATTTTAGACACAACAGGCGGTGGTGGGCGAGGGCGAGTGCGCAGATTTGGAACGAGGTGGGTCTTCTTTTTCGTTAGCTTCGCGTGTGTCCCCCCGCTTATGGCACGGTCACGCGTTCCAGGAATCGGACTTTGTCAAGCTTGCGCGGGCGCTGAAGGCGGCGAGTAATAGGGTGCAGAAGCATGCTGGCCGTGAGCCTCATTAGATGGCATTGTCAACCTCCATACCCTCTAATGCCCTGTTCTGTCTTCAAACCACAAAATTGGAAAACAAGTGTCGTCCGGAGAAACATTCAATAAAATGTACAAATAAAAGAGGTCGATGGTACGAGTAAGTGTAGATTACTATAGCGTCGGATGGAGCGAAATAAAGACTTTAACATAAGAAATACCATCTATGCACTTGTCCCGATGGTCACTCCGGCCCCAATCCCGCCAACGCTAAGGTATGTCGCAGGCGCATTCTGGTACGTGCCCCACATCATGTACGAGTAGCTCGAGTACGCAAAGTTTGCGTGAGGTACCTTTCAAATGCATTAGTGGGCTGAACCACAAAGTAACTTGTCGTGATGGACGACGACTCACCACAAAGGTAGAGTTGTACCAGGGCTGCTCCGCCGAGATCTCAACTTGCGCACGTGAGATCAATATCGGGAGGTCAGCGTTGTCGGTGCTGGTGGCGTCGTTCGGGTTGTAGTTGGGCGGCTGCAGATAGTAGTTGACGTATTGGGGGATGTAGCCGAGCTGCACGCCGCAGGCAAAGTCCGCGTTCACAGATACGGTCTGAGGCGGGTTAAGCGCACTGTCGTTAGCTGGCAGGCAGAGATGTAGCGCCCAAAAAATGCAAGAGATGCTTGCCTGTCCTGGGATCAAAGTGGTGGTGTTCAGAGTGAACCCGCCGAAGCGTGCCGCTTCGGGGCAAGAGCCAGATTGCGCGGAAACGGCGCCAGCGGCGGCCAAGATGGCGGCACTCGAGAAAGTGGCTTTCATATCGACGAGAGGTACTTAGTTAACAAGCGGGGGGAAGAGGGGAGTTGAATGCGAATACGACTTGGCTGGTTCTGCCTTTCTGAGCTGGTCGAGCTCGAGGCTTTTTGAAGTGTGGCGAACCTCAGCAAGGCTGTGAGGATGCGGCAAGCGGAACCCGTTTACAGAAAAATGCGGCTTTCAGTGGCGGCGCCGGCTCTCGTCCGGAATGATATAGTTGTCGTTGGCACTGCGAGAAATGAATATTCAGGCACCCCTGCACGGTGGCGTCGGGCCTCGAGTTTGTGGGCACTGCTGCTGCAGTGCCAACTCTGAGCATTCTATGGTGACGGAGGGGTTCGGTTATTTGTCATGAAACCGATAACATGAAGAGAGGCGGCCATCGTTGCCCGAGTAGGCCTGAACACGCCTTTCTTCAGCGGGTTGATGCAATGCTCATTGTGAACGCGCGCACGAGGTTTTGCGATGCGAACGCATCCGAGCAGAGCATCACACTGCCTCGAATGCAGTCAAAATCCGCGTATAAAGTGTGATGGAACGAGGTCAAAGAACTCACCAACCCCCAACGCCTCACGATGAAGTTCAGCGTGCCCACCTTCCTCACTTGCGCCGCCTTCGCAGCTACCTCCTGGGCATTACCCCAAAGACGCGACTGCGCTGATTCCTCGAAGTTCGGCGACCTCGAGGTCGTCCCTTCCAACCTCGCTCCTGGTGACGTGAGTCGTCTCCTCACTCAGCCTTGGGTTTGAAATGGTGCACTCACCTGAAATATGCACACAGAGCTTCACCGTGCACGTCGACTTCACCTGTGCGAACCAGCTCGGGGTCTATCCCAAGTACACAGACTACTACTTTGCAGTCCCCGTGAATAACAACGGGTACGAGCCGCCCGTGCTGCTCTACCGCATGGACTACGGCGGGGGCACCGCCGACACGTTCACCGCTCAGGTGAGCTCAGCACTTGTAGAAGCCATATGTCATAGTCGTTGAACTGACACACATCCAAAGGTGCCTGACGCGTTCCAATTTAACGCGAGTTATACGCTCGAACTGCAGGCCACATTCCCCTTGACCGGCACGGATGGGTCCACGTACTACGAAGTAGGTACAACGTATCTTCCTCTCAACCTTACTGTTCCAGCTGGAGACCAGTAAGGGAGGGGTGACTGTTGACTATAGGACAATTCAATTCTGTTAGGGACATAGTTTACTGTTGTAATTGCGACGGCGCTCCTGGAGACACGGGGCACCTTATAAGTGTTATCCATAAAGATATAGAGACAATGCACTTACAGGATATCCGACTACGATGTCCAACACTTGCTCTTCAAGCAAAATCAGTGACTTCTAAGAAATGTCCTGAATCCGACCTGTCGAACATCTTACACAGGCGCCCTCTCAAGCCATCAAATCCCACTATACGACTCATAAAGTCATCTGCTTGCGATGTAGGGAAATCTATGCGCGCCGAAGACATGACGAATTCGGGGTCAGCTTCGTCATCAAGTGTGAAGCTCCTGACATCCCGCCCCGTGAAACGCGTTTTGGTGAAGATACCCCGCGCGCATCCGTCAAGGCTACTACATCCGAGCGTAATCCGTGGCCTGAAGGGAGCATTGCCTACCCAGATTTGCTGACATGCGATGTCGTGTGTGTGGTGGTGGAGAGATAAGCGTAGCCGGATGAGCGAAGCGGAGGGGGGAATGGAGTCGGAACGTAAAGCCTTGGCGATGACTGTGAGGCTGGTATTACCAGTAAGTGTATCGACGGCGGAGTTACGCAGGAGGTAGCACGAATCCATGAGATACAGACTGGAGACTTTGCAAGAATGAGTAAGGGTGAGAGTTTGCGGCTCCGTTGGGGTATTGCTAGCATAAGTGAGGGAAGGGAGCTCGAACGCCTCGATGTTAGTGAGGAACTGCGGTCCATCAGCAGTTTCATGAAGGAAGGTGAGCAGCGATATGATATGCGTTGATGTTGACACATAGAATAGCTTCAGCGTATGGTCAAACTCTCCAACAGGAGTCTACGCGCACATACGCGAGTCAGGGCTTGTGGAGCGGCACGGAAGAAAGAATCATACCTCTTGAAGTACGTGGGGCGGAAGCTGGTATACTCGATTCTCGCGAGCCATGTCAAAGATACGTACTCGTCGAGGAAGATCCTGGCGAACGTAGCATTCAACATTACCGGTGACTAGCAGAGCACGTGGACCAATAACGGCGTTGCCCAGAAACAAGACATTCTGGTCGAGGACGGCAACTTCGGTGAGGCTTACTGGGCCGTCTGCTACGCCTTCGACTCCGAAGAGCACGCTACCATTTTCGATTAGTCGGTGTGAACTTATCAGAGGGATAGCTTACGTAGTTCGATGCACCGTCTGATCAGGGAGTCTGTGCATCTCCTCCAAAACAAGATAGTGAAGTTGCTTCGCATCTGTAGTATGGGTGGAGACAATGCGCATTGGGCGTTGATACGAGGCTTCGCCGTTGCATTGATAAAGAACAGAGAATTCTGCATGTTCTGAATGGTCGAGGCTGTGATACCGAGAAAGATCATAACACCATATAGCATCCTCCGTGGCCAACAGGAACCATCGATAGGCGACGAGTCCAAGTGGCTGTATACGAGCGGATGCGATGGGTATCGTGAACGACGACGCCGGGCGAGAAATGGAGGTTCCCCAGTTACGTTGTATGCGTGCAGAGCGTATAAGAGTTTCCTGGAGAAGTTCGAGCGGTTGACTGAGGTATGGGCCTGGGGGACGAGGAAGTCTTGAAGTGCGATAGAGGCTGCTCCATACGCTGCGATGACTCTTGATCTGTTGGAACAATCTGCATGTCTGTGTCCCATTGAATGACAGGAGAATGAAACGAAGGTGTCATGAACGCCTCTTACCTGACCCAGCCTGACGATGTCTAACACGGAGAGATAGCCAATGATGATGAGCAGGACGTCTACTGGAGCTCCCTGAAGAGAGGCCTGGCGGCACCCCACAGTGGTGATGAGAACCATGGGTAACCCACAAACTCTCCCTCGTTGACGTCCGTTGCTGTCTTATAGCCTGCCAGCACATTGTCAGTGTATTTGAAATCCGTGCTGTTCTAGGACCTGGTCATCGTTTAGCATCTTCGCGGATACCTAATCGTCTCTGCCATGGCAAAAGACCTTGTCTGTTGTATCTTCAAGGTGATAATTCGTAGGCAACGGAGGTACAACCAGCGCTAGTCATTGCGAGTAAGCAAGCAAGTCCAAGTATCGTCACAAGGGCGAGTATTCTGCAAGCGTGTGAGCCGGACCCGGAAAATCCGTCCACATCGACCCCATTCATGGGACCCGTCCCATCCCTTCCCATCCCATGTTCCAACTTCCAAAGCGCGAAGCACAATGCATTCATTGATATCAGCTCTAGTCCTTCCGTTATATGCTTCTCAGCTCCTTTAATCCCCCTTGCCTTTCGCAGGCTCTCCATCGACTTCCGCCCATACTCAAGGATATAAGCTGCTGGCTTCGACTCAGAACATTAGACTCGTGACCAGCCTGCTTCTGCGTACCCTAAACGGGACCAAGCCTGAGGCTTTCGCGTCAATAAACTCGGCTTTCAAGATTGCGAACGGGTGGATATAAAGCTCCACTTGCCGTTTACGCAAGTGCACTCCCTTAATATAGCTTCAGTGCTCCCAAGGTTGATTTTGGATCAGCTCCCCTGTACGTCATTGATAGCCTGCTCTGCAGTACTCTGAAACAGTGTCTGGTCATGCTCTACTATTGTGCGCCACTGGAAGTCACGTTTTCATACAGGAAGATCAAGTTTGTGATCGCAAACACCCATGAGAGAACATTCGGCGATCTGAATGTACACCCTGGCCACATGCGAAGCATTCTATTGGTTGGACGACGTTCATGTCCAAGGTACGTACAGAACCTCTTTCCGCAAAGATGCATTTTGCCTTTAAAGAACGGTGCAAACAAGTGAAGCCGCCTTCTTCCAACACGCCTATTAAAGAGGGGCAGCCCATCGGTAGGTCCCTTGCGAGCGACCCGCACCACCCCCATCATGGCTCTATCGTTATCTCTCATTGTTCCTATCGGAGTGTTTCTGTGGGCTATTGTGAAGTACACAATAGCAAAGCTCAGAGGCAATCATTCTCTTCCGTCGCCACCAGGGCCAGATCAGCTACCGTTCCTAGGCGCTGCTCTACAAGTCGATGCCAATAGCCCATGGTTGACATATGCACAGTGGGCAGCCAAATATGGTGCGCCCTTCCTCTCCCCACTTGCTTGTATGTCAATCATTGTGATTTCGGACTACATAGGCGATATTGTCAGCTGCCGATTCTTCGACAAGCAGGTAGTGATATTGAACTCTGAGAGAGTCGCGGATGACCTCCTCGAGCGGCGCTCTCGCATATATTCTGACAGAGCTGAAGTTTCGACAATCATATTGTGCGTTACGACGCAGACAGATCCCTGCGTGTGCTAGTGCTAATGCAAATTTGTGAAAGGTCCGGATGGGATTTCGACTTTGCATTTGACCGGTACGGTAACGATTGGCGTCTACACCGGCGACTCTTTCAGCAGTCCTTCCGTGAACAAAAGGTTCCGGATTATCAGTCAACGCAGCGTATCGCCGCCCACCGTCTTCTGATTAACATCGGCAACAACCCTGCGGGAAACCTGTGGGGCCTCCTATCACTGTTCGTTCGAAGAGTTTCTCCCACTTTGTCCACCTTAACTAAAGGCCAGTGTAGATGTGCTTCATCTGCAATCTTGTCTACAGTGTACGGCTACGATGTCAATACCCTCGAAGACCCTCTGTTCACTATTAACGACAAGGCACTTGAGACAGGATCTCCGCTTTTGACACATGAGAAATCCATCATCATAGACACATTTCCCTTCGGTACGTCCTCAACAGTCCATAGTACCTTGCAGCTCAATATGGGCTCGGATAGTCAAATATCTCCCGATATGGTTTCCGGGCACATCCATTGTCCGCGAAATTCTGGTCGCGAAGCATTGGTCTCAGCTATATGTTGACTTCCCTTATAACTTTACAATGGAGAAAATGGTGAGTACAATAAGCTCCCGCTTCAGATCCGTTTCAGAAGATCATCAGCGATCGAATCCGACATTCCCTTGTGCGCTTTCGGAAACAATACGAAGCAGTGAGGAGAGCGGTCAGAACATACCGGAATATAACTTGAAGAAGTTTGCCGCTACTGCTTTCGTTGGCAAGTTAGAACGCATCTTCTCGCTGTTGCTATGCTCATCACACGGTCGTTGACAGGTGGCGCTGAAACGGTATCGAAGCCTATAATTCTTCTGTGGATTTATGCTCAACCCTCTTGTAGTCATCAAGCGTACTACAGACACTTATTGTAGTGTTGCTGCAAAACCCTGGCGTACAAAAACGTGCACAGGACGACATCCGGGCCGTTGTAGGCAGTAATCGATTGCCTACATTTGAGGATCGGTCCTTGCTCCCCTACATTGATGCAGTGATTCGAGAGGCAATGAGATGGAGCCCGGTTACCCCTCTCGGTGAGCGTTCTCTCCGTCAAATATCAGGCTGGTCTCTAGCAAAACATAGGCATACCCCATTTCTCCGTGGAAGATGATGTCTATGAGGGCTATTTCATCCCCAAAGGTGAGTGATAGTCCTGCACCACTCGACACGTTGGATTACTACTCATACCTTATGCAGGCACAACTTTAACTGCCAACACATGGTACGCACAATAATTCTGGCCGGCTGTGCGTTCTCATTCTCGCCCAGGTCAATGTCACGCGATCCCCGCCGTTATCCCGAGCCCGACACTTTCCGACCAGAGCGATTCCTGACGAAAGACGGCGAACTCAACAGCGATGACGTGAGATTCACGTTTGGGTGGGGTCGGCGCGTCTGTCCGGGACGATACTCGGCGTTCGCGGCTATATGGATGGCTGTTGCCTCTATGCTGACAGCGTATACCTTCGAGAGGGCTCAAGATGATAACGGCATAGAGATCGAACCGATTATTGAGTGGTCCATTGGCGCTTCGAGGTGGGTGCTCTGAGTCCCGCGCTGCTGTACGCACGCTTAGTTGTGTTTATATACATTTAGGAAACCCAAACCGCTCCCGCTGCGTGTTGTTCCTAGATTCAGCCAATCAAAGTTGGAACAGATGGTGAACGATGCTCACCATGATTGAATGTGTGCTCGTAAATGCCCCTTGTGGAACTGGTTACCTTCTGTTATATGTATGAATGTCTTGATACGTTGTATCTACTACTATGATGTATGACATTGACAATAAGGGGTGCACATTCTCAGGTTGCCACTGAATACTTTCGAAGTGTACAAAAGTGTTCACGAACCCTGAACAGCCTAAGCCTGAACCTTGGCCTTCTTATCTACAGGAGGACTACCACCGTCGTCCTCATCACAAACGTCTGTGGTATCTCTAGGATGAGTACTTTGTTTAAGAAGAGGGCGCACATAAACATCGAAGTTCCTGTCATGCGCCCCGTTGATGGCCTCCAGAACGCCATGCAGCTTGCTCTGCATATCTCTATAAAGCGCCTCATGGAACTTCATGGTGCCAGCGAGAACGTTTGCTGGTAATAAGCTGGAGTGGAGTTTCAACATTTTTATGCTGTCGATAAGACTGTGACGACATTTGGTCTGTCAAGGAGCACAGAGCAGCCGGTTTGGTATTGTAAACGTCCTCAAGGGAGTAGATCATTTTGGAGTGCCGGAGACTCTGGACAGCTAAGAAGCGGGTGTTGCTGCCAGTAACGTCGCATCCAAACCAGTCTGCCGCCTCTTGTCTTGGCAGGGACGTGATCGGTTCCTTGGGGTTTCAGAAGTGACAGGTGAAGGGCGCCCGAAGCTTTGGCTGACCTTCGACTACATATCGCCTCGTAAAAAATATGCGGCTTTGAGATTCCGCTTCACCCCACTTGACCTTGCACGATGGAGCGTACTGGTCAAACCAAGCACTGATTTTGCAGGTGGTTAAGTGCTCTTCGAGAGTTTTGCAGTTTTCCTTGCAGAGGTCTGTCAAGCTGTCCTGGGTTATGATGTGTACATGCTTGGTGCAAGGGCCATCGTGGTAGGCAGCGAACTCACGCATCACAGGTACAAAAGTGTTGACTGGTTTTGAGGACCGCGTTGAGGGTTGCAGTGTTAAACTTGGGGGTGAATTGCATCCGCGGTCGTGCTTAGTTGCACCACATACAGTAATGTATAGTACATTCCTTGGATCTCGACCCTGTCTTGATCAACACTGAGAAATTGAGTGAACTGCTTCCACTAGGTCTTGCTGTCGGTCTGTACTCTGCCGCTCCGCGTTTCATCATCCCGCATCTCTGGAGACAAATATTCCCAGGCACCGGCTCCCCCAGCGCGGCGCGAGGTACTTTGGAAGTCCCAGTCAACCTCTTTGTAACCTCTTGATCCTCATGTTTGTGCTCACCTCATGGACCTAAGCATCTAGTACTTATCTCTTATCGGCATGGCTGGTTGGTTTAGGAAGGTGGGACGCGGTAGACCAGTAGGCATCACTGATCCTTTTCGCTAGCCCTGCTCCTGCTGCTTCCTGATGTTGCATACAGCTCACATGTAGCCTAAGCGGCTCACAGTTTGAGCTCGAAAAGTTGGGAAAATGATCTGACAACTGCTCGTAAGTGGCGCTACGTTCCCTTCATCTCCGTTTTGCTCCCTCAATATGACCCCTTTTGTGATTGAGAGAAGTTGTAGCTAGCTCAAAAGTCCTCGTGTACGGAAGTGATAACACGATCCCAAGAGCCGGAACAAAAGTGGCCCATGTTTGACAGCCGCATGCGATGAATGCCCATGAGAAAAAAAAACTGACGATGAAAACAGCCGCTGCATACACTCCATTTGAGCGGCGTTCTCTTCGCAGAGTCACACTCACAGTCAAGGCATGTTCGCCAGGCTACCGGTCTGTATCCCCTTGGTTGGTGTGAGAGATCTGCATACATTCGCTCTGCTTTGCAAGAAGATTATTCTGTTTTTAGAGCACTGCTGCGGCATACATTAAAGAGGGCTGCCCTTTGGTAGGTCTCTTGCGAGCGTCATACCCCGGCCCATCATGATCATGACTTTGTCTCTATCCCTCATTCTCCCTTTCTTATTTCTTTGTTGGATAATTGGTAGATACACGGCTGCTAAGCTCAGAAGCAAGCACTCGCTTCCCTTGCCACCAGGTCCAGATCAGCTACCGATCTTGGGCGCTGCTCTACAAGTCAATACCAATAATCCGTGGTTGACGTACGGACAGTGGGAAGCCAAGTATGGTGTGTTCTCCCTCTCCTCCTACGATAGTACTGTAGCTCTGACTATATGTTATATAGGGGAGATTGTCAGCTGCCGCTTCTTCGGCAACCAGGTAGTGATACTGAACTCTGAAAGAGTTGCGGATGACCTCCTGGAGCGTCGCTCTCGCATATACTCTGATAGAGCTGAAGTCTCGACAGTCAATATGTGTGCCAAAAAGCAGCCGAACGTTTATGTGTACTAATGCGGTTTTATGAAAGGTCCGGATGGGATTTTGACTTCGTATTTGACCGCTATGGTAACGATTGGCGTCTGCATCGGCGACTCTTTCAACAATCTTTCCGTGAACAAAAAGTTCCAGATTATCAGCCAACGCAACGTGCTGCTGCACATCGCCTGCTGATTAACATGAGCAATAGTCCCGCGGAGAAGTTGTGGGGCCTCCTATCACTGTCCGTTAGAAGTTTGTCTCTTGATTTGTTCACCTCAGCTAATCATGGCGCAGATGTACTTCGTCTGCAATTTTGTCTATAGTGTATGGCTACGAAGTCAACACCCTCGACGACCCTCTATTCACTATTAGCGACAAGGCAATTGAGACCGGAATCCCACTTTTGACACCTGAGAAATCCATGATCATAAATACATTTCCCTTTGGTACGTCCTAAACAGTCCCTAGCACTTTGCAGCTTAATTTGGGCTCGGATAGTCAAATATCTCCCGACATGGTTTCCGGGAACATCCATTGTCCGTGATCTTATGGTTGCAAAGCATTGGTCTCGATTATATGTTGACTTTCCTTATGACTTTACAATGAAAAAAATGGTGAGTCAAATAAACTCCCGCTTTAGCTCCGTCTCAGAAGGGTATCAGCGATCAAACCCGGCATTTTCTTGCGTGCTTTCGGAGACGATATGAAACAGCGAGGAAAGCGGTCAGAGCATACCGGTACATAACTTGAAGAAATTTGCCGCTACCGCTTTTGTTGGTAAGCCCCTTAATGTATGCTCCCTGCCATATGCTCATTGCATGGTCGCCACAGGCGGCGCTGAAACGGTAGCTATGTCCGTCACTTTTCTACAAGCCGTGCTTACCCCTCCTGTAGTCCTCGAGCACCCTGCAGGCACTTGTTGTAGGACTTCTGCAAAACCCTGGCATCCAGAAACGTGCACAGGATGACATCCGCGCTGTCGTTGGCGATGATCGACTGCCCACGTTTGAGGATCGGCCCTCGCTCCCCTACCTCGATGCAATCATTCGAGAGGCAACGAGATGGAATCCCGTCATCCCTCTCGGCGAGTGCCCTCCCCGTTGAGCATCAGGCTTGTCGCTGACCCAATATAGGCATACCCCATGTCTCCGTCGAAGATGATGTCTATGAGGGATATTTTATCCCCAAAGGTTGGTAAACGTCCTGTGCGATACGATGTGTTGACTCACTCATAAACCGTGCACGTACAACTATGATCGCCAACACATGGTACGCAGAGCATGCTTGATTAGCTGCGAGGACTCATTCTCGTCCAGGTCAATGTCGCGTGACCCCCGTCGTTATCCTGAGCCCGAGGCTTTCAAGCCAGAACGATTCCTAACGAAAGACGGCGAACTAAACGACGATGACGTGGGGTTCACCTTTGGATGGGGTCGGCGCATCTGTCCGGGCCGGTACTCGGCATCCGCTGCTATATGGATGGCCGTTGCCTCTATGTTGGCAGCATACACATTTGAGAGAGCCAAGGATGACAACGGTGTAGAGATTGACCCGATTCCTGAGTGGAATGTCGGTGTTACGAGGTAGGTGTTCTGAATACCTCTCTGCTGCCAGAAGCACTGCTCACTTCTGTTCTGTCTGCCACCAGAAACCCAAAACAGCCCCCGCTGCGTGTTGTTCCTAAGTTCAGTCAATCAAAGCTGGAACAGATGGTGCAAGAAGTACACTATGATTAAATAGTCGTCTGTAACTACCTCTTGGGGAGTCGACGCATGTATAATAGTATTCCTTACTGAGATATATCGATCTTGGTCGCGGTGGTAGGCGTGCAGGTCTATTTAAATGTATCGGGCAGTATCAGAGGAACAGGGAAGAGGGTAAGGCGATATGTGTCTACTTTTCTGCTTGGGCTAACGGCCACGCGTGACCTGTCAGTCGCCAAATCCTAGTGAGCACAGAGCCGAGAAATGGCTGAATTCATGACATAGACGAACTGTCAATTGTTGGAGTAGATGCCGCGTGTAGTGTTCGCGATGTACTGACGATTATCCCATCTCCTAGTGTTGGAGGTTCTGGCGTGAGAAACCATCGACGCGTTGCAAACGCGTCGCGTCCCTAGCCGAGACCAACGGCCCGACTTTCCCGACAGACCCACCCTTGCCAACGGCGCAGCAGGATCCAACGTTCGATATCCGACTCAGGCCTAAGACACACTCTACAGCGCTTCGATGACGCCATCAAAGACTTGCATCCCTTCAAAGGTGGCCATTATCAGCTGGCGGGCATATGTTCTCCAATGACTCTTGCCAAAAACTCTAGGTCCGAAGAGATGGCGCCCTTAACTCGACGTGCGGGTACTTGTTAGGACTTGAATTCGATGGTGTAGATGCTCATGCAGAGTCACGCTCTTGGGGTTTATCTCGCTTCTTGCTACTCAGAGTGTGTAGCTCTTCCAGTGGCTGCGCCGTGATAAGCCTGCTCCTCATCCACTCGTGGCCCCGCTGGCATCTGGAGCATTCTGACATTTAGTTGAGGTCCGTTTGAATGAAATCGATCCACTTGCTCTAGACCTGCAAGTGTCCGCCTCCGTCTCCATTAAACAAAACCGAAATAGCAAGCACGGAACGCCCGCGCATGAAAGCTCCAGGATAAGCGCAGATAGGTCAACGACTGGGGGCTCCATGTACGTAACGTTCTCTTTATGGATCCGCGTTTACCATAGATCTCGACGGGCATCATTCATGGTCTCTCTTGGCAAGGTCCCCGTGCCTAAAGGCTGGAAATGGTGGGCAAACAAGGGGTAGCGTCTTTTTCTGAACAGTCTATAACAGGGCTACCAGCTAACGGGAGTAGAGTGGGTTCCCTGCAAGTGACCCTTATCTTCCCCGACCATGGCTCTGTCCTTGTCGCTCCTTCAAATTATTCCTCTGGGATTGCTTTCATGGGTCCTTGCGAGATACGCAGTCACAAAGCTCAGAGGCAACCGATCTCTGCCCTTGCCACCAGGTCCAAAGCAACTACCGTTTCTGGGCGCTGTCTTTGACATCGACTCCGAGAGCCCATGGCTAACGTATACACAGTGGGCAGCCAAGTATGGTGCGCCCTATCTTCCCTCTCCTAACTGCGCTTATTGATTAATTGACGGCTATAGGCGATATTATTAGCTGCCGCTTCTTCGGCAGCCAGGTGGTGGTGTTGAACTCTGACAAAGCTGCAGAAGACCTTTTGGACCGACGCTCTCGCATCTACTCCGATAGACCCGAGATATCTACAGTCCGTCTGTGCGTTACGCAGTAGCTCCAATGACTTATGTCTCAACTCAACCCTGCTATAGTTCTGGGTGGGACCTCGATATCGGTTTTCAGCCTTATGGTAACGAGTGGCGTCTATACCGGCGCCTTTACCAGCAGTCTTTCCGCGAGCAGAAAATCATCGACTACCAGTCTATACAGCTTGCTGCTGCTCACCGCCTTCTAACCAACATGAGCAACAATTCTGACGACAAACTTTGGGGTCTTATATCATTGTGCGTTCGAAGAATTTCCCGTGTGTCGTCCAGTCCACCTGAGAAATCCCTAGGTGCACGTCTTCCGCGATCCTGTCTACAGTCTACGGTTACGAAGTCAACGCTCTTGACGATCCTCTATTCCACATTAGCGACAAGGCAACTGAAACCGGATTTCCATTATTGACCCCCGAAATGTCCATAATCATGGATACGTTTCCTTTCGGTACGTCAGAAACAGCCCATATAGCATTGCGGCTTTAGCTTGAAATGGTCTCGAATAGTCAAGTATTTACCGACATGGTTTCCCGGCACGTCCATTGTTCGCGAAATTCAGATCGCCAAGTACTGGTCTAAACTGTTTTTTGATTATCCCTATAATTTTACGATGGAGAAAATGGTGAGCTTCTTCTGGCATGTTTACGCTTGCGGTCCCCGTCTCACAGAGGTTCGCAGCAATCCAATCCGGCCTTTTCGTGCGTGCTTTCAGAGACAATCCGGAGCAGCGAGGAAAGCGGTCAGAGCATGCCGGTACGGTACTTGAAGAAGTTTGCTGGTACCGCTTTTATTGGTGGCTATAATCGCTTTTTTACTGCTGCTGTGTGCTCATTCCACGGTCCCACATAGCTGGCGCTGAGACGGTAGCTGAATTCATTGATTCTTATGATAATATTAAACTGTTTTTTTAGGCAGCCAGCGTGCTACATACGCTCGTGGTGGCTTTACTGCAAAACCCTGTTGTACAGAAACGTGCTCAAGATGACATTCAAGCCGTTATCGGCAATGACCGATTGCCAACATTTGAGGATAGGCCATCGCTCCCGTACATCGAGGCCATGGTTCGAGAGGCGCTGAGATGGAATACAGTTCTTCCTCTCGGTGAGTGTTCCTCATATTGAGTGCCTGATCACCTTCCGACGAGAACAGGTGTTCCTCATTTCTCAACAGAAGATGATGTCTACGAGGGATATTTTATCCCTAAAGGTTAGTAGATGTGCTACAGCACATGCCGCACTGGCTTACTCCTGTACCTGTGTAGGCTCGACCGTCCTTTCTAACGCATGGTGGGTATAATACCCTTCATTGGATATATGAGCACTTATGTCTACCCAGGGGGATGTCCCGCGATCCCCAGCGGTACCCTGATCCTGAGACCTTCCGACCAGAAAGATTCCTGACAAAAGATGGCGAACTAAACGGTGACGACGTGAGATTCACCTTCGGTTGGGGCCGGAGGATTTGTCCTGGGCGATACTCGGCGGTCTCGGCAGTATGGATCGACGTCGCCTCCATGCTGGCGGCATATACTCTTAAGAAGGCTAAAGACGAAAACGGGGTAGAGATCGAACCGATTCCCGAGTGGACGACTGGTGTTGCCAGGTAGGTGTGCTTCAACTTGCATAAATATAGTATACACACTCAACTTCGCTTCACCGTTAGAAAGCCCAAGCCAATCCCGTTGCGCATTGTTCCTAGGTTCGAGCCGTCGAGGCTGGAACAGATGCTGAAAGAAGCTCAACATGACTAACTGGGCAGTGGGCACTGATGATCAACCGAACAGAAAAATTCTGATTTGTTGACTAGCTTACTTGTCCTGTATGTACGATTGACCCACGAGGCATTGAGGATGAAGAGCGTGAATGACCTTGCAGTAAATCCAATCGCGAAAATGATACGTAGCGGAAGTGGAATAGGGGGGTACCTCCCGAATGGAGATAGCGGGGAAGTTTACAGAACTTCCCGGATTAGATAAGCTCAATGAAGATGTTATCTTCCGCCAATTGCAAGCTTCTCCGCTGAGGCGCTGAAACTTATCTTCGGAATAGTCCTGGGGCTATTCTCCTTCTGACTCGAGTCCATTGACTCGTGCCGTCGACGCTAAAAGCTCTCTTTCGTTGGGCCAACCCCACTAACACACCTTTCTTCCAATCCTCATCTGGTCGACTCCGTTAGACGCGATACCCAAGATGAAACAAAACATTCGGACAGCCGATGGCCTGCTCAGGACCGTGCCCAATCCCGGAGAGGTCAAACCGTACGATCATCTTACACGCGGCGCGTATTCAAGCATGCTGAGCCCTCTTATGCGTACAGGGAGCCCATGACTGGCGAAGAGAATATCCTGATTACATCGGCGCTACCCTACTGCAACAACGTACCCCATCTCGGTACGTCAACTCTCCTTTGACATGAGCGCGTGACGCGAATTTGTGCAAAGGTAACCTCATCGGGAGTATACTCAGCGCGGATGTCTTCAGTCGGTACGTTCTCGATGCACTCGGACATGTTGGTATAATGACGATGCATTCGTCTCCAGGTATAGCAGTACGTGCACGCGATCCAATTTTCCACCCACATCCAGGCTGAGCTATCACCTCCAGGGTCAAGAAATCGCCGCACACTGTACATTTGTGGTACCGACGAGTATGGAACGGCAACAGAGACACAAGCTCTCAAGGAAGGCATACCCCCTCAAGAGCTTTGTGACAAATACAACAAGCTACATCGCGAGACATACGAGTGGTTCGACATCGGGTGAGTCCCACATCAATACTCGGCAAAGTCATCTTACCTGAACCCGCTGCTCAGCTTTGACCACTTCGGGAGAACACCCACGGCCGAACACACGGAGTGAGTAGCTTGCGTGACGTGATCGCACGATTGTTTGACATCGAGAAGGATATGTCAGTCCATGTACAGAAACCTCGATAAGAACGGATTCTTGGAGAAGCAGTCGAAGGAGCAGACATTTTGTGAGGGCTGTAACAAGTACGTCTATTGTTGATGTCTTATGGCGAAGCTGACAATCATCGCAGATTCTTGGCAGATCGTTACGTAGAAGGCATCTGTCCCAACTGTGGCTTCAACGTATGTCCAACTCCCTTTCGCGCTCCATCGCGTAGCCATGAATCTCTCTTAGGACGCACGCGGTGACCAATGCGATGGATGTGCACGCACGCTAGACGCGATCGACCTCATCCAGCCACGCTGCCTCGTCAACAAGGACCACAAGGTCGTCCCAAAAACTACGTCGCATATGTACGTCAGCCTAGACAAGCTCCAGCCTCGCGCAGAGGAGTGGATCAAGAAGTCGTATGGGAAGGGCAAGTGGAGCCAGAACGCGACGATCAGCACCGAGGGTCAGATCACCGACGCCAGGATGAAGGCCGGCCTCCGTCCGTCGCCGGTGACGCGCGATCTGACATGGGGTGTGCCAGTGCCACCTCTAGGGCGGGATGATGACGCGGAGATGAAGGGGAAGGTGTTGTGTGAGTGTATATTGCCTTGTATGCGCGCGTCGTGTTGCTAATTCTCGGATTATGCAGATGTCTGGGTTCGTATCTAGAGCTAAACACCTTTTCATGGATGAATGCTTACCGTTTGTCGTCCAGTTCGATGCCCCCATCGGCTATCCAAGTATCACCGCTACCTACACCGACAAGTGGAAGGAATGGTGGTTCAATCCCGAGAACGTCAAGCTGTACCAGTTCATGGGCAAGGATAACGTGTACTTCCATACAATCTACTTCCCCAGCATACAGATCGGAGACGGGCGTGATTGGACTCTGCTACACCATATTTCTACCACTGGTACGTTGAGATGTTGTATCCTATACCACATCTGGTGGCGATGGTTGAACGTTCCGCAGAGTACTTGAACTATGAAGGAGGCAAGTTCTCGAAGAGCAAGAACCGTGGCGTATTCGGACCAGCGGCGAGAGATACGAAGCTGTCGTCTTCGGTGTGGAGATACTACCTGATCTCTGTACGGCCAGAGAGCTCGGATTCCATGTTCTCATGGGCGGATCTAGTACGTGCCCCAGTCTTGACCAGAGGCCCCAGCATCTAATGGAGGAATAGATTGCCGCCAACAACAACACACTATTGAACAAGTGAGTGACTGCAACGTAACATTGACTTCACAGCTGAACCCTCGTTTAGCTTTGGCAACTTCGTCAACCGAGCTCTGAAGTTTGTCTCCTCGCAGTACAACGGCGTCATCCCCGATAGCGGCGATGCCCCCGGCCCTCTGTCACCCAACGACGAGAACGACTCTGATTTCATCCAAGACGTGAACAACCTCCTGAAGGAGTACATCGACGCCATGGACGCCGTCAAACTACGCCTCGGCCTCCAGACCGTCATGCTCATCTCCATCCGGGGCAACGCCTACCTGCAGTCCTCGGGGCTCAACAAGGCGCTCATGGAACAAAACCCGCAGCGCTGCGCACAGGTCATCTCACGCGCCATCAACCTCATCTACACGCTCTCCGCGCTCGTATACCCGTTCATGCCCGCCACCGCCGACGCGATCCTCGAGCAGCTCAACGCGCCCGCCCGTGCGGTGCCCGAGTCGCTGTGCGCGGACATTCTGGGCGGACACGAGATTGGCAAGCCCGAGCATCTGTTTAAGAAGATCGAGGACAAGATGGAGACGGAGTGGAAGGCGCGGTTCGGCGGTGCGCCTGAGGCGCCGGCGCCGACGGACCCGGAGATCGCGCCGTCGAAGCGCAAGGCGAAGAAGGAGAAGGTCGCTGTGGCTGACAACGTTTTGGAGGATGAGGGCCCGAAGAGCGAGGAGGTGATCGCCCTGGAAGCAAAGGCGACGGAGCAAGGCAACGTCGTGAGGGGCTTGAAGGAGGCGAAGGAGACGAAGGCGAAGATCGACGAAGCGGTTGCGGAGCTCAAGAGGCTCAAGTCGGAGGTAATTTTGCAGAAGCAGAAGGAGAAAGCTGCTGCTGCTGTGTAGTACGACGAGGAACCCGAAGTAACGAGTGTACATACCTTGCGCGTGTAATAGTACGTCTGCTTTAACCCTAGGGCCTGAGAGCCGGTGCAATTTCGCGTGTCTCTGGGTGCTATATTGTAGAGGAACATAGACAAGAGGGGGCTGAGGGTCACTCGAGCGTAACACTGTGAAGAGAGCACGAAAACATTGTCATCAACGCCAAAAAAGGAGGAAGGGGGAGTTGAACACATGGCCCGGTAACCTCAGGACGAGGCTGATCAGACCATTCGTCCCGCACGATTCGCCCCGCGGTGGCCATGCACAACGACTGGTGGTCGTTGGAGCCGGTTCGCCATGTGCCCGAAAGTACCTCCGTGCAACACAAAATATGTACCGATCCGTGAGAACACAAGAAAGGCGCTTTTGCGTTACTTGGTCGTCGTGCTTGATCAGGGCCTCGGCGGACCCACGACTCCAACTTCGCGTGGACTTGGTAGGCATCATGTGCATACTAGCTGATATTGAGCCCAGTTGCACGGTGTGTCATTAGTCTATCGGTGTGTTGTGCGGCGACGGCACTAATGGCGGAGCGTGCTATTCTCCAAGTGCAAGTACGCACGAAGGGACCACAAAATTAATGAATGAGCTAGTCCTGAGGTTGCACCGGAAAAATAGATATTGATATAAGCTAATGAACGCATGCCGCGTATTCTACACGCTAGGAAATACAGTACATCAACGACAACGACAAGATATCATAGCATAGCAAAACTGCATCAAGACGGGTCCATAAATCGAAAGCCACGAGCTACGACACTATCAGACTCGGGGAGCTGCGCTATGCGTTGCGTTTCGCGCGGTCTGCATGAGCTCCGGGAGGTACGACGAGAATGCACGAGCGGGCTTCGGAGTCGCTCGCCCTGCGGCTGTGATATCGATGCGTGGGTCGTCGTCTATCACGGGAGAACCGTGTCCTTTGAAGGGCTGTGATGAGATCGGTGAGAGAATGGGCTGTTTACTTTCCATGCCGCAGGAGGCTGCTAGGAGCTCGACGCCAGGAGAGGACGCGGCGATGGAAGGCGAAGCGGCTGCCACTGCTGCACGGGGAAATCCGCTCGAGGGTCTACGCCCAGGATCGAAGGGGAGTCGTCGTCCAGTTCCAGTTCCAGGAGCAGTAGCGCGCGACGCCAAGCCGGGCGCATCGGCATATTCGATTTTCGTTGGCATTTGGGATGGTTGGAGTGTCGCCGCCGGTCGTCGCTGCGTCGAGGATGGTAGTCCAAACTGAGAGCGACTATATGCGCTCGATCGATCGAAAGTCATGCGTAGAACGCGACTGTGACGGAGGGGACGGTGCTTACAACTTGGCCGTGTAGGCTTGCTCGGCGTCTTGGGCAGCGACAAACGCGAGGGGCCGGCGGTCGGTCGTCCGAGTCGCCACGTGCTGGATCGTCTGCACCTGAGCCTGAGCCTGAGCCTGAGAGAACGAAGCGTTCGGACGGGCAGATCGAAGCTGAGAGACTCCCCGAGAGCCCGAACCAGAGACAGAGCCAGAGCCAGAACCGGCACAGTAAGATGCATTCCAAGCTGTCACAGGAAAACAAGGCCTTTCCGCACGTTCCTTGGACGACGACATAATACTAGTAGTGGGCGGCAACTGCGTTCTCCGGCGATGCAGCTTCGGCGCGTGCCGTTTCGCGCGCGGCCGCTCGGGCGTGCTGAACTTGTTCGCGGGTACGAACTCGAGAGGAGGCCGCGAGCTGGGTTCCTGAGATGCGCTGCGCAGAAGGGCGCCGGGCTTGCCGCCTGAGAGTATCGCAGCTCGTCTTAGCGAACGAGTTATTCCAGAGGAGCGCGATTTGTGTTTACGTCCGCGTTTTGCGGGACGGACGGGAGACTTAGATGGTTCGGGAGGTGGTAGCATGGGTATAGGGTCCGAAGAGATGTCTTCCATCAAGCTGCCGCTGCTGGGTTCTGCGTCGTGAGCAAAGGAGGCTCTAAGTTCGTCGTCATCGCCGTTGGTAGCGGCGGTAGCAGCAGCAGCCTGAGTGGGTTTGCGAGTTCGTTTTCTGCGGTAGTTCCGCGCGGGCGCGGGCTTTTCGGTCGAGCGCTGGAGGAAGCACTCCACGGTGAGCATAGAGTCGTCGGATGAGACGTGAGCGTGCGATTGAGTTTGTGCCTGAGCTCGAGCCTGGAGAGGGACCTGCTGAGAGCGCTTCGGAGGGGTTTCTTGTTCGAGTTCATCGAGACGATTCGGTGACGAGACGAGATTCGGTGAAGCAGGAGGGCTCGACGTGAGCGTCTTGATCTCGGGGATGAGACTATCAGTGGTCCTAAGGTTGTTTGCAGTATCGTCAACACGGGGCGAAGCTGATATGTGCCCTCCGAGTTCGAGTTGGTGCGCTGGATCCGTGCCAGCTTGAGAGGGTATGAACGAGAAAGTGGTCGTCAGTGTCGCTGGTCTCTTGCGCTTTCTGGTGATCTTATTTTCCCACCCGGAGCCCTCGCGTGAGGCTGGGCGAGGAGCAAGGAGAGATGTCATATACTTACGATAAGCTCGTCCATCCGCACTGAGTTGGATTCTAAGAGTTACAGGGTCAGGGCGACGGTACGGAGCTGAAAGGCGTCGCGGAGCACGCGGTGAGCAAGGATTTGAGATTCCGCCGGCGCTTACTGGCTGCTCGCTTATTTGCGGCTCTCTGCTCAGCTACTACCCGCAGGCTGCTACCTGACGCCGAAGCTGTCCGAGTTACTTATTATCCAAATATTTCCAGCAAAATAAAGAGCAAGCAAAAGCAGAATGAAGGGGTCGAAGTAATTTAAAGTGAGTATATGCGCTGCGGCGAACCTAACTTGCAGCTCGGATCTTGAGTCGCCTTCCTCGCCGCGGATCAGCGCACAACGAGCACAGCGTGGCCATTAGCGTTAGCGTTTGCTCAATCACGGCCCGGAGTTGTTGGAGTAGATCCTGGTGGGGTTAAAAGCTTGTTTGCGTCCGTCTGGTCCATTGCAGTCAGCTTGGGAAATCTGATGAGACACTTTACATAGCAGGGGGCCCAACGTGTTACCTGAAGTTTAACATGAGCTCATTGATGAGGTCAAGAATGATTCAAGAGCGGTAGGCAAGCCTCAGGGACGTCAGCGTCTGTCTGGCTTAAAGTTTAAGATCAGGTAAGTAAGACAAACCCCAAAATTATCAACTCGACCACTCTGGCCCTGGGCCTGAGCATCAAACGCTCGAGGGGGAGTAGCGCATATGGTTCATATCAAGACCTTGTGACTTGTAAAGTTAAACGATTGATAGGTGTCTATTCGAGTCTCGGCCGATTCTGACTCAGGCTTGACTTGAATGACTAGGCTGATGAGGTCCTTGGTGTTGATGCGTCTCAACATGTGGGTGCTTGGCATGTTCATCTCCGTCCATGCTAAGCACGTTTCGAACACACTTTGCATGGCGGCCGTGCCGGGGAAGCGGAAGACAAGCGCCTGTAGGGGTGAAGCGAGGCGGGTGTGGGGAAAAGAGACCGTCCCCGCACGCAAGCGAGGCAGAATCGGCCAATCGGGACGTCGTTGATTGGATGGCGTGAGTACAAACGCCGAAGTCCGAAGCTGTAAGCGGAAGATAAAGTGAGCAACGGACCTGTGTGTTCGTATCTTGTTTAGCTCGAAGCGGTGCGTCCGCTGGACCGGGCGTGTGGGCAACGTGCCTAAACGTATATATATCCTCCTCCCCGGACGCTGCTTGGTCTCTCCTTTCCGCCCATGCTTTGACCGTCCTCAGGAGCCTCCCGAACCTCGTCGCGACCATGTCTAACCACGTCGACCGCATCCTCACAGACCCTATCATCTCGACCGAGAACACCGCCTTCTCACCTTCTCGCTCCAGACCTCCCGTAGAGCTTCCTCTCACTAATGGCCATTCTGCCACGGAGCGGGACCCACTTATTGGACAGGCCAAGGTCAAGAAACCGTTCTATCGTGCAAGGCCGCTATGGTAGGTGTCGAATCTCTCTTAAAGTCCTATCGCTAACTCCGATGCGTTAGGCTCGTTCCGTTTGCGCTTGTGTCTGCGATAACAGTGCGTGCATGACTCATGTGGCTCCACAGATAAGAACTAACTAATAACAGCGTGGAATGACTGTCGCATCCCGCGTAGAGGTCTTCACCGAGCTCTCGTGCAACAACCTCGACCACCACTACAACCACACTGTCATCCTCCCTTCCCTCCGCGCTCCCAAGACCGCGCTCGACGCGTCCACAGCCGCATCCCCTACAAATTCGTCAACAGCCCTCTCTCACGAGCCGGTCACAGTCTACTTCGACGATGACGACGACTGGGACGACCCCCGCGTCATTCCGAACAAGCGCTGCGTCTCCAATCCCAAGGTCCAGGCCGGCGCAGCGCGTCTCCAGACCATAATAACGACCACCATGGGCGCGCTTTCGGCACTTACCACTGGCTTCTGGGGCAAGTTCGGCGAACGCCACGGCCGCACACGCGTTCTCTCCATCGCCACCTTGGGACTCCTCCTTACGTGCGTCTGTTTTCCTATAGAGAGAAAAGGTCGCTTTTAGCTTCATATGACTCATCGCTGACGTTTCTCTCCCAAACCTTACTCACCCACAGAGACCTGACATTCATCCTTATCTCCACGCCACACAGCCCGCTCGCCACACACTCCCACAAGCTGCTTATCGTCGCCCCGATCCTCGAGGGCGCCCTTGGCGGCTGGTCGAGCCTCAACGGCGCGTGCACGGCCTACATTGCCGACTGCACCTCCTCCGGCTCGCGCGCACGCGTCTTTGCGCGCTTCACCGGCGTCTTGTTCACTGGGCTCGCACTGGGCCCGTTCCTCGGCGCGTGGCTCATCCGGAATCCGCTGCCGTTCTTGCAGATAAGCCACGGTGCGTGCTTTTGCGAGCGTATGCCGCCATCGCACGATGTGGAACTGATGGGCCCCTCCTGATTGGATTGGATGTACTGTAGGCGGACACCCGCTGGAGAGCGTGAACTCGGTGTTCTGGGTCGCGATCGCGCTCTGGTTCGTCAACTTCCTGCTCGTCCTCTTCGTCTTCCCCGAGTCGCTCCCCGCCGCGAAGCGCGCCGCGTTCCGCAAGGGGAAGAACCGCGCGACGGGCGAACACACGGACGATCTCGCGATCTCGACCTCGACCTCCTCGTCCTCGTCCTCCTCCTTGGGCTTCAAGCACGGCTCGAGCCCCGGCCGCTCGCTGTTCCGTGTCGTCCGCGGCTTTCTCTCGCCGCTCGCGATGTTCCTCCCCGCCGAGGTTCCCGGTGCAGGTGTAGTGAGGGTGAAGACGGGCGACACCAAGGCGTCGCTGAGATCAAAGGCCGAGAAAGACTGGAGCCTGACGTACCTCGCGCTCGCGCTCTTCCTGCACATGCTCGCGAGCGGCATATTCCAGATCAAGTATCTCTACGCGGAGCACGTGTACGAGTGGACGGCGGAGCAGCTGAGCTACTATATCAGCTTCATGGGCGCGGGGCGCGCTGGGTATCTGCTGTTCTTGTTGCCTTGTACGTCTCGGTTTTCTTGAAAATTCTTTTGGTGTCGTGAGGCTGAGTGGGGATGTGTTTTGATTTTTGACAGTTTTGCTTGCGACATTTAAACCCATCCACGCGGCCATCGCCCCTGCTTCCTCCGTGCCCGCCACCACCACCTCCAAAGCAAAGCCCAAACCCACGCGCGGCCAGCTGCTCACCGAGATGCGCTTCGACCTGCGCGTCGTCCGTCTCTCGCTCTTCGCCGACCTCGCCTCGCACGTCCTCGTCGTGCTCGCGCCCCTCCCCGGCGACTCCTCCTCCTCCACCACTGGCGCGGACTCCGCATTGAAGTGGCGCTCGCAGATGCTGTTCGTGGCCGCGACGTCGCTCGCGAGCGCGGGCGCGGGTGTTATGCCCGCTGTGCAGAGTCTCGCGCTGTCGATGCTGCAGGGGCGCGCGGCTGGTGTGGCTGCTGCGGCCGCAGCGGTGGCGAAGCAGCAGCGCGGGGATAGGCTGGGGTCCATTATCGGTGAGGCGGAGGCTGGAGCGGGGGCAGAGACGTCGGTGGCGCCGAGCGTGGCGAGTCTGCACGAGGACGTGGCGCTCGAGCCGGGCAAGCTGTTTGGTGCGCTCGCGGTGCTGCAGGCGAGCGGGCAGATGATTCTCGGGGTGAGCTCGCCTTTCTTTTCTCTCGGAGAGCGTGCTATAGCTAACGCGCTAACCCCTCGGTTTGCAGCCGCTGCTCTTCGGCCTCATCTACAGCGGCACAGTCGGCACCTCCCCAAAATCCGTTTTCGCAGCCGCAGGCGCGCTCGTCTTCCTCGCGATCCTGTTCATCGGGCTCGTCAGCCTCCCGCGCGCGGGGCTCGCTTCCTCCTCCTCGCCTTCCACCTCCACTACCACCGCCGGCACCGGCACCGGCAAAGCCCCTGCTCTCAAGCGCAACACAGCCGCATGCTGGCCAGTGGCGACGGCGATAGGCGCGGGCGGGCAGGTCGTTCCGGTTGTGATGAGCGCCAATGCCAACGCCAATAACGCAAAGGCGAAGCGCCGGAGAGAGGCAGAGGAGCGCAGGGGGCGCTCGATGGTGCGGAAGGACCTGCGCGGGGGCGCCGCGCCCCCTGCCTCTACCTCTACCTCTACTCCTGCGCCGGGGTTGTCGAATGTGCGTGCGGGGCCGTCGGGGATGCGCGTGTCATGATGAGATGGCGGTGGCGGTTGGCATGGGATTGTTATGTATGTGGTGTGGTTTGACTCGGCTCTTTAGATACCCTTGACTTGGGTGGATTGATTGCGTTGTATTGTATTATTTAGATGGGTCTGGACATCATCGTGTACTTACTGTATCGTGGTTGCGGATCGCTGCACTCTTTAACGTAGTTGGCTCGTGCTTAATATAACTGTATTTTCACATTTGGGTGAGGTGAGGGCGCATCGAATGAGGAGAAATGCTGCAAGAAGAACTCGCAGTGAGGTGGGTTCACAAACAGCGATACATGATCACAGTATCCGAAAACAGGAGATGACAGAAAACAAAATGTGCGCTATATAGCGAAACATACATACATCAATCCCAACGTTGTTCACGCAGGGGCCCAAACCTCCGCAATCTAACAACCGGCACCCGCTCACCGCACATTCGACCGCCCATATCCCGTGCTGCTCCGCATCGCGCCCATACTCGACGATCCCTCGCCCCGATCATCATCCCGCGCGAACGTCGGCCGCGCCCGTCCACCGCCCGAGCTGCGGCTAGTAGCAAACGGCTCCCTGCTGCTCTGCCAGTCCCACGTCCAGCCGCTTCCGCGGCGCTGCCGCATGTCGTCGTATCTATCGCTGCCATAGTTGTCCCTGTCCCTGTTGTTGTTGTTGTTGTTGCCGCTGAACATGCGCTGGCCGAGTGCACCGAGGAGCGTGCCCGTCCAGAAGCCGGGGCGCCAGCCTTGTCCTTCCCCTTGCGCGCCGGAGGCGGAGGGGGCGGATTTGGTGTAGGGAGGTGGGGCGTCGTCTGAGCTGCCTGGGTAGGCACCGGGGCCGCTGCCGTATCCGCCGCTCGGGACACCGCCACCGCCGCCACCACGGTAGGAAGAGGAGGAAGAAGGCGGCATGAGGCGGCGTGGGCCGGAGGAGGAGCGGAGGCAGGAGGAGAGGAAGCTGTAGAGTATCCAGGCGAGGAGGGCGACCCATATGATCATGAAGATGAGGCCGCCGAGGTCGAAGGCTGGGTCGTCGGGTGAGTGGGTATTAGAAACTGGAGACGGGAGAGGTGGGCGACGTACATGCGAACCACTGCGAGCCCGATCCCGAGCCGGAAGATGCATCTCGCAGCGAAGCTGGGAGCTGTACGAGGTGGTACTCGAGCGAGCATGATCCTTCGAAGACGGGAGTGAGCCGGGGGTATGTATACACTAATGACATTGCCCCAGGGGCCGAAACGCACCTTTGAGAACATACGCGTCGCCAGGCCCGCTCCAGCCCTCGCACCCAACCTCGACCTTCCCAAACCGCAACGACGAGGGCAAGTCGGCCTCGCACTAGATCGACATTACACATCGTCAGCACACTGGCGCAAGGACGCAGAGCACCAAAGCAGGAGGGGAGAACAGCGCACCTTCCAGTCGACATCGGTACCCGACCCGCCAATGTTCTTGCAGTGCACGACCTCAGGCTGGTACAGCGCGCACGGCTTACCGATACACACAAGCTGCGCGATCGGGCTCGTGCGCCGGGCAGTAGTGAGCGCGTCCTGGTAGAAGGTGAGCGAGGAGGTGCCGTCGAGCTTGACGCGGGACATGTTTCCAGAGCGTCAGTAGTCAGAGTGAACGTGGGTGGTGGTTCAGACTTAAGAGAGGGGCTCAAGGACACGTATGCCCCAAGGCGATGAATTCACGAGCTGCGGTCACAGACGCTAGAAGCAAGGACAAGCGTTGACGTTATTCGGGATTGTGCCGAACCGAAGACGCGCGTTGACGTGGACATCGACGTCACGCGTCGTGTCGACGTGTACACGGCTCAACACCACAGCACTCAGCAATCGATGCGCAACTCAATGTGCAGCTCATCCAAAAACATGGTATAGTACACGAATGCGTAATAAGTAAAGTAAACGAGCAAATCTGATACTCTAGTCTAAGTATGTTCGAAAGAACGCAACAGCGCCTCACGCAGAACACCCACCACACAACCCCGTCCCGCACCCCCAACAGCTCACCGCGCCCACCCCACACGTCCTCAGCACCAGCGACACAACACTAACAACACCCTCGCCGAGCACAAAGCCCGACGCGATCACGATCAGCCGGATATCGCCCCCGGCCGTCGTCGCGACGTGCCGCCTATACAGGAACTCGACGACGCCGCCCACGAGACGCGCGAGCGAGAAGGACGGGGTGTTGAGGAACCCGATGGCGAACGCGACGCCGGACGGGATGTACTTGGCCCACCAGAGGTCGTGCCGCGCCGCGAACGTCTTGAGGCCCGAGATGAGCGCGAACACGGCGCCGAAGGCGACCATGAAGAGGCCGCTGTTCTCCGGGAGCTGGCCGTTCCCTGCGGACGAAGGGGATTAGTTTGTCTTCTGTAGCTGTAATTTGTGCGGATATAACTTACGCAGCAGGCGGGCGAGGCTCAGCCACACGTACGCCGTCGGTGCAGGGAACGAGGGCCCGGGTATCTCGTACGCGCGCTTGTATAGGCTGTACGCGGTGCTGGAGACGACGATCGACAGCAGAGAACCTATGAGCTGCCCGTAAAATTGGGCTCTAGGGGAGGCATGGACCAAGTGGCCCGTCTTGAGATCTTGCATGAGATCGCCAGCCCTATGGACGAGTGAGCCCCTTGATAGCAAGCAAACACATGGCGAAACGGCTTACTGTTGTGCGCCCGCTTCAGCAACACCACCCGCGATAATGTTCGCAACCACATTCCCTGGCTGCAACCACGCAAATATGAGCTGCGAGATCTTGCCCAGACCACTAACAGGATTCAGATCCGTCTCTCCCAATGCACGAACGCTGCCCCGCATTCAGCCTCTCACCCTCACGAACCTCAAGAACAAGGAAAACGCACCCAAGAATACTCAACAGCCCACCCATCACAAACCCAAGCAGCGTCGCCCACGGCTTAATCCCCTCGTCCCCAAACACCGCCCACACAAGGACCGTCCCGAACACAACACTGCCCCCCAGCCCGTACCCCACCCACCGGAACGGCACGAGCCTGTCCTCGCTCTCGACCTCGAGATCCTCCATCTCCCCCGCGCCGTCCTTGTTGTGCGAAGGCAGCAGCTTGAGCGCGTACTCGTGCACGACGGGCAGGAGCGAGACCGCGCTGTCCGCGCACATGATCGCGAGCGAGACCCAGAGGATCCAGCCGCGCGCGCCGGTCGACATGTCCCCGACGGGCCCGGGCGCCCAGCCTGCGTGCTTGGCGATGGGGGAGAGGATACCCCAGCCGACGAGCATGCCCTGTGGTGTGTTAAGTAGGTCGGGGTACACGGTAGAGTGGTGGGAGATCCTTACGAGGTTCATACTCAATGTCGTCGGGAAGCCCATGATGATACCTGGATACAGACGCGTCAAACGTCACGTCCTCGAGAGTCTGGATAAAACATGCCTTGTCCAACGTATGATAGAGAAGGTGTAAACGTCCAAAGCCATTCACGAGCCAAGTACGTGCCGAATATGGGTATCGCGAAGATAACAGGGAAGAAGTACGCCAGCAACTGCCGAAAGCACATTCAGTCTCCTGCGCCCGAGACAGAACAGTTAAACTCACAGTCATAACAGCAGACGCCAAAAAGCTCCACGCGAGCGCCGCCCACCCCTGCTGCTGCACGACATCGCGCTCGTCGTGCACCACGCCGCCCTCCGTCTCACCATCATCATGGTCTTGCTCCGACTCGAGCGACACCCGCTCCGCGACGGTGCTCTCTTCAGAATCAAGCGCGCTGTACCCGTGCCGGTGCCGGAGCGCCGTCTTCGTGTTCGTGCCGGGTGGGGGCATCTTGTGCAGCACCGCGATGAGTTGGCCGGTCGCTGTGCCCGAGGGGAACGCGAGCTGCTCCTTGATGATCTACGTAATGCACCGCGTATACGTACGCCTCATTCGTCAGAGAAGGTGCGGGGTGAGAAGGGAGCTAGGAGAATGGGAGCGCACCACTTGCTTGCGAATAGGAGGGGAGAGGAAGACGCCGAAGAACGCGACGGAGAGGGACCACCCGATCGCGGCGAGCCAGGAGAGGTGGATCGGCGGCGAGCCGTCTTTCTCTTCGTCGAGGAGGCCGAGTGCGGGGAGAATGCCGACGAAGCCTGCGGCGAGAGGCATCTGCGTGTGTGCACGTTCGAACTTCGCTCAAGTTCATGAGTGAGCTAAACCAGGAGAACGCACCGTGCCAGTAGCGACTGCGGTCGTCTGCAGGACGACTATCTCCTGGGGCGAGAGCGGGGTCGGGAGCATCTTGGAGAGCAGGAAACCGATGAGCGCCGACTGGAGCGACATCCTGTTCTCGAGAAGTTTCCGTCAGCTCCCCAGTCTCAGCTCTCAAGACATTCGAGGGAGGATGATACACACATGCTAATCCACCCCGTCTGCAGCCCAAAGTAGAGATTCGTAAAGCATAGCAGGCAACCTATGAGGAGACCTATCGAGACAGCTTGAAACTTGAGCAAACCAAGCCAGCAACATGTCAGCTATAAGAGCCCCAGTAAGACACTAAAACACTGCTCACGGTGAACTCAGGCTGGCTACTTTCCCCTCGTGGTCCTCGTATACGATTCCACCTGCTCATAAATCAGTCGGGAGAGCTGGAAGGGAAGTGGAGATGGCTTGCCAGCTTGAGAGGGCCATCTTGAGCTTAAGTCTGACCTCACCGTGCAGGACAAACCAGGCGATGACCAAGATACCAAGCCTCGAGTCGCGTCTGCGGACCGGCGGCACGACCGCGGATGGGACTACACAAAATCGCCGCATCCCCGACTCCCGACTCCCGACTCAGTCCGACTCAGGACCTGCGCAGGCACGCAACTTGAAGTTAAAAATGAGAAGCGAGCGGCAGAGAAATTTATATAAAGCACGCAATGTAGCAGAATCGTATGTCTTAACGCAGACACTGGCAACGCAGTTCTCAAATTGGAGGGAGTGTCTATCAGACAAGATTAAGCTGATATAGTAGTATTAGCAGTCGCAGTGACCCCAGGCTTGAAACATGCGGTACTTACCAGTGCAGCTTGCACAAGCGGAAATGAAACCCATAATTAATATTATATGCTGGTCTTGTACTATTACACTAGCCATGCACGCCACTGTATACTGGCTTGATTCTTGGCACACGTCCCAAATAATGAACACAGAATTCCCGAGAGGCAAAGAGTCGGAGTCGGTCACAGGAGTCGGGAGTCGGAATCAGGAGTCGGCTGTCAGGAACTGAGTCGGTCGGCCCTCTTTGCAGCATCGTACTGATCTCTGAACATGTCACATAGTAGGTGAATAGACTAGACTAAGTAGTCAGTTTTCCTTTTTGCACCTGGGTTCTGAGCATTTTATATAATTTGTACCATGAGTACAGTATGGTTGCCCAAGAGTGGTATGGGCTGGGTAATAAGTGAGACCCGACTCAGACCCGACTACCCGACTACCCGACTCAGGCCCGACTCAGAGTCAGGTCCGAGTCAGGTCCGAGTCGGGTCCATCAGGTCCATGGTATCCAAATCCACCCCCAAGCCTTGGGGAATTCAGAGTCGTCGTACTGAGTCGGACTGAGTCGGGAGTCGGGAGTCGGGGATGCGGCGAAATCCTGTAGCCCCCGCGGATGCAATGCGCCCCTTTTACTCACACTGCCCTAACGCGGTAAAACCTCTGTAAATATTGCGATGTCTACGCTCGCCCATCACGAAGACCCTCGCACCAAGCGCGTCCAGCGGATAACCGAGGACAGCTTAGCAGAGCTCTGCGAAGAAATATGCGAACCACTTGAAGCACATCTATCCACCTGTGAAATCAATGCTTGGTATGACCAGTACGCTCCGTCGCGTCGCACAAGGTCAAGTGGGGTGGCGATTTCCTAGAGCAAGCAGTGTTATCTGGGAACACCTGTGTTTATGGCAGCGGAATCTCAAAGTCGCATGCATATATTTCACGAGGTGATAACCAGAGATCAGCCAAAGCTCCGGGTGCCCTTTACCTTTCGCTTCCACGACGACCTCGAGCCCGTCTTCTGGATGTATGCTTGGTCCTTGTTCTACCACCCTCCCTCGCGATGCGTTTCTGACGCAGAAACTCCATGGAACCGATCGAGTCTCTGAGACAAGAGGCGACAGACTGGTTCAGATGCAACTCGTTACTGGTAACACCACCCGCTTCTTGCCTGTCCAGGGTCCCCGGCACGCCAAAATCATTTATTCCCTCGAGGACGTTTACACTGCCGAAGCCGGTGGCACTGTGCTCCTTGGCGGACTAAATGTCGTCAAAGTCTTATCGACAGCAAAAGAAGATCTCGAGGAAACTCCGTTCCAGCTTATTACCGACAAATATGCTCGCTGGCTCCATGAGTAGTTCCATGAGACGCCTTGTAGAGACGTGCAAAGCAAGCTACACGGCGGTCTGGAGGCCATCAATGGCCTGCATAACAGGAACGTCGATGTCTATGTGTGCCCTTTTCCTGCCAAAACCGCACACCCTAGAGACACCACAGATGATGATAACGAGGACAGCGGTGGTGCTCCTGCAGGGTTTGTGAATGTTTTCCTAGACATCTGTATTCGATGGCGACCTGAGTATGTGCACCCCTTGTCGTCAATGTCATACAACGTGTATGTTCCCCAGACTGGATCTTGCCCTGGCTTTATAAGTCTTCTTTCAGTTTCGTTTGCAGGCTGGGCGGATGAGCAACTCATGTTGTACTATCTTCGCCTTGGTCTAAATCCAAGACGGATAATCCAATAGCTCTAGCTGGTTCGTCGAGCGCACGACTAAGGAATTAATGAGTCGCCCCCTTTACTACCCCACGCTACTACCTCTTTGAAACATCCAACCTCAGAGTCAAGGAACTCACGCTGGTCGTCTGCATGAAAGCAAGGTTGACGTAGGCATCTGCCGGCCCACTCTTCCAGATACATTTACCATTCTTGGGATCACTCTGGGTTTATATGCAAGCTCTGATGCTACACGCGATATATCTCGATAATCATACATACGACGGAAGAGATTCGGCTACACAAGAGGGGTTACAAACGAAAACACTCAATCGTAGTGAACATCTTTCACCATCTGTTCCAGCGTTGATTGGCTGAATCTAGGAACAACACGCAGCGGAAGCGGTTTGGGTTTCCTGAAGGTATACAGAAGATAAGCGAGCGCGCGCGTACAGCAGCGCTGAACTTAGAACACTCACCTCACAGAGCCAATAGACCACTCGGGAGTTGGCTCGATCTCTACGCCATTGTCATCTTTAACCCTCTCGAAGGTATATGCTGTCAGCATAGAGGCGACAGCGATCCATATCGCCGCGAACGCCGAGTATCGTCCCGGACAGATACGCCGACCCCACCCAAACGTGAATCTCACATCATCACCGTTGAGTTCGCCGTCTTCCGTCAGGAATCGTTCTGGCCTGAAAGCTTCAGGCTCAGGATAACGACGTGAATCGCGTGACATTGACCTGGACGAAGTTAAGTGCTCGCAGCCAATCAAGCATGCTCTGCATACCATGTGTTGGCAGTTACAATTGTGCCTGCATAATGTATGAGTAATCGAACGTGTTGTGTGGTGTAGCAATATCACCTTTGGGGATGAAATAGCCCTCATAGACGTCGTCTTCCACGGAGACATGAGGGACGCCTGTGGTTTGTTAGAGACCAGCCTGATATTCAATGGAGTGTATACTCACCGAGAGGTACAACCGGGTTACATCTCATTGTCTCTCGAATCATTGCATCAATGTAGGGGAGCGAAGACCGATCCTCAAATGTAGGCAATCGCTCGGTGCCGACAACAGCACGGATACTGTCCTGTGCGCGTTTTTGTACGCCAGGGTTTTGCAGTAACACTACAATAAGTGTTTGTAGTATACTTGCTGACTACAAGAGGGCTGAGCATAAATCCACAGAAGAATGACAGGCTTCGATACCGTTTCAGCGCCACCTATCAACGACCGTATGATGAGCATAGCGGCAGCGAGAAGATGTGTCTTAACTTGCCGACGAAAGCAGTAGCGGCAAACTTCTTCAAGTTGTATTCCGGTATGTTCTGACCGCTCTTTTCGCTAATTCGTATCGTCTCCGAAAGCACACAAGAAAACGTCGGATTTGATCGCTAATGATCTTCTGAGAAGGGAGCTACGAGTGATTATATATCTGCTCACCATTTTCTCCATTGTAAAGTTATAAGGAAAGTCAACATATAGTTTAGCCCAATGCTTTGCGACCAGAATTTCGCGGACAATAGATGTACCCGGAAACCACGTCGGGAGATATTTGACTATCCAAGCCCAATGTAAGCTGCTTGAAGGTGCTATGGATTGTTGAGGACGTACCAAAGGGAAATGTGTCTATGATCATGGATTTCTCATGTGTCAGAAACGGAGGTCCTGTCTCAAGTGCCTTGTCGTTAATGGTGAACAGAGGGTCTTCGAGGGTGTTGACGTCGTAGCCGTACACTGTAGACAAGATCGCAGATGAAGTACATCTATATATGCTGACCTTTAGTTAAGGTGGACAAAGTGGGAGAAACTCTTCGCACGAACAATGATAGGAGGCCCCACAGCTTTTCCGCCGGGCTGTCGCCCATGTTTATCAGAAGGCGGTGGGCGGCAATACACTGCGTTGGCTGATAATCTGGAACCTTTTGTTCACGGAAAGATTGTTGAAAGAGTCGCCGGTGTAGACGCCATTCATTACCATAGCGGTCAAATCCGAAGTCGAAATCCCATCCGGACCTTCCACAAATTGCATCAGCACACACAGAAATCCACCCGCTTCGTGACGTACATAATTACTGTCGAAATTTCAGCTCTATCTGAGTATATGCGAGAGCGCCGCTCCAGGAGGTCATCCGCGACTCTCTCAGAGTTCAATATCACTACCTGCTTGCCGAAGGAGCGGCAGCTGACGATATTGCCTATGTGATCCAAAATCACAATGATTCGCATACAAGCAAGTGGAGAGAGGAAGAGCGCACCATACTTGGCTGCCCAATGTGCATACGTCAACCATGGGCTGTTGGCATCGACTTGTAGAGCAGCGCCTAGGAACGGTAGGTGATCTGGCCCTGGTGGCAATGGAAGAGAGCGATTGTCTATGTACTTTGCTGTTGTATGCCTAACAATAGCCCATAAAAACACTCCGAGAGGAAGAATTAGCACCAACGATAAAGCCATAATGGAGTAGTGAGTGTCGCTCGCAAGGGGCCCTACCAACGGGTGCCCTCCTTTTATAGTCGTAACGGAAGAAGACTAGCTCCCCGTCTGCGCAGCGGTCAGCTAGGAACAGAAAGCAAGTTTCTCAAAGAGAGATTCTGCTCGCGCCTGATCATAAGAGTTGCTCTATAAAGAGAATGCTGCCCGTGTGCCACACGAGTGTATTCAATGCTGACTGTTCTTATTGCCTACTAGTTTTCTCCCTTGGGGTTTCTGCCATCTGTGTCCGAGTCTTGTCCCACCACTGCGACAATGTGACGTTCGGTGGTACATGGAATCTGAGCATGGCTCAGTGTCATTCTGACTCTGCGGAGCGGATTATAAGTGCCTACGAGGGGAGCCATGAGCGTGTTTTGTTTCTCTTGAAAATACTCACGAGAGGAGTTGAAGTGAGGAAGTGGCACAGTCGAGAACATTGAGAATCTAGTTCCCAGTGCGGGTAGAGTTTGGAGCATTTGTATAGATTCGCCAGCCCTCAATGATAACTACACCGCCGCGGCGACGAAATGTTGGAATAAGGTTAAGGGATGATTAGCTGAATGCTTTCGGCGGCGGGTTGCGACGCGGTCAGCCGAACCTTGGAAATCGCTTCAGGACGAGATTCCCCACCCTTGGACGCACTATTGAGGATCTCGAAGACCCGGTTTATGGCTGGTGAGAACTGGTCCATTAGACCTTGTGACGGCGAGTGACATATTGTGACTTCCCAGTTGGGAAAAGTGCGTTTACTGATCCACGTCTTCTTTAAGCGTAAAAGGACATTGAATTGCCTATGCGCACTTAGCGTTATTTTGTACATGTCACCATCGTCAGCCATGGTCCATTTGTGTAGGCTACCATCGTCAGTCATAGCGTAGTGCATCCTCATCAATAAAACATGTGTACATCTCGTAAATGTGCTCATCTGTAACCCTAGTTTGATGACAATGTAGCCCTACATCTTCAGCGCGAATTTCGAGTCTCAAAACACAACGATGTTGCCATCCAAGGCATTGTACATCTCGTAAATGTGCCCATTAAACTTAGTTTGACGAAAGCGCGAGTTTCGAGTCTCAAAACACGACGATGTTGCCATCCAAGGCATCATAATAATTGCCTATTGGGATATCAACATATAGATGTCCCTACGACCGACTACATGCAATGTGACACATTGTATCATTCGGTTACAGATTGGCTGACAGAGGTGGAGTATGAAGACGGCATGGCATAGCATGCACGCGGGGTAATGCAGTACACGGGTAAGCCTACGGGTAAGCCTCAAAAGCGATTCATTCCTGCGACCAACCAGAGCTCGAAGGCGCGTAGGACATGAACGTCGAATTGGTGTCACGACGACGCTGAGAATCGTTCATGGCGTAGGCAGAGCTCTCGAAGAATTCCGAAACGTCGGACGGGGCAATGGAGGACGGATATGCCACCTCAGATTCCGACATCTGTGGATCGGTGTGATGCCCATCGTTGTAATGCGACGTCTCTCCGGTGTCCATGTGGTTGGGGTCGAAGTTGAAATTGAAGTCGAGACCAAGATCGGGGTGGTCGTACGCAGGCAGCTGCTCCAGCAAGTAGTTGTTGCTGTGTATGGCATCGGATGGGAAGCCCGAAGGCTGGTGAGATAGTGGTGATGGCATACGGGGCGTTGATGTTGATGTCAACGATGTGTTGCTGTCGGGCAACGAGCTAGGGGTGAGGCGCGGGGAAGGGCCGTGGTGGATAGCGGGGGTATGGGTGGTATGACCATATGAACGCGTTGCTGATGCAGGCGGCCTTGCATGAGCCGGCTGCGCACGAGTCGGCTGAGGATCGCCCAGAGCGACATCAGCGCCCCGGTGATGCTGGTCCATCCTGGGGCTCGCTGATGGGGCTCCGCGATGGGTGTCCCGTTGACCCTGGTGCCTACCATCGTGTACCAAAGGGTGGTCGTGATGCTGCACGTGCGATGCTGCTTGTGCTTCGGTCACCCTTACATGTGTCGAGCCATCAACTCTGGCATTACGAGGGCCAGGTGTATCGACCCGACGACCTGTACATTAAAGAGTACGTTAGTGAAGGCCTATAGATCTTATCGTGTACAATAGGTTACTCACCATGGGTAGGGGGGCCCATAAGATGGGGAGAACACTGCTGGGATACTGGCTGACGCCCGTACGTCTGCAAAGCAACATGAGGGCGATGGGTGAGAGGGGGCGTAGGCAAAACACGAGAGGAAGCATGTGATGTCGAACTTTGGCCATGTGTTGAAGCCGACCGATGGTGCGAAGGGGCTGGAGATGGTCGTTGTTGAGGAGGGAGTACTGAGTGTTGAGGGTGATGGTGAGCAGGGGGTCCACCTGGGCCATAGTGGGTGATGGGGGGTGCAAGTCGGGATGGATCAACTCGGCCCTGATGATGATGGCCACCCCCACCCTCCATCCTCAATGCTGGTTGAGGTTCGGCCGCGTGAGACACGCTGTTGACGTGCGCTGGTGAAGGCACGTTGTGGTGACTGGCAGCATCCGAAGAATGGGTCCCGGCTCTTGGCCGAGTCCTCGCAACACGGACGTGAGTATCCCCGAAGGTGTCGGTGCGGGCAGATTGTTGCGAGTGGTCGACGGTGGCCTGCATGATGCCAATGGGGGAGGTTGGGGCGGCATTATGATGAGGGAGGGGACGGACACCTGGGCCAGCGAGGAGGGCGCCACGACTGATTTTGCTGACGGGAGGGAGGGTCGGCTTTGATGGAGCTACTGCATTGACCTCGCTACCGCTGCATGCGACGGGACCGTCGTCCACGGCGGCAGTGTTGACACCTGAGGTCGTGTTCCCAACATCCACCGGTTGGATGGTGACATCCTCTGGGGCATCCTTCGTGGCATCCGTGGGCTCAGGTCGCGTTGTACGAAGGCGAGGGGCAGGGCGGGATGCTTGCGAACGAAGGCCTGATGTAGAGTTAGCAATTGTATGCAAAGATCATATATTAGGTGAATCTCACGTCGTTTTGGTGGTGAGTTACTAGGCTCCTCATCGAGGGCGTCATCGTCCTCCAAAAACTCGGAAGAAGAGGTGATGACGATGTCGCGCTGCTTGATCTTGTGAGCCACGGATGCCTTCCTTGTCTCTTTCCCCTTCCCCTTCCCCATCGTCTTCTTCTTCTTCTCCTCCCCCGCCCTCTCCTTCCCCTTTGACTCCTTGGCTTCATCCAACGGCACATCATCATCGGAGATGTCAGCAACTCGACGTCGCTTGCGACGCGGGACGGTGGGCTGAGAGGCGGAGGCGCCTGTGGAAGTGGATGAGATGGAGATGGCGGTGGGCTGTCCCTGACTGGCAGCGGCTGTCGAGCCTCCGGTCTCCTTCTTCACAATAGCCTTGATGACCGGCGCATCGCTGTCGGAGTCAACGTTTATGGGGTTCGTTCTCTTGGATGGCCTGATGCGCGGCCCGGGCATATGGGCCTTCTTGGGAAGTCCGTTACGATCCCATGTGCCATCCTGGAACATACGAAGGCCATGAGAATCTTTTGATGAGTCTGCGGGAGCGGCACCAATGATGACGGGGAATTTGTTGTCGAGCATGCGAACTGTAGCTGTTGTGTTAGAAACGGTCGCCAAGAAATAACAGGTACTTACGACGATCCTCGTCCGAGACAAGGTTGAACTGCATCGTCCCGGACGTCAATGCCTCCAGAAGAACCTCTTGATCCTTACGGCTGAGAGAGGCGATGCCCTTGTCCAACTTGTTCAACGGCCCAGGCCACCCGATCGCGTCAGGGTAATTGATGATCTGGACGCCCTGGTTGCCAAGCCTCTCCGGCATGTGCTTCATCGGAAAGTTGCCGTTGACGCGGAGCTCCTTCTTGATATTGTGCATGGCGGCGTAGCACAAGAGCTTGATGTCTTCGAGCATATTGGTGCCGCTCCGGTGTGCATTGACCTCGGTGGTGGAAGACCGGGATTGGCCATCGCCATTATCGACGTTAGCAGTGCCGTCGTGCGCAGCCACGCCAGTCGCTGCCGCCCCATTGGATGTTGTGATGGCGGCATCCCGGGTAGATACCTGCGCTGCTGCCACCGCAGCGTCCTCGGGTATGTCATCGCCATGAGCACGAGCAATTTCTTCACGGGATGCAATATCGCTGCAAGACGTGTTAGAGGTGATCGGGTGTGTGAGCGCAAACACTCACAAGACGTGGGCTTTGAGATGCCCGATAGCAAGGTCTTCGGGGGCTCTGCACCGAACTTCAAAGAACTGTAATCATAATGTTAGAGTAGCAGAAGCTAGATGACGACATATACATACATTTGCCGCCCCGGATGTTTCATGCATCCGTCCCATCCCTTGATCCTCGTTGACGACCTTGCCACACATAACAATGGCGCTCTCGATCTCCAGTGTTGTCGATGCATTGTTGAGCTGGAAAACGGTGAGGAACGATGGGTTGATAGCGACAAAGAAACAATGCAGAGCTTACCATTTGAAAGACGCGCTCCGCAAACTTTCGGAAAGCCTGCTGGCGCTCTGCCAAGGTCTGATCCCGGGTGGAGCTGAGCTGGTAGTGCGCCGCGAGGATATCCGACCATGTATCTGGGTAGGCATCCTTGAAGCGCGCATAGCACTCCAGGCGTGTCTTCACCGATCCCCGATCGGGAGCGTCGGGATATCGCGCAAGTTCTTCGTCAAGATGGTGCGAGAAATAGTTACCGTAGATGTTCCAGTCGTTATTCGTACCCATTTGAAGCTTTTGATCCTTGTTGAATTGATTATAGACGGTGTCGTACTGCAAGCCTGTGTCCGCTGCTGTCCTGTGTAGCTCGTCTCGAATGTGACCGAATGACCTCCGGAGGATCTCGCGAATGGTGCCAGACAGCCGTCCGCCAGCTCTCGGATGGCTGGAACCGCCTGCAGTTGCGTGCTGTACCTCTCGGATAGCTCCACCCGGGTTTGCCCTCGGGATCTTCACGGCTGGCGGGGGTTTGCCAGGACCGGCGGCGATCACATCGTTAACAGGATCCGGGCCCCTAGGTTCGGTCGAATCCGTGCTCGCCTGTTGCGAGAGAGGCTGATGTGATGGTGAGGACGTAGATGGCAAGAGAGAATGGGCAGGTAGATGGGGGGTAGATGCCTCGAACCCAGACAAAGATCCTGCCGCCGATGGGGGTGCAAATCCAGGAGGCAAGTGAGGCAGAGAAGGCAGTGGTGAAGGAATTGGCGGACCGCTGTGTACTCGTGCGTGGTGTGTTCCCGTGGATGGTGGATGTGTCAGGGGGACGTTGTACTCAGCACTGGTGGCTGCATCGAACGCATCTGCCATTGAGATGTCGCCATCACCAGAGTGATGTGTAGACGTTGGGACCTTCTGCGGCGTTGGAGGAATGACACGAGTTTGCGGCGGGTCTGGCGCTGCAAACTGCGGGTCACCGAACCCGAGAGCACGTAGCGACTCGGCCGGGGCTGCCTTGGGAGGGATAGGTGGGGCGCGTTGATTGTGATTCTGCGGGAATAGCTCTATAGAGTGGGTTAGTAATGAGCAAATACGGAGTGTGTTAGTACTAACCGTTTGCAACCAACTGAGATGCTGACTCTTGCTCGGCATTGCTGATGGGACTACGGAGAGCACCATAATCAGCATCTGGGGATGGGGTTGGGGATGGCGAGACTCGAGGTGTCCCTAGACCAGGGGGAGGAGGTAGATGGTATGCTGCATGGGGAGTTGTACGCGTCGAAGGATGAAGTGTATGATGATGACCAAGATGTGATGAATACGGAGCAAGAGGGGAGAGAGGGTGCTCAAGCGCAGGATGGACATAGTATGGACCTCCCATGGGATGAGACTGCTGCTCGGAAATCTGGTCGCTGTGGGATGGACCCATCGTGAGGAAGGGGTCATCGCTTGCGATACCCGAGGGCCCCTTTTGCGGGCTGAGCTGAGCACGCCGAACAGCAGCTCTTGATATGATGCCCGAATCGTTTGCAGTAGGCCTGACATGATGACGAAGGCGTGTAGGCGTCTCCTGGAGTTCGACAGATGGCTGTCGCGGGCCGCCGCCTACCTGTGAATCGAGAAGATAATCGGGGAGGTCAAAAAAGTCGGAGATATTGTCGTTATATGACATCTGATGCTCGTGTCAGTGGACGAAGATCCTGTGTCAAATCGATACTCACTTTTGCAGATGGGTTAATGCTTTTCGATGGACAAGATGGTTCAAGGACAAATAGATTTCCTGGAGATTGACAGGTACGTTTTCGACGACGAGATGCTGACTAGATTCAAGAGGAATCACTGCGCAAGCAAGTGGCAGGGATAGCGACGCGGAAAGAGGACGAGCTTTGGTACCCGCAAATATTGTTAGCATGCTAACATCCTGGATATGAGTATAATACGCACTGGATGGCCTCGACACAAATCTGGTTGTTTTGAGTGTTTGAGGGAGCGTAAACGTTGAAATTTTCAGTGTGCTATGCACAATTTGGTGGCAGAGATGGAGGGGGGTAGAAATGAGACGGCGGAAACACCAGGCTCCTTGGTAGCCCTTCATATTGACGAGGCAGAGATGCGAATCACCACGATGTTGACAGAGAGAAAGCTAAGAGAGAAGAGTTCCCTTGATATTGGAGTCGACAATGAGGTACGATGGACACATATGAGGTTAAAAAGAAGGATGGATGGTGACCTCTATCCGCAATGGAGAAGGTTGTAGGTGTAGAACACAAATATGGAACGATGGATGATGTGCGCTTGCAGACGCTCATCGAAACATCTCAATTAGGAAGGCGCAGCGGCCAATCAGAAGGCATATAATGATCGTACTGAAACATACGTCTGGAGAGATAACTCGTTCAGAGCTTCAGAAAGGGCCCAAATATTGTGTTGTGTCATTCTCATATACTAAATATGCTATTCAGTCGTTTAGTTTCAAATTCGAACAGAAGTAATGTCCCTAGCTACACAATAGCTACAGTGAAGTGCTCACCATAGATGCGAGCACGAAGTAGCATACCGTACTGTGATTAGGTTTGGTTTTTGCTTTCATTCGTTCCTGCTTGTTCCAATGGGCAGACGTGCAAAGTATCTCACCGCTGAAAGTCGACAGACTGCACAAAAAGAACAGAGCAATGCATACGAGAGATCACAACGGTAAGATGGTGCACTCAGGATGCCTTAGATGCGCCTCTGACAATTACATGTTCAGGAGGAAAGATAGCCGAACAGTCCACAACGCAAGTTCTTATGCTCGAAAGAGCGGGAAGCAAATGAACACTATTGCTGATGCTCTTTCGGCCATCCTTCTTGCGCAATCGCACTCCATGGACCCTTATCCCATAACCACCCTCCCCCGGTCCCTAGTCGAGATGGCGGACTGGAAGCTCCCTCTTAGTCCACTGTTCAGTATTGCTGAGATGGATCAAGATGCTTTTGTTGCTTACGACCTCGCCAAGTGGGATGAGGAGCCTCCTTACATATTTCCGGCACCCAATCTCACAGAGGTCGAGGAGGAGACAACCATGAACATCTTCTGTGCACTCCATGGTTCGCGGCTTAGGTTATCGCGAGAAGATAACGCCCGCCGTCAGCGACAGCGTTCTCTTGATCTGTCAGGGAACCTTTACGTCCAGTGGAGCGAGCAGATCAGACAATTGGTGAAGGACTGGGAGAGAGTGTATGCAGCCGTCAAATCGATGGCACATTGTCATCGTAACCAAATCATGGCCGATAACTGGCTTCAATGGCAAGCCAGGAGGGCTGTATCGTATCAAAAGGACTTGGAAGTTTTGCAAAGCAAAGATGCTTCCAGAAGATAGTGAAATTGTATTAGCCACGCTCATAATCTACTCTTCAGGGAATGCATGAACAAGATAATGGAGGTAACGACGGAAATCCCCTATTTTTGCCTCAGTCAAGTCTGTCCGTATGTGGCCTCGAAGCGTAGCGGCCATGGTTGCAAGTATCCACAAGCCGCAATCATAACCATTCGTTTGGCACGGTTGTTGCTACGTTTGAACTGGGATTTTGAGACCAAAGCATGACAATCAGTCGATACACGTACAACAATGTTGTAGGCTCTGTAGCCCGAGATGTCAACTTGGATGGTATCATCTTGATGAACTTTGGCAAGGGTGAGTAGGCGATATATCATCTCGGACACGACCTAAAGCGATGGTTAGATATAGTTAAACAAGTGCACAATAAGAATGAGACCTGACCTCCACATCTTTCCGCCACCCAGCACGTCCGGCCAAACTATCAAACAAATGATATTTGCGGGACGATAAGTGAGCAATGCATAGTACCCAGTGTCCCCCCCCTTCCGGGCGATGGATGGGTATGATCCACACGTCTTTTTGCCAGTATGACATCCATCGCGTTTGCCGCCAGAGGATGTCGTCAGGACACTCCTCGCGTATCCGTACAAGGTCGTGAGTTGAAAAGATGGCAATTTGGTGGGAATTGGGGGTATGACATGCGTGGTATAGGAGAGTGGCACACCCGTTGATGCATACATCATCTAAGAGGGCAGTTGGAGACTCCAGTATTTCGAGCGCTTCTACATCGAATATCTGGCGTCGCATACCGTTGTGTGCCGGGATCTGTATCTTCTCATTGCAATCGCCTATGGGCACTACCTTGGGCATAGCTACAACGGATGTCATGTCGTCGACCGAGAGATCCGCCTGTATACCACACCGATGAGTGAGCAAGAGGCTGAGTGAGATCAGGCATACGCACTAGCCCTTGCCATTGGATTTGGACCTTGTCATACTCCGTGGCATTCTGTGTGTGAGTCTCTGGGTCCTCCGGATGGTCCATACCCAGCTCCCCTAACACATCGGAGAGTATGGCGGCATTATCGTCGTCCTCGGTATTGATGTTCGGCAGATGGTCGTCGGATGATTCAACTTGGGGTTCTCCCTCCTCGAATGCGTCGTCCAAGCAGAGATTCCTTGTAGTGGATCTTGCCGCGCTCAGATCACGGCTGAGGTGAGCGACCTTGTCGATAGCCGAGCCCACAGCTTGTTGAATACTGTCCGCCGTGACGTAGTCAGAAGCCCAGCGAGACTGGGCACTTTGGAGACTCTCGTTGTGCTGTTCCAAAAAGATATAATACGGTGATTCTGCGACGAGTGTAAGCCAGGATCAATTTCAAGCCGCGTACATACCTGCTGCCTGGGTCATGGCGATGGAAGCAGTAGTGAGTTCTTCAGCCAACCATACGCAGAGGTTCTCAGACTCCCTGCGCAAACGTACTTTCTCCTCCTCGCATCTTTTCAACTTCAGCATGGCCCGGATACCATCTCGCACATCTACATCTTCCAACCAACGCGGGATTTCTTCGGCTGAGCGAGATATCCATACATCCTCCATGAGAGCATCATCTTCGCGAAGCTGTGCAAGCTTCGTTGGTAGTGGTCTCGGGAGGGGTATTTTCCATGAGCTCTGATACAATGACTCGAGCGTCTCGCAGTAGCTATTGTACTTGCGAATTGCCGCCATGAGAGCTGGTTGGCGTTTAGCGATGGATTTGCGGGTATGTTGATGGAGTTTTGTCCCTACGCGCTGCCCTCAGGCGCGACATCAAGCAGTGACTGAAAAAGACTCACCAAGGATCTGCTCATTCCCTCCGACCGCGCGATCAAGCTTCTCCCACTCGAAAAAACTCCCAACCGCTCGCTTTCGAATGTTGATCTTGAGGTCCCTGGCCAGTATAAGTGTTGTAACGAACTCCAAGTCGACGTCAGCAAGTTCTGGGAACTTTCCCGAAACGTTCAGTGACGTATACAGTGCGTCCACCTTCTTGATAAGCTTATCATGGCCTCTCTCCATAGACGATATAACATCTTCTGCAGCGATGGATACCTCTGGCGACTTCTCGATCAGTGCACGAGCAGCCTGGATGGCTTGATCTGATGATTCCAGCTCAGCTTGTATGGTTAGGACTGTATCTAACTCTCGTTTCAATCGTGCGGGGGCATCTGGGAAAATGTCTAGTGCCGAGCATCAATAAAATGTTTGGGGACTCACGCGCCCGGATAGAGAGCTGAGCGGCCTTTTGCTGCTTCCATTCGCGCTCTAAAATGTCATATGGGACCCCGCACTTGTTGATCACTGCCATCGCATCGGCACTCTGTCTCAGAACGCCGCGTTGGTAGCGGCGTCGTATCCACTCGCCCAGTTCACTGACGAGATCTATCCCGATGGCCAAGAGTTGTCGGTCAATCAACCAGATACGACAATGACGCTAATCGTGATGTTAGCTTCAAGGCCTAGTGCAGTGAACGATGACTCCATCTTACCCCAGAAGAACGCTCGAGAGCAATCAATTTCCGTAGCCGAGACCACAATCTCTCCACGCCCTCTCCGTCTGTCAAACCCAGTCCAATGCACATCCGAGGATTGTATACGAGTTGGCAGGACCATTGATGCCCGTATGCGTGCATCGCCGACGTTGTGAAGCGCAATCGACGGACAATCGACTCCGGAAGAATTGGATACTGTGATGATGTTAGTATGTTGACCCATGCACATAGATAAGGATGCCTCGAACCTGGAGGAGTGTGCGCCATAGTACACATCCTACGTCGTAAAGAACTACGACGGTGGCTGATGAAGGGAGGAGAGAAAAGAGATATTGAATCAATGCGATTGCGTACTTTTGTTGTTCGCCCGGTGTGTCGATGTTGGCCACAAATAGTGGGATGTCATGCCGACATATGAGTGCCATCAGGCCCGTGTCATCGAAGGTATCCATTGCAGCTTTCTGCTTCCTCCCGTCCGCAGCTTCGTACGATGAAGCACACTGGTCGAGAGCTTCGTGCAGGACTGTGGGCTGGTATGTCTTAGCAGGTCTCTTGCGAACTTGATCGATGTTGCTGCCGACGGAGTCCACATATAGTTTCGGGAGGACGTACAGAGGCACATGGAAATGCGGGCTGTCTCCAGCTGTACGCCGATGTCGGTGATGGAAATTCCCGTCGGTTGCGCAATGCACATCGCCACCCCTGGTGACGTCCGAGTCAGTCTGTGTGCACATGTAAGAGATGTAGATGATGACTTCTCGGTGTCAAGACCCCACGACGATCCCGAAAAACAAGCAGGGCATCGCTGTCGCAGGACCTCAGCAGCACGATCACGAGATGGTGCTGTAGCGTTGTCAGCGCGAGGTACCAGTGGTTGTGAAGGATATAAGATGTCATGGGTAAGGTTCCTTGATGTCTGAAGGCGATCCTTGATGCGGTTATCCAGCTCAGACTGAAGCACGTCGAACCACTGGACAGCTTGTCCAAGTGGTTTTCGAAAAGGTTCTAGAATAGGATTTCCCTGGCGCAATGTCAGCATCTCACTTTCGTCAGAAGAAGAACTTACTGATTTGTCCTTCATTCGAAACCCACGCTTCACATAGAATGCGTTCATCGCCGAGGCCAGCGCGTTCACTGCGTCGCAAGAGCGCTCGAACAGAGCTCGATAGAATAAGAGAAGTTCTGTAGATACAGCAAATCGAGGCTGGTTTGGGGCGGTCGGAAAGAGGCCGTGGCGTACTAGAAGTTGCGCAGTAGATATGCAGTCGCAGCCCAGCACTTCCTTGGACTGATAATCTTATAACAAGACGCGCATGAGTTTCTACATCGCAGTCAACATGGACAACTTACGGTCAAAGTACAAGCATATCAACCTCGTAGATTTGAGTGCGCACCCAGATGTACACATCTTCAGGCTATCTGGACAATGGACGAGCGGTTTTCCGACGGATGAGCTAGTGTAGGTCGCATAGCCTTCAATGAGTGTCGGAATGAGAGTACACCAACTTGCAAATAGGTTTACCGCCGCCGTATCTGGTAGTTCCCGACGTTTCCTAGGGGATGCGACAGGAGTGGAAGGAGTATCATAAGGGAGGGAGACATCCGGGGGTTCGTGACACACATCCATAGCATATTCAGGATGTTCGATGGGGACATCTGTCATTGCGACTCCTTCAGGAGGCTTAAGGATAGACGGTGGGGTGGCAACGCGTCGTTTCTCAGGGCCTGGTAGTTCTCCGCGTAGCCTAGCCATCCTGGTAGCGAGTTCGTCTCTGCGGCGGTCGCAGGTTCGGTTGTTGACTACATGTTTTGCCTTGGCCCCTTCGCGTCGTTTCTTGGGGCTCTCATAGTTTTTACCAAGCCCAGCCGAGGTTTTCTGGGCACCACGACCACTAGAGAGAGGTAACATGGATGTGAACGACGCCGAAGCGAACTATTGTAAGGCTGAGCAACGCGACCGAGGGCGAGAAGAGCATGAAGGGGATCGAGATAGAAGTGTTATGATTGGATGATTCGCTGTCAACGCGCCAGCACGTGGCCGTGGCGAAGGGATCGTCGTCCTTGCCCAATGCACTCATCCATCCTGGCGGGATGGATGGAGGATATGGTAATACAGCGACGATGGGGAGGGGATCCGCGAATTGCTAGGTACGGAAACACATCCAGGAAGGGGTCTTATAGATTAGTTTCTCACGACACAAATGCCAGTCTTGCAGGTTGACTAGTGATGCCGAAAAGTGCTTCCTGAGGTGAGATTCCCAAATAGTCGTCAAATAGAGTGTCTTCAGGAATCATTTCGCGACTGAACGATTTGAGGGACATGTTCTCCGACATCTCATGTAAACCTTGGCAAGCACTTCAGAAAAGCTGCAAGAAAGGTTTAGGCGAGATTTGGACGACATTCGCATAAAGACTGGACTGCCTCACAAAAATGCTGGTTGAGGCTTCAGAACATGTTTCAGAATGATGCGGAACAGATTTTGGTATTATATTCATTGAACCAGATACATAAAAGCAAGTAAATATAGCTGAGCTCAAGTATCCCTGACCCACTAAGCCTTGTTGCGCTTTCTCTTCTTCGAAGACTCCTCCTCGGGTGGGGGCGGCACAACGAGACCGGCATGACGGTTGAGAACACTCTGGAACTCGGAGATCTTGTTGGGAGCGACAACAGTGTGATGAGTGCTGGTGGGATTGCCGTGTTTCTGGACGTCGTTATTATAGATTGCTGTAAAGAACCTGTATGCACAAGTGAGCAACAAACAATGCACGAGGAGGTGGGCAGACGTACACAGAAAGGTCGGTTGCTGACTGGTATTTGCTTCTCGCAAAGAGGAGCTTCTCGTCGACCTTGATCCAATACTGTTCGCTGGCGTCGGGGTAAGAAGTAGAAACCCACCTCTGTCGAAGATAACAGGACTACATCAGCTCAAAACTATGCTTATACTAATGAAGCACTGACCAAGAACGCAAATCGCATGTAGTGCTGCAGAGTGGCCTTGATCCGAGACGTCCCCAGAGCAGCCATCGTAAGCTCAGCAACATTTTGAGTGGTTGCACCAGGTTCTAATGACTTCTCAACCTGGTACATGATATCTTGGTGTCAAAACGTGTTCACAGAGCACAAACAGATAACACTCACTTGGCCCTTGAGGCTGCATCTAACAGCGTTGAGTGTATTCCTGATACACGTCTCGACCACTCGAAGCTTCGAGATCTCGTGGGGAAGAGGGAGGTCAGGTACATTGAGCTCTCGCATAGCACCCTTCATGGAGGACAGGTTGATATGACGTGCAGAGGATAGCAGAATAAGCACATACCACAATGCACTCAACAACGTTCCCGCGATAGGATGTTGTGGTCGGCGACAGAAGGAAGCAGTGAGCATAGGTCTTGGCAGTCTCCTGCAGTGCTCGTAAAGTTACAGTGGTATGTAGTCATGAAAGGAAATGCCACTCGCCTCGAGCTCCTTGCTCATCTTCCACAAAGCTGCCTTCACAGCAATCTTATCCTCCACCATGAGCATGCGAAGATACAGGAGGATAAGGTGGTGCTGGAGGGTGGGTGCCTTAAGAGGAAAAGATGTCGGATGTCAGAGTAAAACACAGATACAAATCGTAAAAACGCACCTGACAGAAGATATCGAAGGCATTCTCAGCCTGGGGAGAGAGGTCCACTCCTCGCTTCACTTGCTGACCAAAGTGAACATTGGACTCAACAGTGAAGCTGTCGGGAAGGGAAGTAAAGACAGGAAGGTTTTGGGAGGAAGGGATAGAGAGCTGGCTGGAGATCGAATGAGAGAACCCATCATCTTCGAGTTCAGCCTCGGGCCTGCCATCTTGTGAGCCGTTTTCAATGTGAAGGGAACCATTGCCAGTGGCTGCCAGCCCACGATTGACTTCAGCCATCAATGCGTCCATAGGGTCGAGGGCAATTCCTTGTGAAAGGAGGTTGGGGTCGATAAGAGTGGGAGAGTCTTGCGGCATGAAAGAACGTCGAAGTCGAGAGAGAGGAGAATGGGTGCTGGAGGTACTGCCAATGAAGAGGCATGAGGGGATGAGCAGGGGGTTTAAGAGACATCGGGTGACCAGGGTGGTGGCTCAAAACAAGTCAACTTTGCGTTCTGCAATGTACGCTTGGATGCCAAGTGCAAGGAGAGCAGCCAAAGCTTTGCAGAAGCTTTGGCCCATGTCCGTCGCGTCAAAGCGCGACAGACAGGAGCTTTGACTTCCCGATTTGGATCCTTTGACTTTGCGTCCCGTGGTATCTGTTATTGTGCAGTTCCCCTTCGTGCTCAGAGTCAAAGCAGAGGTCAAAGCGGTCTGATTGGGCATTATAATACCTGAGCTGTTCTCCGAGAGCGCTTTCTGCTTAAACGCCAGCATGCCACCAGCGTCAAAGCCCCTGCCACCAGGTCAGTACATGTCAGCCCCTGAGTCTGCGATGCTTGCTGGACTGCAGCATTCGTCTGAGTCTCTCGCAGCGAAGGGCAAATCCAGTATTTTGCAGTTCTGACTTTTATTGTTATTTATTTTGTAGCATTTGAGGCACATCCTTCCCAGGCTGGGAAGGTGCGCTGTAAAATCTGTGCTCGCTTTTCACCTGACATTCCTTGGATCACCAAAGCAAGCATGAGCAAGCACCTTGACTCGGAAGGGCATGGCAAAGCTGTCACTTGCGCCAGCCAACAGGACTTGACAAGAGCGCAGTACACCACTGCTGCAGACCGATTTTATGGTGTATCTAACGTTGCACAAGCTCATTATTTTCATGGGCACTTGTCGAGTGCTTCGAGACCCAGCATGCATGCAACTGTGCAGCCCACAGTCTCAACCGACGACATCACCACTGAGGAGGTGCACACAAGCCACGATTTTGCATTTGAGCCAGTCATACCTGCATTTATGTCCTCACTTACATCGAACACGGCTTCTCAGCAAGAAGCTATCTCAGAGCAACTGCAACTGCTGGTCATGGAAGCAGAGCATGCAGATGCTGTTGCAGCAGGTCTCATTGATGACGATGATGTTGCACTCTCAAATGTAACTCAGAATTTCCGTGAGATGGGTCAGTCTCTAAATCTGTTCTATCTTACATTCAACCTATTCTTATGCATGCTTAAACCAGACTTGCTGAGGTCTGCATCTGAAGACGATGTTCACCCTCGGTTTGACCCTCATATAACCAAAGATTTGACTTATTCCCCATATCCTAACAAAGTGGTAAGCTCCAGACTTATAGCTCAAGTTTCCTACTCTGAATCTCGCCTCAGACCATGCTTCTGGATATTCTAGATAACTTGCCGCGTTTAAGGATGTCAAGCGCACAGTTCAAATTGATCTTGTGGCTTCTCGAGCAGTGTAACATTCCTGGTGTCCCGTCTTTTGATGCATTCCGTAAGTTTCAGAGTGAGCTTCGGAAACGATGTGGATCAGAACCCCAGCCGTTCACGTCCATGCTGGGAAATCACTTCCATGTGAATAACATCCGCGACTCAGTAGCTCGTGTAAGTACTGCTGTTTTAATTCCTGGATTATCTTTGATAATCACCCTCTAGGACTTTTCTAATCCTGAAATCGCTCAACATCTGCGGTTTTATCCCGAGGATGTTGGCCAAGGACCACTCTCTGAAGTATGGCAGGCCCAACGATGGAAGGAGTTTGATCCCAGCGAGCTCACACCGATGTATTCACGCCATGGAGTTCAGTTCTACATTGGTGAGGTGGCTTTGCTTCGTTCTCAGCAGCCGGTGATCCCTCAAGCATGGGTGATGCGGCAAGGTCAGCTGTATGCTGATTGCAAAACTGTCACAGTCTTGCCGGTGTGTGTTCTTTGTATGCATTATGGTCAGTTCTGATATATTATGTTTATCTTATAGGAAGGGTGGAGGATTAATGTGGATGGTGTTGAAAGTCATTTAGCTGATGAGTTTAGCATCAATTACCCCACGCTTTCCCTCAGATATTCAGATAAGATCCCATGGACAGGTCAGCCAGTTTCTGTACGACAGACTTGTGCTAATATTACACCATGTAGATATTTTGTCTGTTCCACAAATGCCCAGCAAGCTTCGAGAGCTTGCTGGTGGAGATGACCTCTATGTGGTTATGTGTCCTCTATGGTGCGATGATGTCTCCGGAAATCAAAGCAAACAGTATAACAAACATATCAACATCTATATGGTAAACTCAAACTTGCCGGGACGCTTACTCCAGGTGTGTCATTAGCTGCATAATGTCAAATTCAAGGCTAATAATCAACTGCTTTCAGCAAGAATATTTCGTGCGATTTGTGTCTACATCACCACATGCGTCAGCTCTGGAACAGTTTGCAGCTGTCACAGAGCAGGTAAAGTGAGTAAACTTCTGGTGTTTTTTCCGTGCAATTATGCTGACCAACCTGTTTGTTTAGAGAAACACATCAGAATCCAGTTCGCTGCTTCAATGCAGTAACTCATAGACCTTGTCGTGTGATTTTGAGAATCCCATCGCTCCCTGCAGATAATCCACAGCAGTCTGAAGAGTGCTCACATATGGGTGGAAATGCGAACCTCAAGTGTCGGAAGTGCAAGAATGGTGGTCCTTTGGAAGAAACAGGAACTGATTCAGGTTATCATGCACTACACTTTGTGAGTCAGGTCTCCAATAGTCACTCTTTCTTCTCATACTTCATCCAGGCTGGAGAACCACGAACAGCTGAATATACACGCTCGATTCTCCTCAGACAAATACACCTGGCAATGTATGGTGTTGAGAAGCCCATCAAAGACCTTCAAACAGCGACAGGTGTCAAGGATAAGATTGCACAACATTGGATTGACACTCTACTTGAAAAATCGCGTCACTTATCCTCAACCACAAATCTTACGCACGAGCAAATTTACGAGCAAATATCTGTGTGGTTCTATGAGCAGCCAGGTCAATGGATGAACCCTCTGCTATCTGTACCCGGTAAGTGGCCACTCAAACGAGCCAGACATGTGGCTTATACTTCATTGGTGGAATTATGATAGGTCTTGATCCTTGCAGAGATACGCCAGTCGAGATCTTGCACACCATACTTCTTGGTGTTGCAAAATACGTATGGTGGTTTCTCCACAATGGTTGGAAAGAGAATGAGCAGAACATATTCGCTTTGCGTCTCCAGTCCACCGACATCGATGGTTTGAATGTCCCTCCCATCCGTGCTGCTTATATGATGCAGTACCGGAACAACCTTATCGGAAAACACTTCAAGACACTCATGCAAACAATGGTCTTTCATGTTCATGGCCTGGTCAACCATGCACAGTTTAACCTCATTAAATCGCTTGGATCTCTTGGTGCACTGTTGTGGATACCAGAGATTAATAATCTCGACACATACTTTGTAAGTCTCAATTTTATTCAGTAATCTTTCTTGAAGTATAGCTCTGATTGTGCTCATAGATTGACCTAAGAGTAGCCATTGCCAACGTCTTGGACTCCATGGACGACTTAGAGCCGTCGAAAATAATTCAGAAAATGAAACTTCAGGTCCTGATTCATCTTGAAGAAGATATACGTCGCTTTGGTCCGGCAGTGCGTTATTCAACCGAAATATTCGAGTGTTTCAATGCGGTATTTCGCCTCTGCTCTATCCTGAGCAATCACTTGGCACCCAGTCGAGATATTGCCACCAAATTTGCCTCAATGGATCGGATCAAGCACATACTTAGTGGTGGGTATTGGTATGAGGATGGCTCCTGGGTATGCGCATCCAAGAATGTCCTCCAATTGTTGCATGAGGAGCCTGTGCTTCAAAACCACTTAGGATGGGCTCCAGCTTGTGAGCGGTCAGCAGGTATATGCGGCATTCACTCAAGCAATCATCTACTGATGATTGGTGACCACAGGTGAAATCAAGCCGGTTCCAATTCGCAGTGCCACAGCAGTTGTCTGGGAGACCACCCGTGCTTCCAAGAGTGTGTGGGCCACACCTGAAGACTTGCTATCCACTTCCCCTGAGTCCAAATGGCGCTTTGGTGTGTCAGTAACTTCAAATGTGGGCGATCTTTGTAAGGTTGGGTCATGGGTATTAGTCTCTGCATCTGGAGTGGTGCGTTCACAACCTATTTGATAGCTTTTGTCTTTGGTTCCTGATGTTTAAGCAACAGGTTGTTGCTGGCAGAATTTGTGAGATTGTGGTGCAAACATCGAGCATCCGTGTCCAAGACAGAGGGCTTGTCACGGTCGAGCAGTTCTACATGAGTAGCGAACCTCATCCAGAATTTGATATGCCATCTCTAAGGCGTGCAGATCAGCATTCACAATATCTGACGGTCGGATCAAAGGTATGCAGTTAGTCGTATTGATAACGAGTGTCGTTAAAATTAATGACATTTGATCAGGATATCCTTTGCCTCTGCTCTGTTCAACACAACTGCAGAGCGGGCGGGTGCATGGCTCAAGCATCTCACAATGAGAGGCAGGAGCGCCAGGAGACCACACGAGTTGTTCATGCAATCCAGCATTCAGATGACGACCAATTCATCTTGAACTTACATGCCCTACACAATGCCGGGCACATCAGGAAGCTATTGCCACGAAATTTGGTAGCAGTAAAACCTCTGTATGCTGACCGCAAGTTGCATCACTGCATGGCAGCCAGCAAGCTTCGGACAGACAATGCTCAGAAACGCGAGAAGGCACAGGCAAAACGTGATGCAGCTAAGGTCGCAAAGCTTGCTACTGATCCCACAGGTGCTGCACTTAATTCTCATACTGTGCAAGGCAAGCGCAAAGAGGTGGTAGCAAGCAGTGGAGATCCGCTATCCGAGTCAAGTAGGGCTACACAAAAACGTGTTCGTGTTAATCTCAAAGTATAGTAGCTTGCTCCTATATTAGATTTGATGTACACTGTGCGCCGGATTGTTTTAAACTATTGTATCAAGAGAAACATTGCTGCATAGCATATACTGAACAACAGGGTAATCCGCCAAGAACAATAGGTTGGTGCCCCGTAGCGTAATTACCCGAGTTGTGCAGTCCGTGTATGCTTCAGCAGCAGAAATAAAGTAAGAGAACGCTGAGAGGGTAAACGTGCGAGAGACGTATACAGAGATTGAACTCCGCCTTCTATATTGGGAATCGGACATTGAATTATGTTGGCATGTGTTGCCTGGCATCTCAATTATTTTGCTGGTGATACAAACGATTTTAATGCTATTGATACTGTATATATGTTAAAGTATGTCAAATTATGGAAAGTCGGCCATTCTAGCACTTCAGCCGTGTGTGATTTGGTGTATACTGTGCCAATGTCGTGTTCGGCGCGCCTTTATTTGGTTCTGCTTGGTTTTCCTTATTTGAAACTCCGCTGTTATATTCCTCACAGACGCGAGCGCGTCTCTCATTCTTACATCTCATGCTGCTTCCGGAGGTGGGCGCAGGTGCCCCGTTCCGCAAACCCTCGCGCGTGCCCCATTGAGGCCCCGAAATGCTGAAGTTGAGTTTCGCCGCCCACGGCCGGGCTCTGATGGACATGCGCTCTGGTCAAGGCGTCTTCTCCACAAGCCTGGTCGTGAGCAAAAGGCTGAGCAAAAAACTGAAGCAGGGGCCTGAACACATCCCTACGTCACTTAAACCAAAACAAATCCATGTTTATACCATAACATTAGAGCACACATTAATACACCTCGCATTCACGTGCTATAACATGCTGTAGGCTGCCATAATGGTGTATAGAAATGGGAATCCTCACGAAACTCTGGCTCGCTTGTGAGGACGACTACCGTATTCAGATGCTGTCAATAAACATGAGCTGGTGAGATAAATCATGGCAAAATCGGACAAGTACCTTTAGATACATGTGCATGGGCAAGCTCTGCACGACGTGAGTGCAGTGCACTTTCATAAATGGACGTGCAGTGTCGGGACTTCTTGATTTCGCCGAGAAGCCAACACACCTCACTGTCCGTCTCCGACTCGGGCTCGGTCTCCGACTCGGTCTCTGATGCAGTCTGTGATCCGGCCTTGGTGTCTTCACACACTGAGACATTGGGTACAGATACATGCCGATCCCAACCTGACTGGCTGGGCATTTCCGAGTCCTGGTCCAGTGCCGCGTTTTTGTGTGCATCACCAATAGTGACGATTTCATCCTCAGCTCTAGTTCCCGAGTTTAAGCTTATATTGAGTGTCTGGAAGGGTGAACGATTAATACTGTAAGCTGATGAAGTGCGGGTAATTAACTCACTAAGTTTTGAGGTGCGCAAGGCCCGAAGTTGATTGTAAGCGTCCTATTGGGACACAGAGATGCGACCGGCACAGTATCTGGGGCGTTATCGGGACTCTCGGATTTGATGGGCAGCGGCATGATGATATGCAAGGCGAGTGAAGGATATCGATAGGGGGGCTCACCAAGTATATAAGTACAGGGAGGTCAAAGCGTTGGGTGGAGTTCGACACATGCAATGCAAAAATGAGCAGATAAATACCTTATCCATGTTGTAGAAAGGTTTTGCTTAGATCTCGGTCTCATGGTTGCATGGACATATGGTCGAGGGTTTGTCAAAGGTTGGATTGATATTTGGACAACAATTCAGTATGTAAGGTTGGCCCAAGCGATGGCCAAGGTCGCGAGACGCTTTGACGTGCAGATTCAGTCAACCTTACCCGTTCAAGGTCACATTTCCCTTTGTGCACTTTGGCGGTGTAGAGCTAAAGAGATTGTGCCTGTGCGTAATGTAGACTACTTTCAGTGTTTGAACTGCTGTATGCAATGCACAGCAAGAAGGACGATCAGTGCATGCACAAGGAATATTATGGCATGCGGATCTATTGTTTTGTGTTTCCCGAGATAAGTACCGATCGCTGCTAAAAGACGACGTCACGAGATACTCGAGAGCCAGGCAAGGAAGGTGTATGAGCATAAATGGTGGGAGTCCAAAGGCGTTCGTGTTGACGCGTCTCGCCAATATTCCCAGGCTTGCGGACCGGTGGCATGACAGCGGAAGCAATTCACCCTTTCTCAGTCGCGACTCTCGTGTGGTGCAAGTTCTGAAGATCGATTCTCCTCGCACTCGGTGTCTTGTTCGGTCTCCCTCAGAAAACAAAGACGGGCTTTCCGTCTGCTCGAGGATATAGAATGCAACTTTCTGAAGCTGAGCCTTGTGCGTCGCTTTCCAGAGTACAACTCCTGCTGAGTCTAGGATGTCGCAAGGAACAAGTTCAAGAGCCGTAGAGTTTCGTTGGGTACGATATGAAACTTCGGGGGTGCTAAAAGATGCTGTAGGAACCGGGACTCTGGAAGCTATGATAGCCAACTAAGGTGAATCACCTTCGCTCCATAAGTACCTTAATTGGGGCAGCGGCAAGGTCAGCGAAAACCATAATGGAGGACCCATATTCAGACGGCTTTGAACGCGCGGAGCTACTTTGATATTTCAGGAACTTCCAGAAACTCGGCCCGTATGAGGTTCGTATAGGCTTCTCGCGAACACAACCCGCATGTCGCTGCGCAGAATTTACTCTTTCCACAGAGTATAGCACAGGGAGTCTCCGATATCGTTCTATTGGGCCGTTCAGAGAACTATACTCACGGTGCCCTACATGAGGACGAAGATCTCTCATATGTCCCCGCGTGCCTCGTGTCTCGCCATGACGAAGTAGCTTGCTGTATCACCACGTGTAATCTCAGGAAGGCCGTTATCGTTTCAGTATGGAAGTGTGTAAGTTCGCCGTAGCATAACTACAGACTCGACGCTCAACATCAGTACGCCCTTCTTCAGTCCATTGACCTCAAACTTTATGCATGCATGCTGAAAATGGAAGCTAGGTTGATGTTCACAACCTTGATACGTTGTAAAGGTCGTCGCAAAAGTGACTCATGAACCTGGAGAGTCCTTATCATTATAGAGCGGAGCGCCCGTCCGCCGCCTTGCGGCGCTTTGGTGATTTGGATGTTGTATCCCATCATCCATGTGTAGGTGTACTTTCGTTCGCTTTGCGAATTTAGCCATCCCGATCAGATCCCAGTGCGATATTCAAAATATCCCCTTTGCGCCGTGCTGTGCATGTCAAAGTTATAAGTGCAGTGCTGCACTGGGGTGCTGCCGCCGTCCTGCGCATCCAAACCTGTCGCCCTCTCATTATGGCTGACGGCATCTTCACAGTCCAACCTACCATCTTTCTTCATACATCACCTCGCTTACGTGTCCGGAGTATTCATGAGAGTTCCCTCACAGGATCTATGATTGGGGAGCTCCTTGGAACAGGATCCAAAACAACGCTGGGACTTGCCGCTATATACGGTATTAACTGCGCTATAACTCACCTTGCTATCTCTACAGGAGCAGCGGTTCTTGTCATTCGGTTTTCGACCCAGACCCCGAAACGCAAGAAAGCAGGCGCCGCTTCCAATACCCACCGTCCGTTGTCTGTTCTTCTTTGTCACAACGAATGTCACCTCTGTTGCTTCGGCATGGACCGCCTTGCATTGTCTCTGCATCTCGACCTGTCGTTAAAGATCGCCAACGGGAGAGACCTGTTGCCGGCCTCGAACGACAGTCGTCGATCTTTACAGGCACTAATGAACGCCCTAGGCGGCGAGACCATGCTTCGAAAGCGAGATCTCGAACGCGCTTTCGAGCACGGTCAATCCCACAGTACCTCATTGGAGCAGGTAGCGACGCAGGCTTGGGTGGCGTACATGGCTACTCCCTCGGGCGCGACCGCGCAACAAGCTCCTATCATTGACACAACGACTTGGTCTGATAACGTATGTCTTGTCTCCTCTACAACTTGGATTTCACTTACATGCTCTACCTTGGTCAGCATTTGTCGATCTTCGCTAAGATTGCTCGTGATGGACAACTAAAAGATGCACTGAAGCCGACAACCGTTGAGAATGAAGTCAAAGCCGATTATGATACAGGCAAGGATGGGATCTCAGTCACATCAACACGCTTTCGCACGCGTGTTATGCCGTCGTCTCGTCAGGTCAGTCATACTTATTCGCTACCTGCTGTACAACAGATATAATCTCTCTTTGCAGACACTCGAACTCAATTTCCAAACGCCGACAGGAGAGTCCCGCCAAATCGGCGGGAAAACAAGGCAGATTGACGGCCGCCAGGCGGTCATCACGCTGGATAATTTAGTTCATGGCACGAAGCTGATGTCAATCAAAACCATAGGAAAGGAGGATTCGACAAATGCCGAGAGCGCTCGAGAAGAAGTCATCCGTTATGCGCTTTACAGAACTATCAGTTTGACCGAATCAGACCTCTTCCGTCGCATCTGGACACCTTGGGACGTCTTCGATCCACCCCTCAAGCTGGCGTACCAGCAGTCGGCTGTCAGGTTTCCCAAACTAAATTCCTCTCAGCAGACAGCGGTCAGGATGATCATGTCCCGCGCAGCGATCGACAACGTCGCGCTCATTCAAGGTCCACCGGGGACGGGGAAGACTACAGTCATCTCCGCTGCCGTTATGGGTGTGACTCATAAGTCTGAGAGCGCCTCCCGAACCCTCTGGATAGCGTCCCAGTCCAATGTTGCCGTGAAGAACATCGCCGAGAAGCTGATAAAGCTTGGATTCAAACAGTTCAAGCTCTTAGTTTCAAAAGACTTCCATTACGACTGGTAGGCGTATCATCACTTGAAACCAGGAACGTGTTTCTGACTAATCCCAAGGCACGAGCATCTCTATGAGAAGATCGAAGACCATGTCATTCGCTCTGACAGGTTCAGCGATGATCTTGACATGATTAGCGGCAGCTTGGGCGGAGTACGGGTGATTTTGTGCACGCTTAGCATGTTTGCGAACGATCGCCTCGGTGCTTTCATGCGAATGGTTCCGGTTCAGACGATTATCTTTGACGAGGCTAGCCAGATTGAAGTTGGAGACTACCTGCCCGTCCTTCACCGTTGTCAAAGGACTCTTGAAAAACTGGTATTCATCGGAGACGACAAGCAGCGTGAGTCATCTTATAATGTTCTTTCAGGGGCATCTCACGTCTGTTTATATTGCATGTCGCCAGTTGCACCTTTTGGTTCGGACGAAATCGAGCAGCTGGAAAGCATATTCGAGCTCCCTCACCTTCGACAGAGGGCGCATTTTCTGGACACTCAATGTTAGTATCTTTCCTCCTCTCAGAGGTGATACACTGGCAGTCAGCTAACCTGACCAGATCGCATGCCAACCGTCATTGGCAACTTCATATCCTCACAAATCTACGACGGAAAGCTTCAAAGCGTCCACAGAGTCACAGATTTATCAGCCTGCTTTTTCGTTAATGTCAGAGGGCATGAAGTGGCCATGGGCCGGAGCTGGGTGGTGAGATCCTTCGCTTCTATTTTCCGGACTGACACTCGCCGGTCGCTAACAATACGGTGTCAGAACGAGGAAGAAGTTGCTACAGTGGTGCGGCTCGCGCGCTTCTTTGACAGCAAAGGACAGTCGTACCGCGTCATCACGCCGTATGACGCCCAACGCTCGTTGATTGAGAAGGCGCTGGAGAACGCCGGACTATCATGGGAAAATAAGTGTTTCAACGTTGACGCCTTCCAAGGTGTGATAGCACCTCCCTCCGAACATAAGCGTTCTTATGATTTCTTACGATGCTCTTAGGTAACGAGGACAACCACATCATCGTCTCACTCGTCCGCACTGAGAGAATCGGGTTCCTCAAGAACGTTAGGCGCACCAACGTGATGCTGACGCGGTGCAAGCGGTCAATGGTTATTTGCACAGATCGTGCGTTCATGTCGGGTGCGGCCCAGAACACCCTGCCCGGCAAGTTAGCTCAGCGCTTGGGTCCGGGAAATTGGCTGCATGAGTCCGATATACTGAATGGTCACATGGGTGCCTTGGCTTCTGTGATCAACTAATGTACCGTATCATTTTCTTGCCCCTCTTATAGACCATTGTACTGTCAAGTACGAAGTGAAAGCCCAAAGCCATGTATCATTACCTAAGCACGGGAAGCAAATAAGTTCGGAACCTTATATTAAAAGAGACAGCAGGAGCTTGAACAGAGATTCAATGTTCAGTGGCCATCATAGTGAATGTACGACATACACTTCAGCTCTTCAGGCGTGACGGGTAAATGTGATATCAAGCTGGCGCGGCATTGACGTGTTAAAGGGGGACAGTGCGTTCTGGATCTCCTTCGAGTGTATAGACCCTGCAGGCAACGACCAGTCATACTCCCTCAGAAGCATAACGAGCACAGTTCGCAGCTCGTACAGCGCAAAGTCGCGGGCGGGGCAATGTCTGGGCCCTACCAAGAACGGCATACACGGATCGATGTCCTTCACATTCTGCTGGTACACTTCGGAGTCTCCCATGAACCGCTCGGGTGTGAAAATGTGAGGTTCGTCCCAGACTGTGGCAATCTGGTGCGCTGCGTGGAGATTGACCATGATGGTTGTCCCCGCCGGGACGGGCATGTGCCGATTGTAAGGTCAGTTGCACAGATGCGTGGAGAGGCGAATGAAGCCGGCGGGTTCAGGCGGAGTGCTTCTTTGATGCATGCGTGGATGTATGGTAGGGTCTGGGGACCGAGGGAGGATAGGGAAGGATCAGAGTCGCGGCCGAAGGCGCGAAGAGCTTCGGCGCGGGCGATGTTCTGAGCGTCCTTATTCACAGCTAGATAATATACCACAGAAGCCATTGCACTTGATGAAGTGTCCTACAATAACGATGAGCAAACCACAGCGCACATAAGTCAGACGCAGACGTACGTGACCTGCGAAGAACAGTGTTGCCATGTTATCCTTGACCTCCGTAGACGATAGCTCGGGATGCGTCGCAAGCTTCGTGATAATATCCTCTCCAGGCTCAGCACGTTTCATCTCCAACAGCCCATTTAGCCTCTTCTCGAAGTTCACTACACGCGCGATGACCTTCTTGCGCGGCAACCACCGCTCAAGCACAGGGAAGACAAGATAAAGTGGCTCGACGAATTCGTGCATCATTGTACTAAACTCGATCATAAACGGTGACTCTGTTCTGACGGAGTCGTAGTCGTAGCCCATGACGCCCAACCCAATAGCGTCAAGCGCGATGCGCTGGGTGAGGTCAGACCAGCACAGGGTGTGTCCCTTCTTGTCGTCCGCAGGAACCGCTTCCATAACTTCGATGGCATTTCTAGAGACGGAAGCGAAAAGGTGGATCGGGGCAGACGTCGAGAAGGCGTTGCGGATGATGAGGGACTGTTTCTTCCACTGAGGGCCATTGAGAACGACCATGTTCTCCTTCCCCAGGAAACGGAGGAAAAGTGAGTCCTGGGAGGCAGGTACTTTCGGGAAACTCTGTTGGTCCATAGCAATCTGATGGCATAACTGCGACACGCTGGGTGTCATTTTCTATTGAGACGCAAAGTATCTGATGGCGACATACCTTTGGATCGACGACATGGACCATTCATACCCCAAGCATCCAGACAAGGACCACATTGGCCGAGCGTTGTTCAGCAAATGGTATAATCACATCTTCAACGATGGCCTTGTTTGACGCGCCGGACAGGTACCTCACGAGCAGGGGGGTTACAGGAACGACAAGGATGTGCGCTAAGTGACGAGGGACTGAGAAGGTGCGATACAAAGCCCAGCCGCCAGCGAGGGCAGCACAGACGCAGATATCGAAAAGGATGAGGCTGGGCATAGTCCTGAGCGCAGACAAGGCGGAGGCCTCTGAGGTTGGAACGGATGTGTATAGGGCGGAGTGTGCATGTCTATTGGCCAGTAATATGGTTTGTCACGCGCATAAAGTTTTGGAAAAACACTTGAGTGAATAGTAGAGCATGGTCACCTGGACCGCGAAACCCGCTGCGCTCGGTGTCTGTGGTTATCTCGAAACGGGGCGGCTCTCTTGGTGATAAGAGTGCGGTCTTGAGGTATTGTCCAACCTGCGCCAACATGCCGATAGGAGAGAACGGCTGCGTGATGGCTGCGGTCCATCGGTCGTGCATGTTGATTCCATGTAGAGCGCGCCAGACCTCGTTCTAGAGAAAGATATAGCGCTACTCAGCCATGTAGGGGGGTCTGAGGGATGGTTGTGAGCATTGGTACCTGTAGGTCACCGCTGAAACGCTGGAAGACGTGTCGCTGACTGTGGAGGCATCTGTCGGGATGTCGGACCGCGTTGACCGAAGCGCGCCCCATGGCCCTCTTCCGAAACCTTCACCAGCCCGTTATCCTCTCTCTCGACCCTAATGCGAGCTCTCATTACATTTCTCGGTGTCCTGAAACCCGCTTGCTCACGCTAAACCTCGCTAAACTTGATATAAACCAATACGCTCCGTGAAGTCTGTTCCTGTCTGTTCCAATTCTAGCTTATCATCCTTCTCTGCAATATGGTTTTCACTCGTTATCTCGACGGTGGATGCTTCACATGGCTCACGCAGGAATGCCGCCGACAGCTACTTACAAGACCATAGTTCTCGCCGTGTGCTGCACGCAGAGGGCACTCTTCAAGAAGCTGTTTGAAACCCACTTGTCTCAGCCATGGAGCATGACGCGAACCTACTGGCGTACTATAGAAGGCGTATCCTTCAGGATCATATCCGTTCCACGAGATCTAGACTATCCGGCAACGCGCACAGGCCAACGCTCGCTTTCCAACCCCACTTAAGCACAAACGAGAAAGTTGGTATCCTGGGGGCAGGTATAGGCGGCCTATACAGTGCTCTCATCCTGGACTCTCTGGACATCAAGTATGAGATATTGGAGGCATCCGAGCGAACTGGTGGGCGGCTCTCCACGTTTAGGTTCAAGGGCGGTGGCGAATATGATTATTTTGTGCGTGATGAGCCCTTCTTTTCACGGTTGTTTTTAATGTTTTGTGTAGGATGTAGGCGCGATGCGCTTCCCTATGCCAAAGAAGAAAGTCACAGGCGAATACGAGGACGGGCTTATGAAACGTTTCGGAGAGCTTACTCAGTATAAGAAACTTAATCAAGGTCCCAAACCGCCCCTCGCGTCCAAGCTCATCCCTTTCCACTTCACCACGGCAGATGGCTCGAGCCCAGGATACCTCTACGTCAACGGAAGACGTCTCAGCTTGAACGACACCAACCCCGATGTCGGTGCACACGAGTTCGGGGTAGACCCTCGATATATTGCAGTCGGAGTCAGCGCAATCATGCGCGACGTTCTTCAACCATTTGTGGACAAGTTATTGGAGGATCAGAAGAACGGAACGGACGCGGGCTGGGAGATGCTTGAAGCTCATGATGACTACTCAATGCGCGCATACATGTCATTCGTGTATGTACCCAGCGTCCATCTCCATCTTCCCGCCACACATTTGCCCACAAATGTCATCGACTGGTGCGAACTTGTTGATGGCGGGAGCACCGGTCGGTACAACAGGGCGTTGTCAGAGGCCGTCATTGGAGCTATGTCGTTTGGCAAATCAGGCGACGCTAACATTGAGTGGAAATGTTTCGAGTGAGCGATCAACCTCACCTTTTCTCCTTTCTCTATAATGACGGAATTATCTATAGCGGAGGATCTCAGACATTGACTGAGTACATAGAAGATTACATCCGGAGCACGGTCTCGAACGAGGAGCTTGTTCTCTTTGGAAAGAGAGTCACCGCTGTCAGGTCTGTGGACACTATTGGTGGTTCCCGTCATGGGTTCATCATTACCATTGACTCTGAGCATGACCACGGACATGCCTGGGACACAATCAGTCCTGAAGTCATCGAAGAGCATTGCAAGGTAGCCGGTTCTGAAATCAAGTCTCTCCTCGCTCGTCATCTAGAACACCTGAAATTCTGCAATGTCAAATGCATTAGAAATGAAACGGGCAAGGCCTTCGCCGATATCCTCACTGACGCTACCAACATATACCATCTCACCGTCACAGCCAACCGGGGCGTCAGCGTCTCAGTGCTAGACAGCAAGTCAGGCGAACGGCAAGAACATGTCTATAGGCATGTTGTCTCCACCCTCCCTCTCCCCGTCCTTTGCACCATCGACATGAGCGAGGCAAAGATCACCGGCCCTCAGCGCATGGCTCTGCGCCAACTAGAGTGCGGCACGGCCGTCAAAGTCGGCGTCCTCTTCGCGGATGCGTGGTGGCACACGAAGCTCGGCATCACTGGCGGCCAATCTTTGACCGACCTCCCAATCCGCAAGATCGTCTACCCGTCCCATGGCGCTCAGAGCGGGACACCGTCGAGGGTCCTTATAGCCAGCTACCCATGGAACTACGATGCCGAACGTCTTGGCGCGCTTATCTGCAATTGCGAGTGGCAGCGTGATAGCAGCGGGAGGGAGTGCTGTCAATCTAGGGTCGCTCTGAAGGAGCTAATTCTGCGGAATCTGGCTGAGGTACACGGGGGCGAGATCACGTATGAGTTTCTGCTATCGCAGTACAAGGACATGCATGCTTTCAACTGGAGCCATAACCCCTATGCGATGGGTAAGCCATCAAGTCCTTCTCTTTCCGCCCTCTGGCCATGGATCTAACCTCATATCGCCTAGGCGGATTTGCTTCGTTTTCCCCAGGAAATTTCAAGACACTATATACTTCTCTGACTACCCCCGCCGCGGACGGTTGTTTCCACTTTGCGGGTGAAGCCATCAGCACCCATCACGCGTGCGTACAGCCTTGTTTGCTGACTTTTCTTTGTATGTTAGCTGGACTAACGTATCGGTTTTCTTATGTTTATAGCTGGACAGTGGGTGCGTTGCACAGCGCATGGCGCGCAGTCTATGAATACCTCTGCACGTCCGGTCAGCTGGACAAAATTGAGCGCTTCAAGGAGATATGGGGAGAGAACGAAGAATGGACGCAGAGCTCAGAGTCTCCGGACACGTCGTCCCACCTTGATGACAAGGACTGGATGATGGTCGACGTGGCTGAGGGTGGAGCTGAAGTTTATGTCGAGCCAGCTGGGATACGCTCCATCGAGCACGATTTGCTGATGCAGCATCTGTTAAGCGTATGAAGGGTCAGTGCATAGACACGCCTCTGAATAGAGATGTTGGTTCAGGCGACTTCGAGGTCGTTCACCCTCCTCCCTTGGCAGGGACTCAGACACGGGCTAGCAAAGAGTGGGCCAGGGCACCAATTTTCCCGGTTCTCTACGACAAGTGTTTTTCTTTGCGCTTGAAGTTGACTTGTAGTCCTTTCGGCCCAGAACACCTACAACAGACTTCGCCGAGCTATACATACCCATCATAATCTCACCATAACCCTCAAGTTTAGGCATTTACTTCATGTCGTCTCCCTACATCTTTTGTCTTCTCTGGCGTTCTCAGCTGACGCACCAAGTACCGAGTCTTGTATCGGAAAATACAGAAAACAAGGCCTAATGGGGCTGCAGGAAAAACACCGATGAGAGATATTTGTAAGAGAGGTGATATTCCGGAACCGAAAGGTATGTTTCATGTTCTGAATGTGGTTCATATGGACCCATGACTCCCTTACCGTACCCAGGTTGCTGGGCCGTATATAGGTGCCTACAATGGCCGAATGGTCTGAATCAATGGCCCATACACCTCCCAGATAGGTGACTGAGATGAATCGCTCCTCTTGATGGTTCCTTTACCGTCTTTCACGCGCTTGTGACAGACAGTTTATGGACTTATCTTAGCCTGCTCCATATAGCTGCTGCTGTTTCTTTAGGCATTTAAGAAGGTCTTCCAGTCCCATCAATAGGATAGCGTTCTGGCCCATGATCTTCAAGACGCCATGTCTTCTTCATTGTTGCTGGTCGCTGCTTTCATCCTACTCACAGCTGTCCTCGTGAAGTACCTTCGCTCGACCTTTGGGGGCAAGGTTGCTCTACCCTTACCGCCCGGTCCTAAACAGCAGACGCTGACTGGCGCTGCAATGCTCGTTGACTCCAAAAGGCCATGGGTTAGCTACAAGCATTGGGGTGATATCTACGGTAACTTTTTTCCGTTATTGATTAGTGGATACTGCATCGTCATTGAATATTCTTGTCTGTGTGCACAGGCCCGGATGGCATCATCAGCTTCCACTTCTTTGGCAAGCCCATGGTGATTCTGAATTCTGAGAAGGTCGCAGGAGAGCTTCTAGAACGACGCTCTCGCATCTATGCTGACAGGCCTCCTCTTTCAACAATCCCACTGTGCGTATTTTATTGGTGTGATTCGACCATGGACTAAAATCCTATATCTTCAACAGGTCTGGCTGGGACTACAACTTTGTTCTAAGCCGTTACGGTGCCAGATGGCGATCTCAACGGCGACTATTCCAGCAGTCGTTCCGTGAACAGAAAGTCTCTGACTATAGACCCACCCAACTTGACGCCGCCCATCGCCTAGCGATCAACATGGCAGATTCCCCAGCGAGTGAACTCTGGGACCTTATTACCCTGTGCGAGACCTTGCCTTCTACACATTGCGTGCTTGCGTTCATTGCGACATAGATGTACTGCGTCTGGAATTTTGATGACATTGTATGGGTACGAAGTCAATGACATCAAGGACCCACTTTTCCGCATCGTTGACGAGACCGTCACCACTGGACTGCCCCTCTTTACCCCGGAAAAGGCCATGGTTGTTGATAGATTCCCCTTTGGTGCGTGCATGAACATTCCTCGAACTTTCCAAGCCCTCATGCCATTTCACTAGTGAAATGGCTACCAACATTTCTGCCTGGAACATCTGTTGTCCGGGAGTGTCTGATAGCTCGGCAATGGATGCAGAAGTTTATGGATGTTCCCTACGAAGTGACGATGGAAAAACTAGTAAGTTGCCCTAGATATCATGGACTACCATCCTGACGACTGCAGCAATCTGACCCCACGTTTACTTCTGTGGTCTCTGACACCCTACAACGTAGTCACGGGTGCGATAGGGATAAGTTTGTGCATGACGTGAAAAGCTTTGCTTCGACGGCGTTTGTTGGTGAGTAATTTCCTCCATGTTCCATAGTCGATCATCGATAACATCTCATGGTGCAGGTGGTGTTGAAACGGTAACTACGTCATCACACAGTACGCGACTCTGCATTGACTCCCTCCGAGTCAGCAAGTGTACTGCAATCACTTGTTATAGCTTTGTTGCTTTACCCAGACGTACAAAGACGAGCTCAGGCCGACATCGACGCTGTCGTTGGAAAAGACAGACTTCCTAACTTTGAAGACCGACCATTGCTTCCTTACATTGACGCGATGATTAGGGAAACAATGAGGTGGGCCCCGGTCCTACCATTAGGTATGTGATTCTGAAGTGGAAGGGTAAATGAGGCTCTCAAATTGAGAAGCTCTCAGTCATGCCGTCATGGAAGACGATGAATATGAGGGGTATTCCATTCCTAAAGGTTAGTGCTACATCTAAGGTCCAAAACATTGTCATGATTTCTTGGGGTGTAGGCACGACTGTAGTGGCTAACATATGGTACGTACTGTTACCAGGTCTTCCTGAAGATAATACCGTTGATTCACATATATAAACATTCAGGGCGATATCTCGCGACTCTGGTCGTTATCCTGAACCAGAGACCTTCAGACCAGAGAGGTTCATAGCGAAGGACGGTAAGCTGAGCGATGACACCGTGAAATGGTCTTTTGGCTGGGGTCGGCGGATCTGCCCTGGTCGGTATTTGGCACAGAATGCGGTGTGGGCTGCTGCGACCACAATGCTGGTTGCCTACAGTTTCCAGAAAGAAACTGATCAAAGGGGAAATCCGATTGACTTTATACCGGCATGGACGACGGGGCTTACAAGGTGAAATAATATTCACTGTTTTTTCGTTGAAGGTGCCACTCACGTGTCTATACCAGTCGTCCCCAGCAGGTCCCGCTCCGCGTTGTCCCTAGGATCGATAGAGGCAAGCTCGAAAAGATGATAGAGCAATCAAAAGCATGACCATTCTGTTGTCCATCTGAATAGCCTTCTTGCTGGTAGCGGCAATTGTATGAGTAAAACATTAAAGTTTCCACTATCCGAAGCACAGTAACGATCTTTTCCACCGCTAAAACATCGTCATCTAACAAGTAGTCGAGCTAAGGGGAGTCTCTGGGTCTGTTTAAGTCCAATACAACGTTGCTTTGTCTTTACTCGATCCTTCATTGAACTCCCAGAGTTCTGACTCGTAACAAGCTTGCGCCACTCGAAATGCCTCGAATCAGTGACATTGACGTGTTTACCCAGGCTTTTAGTGCAATGAAATGCAATTCAACGTTAACGTTAACGGCTAGTGTATATTCCAACAACTATAAAGTTCTACGAGAGACTAGGAAGTGACGGGTCAGGGGTATGGCTGGATAGGGAATATATCCCTGTTTTGTCCCTCCGTTCCAAACGCGACAAAGTTAAGACGCGTCGCTCGGATGCTCTCTTTCTGTCTTGCCACTGCGTTTACGCTGTGTAACAATCTGCTTTTCGACCTGTTACACAATCCAACCAACTCACGAATCCTGCATGAACAGTCAGAACAGCAGGAATGGAGGTGACATTCCCAATATAAGGATCCCCTAGCAAGGTTTCGCGGGATTTGGATGAGGTGCACGGTCGAGAACACGAGTTCTTGTTGTCGTACTTCTCGTACACGGATGCTCACACCTCCGACTGGACCCACACTCCGTACATGATGGGTGTCGGATCGCAGTGACGCGGTGTTATCTGGCCCGCATCATCCAGCCCATTCTCAAGCCACACGTTAGTCCAGACTCCAAAAGCCTGATCTGTTGGCAGGTAATGTGCTAGCCATATTTGCCCCTCAGCTTGAAACTGGCGCTCTTGCCTGATTTTGCCTACTAATTGAACTTCTCCTCACAAAGCCGGGGTCTGCAAACCTTCTCCTTGGCGACCATGTCTACCAAGTTCATTGACCTGCAGAAGATCCCTCTCGAACTGAAGACAAAGGCACAAAATCTCAAGGATGATGCTACGTTGCTGATGCCTGCTATAGGTCAATCCATCAATCTAAGTCTCATTCACAGGTCTAATGCGTCTTATCCCAGGCCTTGGATGCTTCGCGACTTGGGACGAGGAAAAGCAAAAGGAAGCAAAGCACTGGATTTTATCAGCTCTCAAAGTGAGCCACCGCTCATCCTATCCTAAACGCTGTTTTTTATACTCGTTCAAGTCGGGTTACAGGCATCTGGACACAGCTTGGATCTACGGTCTGTTCCGGTTTTTCCTCCACCTCGCTATTGGTTTAGACTTCGGTATGGCAGGTACTGAAGGATCTGTCGGCGAGGCCATCCGCGAATCTGGGATTGACAGGAAAGAAATAACCGTCACGACCAAACTTCCGTAACGTAGTCTTATATCCATTTCACGCCAAGTTTTGAGTCACCCTCCTAGATGGCACCACCCGGGATATGTTCTAGAATCAATTGATGAGAGCTTGCGCGCCGCCAAACTTGATTACTTTGATTTAGTAAGCACTTGGGTTCAAAGCTCAAACAATAGTTATCTTCAACAAATTGTAGTATCTGGTACATTATCCACAAGCTGTGGGGTAACCTGGTGCGCATATAGGATCTCAGTTGAAGCTGTCTGTTTTGATCTCCTGCAGAGGGATACGGGCAACCGAAAAATCCCGAGGACCCGAACGCCCTAGTGGCTCTCACGAGTCCTACTATTCGAGAGAGACCTGGGCTGACATGGAAAAGGTTCTCGCCAGTGGCAAGGTTAAGGCCATCGGAATCAGCTTCTCCGAGAAAACGTGAGCATGGTTGGCGCAGTATCAAACGACTCTAACGCAACTTTATGTAGACTGAAAGAATTGCTACAAACTGCGAAAGTTATCCCGGCCATGAATCAGATCGAGTTTGTATACTGAATGGAAATATGGCAACGAAGAGTACTGATGTAGAATTCCACTCTAGAATGCATCCTTTCCTCGCCCAAACAAAGTTGCTTCAATTCTGTGAAGAACACGGCATCAAAGTGACTGCCTACACTCCTACAGGTGAACGATCCTTTTTCTTGTATCGCTGTAAAAAAAAACACTGACATCATTTCTAAGCATATGAGAAAGGCCGTACAGACCCTGTCATCGTGGAAATTGCGAAGAAATACGGTGTTTCCCCTCCTCAGGCCATATTAGCGTGGCATGTCAAACGAGGGCGTGCTGTGACTACCAAAAGCACAAATGAGGCGCACCAAAGGGAGAACCACATGGTTAGTACAGTGCCTTTCACCTATTCCGCTGTTTTGGCCGGCTAGTTAACGGGTATTTAATAGCTTCCTGATCTTAGTGATGAGGATATGAAGCATGAATGCTCTCGACTGCAATCTGCGTTTGTGCAAATATCCCAACGAACAGGGAATGGTTTACGGGTGGACTGTGGAACAGCTGGGTTGGGACTAAATCAAGGAGGCAACTGTTTTTGATGTCGACTGTCAACCACGATACTGGTCTGGTTTGTCATTTATGCTCGACATATACATCTATCATGTATGTCGTAAGTTGTCTGGTACTTTCTTGGCTATGAAGGTTCTGTTCCCCTGTTCCCGAAATTGAAACCCCTAGCTATACTAATCGAGCATATGTGCGGATCCTAGCACTTGGAGTCCCGGGCCCGCGAGCGGCTGCCCGTCACTCTACGCTAAGCGTCGTGGTGCGCCCGAGCCAAAGTACACTCCGGCGTCAAAGGTACGCTGATTACTTCGTACAAGTTGAAGTCAGAGCTCGCGCTAGGTACAGAGGGATTAGAGAACAAAGTCTTTCATCAGGCCGAATCTCGTCGACGATCGCAAACAGATAGCTATTGGACATAATCAAGCTTCCGTGAGCTTAATCCTTGGGCGAATCCTACAAACTGACGTTGTGGGCCTCGGCAGGGAAGGAAGGTAGAAGTCCCAATATACGAGAGTTTGGCGCGAGCTGAACTAGGCTGAACTCAAAGAGTCAAAAAGCCACACTCATGCCCTCGGAAACGTGCCCGATGCGCAATCTTCCTTGGAGTTTCAAATCACGTCTATACACTCTGAGCCTCATGGCAGATGCGATAACGATGCGAACTGCTGTGTCGGCACGGTGAATACTAGGATAGCCCGTGTTCCCCCAGAAAAGTTCGTGATCCCAAATGCTGTGACCTACTACCGGCTAATACCCGCCTCTCGCATTTCAGTGTGTTGGTCGAATTCACATTACCCGGACATTTTGGAGCAACGAGAGCTTGTCAATGTATGCCAGTTCCCTCCGCTTACCGCATTGAACCGTCATTGCTGTGAAGCTGAAGGTTCACGAATTTGCCCTTATCGGCATAATTGAGCGGAGCGCCCAACAGGCGCCTTGTGGGTTACGGCAACTTCAACGCGTGCTACAACCTGTTTTCTATTATTGGCTTGGTGTTTGGGCCAGCTTTCACTCGGATTCACAGACAACAGCTAGTCTGTTCTAGTCCACGCGTGGTATTCATCTCTCCTTTTGTCCTTGCTGTGTCTATGAATGTTATATATAAGCGCAACTGCGGGTCGTCGACTCTGCATCTAGAGTTATTGCCCCATCCATGGCCGACAGTACCTTCACCCTCCAGCCCTCCGTTTTTCTGAACGAAAAACACCTTGTGACTGTTCACAACATTCATGCGAACGCGCTGACAGCTAGCACTGTTGAACAGGTCTTCGGGAGCTCACTCGATACAGCACTCGGCCTTGCTCCTATCTACGGCACAAATTGTGTCTTATCCCACCTTGCAATATCTACCCAAAGCGAGGTTCTCATTATCCGGTTCTCGGCACAGAAGAAGAAGAAGAAGAGCAAGAATGCCGCTCAGTTTTCAATCGTGGATCTACTCCTCTCAGCAGTCCTATGCGATAAAGGCCGCGCCTTGTTCAGTTTTGGCATGGATCGCCTGGCATTGTCGCTGTATCTCGACTTGTCGTTGAAGATTGACAACGGGAGAGACCTGCTGTCGATCTCAAACGACAAGCGTCGATCTCTGCAGGCTCTTATGAAGCCCTTGGGTGGGGAGACCGTGTTACGAAAGCAGGAGCTCGAACGTGCTTTCGAACACGATCAAACCCATCGGACTTCACTAGAGCAGGTGGCGACACAGGCATGGCTTGCATTCAAAGCCGGGTTTTTGGAGCACTCGAGCAAAACTCCGGAGAATTATCCGAGACTTGATACGACAGCATTGGCTGAACGCGTACGATTTATTTCGCTTGTCAACGTCATTTCAGGCTGACGTTCAGTCTTGACCCAGCATCTATCCATCTTAGCTAAAACGGCTCGTGATGGTCAGCAAAGGGACGCCTTGAAGCCGACTATCGTCAAGAATGAGGTGAAGGCGGATTTCAGTCCAAAGAAGGGTGGCATTTCGGTCACATCTACACGCTTCCGTACGCGTATAATGCCCTCGTCGAACCAGGTAAGCTTACAATTTCATCTTGCCGGCTTATACATAGATTAACATTGTATCTCAAGCAACTTCACATCGAAATGCTAACGAGCACAGGAGGGCGCAGCAAGCTGATAGGAAAGACAAAGAGGATAGATGGCCGGAAGGCGGTCATCACACTCAACGGTCACGCAAACGGCACGCAGATTGTCTCGGTTCAGACAGTCGGAAAGGAAGACTTGACGAACGCAGATAGCTGCCGGGAGGAAGTTATTCGCCGCGCCCTTCAGCGTTCAATAAGTCTATTCAGCTTCGACCTCGTTCGCCGAATATGGCTTCCCTTGGATGTGAAGCAAGACTCTTCAAAAATGTCTTCCAAGTCACGCAAAATACCCATCACCTTCCCTAAAGACCTCAATCCCTCTCAGCATAAGGCCGTCGACATGATTTTGTCCACGGATGCCAAAGATAGAATCGCGCTTATCCAAGGACCTCCCGGAACTGGGAAGACGACGGTCATTGCTGCTAGTGTTATGAGCATAACATCTTCCCCTGATGATTCAGCGCGGACGCTCTGGATAGGAGCCCAGTCTAATGTTGCGGTCAAGAATATTGCCGAGAAACTAGTTTCTCTTAAATTCCACCAATTCAAGATTCTCGTCTCAAAAGATTTCCATTACGACTGGTAAGTAGGCTGATTATACGCGAACACGGTTCTTACTGGACCTCAGGCACGAACATCTCTATGAGGAGATTGAAAAGCATGTCATCCGGTCCGACAGATTCAACAAAGACCTCACCATGACCAGCGGAACTCTCATTGGAGTCCGAGTTATTCTTTGCACCCTCAGCATGTTTTCCAACGACAAACTCAGCGAGCTCATGCGAATGGTGCCCGTCCAGACGATTATCTTTGACGAGGCCAGTCAGATTGAGGTAGGGGATTACTTGTCTATCCTCCACCGCTTCCGAAGAACTCTCGAAAAACTCGTGTTCATTGGGGACGACAAACAATGTAAGTAATGGACACCGAAGATAGTTTCATACTAATGAACTGTGCATTGCAGTGGCACCTTACGGCTCGGATGAAATCAAAGGGTTGCGGAGTATATTCGAGTTTCCTCATCTTCGCCAACGAGCGCATTTTCTCGACACCCAGTGTGAGTCCCTTGACTCTATCAAAGATTCAATGGGAGAATACTGACCGAAGCAATCAGACCGCATGCCGACGATCATTGGCGGCTTCATATCAAAGCAGATGTACAAAGGAAAACTCAAGAGCAAACACAAAATCACGGATTCATCCGCCTGCTTCTTTGTCGATGTCAATGGGGACGAAACGACGATGGGCCACAGCTGGATGGTAAAACATTTGTCGTTCTCTATTTTGGGATATCTCTGATCTGAACGATACAACACTAGAATGAGAAAGAAAACGCGACAGTGGTCCGGCTTGCCCGTTTCTTTAATGAAAAGAAACAATCGTACCGCATCGTCACTCCGTATGATGGACAGCGTTCGTTAATCGAGAAAACGTTGAAGAGTGCCAAAATTCCATGGGAGAACAAATGCTTCAACGTCGACGCCTTCCAAGGTAAGCATGGACCAGCCCGCCGATAACATTACGAAGCTCATTTACGTGGTCCATAGGTAACGAAGATGATCATATCATCATATCGCTTGTCCGTACGAAGAAGATCGGATTCCTCAAGAACGTCCGGCGTACAAACGTCATGCTAAGCCGGTGCAAGCGGTCCATGGTCATCTGTACAAACCGACCGTTCATCTCCGAGACAGCACGAGACACCCTCCCCGGCAAATTGGCGCGCTCGCTGGGGCAGGACAACTGGCTGAACGAAAAGGACATCCTGAACGGTCGCATGGGTGCATTGACTTCTATCTTGATCTAGGTTTTGCTCTCTGTACTATCCCGCACCGTCGTATTTTTCTACCATCTTAGCACAGTTCTTGTAAAACAATGGACATACATATATGACTCAAACGAATTCTTGAAAATCTTGCTTAAAGCCAACGCAATTCTGGAAAACACGCGATATCATTCAACTCTTCGGATGTACGAATGTACACAGTACATGCAAGATACAGAAGAGGAGAATGGCCGATACAAACGGCGATTGGGATGGTGGCGGGTAAAGGACAGTGTGGGTCGGTATTGCGAGAACAATGTGAGCAGGGTGAATCAGTAACGATGGAGGAGTTGGGGGGTCGAAAACAAAACAACGCAAGCATTGAAGGTCGAAAAATCACAATGATGGTGGTGGTACAAAAATATGCAGAACGTCTGAATGCAAACGGCTGAAATCGCACAACTGAAAATAAACCCGAAACAAAAAAGGCAACACGAAGGAAACGCCAATTTTCTTCTCAGCAAATAAATTGACGTGCAGAGGAAGTGAGACGACGAACAACATTGTGAAGAGCAAAAGGAAGATTGAAGGGCGAAAGACAAGGAACAGCGAAGACTTTGATCGGTACATAAGTGGAACAATGTCCGATAGATGATGTGGCAACAGGGAGAGCTCGTCCGGCAGCGACTGGCGATGCGTTGACGAGGCAAAGACAAGCAAAAGAGCATTTTGGGCCAATGATATCGACAAGCACCATCGCTCGAGATAAGTGAAAGGCCAAAGAGCGAGCGACTGTTAAATAATTGAAAAGATAGATGGGGTAATGGTGAGAGATCATAGTGAGTGTGGGGCGCAGGAAAATACCGTGCGCAGACAATGGAGACTAAGGAGCGTTCGTGCCCTAGAAAGAAGGTAATAGTCAATACAACATGAAGATGGTTTGGTTGGTACTTTGGGTGACTTACCGATGTTAAAACAACGGGTTTGTCAGAAGGAAATGAAATCTAGTAATGATGATGATGCAACGAACGAAGCGAAAGCTGCCGATACGAGCTCTCCAGAAATGCAAAGCAATGAAGTAGATACAAGGAAAAGCGAACCGTTTAAAGAGCGATATGGGGGTAACCGAGTATGCGCAGTAATCCCTATAGTTACAAGTATATCCTTGAGAGAATCCCATGAACAAGCGATGGTGAAGAAGATAGAAAGGGACGGATGGATGGACAGTGTTGAGAACGAAATTTGTGATGGTAGATTTAAGCCAGCTGGAAAGCGCTGCCAAGAGTGCTAGGTCCCGATAAACCGTTGCTTTCACCTGGACTCATGCGGCCCGAAGCCATATTGTTGAAGGAAATGCGCCTCGCAGCATGACGAAGCGAGCGCGATGCAAGTGACCTAGGAACAGATGGGGACAGCGCCGGCGTCTTATTCGGAGAGACACTGCCAGGAGTCATGGGTGAAGCGGGAGGCGATTGAATGCGCTCCAGTCGTGGTATGCGGGACGGTAAAGCAGGGGTCTCCTGGGGACAAGGCAGCTCAGGACCAAACATTGAAGGATTTCGCTGCAGGCTGATACGAGGCCTTGAAGCGGGAGCACCAGCGACGGGAACGGGCTGCGGACGGGACCGCGGAGCAATCCGGGCTTTAGGAAGAGGTTTGGCAGTGGGGGTGTCAGAAACAGATGTGGCAGTCGTGTTTGACGAAAGACTCGAGGTAGACAGATCGTTATCCGTCGAAGTCGCAGAGGATGAAGAATTGAGGGAAACCTTGCTCTTGCTGGCTCCGTGATTACCTGACGGCTCACGAACTCGCGCCTTCTTAGCACGCTTATCGCGAACTTTCTCCTCTTCGTCAGAAGAAACGGACGACAGGGAGGTAGTGCGGGCGTGGGTCTGCATAACTCTGAAAGGGGTCTTGCACGTTGACGGCGTCTTTGGTGAGGTGACTACTGCGGTGCCAGATTTCACACCGAAAGACGGCGCGCGTTTCAGAGTTGAGCGAGTGTTGCGAAGCCCAGAAGAGGCGAACACATTCTCTACTTCTACTTCCATATCATTCGGTGCAGCTGAGGCCAGAATAGTTGAACGACGCAGCGGGGAAGGTCGCGCAGAGCCATATGACGAAGACGATGATGTGGACGCGATAGAGAGTCGGTTGTGTGACGGACTGGGCGAAGTGGGCATCAAAAGGCGGGGAGGCGTGTCAGAGGAGCCAACAGTCGCTCTGCGCGAATTTGGAGACCGAGCATAGTGATGTTGATAATTAGAGCTAGGGAGTGTGCGGTCAGGCCTCTGGAGGCGATAAGATAGACTGAAAGCAACAGGTAAACAACAACACCAGCGACGGAAGACTCAACAGTGGCTTACCGAGCGAGTGTCTCATTTTGTTGAATGTCCTTGTCAAGATTTGCTGCGCTCAGGAAGTCCATGCTCGATTGCCTGTACAGGGGGCGTGGTCTGGGACGAGCCCCGGGTGTGTTTGTGGTTTGCTGAAATATCTCCTCAGCCGGCATGTCAACGTCCTCCTCCTCCTTGAAGCTGCCGTCCTGAAGGCTGTAGGCGCCACCTGACGCGCTTTCATGAACTGTTTCCTCGAGAATGACGTTGTGGTGCTGGCTAAAGGCTGTTTGTCTTCGCTCCTCCTGATCGCGGGAGCGGGCCAGCTCAAGTAGCTTGATACGGGTAGAACGAACGGAGTGCGGCCAGTCATTGTGGCCCTTGGCGGTGGCCACACCACGAGCGACTTTATCAAGGAGATTGGGAGGAGGCACAGACCCTACAAAGGGCGTGATGAGATGAGCGGGGAGGGCATCGAGGGTCTGAAGTAGCACCGTTAGCCATAGAAACGCGTCGAAGAATATATGCGCACCCTTGTTAGCAGAAGAACCTGCTCCGGCTGCCACTCAACGCCAGGCTCCTCCCAGTCGAGGTTCGAGCTGTTCCATGAGTCGGAGCTGTTGCGTTTATTCGGCCCAGGGAGGAGAATATGCGAGGTGACAGGAGAACGCGTGATAGGGGTGCGCGGACCTGCCGAAGATGCGGATGAAGTGGAGAGACGCGATGAACGGGGGATAGGCATTGAGGAGCGGGACAGCACAGGAGAAAGAGGCATATAACGAGCGTCTGACTGAGTTACCAAGAAGCTGGAACAGAAAAGAGATGGTCGGCGACGCGAACGAGAGCGAGAACGTGGGGATTGACGCGCTCCGCGCTTTTGATAGGGATGAGCTGGTCGTCGTTCACGGTCAGGACGAAGGACGCGTTGGGGGAGACAATGCCCCTGCTAGGTGATCGATTACCTAATTCGTCATTTTGCCACCGAAATACACGTGCCTCGCACATTTTTGCACTCCGACTACTTCTTTCCCCCTATGGAAGAATTAAATATAAACATAATTATGCGCCACGAAGACGGGACGATCGTCATCACTATCACATCTACTTGTCCCTTTTCATCACTTTTCATCACAAACACGTTGCACAACGGCATATGCTCCAAGAAGTAGCTTCAAAGGAAGAGTTGTTGAAACTTGAGTTCAAGCGTCTTGCTGCGACTAGCTTGAACGAATCTATCAATGGTCCACATGGACCCATTGCGACCCACGGACTCAAAACCTGAATCGGATCTTGTCAACAATCGACCAGTGGTCCCTTGTATATCCTGTGATACCCAGAGATACCTAGAGAATATCACTGAATATTAACGAGTACCAACCAAAAGCGGGTCAAGCGGCTGACCTAGCTATGGCTACTGCATCCGGGGTGATTATCCTTGACACCGCTTTAACCGCCTTCAGCTAGGACAAACAACCTTGTACAAATATGAGGGACGGCTTTTGTTCCTGGATTTGGGATGTTGAAGGCCCACTGATCTGGACTAACGCACAATAGTCGTCACTAGCATATTTATACACAAAGGACCACGGGTGTGGTAAGAATTCGATGGACCGTGGCTCATTCGTTCTCAAGAACTTTCACAAAAATTCTGCGACCACGTCAGCACGCTTCCAAACACGAGGCTCGGTTAACGAGTGAGATTAGTTCTCATAGTCCAGAGGAGTACATCAGTCAAACCACAACTAGCTTATTAATTCAGCTACTGGGCGGTGTTTGCAGTAACACCGCGCCAGAACCTATCCACGAGACGACGTCAGCCGAAAAGAACAAAAACAGACCAAAAGGCCATCAGCAGCTGAGCTGATGTGACTCACGCGCAACGTTCAATGAGGCCGGGGTCGGTGGTAAACGGCGCAACAAGGGGAGCGCCGGACTCGGTCTCGTTGAACAGCATCTCGAAGTTGCCGGCCGAATATTCTTCCCAGTACGGCGTGATGTTCGTGGGGTCGTACTTTTGGTTCACATTACCATACATGGCCACCGACATGAACGACTGCGCAAAGGCGTTGATGAACGTAGGATTGTTGTACGGAGGCGCAGTGCTGCGATGTAAAAAGTTTAGTACTAGGCACGAGGGGAATGGAAGGCAGAATTGCAAGGTTTAATACGAACCCATTAAAGTAGTATATCACGTCATTGCCGTGATACCCGGGTGGGATAGCGAAGAGTCCCTGGAGAAGTAGTGAGCAGATGGAATCAAAGATAATTGAGGTGAATGCACAAACAAACCTTCCACGATCTCCCGGGGTAGGCAGCCAGTAGATAATAGGTAGGACAGACGAAAATAGCTGCGAAGAAAGCACCCGTAAACGACTGGTTCCATCGGCGGAAGAGTTCACAGCAACGTACAATCGCCCATGATCCAGTTTGCCTGTTCGATAGGGGTGCCCATGTCACTATACAGGTAAGCTGCTTGCTCAACTTGTTCCTGCGTCATATCCGGGAATAGGTTGGCAACGTATTCCGCCGGCATGTACGCCTCGGTCTGGTTCACAAAGATGTTGCCTTCATGGCTATTGCCGACAGCAAAGTACAAATCCTGAAATAAATCAGACGAGCAAGTCAAGCAGCGCTCGCGAAGCAACGCACCCCGTTCAGTTTTCCGCCGGCGATGGTGACACTAGGTCGTTCTTGGATGAATTCACCGTCAACCACAGGAACAAAGACGTAGGTGCCATAGAATGCGCTTGATGAAGCCAGATTATAATTGGCAGTCTGAAGCGTCGTCACATCCGCTTCTCGGAGGCAGAACAGAGTATCAGCAGCTGTCGTACACCCTGTGTAATTCAGCACTTCGCTGTACAGAAGCTGCGGGGGAGTTAGCACCAGCCCAGCGGGAAGACGTTACGAACCCTACTTCGGGAACACGGTCATTGTAGTAATACTGCGATGGCAGGAATGTCGAGCTCGTAATAGCATAATTGAACAAAGGCGGCTGAGTGTTACCACCATTTGCCACCATATGCTGCAGCACGGATCCGGCGCCTGCGCAAATGCGTCATTATCCTCTAATTTTACTAGAAAGTATCCAATATACCTGCTGACTCGCCCCATATCGTGACATGCGCTGCGTTTCCGCCAAACTTGCCGATCTAAGGACTAAGATAAACACCTACGCTTCACCGCGAGAAAACACTGGCTGACATTTTCTTGTACCCACTGAAGAGCATACGTCTGGTCCACTGACCAAAAAAGTCAAAAGAAAAACTCCCTCGCCGAAGAACTTGGCTCACAAAGTCCAGCGTTAACTGCTCCTCCTGCCTTGATCTCGTTACTGGAAAGGAAACCTACAAATAAAAATCGGGTTAGCCCTCAAGAACATCGAGAGGCGGACGTTAAACAACAATGCACCGAAAACACCTAAACGGTACTGCATAACCACTACAACCATCTGGTTGTCGGAGTCAATAAGGAGGTCATTGCCAGGGAACTCTGCCGCGTAGCCTGCTTCGTATCTGTCTGGCCGTCAGACATAATGACAACTCAAGACAGCGAGATTGGTCACCCTCCGCCGTGAATCCAGACCAGCACGGGCAAACCGTCAGTCGTGGTCGGCTCCGCTGGAAGCGTAGCGCCCGGCGTGAATACGCTACATCGTACATCAGCCTCATGCATGCAGCATGCACATATGGCTCACTTCAGGTATAGACAATCCTCTGACGCAGCTGGGGTGGCGTCTGCCCGCTTCCTCAACGGACCAGTAGTGCCAGTGAGGCCATACGGTGGGACAGGTGCGGTATTATTGCCCCCATAGTTGGTCTGGTAGCACATATCCGGGTTGGTGTCGGCCTGCTGGACGCCCGCGACATAGGCTGGGACCTGTGGAGGCATCCATCTCAAGGCACCTTCGATGGGAAAACGGAGTAGTCAGATAAAATGTATAAACAGCAAAGAGGCGAAGATTATTCATACCTGTGGGAGGCGCTGCATAACGTATGCCCAGGAAACTAGTGAGATTATCCGTCGCGTTGTACGTGCCCTGGTACTGCGCATAGCCAAGATCAACGATCGGTGCTTCCACTCTAACCTCCAAGCTGGTGGAAGTGGGAGAAGCGAGAGCGATGGCGCTCCACGCGAGGCAAATCAGGGAACTTCGTCGGTGTGACGAGAACATCGTTCAGTCTTAGCAGGACACAAAGGTAACGCCAACAGCGATGAGTTGGAGGGGGTCGTGGCTTCATATACCTTCTCCAGCGAGCTCAAGAAGCATTCTCCCGTTCTATACCCAGGCTGGCAGAGTGTCGTATGACCATTTGGGCGATGATGATGATGATGAGGAAAGCATGGACGAAACACGGTAAAACCCAGGGGTATTATTGACCGAGGAGACAGGTTGAGGGAACTAAGGGAATCTGACCAGGTAATAGTTCGTATTGCTGGTATTATTAGCAATGTCGGGAACGTGCTGTGAATCCTGGTGAGAAATGGAGGCTAGGATGGTTTTATTGCATCCATGTATCAGAATATTTGAGCAAAGTTCATTCCACCGAGGAACGTTCGTTGAAGTCTATCAGTCTTCCGCGACGCGTGCAGAATGTTGGATTGCAAGACTTCTGAAGGATGTATTTTCGTCTAAGGCGAGCGTTGGAGTGAGATAGACAAATGCCACGTTCGGTGATCCTAGGAAGAAAATGCCATCTTGAGACGTCTTTGTAACGCATGGTCCAAGCCGTTCAGCTGGTATACCTAGCATATATTCGGTTCATCTCATGGGTTCGTAGCAAAAGGTGCGTCGAGACGGCGGCCGCGTCAAGAGGCACGCTGCGAATGTGCTCTGGGTGGATGTGGGCTGGGAACAAGAATTATAGGAACATACGTCATCTGACCTCGACACAAGAGATACTCGTCTCCTTGTATGTTCGAGTAGCGCAATGAAGGCACTCCGAAGATTCGAAGCCACAAGAAAGAACACACTCAAGTGCCATCACCGAAGACTCCAGTGGCAATGAGCGTGATGGAATGGCAGTCGGATACTAGGTATCTCCAGGAATGGACCAACCATGTTTACAAAGTATGGGGAGCAGCGCATGTAGGGTGGACTGGGGAAAGAAAGATTGTTATAAGCTAGTTCTATACAGCGATGGTTCTAAAGCTGAAGATTTGGTTGTGAGCAGTGTAACAACATAATCAATAAAACCAGGCGTACCTCCGGGCAAATGATAAAGGGAGAATGTTTCCAACACCAATCATGCCTCTGCTTCTACCCCACTTGCTGACCGTCTCTCCGCAATTTGTTTCCGCTTCGCTGCGAGCAGGACCGCTGCACGTTCATCCCACTGGTGCATGTAGTATCCGGCGGCGCCGAAAACGCCCATGGCAATCAGGTGGCCACCCAGGTCTAGCAAAACAAGTGGTCAGACCAAGTTCCAACGTCCTTGTAACAGCAACGAAGGAGCGTATGTGCATGGGCATGTTGGTGTACTTACTGTCCGCGAGGTTCCGCTTTTGGATGGCGAGCTGGCCGAAACGCGAAACCAGACCAAACGCTGAGAAGCCAAGAATGCTTCCGACAAGAGTCATCGTTTGTTTTCGGTGAGTGTTAGGCAATGAATGGAATAGTTCAGCGGGGACGTCGACAACGGTATGGATCGGGTGGACTTGGTCGCGCGCGACGGCGGTGAAGCCGCTTCCCAAAGCGGCAATAAGCGCACACAAGTGCAAATACGTTTAGCGCTCGTATTGGTGGGAGATCTCTTCGCGTGCAGCCGCCAGCCCCACGCGACACGCGTTCTAGATAATTCTTGCTGTGTCGCGAGACCCTTTGCAATCCATCTCTCATTTGCTCTGTTCTGTCTGACCCGCATACACCATGTCTGCAGCTGTAGATAACCAAAATCTTGCTCCTCATGATATCCCCGGAACGCAGCAGAAGCTCAACACTGCCAAGGAGAAGAAGGATCAGGGTGATCAAGCGTTCAAGTCGGGAGACGTGAAAGCTGGTAGGTGTCTCGATCTCCTTACGCGTACCCACAGAACGCACTTTTCATACGCGAAGAGATGGTTGACGACACCACGTAGCCCTTAGGTCTTACCATGAAGTGAGCCTCGCGTTGATGTACCGATTGTCTACAGCAAGTCCTAATGACAGTTAGACGCTGATGTACCTTCATGGCATTGACAAGTAAGATACCGCAAAGCTTTTGGTTGCGTAGCTGACCTTATGTATCAAGAAATGCGCTCAAAGCTTTGAGTGGCGGTGCAGCACCAGCACCGGTCGATGCGGCAGCAAGTGCCAAACAAGAACAAGAAAAGACAGAAGTATGCCATGATTCTATTCTGTGCATTTCGCGAATTAACGTGAATTAACCTCATTAACAACTTGTGGAACTCAGGCGGATATCATGATGGAGAAGATCTATGCGAACATGTCAGCCTGCCACATCAAGCAGGAGAACTGGCCACGAGCTATCGACACTGCCGACAAGGTCACATTCTATGACGCTTTAATCTGCTGAAGGGCTAAACTCTGCGAAAGGCGCTCGCCAAGAACGAAGCCAACTACAAGGCGATGTTCCGGAAAGCAAAGGCATTGGGCGAGCAGGGTTTCTTCGAAAAAGCATACAAACTGCTTGATGATATTAAGACCAAAAGTTCTGCAGGTACATCCTTACTTTGTGCATGCTATTCAATGCAAGCTCCTGAACGTGAGTTCCAGATGCACCTATGGCTGATGCGGAGCTCAATCGCCTGCGTGCCATCGACAAGGAGAAGCAGAAGGTCAGCGATAAGAAGCTGCGTGGTGAGTGACCATACAATCACGTCTCTGCACGCTTCGACTCTAAATTAATTTTGTCCAGGATTCTTGTCTCGGGACAAGAAGGAAACCTCGCCGGCATCATGATCAATCTTCAAGCTTCAGCATAACCCAAGGATCTGCCCAGCGATGGCTCTTGATCCCTATCTGGCCATACTTTTGGCACCACATGCGGTGATCGTAGACCTGCAATTGCACTACTACTTGTACATTACGTTGACGTTCTTATATCTTGCGATGGGGTCGTATACTACCATGTCCTACATATATGCTCTCTTGCACCGTGAATTTCACGAGGAAACTGCCACCTATCGTTCCCGGATCCCGAGTGTGACCGTCCAATGAGCACTCTTGGTGTGGACGCCGGATGACGCGAAAGCCGTTGATTACCGGCATCTGGGGATATAGACTTTTAGCGCGTGAGAGCAGGAAGTGCCGAAGCCGCTGCACAAGCTCTGCATCGCACATGCAACCAACTGTCCCCATGCCCCAGGCGTCACTGTCTTTCCACTGTCTCTGCCACTTGAGCCATCTGTCATTGCTCTACATGTGGACTCAGCCATGCGCGGACAATGCTATTAGTAGCTTGTACTCAGCCTTCGACAGTAAGTACACACCTCAATCCTTCCCAGTATTCCCGGGCACTGGCGGCCACTTTGCAACCTCCCATGACAGAGTGACGCTGGGTGACCACAAGCCCTATGGCGCTCAATGCTTGGAGGGGATGAATTGCCACGCCGGGACGCTCTGGTTGGGAAGACATAAGTAAAACACTGCTAACTTGGGCCGCAGCAGAACCTCCATCCTTGACGGTTTGAGGTCACTCGTCAAGCTTCAAAATGCTGCGCTCTGAAACCTTCACGAAGCCAGTTCAAGGCACCATTGGTACGTGTAACACATATTGGCTAACTTTCCATGTGGTGACAGCGCATTTTTGCAGGTCGTAGCAGGCAGTCTGACATAACATGATCAATAGCACGCCTAGCATCGCTGCACCCCTCGCCTGCACCCATCTGCACTCCCGCTGGAGTTGAGTAAACCATTGTGGGGCCTGCATAAATGGACGTGGTAGCATTCAAGTCAGTGTCAGGCTTTGATTCTGACCACTTGCCTCCCTGTCACTCATTGTTGACTGTGCCCGAACGAGCATGCCGTGAGTGATGCAGGCTGGAGGAAGCTCCATGGCATGATCGGCTGTTTGTGAGAGCACGGCGCAGCTTAGTGCAGGGGTGGTGGGGATCAAATCACAATCACAGGAAATAAGAACTGACATCTCATTCACATTCGTAGGCAATACTCTGCACTCCATGACCTGCAACCATCTGTACTTACGCTACAAAACCTGCACTCGCCCACAATCAACGGATTGCCACGCACATGCATGCTCAACCGCCTACTCTTGCACCTCACCCACCTGCACCCACCTGCACTCGCCTGCACTCGCCTGCACTCACCTGCACTCGCCTGCACTCACCTGCACTCACCTGCACCCCGAGACCTCACAAACCAACCCTGCCATTCCTTCCCTGTACCCCCTCCACCCACATGGCCTGTATTCCTGTACATGCTTACCCACCACCTCCAGTCAGGTCAGTGCACCAAACTGCACACTTGTGCGAAGTGAGCGTTGCACCAAAACCTGTCCCCTGAGAAGGTGCATCCGTTGCACCAGCCCGTCATTTGGTGGCTGTGCTCCCTTGGTGCACCAATCGTGGCCCCATTCTCGGTCGCTATATGTGTTGAATGCTACAGCTCATCCCGCGCGGAGAACAACAACAGCGAGCCCATCACCATATCACATATGCAGCCGCACTGACTAACACCAGAGTACTATTGACCCAGGGGTACGAGTAATCTTATGTCAGAATAACTCCTCCAAGGTGATCTCTGGGGCGAAGATTCAGGCGCCTAAGGCAACACGCTTTCGATGCGCTGATCCTTGCTGGTGCACCACTCGCGGTGGCTATGATCTATCGTGAGTCCTCCGATGCAGTCATTACTACGCTGGTGCACCACTCATCCGCGTCTGCCTGCTGGTGCACCATTCCATCGCTCCGCGTCTGCGGATTGGTGCACCACCCCATCACTCCGCGTCTGGGCGTTGGTGCACCACTCCATCACTCTGCGTCTGCGGACTGGTGCACCACTCCATCACTCCGCGTCTGCGCTGGTACACCACTCCATCCCTCTGTGTTTTCATGCCGGTGCACCATTTCGCCGTCGGTGGTAAGTCGATGGCTCTAGTAGTTGCGTTCTTGGCGGCGCCTCTCTTGAATCATTTTCATCCGTAATATTGGTATGTCAGCTCTCCTTCGTGGCTGTGATGTCCAGCGATTTGGTGCACACTTATTTGACATCTTACGCTCAAATCTTTGTTTCTACAGCTCATATCCCTCCTTGACATCATATCTACTCAGGCACCGAGCCGAATGATATATCACGGTATATCATTCGCAAATAGTTTGTATGAAGGCTAATCTACAGTCTCTATAGGTGCAGTAGCAGTGCTCAGCTCTGATACGGGGCCTTTCCAGCGGTCCACAAAGCGACCGGCAAGACTTCGTCGGAGAGCAGCTTGTCTTATGGCATAAGCGCGGCTCCCTTCTTGGTCCACGTCCGTCCTATCAAGCTGGGACGACGCGTATTTATCCCACATGCTAGCTTGCCACGAGAAGTAGGATATGGTGCGGCGCATCTCCTCCAATAACAGTTCCACTTCCTCACTCCACCGTTTAGTCCTTGCCCTAGCTTTGCACCATTCGGTGCGTATTCCTTGGCAGAGGGTAAGCAGGTGTGAAGAACCCCCAAAACAATGACTTACTATCATGCAGTGATTCGTCGCTACCATCTTCAAGCGCGCTCGATGCGATCCATATCCAAGATATCCTCCGACTGCCTTCCGCTTCCCCTCCCTCCTTCTCTGGCATCGCTCGGATATCCTGGTCTCGAAGGACACGTAATCCATGGGGTAGTGCGGGTTTTCGAAGGAGGGGTTTCAAACGTGATAGGGCTCTATGAGCGGCACGGTACGTATCTCTGTGTCCATCAGTCTTCGCTTCGACGCCCTTGATGGTGCTCAATGCACGCGTATTTGATGTCTGCCCACGTAGGTGCCGGTCCTTGTACTTGAAAAGGTACGATCTATATTGCAAGAGCTGTCGAATATCGCTGAGCGCGTCCATGGCCTGCGCCGTTCGTAGATCCCATTCGATCTCTCGTAGCTTATCGCTACAAGCAGCTCTGGCCGGGAGCTCAGACGGTAACCACAGGGTAAACTTCTCCGGAGCGTCGCTGCGAGACGAGTCGGATAATGCGCGTTGCATGACCACGGCTGGGATATGGATGGCTTGGGATTTTACCCAATTATCGATGCGAATGCGGAGAGTATTGGCACGGTTCTGTACATTAACCTTGTCATCTACAGAGTTGAGACCCACAGCATCTTTTGCTGAGAGTAAACGACGCTGTTGAGCTTCAATATCGATACCTGCAGCAATCAGTGCGCCTGGGGTGATGTCTGAGTGAATGAGGGGGGAGCCTCGACTAATTTCCTTGGCCTCCCGTTTTGCAAGCGCAAGACGAACGTCAAGGAGAGTTAGGTCTAAGTTTCGATGAGCAAACGTAGAATTGCAAAAAGACATGACACTCACTTTGAGTTCTGCTTTCGTACGGGTTTGGATCAGTCTGAGTGATTTCCCATGACTCGACCTCTCGACGCCATTCTGAGATGGTTTCTGCGGATACTCGTTGCTCCATGTCCTCTAGATCACCTGTGTGCCAGCTCCTTTGAGTGATGGCCCTCGTAAGTTTTCTACCCAGTGTCTCGCCCAGACCGACGATCTTCTTCCAGTTCCAGTCGCCGAAGTGATCGTCGAGGGTGTCTTTACGATGCCCAGGGCCCATTTCCTTGATGCTTGTGGCGACAGGGTTGATATTGGCCCAGCCACGTTCAGGGGCTTCACCGTCTGTCATCCCCACGCCGACAGTGTAGTGAAAGGAAAAACGAGTGCGGCAAGAAGAAATGTGGGCCGGCAAATGGAATTTTGGTACCAAGAAATGAAACGTGCGAGCAAACATCTCAAAGGCAATGTGGGAGGGTAATTTCTGGACTCGCTTGCCCAAATTCTTGTGCCATTGACAACATATATCATACGAAATGTTGAATACGCGAAGCCGAGTATCCCTTAGAGCTGAAAAAAGGAGGTAGTCCATGTTGATATATCTGCGTTCGCGTGAATAATGAATAAAAAAAGAGTCCACATTAGACATACCGTTCACCCTTCTGCAGATCACCTACGCCACCTGGTAATTTCATATTATGTCGGGCACAGTCGATGGTGCCGACGCCAGTCGCCGCCAGGCCTTGAGATGCCTTGGTGTTGGCCATAGAAACGGCCTTGTGGCTGGAGCAGGAACTCCGCTACCATCTTCTGTTATAGTGCGCCGTATGTATTAAGAATATATAAGCATAACTTACCGCTTGCGCAAGATCTGGCTCGCTTGAAAGCCAGCTCTTGTACGGCCCTTCTTTAACCACATAAGCCAGCCCATCTCCAAGGCTGGGGTCTGATTCCTCTGACGAAACCAAACGGCGTTTCAGGCGGAAGTTGGCGTCTATTGCGACGAAGCACGCGTACAGCCACCTAAAATCGATGAGTCACCGCGGTCTGGTATCGCGCACATGCTTACGATTTTAGTGGCGACGCTTGATCCCAGTTGTCTGGAAGGTTTTTTCCGGGATGAGGGCATGCAGGACACTCTAATGCGCACGATCGTTCGGGCGTTGCATCTATGTCAGCTTCAACGTGACCTCGACCAGCACGTTTAAGCATCTTGAGATGTCTCCATTGTCGCATAATACGCATGAACGCCTCGTATCGATCCTGCAACCCTCAGCGGCTAGTTTGTATTATAGGTTAGGAAATTTAACTTACTTTTGGCTGTTTACCTTCAACGGTATTATCTGTAAGACGAGCGAGACTTTGATAAAACTCATACGAAGAAGATTTAGACTCGAGGGAGAGGATATGAAATTGTTCAAGAACTTCAAAAGTAGCTGCGGTCTTCGGCTCATCAACCGTCGCTGGAAACCACCTGGCCCGAAGAAGTTGTTCCATTTCTCCAGTAATGGACTCGCAGTCGCAGTAGTCAACACCAACTTGATGAATACCATTGACGTGAACCACCACAAAATCGTCCTTGAGAGCGGCTTTCGGCTTCATGCAGCGAGTCCCGGGAGGATGTCCGAGCTGAACACGCAAGCCGAGCGTCCGGAGTGATGTCTGTTCAAAGTATGCGCCATTCCACTTCTAGAGTAAAGGCAGCCAATTAGATATCAGGAAATCAAGCCATCATTAAGAAGATCAAGAACCTTAACACGGTGAAGAGGTGCCTCAGTATGCTTCTGAACCATGCAAGAATCGCAGTACATTATACCGCCATGGCAGTCTATACAGCGGTAGTTCGGCACTCCGACGCCACATCGTGGACAGTGTGCATCGCCGATATGATCGCCGCGTCCATCGTGTCGGATAAGCTCTTGTAAAAACAACGAACGAAACGGCTTCCATTTCTTCATGGGAGACTTCTAAATACAAGCTCAACATGCTGATCTGCGGCGGAGCGAAGGCATTACTTACGATAACGCGCGCTCGTGTAGGTCCTTCCGGCCTATCAGCTGGCCCTTCCTCGAGGGAGGGTCCCACGCTGTCACAGTTGTCATCAAAGCTGGACGGAGGAGGGTCGATAATGGGTTCAGAAATCTCGTTGCTGGGCGTCTCTGAGGGGGGAGGTGCACTCGTGGTAGGAGGGACTGCTGTCCGCGATTCTGTGAAGGAGAACTGACTACCTCCTTGAGCCACAGACGTAAAAGTACGCATGGATGTCTGTTGCGCCAAAGGAGCTGCGGGGATCAAAGAGGATTCTCCTCTTCTAACAGAAGCTCGGTGTCTTCGGGAGAACATGTTTGATAAGGACAACTTCGGCGGCGTCTTATCACCTAGAAAATTTGATGTATCTGCCATATTTAGACTTGATATAAGGAAAAACATACCTAAGTCCGACCCACCAAGACATCGATCTCGGAGAGTCAGTATAGACGACGTGCGAACACAAAGCTCCCCAAGCGTATAGGAAGAGGTCAGAACTCGGCGATATGAGCATAGATAATGAGATTTCATGTAATCAGGGGGAACAAGGGAACGCTCCCGCAGGAGCGTCAAAATATCCCGAGGAGTTGAAGAACAGGCGACATCTAAGCACTTCATTAGTTATTTAGTTCATAGCGCGAGTCTTTGGTCTTTCTTACCCAGACGTACAGTCCCTTGTGCAGTATTGCCAACATAGACTGGGAAAATATCCTGCATATCTGCTGTGCGGCTGTCTGTGTGTGCTCTCAGAGCGTGGTGAGCTATCAAGGCCGTTCTTTGAACAAGTGAGAGAGGGCAAGGTTGTTAAGATCTTGAATCAGGAAAGCGTACTTAGGACGCTCACTCCGGGGCGTCTAAAAGCCAGGTTTGGAAGGACGACAGAAGTATGGGTGGGTATTTGAAATTCTTTAATTATACCAGCGTGCTTCGACTCGACCACGTTTTGATGAAAGGCATGAGTACACTGGTGCACCATCTAGAGCAATTTCGCTGGTGCACCGCGGTTCTTGATGACTGGTGCACCAAATTATGTTCAGCTGGTGCACCAGCATCTCTACTCCGTTAGCACATATAATGACGCTAAGCTCAAAGACTGCCCATCCATCCCTCTCCTCTCTCCTTCCTTTGCTCACATCCCTCGCTCCCCTTGATTACCTTAGCGTGCGCTCCATCACTCGTCCTGAATTCCCCTGGCGTGACCATGCAGGCCGACTCATCCTCCTCGACCCCCTCTGTGGCTTTCTCTCATGCGAACGCTACCGCGGCCCGTCAAGGAGTCAATGGTTTGTCCATCCTCTTTCAATGAGATGACCGTACTAATGCACGGATTGATTGTGTATCAGACGTCCTGGAGCTGTTACGCTCGATGAATCTCACCGATGATGTCAAGTTGCAGGTTGCTGGTTGTCTCAACAACGAGGTGAGTTCATGTGTTTATCCTAGCTTCAATAAAAGCTTATCCTTATCACTTGTACCGCCTAAAGGTCTCTACAGATACCCACCTCGCTCGAACTCCTGACTCCCTCCCCGATCTTATAGAGTACCACGGTTCTCCCATCTCTTTGAGCGACGGGTCTATCGACGAAGGTATGCCTGATTTTTTGTAGTTGATTTCATGCGCTAACTTCTGTTAATACCTACTTGTAGGCACTCTCGATGATGCCGTCTCTGACGCGGAGGGACTCGAAGCTCCCCCGGACTCAACTACCGATGAGGAGTCGCCAGTGGCAGGCATCGCTGCCACTACCGTGCTGCATGCGGCTGCTCCTGCTCCCGTGGCTGCAGTTGCTCCTGCTCCTGTGGCTGCAGTTGCTCCTGCTCCCGTGGCTGCGGTTTCTCCCGCACCTGCTGCTTTGCAGTTTCTGCTCGCTCCTCCGTTGCCTACGCCCGAATCAGTGGCAGCCTTGGAGGCTGGCCTTGTACCTTCTCTGGAGCCCGGTTCCACTCCGGGGATAGCAGCCGATGGGCTTCCCATGCTGAGCCCTACTCTGGCTGAGCTCGTGATGCCTCAGTGGGGTGGCAAGCGCATTGCTCCCGGTGTGGTGATCCCAGCTGGGCTCCTCCCGGCCGGCCATCGTGAGGTTTACCTCCCCGAAGGTGTGCTCGTTATCCCTGGAAATGATGTGCCGGCTCCCTACTACGTGGTCACAGTTGGGCGTCTTGTAGGGCTTATTGCAAGCTGGTATGTTTAGTTTAGCATTGATCGTCGGTTGCATAGATACTAACGCTTTCGTTTAGGAGCAGGGCTGCGCCGCTTGTCAATGGAGTGCACTGTGTTACTTTCCATAGAATTGACAACCTTGCATTTGGCCTTCAGCTAGTAGCGGGAGCCGTTCGTTCAGGAACAGGCATTATGATGCCGTGATCTTTGCAGCACGTTTCTTTGTTACCTTTTCTTGTTAACTTCTTGCGCATTTTTCCTACCTGATGTCACCTTGATCGGAGTCTTGTGCGACGCGTGTTCGATTTATGGTTGGAGTCCATCTATGCCTTATCTATTTGTGATCTGTATACTATCTATTTGCGATCTATATGCTATCTATTTGCTATCTGTTAACGTTATCTATACATACTGTGTATATTATCGATATCTTCATTGTGGTTTAGAACCAAATAGAATCTGCTGCATTGATGTTCTCCGTTATGTCCCAGTTCTGTTATGTCCCAGTCATGCGATAAAATGATCATGCCTGAGAAGGCTTTAGTTTCAGACGAATTAACAAAGGTTATCGGTATCTAAGGCCAAGCATGTACTTTAGTTATGTGAAAGGACAAGTTTTTATCAGCCCGAGAGTTGTGAGACTGCCTGCCAGTAAGCATGTAGCCATGTCCGTGTAAGCTTCAAGGAAATACAATTTAGATACGAAGATACATGCAGAGAGCGCACTCATGTTTTCTGTGTTGTTGGCCAGGTCATGTGTAGTATACAAGGACGTGCTTGACTCGCGAATTATCAACATGTCACTCAGTGACTATTCTTCATCGAGCAAGTGCTTGATCAAGTGCGATTGCTTGCTCTGCATTACTATGAATTCGCCTCCTGTCTGATGTCGACTACGGGTTGTCGACAAAAATGTAACTAATACTTTGCAAGGTTACGCACAGGTTCCTAAGAGGGTCAGGCTGAGAAGGTTCTTATACTTTCCCTTCCCTAATTACTCAATCGTTGAAGACTATTGCATGGAGTACCCAAACCAGACACGAGCTGAAATGAAAGGGTGCCAAGGAGTACTAGTATGAGGAATAGTTTAAAAATGCGCTAATGCGCATGCATGATCCCTCGCGGCTCGCTCACCCAATACGAGAATCATGAATGATTTGACTAGTGATGTTAAATTAGATTACAATATGAAGAGGTCGCAAATTTAAGCACGCCTACATTGCTACTGGATTGATTCAGTGTTTTATAGGCCTTCTGAGTATGAAGCGGTCTCAAACGCGCCTACATTACTACTAGATCGATTCAGTCTTTTATAGACCTTCTGAGGGATTGAAAGCATGCCATGGCTATGATTTTGTTACAAACAACCAACTCGAAAGATGCTTTGAAAACGTACAGGAGTACTGATATTAGTAGTCTCATGGAACACGATCATGCTTTATTTGCAGAGTACAATGTTAACACAATGTAGCCAAGTTTAACAAAAAGTAAATAAACCGATTTGGCCATATCAATCCAAAAACGGACTCTAAGCATGACCTCAGGAATGTGGTTGGTATATGGTTATAATGTCTACGTTACGGTCGAACTTGAAGCTTGAAGCTTGAAGATCCATATCGTGGCCTTGTCGTGGCCCTAATATTGCTTTGAGTACACCTTGACGCAAATAATTCACACACTTCTATCGTTGACGTCGTATTCGACAGATTGAAGTACGTGCATTCAGTACTTGTGATAGGAATAATTTATGATAGGTCTACCAACGAGAACCCGTCTCGTCCCCACCTTGATCCCCACTGGCATATAAATCTTCATCAGAGCTTGGCCTATCTAGCAATACGTTCAAGCGTTCAGTTCTGCTATGGAGTTTGCAGTGAACACAGTACTAGTCTCAAGACACTTACAGATGCATCTCGCAAACTCAAGCTTGTCAAGGCTCTAGCTTTCGGCTTGTTATATCTGGGCGATGGTGCGCACATTTTAAAGTTTACTATTGTGATTGACCAGGACCACTGACGCGATCATACTTCGAACAACGAGGAGGAGGATCCACACTTGGAGATCACGGAAAGGGTCACACCACGCTTCGATGATTCGCCTCGCTCAACGCCTTTGACAACAACGTCCACGATGAACTATCGTGCATGCCACACCCACCGCAGTCGCCCATACCCGAAATTCCTGCTTGCTCCGTCTGCTCTTGAGCAAAATAAATACTCATCAATGCCCACCGATGAACTCCTTTCGAAGTTGAGACTCGGGCGTATGGACTGGTCAGCTATCGAGGTACGTTTCATTCAGCAAGTCGTGGCACAATGAAATTGATTGTCAGAGTTGTAGGACATTGCCTCGCCTCAAATCGACGAAAAGCTCAGACCCAACCTGCCCCTCCATGACCAAGACAGCGACCTTATTGATGACATTGTCCGTAGCGTACGTACTGACATATGCCATTCAAGTTATGGTACCTTCTTCAATCTGAGCCCCCCTTTCAGACGTCCATTAGGGTACCCGTCCTTGTCCACTATGCCAAGGGGTGGCCCGTCAAAATCTTCATTGCCCGATATCTACACGAGAACCGGATGCGCGTTCACTCTGCAGAGCATAAGGACTTTATGGGTCACTTCCTCGCCAACGTTTGCACCAGAAACCTGTTGCGGTACCGTAACCACCTGAAGGACGTTGGTATATCAAAGCGCGATGACATTTCTACGTTGAGGTCGCTCACAGAATCAGGGGTGGAGACATATGAGAAGTGGAAGGACACTGTATGCATGTCTCCCTTGGAATGGGAGGTACTTATCTCTGCTGCGGTGACTTCGGGATAGGCTAGTAAACTTGACTCAATCTCAGGTTTGCCATTCGTGTATGTGACATATGGCCTTATGGCAATCTTATCTCAACTATGGCTAGATGTCGTTGCTTCAGGTTGGAGTCAAATGCACGAAATATCGACTTAGACGACTTTAGGTATATGTATCCATAACAGTACTAGTGTTGCGTGAAATCATGACTTTGCCCTAGTATCGCGTTAAGTTCATGACTGAATACTACATCAATAAAGGTACACTGCTACAAGCCTTCTTAGCGTGTCCAAGTCTTACCGCTTGTTTTGTCAGTATGTTTTATCGGAGCTCTCGGGCTTAATTATTTCATTGGGCGTCAGAATGCTATATACAACTCTCAAGTTGTTTGTGTTATTGTCCTATCTTTGGAGTACAGTCAGGACAAGCGCACGGACAGACCGTGTGAAGTTACCGTCAGAACTGGATCTAAGATTTTGCCCCCGCGGTGACCTCACTACGCAGCTTGAACCAGAAGCGAACTACACCTAGATGCGAATCAGAACCAGTAACAAACTCCCAACGAAGCCTCGGCGACTTTCTGGCTTCGATCTATGCACACTTAGAGCCGTTCACACAGAAGCCGAACAAGGTACTTGCATCAGACATGCATCAAGCGCTTGCAATGCTTCACTAACGGTTTGCTGACTCACATGTTACGCACACGAGACGTTGTCACACCTGGGAATGATACTCGCAGAGGTATGTCTTAATACCACTCTTAGGCCTATGTCTTCTCCTTTGCCATGCACGCCCAGCGGCTCCTAGCATCTAGGAGACTGTCAAGGTGGCCTTCTCTTACGTGCACACTCGGCCGCTCCTGACGTCTCTTCAACCATCAAAGCGGCCTTCGCTTGCCTGGCAGTAGATCAAGCATGAGGTGCACACCTCTTTGACCTAAGAAGGTTATTTCATCGTCAAATGGCTGAGTAGAGTCTGACTTTTGGTGCACCATCCTTGCCTGAATCTTGTTGACTCAGATCCAACGCGCTCTAGGTCGTTGGTTTGTTATGAAAGGCAAGTCCAAGCCCAATTACGCGTGAGATTATATGTTTGTTGAACGCATCCATGACACTCTCAAAAGCGTCGGTGTACCAGCCAGCCCCTCAAGTTGGTGTACCAGCTGTCCGTTCACCGTCTTTGCACCAGCCCTTCATTCTACGCTACGCGTCAAACCTGTTTATTTCTGATACCTGCCCCGTCGTTGTCTCCCTTCAAACTTGAAGCCTCACTTGCCGTTCCTCCCTACTAGAACCACTCGTTGACCGCTTTTCTTCTACTATGCCGAAGGATCCTACCAAACCGAAAAAACCTACGAAGGCCCAGAAGGTCAAGGCCAACATTGATATAGTGAGTATCTCTTCATATCTCATTCGTGGGTGCAGATCGCTGACGTTGTCGTCAGGAAGTCGAGTTCTTCGTTCAAGCGGCTCACTTACGAAACAAGATCACCCTAGAGAAGCAGAGCGCGTTGGTCTCCACCGGCACCAGAGTCAGCGAACGGGGAGAGTGGAGTACTGAGCAGAGGTTGTTTCTCGATGGTCATGCTCCTGACCTCACTAAGCGTATGCCGGACAAGAACTACACCAACTTCTGGTCGCCGATATACGCGAAGTTTCATACCAACTGGTCCGAACAGCAGTTTCTCTTTCCAGAACTCCCCAAGGACGCTATTCTTACCAAATTTCAAGAAGCTGCTCTGAATCGAGGTGTTGAACTTCGGCGCAATGTAAGTGGTGGTCTTTATTTTGGTAGCATTGATACTTATACTACATAGCAAATCTACAACCATATTCGCTGGCTTGCTCGGAATGCCTTGGCATCCAAACCTCGCGCTGTACTAGCAGGCAGCACTGCTAGGCATCTCAACAGGATGATTAAACAGAACAGCCGCGTCAGCAAAGACTGGGAGATGTTCTGGAGGCTCAAGCGCCCGGATCTCGAAGTCGATTTGCAAGCACGTCTCGACGCTCTGGGTCATAAACCGAGTGGCGCTGAGATCTTGGCAGCTAGCAAGGCAGCAGCCGAAAAGGGTCTTGCATCGGCGTCTGCGGAGCTTCTTCAGGAGATCGCGGAGAACAAGGCGAAGCAGAAGGAGATACTCACAGGTGAGCTACCAGATAATGACCCCCTCTTCGTCGAGATGGTCAGATCGTGAGTTGTATTTTTGTTTTTGCCATTATCAGTATCTCATCTTCATCAGCAACGTACGAACGATCGTACCATCACTGCAAGCTATCTTAGACTATATTTCCTCAACAACCGTGGGTGGAGAATCAAAGGGCGTCTGCTTCTCTCTTGTTGTAGGCTGCTATGACCCTGTCACTGGGGAGCCGTCGGTTGGCAAGTAAGTAAAAGTCAAGTGCCTGCCGTGATGCGAGAACTGACCTCTTGTCGTAGCGTTCACGTTGGCCTGGACCCTCTTGGTCAGAGCTTCGAACATATTTCGCCGGAGTGGAAGCAGATGCGGGAGGCCTACAAGGTATTCATGAAGACTGCTGCACGTATGTATGTTTACTGCACACCTGAAATCTTGTCTAACATTTGATCAGCCCCGTTCAAGGGCCCGATAGTCATCCCTGAAAACATAGGCGATGACGTAGACGAGGGGGAGGAGGACAGCGAAGGCGCGACAGGGGAATGTGGAAGCGCCGTGCTCTCTCTTCACGAGGATGGTCTTTATAAGATGGACGTCGGTGAGTGGTGCACCAGCTGCTGCATCGCGCAACATGAACTGAACCCTGTTTGCTGAGTAGCAGAAGATCCTTTGCCCGGCTCTGCCGTTGCGGGTGGTGTACCAGACAATGTTGGCGCATCAGTCGTCATCGGTGCACCGGTGAATGTTGGTGCACCAGACTCCTTCGGAGGATCAGACAGCGCTAGTTCAGACGGCGCTGGTGCACCGGAGAATGTTCGTGCACCAGACTCCTTCGGAGGATCAGACGGCGCTGGTTCAGACGGCGCTGGTGCACCGTGGAACGTCGTTGCATCAGATGGCGTTGGTGCGTCGAATGCCTTTTGTGGGTCAGAGATCACTGTATCACCTGGTGTCTTCGGCGGATCGCATGCTGTTAGTGCACCAGAATATGCGAGCGTGCCGGATGCTCTTGGTGCACCAAACGCTGTTGGTGCACCAGACTCCACACAGTCCGGAGACCTTGGTACGCGTTCATATTTACCTTTCCAATCGGCTTTTCGGTGCTTATACTACGTTGATGCAGCGGAATTGGCTATGTTCAACATGAGGAACCACCATCAAGGCCAAGCTAATGCTATGAACGACGTTGATATGGTCTACGGTTCGTCGTGCGCGCAACAGTCTAACCTTTCCCTCAACTGAGAAACATCCCAGACTCGACCTTCGATACGTTGCCCAACGACGCCTCCGACTTGCAAAACACTCAGGGTGTCTACGACATCTTTGGTTTCGACACATCGGACATCTGGCAGTGGCAGTCCAGTCAAACAACCGGTCAAGAGAATTCCTTGGGAAATGTCGGCCCCACGTCCCACCTAGCTTCGAACGCCATTGTCCCCGATCCTTTTCAAGAATTTTCCGGCTACGCCTCATCTCAATATCCGGTCTCACATGAGCGGGGTACAGTGTGCCAAAACGACTTCGTGCCGTATAACACACCTCAGAATCAGTCTCTTGCCTTCAACGTAGCTGCGGCGCCGGCTTCATTCAACATATCCCAGAACACTCCTCCTGTCTTAAACTCGCCTGTCGGCTCTGGTGTGCCATCGACGCCTAACTCATATTTCCATGGCATGACATCCTCGACCTACGCCTCGTCCAATGGCCCACTTTATGGTGGATCGTCTCAGGCCGGCGTCTTGCCTGGTTCTTCACTTTCTGGAGCTCAATATCTTGCCAACACTAACGTCTCCAGTCCAACCCCCGGTGCACTTGCTTCATCTAGTGCACCGCTAGGCACGCTTTCTTCTCCTCACACTTTGCCCTCTACAGCACAGGCAACATATAGTCCGCCATCGCCATCCCCTCCGGTGGTGCCTGAACATCGGAATCTTGACACTTTTGTTACACTCCTGAACGGCGTTCAAATGCGTTCAGCCAATCTTCCTTCTGCGGCACCTTCTGCTGTCTCGCCTATAGCATCCCCCGTGGCATTCACACCAGTATCTTCGGCGTTGCATGTACTGCCATCGGATGCCAACACTCCCCCCAGCACCGGCCAAGCCTCCGTCGCCAACGTTCATCTACAGCAGCAGGCGTTTTCTCTGGCCTCTGTCCCGCACCCCGCGTCCTCCCCACCTGCAGCCGATGTTCCTACGCAGCGGCTGGTGTCTTCTCCACACCCCATGATACAGACACCAGGGACGGAGACACAGCATCTTCCCGATATCTCCAACGTAGGATTGGCACCGAGTCGTCCGCAACGCAACCGTAATAAGGAATACAACCCCAGAAAGGCTGATCAAGCGATCGGCGGCCCGTGCATTACAGCTGATAAGGAGAACATTAAGCCAGACCCTCCGTGTCCGAAGAAGAGGAGTCGTGCCCAAAAGTAAGTATCACTTATACTTACCGCTGACTCAGACTGACATGTCTCTCATCTTAGAATTTCAAGCGGGTGATGTTACTGATATCTATCTCGTTAATTTAGCACCGAACGCGATTATCTAGCCTGTACTTGACTGGCATTATCTACGTGGTTTATCGAAATAGTAGATATGATTCGATTGTCTTTGTAGTGATACTTCGTAACGAAAAGAGTATTTGACTTATTGGGTGATAAGTGCAAACAGCTCTTGTAGCAAAAGTGCCATATCAAAGACAGGATATGTGTTCATGCCAAAAATGATTGGGCGTTCGCGCTTTTGTGTACTTGTTTTCTGTTTGTACGCGCTGTATTACTAGCGTGGCGGGGTGGCTGCAATAAAATATGCACAAAAAGGCTATCTAGTACTCATCACGAACTTTGGTAAGCTTTACGATACGACGTGATATTTTACCAGAACCCTACTTTATCAACGTGCTCATGTCAAAATCTGCTGAGTATTCATCACAAACTTGACCTAGATACACGGTACGAAGAGTACTAGCCATTCTACTAAAGCCCTACTTCACCAAAGATGATGGATGTGATCCCGTCAATTTCACCACAGGACAGATGAAGTCATCTAACATTAAGAAATGTACTGCCCTGGCGATGAGAAAGGACTTTAAAAAAGGATAGAAGACTGGATAGACTCACTCGAGTGTGGAACTGATGTGATAGCTGTTTCGAGCCTATAAGAACACCATACAGAATTACTTAGTGTGAGCTCAACTCTCGCAAGGTACCAAGAAAAGTCTTACTGCCTGTCGTGCTATATCGTCGTGTCAATACCATTTTTCAGGTGGTCGAAAAGAGGGATGCTCACCCTATGAAAAGCTTCGCCTCTGCAGAACTGCGTACGCTGGCCTTCAACCGGCAGTGCTGGTCCATGTATCTTCTCTAAAGTGCTGCGCAACTCTACAGTACACCAGCAGTGCACGGTGAGCGAGCAATGAACCGCCAATGAGTAAAACATGAAACATACCGCACATTTCTCGGAACTGAAGACGGAGGACGGAAAAGGGGGAAAGGGGGGAGGGAGGGGGAGGGAAACAAGCGAGACGGAGTATCCTAGCACTATCTTTAACCGAGACCCAGCGCCCCAACATGTACCGGCGAGCTAGAAGCTTCCCCAATCGGGTGCTACCATCAGATCTTCTGCGTCCAATAATAAACATACCAGGTTTCGGTGCACCAGTACCTTCCTATGCGCGCCAGTGGAAGGCAGCTGCATGTTTGGTACCCAGATTGCCAAGATGAGGCGGTAGCCCGGTGCACCAGTGTTATGAAATCTGGTGCACCAACGTATGAGACTGATGGCTTCGGAAGTTCGGGAGACGCTGAGCCGGACGTATTGGGAAAGAACGTTAGGTGCACCAGCCCATACTAGATCACCGGTGCACCAGGGGTATGCATCATCAGACGGGTGCACCAGCAGAACGCGCTACTGGACGGGTGCACCGGCCTTCTCAAGAAGTGGGGTGCACCAGTTAATTAGGTGCACCAGTGCTAATCCAGGCCTGTGCACCACTACTCTGCATCAGACAGCGGCTCGGTGCACCTAACAGTCTGCTTAACTAATTTGGGTATTGCTGATCGTCTGGTGCACCTCTTATTCAGCGCTTGGCGAGCGGCACAATGTATTGGTGCACAGAACCACACTGTACGTGTTGGTGCATCAACTCTACAGTACAGTTGTGCAGGTTTGGTGCATTGAAACTGCACTAGGGCCTGGCTTACCCCCCGCATTCTGATGAATGGACCCAGTGGGTCCAAGGTTTCTTTCGTGTGAGTGTTTCTCGGTTGCTTCCTAATCGTGGCACATGATTAACTAATTCATCCATAGATTGCGTGGTATTGTAGCTTTCCCTTATTCCTATACATGCCTACCCCCGCATTTCGATGATTGGACCCAGTGGGTCTAAGATTTCTTTCTTGTGAGTCTTTCTCGGTTGCGTCCTAATTGTAACATTTGATCCACTAATCCATTCATAGGTTATGTGGACTTGTAGCTTTCCCTATAGATTTACATTCACGGTGTACCTACTCTCGTAATCCTTATTGTGCTAATGTTGATCCCCGATGTGCCCTATGACTACGAGTGCGTTGTGTAGGTTTCACTTTCACTCTCTTGCGAGCCGGTTCAGATTGAGAATCTGTATCGCTAGCACTACAATAGCTCGGGCCAACCTATTCAACTGTGAACGTCAAATAGGTGAGAGTTGACTGCGAGACGTACTTGACACTCGGTTTCTGAACCCTCTTCATCTTCATCCTCCAGCACATTCCGTACTCCAGCATATGGATTCCAACCATGCTGATGGCTGCCAGCGTCAAGACCCCATTGATCATTGCCAGCCAGCCCAGCATCATAAGTCTTTTGAAACATCCTGTCTTCGAGCTGGCCAAGGCATTCTCTGTCCACATCGGTTGGGTCAAGTTGTGAGCTATACAATGAGAGGTCTGTCCAGGCCATCCGGAATATCAAGCGGACTTGTTCCTTTTCTGGCAGCGAGGTGTTGAAACTGGGTGAGGAATGAAACTGCTGTCGCTTCTTGTGTGCAACAACAATAGTGTACGCGTGAGCAAGCGGTGCACATTCCAGCCAGCTTAGCACATGGATGCTCTCCTTACTAGACTGTGTAACATGACAGTAAAACCAGTTGGCAATTTGTGCCTGCTCAAGGGTAGTGAGATCACCAGTGTGAGGGATATTGTACTGCCCGAAGTTGTTCTTTGGTTTTCTGTATGAGCGAACGTACTCCATGACTGGGAAGTCATCAGGATTCACAGAGTCTGGTGACATCCAAAGTTGACAGAGCCTCTCAACATGAGGTAGTAGGATGCTTGCAATATCAGGTGGACACGGGTAGTCTTCAAAAGACGACACAATGTTCTTGCAATCCTCTTCCTCAGCTGCGTGAACAAATTGTCCAAGCTTGATCACAAATACTACGCATGAGGGCCTGCTAAATTACAGAATTTGCATGGATATTACTCACCCTGATCATCCTCCGAGTCTTCCAATCATGCCAGAGTGCATCTACAACATCCTGTTCAGGGATAGGCAGCTCATACTGCGGTGGTGAGCATCTCGTGGAGAATAAACACCTCCGCCACCACTTGACTTTCCATGCCACCGTTCCATCTCCAGAATACACACGTCTTAAAAGACGCACGGGGTAGTAGTATTTTCCATGACGGGCCAAGGCACCAATCCCAGGTCTATGTAAAATGCCAACGTTAGTATTTGTGGATCTAAGACTTTTTGTCTGCTGAATATAAGATACGCACTTTAACCGTTTAGCCAATGGAGTTGTGGGCAAATCCTTGAAATCTTTAGGCCGTCTTTTAAGATGCCGGTTGCTCCTGGGGCAGAAGCGTAGCATGATCAAGTTGGAACATCAAAGAAGAATAGTATAGGACTTACTTTCGGCTCGGTGCTGGTCTCTCAGTCCGTTTTTTAAGCACCCAGAAGTCACAATCATCACAGACAAACTTCTTGCATGAAGAAGCTCCAGAGGCCCGGCCATCTCGCTGACATGCAACATGTGAATAGTTTCCGCATTCATCACACTGAACAAAGTCATCATCGTGATCGACTGCATATCCATCCCCTTGAAGACCGCATTGACACTTGATGAGAAAGTCAGACATTGCACTTGATGTGGAGCCTTTGTCCTTGTCGTGGTCCAGGTTCATTTGAGTATCCGAGTCCTTGGGCTCAGCTAAGTGTTCTGCAGCCGGTTCATTGTCAGAGGGTCTGGCTGCAACCCAGTCTGGTGCAGTTGGGCACTCGGAAGTGGATGGTACAGCCTGAGGCTGACCTGTTGCAACCGGCAACTCAGAGATGGGGATTGTCAAATTGACATCTGAGACGAAAGAGCTGGATAAATAGAGAGGGAACTCTGGGTCTGGTTCTGGAGGTGCCAGTGCATCTGCCACAACCTGTGTCTGAACAATATTAGTATTAGAAGCTAAAGTCTGAGGTGCCCCAGAGTTGTCGGATTCCAGCAATGCAGGTGCCAGCGCCAAGTCTTGCTGAGCCTCTTCCTCATAGTCCACAAGTGATGTCTTCTGTGTCCAAAGACGCTTAGAACTGTCAAGCTGTTTAAATCCTTCTTTGCAAACCACTAGATATGGATGTGCACCAAAGGAGTCGGGTGAAGCTGCTATACTGTAGACTTGCTGTATATCTTTGAGTCGCTGAGCATAGAATTCTTGTTGGGCCATTAGGCCACCATGTAAGCGATAGACCAGTGCATTGGGAGAGTATCCAGGAGGTAAAATAGGGTTTGCACCAGCAAGAATAGACTGGCCTCTGACGGGCTCTACACGTTGCCGCTGACCACCATAATGCATACCATCATAGGTATAGATTGACTCCTTCAAACCACCAAGAGGAGAAGCAGAGTAACGTGCTATGAAGTGTTGATCCGTAGGAGAATAGAGGGCTAGTCCAACAAGCTCATAGAACAGCCCATGCGTTGAAGTGTCTTCACCTTTGGGGACAGGCATTTGCAATTTCTTTGGCACATCCCAAGAAAGCGGACGGTTGTGTGTTGGGTCATCAAATACATCTATAATGAGCATGACAGGCAAAGATAGAATAACAGTGGTTACTTCTCCTTGACCGTGGCAGTACTTAGCACCACTGGCCTCACGCCAGCAACCTGAGCCAATTTGATCATGTGGAGTGTAAGTGCGTGTAATAGCCTGGAACCAACGTTGAACACTGCCACCGTAGGTGGTATGATCTTGGCTAAAAAGCGACAGGCCAAAGTGAGTCTGTGGCTGCGATGATATTTGCATATGCGGATGAGTGGGCTTGTGCTGGGTTTTTTTCAAGGGTATGCCATTGCACGTGCGAATGCAGATCTTGAGGGTTTGAAAGTATGAGTGCGCCAAGAAATCATCGCTGTCGCCAGTGAAAAATCTGCTGTCTGTGACCAGTCTTGATAACCATGCCTAGATTACAGATTATAACAGCAGTTATACAGACTGCAGTGCAGATAATGAGACAAAACGTACAAAGACAGAGCCTTCGGCATCCAGCGAGCTAATGATACCAACTGTTTTGAGAAACGCTCTGAACATGTCACGTTGCTCTCCTAGTAATTTTGAGGTATCTCCTCCTAGAGCGGATGGATCATCAGTGATGACCATGTAACGGAGATCAACGATGCTGAAGAGTTTATAGAAATCAGCAGTTGTTAGGCAGTGGTTAAAGTGCTGCCTGTAGTCATCAAAATCACGCATAGCTGTCCAGAATAGCAGCTCCAGGGCTGTGTCAAGCCAGCAAGACAATTTTGTCCAAGGGCATCCTATATTCTCGCGGTCAGTTTGTTTGGACTCATGCTTCAGAAGTTCGGATTTCTTGAAAGGAGGACCATTGTTGCGTAGATGAACTGTTGGTCGACGCCCGGATTTGCTCCGACCAATTTCTTCTGTGCGTTGCTTCCATGGTATGCCGGGTTCATATTTGATAGGAGTCCCCGCTACTCTAAGCCTTAGCAACACAGCAGAAAATGAAGGAAAGATGTGCTCACCAAGAGCAGCCACGTAGAGACGAAAGAAGTATTGATGAAGTGCATAGAGACCATTGAGCCCCTCCATCAAGGCAAAGTTGTTGCTGATTGCCCTGTATATTTGTGCGTGCATGGCCTCAGACGCATTGGTGCTAAAGGGTATTGCCTCCCAGATGGGGGGCTTCATCTTGCGTTGACTTTCAAAGATCAGGGCAGCATGCTCAGGTCGTAACCACCAGTCAAGCCAAGACTTTGCTTTGGGAAAACGTTCACGAAGCTGAGAAACCATGGTCTGAAACTGGTGATGATCGTGAGTGTTCATCATCTCCCTGATGCACATATCAAAATAGCTCTTGGAATTCCGGTCAGAGTGGATGATGCCAGTACGCTTGAGCCGGGTGGTTCCAGCAATGAAGTGTTGGTGGCAACCTTTTAGGCACCTTTTTGCAGCATCACGCAGCTGGTCCTCTGTACAATCATCTATCTGGCGGTGCAGATTCCAAAAATCAACGAAGGCTTCTTCAAAGCCAATCCGTTCTGCATCGCTGAAGTCAACAACCTACAACAGAATAATTTAGCATATTAATGGCGGGATATAACTTAGAATGAAGGTACCCCTGCAAATAGGTCATCAGTCACTGGGATTTTTCGTTCAATGGCCTGGAGTGCTATGCTTTTGAACAAAGCCAGGAAGTGCTGTCGGTAATGTGCTGCTGTTGCGCCATTGAGGTATGCAAACTGGACTGGCACCCAGCGGGTGAGCTCTAAGGAATAAGTTGCCGTGATGAGGAGCAGGGCATTGTGGTCTGCAAAGTATTTGTGGGTTGCGTCGGTCACAAACCCATTGACTGGCTCATCTGTGATGTGGTCCTTGAGTAGTAAAGTTTTCATGAATTTACTCTGCATGGTCAACACTGTTACATTGCCAACTTGAGTTGATGTGACAAAGTTTGGGTGGCTACGGTCAAAGTGGGAAAAGTCGAAGATGAAGGTGTCACCTCCACGGGGTACGGATGCCTTGAGTTTCTGACGGTCTTTAGTGACACGGTCAATGTTGACATAAGCAGGTGAAATATCAGCAACTGAACGTCTGTCGCCACTGAGGGTGGCTATTCCGGCAATGAGCTTTGCTGGACCAGCTGCAGGATGATTCTCGCATATGTCAATGAACTGAGCTTCCTCCTTAACAGAGGCATGCAAGGGGCGAGGGCAAGAGTGATTGTGACCATGTATCCCATTCCGATAATGGTATCCCCCACTCCACGTCCATATTTCGGCTACGTTCTCGCAGGGCTCGTGGACAAGTGATGCACCACACCTGTGGCATGGCCTGCTGATCTGCACCCTGATACCAGATTTTCGTGTCTGTGGTCGGACTACAACATTGCAGCTGTCATTTTCACAAGTGATGATACCTTGACAGGAGCGCTTGCTACATTGACCTTTATCCCATCTCTTGGCTTGCGGGGGGCCGGATGGTACACCGTATGTAGATGTAGCCCAATGAACCATAAGCCCTCGAGTTTGTTTATGAAACTTTTTGGACACCTCAGCTTCGAATGCCCCATTGGGTTTGTAGTCCCAATCGTCAGCAGACTCGAAAACTATAGTCTGGTAGCCAGTGGAGTTCATGCCATCCGAGGAGTTGGATGTATCTGTGTCGGAGTCATCTTTGTGGGCCAACCTATAGGCTTTGGTTATAGAAAGAGCTGGCTGCGTTGGGACAGTCTTGGTGCGATGTTCAAGCTTGGAAGTCTTGATATCTGAGGGCTTGCTGTTGTTCTGGACTACTACAACAGCCTTTTAGTTTACAGTCTCAAAAGTGTTGCAAAACAGCTGTCGCACCTTTCACTGAATTTTTATTCTGCTGGGCTTTTTGCAATACTGGTTTGCGAGACCAGGCCGTGTCACGTAGTGAAAGTTTACCAGAATAATGTCCATGATGGGAGCTTGGAGGTGCCGAAGCAGCGCGGCCAACACTTGTCTTTGCAGCTGAGCTGGCGGCAGCTTCCTTTGGTTCTGGTTTTAGAGCGGAGGGGCTTGTGGTTGGCACCTGCTTTACAAGCGGGTTGAACAGAGGATGTATGGTATTGGTTGATGTAGGAGGTAATGTCGGTGCATAGTTGGTGGTATAGCCCTGTGGGGGAAACGGGTAAATAGAAGGGATAGAAGTAGGCTGTGTAGTCAAATGTGTGGGGTATGCAAGGGGGAACTGATACGGTGAAAATCCTTGGTATGCTGAAGGGACAGGAGGCAGCGGCAGAGGGTAATGTGGATGTAAAAGGTGCATTGGATATGCACCCGGTACAGAATAAGGTAAGGGTGCAGGTGGTGGAACGTTAAATGGTGAAGGTGGTGTTGTAGAGGACGATTGCTCCAGGTGCCCATATGCCAGTGTATACGCATAAACTCTCCCTGATTGAACAGTTGTGTCAGTACTTGAAGTCGATTGCGACCACCATATTGCCATTACTGTGGGCATCGAGAATGGGCACCAGTGGGTTTGATGCTACGTTTGAAGCTGGTGCACCAGCACCGCTACTGGCCCCTGGGCTGCTGGTAGATTGGTTGATCCCAGCCTGGGACGGTTGGTTTTGTGTGGTCGGCTTCATGAAGTGCGAGTAAAGTAGATGCTATAGAGAGACATAAGTCAATTGTTTATCGAGTTTAAGGAACTGCCAAAACTCACTCACCTCCAATGCCTGTGTTAGAAAGCAGGTGATGGGGAAGGTTAACAGTCAAAGGCTGCGCTGGCAAATTGAAAGTTACTCTAGATGCGTAACTTTGATGTTGACACTTATCCATGCGCGTTGCTCTGACACTGACAATCACAGTGATCATATTTCATATTGCAGCCTTCAACGCGGCTGGTTGATAAGTGCTGAAATCACCCAAGAATCCAATACGAAGGGCCTCTTGGCCATCATATGCATCATCGAGCAGCGGAGAGGTAATGAGATCAGTGTTTGTGTGGCTTGCATGGACGGAATTCCGAGTAACAGGGCTTGAGCGTCTCGAAAAAACGAGCTGAGGATCAGTATAATTAGGAAAAGGGGCACATTAGAAAGCGGACAAATGAAATTGTAGGCTTGCCGTGCAAAGCCGTTTACTTTGGAAACCCGTGAAACTCAGCCCGGGGAAGATAAACCACATTGCGGAGAACGGCACAACTTCGGCACAGACAGCAGTGCAACGCAGCGTAGTGCAGATGTGCAGAAAGTGCAGTGCAGTGTGGTGCAGTGTGGTGCAGGAGTGGTGCAGGAGTGCAGAGAGTGCAGTGCAGCAGAATGCAGGCTTGCAGCGAAGTGCAATGATACGGTGAAGATTGCACAGCGGAACTACTGGAAGACATTTTAAACTCATAAGACAGACACGGGTATGGGAGTTGGAGTGGTTGACGAGATGCGTTGTTATTGATAAGGCAGATATACACCGCCGGAGATTGCAGTCTACACTTGATAACTGAGGTCATTGACCGACACACCACCGGTCGTGGATAGTCTGGAAGCAAGAGTCAGCAGGATCATGGTTGGCGATGCCAATAGTATCCAACATACTGAGCATACCTCAACGTCGACGCTCGCGTGGTTTAGCTGCTCGGCTGGAGTATGAAAGACAGCATGAACTCTGTGTCAAGGAATAACGGGCATGAAACTCACAGCGTCACAGTATTGCAACCCTCCAGCATCCCATACACTCCTTCAGTGAACCTTCTGGAGTGGCATTCGTGCAGTATGAATAGGCTGTTTTGAGCTGGGGTGTAGACAGGATATCGCGCTTGTGGGACAGAGGTCAGGACCGTCCCTATAACTTGGTGTCAAGAGTGTGGTCACGAAGAGCATAAGACAAGACAGACTGCTGACCAGTTCTAACGTCTTGCTTGGTCCACAAGATCCTGCCACCCTGCACGGTCGAGTAGACTCCGAGCATGGGGGAGCACACTGTGTAACCCTTGATATTCATACTTGGTCGCAGTAGCCATGTTGAGGTTCTAGCTGGTGTTGCCGTGCCTTTGAAAGGGGTTCTGGAGCCATGCGCGGGTCAATGATGGGTCCAACTTTATACATGATGGTTGGCGAGACTGAAAGGGGGATTAGTAGAGGTGGAATCGAGAGATATGTGGGCAGGGAGATATGACGAGACTAGTAAGGCGGTAGGAGAGAGGAGAGGTAAGTTGAGAGATATGTGTGCAGGAAGGCACGTGAGCCTGCAGGCCCTGCGCACTAGACGCGGCAAAATCCTGTGGCCCCCGGCATCTCGACCCCCTGTCCCTCGAAATATCTGGTCCTTGGTCCGGACTTACCCCGCCCGCCGACCATAAGAACACAGTCCTCGAGGTTTCTTCAGCTCTCCATTCGCATACACTACGACCGTCAACACTATGGGACAGAACACCCCCGCTCAGAAGATCGGAGACGTCAACTCGCTCACTGTCACGGACAACCGCACCGGCAAGCAGTACACCGTCCCGTACGTCATACTTGCTACTCGTCCGAGTTCTTCTTTAGACGTGACCTTACAAAACTTTTGCTTGGATGCAGGATCTCGCGAAATAGCATCCCCGCGACCGCGTTCAAGGCTATCAAGGCACCGAAGGGTCCCAAGGACCGCGATGAAGACGAGACGGAGAAGGGTCTGCGCATCTCGGACAAAGGCTTCTTGAACACCGCTGTCATTGAGAGCAGGATCACCTATATTGACGGAGATGCTGGAGGTGCGCTCTACTCCTGCATGGTCCGACGCCAGACGCACTGACTTACTGGTCTTGTACTCAGTTCTGCGCTACAGGTGAATTATTTCCTCGGGTCGGAGCCTGTGGCCTTGAACTGACAGCATACCAGAGGGTACCCAATCGAACAGCTCGCCGAGCAGTCCAATTTCCTTGAGTCGGCGTATCTTCTGATTTATGGCTCACTCCCATCCAAGACCCAATACTCGACATTCGAGAACGAGGTCCTGCTCCACGGCGTCATGCACGCTGACGCTGCTGGTTTCTTCCGTGCCTTCCGGTGTGTTTACATTTTGTAGCTAACACTCCATTGCAGCAGTTGTCTGACATCGTGGTTCAACCTCTCAGCTATGACGCCCACCCCATGGCAATGCTCACCAGCGCGTACGCCTACCTCGGCTCGTACTACCGCGAAGCCAACCCCTCACTCGAGGGTCAGGCGCTGTACACGAAGGGCGCCAAGGGCGACGAGGCGGCGCTGAGGAATATGGACAAGCAGATCTACAGGATCATCGGGAAAGCTACGACTCTTGCTGCGTAAGCTCACTCGCTCATTCCTCGCCAATTACACTTGTTGAACGAGTTCACTGCTTTACAGGATGGCCTACCGTGTCCGCCAAGGTCGAGAGTTTGTTACGCCTCCCACTGGGCTCAGCTACGCCGCCTCGTGAGCATCGTCCCTCTTATCTCTCCTGGGTGGCTTGACTGACGCCGTTTTCATCAGTTTCCTCTACCAGCTCGACCACCTCTCTCCATCTGACGCCAACTACCGGCCGCACCCTGTCCTCGAACGCGCTCTTGATATCCTGTTCATTCTGCATGCGGACCACGAGATGAACGCGTCAAGTACGACGGTGCTCCAGACAGGCAGCTCCCTGGTGGACCCGTACAGCGCGGTAGCGTAAGCGTTTTTCGTTCTCTTTTCCGATGTAACTCTCATGAACTTTTGCAGAGCTGGATGTGCTTCTCTCTAGTAGGTTCTATATTGTTAGACAGAAACCTTAACTAAATAATCGCCTCAATGCTTTCAGCGGACCATTGCACGGTAATGTAATTTCCTCGTTCATATGCCACGTCCTCTCATTCCAGTTTCAGGAGGCGCCAATGAGGCTGTCATTCGCATGTTGATTTCCATCGGCAGGTACGCACAGCATCGCCTCTCAGACTTTGTTTGCGTTTCTGAGCAGCCTTCAGCCCAGACAACGTGCCCGCGTTCCTTGCGGCCGTCAAGAAGCGCGAGAAGGTGCTCTCTGGCTTCGGACACCGGTGAGTACATAGCTCTCTCCGACGTTCATACGTTCTTATATAGTTACCAGCGTGTACAAGACAGTAAGCACGCACCCGTCTCAGCAGTAACTGTCTCTGAACCTTGAAAAACAGTCCGATCCCCGCTCGTTCATTATACGCAAAGTTGCCGATGAGGTATTCGCAGTGTAAGAACGTTGACCTTTTATGAACGAAAGTGTGCTTGACTCCATGCATAGGACCGGCAAGGATGAACTGCTGGACACCGCGATGGCCTTGCACGACGCTGCCATCAAGGACGAGTACTTCGTGTCGCGGAAACTGGCACCGAACGTCGACTTCTGGAGGTAATGTTTCAACCACGACTATCCAACACCGTGTTGATAAACTATCCCTTACAGCGGCCTCATCTACCGTGCCATGGGTATGTCATCTCACGACGTATGAGACACGAGGATTTCCTAATTACCCGCCAATAGGCTTCCCTCTCGACTTCTTCCCCGTCCTCTTCGTTGTTCCACGTGTCGTCGGCTGGCTCGCTCATTGGCGGCAGGTGAGCTAATTTCCCTCCTCGAGTTCTTCCGCGAGGTCTCCACATGCTGACCCTGGCGAACGCAGATGATGCTCAGCCCAGACGGCGTCAAGATCTGGCGCCCGAGACAGGTAAGCCGTTCATAAAGGACGCGACGCAACCTTCGTGCTGATCGCTTGCAACACCTCGACTTCGCCGCGCCGCGTTTCTGCTGCTAGATCTACGTTGGCGCCGAAAAACGCGACTATGTGCCCGTGGATGCTCGGGAGCCGGTCGACGGGCCGATGATGAGCCCCAGCGTTGTGCCTCATTCCGGGTATGTTTGACCTTTGTCCTCGCTGATGCACGTGTCAGGACGCATGCTCACTGGCGTGGCTCGTGTTTCAGGGTGACGAAGCGGCGAAACATCTCCGAGATCAAGAGCAAACTATAGGTTCTTTCGACGACATGTTCCTTGGCGTGCTGCTGGACGCACTCGTCTTCCGGTCTTTGGGCGCGTCCGTCGACCAATCCCCGAGCGCGTTCTCGAGTCCTATTTATAGCTCTGCATCAATGCACTTTGCTCCACCACGCTTATTTATAGTCCCACTTTGAGAAGTTGAGAAGATGAAAGTGCTTACGCCTCGTAGCAAGACGACGCGTTGTCGCACAGAAATTCTGTAATTTCATTTACTTGAGACGCGTCTTCGGGCGTGCACAATGTAATGCTGCTCACTGCAATGACAATAGCCAAGCCAAGGTACATGATGAATTTTCCATTGTCATCAAGATCAGAAGAGAAGGGCGAAAAAGCCTCGGACCCACTTGAGAGTCTAGTTCCCCACAGGGCCCACACCGCTATGGACCATTATCATCGCAACTCGCGTGCTGTAGAGTAACCGATAGTTGGATATCTGGATGGTTGTCAGGGTGAAAATCTCTGAGTCTTCCTCATTGTAGGTCTCTGAAAAGAGACTTGTTTTCACTTAGCGGTTGTGCACGTTTCGTACGAGTGGCAGCGTCTCTTGCAGGGCTCAACCCGTTCATCTCTAAACAGAAGTTACTTGTCTGAAAACGCACATGGCGGACATGAAGAACCGTGACAGGCGTGTCATCAAACATAAGAGAATCGAGGAGGGCACGGTCGGGGCCTGAATTGATTGATTGTGATGCGGGACCGTTTGGTTTTGGGTATGTGAATGGACGCATAAGGACGCGGCATGGTCGCTTCCGGTATTATTTATCTCTCTTTCTCCGTCCCAACGTCAACCCTCCCCCACCCTTGCAGGCTCGCCTCCCAAGCGTCCGCCGCCGCCGTATATAACCCTCGCTCCCTCACCACCGCACACCGCAGCACTTGCGCTATGTTCGCCACTCTTTTCCAGGTTACCCTCTTTTGCGCGATCGCTCTCCAGGGTGTGCTCGCCGACTTCACCATTGACACCCCACAGTTCACCCAGGTGTGTAATTGTGTTGCGACGTCATGCGGGGTTTTCTCCCGCTTTTCTACACAGAATACTAAATGAATACCGTTGCACACCTGTTTCCTTGTAGTGTGAGGCGGCCAACATCACCTGGACCCAATCCCAGGGCCCCTACGACCTCATCATTACCCCGGCGGAGGACCCTTGTGGTGATGCAGTGTGAGTACAAGTATGATTCATGAATGCACCTCGACGGCTCATATTGATGGATGCGTGCGCAGAGTCGACCTCGGCGAGATCAACGGACTTTCTACGTCTTACACGGTCAACCTCGCTGCTGGAACCCAGGTCGTCCTCTCTCTCCAGGACTCCCAGGGCGAGGAGGCTTGGAGCGGTACCGTGAGTTTGCATCCACCCTATCCTTGATTTTCCACCCATTAACGTTGTGTCCCATTTCAGATTACTGTTGATGGTAGCGACAACACCTCCTGCCTGAACTCCACGTCCCCCACCGTTTCTACCGGTGGTACCACGTACGTTACCTTGCATTCGGCTCACCAGCCATGTCCTCACCGCCTCCGTATCTAGCATGAGCGCCGGCGCAGCTAGCAGCACCCCCTTCGCACCCGCTGGCGCAGCCAACGCGGGCACCAACCCCAACTCGTCCGGTGCCATGTCCACCCGTCCTCTTGGCGCTCTCTCGGCCATTGGCGCCGTCGCCGTCGCCGCCGCTGCCTTCGTCCTCTAAACATCCACGCCGACCGACACGACCAGCTCGACAGTCCGTTCCGCGTAGTACATATACCCCGCTGGCGGTCCCCCTTGTTTATATAGGGTGAAGCCGTGCGAAACCCTTGTTTATACTCAGTGTTCAGCTGATACCACCGTACCAACTGTCTACAACCTTTACCGCGCCCGGGGGCTGGTAGTTGTTATTTCTTATTTATCATGATCACTGTCTGTCTGTCTGTTGCAACTGTGCAGGTCAATGTTGTTTGTCTGCTGATCTTGATTTGTTCAGCAGCATTAGTTGTGTCGATTAGGTGTTTGTGTTCTAGAAGTCAATTTAACCTTTTACGATTTGCGAGCGAGATTGTAGACGAGGATAAGCAAATTGTCTGAACATCTCAGACGATCTTGGTGAATTCGGGTTCTCTTATGAGAGTTGTAACGCTGCAAACTGAACGTTGACTTGATTGCCGATCAGTTGGTAGGGCGTAAAGTGCCTAGTTATTGTGACTAGACTGATAATGACGGTGACGCCTCGCGATGCTGAAAGGTCTTCCCCGCATGCACTACACGACAATGAATTGTGGAGAGTGGTCAGTTGCCATTGTTCCAAGGTAGTAGTCAAGGACAACGGTTTTGTGGAGCTTCTCCCACCCCTTTCGTAACCGCGACGCGTCGCGATCTCCAAGGCTGCACCTTACTGTCAATCGTCCACACTGGCATAGCTCAACGATATCATCGTTCCTACCTCCTCAGCCTCAGTTCTTGATGATGATAATCACAGTCAATACTGGTCCTGCCGCTGATGTGACCCACGCAAGGACGATATTTTCGGGCCAAAGCACACAGCTTCTGAGACGGGGTATCCCACGTCCCGGCGTCTCCTCCCTTGGGCCGAATAATAACATCGATTCTCCCTCCTTGTCGGGTGACAACGTCCCTTGTTTTCCCAGACCCGTTTTATTTGCGGTAATCTATGTAGTCAGGTGGGCGTGAGCCTGTCCAAAGTTTTCGATTCGAAAACCCAGGGCGACCGTGGCGCCCATATATAACCGTTGCCCCCGCCGACTCCGCAGCTCCCCTCCACTGAGCGTCGCCTGCGCGTGCGCACTCACCAGCTCTGATCGTCAACCCGCCTTCTAGCTGTAGAGTAGACCACTGCGAGCCAGTGCAGCACGCTAATAGATGGCTCTTTGGCTCGTTCCTTTTGTCGGCCTCGCGCTGTGGTCGTTCTGTCGTTTCTGCTGCAGAGCCTTCTTCCTCCGGCTCCGTCTCCCCCCTTCTCCTCCGCTGGTCGAGGTGCTCAAGTTTCTCGCTGGGTACGATAAACGGGAAGCGCATCTTACTTACACCTCTTGGGGTCAGCGATGTGGTATGTGTTTCCCTCTTTGCTATGTGACTGGTTAAACGTGCTGACACTTGGCGCCGTCATGTAGGCCAATTGTTTTCTTTCGCCCTACCTGATCGGAGAGTGGTTGTTGTGAATTCTGAGGACGCTGCACGCGCTCTTTTGGATCCGCACTCAAGGAAGACCTCCGAGAGGTCTAGTCTTGCTCAGGGGTGAGTGGGCTCGTCGAATTCATGATTATACATGTCTCATTATTCTCTCAAACCATAGGTCTACCTCTGTGCAAGTTGGTTTGTCACTCTTCAACGACAATACTTTTAAAGTTCACTCATGAACATCCTGCAGATGATGCACGGGACATCCAACGCAAGCTCATCAATGATGAATTCAACGACAGTGCCGTGACGACCTACCGGCCCATGATCCTCCGCAAGGTCAAGCAGCTCGTTCTGAACCTGCTTGATTCTCCGGAGCACTATCACGAGCACGGTCACACGTACGTCCCTATGTCTAATCCCTCCAAGTAATAAAGGAACCGAATGCATGTTGCTCAGGATGGCATCCTCTGTGCTCATGTCGGCACTGTATGGCTACGACATTGCAGGTCCCGATGATCCCTTGGTGCGAATCATGGAGCAGAGCGCCGCCCAAGCTCAGGCTATGCCTGGCAAGACGGCAGGATCTTCACTTATGCTTTCGTCTCTTCCTTTCCGTAAGCACGCTCCCTTTCACTACATATTGAACGGCTCTGATCGTACCTTTTTCATGCAGTTCAGCGACTCAAGCATTGGTTCGTTCAAATTTTGTCCGATGACGAGGAGCCCGTTAAATCCTTCGATGCCATGGATGCCCCTCTGCGTTTCGTGAAGCAGCGCATGGTACGCCATCCTCCTAGTAATCCAGATGGAGTTCATGGATATTGATTGTCTAATAGGAAAAGGGATTTTACCCCCGGTCCTTGGTCTCAGAATCTTTGACGAAGGTCGATAAGAATGGCTATGGTGACCAGATCATCAAAGAAGCCGCCGCATCGGCGTTTGCAAGTGAGTCTCATTCGTTCGCACCAAGCAACTTAATATTGACTTTATTCAAGCGGCTACTGGTACAGTGCGTTCATTACAAGCATTGTCAGCGTCGTCCTTTCCTGACGCTTTCGTAGATTACAGCTGCATACCGCACATTCCTGCTGGCCATGACCCTATCCCCGGAGTCTCAAAAACGTGCTATGAGCGAGATCGACGCGTTCATGAACAGCACGGATAAACTGCCCACGATCGAAGAACGGGAATCGCTACCATACGTCAGCGCTATCTTGCGGGAAACGCTGCGGTGGCATCCTACGCGTCCTCTCGGTAAGCTCAGAGTTATTAGCAATGGAACAAGCTGCTGACAGCTCGTGTAGGAACGCCTCAGGTCGCCACCGAGGACAACGTGTACGGCGATATCCTCGTGCCAAAAGGATCGACCATAATTCCTAACCACTGGTTCGTCTATCCTTCCTTCCTCAATCATACGATAGACGGTCGTCTAACACAACACTGTATTTAGGGCAATGTCCCGCGACACCGAAGTCTACCCCAACCCAGAGCACTTCCAGCCCGAGCGCTTCCTCAACTCCGTCGGCGAGCTCTCCGATGCGAATGAGGACGACTCGCCGCTCGCGTTCGGCTGGGGCGAGCGGTCCTGCCCGGGGCGGCACCTCGCCGGCGAGGTGCTGTGGACCGCGATCGCAATGACGCTCGCCAACTTTGCCGTGGGTCAGCGGTCGGTTGTCGGCTTTGAGCCGCACTGGACCAAGGGACCGATTTCGTGCGTGTTTCTGTTTTGTCGTTGGTTGTTTGATGGACATCTTCAGCTAATGCAAAGTGCCTTTACAAAAAAAATCTAGATCTCCTCTCCCATTCCCTTGTGCAATCATTCCCCGAGCAGATCCGGACGATATCCGGCAGGAGATGTACAGCGAAGATTAATGATACGATTGACACGGGACGTCAAGCTTTGAAGCTTGAAGAGCAGTGTTTTTTTTCTCGATTGATTTGGGACCCTTGTACTTTTTTTCTTTCTTAACCTGTTGCAGGGCAACTTTGAGCATGACGGACGTGCATACATAGTTTTACGAGCAGGACTTATACATTTACCTTCATCAGACGTTGACGTCGCTGGAAATAATCATCTTTGCAGTTCAATCTCGTTTTCCTCTTGGTGCATCACACGTTCGATATTTCAGCGACCGAAGTACTGATGTATACATAAATACCAATCTTTGCGAACGGAAGCAAAGTGACATCGACCATCGGACGTCGGCTTCTGCATGCTATGTAGTCCGCTACCCCGCCGGCGGCAAGTACTTACCGTAACTTCAAGGAAGATCTTGCCCCGTACCATTACCACGACCGCATCAACCGCATAGATGAATATGTCCACTGATAACTGGCACACCGTGTAAGGAGCCCAACTGCTCTGCTCTGCACCCCGCTCGGACACGCAACCTCACTGACGAACAGGACCGTGCGGATCCCGTTCGCCGCGCCCAAGCACGCCTCAATCGCGAAGCAGGTCATCGAGGTCGACAGCGAGCTGCAGCCGCATGCCGTGAAGCGGACGCTGGCTGTGGAAGGGCAGGATCTCGTCGTGTGCGTGCTGTCTATCATGCAGCTCAGGTTCTGTGATGAATCCGATCTAACAAAGTGTAACACCACAACAGGACATTTGAAACGCTGACTGTGCGGCTGGCAAGGCTCACCGTCAACGGTTTCCTAGAGAACATCGATCTCGTCATTCGTACGATAGGAGAATTCGGGGAGCACGCAGAGAAATCGAGAGCGAATGTTGCATCATAGCCAGAATATCCCCCCTACTAGGATCGACATCACACAAAACGTCCAAGAGGGATCTACGTTAACATTTAACGTGTGGACCATTGTACATGTACATTTATTCGTTGCAATGTCACAATATCAATAATTCATCAATATGACTTCTCCTCTCCCCAGCAATTGTGGTGTTTTCGCTTGTCAGTTCGTCGCATCGGCCCAAGATTTATGCTGCGCCCTCTGCCTTTTTCTTGTTCTTCTTCGACTCCTTGACGGGCTTCGCGAGCAGCTCCTTGAGCTCCTCGTCTTCAAGCTCCTTCTCCGTGCGGACGAGCTCGGGCTTGTACCATATTGGCGGGTGCGTGAGCATGAGCGGGCCGCTAGGCAGGAGGGCAATGGTGAAGTGGAAGGCGGCCACGAATGCGTTGGCGGGCGCATACACAGTGTCGTACGGCTTGATCAGGCCGTGCTGCACGGCCTCTTGCAGGCCCAGACGCGCGCGCTTCTCGTCCTCGAGCACGCGCACGGTGAACGGGAAGGCGCCGGCTTTCTTCTGCACCTCGGAGAAGACGGCACGCGAGTTTTTCATCTTGAGCTGGTAGGTTACGGCACCCTCTTTCTGGTAGACTGACGTCCGCTGGTCCTCAACGCGAGACTAGATGGGGCGGTCGTTATAAGCACAACGAACGGAATTCAAGAGTTGATATCTCACCTTTCCGTCCTCGTGCGTCGAGATGAGAACGTCAATACCGTACACCTCGTCCTCCGCAAACGTAACCGTCTCCGTGTCCGATCGCTGTTGCGTCGAGGGGTTCTGGATAATACGCTTCTTGCCATCGATCACGTTCTGCGTCTGCTGACACGACAGCATACCTGCACATATACACGCATCAGCCCCTATCTCACCCTGGCTCTCGGTTAGATCAAGAACACACCCTCTATAGGCTTGCAATCGAACGCCTTCGCGACCTTGTCGATCGCATCGGTGACCGCCCAGTTCTTGTTGCCGACTTTGATGAGGCGCATCGCTGCCTCGGCGGCGGTCCATGCAGCCTTGAGCGCGTTTGCACGTGGCCCGGTGATGGGGTCCGCGACAGAGGCGCCAACGACGATGGTCTCGGCCGCGATGGACGCGAAGCCGTCGATGTGTGCGCCAGTGTGGATCTTGACGACGTCGCCCTTGGCGAGCGTCTGCGATGACAGGGGATCCGATCTGCACACACGCTCAATCTTTAGTCCATGGTCGTGTGTCTGATGAGGAGGGAGAGGGCGGATAGAACACGCACGCGAGAGGCGAGAAATGCGACACGCAGTTGTTCACAGAAACGCAGGTGGGGAACGCGGAGCCTAGTCAGAGGAAAGAGAGTGGGCAACGCGAAGATCAGAGCACGGTAGCAGACGCGCGCACCCTTCTGGACCTTGACACCCTTGACGGCCTTGTTGAACACGCCCGCGGTCGCCTCCTCGATGAGCTTGTCACCCTCGACACAGATGTCGAGGACCTTCGCGCCCTCGACCGCGAGCTCGATCAACTTCTTCATGACATCGTTCGTGATGTCTCCAGCGGTCTACATCAAAAGGAGAAAACAACGACAAAAAGGGCGCATCAGCATTTTCATGATCGCGTGGCCACAACACAAAGCCGATCAGAGGCGCAGCAAGGGTAGCAGAATATATGAAAAGGCGGAATGGAAGATGGTGATGGGGTGAAAGGGGGTGAAGAAGAAAAAGCGACACAAAAATGCCAGCGCGACCAGACCACTCAGGAGCTTCATCTACACGACTCAAAACGTCGATCTCACCTTGTACTTGGTCAGATCAGCCTCGCTGATGAGTCTCTGCTTCTCAGCAGGCTTAGCGGCGTCCTTGTTCTCTTCGGACATATCTTTTTATCTCGTAAAAGCGGATGGAAAAGGGGGATGAGCGGGCAAGTGAGGTAGGTAGGGGTCAGCAGGAGATGAGCTCAGAGGGTATGTGCGGACGGCGTCGAGTCTACCTGATTAGGCAGATCCCCGGCTCCGAAGCATTATCGATTCTGCGTGCGTCAAGCGTGCGTCATACCGAGAGCCGCCCGCGCCCCGGCGCCGACTTGTTATGGATCCACATCCACAAAGTCCACACGACCATAAACCCGCCCATCGCAATGCGGGGCGGCGGGCCCCACCGACACGCGACCGACGCTTCAACGAGTGGATCGGGCACAGGGTATAATTCAAATGCATCATATACATATGGAATAACAGTGCAGATGACGTTACGTTAACAATAATGTAGGATAGATACTAGTACAAATGGTGCTATGTACGTACGCAGGTACGATATGATATGTGTATGCTTTAAGGTATTTTCCAGTCACATGTGTAAGATGAGAGTTCGTAATGAGAAAGACAAAGGAGAAAAAAGAGTGCCCGCGAGCCGGTGATCACGACGTTCGTATGATGCCTTCGGGGCTACCGCCAGAATACGCCGCAAGAGGAGTCGGTATTCCAGGAAACCATCGAAGTCAACAATCCGATCCAGAGGAAGAGAGGTATAAATGAGATGTAGAGTACAATTTGCGAAAATGAGTGGGTATCGTCCATTCTTGCAGTCCAGATGGGTATTGATATTGTGCGGGAGACGGTGGCGCGTAGCGGGTGCTGTAGCAAGCTCTTGAGCGGCCCAATCGAACCTAGCTCTACCAGTCAGGCATGACAGCAGGCGCAGGCGCAAGGTCCATGCCCTTGAAACAGACGAAGCCGCGAATGTTGCGGAAGTACTGGGGATGCCCGTCGGGCAGGTGGTCCGGGAGCTTGTCGCGCCATAAGACGCTCTGCAGTGGCGGCTCAAACCTGGGCACGGATACAGCCCAGGGCTCGCCCCAGTCGAACTGCTGATGCATGTGCCCGCGTATGCCGGCGCGGTCGACCATGTCGCTATGAAGAGAAAAAGAAGAGGGACGTTAGCATAGGTTCAGCAGCGCGCACATTCTTTTAAAATTGTGAAAAATGCGGAAAGCACGCGTTAAGCAATCAGAAACTAGGAGATTGCGAAAGAGAAAACGGTAAGATGAAAGATGAAGAGTAATTTTTTAAAAATGAGGAGAAAAACACCCACTTCTCCCAATTCGCCCAATCATTATCAAACATCTCCCTCAAATCGCTCCCGAGAATCCGGAAATCCTCATAGGTCGTGAACTTGTCCTCGCCCCTTAGATTACGCCAGTACTTGCTCCCAGCGCCCCCCTTGTTGTACTGATACTGCGGCTGCGCAATCGGCGGCGGCACATCCCCGTGCTTGAACAACCGCTCGTACGCACCAAAGAGCCGCTCCCGGCACGCGCCCACCATCTGCATCGTCCGCCGGAGATGTGCCGCCGCGGCCGCCGCATCTTCAACGCTCCCGCCCTGCTTGAGCGGCGACTCCAGATCGAACTCCTCTCCATCCGCATCGTGCGGGCTCACCGTCTCCGAGCTCAGCGTCGACGCGCGGCTGTGGCTGTTGCTGCTCGCCAGCGACATCAACGACGGCTGGCGGTTCAGCAGCGACAGCATGTGCGAGTACATCGCCGGGTTGAGCTCGCTTGAGCCTGCGCTGCTCCGCGCGGAGCTCGGCGCCGAGTGGTCGTCCGCGAGCGGCGGCATCGGCGGTACGGGCGGCGCCTTGATCGAGTTGGGCGGGAGAAAGACCTGGTAGGGCGGTGTGCCCGAGACGGAGCTGAACACGCTCGCGAGCCGGCCGGGTAGGTGGTCGAGCACGTTAGGTTCGAGGTAGTTGTCCCGCAGCATCGTAGCCCACGCCATCGCCAGGCGCGCGTGGTCGCGCAGGTCCTCGGTCGAGTGCGCCGCGTGATTGCTCGGGAGGGAGAGGGAGGATGCTTGTGGGAAGCAGACGTCCAGGTTGCCGCTTTCTGAGTGAGAAGGCCGGAATGTCGACGTGCGCTCATTATGCGAGTACGGAGAATGGGATATGTTGGAAGCAACTGATCCATAGCTGCTTCCGGATAGGCGATTTACCGCACTCGTAGACTGCATGCGGTGGATCGATGGTCTGGGGCTGCTGGGGCGGCGACCAACGTCGCCTGTCGACTGCATGCGGTGAAGCGATGGCCTGGGGCTGGTTCCAGTTAAGCGATTGACGTCACCCATGGAGGATGGCATACGGGGAATCGATGGTCCGCCAGAGGATTGAACCGGTGGAGAGGTAAATGCCGGGGCCGAGTGGTTTGGGAAAATTAAATCCTCTTCAATCACCTGCAGATGCGAGAAGGCAGAAGCGTTAGAGTTCACGCTAAGTTGATCACAGATAGTGACTTACCTCAAGCACGCCGCCAGGCGTGAGGACTCGTGCAATCTCCTGTGAATAGTCGGAATAATTTCGTAGTCAGCCATGTGTAACAATGCAAGAAAAGTGCACGCCGCACGGCAATACAAAGTACGAACCTCCAATACGTCGTTCCACTGCACATGGGGAACAAAGGATGCGCGATCAGGTGCTGATTTAAGTGACGGTGATACGGTCGGCAAGAGGTAAAACTAACCTCATCATGCGGGATATGAAGTCCCATGCGTGATAGTCGAACGAGGTCGAACTTCCCATCAGAGAAGGGAAGGGGCTCGAGGCTAAAGTGACAGAGAGAATGGTTATCGGATCAGCGATATGCATCAGGAAACAGGAAAGGAAAAGGACTCACAGGTCTCCTTGGACCCATTTAAGCCGCTTGGGCAAGTTGTCGTTCTTCCCTGCACCAAACCTCGCGAGGCGTTTGTTTGGTGTAGGGTCGTTAACGTCGAATGCGACGACGTTACTCCCCTACAAAAGCCAGACGTCTCATTAGTATATATCTTCCACTGGCGTTGGTTCGCTAAACTTGTGCTTACCTGCCACATCTTGGCGGCGCAGATTGCCCACTGTCCCCTTCCACATCCGATATCGAGGATCGAATTAGGAGGACCATCGAACTTGTGTAAGGTGAGCGTCCTCCAGTTGTTGGTCATTAGCATCTGATCCCAGACATCACTGTAAGGTAGATGATCAACAAGGCGAGGATCATGCACGAGGGCGCAAAGGTGATACTGACTTTGAGATCATATCCTTGGTGTACCTCAGGGGGGCGACCACCTGGCCGGCGGGCCGTTCCCGCCGGCGATGTTTCTTGTTATGAGCTACCCTGAGCTCTGCCTCGACGTCACGCTCGACAAGCGTGCTGACGGCAGACATGAAGGACGAAGTCCTCGCGCGTCTGCGCGCGTGGTGAGGGGCGGACGCAATACTGGGCAGGTTGCTATAGGTCTACAGAGTCCAAGGGGGGTTGCTAGTAGCAGCGAGTTAATTAGTAGGGGCAGGGCTGAGATGTGAATGTACGTACGATCTGAGACGGGGATGAGTGAGAATGACAACAAGGGTATATGAGGGGACTGGAGAAGTGATCGACAGCGAGGGAGAAGCCAGACGGGGGAATATAAGGAATGGGCCAAAGGTCGTAATTTAATAGAAGGAGAGAAGGGAAAGGTGGTGTCGTAAAATTTCGGGGCATGGATGCTGACGATGATGGCCGTCTCATCTCCAAACTCCGGGGGCAACGCAAGGGTCGCGGTTCACGAGGAACGCGATCCCTGACATCTCGCTCGCTTGCGCCCCCGCCCCAATATTCAATGTCCATCTCAACACTCACACTCACAACACTACAACAACTCATCATTACTAAATTACGACCAATCCGGGGTCTCTACGACTTGTCTTCCCACGCCGCTCCAGCACGTGACAGCCTCGCCGCTCGACGGGTGTCGTCGTCTTCACCAACGTCTAAACCCTCTAAACCAGTCATGAGCTCAAGCAGCCTCGTCCTCCGAGGGGCACGCAGCACATCGCGCGCCTCCAACTCCCTCCGCGCATCCTCCCGCGCATTCCATGAACCACCCAAGGTCTACCGTGCCCAGGAGAAGGACCCGCAACTAGGCGACTATCCCGACCTACCCTGGGTCTCTAACCAGCAGCGCTCTCCATACGGCTGGTGGGACCCGCAGATGCGCCGCAACTTCAACGAGCCTGCAAGTCCCTCCCCTCTCTTCTGCCAGCGTTGCCCTTGTCGCTGGCCCTAGTATTTTCCCAGAACTAATACTGCTCATTCGTACAGATCCACCCGCGCGACGAAGTCCTCTCCATGTGGGGTCCCGATGTCGCCCCCGTGCCACCCCAGACGGCCCTCCGCCAGTTCCTCCTGGCCGCAGGCAGCTTCGTCAGCTTCGGCTTCCTCGTCAAATACGCCCTCACCCCCGACCGGCCAGCCGTCCCGCGGGAGTACCCGTACTCTGGTCTCGTCACGGAGCTCGGAGGCCTCGACGCGAACAAGGTATGGAAGCCACCCTGACTCACCTGCCGTGCCGCGTTTCACCCCGTCCTTTGCTTTGTGTCTGATTCTGACTGTCTTTCTTTTGCGTTCTGCATCTCAGGCTAGAGACGAGGGCGACGGCGAGGATACCGAGTAAAGGCACTCCTGAAACTTTCAACTGGTTCCGGCTGCGGCCACTGGCAGACGTGAAAGTCGAACACCACTTCAATCCATCCCATTGTGTAGATGGTCCTTGTCCGTGCAAATGCAATTAGAATCCGCGCATACCGCATAAACCCACCCTTGGCTTTCGCTCGCCGCGGTCCCTGCAACGACCGATACAGTGGATCAGCGGCACGTTTTACTAGTCGTTCGGCTCGCTTCAGAGACAAGGGTGAGGGGAAGACCCGAGAAGTAAAGGCGAGAACCGCACAAGAACACAGTCACGAGCTGTGGGTCCACATGTCCACCCGCACTATTTTCTAGGTGGCGTCGCCAAGCTAAGCGTTAGTATGACGCTCCCGCGTCATATAATTGAGGTGTTTTTGTTCGCGGTGCGGCGGGGTACTGACTCAGGAGAACTTAACTTTCGATTGACTTGAACGCCACCCCTCGCACGGCCTGTCGCGCCGGACGACGTTGATAAGATTCTGTCCGTGCTCGCAACCGCTCTCAATGTACTTGACCACGAGTCTGGTGAGTCTCACCACTCGGAACTTGACAGCTCCGATTGAGAAGGTTGAAGTTATCGATGATATCGATCGGGATGCGGTGATAAAAGTGCTGCACTTTTGAATGGCTCTGCGACAGGCCGCGACCAAAGTGTACATCGTGTCATGGTCGGCCCGACCTTCAATATTGCGGCATAAGCTAAACAAAGACTGGCGCCGCCACCATCGCCCTGTCGCATGCAACTGACATGATATCGTCTACGGTATCATCTCCTATACGTCTACGCCAAAAATTCCGCGTGGTGATGCATGATCTGCGCTCTGCTCATTGTCAAATAACAAATTACAAAAGTATAACAATTAAATGTGATCCAGGACCCGGCGTTCAGGTATACATACGTACAGTACCGTAAGGACCTGACTGGAAGTCTACGCCAGAAGAACCAAGTTCGGCACGGTATCGAGCTATGAGTAATCCAACGAACTTGTATTCAGTATCATAGACGGCTGTCACCGAGCAGAAACATACCCTCGGCTCGATCAAAGGATCAGGCATCAACATCGACCCGTCAGTGCCGCTACGTTTTCATCATGAGTCCGAGTTCTCCGCCTCCTCTTCCGAGTTCACCGAGCCCGCATCGTCGGCACCGGCACCGTCGCTTGAACTCGAGTCGTACAGCCCCGCACGCTTCTTCCGCTTCGTGCCGCTGACTAGCCTCGGTTTGGGACGCGCAACTCTAGGCCTCAGCTGTACCTCGAGTGGACGAGACGGGATTGCACCGGCGCCGCTGCCTGAGACTCTGAACTCGTCGTCGTTGTCGTCGCGGACACCAGTACCTCTTCCCGATCCCCCTGTTCCCGCGAGTTCATCTTCAGAATCGCTGTCCTGCGGGCGAGAGCGGGGCCCGTTGGTTCTGCGTTTCCCGGACCCCGCGTCTGGATCTGCTGCGTCGGGGTTCATACCGACGGTCGATGCTTTGCCCTTGCCCTTGGTTTTCCGACGGGCCAACGAAGTTCCAGCGGCACCGGCAGCGTCATCTTCCACACCGGGAGCAGCGTTCTTCCGCTGCCTAGGTTTGGGCTTGGGCCTGGGTTTAGCCTTCGCCTTCGTCATCGCCGTCTCCTTCTTCTCCTTCTCCTTGCCCTTCCCCTTCGAAGTCGCAGAAGCCGAAGCCGAAGCCGAAGCAGCAGTCTTCCTCCGCTTCTTCTTAGGCGGCTTCTCCGCGTCATCTCCCCCCACACTTTCGTCGTCATCACCACCGACGACATCATCACCATCGCCGCCCAACTCAAACGCCGCCGCCGATCCCGACCGCGAAGAGCCGGCGGGACCGGGCGTCGCATTGGTCGGCCTGCCACCAGCGGCGCCCTGCTTGCGCGCCTGTTCCTTGCGAAAGTCGGACACGACCTGCTGCAGCCGCTTGCTGCCGTACGCCTGGCGCTTGCGCGGCGCGTACGAGCCCGTGCCCGAGGACACGTCGAGGAAGACGTTCAGGTTGCCTTGCTTGTTCGAGGTCGTTGACTGTAAAAATAAATAAAATATAACAAAGGTATCAGTAAGTTTCAAATTTCCGAGTCGGCCGTGATTCGTATCGGCGTATTGCGGGGAAGTGGTAGAATTGAACGAGGATAATTTCCGATTGTGACCGTGGGCCAGCAAAGAAGAAAACAGAACACGGTAGAATGCAATGTAATGTAAAAGAAGACAAGACACATGAGACTCCGCACCTGCTTCCGCCGACTCATCTTCTGGATGATCGGAAGGAGGAGGTCGTCGACCTTCTTCTGGCCCCAGCTCAGCTCTTCGCGGAGAAATCTAACGTGACACATCGTCCATGCATGAGCGGACGGGCACGCATGACGGCTTTAGCAAAAATAACTCACTCTCGTAACGCGTCAAGGTCTGGCATGCCCCACTTGAACGGCTCTCGAGACGAATCAACGGTCGGGTGGTAATACGCGTCCCGCTGCATTGTACGAGCGGCACGATCATTAATACATAATTCCGTACTGGGCAAGACACTTCCGTCCACTCACCACCTGCGGATTAGGCCACTCTGGAGGCAAATAAAGATCCTTGAATTTCTTCTTCTGGAAGTAGCAGCGGTGCATCAGTTTCGATTTCAACAAAAAAAGAATGGAATCAAACGGGTACGCCGTCTCAGTGCACTCACAAACCGCTTCCGGAACTTGCTCTGGCTATCCGCCTCCCTATCCCGTCCACTCTGCACCTTGCCCCACCAGTCCCTGAACTTGTGCAGCCCGTCCGCGCCGGGAAACTCCTTGAGCAGCTCCATCGCCACCACGGGGCCCACACCGGGTAGACCCTCGACGTAGTCGCTCCCGAGCAGATACGCGAGGCGCACGAGCGTGTCGCGCTCGAGCCCGAGCTCGCGCGCGAGGTCGGAGAGCAGGAAACACTCGACGGTCTTGCTCTGGTTGAACATGTTCTTGAACACGCGCAGGCCGCCGAATAAAAAGACGTCCGAGTCGTCCGTGATGACGCCCTCGACGAGGCCGAGCTGCACGAGCTCCGCGCACTGCGCTTCGGCCTCCATCGGCGCGGTGATGTACGGAATACCGAAAAGGCGGAGCATGAGCTTTTCAAAATGACATCAGAGAAACGTCCGTTCAACCGAGATCGAGGTGCAAAGCCTACCATAATCTGAGAGATCATCTGCGTCGTGATATCGTCAGAGTCGCGCATCGCGGCCTTCTTCTGCTGATTGAGCACCCGGATCTCGTCGTCGATCTCGCGCCGCACAGTGTCGATGTCGCGTCCCCTCATGTCAGAGATAAACCGCGCGAACTCGCCCTCCTCCGCGTGTGCGTCCATCTCCTGCGCCGCGTCCCAGCTCTCGGCTTCGGCGGCAGCTCCACTCGCCGCCTGCTGTAATTGCTGTTGCTCCTGGTGCTGCTCTTCCGCACCATGCCCGCCGTCCTGTGCCTGCGCCAGCTCAGCCCGGCCGCTGGCCGGAGGCGACTGCGGCCAATTAACGAGCGACTCCGAGTCCGACTCTTCCTCTTCCGCAACGTCGGCGACGCGTTCAAGCGGCGTTACAGCGTCCTGCGCACGTGTCCGAGCAGGAGCAGAAGCAGAAGCAGAAGCGGAAACAAAAGAAGAAGACCCAGAGACACCGCTCCCTCCGAGTCCTCGGTCCCGGACCCGCCGTGACGACGGAGCATCCACATCCACATCATTGTCAACATCATCATCATCATCATCCGCAGCGACAGCGCCATGCTCAATTGAATCGTTCGACGTTGACGGCGCCAAAATGTCCACTGCACCGGCGCCATCAGCGACATCAATCCCACGTGCGGCAGCGACGGCTGGTCCGCTTATCCCGTTTTCTGATTCTGAGGCGCCGTCGTCAGCATGGCGGATCACGCCGTGTGAAGCAGGGCCGGCGACAATCGTCGCGGGTGGCTGCTCGTCCACTGCTATAGGCTCGGGGCAGGGGGCGACATATGCTGACGGATCAACCTCCTCCATATATCCTTCCGAGTCGGAAGCCTGAGAGAGGGTGGAGGGTTGCATGGGGCCACTGATGGTGGGCGCCGAATTTTGAAGTGGCAAGTTGTTTTCGCGCGCCTGGCCATCATGATGACCTTGGATCTGGCTCTGAGAAAGAGGTTTTGTTTCAGGTTTGTTGGACGGGTGGGGCAGCTGCGGAAAAACTTCCTCCATATCGTCATTGCCCGAGTCTGAATTGACCTGTACCGGCGCAGGGACAGTAAATTGCGTGAATGAGTTTGCAGAAATCCCATCGGTACTTTTCGACGGTGGAGAATGTGATACGACCACGTCGTGTTGAGACCGGCGAGGCGTAGGCGCAGGTGGCGGTCGCGATACAGGCTTTCCGCCTGCGAGAGGCGATTGAGAAACCGGACGTCCGAGTCCCTGATGCTCGCCAGAGGTACTCCGGAAGGGAGCCGCGCCGCCAATCGACAGGGCCGTCTGCAAACGAGAAGGAGTCGCATATAGATCCTCCTCATCAGACAGCTCGTGCACCACGCGTTTGGAAGGCGAAGACGGCTTGGGCGTGTCGGCAGGCGCGGTAGAGCCTGTCAGCAGCGAGCTCGCCGTGCCAAATACGGATGCCCCTGGAGCTGAAGCTGAGCAAGGGGACGGTCCTTGCGCATGCGACGGATGGCGAGCATCTAGAGAAGCCTGAATAGCCATGGCAAGGTCGGCGTCGTCCTCTTCGGCGTCTTCCACATTGTGAGCCTGAGTCTGAGGATGATACGCTGGCAGCTCGTCGTCGTCGAGGTCGAACAAGAACCGCTGCCTGTTCTTCCTCTGTACCGGCTTCACAGGCTGCGTGGGCGCCCGCTTGCCGATCGCAGAGAGCGCCATAGTCTGTTGGTATTCACGCAGGTTGGGGTGCATCGCGGCCGATCCTGGACTTTAAAGAACGGTAAATGAGCTTTGCAGCGATCATCGAGCAAAAGAATGTACATTGGGACCTCCTCGAGCTCCATATCCTCATCCTCGTCCTCGTCCCCGCCCACCGCCACCTTCTCATCCTGATCAATCTCAATCGGCTTCGCACTCGAACTCCCCTCGTCGCGGATCCCCAACACCCACCCGCCCTCGGCGCCCTCATTCTTCACAAGCACATACTCCCTATTCCTTTCACTCGCAATCCTCACCGGAATCGTCACATGCGCGTTCCCAATACTGTCCGTCGTCTCGAGCAGCTGCTGCGTGAGCGCGTTCCGCTGCTTCAGCCCCATAATCTGCGCGCGCGAGAAATCGAGCGGCGTCGGCGCGCCGCGCAGCATCGCCTGCAGGCGCGCGTGCGACGTCTGCCGCGAGCGCAGCCGCAGGTCGCCCACGATCTCGTACTGCACCTCCGTCGGCAGCTCGCGGAACGCGGGCGACGCCACGTCGATGTCCTCCGGCCGCATCTCCTCGATGAACGCGCGCAGCTCGTCCTCGGTCGCGAGGCGCGGGTCGGGCGCGCCGCCGCCTGCCCGGGCTTTGTCCGCGATGCGCGCGGAGAGGTCGACGTCGGGAAGGCGGTAGGGGTCGTAGTCGTGGAAGCGGTTCTTCTTGGACGAGGGCGGAGAGGCCGCGTCGTCCTTTGGCGGAGGCGGCTTCGCCGGTGTGCGAGGCGGGCCGTCGCCCTCCAGGTCTTCCAGATAGACCGCGGTCTCGTCCAGACGTGCAGGCTCAGTAGGCACTTTACTCTTTCCCTTCGCGGGCGGCGGTCTATCCACTCGTTGAGTAACCTTCCCATAAAGCATCACAGGACACCCACCGCGCATGCGCCAACGCCTCCCTCCTCATATGCGCCGCAAGCAGCCGCTCAGCAACCTTGGCATGACTCGCAGCAGCACCGCTCTTCTTCCTCTTCCTCTCCATCTACACACCCTCGTCAGCATCCACCGCTCAATGCAACGCACCAACGCAACACAGCAAAACGCACAATCGTACCCCTCTTCATCGCCGGCGCCCCCCCATCAAACACAAACACAGGCCTCACGCCATAAAACAGCAACTTGCATATCCGCCGCAGGAACCCAAGCACATGCGCGTTCACGAGCCCGCGCCCGTCCCGGTCGCGCATCGTCGCCTGGAACTGGTAGATCCAGATGCTCGAGTCGATCGCCATCGCCTTGCCCTCGACCGTCTCGAGCCTGCCGTCCCATATCGATGATTTAGTCAGTTAGTCTGATTACCTCGGAGGAAGAAAGATTCGTACGGGACAGGCCGCCCCACGGGCTCGACAAGGCTCCAAAGTGACTTGACACCCATCCTTGGACTTTTGTTCCAGTAGTATCAGCTAGCTCATAAGAATAATATCAACTCTGGCAGAACGAAAGCGCCGCAGTGGTCGTGGAGAGGTCTCAAGAGACAACACAATCAACTTGAGCGCTAATTGCAACACGCTCGTCAGCCCCATTACTCATCCCCTCATTTACATAAAAATCGCGGTCCCGAATCGAGTCAGCCGCTGTCACATCCACGTGGCGACGTGTCTCCGTGCCGTCCGGAGTCCCTAGTCCTACCTACTTGACGCTGAGGCCATGCTCTTCCAGCAAGTCTGCCGATAAAACAAAGCCTTGCACATCTCACACGAAAACCCAGGCAACCCAAAGATTTAAAACAGTCTATAGCAGGATAAGCAGGATATATATCCGTACGTACGTAGCCACTGTAACCATAACATGTGCGCAGTCGGTATCAACATAATACGTGCGAGAACCAGACCCGAGGACGTTGTAAGAACACTGTAACAGAAGAGAATAGACATATGATATGATATAGACAACTGCAAGGCCGTACGTATGATGCAGGTAAAAGTCCGTTTTTTCGATTACTGTATGTAAAAAAAAGTAAAAACGCGTAAAAGGTGGACACGACTTCGAATCTTCGAAACGGAGAAAAGCAACAATCGCAAAACCAATCGCGCGCAACGCCCCAGACGCGAGCGAAACCACGACCCAAGTCCCAATTTTCGAACAAAACAAACCACACTACACCCTTGGACTCCCCCTTCTCGCAGGCGAACCCCCCGGCCCCGCCGACCCAGGACGCGAGCTCGGCCCAGCATGCACACTCGGCGGCGGCCTCAACTCGTCGCCCGCCCCGCCCGGCATCATCTGGTGCCCAAACGCCCCTGGCGAGCCCCCACCACCACCCGTCATCTGCATCCCCATCCCCCCTCCCATTCCTCCACCCATCCCGCCCATCCCGCCCATACCCATCCCCATCCCGCCCATGGGACTCATCATCCCCGGCATCATCATCGACATGCGCGGGTCAAAGCCCCCCGTCATCATCGGCGACATCTGCCCCATCCCGCCCATCTGTCCCGGCCCCGGCGAGCCCCCTCCCATACCCTGATGATGCCCCGGCGACCCCCCTCCAGCACCCTCAGCTCCGCCCATCTGCGACCCCGCAAACGACATCATCGCCTGCTGATACGCCGCCTGCGCCGCCTGCTGCGCCGCCATCATCATCTGCGGGTTATACTGCGGCATCATCCCCGGATACCCGCCCATATACCCGCCCGTCATCATCGGGTTCATCGGCGCGCCCCCGGTCATCATCGGGCTCATCCCGTTCATACCCATCATCATCGGATTCCCCATCGCCGCCGCCGCCGCCATCGGATTGTACCCGAACCCGCCCGGCGCACCGTACATCGACCCCTGCGCCATCTCCAGCTGCTGCCGCTGGAACTCGTCCAGCTTCCGCTGCCGGTCCTCCGCGATCCGCTTCTCCCTCTCCCGCTCCGTGAGCGCAGCACCCACCCCGCCCTCGCGCTTCCGTTCCCTCTCATGCGCGGTGATCGCACCGAGCAGGCCCGTCTGCGGCGGCGGCGGCTTATGCGGCACATTGATCAGCGACGCGCCCATCTCCCTTGCCATCTCCTCCTGCTTCTTCGCCGAGCGGTCGCTCTTATCCTGGATCCCCGCAGACAGCAGCCCATGCGGCGTGAACGCCTTGGTCATCTGCTGCGTCGGCGCCTCGAGCTGCACGAACGTGTCCCGGTGCTGCTGCGTCGACATCTCCGGCAGCTGGTTGTGCCCGGGGTTCCGGCCGGGTTCCAGAACCTGCGTCCATATGGTCTGGCGGGCGGCCGCGTGGCGGTCGTAAGGCGTCGTCGCCTGGGGGCCCTGCATCATGGACGGAGACTGCATGCTATGCATACTCTGCATACTCTGCATGCCCGGCATCTGCTGCTGCATCTGCTGCATGTGTTGCATGCTGCCCTCGTCGGGCGTGCGCGGGTGCTCAGTGTAGCGGCGCTGTTGCTGTTGCTGCTGCTGGCCGAAATAGTCATCTGCAATACATTACAAACCCGAATTAATCAGCCAATGAGATCGCAAGCACCACGCGCATACACTCCACCACGTACTTTGCATCTGGCCACCGGGGGGCACAGGGAGATTGCGCAGCTGCTGAGGGTTGCGAAGCTGAGCATACGGGTTCGCGTCCGTCGCCTGCTGCTGCAGCTGCTGTTGCTGTTCCGCGGGCGAAGACGCGCCCCGACTGGACGGCCTCAGCGAGCGAATGGGCGCAACCGGGGTAGGCGCAAACGGAGTAAGCGTCTTCTTGTCGTTGGCATTGGTACTACTCGCAGGGGGCGGTCCACCGTCCGAGTCCGCGTCCTCTTCCTCCTCCTCCTCATCTTCATCGTCCTCTTCCTCCTCGTCGCTGCTCTCGGCCCACCCGCTAGCAGCATTATTCTTGCTTTTTCCTGCTGCCTTGCCCGCGACGCGTTTTCCGTTGGCGCGTCCCGGCTTGTGTGCGGCGGCCTGTTGCGCGGCCTGCTGGGCCTGAGCGCGTGCCTTGCGTTCGGCGGCCTGTCTGGAGGGTGCAAATGTGGACCTGAACTGGCCACTGGAGGGAGCGTCCTCTGTGCTGCCTGCCTGGGAAGGCGGGTCCGAAGCTGGGGGTTCTGTGTCTGCTGGTTGAGGGCCGTGTCCGTTGGAGTGCTCGCCATCGAGGTAACTGAGTGCAGCGAGCGCGTCTGCGTTGTCGTCGTCGGACTTTTGTCGGCGTGGCTGCTGCTGCTGCTCCTGTGGCTGTGGCTGCTGCTGTTGTTCTGCCATCGAGTTCTGGTTTGTGGAGGGAGAGAAGGAAGACGTGGGTGTGTCGGCAATCGGATTTGCAACAGCTCCTCTCGAATTGGCAGGTGCACGTGCCCCAGACGGTCGCCGGCCCAGACCGTCCGCCGCTGGCCCAGAGTCGGCGAGGCTTCCCATCGGGGTACCGGTGCCGCGGCGGACCGAGTTGCTGAATGCCGAGCGCTGTGATGGCTGGGAGTAAATGGACTCGCTCTGCTGCGTCGCCTCCTCGTCCTCCTCTGTCACAGTCGTAGGCATACGTCGCACACCCCGACCCCCACTCCCGCTACCGTCCATCTGCTGCATGTACATAATCGCATTGTTGTAGTCCTCGTGCACCTCGCCCTGAGTCTGAGTCTGAGGTGCCTGCGCCATATACTGCATTTGTTGCGGAGGCGGAGTCCCAGTCGGCGGCGGCGGTGACCTCGAATAGACATTAACAGGCGTCGTCGAAGCAGCACGCGGCGGCGACATCGTCTTCGACGGCGGCGTCGGCGCAGAAAGCACCGGCGACGTCGACAGCGCACGCCCCGTGTTCCTCTGCGGCGACCGCTCCGGTTTCGGCGGCGGCGTGGGCGTCGCCGCCCTCGCAGGGACAAACGCATCGACGTTCCGATCCTTGACCTCGGTAGCCGGTGAGTGCGGCGACGTGAGCACCGAGAACCTCGACGACGGCGTGTTGGGCGCCAGCTGTTGTTGCTGTTGTTGCAGCTGCTGCTGTGCCTGCAACTGCTGCATCCTCGGGCTCGGCGGCGGCGGCGTCATCGAGAACCTGCTCGCACTAGCCCCATACCCATGTTGCGGCTCCGGCGACAACCCCCCACCACGCGTAGACCCAGCCTGTGGCGGCGGCGGCGACGCCGCGCCATACGAACTCGGGCTCGTCGGCGTATGCGACACCGAGCTACGCGTATTCCCCTCATTACTGCTCTCCATCGTGCGCCCCATAAACGACTCCCCACCCGTACTCGCCGTGCGCCCGTCCCCGCCCATCCCACCAATATATCCCTGGCTCACGCTAAAGCTCGCACCGGGCGAATGCGACGACCCCGCACTGCGCGGTGGCGGCGTCCGCGTCTCCACAATAGACGGTACACGCGGCCTCGCCTCCCCGCCCGAGTCCTGCCGCACATTGTGAGTCGACAGACCCGACGTCGATGCTTGTCTCGAGAACCCGCCCAGCGTATCGCGCTCCGTGATGGGCGAAAGCGTGCGCCCGTACTCGTTCGCGGGTGTCTGATAGTTGGATGGTGGGCTGTTGGCCCCGTTCCCATTTTGCATTTCGCCTTCTCCACGCGCGTTTGCGTGGCCATTGCCCTGCTGAAGCGGCTGGGTCTGGCCAAAGTTGTCGTTGTTATCAGAAGAGGAGCCAAGGTCGAGCTCGGGGAGCTGGGGCACGGGTGGTATCGCTTCGGAGCTCACAGCCGTGCTGCCGAGAGTAAGAGGGGGGAGGGAAGGTGGGGCTTCAGGCGGAGGTGCGACGATGCCCCGCATGCGGTCGGTGAGAATCTGTAAGAGGCGAGCACGAACAACGGAAGTGCGGTCGTCGCGAGGGTCCATGGCCTCGGCGGCTTCGCGATCAAGGAATAATAACTAGATATGTCATTAGCATGCTAAAACACAAGCGTTTAAAACAAAATATAAACGCACATCTTTGCCAGGTCCAACAGGGTACCCAAACATCATAGAAACAGGATCTCGTGGATCCCAACTATACGGCTTTGGTCGGCCATACAATCCAAACGCATCATGCAGTGCTAAAAGCAAAAAGTCACCATCGTCAAAGATTTCAACTCGATTACCAAATCATACTCACCAACAAGCCACTTGAGCATCTCCGAAGCCTGCGTATTCCCCGTCTCAAGCTCGGGCATAACCAACAACCACCCCTCGCGGTTCTTCATCCCGCCCGCCGTCTCCTCCTCGCCCAGCAGACCCTCGACCTTCATAAGCGTGCTCCTATTGATCAGCTCCGGCCGCTCGGGGTACACCGCGAACGCCTGGGACACCTCGCGCAGCGACAACAGCGCCTTCTTGCGCTCGCGCGGCTTCGGCCCCGTAAAGAAGGACAACATCGCGCCCTTGCCCGGCGTTCCTCCGTTACCCCCACCCGCGCCGCCAGAGCTCCCGGGCCGCCCATTCGACTGCGACGCGCCCGAGTCCCTCCCGGACGAAAAGAAATTCGACAGCCTCCGCTTCTGCTGCACCGGGCTCGCTGGCCTCCCCGCCCCGCCACCACCGTTCCCCTGCCCGTCCTCCCCCGCGCCCGCGCCGTCGGCAGTAGCGGTAACGACCATCCACATGCGCTTCCAGTCCGTCTGCCCCGCGACGCGCACGCGCACCCAGCCCTCCATGCGCCCGCGCGTGAGCGTCGACGGCGCGTCGCGCCCCTCGGGCAGTGTGATGCGCACCAGGTGCGCCGTGTAGATCTCCTCGAGCCGCGACTTCTCCCACGCGGACAGGCGCAGCGCGGCGGCCCAGGAGAGCAGCGCGGAGACATCCGGGCACGCGAAGAGGAGGAGGTTCGAGCCGGCGGTGTTGAGCGAGAGAACGTTGGAGAATTTGCGCGGGGGCTCGGGGCCCTGCGTGGGGACGGTGATTGAGCCGAGAACCTGGACGAACTGGGGAGAGAGGCATCGTTTGATCAGCATGCATTCCCCCCAAGAAAAAGAAAAAGAAAGAAAGAAAGAAAACCCACCGCATCCGTCATATTCACATACGTAGGCGGCACCTCCCTTCCCTGCCGATTCGCCTCCTCGACCTCGCGCATATCCCAAATACTCAACGTCGTCCCCCCGAGCTGCGCCCACACGTCCGCCCAGCCGTGGTCGCCCTTCTGCGGCCGCTGCCCGTCCGGGTGCCGCTCGACCTTGCGCACGAGCGGACCCGAAAAATACACCTTGCGCGCGTGCGCGAGCGTCAGCTGCACCACCGACCGGATCTCGGGGTGCAGCGGCGGCGGCGGCGAGGACGACGACGATGATAGCGGGGGCCCGCCCGCGCTTGGGCCTGGACCTGCGCCCGCGGCTGCGCCTGCGCCTGCGCCGATGCCCCCACCAGATACGGACTGCTTGCGCAGTGTGCGGCGGGCGCCGTCGGGCTGCTGATCGGGGGGCGGCGGGGGTGGGCGGCCGTTTTGCCCCTGTGGGCCAGACAAGGGCAGCGTCACGGCGCCGTTGGTGCGCGAGCGGGTCTGGGTGATGGGCGGGCCAAAGTCGGTGCTGGGCTGTCCGTTGGAGCTAAAGTCGGACTTGCGGCCGGAAAAGGTGGAGGCGTTAGGGGAGGCGAAGGAGGAGGCGGAGGGGGTGCTCGGGCCGCTTTGGCTGGGGCTGGGGTCGCTTGGCTGCTGCTGCTGGGTGCGGGAGCGGAAGGAGAAGAAGGAGGAGGAGCGTCCGTGGGTCAGATTAGGCGCCATCTGATTAGCAGTGTTAATCTGCTGCTGCTGTGGTGCGAGGATGTCGACGGTGTGTGAGCGGTTGTGTGTGTTGTGCTGCTGTGGATTTAGATTTGGATTTGTGGATTCGTAGCTGCTGTTTTGGCCAAACTCGTGGACAGGCTGGTCGAGGCGAAGTGGGCTGGCCTGTCTGAGCTGCTGAAGCTCCTGAGGATTGATGAAGCTCCTGTTTCTGAGCTCCCACTGGGGACTCGTGCTCGGGGGATACGGAGCAGGGGCGGGGGAGGACTGCATGATGCAGGGGAGGGATTGGAGGAGCTGGCCAAGTAAGCACACGTGAACACTGCGCACAGCCCCAACTGCCCCCGCCGCTGGGCGCCATTGCACCGCGTGTCTCTCATCCACCAGTTCTCATAGCGACCTCTCTGGCACCTTCTGGCGCTCATTTAGTCCATTATTGTCCAAGTAGTGAGGTCATCAACTTCTACTCTCTACAATCTGCCAGCTCACTTCTTGGGCGCGTGCTCAAACTTGTCGAACCCAAGCGACTTTTGCACCACATCCTCTTCTGCATCCGGCTCCAGGTTCCCATTCCTGTCTCGTCGTGCCCTGATTCAAAACCAGTTAGAAGCTCGTTGGACCACCTGACAGCACACGACACACCTGAAGAAGGTATATGAAAGCACCACGTCGTCAATGTCCCGGCACGCAGGATCATCCACAAAGTCCTTATCAATGAAGAACAGCAGCGGCATATCCACCTCTTCCCCCGCGAGCAGCTTCTGCTCCTCAAAGCAGAAACATTCCACCTTTGAAAAGTACGGTGCTATCTGCATTCAGACAATCCATCTCAGTTCCCGTACGAAGTATAAAAAATTTACTCACCCGGTCTGGCGTGACGTTGTACGTCGCGATGCCAATAATGTCCTGCCGGCTGTTGTTGCGCGCCCTGTAAAACGCCAGACTCGTCTCGCCCGGCAGCACGTTCACGAACTTCTGCTGCGGCGAGAACTTCCACGGGAGCGCTTCGCTCCGATCCGCGTTAAAGTGCACGGTTATCCGCCGCGCGTCGTCGACGGGCACCAGCCTGTCTGCGGAGAACTTGCCCTTGCCGACCTGGGGCGTGCCCGCGAAGCCTGTTGCAGCGCAGAACATGCGGTAGAGCGGGACTGCCGCGTAGGTCATCCCGAGTGCGAACACGATCTAGAGAATACGCGCATAAGTAGTGGTGCATCCATGTGTAAGCGTGAGCTAGTATGTGCAGTCGTTAGACGAAACGTACCGCGGCGGATGAATACATGACCAGACTTCTGTTGCGCTGCGAGTGCATCTTCTGGCGTGCAGCCTCATATCCCGCCGCGCGCGCCCTTGCGCTCTGGCTTGGCCCTGCGCCAGCAGCACTTGGGCTATGTTGCAGTCGTACATGAGGTCGCCGAGGTGGAGAGGGAGGCAAATGAGCGCTGAATGTGAGTGCTCTCCGAGTCGTGAACTGCGTGAATGACGTGCCGCATTGGCATTGCCGTGGCAGGCCTAATATCTACAATGCATAAAACAGAAATCAGCTCCTACTGACGAGGCGACTGGCATAACTGACAAACATACCGCGGTGCGCAACATTCTGACAAACGCTGCACTTGAAGAAAGTCCGGAGCTAAATCCGAAGTCGCGGATTCGCATTTGGGATGCGATCGACACAGCTTGCCTTCACTTCACCTCCTCCACGCAACGACCACACACCATGGCCCCCGCCTCGCCTCCGCCCCCACCACCGCCGACAAAGCCTGCAGAGAAACCAGCGTCGTCGTCCAAGGCCCCCGATGCAGAGCTAGAGCAGCTCCTGTCCCGCGAGGCGTCTGCATTCCAGCGCGAGATGGAGGTCGAGCGCATCCTCAACGCGTTCAAGCTCAAGTGCGTCTCCTCCTTGCCGTCTCCTCGCTCGATGCTGAAGACCGCTTGATTCTAATTTCTCTCCACTCATCACCGATCGTTGATGCTGGCGCCTCGTTCCTCGCATGCACACACACTTGGGAACTTGAACACGAACGTACCTGAATACTGCTGCGCTACGTCCGGCGGCTCTCCGTGCGCATTCGACTGGCATCACCTTCAATGTCGCTTCCGTCGTCGATGCTCGCCGTGCTCTTATTTGATTGATGGAATTCACTCGTATGTTCGTTTCGCTGTTCCACAGCCCCTACGACATTCTCGACCTCCAGACGTCCGCAACACAAGAAGAGATCAAGAGGCGCTACCGCCAGCTCTCGCTCTGTACGTACCCGCCACCCCCTCCCCTCTACCAGCAACCTCTTTAAATCTAACCAACAACCTTGCCATACGCTAGTCATCCACCCCGATAAGACACCACACGAACGCGCCCCAGAGGCCTTCGACCTCCTCAAAAAGGTACGCACCCTTCCCATCTTAGCAACCACACGGCCCGACCAAACACTAACACCCGCTCGTTCCATCCCACCCCATCTTGTATCATCTCATCTCACCAGGCCGAATCCGAGCTCGGCGACGCCGCAAAGCGCGAGACGCTCGACGCGACGATCATCGAGGCGCGGATCCAGGTCCTGCGCGACCTCGAGCTCCCCGCAGCGCTTCCGGACGGCGACGTGCGTCTCCGTGCGCCGTCGATTCAGCCACCGTTCAAGGACCGGCTGCGCCAGAAGAGCAAGGAGCTGTTGATCGAGGAGGAGGTTAGGAGGCGCAAGTGAGTTTTGTTTTTGGTTGCTTGGTTTGTTGTGTGCGGATTGTTTTGTGGTCGTGTTCTTTGATTTTTGATTGTTTGTTCTCTTGCGTTTGGCAGTGTGATGAGTATATGCGGGGTGCTGACAAATTTTTGGGGTTTCGCAGGGCAATCAAGATGAACCTTGCGAACGAGGGCCTCGAGGCGCGTAAGAAAGAGGAGGAGGTTGCTTCGAGGAAGCGAAAGGCCGAGGAGGACAAGGCATGGGAAGGTACGTTTCTGCTCATAATCCTCATCAACTCGTCTGGTATTTATTGTTATCGATTTGCAGAGTCGCGCGACCAGCGAGTCGGCAGCTGGCGTAACTTCGCGAGCGGGGGCAAGAAGAAGAAGAAGGCCAAGGTGGCAGTTCTCGGATGAAGCTCTCGATCCCAATTAAACTCGGTACTGTTCTGGTTTGACCGGTCTTTGGCGTTTTAATTCTCGTCGTACTCGGCGGTTCGCCAGTTTGCCTAGCTAACATACATACTCTGCCGCGTGCACTCCTCGGCGATTGGCAGCGCATGCATTACTTACATGTTCACATCGAATCGATACGCACCCCGAACTCTATATCGAAATTGTAGAAAATGCCTGTAACATCCCTCGCATACATCTAATGTCATTGACTTTCTCAGACTTTTCTAAGCTCGTGTCCAATAAACATGAAGGCGCTTCAAATTGAGGAGGTAAAATTCAAACCCACTTACACGATCCCAATGTTGTACAGAACCCATCTAATCACTATCAGAAATATCGATCACGCTACGCATCGGCCCTAGCCTCCGTTTCCTCGCTGCGTGCGCGTGCGCGTTCGCGTTCGCGTTCGCCCTGCTCCCCACTGCTCCCCCTCCTTCCTCACTGTCAGACTCGATGAAAATCACATCGTCGGCGGAACTCAGCGTGCCCGAGCTCCGCCTGTCGCCCGTCCCGCCTGCCCGACTGTTTGCAGAACCGACCTGAGCTGCTGCTGCTGCTGCTGCTGCTGCTGCTGCTGCTGCCGTACCCGATGCGCCTTGCTGTTCAATCTCGTCGAGCACGGCAAAGTCGTCTGCGTCCATGTCGTCGTCAACGTCGAAGTAGTCGGACGAGTTGTCGTCCGCTCCGCCCGCGGCCCGCGTGTTGGCAGTACCCCGAGCTGCGCCTCGGTCCATCTGCTCTTCCCACTCCAGCGCCATGTCAATGTCCATGTCGTCGTCGTCGAAATTATTCAAGTTTGTGGTACTCGGGGGTTGACGACGGACAGGTTCTTGACGAGTACGGGCTCCAGATGAGGAACCAGCAGCCGCCCCACCCGCGCTCGCACCCGCACCTGCACCAGCGCCAGCAGCAGGAACCGCCCGACCCCGCTTCGCAGCCACCTCCGCCCGCTTCTGCTCTTCCGTAGGGACACCGATCGCCGCCGCCAGCCGCTTCTGTCGATCGTTGTAATGTGCTTTTATCACGCCCGTAGGAGGTCGGCCCCTCACCTTCCCCGTCGCCGCCGCCGCGTGGTTCCGGTTAGGAATAGCAACAGCGATATTGGCATTGGTGTCGGCATTGGTATTGGATGTGGTGGTGCGGGCGTTCGCGTTCGGTCTACTGGCGTTGGTGGTGCTCGTTCTGGGGTCCTCGTCGATGGACGTGTCGAGGTCGATGGCGTCGCGCGTTGGGGAGAAGGAGATGTCGAGCACGTTCGTGTCGTCTTGGCCTGCGGTGCCTCCGTCTCCGCGGTCGTGCTGCTCAAAGTAGGAGGACTGGTGCGGCTGTTGTTGGACAGTTCTGGTGGTTGAAGTAGAGACACCACTAGTACTAGCAGATGGCACAGGTGGCTGGTTATTTGTGGTGGAATTTGGCGGGCGGACGGAAGTGCTAGAGTTGGGTGGACGACTGGCAACAGAGGTTGGAGGACGGGCGTTGGAGTCGGGAGGACGGCTTGCAGCTGAATTTGGAGGACGGGCATTAGAATTGGGTGGTCTGTTGACTGCTGCTGCAGGACGTCCGTTCAGGTGAGGTGGTCCGTCTGCACCTTCCTCCCATCTATATGAAGTTTGGAAAATCAGTACTCTAGTTTCAATCAAAGTGACAGTTCAATAAGCCCACTCACCCCATCGCTCTTCTGAGAGCGGCGGCGAATTCCTCATCTTGATTTTCCTCATATGTTGGTGTCCATTGTCCTTTATGAATGATGTTTTCGTTTTGCAGGAACGCTATCCCATCACGAATATAGACATCCTTGATGAGCATCTGAACATTTATTCGAAGCTCAACAACCATGATCACGAGCAAATAGAAAAAATACGTACTTTATGCCCGAGCCTCGTCTCTCCAAGCACAATCTCCGGAATGAACCTGTACTCCATCGCCTTGAGCGAGCGCGACCCATCGGTGAGCACCAGATCCAACATGCCCCTCGGATACTTCGGAATCGGCCCCTCGTCCTCGTCCTCCTGCCCCTCTTCCTGCTGCTCGTCCTCCCGCCCCGACAGCCGCACAACGCCGCGCTCCTGACGCGCGGCCCGGACGCGCCAAAGATCGTACGCGCTGTGCCCCACCTCCATGATCGCGCGCACCTCAACGAGGATCGGACCCGTGATGGTCATTTCCCCCGTTCGCGGGATGATGGGTATACCGGTTTCCGGCACCATCGAGTCTTGGAGAGCATTGTTGAGCAGGTGGAACTCGATTTGCTGGACGAAGCGGTCGAAGTGGGCTGGGTTGTCGGGGTCGAGATGGTCCTCGCTCGTGATATGCTCGCAGCATGGCTCAAGCCATTCCTAAACAATGAAGATAAGGAAAGGCAATGTTAGCGGCTGGAGAATACAGCTCAGGCGAAGGATTGCGTACCGGATCTATCGTAGGCGAAGGGTAGTTTTGTTGGATCCACTGTTGCACTTGAGCGTTAACCATGGTGAATTTCGACGAGTCAACAGAGCGCCTTCTTGTGTCTCTTCTGTAAGGCAGTCAAGGAGAGGTTATCAGGGAGAGATTGAGGATAAGCGTAACACTATGGTAAGTTCAGGGAGATAGATGACCGCGCGTCAACAGGTGGAAGAGGGGAGGCTGGCCTGCGATGGTCGGTGTGGATGCTTACTGGGCTATATGCACAAATCTCCCCCAGCTAGAGGAGCGAAGTTCGACGAAAAAGAATCTGATGATTCTAGCAAGGGTTCCAGGGACTCAGTACTTGTCCACGCCCCTAGTAGCAGAGACAGAGATTAACGGTCTTGGAACGAAACGCGTCTCGGCCGCGTTCAACAAAGCAGAATAATTCTTGCTAGGAGCTCGAGCGGGTGCCACTGGGTCAAGAAGCTTGCAAATTAGTCGGACAAGGGCGAGAAGCTTTAAGCTCGTAGCCTAGAGTTCATCGCGTTTGGTGCAAGGCGAGAGGACGCGACAAGGACGCGAAGGGCAAGTCGCGTACACTTGGGAACATGGGACACGGACATTGCCGATCACTCCTTGCAATCGACTTTCATGACCCCACTTTCCTCGACACGATGCGATGAATTGTTCTCCTCTCGTTGCGCATTCTGCACACTGAATATGTGATCAAATACACATCATCGTTCACTTGGGAGCATTGTTTAATGACAGGGAATGACAAGTTTGTGGCATAATCATGTACATGAGGCTCAAATGGCTATCGTCCGAGTCCTGGGCCTGAGCCCTGGGTTTCTCTGTCTCTAAACCACCCCAGTCGTCAATACGCGCCGAGCTCTGTTATGATTCCAGACCTGAATACACTAATTTGCCGTGATTCAGGTTTTCAGGTGTCATCTGTTGGAAGTTGAGACCAGCCAGCGGTACGTCGTCTGTACAGGGCCTCCATTTTCAAAATTAACCAACTACGAAGTAGATCATATCTCACTTGCCGTTCCGACGATATGCTATGCATTCGCAAATTTGTATGGCTAGACGAAGTTAGTTTCACTGCGTCAAAGCTGTCGGCATCTGTATATTGAGGGCGTCGTAGGCTGGGTTAACTACTGGAGAGCTATGCTTTCAACCTGATCATAGAGCGTGCTATGCTAGGCCTGAGGTGTGTACATCGACCAAATATCATCTAAAACCCGTTTTGACTCTGGTCGCTCAGAGGTTTTCCGACACAGTCCACACTGTTTTCAGGGCGTTCCCAAGCGACACATTTACGGATCTCTACCAATGCGTGTTTAGCAATGTCAGGATATATGATTCTTTCGTCTCGCCACTGCTGCGATATTGTTTTTGAGAGCAATCATATCTTCGGACATTGAAGCCGCGTTATAATGAGAGTTGTCACGCATCTAGATCTTGCATCTTTAAAAAGGTGCATATCCTGAGCATCTCGATTTACTAATGCTGGTAAATCTGAGCATCCATGAGTATGAGTATCGTCCACGGCGTCTTGAGAGGCTCATTGCAGACCAGATTAGTCCACAGACGCCCATATCTCCCAGCTTGCTTCTTCTTTCCCAGCCAACTCGACCAGCGACGGTCACCTTCGTATCGTTCGCTCTTCGCTGCTTGCTTTCCTCTTTGCGATCTACCGCTATGTCTAGCGTTCAGTCCCGCAAAATCTACCAGAATCTCATCAACGCTGACACCGGGCAACTCACCATCACCATCACCTCCGAATCCGAACTCTCCAACCGCGAAATCCTCTTATCTATCGGGCTTTCTGACAACGACGCTTGCCCCATCGGCCTTTCGGGAGGTTTCTCTGAGAAGGGGAAGCTCATCGCACTCGCCATCGCCTCCGGCGACAAGGTCCTTGTCCTACAGTTTGCCGCCTCGGCTGCGAAACAAGGGATCAGCGATATCCGCAAGTTCCTGGCCGATACCCTCTTCTGCCGTCCTACCGGCTTCGTATATGCCTTCGATATGGCGCCGTTGGCCCTCGCTCTCTGGAAGGACCACGGCATTCGCATCGTGAACGGCGTGGACCTTCAGAGTGCTCATCCCAAGAGCCGCCTGCCATACGCGCTCGTCAAGCTCGCTATTGGCAACTCCGACCTCATCTACGGCCTCAACATCAATCATACATTCCGTGATATCATTTATCCGGGCGAAAACCTCAGCAATATCACCCCTGTCAGCCAGCGCGCTTGGCTTGCCTTCTATGTCTCCCAGCTCGCGACTTTTCAGGATCAAGTTTATGAAATCCCTCCCATCAATACTACGAAATTCTCCGATGAGGTACTCTCCTCCCTTTATATTTGTCTCTGTCCCCAAGCTAAATAAGAATTATAGAGGCTCAACCTCCTTGCCAAGAACTGGCAGGATGCCTTTCGGCTCGACAATATGAAACCGACTGAAACCTCAAAGAAGATTAGCTCCTCCTGGAACCCAAAGAAGAACCAGATCCATGCCACCACCGACCGCTACCAAAACCGCATCTTAGCTGGGAACGAATCACAGGTGGGGCGTTTCCTTTTCCCCTTTGGCCCCTATCTAGCTCATCAATGATATTACAGCGTGTCCGTGTCTCAGTCGGTGCCGGAGACCCTACTCAGGGGTATTCTGTTCCAGTCTCCTACAAAGACAAGCTCAAGTCGGGTGCCGGTGCAACCTTCACTGCCACTGCTGACCTCGACAACAAAGCTGTACAGACCTTGACCATCATTGGTAAGGATGCACCCACTGCTGCAGAATCCAAGCGCATGGAGACTCTTTTGCACATCTTGCAGGGTCTTGATGGCCAGGCTGAGAACCCATGGATTCAGAGAGTTTATGACTCACTTCCAGACTCGGAGTTCTCATGGCCAGCTATCTGGGCAGAGGAGGTTTCTACCCCAGCTCCTTTTGATCCTGACAACATCCCTCGCCCACTCAACAAGTCTCAAATCACAGCCATCAGGACCATGCTCTCTGAGCTGGATGCCCACCGCCTAGGTGTCTTTTGGGGGCCTCCTGGCTCTGGCAAGACCACTGTCATAGCCTCTTATGTCTTGACTGCACTTGCTCATGGCAAAAGCTTTATTTGGCTTATTGCTCAGTCTAATGTTGCTGTGAAGAACATTGCAGAGAAGCTTCTTGACTTTGACTTGCATAACTGGAAGCTCCTTGTTTCCAAGGATTTCTTTCAGCACTGGTGAGTTTTGTGTTCCATAGATATTATCATTGCTGAAATAAGTATAGGCATGAGCATCTGTATGACAAGCTGAGGGCTAATGTCATTATCTCTGATGAGTTCAAGGGAGTTCAGAGGGAGCTACAGGGGTGCTCAGTTGTTCTCTGCACTTTGTCTATGCTCTCCAACCCTGTACTTCATCGACAGAACATATTCAAGACATTCCCTCTCAGGACTCTCATTATAGATGAGGCTTCCCAGATTGAAGTAGGGGAGTATTTCTCTGTTTTCAATTCCCATGATACCATACGTAAGGTCTGCTTTATTGGAGATGATCAACAATGTGAGTGACCACATTTAAACCTCTTCACCATCTCACTAGTCTACAGTGCCTCCTTATGGACAGGAAGATATTCAGGATCTCAAAAGTATTTTTGAGGTGGCTCACCTCACAGATACTAGGATTCTCCTGGATACACAATGTGAGTTTTAACACTGCAGATTGTTTTTTTTACTTAATTGTTTTAGACCGTATGCCACCTCAGATTGGTGCATTTATCTCTGAGGCTATCTACTCTGGCTTGTTGCAATCATGGGAGGACCATCCCATCACTGGAGAGGATATGGCTTGCCGGTTTGTCAATGTTAGGGGTCAGGAGGAGTCTGATCAGAAGAGCTGGAAGGTGATATAATTGTCTTTTGAATTATTATCATTTAACTGACCATCACTCCTTTATCAGAACACTGAAGAGTGTGAAGCCATTCTTCAGATAGCAGCTGAATTTGAATCCCAAGGAAGGAGTTACAGGATCATTACCCCCTATGAGGCTCAGAGGAGTCTTATGGAGCAGGGGATGAAGGACAGGGAGCTTATTTGGGAGGATAAGTGCTTCAATGTTGACTCTTTCCAAGGTGAGCTCATATATCTGGACTGAGATTTATCTAACTTTCCTCACTCTATGTAGGAAATGAGGATGAATATATCCTAATATCGCTTGTCAGAACCAGAGCTCTTGGCTTTCTTTCTGACCTACGTCGCACCAATGTTATGCTTACTAGGTGCAAGAGGGGGATGGTGATTTTTACCAACAGGGCTTTCATTGAGGGGAGAGGGTCAGAGAGTCTTGTTGGAAATCTGCTTGGGTACTATGGGGATGAGGCTTGGCTGGAGGCCAAAGAGCTTCAGAATGTGGAGAGCTTGGGTCTTTGAATAACAGGTTTACTTTTTAAATTGGTTGTGTATACACATCCATGAATCAAACACCTTTTTTTTTTGTTTACTTGAAAGTGGTGATGCAAGTCTTTTGACAATGGTTATAATCTAGCAGATACATTATTGTCTCTAGAATGAGCGGTAGGTGTCCCTATTGACATGTTACAGAGGGACTTCATGTCAGCCAAAGCCTGAGTGATCTCACTCTTGAATTCAGTGGTGGAGGTGTCAGCACTCGAAAACTTTGACTCAATACAAAACTTGATCATTGATGGGGCAATCAGATCTGACACACAGTGAGCTAAGGGGGCTGGTGTAAGAAAGTTACTGGAGAGACTTACAGTTGATGCCATAGCCATCCTGATATGCGGCACCAAACCTAGAGCATTGGAGTACTTGGTGAGGTGCAATGACAAATTTGTATGAAATATCTTACCCAGTTCCTTTGAAGTAATGACCAGCACTCAAGCCACTCGTACTCAACTTCCATTCTTGACTCTTGCTGAAGAATTCATCTTCAAACAGATCGGCACGCTCACCCTTGTCAGCACGCAGCATGAGCCGCAGACCAAGGAGGTGCCTGTCAATACCACGGCCGGTTGCACCCATGCGAGTCAGCTTGACGTGTGCCTGGACAGCACGAGACAGCAGTGATGATTGCCGCTCCTAACGAGTGCAAGATGCAGGGTCAGGACATGGACGTTGGGGTTTATGAGCTGCACTTGCCGTTCGATGCTTGTCCCTCATTGACAGGACCCATTCCCGCCCTTCGGCCGTGTAGCTTCTAATTGTTTCGGTTCGACCGTGGTCAAACATCCGGGTCAAAACCGTTTCGTATGTCGCCGTGAAGCTGCCGCGAGAGCGATACCAGGCAAGCTGCAGTGCAAGTTGAACATATGCATCAGGAGACTGGCGAGCTAGACGTTCATCAGTCACGAGAAATTGCCACAAGAGGTAGAGGGCTACAGACCGAACTTCATCCAATCTGAGCCGTAGTCTTCGAACCATAGTACGCTGTCATCCGAATCAGCAATAAGAGCGCGAGCGGTGTCTTGAGCGACGGTGCACGCGTGTTCTATGCGCAAATCGGTGACGAATGGTAATGGTGCCCAGCCATATTGCTCAACGGGGGCTTGGGACCGATGAGAGCTGGCAGACGAAGATGGTAAGGGAGGTGGGGGTGATTCTGGAACATTTTCGACACAAGCGTATTCGGCAACGATGCTGGGTATCAGAGCATCGCAGGGCGAGTGCTCGCCCATGGCACCCGCACGAGCGGAAGAATCGACAATGAGTGTGATGGTTTTGTCGAACCATCGATTGCGAGCGTCATGAGAGCTGCGGATGTGGTGAAGGTGATCGTCTATTTCGGAAGAGGGGGATGAAGATGCAGACTTGGTGGATGAAGAGGATGAGCTATGTGTGTAATGGTCGAGGGAAAGTAGGAAGAGTGATTGCTCTATGATATTAAGACTTGTCCGGTTGACGGGGGATATATTCCTAAGGTATTGACAATTCTGAAAGGTATACGTGAGTAACCAGTCTGTCAATCCAAGGATTGCAGCTTACCTCCGCCCAGCGGTCTCTCTGATCAGCGGTGAGGACGCCAACAGGAACGGCCCTTTCTCCCGAGGATACCCGACGCTGGACGTCTACAACAATTTCGCCTAGTCTTTGCTCAATGGCTTCGAACGGGAGAGGAACAAGGGGGTCTTCAGGTGTCGTAACGGTGACCGCGTACATGAAGTCATGCAACATGACCAGTATTTGGTGAGATGCAGGAGACTGTGCTTTCTCTATAAGAGCATCACATCTGGACAGGGGTATTCGACAGTTGTTGAACATTCGGTCGACGTTCTCGCGCAACCATATTCCCGTCCGAGAGGCATCAGGTTCTAGGCCGCCTCTAATTTAAAGTCAGCATTGGGAACGAAAGAACTAGGAAGCATCCCTACGAGAGGAGTTTTTCCCGATATTCAAGGCAACGATGGACGAGCCATGCTGCCCGCCTTACTTGCCAGGGTGATACTCCTTGCGTCGGAAGGGCTTTGGGGATGTTGGAGTCGTCGAGGAATGCTAGCCACCAATTTGAGTTAACAACGAGTGGGTCTCTGCCTTGCAAGTAGGCATACTTGAGCCAAATGTTGTCGTCAAGCCAGTTGTGAGGAGACGCCCGGTCGAGAGCTGGGACTATAGTCTAGCATGTGACTAGGAATGGGTACGAAGTTGACAGACCGTGTAGACGCTCTTGACATTTCTGACCAATCCCATTCTCGAACTCCTTAGCCCATTGCATGCGCTGAGCAAAGCTCTTCTCGAATGGCTGGCCTCCTCTTGCTTCTTGCTCATGGAGGAATGGCTTGAGGGAGTCGAGATATCGACCAAGCGTTTCGCTGAGCTCCGGGACAGGCAGGCGCGGAAGTTTGGGGGCAGCTTTCAATGGTGCTGCGGTAGACATGGCCCTAGTACGTTGTATAAGACGTGAGCGTATCATGATGACATATAACGGTGGATTCCGATGGGCATTGCGGTAAGTTGCTAGAGGCGGACGTCGACTCGGAAGTAAATGCCGAAGAGTAAGTCGCGTATATTATGGTACTACTTACAGGCGACGCGACGTGTGAAGCTGTGTTCCGCACAGTACTTACTTAGTTGCTCTCCAGCTCATCCTGTTGACTGAATTCATGGCCTTTCTTTCGAATTCTTGAACCCTGTTCTTATTTTCTATTGCCTCGTCCACATTTTGTCATATGTTACACGAGGGAGATTTTGGGACTGCGTAGATGCTTGAATTTAGGTCCTAATATCAAGAACGACTGTCTTCTGATATAGGGTCTGCTTACTAGGGGAGACCAGCTTAAAGGGCCTTTGACTTTAGTGAGGTATAGAGGTGTTTACATAGTTACAGCGAGGTCGAGCGCTAGCACGACTCTTCCATCTTCCAAACCCCTCGTTATGCGCAATGGCATTTTACAGCAGCTCTTTCAAAGTAAGCACTTCTTACTCACCAGTCACTGGATCTGATACCTTCAAAACATCTTAAAGGTGCTTCACTCATCTGTGATCAAAGTTGGAGCAATGATTAATGTGCTAAACTCTGCTGGACTGGTACCTTTCTGCGAGAATGCGAGGATGGGGATGTGTAAAAATTGTCTTGGAATGACCAGCTTTCTCACAACTGCTATCATCGCTTGTACCGCGGATTTGCGACCAGCGGCCTCGGCAACGTACGGAGCACTCTGTTGAGTCTCTGTGATGACCTTCTGACCACAGCTGATTTCCGAGTTTGCTCTGAGTTGGCGGACTGAAGACGAGGTCCACTCTCGAGCGGGAGAGACGACATGTGCCAACACACGATGCGCCAATCACTGAGGACGTCTTACTATCCACACTTGAACTTCCGTTTGCATACGAGGAACACAGCAACCAAAAGGCAGATCGTGCTATGTATAAGATGTGTTCGGAAACTGATGTGGAAGCGCAGTAAGGAGAAGGAAGGAGCGAGGAGAGGGGCCGGTGTTAAGGTCGAAGATGACGAGAGAACGAGATGTCAGGGCGACCACCACGGGAGGAAGACCAAGGAGGGAGAAAGCAAGCAGCAAATATTCGCGAGTCGCTTCAAGGGGAAAATCTATATATCGGGCCGCCATGAAAAGAGCGAACGACGATGCATCGACAAGTGTTCACGATCAAGAGAGGAGCATTCTTCCGTCCATAGTCAATAAGTTCAGTTACGCCGCCGGAGTTCTCGTTCACGATTCCCTCGACGGTAGAGAGGATTACAGAGATGTTGATCAAGTTGGTGTCCGGTGAAGGAGGAAGTGAAGGTGGGAGGCAAACAAAGTCGTTCCGTCGGAAAGGTTTCTCCTAGCTAAGCTGTGCAGATGCGTGAATTGACGTACTCTAACAGTAAGTTAGTTCATGACTTCTCTCGTCAACCATACTAGCGACAAACAACGTCGACAAAATTGCCCATTGTGTGAGATGATCAGCGATTTACGGCAGTTGATCCTGAGGACAGTTACAGTGTTTAGGCACTGTTTAGGCTCATAAGCGACCTCGTCGACTGTCTTTCAGGAACCGTGACGTGATGCTTCCGACGGCAAAGTGCTCAGAGGCCGCGGGAGACCGATGCATATGGATGATCGCCAGGGTAATAAGCAGCACCAAGTTCCCTCCCACTTCCTCCTTGCCTCAGCAACTCTTTCTGCCCCCTCAGGTCCATCTACAGAACAACTTGCAGCGCCGGTTAAGCTGAGCGAAATGGGTATTTATGTGCTGTCGCATGAGGGCGTTGGAAGAAGCAGGCTGACCATGCATATACCCAGACTCAGTCTCTTGGTCCAATGCTGCTGTCGCGGTCGCGACCGTGTTGGCTATTTCGCGCGTCATGAAACTCATAGAAGGCAGAAAGGTACCTGAAGACAGAAATGTCCCTCGAGCAAATGCTAACACCAGTCGCAGGCCGTCAATTACCTCCCTGGCCTAGTCATACCCTTTCAACCGTTCTCGATTCCTGGCGTCATATTCCCTGAAACTTCATGGAATCCAGGTTTGATTTGGACGTGGACCTGGCGCAAGACTCAGAACTGTATTCCCATTCACTGTCCCATAAATTTAAGCACTGACACTCTTATTTAGTGTATGAACGCTACAACAACGACACAGTAGCAATCGTACCTTACCTTGTCGGCTCGCCGACATTATACACGCGAGACATGGATGTTGGCCGCCAGATCATTACGGCGGGACACAGAACCACAGAATTCGGCAAAACCGACTCGATGAGTGGTGCCTTGCTGTAGGCTATTTGGCAAACGATATATGTCCAAACTTAACCTATGGTATAGGTTCTGGGGACCAAGTGTCGTGGCTGTCGAGCGAGAGATTTGGCGGAAGCACAGGCGGATTGTGGGACCTGCTTTCAACAATGAGACGTCAGTTACCCCCCAGCATCGGAGTTACGTTGGTCTTACCCATCCTCTAGGTATTCTCTAGTGTGGGACACAACTAAGCAAATATACAACGAGTGGATCAGTGCGGAAGGATGGACGTCAAAGGGTGTCATCGATGTGCCTGTCATGCAGGCGTTGACGTTCAAGGCAAGTTTCAAGTACTTGTTCGCTTTTACGGCTTGTTTACATAGGACCCTCTAGTTCACCCTCATTATCATCGCAACATGCGGTTTCGGATTTCCCTTCTCATGGATCGAGCCTCCGCGAAACTCGCCTGAGGAGATGACACTTCAAGAGTCGTTCAAGATTATCTCAGAAACGACACTGTTTGCTGTCTCTGTTCCAAAGTGGGCGTGGTATATCCCTACGAAATGGTGAGTACCTATCTCAACGCTGGCCTCTGAGTAGTTTTATGCGTGTCGCGAGATAGGGTTAAATCCACTCGCAAAGGATACGACACAATGCGCGAATTCGTCAAGTCGCAGGTTCACACTCGCCGGGAGGAGATCAGAAACCGAGATCAAGACGCTGACAAGCGAAAGGACATCTTCTCCCTTCTACTGGAGGCCAATGAGAATGAAGAGGGCGAGAAGATGGCGCTGAATGATCAAGAACTAGTGCGTTTGCTTAGCCACCACCTGGTTTGTTGCAAGTAACTTGTCGCTTGTTGAATCTAGGTTGGCAACGTCTTCGCATTGCTGTTCGCAGGGCATGGTACATTCTCTTTTTTGCCTATTATTTTAATAACGCTCATCTATTTCTTGCAGAGACAACCGCCCATACTCTCGCTGCCACCCTTGGTTTCCTGGCATTGGACGTGGACCTCCAGGACGAAATTGTTACCCAAATCCAGGAAGTTACCTCGGGCCGGCCAGATGGCGAAATTGTAAGTGTTCGGTTTTGAACATACATTCACGTAAGGACGGTGCTGATCTTGTATTGGTAGCTACTCGAAGATTATTCCCGCCTGGACAAGGTGCTCGCTGCTTTCTACGAGGGTGTTCGCATGTTCCGTACGTATCTTATCTCTTTGTAATCCTTGGTTTCAGCGGCTCATCGTAGTTGTATAAGCCTCCGGGAATGTTCTTATTCGTGAAGCGAAACAAGACACTGTTCTTAACCTGCCAAAGCAGCATGGTGAAGGTTACAACCCCTTGCCCGTCAAGAAGGGAACCCATGTAAGAGACACATACAGGTTTTCATTATGACCCTGACTTGCGATTCAGGTTATTGTGGACATGGTTGGAGTTCGTGAGTATATTATCAGCATGGTGTTCTTGGGAACAATGCTGATGCCCTGCAGAATATAATCCCAAGTACTTAGCCGACCCAGATGAATACCGTCCCTCGCGCTGGTATGCCAAAGGGGGCAATCAGAAAGAAGATCTCTCGGAGTCTGAGGAATACACTGCTTTCAGTGTCGGTGAGTGCATAGTTAAAGTGCATCCTCACAGATTTTGATACGATGTCTGTCATTTAGGTCCTCGTTCATGCATCGGACGCAAGTTTGCTACTACAGAGGCGGTTTGTTTGCTGTCGCACATGTTGCGCGATTGGAAAGTAGAGCCCCTCCTCCTTCCGAACGAGACCAAGGCGGAATATCGCCAGCGAGTCATGCAAGGCGTCATGCACCTCACGATGGGTGTCAGAGATGTACCGCTTCGGTTTTCGAGGCGGAAGTAGGCGTTTGACGTTGGAAAGGTGTATGATATCTTTTATTGGATTATCTCTGGACTCTTATATATGTTTTGTTGTTCCTCCGTGGTGGCAGAAATTTAATCTCCTTGGTGCAATATGTTTTAGAAGGTTGCTCCTTCCCATACTATCGTCGGTCATTAACGTTTTATCGCTCGTGTCCTTTGCCCCTTACCATGATTCGATGAAGTTGACCCTCCGTACCTTACCATGACTTGGGGTTCGGGATCAAATTATAGGTAAATCGGGACTCTCCGGCCGGCTATGCGAAACAAAAAGCCAGGACCATCCGGTTCAAGCAGTCACAAGACCAACATTCATTTATTCATACATATCTAGCCCAGCAAAACTTGTCAGAAAACTACTACGCGCCGTCATCACACTCCGACCAAACTTGCAGATATACAAACCCTTCGGGATGCTTGTTTACATACATGCAAATCATAATCGACCGCTTGATACCTAGCAGAAGATCACGTTGATCTACGGAACGCTGGTTAAGAGTCCCGGATGGAAATTCTAGCCAAGTTTTCACTTACACCACAGTTGTCCACGGAGCACTGTTCGAGGGGCCCTATATCAGGACTATGGAATGCTTCGGAACAATTGGCTGAGTCGCAGAAAAGCCCAGAGCTACATCCATTGATGAAGTTAAAGCCGAGGGAGTAGACACTTTAAGCCAGGAAGCTATAAGCCGAGTTGAGAGGAATCGAAAGCAGCATCGCTCACTAGTAGTGGTTGCCTACGAGGGTAATATCGGCTTGACTGTACCCAGTGTTTTGGAGAGTGAACTCGACTGCACCGCAGTTAACACCACTGCTCCCGCAGTCCCCGGTACTGAGCCAGGCAATACCACCGTTGAGCTCGCCCTGAATGTTAGCAGCCCCTTGAGGCGTGCTATCAGCCTGGTAGAGAAACAGAGGGGTACCGTAGTCGCAGTTATTGGTGAACTAGACATGTAGAATTAGTAGCAATAAAGTAATGAAACGCTCCCGAAATACTAACTGTGACTTGGTGAGACTCGGAGTTGACTCCTTGAGTAAAGAAGAGAGCAGCGGTGACAAGAGCAGAGAAAACAAACATGCTGTTGTTTCTTGGTTCTGATATGAACTAGTCGTTCTTTGCCATGGTCGAATCCCTTTTATAACATTTTGAGCACCAAACCAGCGAGAACCGCAGTTACGAACGACGGCGCAAGAGGGTCAGGGCGTAGAGCAGGCTTGGTCAAGTGTCGTCCAAAATGTCAAAGCCACTCGAATGCAACAGATAGACCATGTTAGACCTTAAGCGGGAGGTGCAATGGCGACATGTCAATATTGCATTGGTGAAGTTCTTTATCATGAATGCCGACGTGTCAGCAGTGTCAGCCGAGTTTGCTTTTTCCTCGCCCTGACCAAAAGCTCAACAAGATATGACGAAGTATGATCATACATGGCCGCGAATGCATTGAAAAACATATGATCGTTACTGCTGGAACTTACTGCATCATAGAAATGACTACATTAGCGACTAGAAGGGCTGACCTTTGACAGTGGCGCAGGCAGGAACTACGATGGTCACAAGTTACGCTCAACGACATCGCAGACCTTGAGATAAAGATAACGAAGGCTGCGCTTTGAATGATCTTTGGTATGAACACCATAATCGTTTTCTTCGTTTTCGTCTATTCGAGTTAGGTAGGAGGTCTGAATACAAGCATACGTGCGGTCTCGTGAACAGCACGTCTTAAATGTTTGAACTTGTCAAGGAGAGGCTAGCTGGTGTATGTGTCATAAATATCGTCAGTGCGGATTTCCTACAGAACAAGTGTCGACCATTTTCTGGGGCGCTGGCCGCAAAAAAGTGGCTTGATGGAGAGGCAATCGATATGCAGCTAGGTTTGATGCTCGTCCATATGTCGTCAATACGTCAATCAACCGTATGTGACTAGAAACCTCGACCGTATTGCAGTAGCATTCCGTATGAGTGGACGATTTCTGAAGTCCTATGATATTTGAGTGGCACGGCGTACTGGTGTGGATCGAAACTGCATCAGCAACAGCACGATGCCTCCACCTACGCATACGGCCGAGCCAGTTTAGATCTGTTTATGATCGAGGTGAATGTCAAATTCAGATAGGATCGAAAACCGACTTGTACAAATTTGAGCAGAATCAGGCACATACAGTAGCTCTGCGCCAAATTAACATTGACCGTGAAGGTGGTAGCCAGATGCAGAGGTGAGAATGACACGGAACCAGAGAAAATATGTGGACGTCGAAATTTCGACATTATTCAGACGGAACCGTACGGATGTATGGAGTGAAGGAGACCACCTTTTGATAAAGAGGGAGGGATTACTCCTAGTCTTTGCGATAACATCGCTCAGACTTTCTCGGAGAATGATGAACACGTATTGAGAAGATTGGTTTCAGGTCGCACTTTATTCTGTTGACCGGGGTTGACCTTGACAAGGAGGGAGAAGTGTGATAACGCCATGAAGTCTCCTTGCGTGTCCCGGCCGAATCGACTTGCTCGTCCTCTGTGGCAAGTAAATAGGTACTACAAGGACGTACCAATCATCTCGAGGATTCGGAGGAAAGCTAGGAATCCGCGCATTTATCACAGCAGTACTTGCCGGCATCAAGCACGGAGTGCCATCATGCTAGCACACAAGTAGCGCGCAATGCCTGTCAGCTGAGCTTCGGATACACCTTTTGCAACTTGGGCCATCATTCTTTGCCGTCATCTGGCCTTCCTATCCCTGTGGCATTCTGTGCCTGCAAGGCGGGTAATACAAAGTGCGCTGACTTCATAAGAGCAGAAGCCAAGATGTTTGCCACATTCTATAGCGTGGGCAAATAGAGTTGTGCTCCTATTGCAAGAAAGATCTAGACGTCTGATCAATGCGGCTTATGGATCACTCGAGGTTGTAGGAAACGTTGACGGGAGAATGAAAGCACCAAGCAAAGTTGTACTGTTGCGGCACTTGAGTCCCTCGAGCTGAGGTTGATACCAGATATCAACGGAGATAAAGCATTGCAAGGACCGTTTTCGATTTAAGCACTAACTTGATGAAACGAAGGGTCTAGGTCAAGGTTGACCGGGACAGACCAGAACCACAGAACCCGAGCTCGCTGCACTTGGTTTATGTAATGTATTCCCACGTCTGGAAATCTTGGCGCCCAACACACACCAGGTCTTGACTCTGCCTAACTAGAACTTCTTTTTGACTTCTTTCTCATTTTCGACACAACATCGATGAGTCTCACTTTCGTGCGCTGTCTTCGGCTCTCGCTTGGCCTTAAGAACTCTAGGCTCTCTGGAATCTGTCTCAGGCACTTGATCGAGGGATATTCTTCATCGCCCGCGTTGTTCTCCAACAAGAAATTAGTCGATTCTGGGCACGGCAGGAAACGCATGGCCAGGCGGCTGCCTGGTCTTAGAATTCACGCTTCCTGAGTCAGCCAGGGATGGGCGTGCGACACTAGACAAACTGTGTTCTCAGGTTCTCGAAGGCAAGGTAACGCAGCCAGAGAATATGCTGGAGGACACAATGGAGCACGCCCTTCACCCGCGGTTCATGCTAATACCAATATTCATAGTCTTCTGGCGGATCCAGTTTATCATGTCCGCTTGGGCGGAACCTACTAGTTATCTGGCATAGAGTGCTGGAGCATTCTCTTTGCTAAACCGAGTGGAACAACGACGATGTCGCACCTCAACTCCTCATCTGCATCGCTGCATCGGCCTTCTTGGAAAAGTCTCACCTTTTTCAGAGCAGAACCCTCGCTTCCGCCAAACTACTGTCTCATCCTATGGACCTGGACTAGCGGGCAGACTTATAAAAGGCGGGCCTCTGCTCGCCTCTTCTCCGGCAAATACATTTGACTCTCCTCTACAACCATGTACTCTCGCGTCGTCGCTGCTCTTACTTTTGCCTCCGTTGTCCTTGCCTGGGATGCCGGTCAGTGCACTACTGGCTCTCTTCAGTGCTGTGACAGCATCCAGGATGTGCGTATTGTCCGCTCTTGGAAAGTCTTGACAACACTGTTGACCACACATGCTGCTCGTCATAGGCTGCCAACGCCCACGACGCGTTCGGCCAGCTTGGCCTTGGTGACCTCCTCAACGGTATCACCGGCCAGGTGGGCATCTCGTGCAACCCTATCACGGGCATTGGCGCTGGCCAGGGCGCCAACTGCGCGTCTACCCCCGTCTGCTGTGACGAGAACAACTACGTGAGTTCGGTCTGTAGATAGATGGACCTTTCCTTTTGCTGACAATGACCCTCCACAGAATGGCCTCCTCAACATCGGCTGCAGCCCTGTCCACGCTGATGCATAAATGCGGCACCCCTTCTTTGTTTACACAATCTTCTATTGGGCGTTTGTGGGTCGGTGGGGTCAGCACATTACTCAGTCAGTACTGGCGAATAATCATCAAGCATATACGTATTCTACGCTACAAATGTACGGCGCAGACGGTTAAACTTCATTTTATGTCCACTTTCCAACCAAGATCGAGCTCTCTTCGTACCTGCGCTGAGAATCAAGATCAACTATTTTTTACCTCACTGTGCCAGCCCTGCAAGCTCAAAGTACCTGGGGGCTGAAGACATTCGCCCGGTTAAGCCATTTCCTTTGAACCATCCTCACTCTGATATCAAAGACAACTTGCATTGGAACGTCCTAACGCTGCTGGTATGGTAAATGAAGTGGAAGTCTTCTGAGAAAAGGATGAGTCTAGAACTGGCGGCAAAGAATCCATATATGAGAAAGCCACGTGCGTTGAGATGCGACGAAATGGGAGATTGCCGCAGTCTTATGGGTAAGTAGTGCCACCTTTCTCCGCAGGGGCTCCTCACCCCAGCTCAGCGTCACGTCAGGCCCCCACGCTTCGTTGGACATTTTCCGGCCTGTGTGCAGTCGAATCGACTGGCGTGACATTCTCCATCTTCCAATGCCATGATTTCCTCCTTGTTTCTCCTCCTTGGTCTTGCGGTTCAAACCGTGGCAGAATCCTATCAGCCGGAGTCGAGGTACGGTTACTCTTGATCTTGTCGTTCCATCGCTGGCCTCACCCTCCAACCTAGATGGGCGCAGGCATCTGTCGTTATCCAAGAGTCTCTTTACGTTCATGGTGGTCTCTCCGACCCATATAACACCTATTCATACACTTCAGCACCAGAGACGAACCAACTTCTTCTCCTTGATCTCTCATTCTCCTTTAACGCATCTGCGCCTCCATGGTCACTCGTCAGTGTCACCAATTCACCATCCCTGGGTTGGCACACCCTCTCAGCTTTCAACGAGTCCATGTCCCTCCTTTTCGGTGGCCAGCCAGGCCCAAGTTCCCCAACTGTATTAACGACCCTTAACGATTCAGCCCAGCTTCTTATATCATCTAATCGCTCTTACCCATCCTTTATCGACGAGTCCCAGAACTGGGCCGATGAACCAATGCGGAGAATTCATCACTCTGCATCGTCAACTAACGGTCTTATTTGGATCATTGGCGGAGAGGAAGCAGATGGGTCCGGAGAAGCGTTCGCCGAGCACTATGTCTTCGACCCCGCCACCGTTATGTTCACTTTATTGCCAACCGAAAACGCCCCACCTGCGATATATGGTCATGTCTCTCTGGTTCTTCCGTCCGGGACCCTCGTTGTTCTGGGAGGTTACAATACCGCTTCAAGCCAACTAGTACCTTTGGACACAATATGGCTGCTCGATACCACCCAGGCTACTCTGACCTGGAAAGTTATCACCCTCCCATCAAGCAACTCTCTCCCAAACCCTCGCAGAGACTTCGCAGCAGTAGTCATTGCCTCAGGAGAGATTCTGATTCATGGAGGCGGTGACGCGACACTTCAAAGTACCTACGCCGACGGCTGGATATTGCATACCTCAGGTAGTACGGATACCTGGTACTGGGAGGCCGTAGAAGTACTCGAGCAGATAGGTCCGAGGAAGGATCACTTTGCTGCTTGGGCGGGAGGCTGTGTTGTCTTCGGTTTCGGTGCGCTCTTTTTATATCTGAGATATTGCTGCGCAGTTGCATGTGCTAACGCGCATCGTTGTCGCGATAGGATACACAAGTTCCGGGCCTGCACCGGCCGCGCCCCTTCCGGTGTACGATCCGACAAGCAGTGTCATTTCGCCGTCATACACACCAGCGCCTTCTGGGTCTCCGCCTCCTACAACATTGCCCCTTCCAAGCCAAACACCCGGCCCAGTCCCCACTGCTGATCCAGGTGGAGGTGGAAGTGGAGGTGGGAATGGTGGAGGCAATGGAAGCGACGGTGGAGGTTCTGGTTCTGGCCAAAACGTTAAATCTCGCCAGGCAGCCATAATTGTTGGCACGATCTTCGGTGCTCTCGGGATCGCAGGCCTGCTCGTCGGTATAATATGGTTCCTCCGTCACCGTGAGCGCAGGAGGGGCGAAGGCTGGGGTGGCGGCCGAGGAGGAATAGGGTGGCTGACCAGCCCCGCGAAAGGCGGTGAAGGTCGATTCTACTTGCTGGAGGGCCCACATGCCAACGACGGTCCCAATGCTACTTTTGATGGTGCATCCCAGCTTACGAGGGACCCAGCTTCAGTTCAAAGGAATGTTTCAAGTACTTCAGCCCCGGGGCTGTTGTCACGAGCAGCCGCACCAATAGCCGGTCTGGCGGCACTGGTGTACAGCTCCCTTCCCATCCATCGGCAACAAGCGGTCCCACTGGCTCGTCGCGATATGTTTGCAGATGAGGACGCGTATGCCTCAAATCCTTTCATTGGTTCGGCCGGCTGGCGATCCCGTCCCCTGCTTACCAGACGGGAAGGTAGTGAAGGCACCGCCTGGAGCCTCCGTTCTGTCGGCGCTGCAGTTCGCGGGATTATGTCCCGCGAGCCAAGCACTGGGCACAGTGAACTAGGATATGGAGAGAAGTCGGTAGATGTGTACGGAGAGCATATTCCAGAAGATAGTAGCGACGGCGAGGCGTCTCGGCTGATTGCCTCCGATTTCAACCCATACACCGCAGCTTCGCTTGATCCTTCGCACCCCAAGCAGGCAAACAAACCTACGTGGGCATATACGGACCCGTTCGCGGACCCTACGGAGGACGAACAAGATGCACAGCTTCTGACCGCAGATATCACTACCATGAACAACTTGTCATCCTCCAGCGTTGATGATCCCAACCCCACAGCTGAAGGCGTGTCAAGGGATGCAAATGGCAGACCCCACCCTCCACCGCTACGCACTCTGGCACCATTCTCCGTGGAGCCGCACACTCTCAGCCCCCTCAGAGAGATGTCGTATAGAACGGGAGGCAGCTCGGACACATCCCATACCTCTTCTGTATTCTCTCATTCACTGTCGAATCCACCTTCGCAAGGACATAGCAGCAACCCCCGTCAATCATACGTTAATACCCCACATACCTCACTTAGCTCTGCGACCGGCGCCGCAGCATCCGCGGCACTTCAGCGGCATACATCCATACTCGACTCTGCGCCTCCCCCGAGTCAACCGTTACGTCGCTCTGATACATGGTGGACAAGGTTTGCTCGCACGCCTCTGCTAGACAGGCGTCTCTCGCGCTCATCAGGCGGCGGTGGCCCCTTTGAATTCCGGGATCCTAATCCTGCCCCACCGCTAAGTGCGATAGATGAGGCGTCCAAGGCCTCGGGGTCACCTGACTCGCCAGAGTCGCAGGTACAGAGAGGTGGGAGCGGTGGGAGCGCAGACAGCGCACAGTCGCGGAGGGGTGGAAACCACAGCCACGGTGGTTCCCTGCACTCTGGGCACACTGCCGACAGCGCATATTTGGGTGGCGCATATGATGTTGTGCAGCGTTTGGCGTCAGAAAGTAGCAACTCGCGGCGCACAGGAAGTACAGGCTCGACTGCTACTACCCAAACTGGAGAGTTTGGCGCCAGAAAGCAGGGGTCGGACTCGTCAAACCCGCAGTCGTCGAGCTCCCAGTCGAAGCAGCCTACACCGCCTCCGAAGGTGCCTACGCCACCCTTCGTCATGTCGCCAACGCGGATCGCCGATGAACCGCGGCAGCCCACCCTGGCGCATGTTGCGTCGCCACCTAAACGAGTCAAGTCGCCAACAATCGCTGACCGGATATCAAACTTCGAGGCACTGGGCAGGAATGATCCACCAGGTGGTGGTGGTCCTCGCAACACCCGAAAGCGCGAGGAGGTCCCGTCTCGGAACCGGGTGAGTATCCAATATGGCCTGGCGCCACGGGCGCCGCTGTTTGTTGCGAATCCCAATCCCCCCGGTGAACCATCGGAGTGATGGGTTAGTTGATTTAAACTAAATCAAAAGATACGATATCGGACCCTTGTTTTACTGCTTACCCTTTTTTGTTTGGCGTAACGATTATTCACTTCTGCATTCTTCACGACCACACACGACCTTTTTTTCATGTATACCGTTCTGATTCTTATTTCACGGCTTTGATGTTGAGCTTGCCTGCATGTATGACCTGGACGATGGACTTGCATTGGACTCTATTAGCTAGTATGATTGTATTGTTATGACCACGGCTGTACCCTCGCGACAGTATAGTACAATAGAAGTCCATTCGATGGTTAGTCTGATCCGTTAAGCAAGCATCGTGTGTTCTGTGGACATCCCGAGGATCACAAGCTTTCGGTCCCCCGGGTCCCTCTATTATCATCCTTGTAATGTCGCCCAGTTATCGGTAGCATGCAATGGTCCCTTTCCTTGCTATCGGGATACTAGTCTGGCGAACTCGACTGAGATGGTTCGCAAGCGTCCATTTAAACGGAACAATCAGCAACAAAATACTCACCAAACATCCTTCCAGCTTCTGCTTGCAGTCATTGACCCGAGGTAACAATTTTGCGGCTTTGCTTTAGGGTCTTCCTTGACCTGCACACGCATGTCCTAGGTTGGCACGGTGTCAGATACTACCGAGTAGCGTCACGGTAAAGTCAGCTACGCCGGGCACGTACGACAACTGAAAGCTGACGAAAATGGCGCACTTTGACATCAGCCACTATGCAGTTCATAACTTTTAAAAATTAACATAGCCCTTGAAGCTTCGCCAGCCTGTCTGGCGCCGAAGGGTTGAAGTCCTTCCAGGTAGGCAGAGCTCGAATCATCCAACGTCGGCGAATTCGGGTGCATTTTCCAGTGCATCTAGCAGCCACAGTGGCAATTCTCCATGGTCTGGGCAATGTTTGAGACGAATCGACGGCGACACTGGTATCTGGAAAAAAGACTAGCTGAAGCTGGTTTGCTGATGTCCTCCTCAATGTTCCCGAATATCTCCGTCTCTTCACATGGAATCTGGGCTCCTCTGAATATCCTGAAAAATATCGAGAAATGCTAGCCTTGCCATATCTTCGACAACAGCTCTGTCATTATTTTATACAAGTAGAATCCTAGCCGTGACGGCGGTGAAGAGAGGTGGAAAAAGCTGACGATATGATCGTAGACTTGTCGTGGACCAAAATCGAGAACATCACCGACGATGAAAAGAGTCAACTCACCGCGGTAGAAATATGAACATATGCTGACATGCTGAATAGACTGGATTTCCGACAACCGCCATCGTCCCTCGGTATTCTTTTCAAGTTGTGGGGAGCAATTTCGGCCAATGAAGACATCCGAACGACGTGTATTGCGACCTGGACATATACATCCGGACATAAAATTCATCGGGGGGAACTGAACGACTCGTGACAAAGATGTGCTAGACTAGCAGAACGTAGCCGTTGGGCCCAATTGCGGAATATGCCGACCACTTAATCCTGAGTCTGGACGGCGAGAGACCCTTAGCTCCAGCTCGTCGAATTTCTATTTCGAACTTGAATTGATACGCAGCAGGAATGTCGCGGACAGGTCATAGCGATTGACTGAGACTCGGGACACCCAGGATCCTCAGGACCTTCACACCCAATCGCGGACGAGCCTACAATTGGTTGGATGTCTTTTTAAAGAGAGCGAGGGCATGGTCCGCAATGGCACCGCTCTAAATTGCTCCGCTTCGACGAAGCTAAGCAGTCTATGGGAAAGGGTCTGGCAGCTATGCGAGCAAGAACAATTTTCCCTTGCTGCAGAGGGAAGGAGGGTGATCAAGCACAACGTAACGTGCGGGGACAAGGCCCCAAAACAGCCGCGTTAATGATGCGGGTGACTGCGTGATGTCGATCGCCCACGGATTTCGTTACATACCAATTAACCTGAGAATGTCCATCGGTCAGCCACTATCACCTCTCGGAGCATAGCTGGAGTCGCAGCCGAAAAGCCACCCTCGTGATGTGGGCTTGCATGCTCAGATGATAAGACGGGCGTACAAGCGGCAACGTTGTCGAGGTATGTTTGCATCTAAATCGAGTCAATGAGAAGAAGGAAAGACAATGTGTCATGCCACAAGTCGAGTCAGCCGGCGAGCCAGAGCACCCACCGTAAGGAAAATCCCAGGCAGCATCCACTGCTTAAACGCCTCTAATTGGCGTTGCCTAAAGGGTCTTCAAGCAGGGTACCCGCTTGGGGGAAAGTAACATCTTTGCCTCAATGTCAGTCTGGCTGTAGTCGAGGTCAAAAGAAACATCATGACGCACTCATTGTCGCGTTGAAGGTTTTATGCATATTTGTCGAAATGAAATATACTGTAAGCCTAAGAGGGAGGCAAACATGTGGATCAAAGAAAGTGAGGTCCATGTCGCTCCGCCACAGATACTTAGACGGCTCATAAACATAAAGGACGTTGTCGCGCTGCAGGATTATCTCAAATTTAGCGGCGGCCATTTAGAGGACTGGGAGGCAAAACACGACATCTACATGAAGAGAAACAAAAAATAAACAACTTTCCAAAGGGTTATCACCGCATGCAGCAGCGCCCAGCCGTCTGATTGTGATGCACGGATTTGGGGGACGAGTAGGTACTGGTTACGGCTTCCCATCTCCCCAAGCGCCGGCATTGGCGGATGCAAATCTGGTGTTCGGGGTGCTTGGCATTTCTCGCCTCATGCTGGTGCCTAAGAAGAGAAGAATCGGGTTGTTCAGTGGAGATCTGGCCCTAGACACCTAATGACTGTGGCAATGGCTTACGGCATTTCCAGCTCAACGTGGACAAATGGAAACTTGGTTCTTCAGTTCGATTCGCTACCCACGTTCAGAAGCCAGGTACTCCCGAAGTAGCCGCTGGACAATGGCAGCGTGCAACTTAAATTGGGTTTGTCAAATGAATTAACGCAGTCCGACCACCGGCGTTTGAATTTGGGGAGAAGTTCGTGGGACAGCCCTTGTACTTGAACGGGAAGAAGATGACGATATCGAGGTCGAGGTCGCGAGTCGAGAATGCGGCCTATATTATACCGGCGGCGCTATAGACGACCGAAGCTAGGGTCCACTGCAGGAGGAAGAAGTACTATTGTCAGATGAACATCTGATGCTCCGACCAAGCCATAGCATGTGAACAATCGGTTGCTTACGCACCTGCAGCTTTGCCAAGTTAAGACCAGCTGGCAGACGTGAGCCGACCTTATCGTACGCAACTCCGGCACCTCATGTACGGTTCCTTCTATGCGAACAGTGCGGCGCTTGTTATCTTTAGGAGTATGGACATAAGAACCAGCGGATCGGAGAGTTGACCCACAGCATCCCCACGCCCAATTGCTAATCGTAGTAACGAATGAACAGCCGCCTTAGAGTATGTTACGATCAGGCGCTAGTACTGTACCGGCGATCTTCCATAGGTATGAAGTTCGCTGCACTGAGCACTACAGCAATTGCACGTTTGTGGTCTGATTCCTGAGTTTGACCCGTCCATTAGTGCTGCCCAACCGACTGCCAGTCCTAAAGCTCACAAAGAAGTTGATATGTTGCCATACCTACGATCGCGAGTCATTTGTTTTCCTGCATAAAACCAAAACATGACTAGGTCAGGGCACTTCAAAGTCCAAGGCAGTCCGCCACACATGCTGGTTGCCAACCCAGGCAAGTTGGAAGCCACGGTAAACCGAACAATCAAGTAGGTTGTCTGAAACTCGTCCAACTACATGGAGAGCTGCACGAAGGACCCCATGGGAGTGGCGGCTATTGCATAAACACACGAACCTAGTTCCGATCTCGATGCAGAAGTTCCCGCAGAGGGACACACGCTTGTTGTCGCGATTTGACCATCAGGGCCAGGGCCAGGGCAAAGTGGCAGGCCGAAATATGGGACGGCGCTCGGAGGACGTTTGCGACTTAGCCTTCGTCTTCCCGCGAGGCTTCACATAACCATCGATGTCGAGTAAGGCCCAAGCGCTGGTCTCGACTGTCAAAACCGGACGCCCGATGATCACCCTCGCCGAGCTCGAAACTCTAACGATGCTCAACCGACCTTCGGGAGTCGGTAAGAAAATCCCAAGTTGAAGTCGTTATCATAACCTTCATCTTCCCTGTTGGAAGTTGTCACAGATATACATCCATGTGACTGTGCAAAGAACCCAATCTTGAGATAAAGGGTGATTGGGATCCGACCAGGGAGCCGAACAATGATGCAAAGGACATGGAATAGCTGTAAGAGTGGCAAAGCGGGTTAATTAAAGCCGCACACGCACCATTCGGTATGGCTCCTGGAACGTTCTCCGTTGGTTCCCGTCTGGGTTCCTGTTCTTGTTCGAGCCCGGAAGTTCTTACATCCTTGTCACGGTGCACAAGTAATGTACCCGACAATTCAGTTGTACTCACCGACTGAAGTCACCGGTCAGAAACCGATGATGATAATGGACCTGCAGCAGTTTCCATCTGTCATACGAGATGCCTTCGACTCCTCGAGAAGATCCCCTACCAGCGCCTCGGGCTGTTCTCCGCTGAAGTCCCCGCGCATGTCGGAGCACTGCGGGCGTTCAAATGTGTACATAAGGCAAGCGGTGTCCGAGGTCCTGATATGGACTAGAACCGCCTCATCAACGGCTCAAGGTGCAGCTGGAGTAAGTTCTCGAGTACCTCGAGCTAGAAGGCAATGATGTACAAAATACAAGGCCCCGACGTTGGGCATTCCTATAGTATGCGTACAGTTCAATTGTGCTTATGGAGTATAACACGTGTTTACTTCAATTCAGCCAGAATCGGGTCGGTGCTGTTGTTCCTCTCAAGAACCTATAGAAAGCAAGGCTCGACGGCAGGAAGACTGAAGAAGGAGAAGTGTGGCGCACCTCAATGAGTTTCTTGACATACTTTTCCCTGGCCTCTTCCTGGGAAGTACCCTTCACGCTCTCCCAAGCATCCCTGGCGTCCAGATATTAGACTCGTCAACCTACAAAGTCGTGCTTTACTTACCACTTTGCCTTACCGGTGAAGTCAAGCATGCCGGGTCTCGCGGTGTTGACATCGCCAACGGTAGCTGCACAGAAAGCGTACTCAGCTCCACGCGTGTCATGAAGACTCAGCATACAACCAACCTTGCTTGTAGTACTTGTAGAACTAGAGATCGGATAAGATCAGATCAGCAACGCCATATATTGTGATATGGATATCGACACACCTCAAGCTGCTCATCGGTGGAGAGCTGGGTCGGTCCACCCTTGGGGAGGTTCTGGACGTAGTCAACGGCCTTCTGGAACTTGGCTTCGGACATGATGGTAGTAAACAAGAGTTATCTGGCACAATCGCTTGTTGCCCGATTCGGTTGCCAGTGCAGCAGAGGTGGGCTGCTTGGTAGACACTTGACCGTGATTTTGGGATTGACGGCAACGCGACATCGCGCTGAATATACCTCCGACGGGGAGCGCTCGAAGGGCGGTTAATTAGGATCACTTTTTAGACTATGATCGACAATACATTGTACTGTAGCTGGCTTCAACTTTAAACGCGGCTCTCCCAAGCGCTGTGTCAAACAGCCCGCTATTAGACGCTGCGAGCTTGGATACGTCCATGATTATGTCACATATGTCACAAAATGTCACGAGTTAGGGTCACAGACGTCACAGATGTTCTCAACATTTGGCTGTCCTCGCCGTGGAGAGCTGCGCCCGCAACTGCCCGCAATCTCTTCCCTGTTGACCAGCATACATTTCTTTAGGCCACAATGGCCCCATCAGCCCCTCCACCTACCCCTCAGGAAATACAAAGGAAACTCTCCGTTCACTCGAAACCGAAGAAAGTGCGTTCCCATTCACTCACTTCAAGTTCGTGTGCCGTGCGCTGACATGGATGCATCAGTCCCTTTCGCCACCCATCGCAGGAGTCTCCGGCACAGAATCTGATTCAGACCCATGCATGTCCCCAGAACTACACTCCCCTCTTTCGCAAGGGTTGAGCCCTGGCGGGATCCTCGTGGCTGGCTCAGCTGCGCAGCCACCACTGTCATCAATCGCTGAACGTGATGCAATAAGCGGCGAGGAGTCTGACGAGGATGACGAAGAAGGCGGATGGCATCAGGGGCAAGTCGGTATATCAAGAGCTACGCAAGGCTCGACCGATGAAGGTGTCATCAAGGCGGGGTATCTGTGGAAGAAAGGCGAGCGCCGAAAGGTTCGTTTCTCCTGGTGACTTGTGTGGGCACCTATCGAGGCCCTTTTTGCGCAGACATGGAAGAAGCGGTGGTTCGTCCTGCGACCGGCCCATATTGCTTATTACAAGACCTCCGCCGAATATCAGCTCCTTCGTTTGCTCGACCTTTCCGACGTCCATTCATGCACGCCTGTCACCTTGAAGAAGCACAACAATACCTTTGGCTTGGTTTCTGTCGTGCGGACGTTCTATTTACAAGCTGAGACCGCTGAAGAAGTTCACTCTTGGGTTCAAGCCATATCGACCGCCAGAGAAGCTCTAATGGCGACATCCACCCAGACGTCCTTCTCGACCCCACCGGTGCCAATTCCTGGGGCCAACACGCACCCTCGCCAAGCTCCTACCCCTTCGCCATCGTCGCACCCCTCTTATGCCCAAAACATCACCTCTTCAGACTCGGAGGACGGCTCCCCTCGTGCCGCGCGCGCTTACTCAAGTTCATCGCAGAACCCGCCACCTACCATAACAGCGTCTCCGTCGAAGCCGTCAAGCGCTTCGAAGGAAGCGTCCAAAGTTGTTATCTCTGGATATCTAATGAAATGTGGCGCGAAGCGACATAATTGGCGAAAACGGTGGTTCGTGTTGCAAAGCGAAAAGCTTGTCTATTCTACTAGTCACATGGTGCGTTATTTTAGGTCGTCCACGACTCTTCCCTGACCTGCCGCAGGATACGAAGCCACACCGGCAGTTTTCTTTCTCGGAAATACTTGACGCTCTGGAATTCGATATGCGGGCACATAAACACGCTCCAGCGGCACCTCCGACGCCGTCTAGCTCGCACCTCGCTTCGGGTGCAGCCGATGATTCGAGTAATGCAGGACCACATACCTTCAAGATCGTGACCACGAAGCGTACGCTGCTCCTTTGTGCACCGAGCGAGGAGGAAGAGATCAAGTGGCTTAGCGCTGTTCGAGCCCTCATCGCTCGACGGACAGGCGCTGGTGTCGTCCCTGGAGAACCAAGCGGCGCCTCGCAAGGCGCCAAGGGCTCGGGTTCAGGGGGCTTAAGCGACGCGGGGGGATCGTCGGGTGGGGCAGCCATCCGGCAGAAGTACCGTAATAAGAGTTTTAGTAGCCAAGGTGGCACGCCTCCCGTTGGACTCGTCGGGGAGGATGGTACGGAACGGAAAACATAAGGTGGATATTAATTCTGTTATCGTTGGTTATATCCTCTACTGTAGTTTTATTTGTTATGACCTCACGCTCTTACGGTTGCTCTCTTACCTGGACGCTGGTTGCTTGGGATTCGTTTGTTTATCGTTGATATTAATATTATGCGGTGACTACTGCATCCAGTGTATGCAGTCTCTCGAGCGAGATCTCCACTGTCCCGTGGCGAGTCTGCTGGCGTTTCAAGTACAAAGTTACGTTTTGGGCGCTTCTGATTGGAACGTGCAGGTCCAACAGGTGCTGCTGCATGGCTGATGGATGCTGTGGCGCATCGCGGCTTTGGACATTGCGCGACAAGCGCGGAGGATGGACGGCCATGCCCCCGTTCTTTTGGGGTCGCGGCGGTGACCATAAAAGAGGCCGGGATCTGACTGGCACAACAGGGCACAATTGGGGTGTACACTCCGACAACCCAACGAGATCTCAGACGCGAACTCCGACCCCAGCGGCTACTCCAGAGGTGAAGGGGTCCTGGCCAGACGCTGGACGAAGAGGATGGGCTCGGCGTCTGCGTCCATCCGACATCACTCGAGAATACAAGACGGTATGGATTGGAGATGAGTCCAAGACCTCAATCAATCAAGATTCAACCAGATTGAGATGCTTAACGACACTATGGAACAGGGGACCCGCTTACGGCGTTGGGATAAGTATAACGCAGGCAATGTTGCCAAACCGGGGCGGCTTTGTTTAGTATGTGCGCTTGTTGGTCCAGGCAGAGAGGATCGTCTAGCGCCCAGATTGGAAGGCCGCGATGGATCGGTATGCTCCCGTAAGGACGTGACCGTGACGAGCGTTTGATTCCGTTGACTTTTCCCATGGCCCCTGACATGAGCGAGGACCCCGAAGACGTTCACGTAGCGCCATGCCCATTTTCCACATCGGGAGGGGCCATGGCGTCCCGAAGGCCTTTTCCCTTCTCGTCCAAGCCCAACCGTTACTTATACCAACCCTCGATGGCCCATAATACGTCCAGCGCCCGCCTCCTCCTCGCCTAACCCCTCGTAACGACTCTGAGCACGCCTTTGTCATCCTGATAGCTGTTTTTTTGCCATTGAATACTTTCTATTGTCAATAATTTTTAATGCCTCCTGCCCCCAAGTCCCCGCAGCGCAAGCCCGGAGCGCCCAAGGCAAAGGGCGCGGTGCGCGCTAAGTCGGGCTGCTACACGTGCAGGATCCGCCGAAAGGTTCGTCGCTTCATCCTCAGCTTCTTTCACCGTCGACATCGTCGTTACCGTCCTCTCCACAACAAGCACGCGCTTACTCAACACCCTTAGAAATGCGATGAGCAACCAAACCCCGATGGGCAGTGCCAGACCTGCGTCCGCCTCCGACTCCAATGCCTCGGCTTCGGGGCCAAACGTCCTGAATGGCTTCGGGTAAGCACAACACTTGGTGATCAAGGTCTTCTCTGACTAGTGCCACTCAGGAGAACCGCAGCGTCATTGACCTTCGCGAGAAGATAAAGGCCTTCCTCGCTGCCCAGGGGATGATCAAGGGCCACTCCGGCGCTTCTGCTCGAGGTAGCGAGCAAGAACAAGCCATCCTCACGCTATCTCCCTACGATCACCCATTCCCGTCCTCAAGCACCAGCCCTCGGACGCCCACTCTTTCCGTTTCATCGGATGATCGTCACCACACTTCGAGCTACCATGGCTTGAGGGCATACCCTTCACAGGATCGTGAGTAGCCCATCCCCATTTTCATGCTCCTTGACTTAATATTTCTCGACAGGGTTGCCCCCAATGGATACCCTCCGGGGTGAATCTCCTCAATACCCGCATCAGGATGTTATGCTTCCTTCTTACCCAACGCAGCATATTACTTCGTCCGACTCTAGCTTAGACCCCCCATGTAAGACTTCGTATCGCTACTAAGTGTATGTATGTATAATAGCGCTCAACGCCCTCCTTTTGGCAGGGTCGTCTTCATCCATTTCTGCGACGTCTACTCGACTCGTCCCCTCAACTAACTTCCCGAGTCGTGCCCTCACAAGCGCTCTCTCCCCTTCGTACACCTATCATCTTGAAGACGAGGATGTTGCTTACGACAGCGACGTGATAGCGCCGATCTTTACGATGATGCCCGTGTCTGACAACTGGGGATTAAGCTCAAAGCAACACAACACACTGAAGCACTATATGGATCACGTCTTAAGAATTCAATATCTACATGCGGACCAGTCGTTAAATGAGACTGTCTGGAGGTTGTTGACAAGTTGTTCTGCTGCTCGGGATGCGGCTTGCCTCCTGTCAAATTTGCATCGAACGACTATGCGTATGGGCATATCGGAGGCGAACGATGAAGATCGAGAAGCATATAATCGCATGCTCGGCCTTGTCACACGACAAAGACCCCTTCAGCCCGGCGAAGCGCTCGCCTGTCTCTGCATCGTTTCCTACTTCCTTTTCTGCGGTGGACGTGGTAAATGGGAAGCCTTCCTTAACGCCGTGTGCGACTTCTCCCGCCTCATCCTGTCCGACGACAGGTATCATGGACCTGCACACGTACTGCAAAAATGCGACAGGGAGCTTCGTTTTATCATCAAGACCTCCATGTGGTTTGATGTCCTTGCCTCGGTCACCCTTGTCCGGACACCGCAGCTCATGGATGTTTACCGCTCTGTCTTCTCCCTCCGAAGCACCGACCACTTCAACGGCGAGCCCACGGCACCTCCGGAAGAGCTCAGCATGATGTCTGTCATGGGCTGCGAGAACTATGTTGTTCGCGCTCTTGCGGAGACTGCCGATCTCGCTTGGTGGAAGGATTGGCACAAGACCGAAGGCAGCTTGAGCATCCCGCAACTTGCATCTCGGGGCCAGCAAATTGAAGAAATGCTCGAGGGTCCCCGCCTCGCGCAGTCGTACCCCGCGGCCTCATGTGATAACATAGAGCTGAACCTGGTACGACAATTTACGTCGGAAGTTTTCCGTGCATCAGCACAGGTATTCCTTCACTCGGTCATCTCGGGCGACTATCCACAATGCCCGGAGATCCAAGCAGGAATCGCACAAACCATTGCTGCGCTGAAGGCCGTTCCTGAAGGCAGCCATACGTCTCGTGCCGTCGTACGAAGCGTTGTCTTCAGCATCAGTATTTGTGGCTGTCTGACTGATGATCCAAATCATCGGGCGTTTTTCGAAGAGCGGCTTCACCAGCAGAATACCCCCGTCGGCAATTGCAACCAAGTCTTGCAGCTCATGAAGAAGGTTTGGAGCAAGCGCGCTCGTGGGGAACCTGTCGACTGGAGACAAGTAATGCGAGAATCTGAGATGCTACTTGTGTAGCGTCTCCGGGCGATCGGGTTTGCTGGAGGAAACAGCGGGCACACGCGGCTCTTGAAGAGCTCTTCAATCTTAAATTTCTCTTTTTTTATCTTTGGAAACAAAATAACGAAACTATACACGTCTCTGTGGATCGTACATCATAACTGCTCAACGACTGATTCTCTTTTCCTTTCTCCATTCATAATGCTGATAAACACATCATGTTCTACCACTGTTTGTCATGCCCACCCGATTTATTTGCGGATGCAGTCAAATGTGGTTGCCCCATCATCTATGGCAGTACCGCGTCCTGAACAACTGGGAGTCGTTAACAAAGCACTGTTGAGGTGACAGCTATCGTGGTGAACGTTGTAGCGGTTTTTGATGTGATATCAGTTTGCGAGGTGAATCGATGGTAGCCACCAAGTGAATGACAAGCCAGCTAGTCAGCACGCAAGTTGTGGTTCGAGTACTCGAGCGATGACTTAGACGCTGATAGGGACGAGAAGCTGCATCGCTTTGATCTGCAAACGCTGATCGTTCCCACGTAGTGGGACGTCTCGGCCTGTCTCGGCGTCAACTTTCAAGGTGTCGGTGTTGGTCGGTGTGGTGAACAGCATTCAGAGTTGACATAGCAGGTGATGATCTCCAGCTTGCGTTCGTTCAACAGAAGCTGTGCTTGATTGACAAAAGCATGATGGATAATCCCTCCATACACAGGTCCATAGGACTGCCGATGTTTCGCTTACGAATATTAATGTTGGCTAGTAGCGGAACTTTATAAGCAACTAAATAGTAATTGTCCTTAATTGCCCCCATTGCAATAACGTCACTTTACATCGCAATGAACTTACCACCGTGGAGAGCAAGGGGTGGGCTAAAGGGTTCAGGAATCGTAGATAACATTGATCAAACGCCTATATCATATCAGGCAGCCTCGAGGGCTGGCGGTGTATGGGCGTTTACGAAGAGCATCCCTGGTGCATAATGCGTCGGTATAGTTGAGTGTGCTCGATCGCGACATAGATCCGACAGGATCCGACGCTAGTAAAACACTGTGGAACCAATATAGCGGCTGCTTGCCGCGGGTACAGAAAAACAGTATTGACTAATATTGATGCCGGGGCAATATTGATGACTTCAGGTTTCGATCGTTTCGATCCGCTGGTAGCCGCCGTCAGCGCTTAAACGTCTTGCATGGACACATGTGCCTCATTGACCGAATGAGTCGCCGAATGAGTCGCCACTTTTAGCCATCAAAAAAGACCTGAGAACCAGCCTGCGAGAGGGTCGAATAGACTCATGACCGCAGCACCCCGCCTCGAGGGCGAAGAGTACGGCAACTGTCCACATTTCGCGAGACACGCGTCCGAGACGTTCGGAAAATACGATTGTAAGGTGAAGGACATCACCAAAGTCGGGGGTTTTCCTGCATCATGTGCCGAGTCCGAGTCGGTGCTGTCTAAGCGCGATGAGCCTTGTCCTGTAGGGCGAATGTCAAACCAATCCCAGTATTGCTTGTGCAAAGACGAGGGATCCGGACAGCAGCCGTGTTTGCAGGATGCTGATGATCGACGACAACCACCAAAGAAGGCGGTTGCGCGTCTGCCCCGTCGATGAGCGTTACGACAAGTGTACTGGCCTGTGTGCCTCAGAGGTCATCGCTTTACCGCGCCTTGGAGGTCGGAGGTTATGTCAGCTGCTCAGCCACAGCAGACGTCAAGATCTCCAAGTCGCTAGCGCTGCAAAAGGGTTGATGTCTGGGAGTTAGCCAGCTAAAAAAGGAAAATATCGGAGGTGAGCACCTCCGCGTTCGCTTGATGACCTATGCCGATTCCTATGCTGCTTCCAACAAGCCTCAGAGCGGAGTTACAGCTGAATTCAGTTCTGATTATTTCACTCGACCATGAAAAACGGTTTTATGCACACGCCCCAGGCGCCCTTTTCCTTGGAGACCACGCCGTGTGTAAAGGTATGATTGCCTTCTTTTAGACTCGTTCAGAAAATCAGTCCGTCATCACGCCGTCTGTTCTTCTGCGACTGCCCCCGGCTCCCAATCCTATTACACTCGTGGTATCGCGTCGGCATATCTCACCTCCTTCGTGCCGACTTCCTCGCCCCGTCATTTCAAAGTCACGCGCGTATGTTGTCTATAAGCCTTGCTTCGTTCCTTTCTTACCGTCTCTTTCCTGCCATACACAGCAGTACCACATTCGCGGTCCGCATTCATGTCCTACAATTACTACCACCCGTCTCCAGCAAGTGGGAGCCAGTCCCCAGCCTCCGAGGTGCCTTCCAACAACACGTCCCCGGCAATAGTCACGACTCCCCTCTCTGCCGCCATATCCGACGAGACAGACTCACATAGTGCAAACTCCAACCCTCAAGGCGCCACTCCGAATAGACTATCCGTCGATTTACCACGTTCAGCAACAACCATGGCAGGCAGGACCGGATGCTGGTATGTGCAGACGTCGTACCAAGGTCGTGCGCGTTCTTATAACGAGGTGGTTGCGCCGGATGACGATCTTTTAGGACATGCCGTATTCGGAGAAAGGTTCGTGTCCAACAAATCCTGCAATCGAACGCGCTGATCTTATTTGCAGAAATGCGATGAACAACGAGAAGGAACCTCGTGTCAAACTTGCAAACGACTCAGGATCGACTGTCTGGGGTGGGGCCCAAGAAAGCCGGACTGGATGCGCGTGAGTTGCTGGCTTTCTAAGCGGGGATGTCGACTGACGTCAAACGCGATTAGGACAAACAAGCCATCGAGGCTTACAAAGCTAGCATCAAGGCGCACCTTACGCGAGAGGGCTTGATACGTGGTCAACCTAGATCTGCGATAATGCAGGCGTCATCGTCACCAAGTTTCCAAGTATATGCCCCAGATGTGTCCGGCCCACGACTTCCACGTGTAGACCATGTCATGCCGCCCAATAACCAGGTATATCTGGACCAGCAGTCATTACTGCCCTCTTCGCATGTGATGTTCGGTAAGGCTTGATGATACACAACTGGATAAGTCTGATTTTGCTAGCAGCACCGCATGCGCAACAGCCCCTGCCGAGCCAATCGTATGGTGACAGGCGTTTCAGCCATCCAAGCCTCGAAGACCTGTCGTTCGCATCGACATCAAGAACACCATCTCGTTCGGGAGCCCTAGGTTATGATATTGAGTCACCTTACTCAAGTCCTCTCCCAGCGCAAACGCATTTTCCGACGGCAGCAACACCCCTACCTTCTTTACCATTTGAACCGGGTTCTACAGAGTACATCCATCTGACTTACTACTTCGAGCATGTCTGCATGCTATTATTTGGGTTCTCGGGCCATAGAGTTGCTCATGTTCTAAATTCTGTAAGTCATCAGCTGCAGGTCTGATAATAGCTAACTTACGTTCATCAGCTTGTCTTGCAAGATCCTCACGGAACCTTGACATATTCCATGACTGCGCTAGCAAGTTTGCACTCGTACCTCGCGTTGCAGCAGTCACAAAATGTAGAATCGTATGCTGGATTAATGACCTCTCAAGCCATGGTATTCTACGAAGATTCACGATCACAGTTATTGGCGACGGACGAGCAAGGTGTACTCACCGAATTAGATGCACTTGCGGCTATCCACCTCATTTACTTCGCCAACTTCGCGGGGGGTGCAATCGATTGGCTTCCACTGCTGACCATAGCGAATAAGTGGTTGACTCGCACGGGCATAATGGACGCTCATAACCCTTTTCTCCACATGACTGAGTCAGGTCTGGGCGTCCCGGCAATCTTGGCGATGAAAATGACGATGGTAAGCATATCTATGACTTGGAGGATGAATGTTCTCACATTAGCATCCAGTGGTTTGACATCATGGCATCCATGACGCGGTCCACCATTCCAGAACACCTTCTCTTCTATCGACACTTGATTCACGGGGGTGGATGGTGGTCTGATTGTAGTGGTAGCAACGACCCCGACTTGAAGATCGACAACCTGACTGGCTGTCCAGCGGACGTGCTTCTATGTATTGCAGAGATTACGAAGCTAGCGCACTGGAAGGTCCAGGAATCGCGAACGAGAACATTGAGCGTCACGCAGTTGATAGCGCGGGGCAACATTATCGAAAGCAACCTGCGTATGGGAGAACAAGCAAGCAACCAGAGCGGGTATGGAGCAATGTCAAGACCATCGATGTCAACTGGATTACCCGGCATGACACTTCGGACAGATACACAGGCTATGGTCGCCAGCATATATCGCGAGGCGGCGATCCTGTATCTACATTCGGTATTAAGTGAATGCCATCCAGGTAAGCGTCCAACAACATCTATCACAACACTGCGACTGACCTAGTCTCGACGAAGGTGTCCCTGAAATATCAAGGTCTGTCGCAGAGATCAAGCGCAAACTAGAAAACATCATGCCATCGTATATGGACCGGACATTGATATTCCCAATTTTTATCGTTAGCTGCCTAAGCAGTGATCCCGTATCACTGGAGGTGTTGAAAGGAAGGACACTGAGACTGCAGGAGCCATTTATGAACTGTCACCGTACGCAGCATGCCATAGAGGCGGTATGGATACGACGAGCGACGAACGGGGGCCAGTCTGTTGACTGGCGGGAAAGCCTCAGGCAAGTGGGCAGCGACTTGCTTTTGGTTTAGAACGATCTGTTGCTAGTTCTTATGTTTGTATGATTGTTTTCATTAACCGGTTCTATGCGTTACCACATTTAATTTGCACTTACATTGGCGGCCTCTACCATAGCATCACACTAAATGCGAATCCAAGTCTTCACGTACATGGTTTGTATTTGATGGGTCTACTCCATGATAGTTATGAGCTTTGAGCGACTTTCAAAGCCTCTTGGCATAGCAAACGCTTTGTGGACAGGACAAAAGGCGAGGTTGGAAGGGGGGAAGGCGCTGAGGGAAAGGTAGGGAAGTGGACTTAATGTGCAACGAATATATCTAAATTCCGATGCGGATCGGGAAATTGCTTGTCGCGCGCTCTGAGGCTGGCGCCGACGGAGCGAACCAATCAGAGCACGATTTCAGCACCGCATTGCAGATATCCCACGAATGGGCGCATCCGGCGGCCACTAAGATACCGTTTAGCCGGATAAATTCTCTTGTATTTCCCGCTGTCTGCCAGTGTTAGCTCAGCGCCAGCGTGAATGTGGAGAATCGGAATTTTGCTGCACCGACTGACCAACAGAAAATGTGTTGCGGTAAGTTTAGCCGCGAATATTTGAGAAAGTCAAGCAGTCACGTGATGGACGCGTCGCCTGAAGTTGAACCGTGGTGGCGGCGCTTGAGCCAGGCTGTTGCTCACAATCACCACACCACGTTGTATCCTCGCACGACATCCACGACCTTTCACGACACCAGCTATCGACGCCATGTTCAAGGGCATTCTCCCTTCGAAGAGGCTCTCTACCTCAGACTTTACCATGGTCACTGCACCTCCTGCGACCGCTCCCGTCAACGGCAAGGAAAACTGGCCGTCGGATGGCGCCACAAACTACAAACCATCAAAGCCAGTCCTATACAAGGGTACGACCAAGAAGAATGAGAAGGCTAAACTTGTCAGAGCATCTGTAGACAAGCCAGAGGAGCCACTCGTCACCGAGCAGGCCTTTGACAAGTTGCTGGTGAGTCTGCTACCCAGGTCTAGCAGCTCGTCGCACTCACTCATCTTTTTGGCAGGATGACCTCCAGATTCCAACCTCACTTCGCCCCAAGTTGATAGGGATGGACTCCACTGTCAAAGCTGCCATGATCAAATCTTCTCACACTGTTATTGCCAAACCACCTCCCTCACCGCCGCACACGCCCCGCACTCTACGCAAGGCTCACAGCAGCGAATCACTCGTCTCTCCTCCACGGCCCGGAGGGTTTTACAACCCCACGATCGGAACGAGCACCGCCGACTTATCCTCGCATACCAGTCATGAGCGCGGTGTGTCAATAGACATTATGCGCACAATGTCTCGCGCCGATGGAGCATTGGTAACCTCGAGCGATTTCGCTAAACCCAAGGACAAGCTGAAAAGCCTTACTCCTGTCAAACTCTGCAGCATACTATCCGGCAACTCTAGCACTGAGCTAGATGTAGAAGTGGTCAAAAAACTGCGGCTGCTCCTCAGGAATGAGTCGGCAAGGTACCATTATTCTTCTAGAAATCGTTCCCCCTTATTGATCAAATTACAGTTGGAGCGAGGAATTCATGCGTGTAGGCGGCTATAACGCCCTTTTAACCAGGCTAAACGAGATCCTGGAAGTGGAGTGGCGGTGAGACTTACACGTTTCATTCGTCAGCCTAGGCTAAATCTCAGTGCAGGGAAGAGCAGCACGGAGACAAGGTCCTGCATGAACTTCTCCGCTGCTTCAAAGCTCTATCTACCTCATCTATTGGATGCTTCGCTCTCCGTAGCTCATGCCCGACACCCTTCGTTCAGCTGGTTGCGCTTCTCTACTCAGACAAAAAGCCTGGAGATGTCGCTACCCGTCAGCTCATCGTTGAACTACTTCTAATCATGTTCGAGCTCTACCCAGCTTCGTCTCTTCCTTCGATTGGGTCCGGACGACGCCGCGAAGCATGGGAATCGCAGGAAGCTTCGAGTGCTTTGGTCAGACTGCCTGCGCCTCACAAAACACTTCTGTCACTCATGCGTGCTCTCCTACTTACCCCTGCCCCTCCTCCGGCCGAGTCCCCTGGCGCCCCCATCTCTCCTCATGCTTTTATCGAGCAACTGCACCGCCCTCGGATCTACAAGACCTACCTTCAAGAGCTCTCGGATGTGTGCAGAGATTACTTTTGGGTATTCTGTCATCCGAACAATACTCTTTGGAACCTCGGCGAGGTTGATGAAGGTCGCGTTGAGAAGCCTCGGGCGCCTGGGGGCATGACTGGTGGTGTCGAGTTTGAGGCTATGACCTACTTCGTACGCGCAAATCATCAGTTTTCCTCAGCCTGCTGACAGTTTTGCTTCGCAGACTTTGCATTTGCGGCTGATCAATAGTATGGCAAGCTTAGCGCATGGCATGAAACTCCCTAAAGAGGACGATCTCTCCGCTCACCGCTTGCATGCTGATCTCTTTAGCTCTGGCTTTGAACGTATCATACTAGTCAGTGCTTATTTCCCCTGCACAAGGTCATACTCTGATTCCTACTGCGCCTAGATTGCTCGCAAGGCATCAACAGCATACTACCCCACGCTTCATCTTGAGCTTTCCCGGTACATCTCTTGGACATCGCTGGCACGATATGAAATCCCCTGGACCATTTCTCGCCTCATCGGCCCTCCACCTACTAACTTGTGCAAACCTGTCGGCTGGCAATCTGCCCCCCAAACTCCAAGACACCCTCAATCCTCGACTGGCCGAGTCCAGGGACCGCGGGCGGCGAGCCCGTCACCAACGAAGCGCTCGACGAATGTGCCTGAAGATTTTATAAACTTACCCCCTCCAAAGAGGATTGAGCCCCTCCGGTTTGACTAGATGAGCACGGACATCTAGTAGAAGGCATATACGACTGTTTCCACATATCTTATTTCGATCTGCGTCATGATCTTCTTGCTTTGGTTTTCTGCTTTTCATCCACGACAAGAATCTATGATCCCCTTTCAATATCGAATTGTGAACTAAATAGCATTTGTTTTGTAGTACTGTACAAACTATATGGACCGTGAACTTGACATTGCCTCCGCTCGATGTGCGAAACAGTCCCAGCCATTTAGTAAGAGGGTGGTAAACTATCACTGTAAGTGATCATGCAGATTGATCAAGAAGCCTCTGGCTCTCCCCTTCTTCGGCGTCTGCGGCTGCCGCGCGTCGGGCCTTGTACGATGTTTTGACAATTCCTGCAATGCTGCGAAGGACCCAAAGCAGCGAGATAATGGCTGCTGCCAGTGCAACGGGAGCCTGCCTCCTGTCCGACGGCACCGACTTCTGGTGGTCCCAGATCGCGAAGAGAGACCACGAGATGGCAAGGCAGGCAGGGAGGTCGCCTTCAGCGGTCGAGTAGGCGTATGCGTACGATACGATCTCGAGCACGAAACTAGAGAAGTGAGATTAGTTAGAGCTAATTATCTAAGAGTTTCAAGTTGGGAGTAAACGTACAGAGATCCTATGAAGATCGCTTTTGTCCATCCTGTGAGCGGCTCGACGGAAGCATCGACGCCAAAGGAGTCGAACGCGGCTGTGAGGATCAGGACCGTAGTCCAGCCGTGGTAGAGAGAGAACGGCAGATTGACGAAGAGCTCGTCGGAGATGGTGCGTGAGGGCACATGCTTGATTTGACCGTAGATAAACTGTAGTTCGAAGTGAGTACACAGTTTCCCGCTGACACGATTGCGAGATGACAAACAGTAACAGTGGATCCCAAGAAGAGGATGAAGAACATGGCTATCGCACACCGATAGGTCAACCCAGTTAATAATTTTTGAGTTAGCAGATGGCATACCATAACGATATTCATCGATAGCCCATGAATAAAGATACATCGTCGCTAGAACATTGAGCATCGGGAGCCGCCAGGCAATGCGATTGAGGATAGTCTCCGACCCCGCTCGCGAGAACTGGTAGGTACATGTCCCCAAGAGCAGCAAAAAAATCAGAGGCCTATAGCACCGCAAGGATAAGCCGTGTTGAACCCTCTACGAAGTCAGAGACTTAAGGTACATACCACGTGAAGTACACCCAAGAAGAAGGGGTGATATACGTCTCCTTTGACGGATGGAGGGCGTCCAGAGGGGACACGACGACGTAGACGAACGCCCCGATTGCCACCAAGGTAGTGACTATGTTCGCAAACTACAGTGGGCTCAAGTCAGAACAGATGTACTGCCGAGAAGAAGATGGAGCATATACTCACCCGGATGAGGTTATCCTCGGACGACATGGTGCGGAAAGATATTGAAGAGAGATGAATGGAATGGGGGATAATGTTGCTCGTTGGAATCGTATTATGCCCTATAGGTCTTTAAACATTTCGCGAGCGCCGAGGCCATTGGAGGTGTGCTTGAAACGCGTGTTTGACCACAAGCCGCATGTTCTGCGACAATCAAAAGTTGCTTAGTCTGTTACTACACGTGTCGACGGAGGAACAGCCACGCGCATTGTCGGATCTCTATTGTTGCTCGGAGCGACTTCTCCGCCTGGAAGCATGCTGCGGGCTCAAGGTGCTGAGACGAACGGACGGAACGTGCGGAGCTTCATATAGATATTACCAGTAATATTCGCAGGCCACAGACAAATAAGTAGATGACATCGATGTACTTGAATAATGTCGTGATGCGGGTTCGTTCTTGTAATAGTGAAAGTCGTGAAGGTCCTTGATGACGCAGCCTAACGCTAGCGTGAGGACAGGATGAATATGCTACATTAGGATATCATGATGTGGGTGACGCAGATTTGGGGAAAAAACAAAGAATGTACACAGTTCGCCAGTCGCATTGATGATGTAATATGGTTTGTGAAAGTCGTTTCCATGAAGATCGTTTCATGGTCCGTTTGTTGATTGCATAGATCATAATTTCATAGGTGTGCGTTCATGCATAGTCTAGACTTTGAACCGGAGGGCAAGGTTCTTGAATTTCTGCCATTTTGTCTGGCTCGAAAACTCAACCACCCATCTACAAGCGACCGGTCAATAATACGATCCAGCGTCAAAAGGTGATAGACGCACCGAACAATGAGATCGCCTCGGCGGCCCGATTTCTTGCGATCGTCACTGGTGGGCATGCCAGCCCCCTTGATGATTACCTGTCCCTCGGTCGCCTTTTCGTAGATAGGATAAGGCAGCTTGAACGACAGCTCCTGACCGTCGATGCCCTTGATGCAGACCTCGCCTGGCTGCTCAAGCAAAGAATTGTCCCAGGGCACGCTGATGTCCAGGAAAAGGTCGTCCTTCACGCGAGCGAACCGCCCGTGAGGCGTCTCCTCGACGAGGAACACGACATCTTGGATGGTGCCGTCCTTGAGCTCGTGCCCGGCCTTCTCGCACAGGATCCGCGTGCCACTGCGCGTTCCCGCAGGGATCTCGATTTTAAGGTCGACTTGCTCCTTGTTGCGATTCCGCAGCTCGCGGGTGATGCGGAAGTGGAACTGAGTGCCCTTGAACATCTCCTCAAGAGAGAGCTGCAAAGGGAAGAGCCACTCTTTCGAGGGACCGTCGGGAGACGTCAGTGGTCGAAGAGGGTTGCCAAGACTTGGCAGGTCTTCCTGGGACGGTCTTGGTGTAGCAGTTTCTTCCTTCTCTTTTGGTTTCTTTTTGTGTAATTTATTGATTAGATCACTAGACGGAAAAAGTATATCAGTTTCATCACTAACACGACAAAGGCCTTGTTACTTACTCGCCAAGCCCAACACGAGTATGTTTTGGACGCGGTGACGAGGGCATCGATTCGGGCTCGGTTGGAGCTCGTCCATGGCGATGGGATTTCCTGGTGGCAGTCGTCGCAGACGAGCCAGCGCGTGGGGGTACGAAGGGTAGGCTGCCTCCGTCCTCCGAGTTGCTTGGCCGGGCTTTGCTAGATCGGACCTTGCTAGGCTTTTCCTCGGGTGTGTCGACCTTGCGCTCACGATCCGGGCTTTCGTCCTTGCTCAGCTTTTCCTTGCGCGGTCGACGCTCGCTCGAGTCAGCCTTGTCGGCCTTCTCTCTACTTGGTCGGCCCTCGGCTGACTCGTCCTTGGGTAATCTTTCCTTGCGTGGGCGATCCTTGGCCAAATCGTCCTTGGCTGGCCTCTCCTTCCGTGGCCGATCCTCGGTCCCTTCGTCCTTGGGCGCGTCATCCTTCTTCTTCCGCTCTCTTCTGGGGGTCGATGGCTCATCGCCAGATCCCTCTCTCTTCCGGCGCGGCTTCGGCAACTCTTCCTCACTCGGCTTCTCCTTCCCGCTCCCAGAGCGCTCTTTCAGTGACTCCTCATTCGACTTTTCTTTGCGCTTTTTCGTACGCTCCTTCGGTGGCTCCTCATCAGTAGCCTTCTCCTTGCCCTTCTTCAAACGCTCCTTCGGCAACTCCTCCTCGACAGCCCCCTCGTTTCCTTTCTCCTTCTTTGAGCGCTCCTCATCCCCAGGTTCATCTTCACCGGACTTCTCCTTCACCTTCTCCGAGCGACCCCTACTCGACTCCTCCTCCGCCGGCGCCTCTTTTCGCAGCTTTTTCTTGCCAGGCACCTTCTCGCGGGGGGCATCGTCCTCGGGAGGCTTTTCTTTGCGACGGCGCTCCTTGCTAGGACCGGCCTCACGAGCCTGGTCCTCCGCAGATGCCCCCTTGCTCGAGTAAGGATCCACGCTCGAGGCCTCCTTCCGTGACCTCTTCTTGGGCGAATCAGTGCCCGCGGGCGCATCGCCCTTGCCGACACGTTCCTTCCGGAGCCTCTCCTTGCTCGACCCGGCCTCCTTGCTCGAGGCCTCCTTCATCGTGCGCTCGGCCGGCACGGACCTGCTCCTGCCCGACTTGGGCTTGCTCGGACCAGCTCCAGGCGTTTCGGCCGATGGAGCCGCGGGAGTTTCATCGTTTGATAGTGAAGAGTCAGCTGACGGCGAAGAAGTCGAAGACGAGGCAACATGAGGCTGCTTGCTGTCTTCTGCAGAAAGGGGATCACGTAAGTCGGAGCGTGGCGTCGACTCTGGGCCTAGGTCTTCTGGAGTCGATTCCGCAGGTGGGATGTCTGTGGAGCGTGGCAACTCGTCACCAAATTCCTCGGGCGATTGTTGCGAGTCGTCCGCGGCGAAGGATTGCGTTGAGCAGGAAGGCGTCGTAGGTGGCGTCTCGGTACTGGGGACGGAGGTGTCGTCCCCATCGCTGTCGGGCTGATTGAGATTCGTTGCATCCTGTTGGGTGTCGCTCGATGCCTGCGAGTACGCAAAGCCAGGTGCAGTACCGTTCGATTGCGCCCAGTTGTCTTTGGGAAGTTCGGCGGAGGTGTATGAGTAAGGGGAGCTGAACGGACGAGGGCTATCATCAGGGTGAGGAAATTGAGAAAAAGAGTAGAACGGCCGCGGTGGTTCTTCCGGCGGAAGATTGGCAGATGTGTAGGAGTAGGGTGACCCGAAATGGCGCGGTGGATCCTCTGGAGGGAGGTTCGCGGATGTGAAAGAGTAAGGCGAACCAAAGTGCTGTGGTGGCGGTGATTGCTGCTCTGTCGGTGCATTCGCAGACGGATACGAGTATGCCGACCCATAGTGCCGTGGTGGTTCTTCTGGGGGAAGGTTGGCGGATGTGAAGGAATATGGTGAGCTATAATGTCTGGGCGGCGGCGGCGGAGGTTCTTCTGGGGGAAGATCAGCAGAGGTGAAGAAGTAAGGCGTGCCATAGTGCCGTGGTGGTGGTGGCGGTGGTGGTGATCGAGGAGGTGCTTGTTCCCGTGGGTTCTCGGAGGGGAAAGTACCAGGAGGAAATGAGTACGGAGAGCTGAACGACGGCGGCGGGGGTGGTGGTGGCGATGGCGGGGAACGTGTGCGAGCATTATCCTTGGTCTCCATAAGGGCTCGATAGGATGCATGAACCTGTGTTAGAAAGGGACAGTATTCTTGAGTGTCTGCACGTCAGCAATATTGTAGTCAAACGAAGCATACTTGAATGAACATTTGAGCGGCATATTCCTTCCCAGCGTTGTGACGGTCCGGATGCCACTGTAAAGCCTTGCGAAAAATGTCAGTAAACATGAAAATTACCCAACCATATTCAGCTCACCAGCTTGCGGAAAGCCTGCTTGATCATATCCTCGGTGGCATCGGGAGGGATATTGAGGATAAAATAGTGATCGACGGGCTGAGGGTACTCGTCCATCTTTGAGCGAATAGGGTGGGGAAGATATGTATAAGAAGCACGAGGGCCTGGGCACTGAACGTTGAGTGGTGGAGCCCACCGAGGGGGGAGAGAGGGAGGTGCTTTGCGCTGGACTAGATAGCTAGCTTCGAGTTGGGGGATAGGGCACAAAAGTTTATAAAAGGGGAGCGGACGAGCAGTGCACAAGAGCTAGTCGATGATTAGTTCCGGTGTTGGACGATGCCCACGGAGTGCAGAGGCTGACCACGATCATTGAGCGTGCCTCATGGCTGGCACGTTTCCCAATCACATTCAGTGACGATTAATCTCCTCGTTGCGTTTGCGCGGACGTACCGCCCCGATATCTGCAGCCCTAAGGCCTAATGCACGGTTTATCAGTATCCATTTTGCGCAATGCCGTAGCAGCCCTCCCAATTGTCATACACTGGTCAGCTGTGTTGACCATCTGGGAGGCTTGTGAAGAGTTGTGGGTCTGGGTCCGGAAGTGGGCAACCACGCCGGTCCTCTCAGGATGAACTGGCTCAAACAGGGATAGCCTCTTTTGGAAATCACAATTTGCTTCCGCGAGTACGTCGCTCTGTTATCATTGTCGTTGATCGCACTTGTTATAAGTATACCAAAATATTGACGAGTTATCGACGCTGGAATATCATCGACCTTTCTGCCCCATTTCCCCGATCACATCGCCAATAGCCATGCATGTCCTAATATCTTCATGCCCCTCCAGCCCATATCAAGCGGTGTAGCGTGCAGCTTCTCGATGATGCCCAGCATCGATGCAACTGCAACGTTGGGGGGTGGAGCGCATGAGTAGCGAAGATCTAGCCGAGTTCAAAACGTACCTTTCCAAGAACTGTACAGTACCATCAGGCACGGTAGATTCATCCCGCGCTCCCCTTGGACTATCACGTCACAGCGTAGACTGATCATAATTGCTTGGTATTGTACCGATAAGTATTCTAGCAAAAACAGAGATTGTATTGTAAAGCTAAGAGTCCTTCATATATGCATGATGCGGTGATGTACAATGTGATACTAATATGACCCACTCCTCAACCAAGCACCTTTCTTATCTCCTCTTTCTGCGAAGCAGTAAGACGTTCTGGGAACACAACGTCCCACTTTACAATCAGATCTCCCTTCTTCTTTGGACTTCCCTGTTTGCGGATGGGCATGCCCTCGCCAGGAATCTTCGTTTCTTGGCCTGGCTTGATGACACCAAGTGATGGGACAGTGACCTGGATTTTACGTCCGTCAAGAGCGTTCACCTGCTGTTTCCCGCCAGAAGGCGCCAGCGCGTCCACTAATGGGATCTTCAGCCGACATACGAGGTCGTCCCCTTGACGGGTGAAAACGGGGTGCTCCTTCTCCTCTACGACGAAGACCAGGTCCTGCGCCTCGCCGGTTGGTTGCTCGTTTCCTGCCCGCGGGAAGCGAATCTTGGTACCACTTTTCCAGCCTGGAAGCACTTGGATCTCGAGCACCTTGTCTTCCGTGCCGCCAGTCAGCAACTTGCGGCCGATCTTGAGGTGCTTCGTCGCGCCACAGTAGAGGTCCTCCAAGGAAAGCTTGAGCGGTCGCGTGATTTCGTTGGACTGTGGGCTACCGCTGCTTCCCGATGCGCGACGTGAATGTCCTCGAGACCCAGGACCTGGACGGCGGGGCGTGCCGCCTGGCATACCGCCTGGCATACCACCGAAAAAGCCAGACCCATCGTCATCGTCGGTGTACATTCCGCGACCGCCCATGCCTCCACCCATTCCGCCCATGCCTCCGCCCGTTCCGCCCATGCCTCCACCCATGCCACCCATGCCACCCATGCCTCCAAACATACTTCCGAGACCACCTCCAAACATTGTCCTGAGGTCATCCATCAATACACGGCGTGATATAAAATTGGGGAATAATCACTTACTCAAAGATCTTCTGCGGATCCGTTGGTGCGAATCCTCCCCCTGGACCTCCGCTTGTAAAGGTAAAGGTTGAGCCTCCACCGCCGCCGGGGAAACCACCAAAGCTCTGGAAACCGCCCCCAGCACCTGGTGATGGGCCACCGCCTCCGCCTTTAAGGCCCTCCTCTCCAAATTGGTCATATATACCCCGCTTCTGTTTATCGCTGAGCACTTCAAATGCCTCGGAGATCTTCAATTTAAGATGTTATGAATATCATGCATACAGCCTACATATGAGTTCCCAAACGCACCTCCTTGAACTTCTTTGAGGCCTCTTCTGATCCACTGTTACGGTCAGGATGCCATTTAAGAGCCTGGAAAAAGGAAGAGTTATTTCGTCAGTTGCCATACTCCTATTGAAGTGCAAAGGCACACGCACCATTTTCTTGTACGCCCTCTTGATCTCATCTTCACTGGCGTCGCGGCTGATGCCCAATAGTTTGTAGTAGTCTGTACCCATGTTGAGCTAGGTGGCTGTCAGCAAGACTGTGTTTTGTTCAGAGTTGCCCTGAGGCGGTTGTTCAGTATATGTGTCTCTGCGATTTGAAACTAGAAGGCAAAGGGATGTGCTTCAGTATGCTCTCCGGTTATAGATCTCGCCAGAACATGCCAGAAACAGGGGACTGACGTCACACGTCAGCGCTGGGAGGCGCGGGCTAGCTCGTGGGAAGTACGCTGGGATATTGAGTCCATGGACCTGTCACCCGTCCGGAGTTGTCCGCCGGCGACTTGACATAAGTAGCGGAGCCAATTATAGACGAGATCCAGAAACGTTCGCCGAGGAGTGTGGCTGTCTATGCATATGGCTTGGCTCTCCGAGTCTGAGATTTCCAGCACTAGTCGCTGTACAGCCAGTCGACGAGCGCCATGACAAGCCAGAATTTGACCGCGGAAGGCGCCGACAAGCACGCGAGAAACAACAGCAGCGAGGACGCAGGCGCAGGGGGCCGCTCGTCATGGCACATCCTCTCCCCTTTTTCATCCTCGGCCCTCGCCTCTCTTCCGACGGGCACCCAGAGGCCGCAGCGCTACACCAGAGAGGACGGCATCCCCGAAGTCGACGACAATGGCCACGCGCCGTCCACGGCCGTCCGCGACTACCACTCGATCAATCCTGCTGTCCAAATCAGAGTCCCAAAGAAGATCCCGACGAGCATCAAGGTCGAGGGCAAAGTCTGGTTCGCTAATGAGAGAAGTCAGCATCGTCGACCCCTCCTCTCGCGTGCAGCGTGCATGTCTTAACAAGTCTTGCTTCCAGCCTGGATCTCGTGGCTGAACCTTGCCGTACTCCTCGGCACGCTGTCTCTTGCTCTCTTCAACGCCTCCGACGAACCCGTTGCTCGCAACTTTGCATACGTTTACGCTCTCATTAGCATTGGGGTCCTGGTAAGGCCACAGAATCTTCACGACATGCCGACAGTCCGTTGATAATCACCACTCAGATATATGGCTACCTCCTCTATCAACGTCGTATCACCATGATTCGCAAGCGGGATCCTGGGCACTATGGTTCGTCGCTGCGTCCTAATTCATAATTTCACTTAGCGCATCGTCAACCACAGATCAAATTCTCGGCCCTGTCATAGTCAGTGCCCTTCTGTTTTTCGCAGTTTTGGCGAATTTTATCGTTCGAGGTGCGTAGTGTATGCTTCGAGAGCAGTCATAGACTCACCCCCGTTGATGCTGATCTTCAGTGCGCGAACTGTGGGTTTTACTTGTCTCCTCTTCCCAGCATAAACTTGAGCTTTCTTCCCAGCGAACGTCAAAAGGTTCCCATCCCCGGTATGTCTCTGTTCTTCAACAATGCAACTTCGGCAACATAAGACACCATGTCTTGTCCAGTTCTTTCATATATCCCCGCAGTCCAGCATATTTTTGTCATGGATAAGGTACATTGAATGGACTGATTTTTGTCTTTCTCTCGCGTTTCATTCACCCCAACGTTGAGAAACTTGTTAAGAAATACAGTTTCCGAATTATGCATACACATGAATATTACAAGGCCGCGTACGCGCTATATAGGGCAGATCATGACTTCAGGACCTTCTTCATACTCTGCAAAAATAACAAGAGTTAGTCATGACAACGCATGTCGTCCACAGTAATACGCACCTCTTCCATGTCATCCAAATCATCCGTCTTTATCCGAACGATCTTCCTTCCAAGCGTCTTCTCAATCATCTCCATTTGCTGCCACGTCCGTTGGTCATGGACGAAGTTGATAGAGATACCCTTGCGTCCGAAACGTCCAGTTCGGCCTAATCACGAGTCAGCCCAATTGTCACTTTCTCGCGTGCTACTGATGCGCACCTATTCGGTGAATATACGTTTCAATATCGGGCAAAGCATCACCAGAGTGATAATTCCCTCGCTCGTTCATCAGCGGCAGGTCGTAGTTGACGACCATGTTCACCGACATGATGTCGATGCCGCGAGCGATGACGTTCGTCGTGATCAGTACCTTCTCGCGGCCCTCCCGGAAGTTGTCGATGATCGTATCACGCTCGGTAGCGTCTTTTGCACCGTGGAGCGAGGCGACCTTGTGGCCTTCCGCAGTCATACGTTGTGATATACGGTCTGCCGTGTGCCGGTGCTGGCGTGGGCTAATGCTTAAAATACGCCGGTAGTTCACGAAGCAAGAGGACGTACCTGACAAAAGATGATGCTCTGCCCGATGGTGAGCAATTGGTAGAGAGAAACAAGGATATCGTATTTATGCTCCTCGTTCTTGCAATCCATATAGAACTGCTTAATGCTGTCCACAGACAACTCCTCCTTCTGAAGCTCGATTGTGTTGGCGCCTGGGGCGAACTTGTTGGCAAATTTACGGACGTGGTCGGGGAATGTCGCAGAAAAGAGGATGACTTGGAGATCTTGACGAGGAAGAAAACTAGAGACAGATGGTTAGCATGGTTCTGTGTCTGAAGCGGGAAACGAACCCACTTCTTCACCCTCAGTGTCTGTTCTCCGAGGCCATCTTGGTCAAGCATATTGTCCGCCTCGTCGAGCACAAATACCTTGACCTCCCTCGCGTCGATGACTCTTCTTCTGAGCAGATCCGTCATTGTGCCAGGCGTACCGACAACAATCTGCGCGCTAATCGTCGAAGTGCCCTTCGGAATACTCTCCTTGATAGCGTACTCGGTCTGGACTTCCGTGAACTTGCCCATGGCCACCACTACCGACATAATTTGACGAGCGAGTTCTCGGGAGGGAGCAAGACAGAGCGCCTTTATGTTTTCAGCTACAGATGTGAAATATAGCCGCATATCAATACACACCTGGGTCTTGGCTTTGGAAAAGTCGATTCGACTAAGCATGGTCAATACGAAGGCGGCAGTCTTGCCTGTGCCCGATTGCGACTGTCCGATCATATTCATTGGCCTATGCTACTGTCAAGTTGATGTCAGCCAGTAGAGTCCTGATAACGCACGGGTTGGCAAGGAGCAGGGGAAGTGCACGCTCTTGAATTTTCGAAGGCTTTGAGAATCCAAGATCATACAGTCCTTTTAACAGATCTTGATGTCTACGCCACAAAATCAATGCACGACTTCGCAGAAGCTAGAGCATACATACAGCCCAAGCTCTTCGAACGTTTTTGCGCTGAATAGAGGGGAATTGGGGTCTGCTTGTTGATCGGCGAGTGTGACCTTTCGACGGCATCGGTGAATCGTCGCGAGTACCAATGATCGATCTAGTTTACCGTAACTTCAAAGCTTGAGGCAAGCAGGTCCGTTTCGGGTTCCTCTGACAAATCGGTGGTTAGCAGTGAGCGAAGATCGACGTAGGAGTGCGCGTACCCTTGCCCGCATCATTCTCGTCGGCAGGCTCTGCCTCCTCGCCTACATTAGTCCAGCGTAAAGGTAGGTTTATATCTGATGGTTTTTATCCACTCACCCGCAGATGCAGCCACTGGTTCATAGAAACCATCCTTGTCCTTTTGCATCGTATGTGAGGGTGGACGGTGACCGGAGCTGTGTGCAGTGAACTGAGTAAATGTCGAGTTATTTACCTTGACGCGTCTTCCGGAACCGGATTCAAAAGGGGGTTTGCCGAGCGGAGTCGATTTCTCATCTGATCTCTTCACACAAAGTACTAAGTACTAAGTACTAAGTACTTACTCTGCTATTAGTATTAACTGCAAACGGGGACTGCTCCAAGCTTGCTCTAAGTTGTAACATGTTCAAGATGTCAGCCTCACTTGTTCCTCCTGCTTTCTCTCAACACGCCTCGAACCTACTCCAGCGCGTCCAGCAGGGAGCTAGTCGAGTAGAACTCGTCTATACCACTCACGACAGGTGGCCGTGCCGACCTTCGAGTCCCCTCGACTCTGCCAACCCCCTTCGCATCTCCGTCGTCGATTCATCCTTCAACCCTCCAACGCTAGCTCACTTAGCACTCGCAAATATACCTCCACATCCTCCAGGTCTCGTGTCTCTGGACCTCCCATCGCTCAACGTCGCACGAGAGGATTATGACGCGAAACTTCTATTACTTTCCGTTCGCAACGCAGACAAGGTCCTCAAACCTGGAGACGCGTCACAGGTACAGAGACTCGAGATGATGTACCTCATGGCGAAGGAGCTTGTATCTTCTACCCAGGTGATAGCCCAGGAAAGCAATGTCGCCGTGGCAATCATCGATGAGCCTACGTTTGCCGGTAAATCAACTGCTTTAACACAATACCTTTTCAGTCGCCTGCAGGCGCTTCACAGTAGTGAAAGCCAGTCTCCTATGAAACCTCTAAAGCCCCAGATGACCTTCACGATGGGATATGACACCCTCATTCGTTTGATCTCCCCGCGCTTCTACCCATCCGAGGGTGACATGCACCAGGCTCTCAAGAAATTCCTATCCTCGGCCATGGAGGACTGTAATATTGTCTGCGCTCGTCGCCCCCCAACAGGACCGGACAGCTTGTCGCAAGCCGTATCTGAAAGTCAAACTTTGGAAACATTTGAAAGAATAATTGGAGAGAAGCGGGTTTCTCTTGTGAATATTGGTGAAGACGAGCAAACGTACAGCTCTACGGCTGTCCGTACCAAGGTCCAAGCAGCAGATAATTCATGGATGGGTGTCGTCTTACCTAATATTGCACAGTACATCGAGCAAGCATCACTGTACTCGGTAGTTCAATCATTGTCATGACAGCACTGAGAAAACGAAATGCATTGAATTAACGATGGTGCATGCGAGAATTGTGTTATACTATACAGCATTGTGAGAGTATGGGGTAATGAGATTAAAATATACGTATAATTCGTAAGCGTGATGCAGCTGATGAATGGCCATCAGACGAGAAATCATGAGGATGCTTGAGCGAATGCAATGGCAACAGTCTGTAAAGAAAGTCAGGCAAGGTTCTTAAGGCGACATATGAGGGAGGACAAACCTCAGAATGGCTCAAAGAAATCAAAACCTGCTTGATGCCCTTTGATTGAGCGGCAGCTTGGGCTTCGCCGTGCAAGGAAACCGTCGGCACGCCGGACTCGTTAGGAAGAATCTCGATGTCCTTCATCGCAGCTCCGGCACCCTTTGAGGAGACACCCAAAGATTTGAACACAGCTTCCTTTCCAACCCAGCGAGCGGCGAAGGAGGAAGGAGGAGATGGCTGGGATCGGCAGTAAGCAATTTCGGCATCAGTGAAGTTGCGGGACACGAAAGTTGGGTTCCAGCTCGGAACTGAAGAAATGAGTTCTAAGGCAGACTTAGTTATGTCCGGTAGGTACGAGGCGAGTTTGCATACCTTGGTCCACACCCACGCCGGCGGGAGTTCCAGAGGAAACGAAGGCTTCGGACACAATCTTCCCATTAGCGATGTCAGTCGGGATCTGCTTGTTGAGCTCCGCCGTGTAACGGTATGTGCGAGTCTTGGGGTCGAAGCTCGCCCTAGCCATAGGGTTCATCAGGACGGCCTGCTCAAGCTCTGGCGTGTAAGGAGGTCCTTCCTTGATCCGGACGAGAGAGTTGGAAGTCATCATCTCGGTCATGACCTTGTAAGCGCCTTGGGCACGAGCAAGGTTGCGTGCCCTGTAAGACTCGTAGACGGAAGGTTCCAAAGAGCCAAAGAGGTAGCGGGGATGGACGATAAGAGCAATACCGCCCACTTGACCGAAGCCGAACGAGGACTAAAAATCGCTTAGCATTATATCCATGACGAACGACTCTACTTACCATAACACCAGCACGAACGCCATCGGTGTGGATTGACTTCGAAGGGAACATGAGCATGTGATGAGCCTCAAAGCGGGCGTCGATGTTGCTAAGGAAGAAGGAAAAGAGGTTAGTTACGTGAAGGGCGTGTTCGATAACTTCACTTACTCGCTGTTCCGGTTACCAGGGATGATACCGGTGCTGACGGACTGAATCAGGCCAGCCATCTGCCAGGCTGCCGAACCACCCTTCGAGTGACCGAGCAAACTCTTCTGAGCCATGACCGGTACAGCGTTGCCATGCGTGCGAGAGATGGTTGAAAGAATGTTGTGCCAGATTTCCGTCTCGTTCTTCTCGTTAGCACCAGTGCTGGTTCCGTGAATGGATAAGACTCCAATGTCATCAGCGGAAAGACCCCAAATAGCGAGAGCACGACGAAGCGGAGCGACGCGGGCATCAGCGCCTTCCAACATGCCATACGTTGCGAGTGCCTCCTTCTCCTGATGGGCTGCCTCCTTCTCCATGTCGGAGACACGAGATGAGATGTACTCATCGTCCACGGCGTTACCCTGAGCCTTCGTGACTTCAAGCTCCTCACGCAGCTGCGCCTGCTCGTTCGCAAGCCACTGGCCAATCTGCTGACGGCGGAAAGCGACTTGACGCGAGCGATAGCCGAGATCAAGCGTTGGAAGAGGGTACTTGGAAGGAAGTTCACGGGCGACAGTCAAAGCTCCACGGCCGGGAGCGGGAATCGAGCGGCCCGCCTTGTCAGTGGAGGTAGAAGTAAACGCCAGAATACCGCGAATAGGAGCACCAAGGTCGATTGCTGTCTTCGCGCTCATCACGATATGAACTCCGGTGCCCTGAGACTCCATGAATCCGGCACGAGTCGTCGTGGCAGGGCGGGACATTTCAGTGGGTTCTCGTCCCATAGCAAACTCGGTCTCAGCGCTGCTGGTTGCCTTCATGTTGGCGAACTCGTAGGAGCCCTCCTCGCTGATATCGTCGAATCCACCAGCGATCATGACCTTAGCTTTGCCAGAGAGGACCGTGTCACAAGCGATCTCAAGGGATTGCAAAGCAGTGGCGCAAGCACCAACTGGGATCTTGACAGGTCCGCTAGACGACATGAGCAACAGGTTGACCCATCCGGCAGTAGTGTTGATGAAGGTCTCCTGAAGTACGTCGTTTTGAACCTCCTTCTCCTCCCGACGGTCCTTGAACATCTTCGCGAGACTCTCCGTACCGCCCATACCACTTCCGATGCATGTGCCAACGTCGGAAGGATGGAAATGTTGGTAGAGTTCGTAGGGGTCGGTGATGCCTGACATGTTGAGAGCCTCCGCAGTGCACACAAGGGCCCACAAAGTAGCGCGGTCCACTTGAGCGATGATGTCGGCAGGGATACCATAACGCCCTGCGTCCCATCCAGTAGGGATTTGGCCAGCCACGAGACGACTGAACTTGAACGCTTTGGGAACGAACACGCGAGCGCCCTTCTTGAACTTGACGAACCATTGGTCGCCCTCGCCGGCCCAGATGTCACACTTGTCACCGTGCTCGTGTTTGAACTTCTCAGCATCGGATTGAGCGACCTCGATGGGCTCAAGGTCATGGATGAGCTCGACCTCCTGGTTGAAGACTTTCTTCTTCGGGTCATACCCGTTGAAGAGCTCGGGCTCTGTAACATATTTAGCTTGTAAGATTCGGCAAACGAACACTAATCTTACCAATGAGGCGAACACCTGCATGAGCCAAGATATCCTTCTCGTAACGTCCGCGAACGTCTTTGTCGTCGATAGGCTCTCCAGACTTCGCATCAACCCATCCAACGTAAAGAGAGCCATCCTTGAGACGGCCGTCGAAGTACTTGGTGAAGCCCATTATCCAGGCCATCTCGATGCAGCCCTCGATCGTGAATTCGCCTCGAGCCTCCATCTCCCATCGTGTGCGCGAGCTTCCCCAAGGCCCGACTTCAGCAAAGCCAGTAACAACAACAACCTTTTCTAGATCGATGATGCCTTGGAGCTTCTTCAGGTCCTCGACTGAAGACGCCTCCTCCAGCGTGGGGAAATCGAACTTGAAGTTCGCGCGAGGGACAACGTTTACAGTCTGAAGAACAGCTTCTCCCTCAACCCCATTGATGACTTTGAAGTCGAGGGCATTGTCGCGAGCAATTGAACGACGCAGCTCACTCTTCTTGTTCAAGTCAAGTCGGATGCGAGTCGTGATGTCGGCGAGGTCAGGCAGGCGATCCATACCTCCGTTGAGATCTGCCCAGATGGGCTCCACTTGTGTGATGCTGAATAACAGCGGATGCATGAGACCCAGGATGTTGAAGGCCATCTCCTTGGCAGAGAAGGTACGGACACCGTATCCCTCGAGCTCGTGGGCAACTGTGTTAGTCGCCGACATTAAGCCAGTGCCGCGGGTCCAGCTGAACGGAGATTAGCGCCGTTGAAACATGATAGCAAGCAACAGCTTACCCAATGACAGCACCTGCCATGCAAAGGTATTCGCCCCAACTTTCGGAGTTCCAGCGGTTGAACAAGGTCTCGAGCGAAATCTTCGACTCGGAGTAAAGACCATCGTTACCGAAGAGGCCGTGGTTGGGGGAGAGAGGAAGGATGACTTGCGTGGGCCGGGTGACGAAGTGATGAGAGGCCTTCTTGTTCTTGACGGCCCCCAGGATGCGAAGAAGGTTGACCAACATGATGCGGTGGGCGAGCTCAGACTTGTCGTCCAAACCATCAATCTCGCGGCCATTTTCGGGGACAGCTGCGAAAGGCAGGATGTAGTCGAGATCGAGCCCGAGGGTGCCATAAATGTAGTCAACGAGGGCCTCGACATCCTGCTTGGAGCCTTGGTTGAATGGCACAACAGTCAAGGCAGAGCCGCGAGCACCAAAGCTCTGATAGATCGACTGGTAGTACTCCACGGTAGATCGGTTGTAGCGGGAGGTGGTGATAACAACGTGGGCTCCTCCCGACAAAAGACCCTTGAGAATCTCAACGCCGATGGATCCTTTGCCGACACCGGTCAGCAACGCATTCTTGTCTTTGAAAGTCGTCCCAGAGGTGGCAATCTCATGAAGAATGTCGAGGTAGACGCCCGTCAAGTTGCTACTGTATTCCCAGTTGGCACCAACCTTGCGCTTCAAGTGCAGCAAGGGAACCTTGTCTGCAGACACTGGTGCGACCGACGAGATCTGGGGGCGGAGGAACTGAGATGAATTGCGGCGAGTACGTTGGCGAGGACGGGGGGACTGCTCTGGGTTCTTTCGTAGAGAGCGAACGACACCTTCGTACAGGGCTTTGATCCGGTTTTTCTGGTCATCGCTAATTCCAGGCTGAGTCTTGACGACCGTCCAGAGTTTCATGACGTCGTCTTGGATCTTCTGCATGTTGACTGCGGGTGTCATGTCGCCGCTCGCCATCTCCTCCACGTAAGCCTCGAGCTTTCGGACGTTCTCGCGGACGACTTCGGTATACACGATGTCGCCCTTCTCCGTCACCTCAGTGTGAGGAGCGGTAGGGAAAGTCACTAAGAAACACACTTAGAACGACGTCAACATTGCAAGAACTGTTTACATACCGTCCTTGTATACGGGAGGTTTCCCAAGGACTTCCTTCGTGTTGTCGATGAGCTCCTGACCAAACTGCTTGGTAAGAGCGTATGTGTCGCCCTTGCTGGGATCTAAGCGGTCGATGTTGTATTGCATGTATGCAAGTAGTTCTGGGTCTGCGCGATTCAGCAACTGGATGCAACGAGCGGTGAGCTCTCGGTCGACAGTCGTCAGGCGGCCATGAATGATATCGTAGTACATGAGGAGGGCGTCTTGGCGGACCCAGTTCCAGGCGGAGTCGAAATGACGAGCCTTCAACGGGTTGAATACAGGCTGAATGCCATCAATGTAGGTGTCGCCGTGCTCCTTGGCGATAGCATCAAGGCGAGCCTGGAGTTGCGCAGACGTAGCCTTCTCCTTGTCGAAGGCAACTTCGCCGGCACGCGAGTCGCGGTTCAAGTAGCGGCTGTAGAGCTCTATGTGCTGCTCCGCGAAGCGATCTTGCTCAGACTTGAATTTGAGGAACTCCTCGCTGTTGATAGTAGCACCTCCTCCGCCACCTCCACCTGCGCCGGCAGCACCACCGCTAGAGAGGGAAATGCCCGCCCGTTGCGCGTAAGCGGCCACAACGCTATCCAACCAAGCCTTAGCTTCAGCCTCGGAGGACAAGCGCTTGGCGGGTTCGAGCGTCGTACCCATGAGCAGGACAGCATCCGCACGGGAGGAACCGAGACCCCAAGTCTTGGATAGATAGCCCTTGATTGTGGACGCATTGAAGCCACCAGGCATCTTGCCACCAACCATACGAGAGATCAGCCCTGCAGTGTATTTGCCCAAGTTTCCCGAGTGACCCACGCTCAAGGCTGAGCCAAGCTCCTCCAATGATAGCTCTTCACCCTTTTCAGGCGCCGACGAGAACTCAAGCTGCAAGTCACCAAGAATTTCATTCTGGAGGGTCGACTTCCCGCCGACAAGGTCTTTGATAGATTTGGACTGGGGAACTTCCTCGACTTTCTTCTTAAGCTTCTGCGCGATGACGAAAGCGAGGATGTCGGAAGCATTGATGGGAACGTCGTCGATGGCGGCGGCAGCGGCAGCGGGTGCGGCAACGGGTGCAGCGACGGGTGCGGGACCAGCAGGGGCCGCCGCAGCTGCGGGAGCAGGGCCTGCAGACTCAGCAGCAGGAGCTTCGGTGACCTCGTCCTCGAATTGGTAGTAGACCTCCCGAACATTCTTGGCATGACAAAGGATTGAACGCTTGCGGCTGTTGGCATCGTCCTGGGCCTCATATTTAGCTTTGAGAGTACGAGAAGCCATGCCTGTGAGGGTAGGCGAAGGACCGAGCTCAATGAGCCGTTCGAAGTTGAAGTTAGTGAACAGCAGGTCCTGCGTTTCAATCCAACGAACGGGAGAGGCGAATTGATAGGAAAGCAGCTCCACTAAGATAATGTAGGCGAGCTTCTGGCGATTTTCCGGCGCGGCCCAGCTCTCTTCCTCCCACTTCTTGAGAACTTTGTCAAGGCGCGGGGAGGACGTCTGGTCGTAGATCAACTCGGCATATTCCTTGGAAACATCGAAGGGCTTGGCGACCAAATTGGGGATGTATTTGCCGATCAACATGTCAGGGTTGAGGAGAGACGCATTGATCTTCTTCGAGAGGTCTAGCAAAAGGTGAACACAGACAGGTGATGTATAGGAGTACGATCTTACAGGCACGGAACGGCATGACTCCTGCCCACAGATATCGCGAGTGGAAGGGCACGTCAATGCCAGGCAGAGGGATAGTCGCGAAACCACGCTCAAGAACAATGTAGCCCGAGGCCGCTTGCAGGGCCTTCGCACGGTCGAAGCACTCCATGACAATGTCGCTGAGCATCTCCTTCACTTTCTCCACAGTGTATGTCTCAGTCAACTGGGAAAATGTCAACTCAGGTTGATCCAAGCGAGTAACGGAGACTTTACCTTGGCAATGTCAATCTTCTGCAGCTTCAGATAGTTCAGAACGTTGGTCAGGGTCTGCAGAGCGAGGAGCTCGCCAGCGCAGACATATTGTTGGCCCTGGAACACAAGAATCAGCGTAGTGATACTAATGAAAGCTGGCGGACCATACCTCCACGTTGTAGTTGACGATCTCCAACAGGGTTGACGTTCGCGTCGAGATGGTGTCAACGACCTCTCGAAGAGCGGCGTCCGTGAACGTCTTGGAGATTCGACTCGGGTTGACTGCACACATGGCGTAATTTGATCGGTTCTGCGAGTCCCGCTCAACAGCGCGCTGCATAGTGATACCACGGTAGAAGACGACGTCGACAAGAGCAGAGATGTGCAATACATCGGCGATGGATGCAAGGGCAGAGTATTCACCGAGGGAGTGACCAGCGAAAGCACAGTCCTTCTGAACAAAACCCTTCGCCCGCATGTCCTCGAAAGCTGCTTTCTCCGTGACGACCAAAGCGATCTGAGCGAATTGGGTTGCAAAGAGAAGACCGTTGGGATGGCTAAAGGTATACTTGGGAGAGCGGACGTCGATGTCGGCGAATAGAGGAAGAGTCTTGACGTTGCCGTCCTTGTCCATGGTATCGTAAGTCATGTCCATGTAGCGCTGACGGATCGCCTGTCCCTTGAAACCGCCGAAGTGGATAGTCTTCTGTTTGGGGTTGTCCTTGACAATCTCGACGATAGAGAACCCATAGACAGCAAGCAAGTGAGCATCCGCACCCTCCCAGACAGCACGGGCAGCAGGGGAGTTGTTGTAGAGGTCCATACCCATGCCAGGTTCTTGCGAGCCCTGACCAGTGAAAACATAGACAGTGGTGGGTTGGGCAACCTCGGCCGTGCCCTCAAGGACCTTCTCGTCGCGCTGGTTGATGGTCTCGACCTTGACGACAATATGGCCGTCGCGCATCCCGATGTGACGAATCTTCACTTGAAGCTCATCTCCGGGGAGGATCATACCCACAAAAGATACGTCGTAGCTGATACCAGGGGTTCAGAAGTGTTCAAGCAAGGAGATAGTGGAACTCACGCAATGACCCGGTCAGGGTTACCTTGAGCGACGATATTCTCAACGTAGCGGCGAGTCGCTGCACTTGACCACATTCCATGGGTGATGGTGCCGGGAAGAGAGGCGTATGAAGAGAAGTAGGGGTTGATGTGGATGGGGTTGAAATCGCCAGAAACTTTCGAGTAAGGCTCGTTTGTGAGAGGAGCGGCGAAGGCAGTGGAGGTTGAGCTGGTCATGGAGTAACCCTCATTGGTGAGAGGAGTCAGGCGGCCCTCGGCGACACCATGACGCTGAAGATAGGCGATGACAGGGTTGCCCTTGCATCCCTCCTGCTCAAACTCTACGGCACCGACCTTGTGGAGGCGCTTGAGGTGGTCGCGGGTGAAGATGTCGCCCGACACGGAGACATCGCGGTAAGAAGTCTTGTCCTTGAAGGTGACTTCTGACTTCACGCGGAAGACGAGAGTGGTGTCCGCCTTCAAAGGCTCCGTGTCGTCGGCCCAGGAGAACCATTCCTTCGATTGAATGACACCGACAGATGCATCACTGGCCACTTCGACAACATAGTCGGGTTCCTCGATGACATCGAAAGTGTTTTCAAAGTCGGTAAACCGGCCACGGTAGAGGAATGAGGAAACAACTTCGATGACCGGCTGACCGTCACGGTACACATGACCTTTGGCCTGCACCATCTTGCCGGCGTCGGTGTTCTTCACAGAGGCAATGCGTGCGTCGGCATAGCAAACATCCCCAGCAACCAAAGGCCTGGAACCGTTAACGACACGGAACCCGTTCGAGAGATGGACAAGCTTCAGGAGGTCCCCGTCAATGCTAGCGGGGAAGATGGCCTTCATGATGGCCTGAGATGCGAGCAATGAGAAAAATGCGGCTATGCTCATATCATATTGCAACGTACCTGCCAACCAGTGACGATGGCAAAGTCCATGGGCGCCTTAACGGACGAAGAACGTACACTCTTGAAGTGTTCGCCCTGGTTACCCACGACGGAGCAGAAGGTCTCCACGTCCTCGGCCGAGATGGTCACCTGAGGACCGACAAAAGTCTCGCGAAGGCCAATTTCAGGAAGAGTCTCGTTATTACCGAACCAGAGCTTCCAGTAAAACTCCTTGATGCGGTGGTTGCGTCCCTCGACAGCCTCGTGGATAGGAGTAGACCCAGTAGAAGGGACGTATTGGAACTGCAGGTGAAGAGGCACAGACTTGTTCTGGCGATCCTCGTTGAAGATGGCATCTATTGTCTGCGTCGATGGCGAGTACTTGATCTCTACAGCCTTGAAGTCGGACTTGTGAACGCCGTGAGATCTGGCGGCGCCGAACGCAGTCAAAGACGTAGGAAGTTCACCGTCAAACTCGAGGACCACACGCTGGCCCTTGCGCGGGGCCAAAGCACGACGCATAGGGTTGTCGACGTAGGCCTTGCCCTGGACAATGGTGACAGAAGTCAAAAGCGCCTTAAGCCAGTTCAGCTTGGAGCCAGAAAGGAAGTTCAGCCAGTCGTTGGTGTCAGGAACGTTATCACCGACGACAAACTCGACGCCAGACGCAGCCTTCGACGGCTGCACACCAGCCGGGATGGACACAGATGCGGGCTCGGGGGCAAGGTAGTCAATCGTAGGGACATTGGCCACGTCACCACCATACGAACGCTCCAGCAACTTCTGGATGAGGTTGGAGGTGATGTTGCCCAACATGTCCTTGATAGGCTCGTCCTTGACAATGGAGTGCTTGACTGCCACCGGGCCCTGGAGAATGCACACACGTTGGGGATCCTGGTCGAACACTGCTTCAATGTCTTCGGCAGCCCAGAGGGAGTCCTGTGATTAAGCATAAGCACAAAGTTGTTGTCAAATTTGAACCAACCCATACCTTCTTGAACCACACTTCGAAGCTCGAGTCGAGGATCGGGATGAAAGGAGCAGGCTTCTGGCCAGGGCGCTGAGAAATCGCAAGGAAGAACGCGCGATCCTCAGCAGCCATTAGCTGCTCCTTGGCAGCTGGATAGGTAGAGAAGAAAGTCTCCACGAAGCCGTGTGGTTCGTCGAGCTCAGAGAAGCTCTGGATGATACTGGGCTTGGTCCCGTTGTCAACACCAGCGAACCGCTCTTCAACGCGCCTCAGCCAGTCACCAGTCAAGTTACGAAGGCTGCGGTCGATCCACCTCGACTCGTGACTAACGTACATCAAACGAATGAGACGAAGGGTGACCTCTTCATAGGTCATGTCACCGAGATCGAGAGCGACGGATCCATCCTTCTTCCACCCGAACCAAGGTTTGGCAAAGTTGGCGTTGAGTTTCTCGATGATTTCTGCCTTGCGTTCAGCGAGCCACGGGCCTCGCTTGTCCTTAGGCATCTTGAAGACGGTGTCGTCGAACTCCTTCCACAGCTTGACGGCACGAGTTGCAACCTTGTGGATGGGTTCACCGAGCTCGGAGCGCACAGTAAGTATGCCACCGGTAGGCTTGACGTAGGTGCTCTCCCAGTCTTTGTCGTCGACACCGGCCGCCGCTACAATGAGGTCCTTGACGGACGAGCTAGTGTGAGCTTCCTTTGCTACCATAACGCGGCTAGCGAAGAGGAAGCCATCGAAAGGCATAGGCTGAACGTCGTAGAGCGTAAATGACCATTCACCAGTGAGGTACGGCCAAATGTCATCAGCACCACCAAAGCCAGAGCCGCCAACGAGGGAGATATTTGCATGTTGGCGGATGGAGCTGTAAGTCTTCAAGATAGGGTTATGGAAGTCCTCATACGAGTGGTGACCGCCCGCACGACCGCCGGTCCATTGCATGATGATGGGGAAGTCAGGGTTGGCAGCGGCGATGTTCACGACTTGACGGATGCCATCAATAGAGCCGGGCTTGAACGAGACGTGCTTGATGCCGGCCGCTTGCAGGCCGGCGATGATCTCTGCTGCCTTCTCCGTGCTGGGAACCCCAGCGGCAACGCAGAAGCCTTCAACAGGAAGACCCTCTCGACGCATCTCTTGCCAGAGCGGGAATTGGAAGCCAAATTGACGTGGATTGATGTAGAGAGAGTTCAGCGTGATACCAACGCCGTCAGGAATATTGGACTGGATCTCAGCGATCTTGGACCGCAGGGCGGCCGGGTTATAGTGCCCACCACCCGCGAGCTCAATGTGGTAGCCTGCGGCAAGGACGGCGCTGACGAAGCCAGCCTTTACAGTGGTCGGAGTCATGCCTGCGACCATGATGGGAGGCTTCCCGAGGAGGCGAGAGAAGGGCGTATCGAGGTGAAGAGTTCCATCGCTGGAAATGGAGTTCAAGCTATGGACTTCAGAGGCCGACTGAAACGTACCTGGACTTGACGAGACGAGGTGTGAACTTGCTGTTCCACCAGACCTCGCGCTTGACGTTGCTGACATCGAAAAGTTCGCCTTCGCCACGGCCCTTGTCACCTAGGGTGATAACACGAACACCCCGACCATCGAGGTTGCGAGCAGTAAGAGGCCCAATGCCATTCACTCCTCCTGGGCCGAAGTCGACAATATGAGTCGCGGTTTCGGGGAAGCCAGTAGCAGCACTCCAGTGAATGGGCGAAGTAAAGATTTGATCACAGAGCGACCGTGCGATGGACGAGGAAAGCTTGCGCATATCGGAACCTGAATGGCATATGAGATATAAAATTAGGAAGGTGAATGCAGCACTCACCATCCTCGGTATTGTAGACGGGTATCGCAAGCTCCTCGCTCTTCCATAACTCCTCACCAGCGAGATCCTCGTTGCAAAGCTTGTCAGTCGCCGAAGTCAGGTATGTGCTATGGTAAGGTGCGTTCACCACCAAGAATCGGACAGTGAACACGGGCTTGCGCTGCGAGAACGGAATCTTGCTCTGATCCTCGCCAGAGGGTGCGCGTACTTTCCGCAGGTTGATCACGAGGCCGTACAGCGCACGGGGAGGACCGGTCACCACGAAGTTACGAGGGCCATTGTAAAGAGAGACACCCAGTTGCGAGTTCTCAGGAAGATGCTTATTGGTCTTAGCAATATGCGGCTCCACTTCGGAGAGAGAAAGACCGGCGATTGACAACATAGGCGTGGGCTGACCCTCTCCCCCTTCAATCGAGTCCTGGATGATTGAGGGTTCAATGGCGAGGACAGGGAAGGCTTCTTGACCGCGGAGACCGCAGAAAAATAGCCAGCGGAGGGCCCTCTTGGCGTTAATGTCGTAAGATTCGTACGTCGAAGACGCAGAGATGGCGACAGCTGAGACCACGCCTTGGGAATGACCAGTGGCACCTGCGATGCACTTGCGCAGCTCGCCAGGGCTGAGACCAGATACACGACAGACAACCAAGTACTGGATGAGTTGGGTAAGCCCGATAAGTGGCAGGGAGACGGGGATAGAAGCCAGGTATTCCACAGAGGGCCGAGCGATGGCACCCGAAAGCCATCCCAGAACGTTCATGCCGTAGGTGTAGAAGCCAGTGGCCTCGCGTTCAGCAACGAGAGGAACGAGGATCTCGTTCGTCATTGCGGAGATTAAGCCGAAAACATAAGGTCTATAGGTGTCGTAGAGTGCTTGAAGTTCGTCGAAGTAGACTTCGTTGGTGCCTTGACCGCCGAAAATGGCGTAGATGGAGGCGTTGCCTTCAGAAGCTGCCGTCAAGAGTTTGGAGGGAGGTGCGTTAGGGATGTCGGATACATTGTTCTGTTCGAGAGCGTGGCGAGCAAGATGGAAGGAGGAAAGGACGGCAGCTCGAACTTCGGTATCGAAAGAGCTGACAAAGGTATAGAGATCCTTGTCGAAGAGGTAGGTGTCGACGAAGTGGCAGAAGATGTTGCGAAGGAGGGCGATGCGAGGTTTGACGCATTTCGCGTCAGCGGTAGCGTTTTGCGCGACGAAGGCAAGGAAGCGAGCATGAAGCTCGATCAAAGCCTCCTGAGCATTCTCTAGCTCAGCGGTGCTATCGACTGCATCTGACTGCTTCCGCGACTGGACGAAATCATCTCTCAGAACTTCAGCGGCGATCCACTCGTCCGTCTGGGTTGAGACGGGGATCGAGACCTATTAAAGACAAGATCAGCTCCCGCGACGCGTCAGTACGCGCGAGATAACGCACTCTAATGTTTGCCGTGGCGACGATTAAAGGGCGAGTACAGATAGCATTTTCACGGACGACATCACCGTTCTGAGGCGACATTTTGGAACGGCGAGAAAAGGGAAGGGAGGGGGAGGGGCGGCAGAGCGAAAAGACGATATGGGCCAAAGTTTATATTCGCCGCGCCCCAGTCCCAATTTTTCGGTCTGACATGCCTTCCCCCAAAAAGTGGTGTCACGTGCAGAGAAACGTACTCATCCTCGAGGACGCCTCAAGTCACTTCGACGCGCGTCCCGATTGATTATCAGCGCAGTCCCCGACAGAACCCTTAAATTCGAGAGGATTCGCCTGGGTTATTGACGCGTTTCAGGCGAAAGTTCACCTGAGCGAACAACAAAGGCCTGAGACACTCGAGACAAGAGAGCACCCCACTGCAATTAATATTACGAGCAAAGTGCTGGAGGAGAAGGTATTCGCGGAAGCAATAAATTTCGGCCCTGTCATGCCATGTCAAGCGTCTCGATGACAGCCAATTGCAAATTCCCGCATTCGGGAAGCCAGGGTACACTCTAATCTAATTTGACAGCTGTGCAGATGCTTAAATTACAGTGTTCTCAATAGGTAAACATATGGAGAATTGTCTTCCATATGTCACGGATTGAACTTGTCTTCATATACGAGTGATTAAACATGTGTTTGAAGGATTGTCGCGCCGCTTGTACTAAGCACGCGGCGCATACCTAGCACCGCGTCATGGCTTCCTGATAATGATAATAGATGATAATCCTCTGACCGCCGGACACCCCTTCCAAGGTATCACTGGTACCGTGACTGTGATCCAGAGGGACGCGGAAGATGGAATGCATGAGTTCCCGATCCGCAGACTCAAAGTATCTTCGATTCTACATCGATCAGTGCAAGTCGGCCAAGCAAGTAATCTAGTTCCCTACCAAACTGGCTCTTCTAAAGACCAGGGCATTCAATCGACAACTGCCCAACTGATTATCGCAAAACTCATGTAAAGTGCGTGGTGGTACTCCTCGTCTTTTCGACTTCCCAAATCTCCCGTATGCCCTCTCTCAGCCAAACCACATTCCACTCCACCAGGCCTTTACGCATCTCGTACACCGTAGTGGGCAGGAGAGCCAGTAACGCGAGGTGAGGTGTCACCAGGTGATACGTAAGCGTTGTACCTGGATGCGAGGGTGATAATGAAGCGGCGGCGGAAGGATAGAACAGTGACTTCTTGGCGACACCGGAGGATGGTTCATCGGAGGGTGATTGGCTCAGCAATGCCCGAGCCGAGCTAGTCGAAGCCGGTGATGATGATGTTGCCGTTGGTGGCGGTGTAGGTGTGGGGGAAAGGGCGTGCACTCGAGGTTCGCTTGCGGCATTCGATCTATAGTCCCTAAGTCAGCGGAATCAATCGCGGTCTCAAGGGGTGACTTACTTGTACAGTGGAGCGAAAGAGCTTAGCATTCGGAGGTAGTCGCAACATAAGGTATGTGTTGCTTGATCCACAGGCGAGGAATCAGTCGCGACATAGAGCTTGCTGGTGGTGTCGAATAAGAAAGCTTTTGGCGACGATGTATTCTAAGCAAGGGCGTGAGTTGCTGAGCCAGCAAACAGCTACTCCGCAACGCACCGAACAGAAAACGTTCAACAGACCCTCGATAAACTCCAATGAGTCTATGAGCTTGTGTAAGACGCGCGAGAACGCTTCTTGCAGGGAATGATCGTAGACCGATGTGAGATGGAAGTTTAGGGCAACTTGCTCGTACTCGGGTGATTCATCTGCCAAGCGCTCCGTCACTCTCTCTTGTATCTGACGGAAGTTCTCTGGTAGATGTTAGGGTCAAGTGCACGTTACTAGTTGATACACGTACCGATCTTATCATCTTCCTGCAGCTTCTCTGCCTTGTGGATGAACACCTCAAAGTTAATCCCAGGGTTGACATCATATGCCCCCGCGACGAATTCAACCAATTTTGATATAGGTTGCTGGTAGTTGTCCTAACGAAATGGTGAACCAAGTCCGCAAAGAGCCAAATATTGCTACGCTTACCCGTATATCAACCACGAAAACCACGGTAGAGAAGTCCGAGAGCGGTGCGCCGAGCGTGTCGACAGTAATGTTTCCGGGACAGTCCCATAGTTCTAGAGGGATGATGGTGCTGTTGCCTTTAGCGCTAGAAGAACACGCATGTAATGCACGCGTGCGCATGAGACAACTTACTCGTACAAGTGTTGCGTCACACGCATTGTGGGTTCCAGGTAGAAGGTTTGTTTGGGTGGAAGATCATTGAACAAAACTTGCTGGATCGAGGTCTTTCCGCTCCTAGGGAGACAGATAAGCACTTGCGGGAGACATGAAAGAAGGTGGCAGACCTTCTGGTGCCCAGGAGGAGGACTTTGGTTCTGTGTACTGAGCCATCCTTGCTGACTTCAGGCTTCGTGGATGGATGATCGGGAAGACTCATGTCGAACCAGCCAATGAGTAATAGACGACGCGACTCTGGGAAGCATAATACACGCTTGTGACATGTCACCGCCACCCAGGGGTACCACGGATTTGGATAGGTTCCCTAACTGGGAATGATGTAGCCCGAGGAGCTGAGGAATTCAAATTGCCGGAAGCGCACGTTCGTCTGGCGATGATGTGGGGTCCAACGTTTGAGAATTCCAGACGGTAATAGGCTCACCATATAGGGGGCTACTACCAATAACTAACCAGTATCCGGCCATTCCTTCCGTGAACAAGTTGAGTGGGCTGTTCTGGCCGCCGGTAAGGGTCGCGTACGTATACAGGTTTTGTCTTACCTCCAGTTCCGCCCGTAACGCTGTTACACTAATCTCAGACAGTCAAACTATTCCTCGATGAAATTCGGTAGGAAGATATCGGTGCGTCGCTGTATTCTACGCCATCGCTGTTATCATTTCAAACATGTCGTACACGCACAGACGGATCTCTATTCCGAGTGGAAACCTTTCTACATTGACTACAATCGCCTCAAGAGAGAGCTCAAGGTGGGTAAATCCAACACCAGACATTACCTCCTGTCTTCTTGCCTATACTATTGACTTCACAGTCACGAACCACCTCGCATAATTGGAATGCAGAGGATGAGCGGGCGTTTATGGAAATGCTCAAGGCTGAGCTGGATAAGGTCCATGACTTCCAGAAAGGAAAGGTTTGTCTCGGACTACAATTAAAACCGTTGAACGTATCCTCACCAATTTAGACCTCCGAGCTCTCAAGGCGCATACATGAGGCGGAAAAGTCGGTGAAGCGCCTGGTTGCTCAAGAAAGCTTGGTTTCGTCACCCCACGCCGATGGGACAGACCCTGAATCTCAAGAGGCTGGCCCCAATGATTACGGTCCAGACGAAGGCTCTGACGACGAAGATGACTTGGACCCTGACGATAACTCCTTGGATACACTCGAAGACCTCTTCCATGAACTTGAGGAGGAAGTAGCTACACTCGTTGCCGACGTTCATGACCTCGCGCTGTATACCAAGCTGAATATCACCGGATTCCTGAAGATCCTCAAGGTGGATATATTGCTCCGTTTATCTTCTGTACGAACTAAACATCTTCCTCTTCCAGAAACATGACGTATGTCTAGCCGTCACATTGTCCTTTGCAGCATTAATAATCGCCCATAGAAACAAAGTGGCTTCCCATTGAAGACCAAGTTCATTCAAGGTTACCTCGAAGAACGGCCCTTCTACAGGTACAACTGGGATGCTCTCATTGTCAAGCTGTCCAAGCTCTATGACCTCGTGCGCACACGTGGTCACCCGGTGCAGGGCGACTCCAGCGCAGGTGGAACTCAGAGCGCCTTCGTTCGTCAGACGACCAAATATTGGGTTCGTATGGATTGAGGGTGCTTTCTCGGCGTTCGTCGCTCAATTCATGCTTTAGGTTCATCCAGATAACTTGGTTCCGTTGAAGCTCGCTATTCTAAGACACCTCCCCGTACTAGGTTCGTGAGAGGCTGCAAGACGGCAAATTATTTGGCTGAGACTTCCATTTTCAGTATTTAATGCAGAGAAGGAGTTCGACCCTCGGGATGCAGCAATTACGTCAATTTATTTTGATAACGAAGAACTTGAGCTGTACCTCGGCCGCCTTGAAAAGACCGAAGGAGCCGAAGCAATTCGTCTGCGATGGTATGGCGATGCCGACGTCAACACGGTAAAGATGGCTGTTCCCTACGCTGTGACGATCTCACCTCAAACGCGGATTCGTTTAGATATTCGTGGAGCGCAAGACTCACAGAGAGGACTGGACGGGAGAAAAATCAGTCAAAGCGCGGTTCGCGATCAAGGAGCACCTCGTGAACGCATTTCTCCGCGGAGAATACACCATGGATGCTGAGCTTCAAGCGCTCGTCGACAAAGGGAAGAAGACTCAGCAAGAGGTGGACTCCATGATCCAGCTAGCAACGGAAGTGCAATACCGCATTCTGATGCGGAAATTGAGACCAGGTATGTCCACGGAGATTGCTCACGGAACCGCGCGTTAATGTCGTATAGTCATGAGGACATTCTACAATCGCACTGCGTTCCAACTTCCTGGAGATGCTCGGGTCCGTATTTCCCTTGACACTGAGCTGAGCATGATCCGAGAGGACAACTGGGACGGCCGTACACGTGCAGGAGAGAATTGGAGACGCACGGATATCGGCATTGATTTTCCCTTTGATCAAGTTGTACCGGAAGATATTGAACGATTCAAGCAAGCCGCATCCGAAAAAATCATTTTAGCGGTTAACTAACTCTCACGCAGGTACGGTGTTTTGGAAGTAAAACTGCAAACACAGTTCGGCCAAGAGCCGCCAAAGTGGGTGACGGACCTGGTCCAATCGCACCTGGTCGAAGCAGTGCCAAAGTTCAGGTGAGTTCTTCCATAAAATCTGTCTGTTTGCTGTAGTAACATTAACGTATGTTTTAGTAAATTCATCCATGGATGTGCTACTCTCCTCCCTAATCGAGTTGATCTGATTCCATTTTGGCTGCCGCAAAGTGAGTTTGTACGTTCTCCAACAGTACATGTCTAACACATGGAGTAGTGGACGCGGATATTCTGAAGCCGAACACGGGCTACCTCACTGTCGAGCGTCCAGCGGTCCCCTCTTCGAGAACCACACCAGACACTAAGTCTTCCGGTGCTGTCAGCCCATCGCATGCGTATCTCGAACCTGTATCCGATGGCGAGGAGGACGAAAACATGGACCTCACTCCTGCTAGAGACGAAGACAAGCGTACGGGTTTGCCTACCCAGGAGGTCGCCGATGCTGTGGCTTTCCGGGAACGGTCGCTAAAGGAGCGCGAACGGAGTTCCAGACCTGCCTTGAACGTCGACACCGATTATGGCTCGACGTCCAACGGGGACGCGGATGATCGCACACCATTCTTGCGACAGAGGAAATCGAGCAAGGTCCAGGTTCCGAATGGCCGCGCCGACGACGGCTCGCCCATCTCGATCGACCCCCTTGCACCTTCCTCTGCTTTTGATCAGAAGCTTAAGGAACGTCTCCAGGGTGCTCAGGTTGACGGTGGGCGACAAGGAAATGGCACTGGTCCGTTAGAGGCCGACGAGGACGTCCCCTCCGATGAAGAACGGCTGCTCGTTAGAGATTGGACTGCACCTTCTGGCAAGAAAATTGTCGTCCCCGTTCGCATCGAACCCAAGGTATACTTCGCCAATGAACGTACTTTCTTGGTGAGCACTTTCCTCCCTGTCAGGGGGAAATTAGGTTTACCTTCAATACAGAAATGGCTCAGCTTTGCTGTTCTGATCGGCACCATCGCTACTACTCTTTTAAACTTCATTCCTGCAAATGACAGAAAAGGCCTCATCAGCGCGTTCCTTTTTACGCTTTCAGCTTTACTTGCCATTGCTTATTCTGCCATCATCTTCGTCTATCGCGCACTCCGCCTAAGATCGCGCAGTGCTTCGGGTCTTTATTATGATCGATATGGTCCCACGATGCTGTGTTTTGTGCTTCTGGCTGCACTTGCGACAAACATTGGCTTACGGGCGTCAGCATTATGATGAGCCATGCATTATTTTACCTTGTTCGGTTTCAATCCAATAGGACTCTGCATTACCCACTTGTGTATCTTGCGATCAGTACCCACGTCGTTTCGCGCTTGCATCAGCATAATGGTTGATTGTCTCAGCTTACATAGACTTAAAATGACATTATAATTGTCCGCATTCAACAAAAAATTACATAGGTGCAGCATGCCTTCTACACGCCTGTCAGCAAGGTCTACTCGGGAAGTCAAGTAGACCATCATCATCTATCCGCAGCAAGAAATTCCGCCCATGTGCTTGAATGGGTATAAGTCGTGAACCAAATTATTATATGAAACTGTCTGATACCAGCACACCATCCAGCCTCACACATCATCAAAGAACTGCAATAAACTATCTCGGTCCGTATGCGTACGGTGACTGCGGCGGAGCGGGTGATGCCCTGCCCATGGCGTATGCTGCAGGAACGCCCATTGCCATGCCCGCCTGCGGTGCTGGGGATGCGCGGCCCTGCATATCATACATCATTTGCGGCCCGGGACTGCGTGTCCTTGCCATCTGCGTCATGGGAATGGCCTCCATGCCGTGGCCGTGGCCGTCTGACATGCCATCACCGAAGGTATTTGGCACTGGGCCACGGTAGGGGTCATAGAAGCCGGGCTGGCCGTACATGGCTGGATCATCACGGTAGGGCTGTGGCTGGTTCGGGTTAAGATGAGGAAGCGGAGGGACGGCATATGGATCCTGGTGGTAAACATCGGGAGCCGAAGAGGCGGCAACAGAGTGAGCATAGCCTCCCCCTCCTACACTCGGACTCGGTGCCCGTGCAAGGTTAAAGTCCGAGTCGTTTTCCGCACCAAAACCGGCACGACCAGTCGAATTCGTGGGCAAAGCGTGGACGTCATCACCGTGTGCATTTAGCTCCGGCCACTTGATGGCTTCGCCTAGAAATTGTTAGCAACCATGCTGTGCGCTGAGCATTGAGCTCGACTCACTGTCATCAAAGTCCGAGAAACGCTTCCTCGTAAACTTCCATATAAAGAACGAGATGATGCCAACCACAGCCACCCCTCCTGCAACAGAAAGACCAATGATAGACCCTTTGCTTATGCTGCTGTTATCGCCACCACCTCCCCCCGAGTTGCTTGTACTAGTGGGCGCGGCAGACGAGGCGGTATTAGATCCAGGTACAACCACTGTACTAGTGCCCCCTCCTTGAGAGTTGGACGCACTGTCCGGTGGAGGGGTACTGGATGATGCGCCGGAAGATGCAGTGTTGGAAGGAGTTGTGCTGGAGCCAGAGGGAGAAGCCGAAGGAGTTGTCGACGAAGCTGTCGAAGAAGAACTCTGTGGGGTAGTGCTGGATGCTGCTGAGGTTGAAGTATCGCTCTTCGCTGTATCGGTGGCTGACGAAGCGCTGGCTGATGGTGAAGAGGTCGGGATGGGAATAAGGTCACGGGCATGGACGTATGGTGTCCGCCGGGCGACATGGGCATCGCCATCGGCATTGACGGAGAGGACAGCACACGAAGCCACGACGAGGAAGGCGAGCCATCGAACGGTTCTCCTCATGGCGACGGGCTGGATATACTAACGAGCGGTAAACGACGTGGGCGGAGGTGTCTCGGAGGCTGCTGGATGTCGTGTACAAGGTCGTAGAAGGTGAGATAGTGGGTGGACTGCGGCTGCTGCGACGCCGGGGTCGTCTTGGGGGTCGAGCGAGTGGTGGATGAGGTGCTCTGAGCTCGTGGAGAAGGAATGTGCGGCTGGAAAGAAAAAGCAAAAGCAAAGCAACTGATTGATGAATTCCGTGGTGGCGGTGTCCAATCCTCGCCGTTCTGTCACGCAGTCACGTCGCGTGGACACACACCAAATCTCACTCTAGTCACCCCACTTGTCACACCCCAATTCTCCTCGGCACTCGGACCAGTGGTCACGCGAGCGCTGTTTCACCTCGCTGCTGGCTAACTGTTAACCTCTGAGGCCGGGGGTTGGCTGGGGCACCTCGCTCGACCTCGCTGCAGTCTACGGCAATTTTCATCTCTGCATTGGCTGGCATGAGCTTCTCGCATTCTTATCATCGGGGGACAAGTGGACCAGGAATCAGTTTCACCACACTCAGGCTGTGGATCCACGTCATCATCAGCCCGAGATAACTTCCTTTCGTGTTGGCGCTGCGCGACTGCGCAACTGTGCCCCAGGGAACCAAAAATACTTCTGTTGTTTCAAACTTAGGCACGTTAACTCCCGTCGTGGGATCGTTAATCCCATGTGCATCATCGAGGAACAAGATAATATCGTTGGCTGTAAAGGCTTTGTACTAGTAATTTCTCGCGTCAGCCTAGTCCAAAGAACTCCGTCCCAGCAACTTCGTGATCTCGCGGTGCTCCCGGAGCCAGTCTGGGAACGATATCTCTTCTTGGCATTCTCGCATCTCAATCAGGTAGTTGGCGAAGACAATGAGTGTGCCGTAACGATACCTGAATGTTGTGAGCGCACTTGTTAGCCGGGTCTAGATTGCACTCACAAGTAGTTTACTGTAACACCCATCAGCTTGCGATGTTTGGCGCTGCCTTTCTCACAAGCCTCGGCTTTGAGCTTGTAGCTATAATTACCATGTTGTGTTAAGTTGAAACCTACAATAAGTGCCAACAATACTCACTCGTAGATGGCTTTCCGAAGATTTTGTACATCTTGCATGATGTCAACGGCCCTATCTGTCAACCTTTTAGCGGTCCTTCCATGTGACAACACGCTGACAAGTTGCAAGATTGTCTTATATTCTCCTGCCATTGCGAACCTCTCAGTATACCTTGAAGTTGTGAGAGCTTGAACACCGCACCTTGTAGATATGCATCCTCTTCTGAGGGCCCGTCAATCGCATCGTAATCGTCAGCGATGGCATCCTCCTGTGGTTGTAGTCCTGTATCTTCTTTCCAGTTTGTGATTGTGGATATCAGACAAGCCGTAATCATTACTGTGGTGGTGCGGCCCCGTCCCATCTGGCAGTTGAAGATGAAATCGCCGGCTTGGGGGTATCCATCGCGAACGCGATCGAGAAGCTGGGAAAGAGCGTTTGGCAACGGTGCCTGCTCGTCTGTCTGAAACAATCACCGTAAGACCTTTCTTTGGATGTCAACCACCAGAAACTTACAATGGCCACACGGTCGTAGTTGATCTAGACTAGATATCAACAGGGGTTCGTTCTCAATTGTTAAAAGCGGACGTGCCTTGTACCCTTCTTTCGACATCAAACTGAAGACATCTCTCGGTGTCATGATATCGTCTTCAGAAACTGTCTCCCAAAGCGGTACGATGCTGAAGACACCTGGACGCTCCTCGACTTCATCGTGTAACAGTATCCTGCCATTGCCCAAATGCACTTCGCGTAGGACGTCCGCTTTGAAGTGTTCCTCCATATTCTCTACGACATTGGTCGTGACGCCGGTAGCCCTTCAGGCACAAGTCAAATTTAACCATGGGATTCAGGCACCAGCATTATGTACTCACTCGACGTTCTCAAGGGGTTTATCGACCAGACGGAGAACATGTGGTCTTCCGGCGACATAAATGACCGGTTCCTAGATTAATATACCGCGTCAGTCTGGACCCATAATCAACGACAGCCCTCGCGTACCTCCCGAAGAGAGGTCCAATAAACAAAATTTGAACCTTGGGGTCCCGCATCAACACGAGCCAGAGCTCTTCGCAACCTACGAACTGGTCAGATGGGTGGAGCATCGTGGATATTGCAATTTAGTCACCCTTGAACAGTTGGCATTCCGCTGTAATACGGTCGATTCGTTATCACACACGGAAAGGAGAGTTTTATGCATCGCACTTACCTCCCGCACACCATCTTACCATCGTCCAATGTTTCTGAGTTGATGTTGCCGGACTGTGTAGGTGAATTACTACCGGAACGCACGAGGCGCAATGTAAGAGGAAGACGGCGGAAGTTAGGCGAGCCTTCTATGCGCCTGCGGGACAGTTAGTCTGTTGACAAAACAACGTACGACTACGGCATACTCAGGAAGTGTCATCTTCTGCAAATTTGAGAAGAAGTCGCTCTTTAGAATTGTCGAAGCTGACAGAATGCTGCCCGATCGGTTCATGACGACTCGTTTCACATCGTCAGGATGAGCCACGCCGTCCTCGACGTCAGCACGCTCGAGAGGCTTCAGAGCATTGACGCCATCGGCGACAAGCTCCCTCTCAAACGTCCTGATAACTAATGAACCTCAGATCAACAATCAAAGACCCGGATTATTGAATCAGGCATACCTGGTCGATCCTCAACGAACTTCTCGAACGTTTCAAAAGATTCGAGTGTGTCAGGCTCAGTGGACTGCAGGTATGCCTGGAAAGCGATGAGCTCAAAGTACCGTCGAAGGTACGCAATGGCTGATCGGAAACGTCAGGGAGAATTTCAGACGGGCGACATATCACGTACCCCGAGAAGTATGTATACGCCTGGTCCGCCCCTCCGGAGCCTCCTCCGCCTTCATTCGTTCCTCTTCAATTACGTCGCGCAGGTTGACAACAGTTGCACAGCGGTCAATGGTCTCATCAACGGTATTCTTAACGGCGGGACCCCTCCTGATAACCCGAAGCAAGTCTGCAGACGGAGCCTCAGCTGCGAATCCAAAGACCTTTGAGCAGAAACCCCACTTACTATTGATTATCTGGTAAGAGTGCCTCTGATAAACCGTTTCATTCGCAGGTCCGTCGAGAGGCGGCAAAGAAGCCATGGAATGGCTCCGTTGCATTCGAGGTGACGCTTGGCTTATTGCCCTGCTCTCTCCAATCCACCGCTGAATCAACATGATGACAATCTGAAAAGGTAACAGTCAGCCCTGATCTCTTGAATCCCCCAAGAATAAATGGCGTTCACAGAAGTCATGGTGCTTCTACCACGGCCCAGTTGACAGTTCACTACGATCGCAGTGTTGGAAGAATCCGCCCGCACCATGACGTCCATGAGTTCACGAATGTCAGAGAAGTCCGGCGCTCGCTCGGCCGTGATGGGTATACGATGATAATGAAGTTCGACTGGAGAGTTGGACGTATCCGGCGCGGCATAACCTTTGGTCATGACATCCTTCATCACCATGACGTTCGAGGCCTCCGCCTCTTCCCAGATAGGAATGACAGATCCATCTGAAGTCTCGTTGTGCAAGAGGAGCCTTGTAAGTGGTTCAGCAAACGTTGGGTAAGAGGCGTCTGTTCATGTGGGCTCACCTGCCCTCAAAGGCATTCAGCTCGGCAATGACATCGTCTCTCAGGCGCTCTTCTAGTATCTCCAGACGGGCCGCAGATATTCCATCATAATCTACGACCGTGTATCAATAATATCATCAAATTGACCAATTACGGGTCCTGACCTTTCATGTTACGCAACGAAAAGCGCTCCCTCCGCAGACAATAAGGAGCACCGTTAATATACACCACCGGTTCTTCTCGAAGTGTAATCCAGACGATGCGTGTTACGTTGGGATGTTCTACCTTAACTTTCGCGAGCACGTCATCGACAGCAGACAACGATGGTTGTCCGAGGGCGTAGACGTTGCTGTTGGGGATATTCCGGAAGTTGATTGCACCGCGGACAGAGTCTGCCACATGAGATTCAGATAACCACTGGTCGGACTTGAGCAGGGTGCTACAAAGAGTTTCAGGCTATGGCTCGTGAGGTGTGCGATATGAACTCACCCCTCTCTGAGAATGATGCCATTGCGATTCTGCGACGTGTTCGTTGAGTGCCAGAAAACCGTCATAAAGGTCGATTTACCTTCACAACGTAATCACTATATTCATCACCCAGAAGCTGTCCACCGGCTATTTCGACGTCATTCTTCTGCCCAGCTACGCGTGACCGCCCTTCAGTCTCCGACAAGCTAAGTTGTGATAGGTCATTGACAGGTGCAAAGACATTGAGCCGGGTGCCATATGACTTCCGGAGGAATAAAACTTGGCTGTTATTGATATAAGGGTTAGATATCGGCGGGATGAGCTTCGGAACTTACTTCCATATTTCGCTTCTTGCCTTCAGAATTGGTATGTTAGCATAAACCTTATCAGAATGAGCACAGCGTACCTTCAGCCACTGCCCAAACGTCGTGTCAAAGAAGTCACCCGATTCGACATAGCTCGCGAACGCGATGATAAAGAAGCTTTCGGAATTTCAAGTAAAAATTTGACCTAACAATGGACTGCCGGGGGGCAACGCACTATTTCTCCAATGATTTACTTGCTTTCGCCAAAAATTCCTCGCGACCTTCGCTTCCGGCAGTCAACGAGTAACGGACACGGTGGATGAGAATGTCTTCTCGAAGATTCCTGACGTGATCACCTGTAGCAGCGGAGTGAGCTTCTACGACCGAGGGAGACTATAGTTTGGACTGACAGGAATCAATCACGCGATCGACGAGCCGCTTAGCGTGCACGCCTTGGTCGAGGCAACCAAGAAGACTGAGGATTATCCCATAATTTCCTTGGTGGGCTCGTCGAAGGTTTTCAAGAAGAGCAGGCTGAGCCATTAGTAGTGTGAGTGGCGAATGTGTATGAACGTCTAAACCGGGGCTGAGAACTGATGCTTGTGTTCATCGCAGAATCGCAGAAGGGACATACGCTGCTGTAGAACGTAAGTCAGGCGTAGGATAGACTTGTGCGCGTCTTGTTGTGCTGTCGCGGATTCCAGGGCTTGTGCGAGTTTGGTATCGGCTGGAGGCTAACGATATTGTCAATGAGCTGGGCATAATATTTAACAGGCTATCTTTCACGAACTTGAGTGGTAGGCTAGTCAAACATTCATAAATTATCGTGGTGATACTGTAGGAACAAATTACTCACGGTGCTGACTCCAGACCCACCACCACCGGCTAATCGAGGTGTTGGATTCATGCCCATAATTCCACCTGGTAAAGGGTCAGGCCCGCCCGAGGCAATTACCATACGGCGGCGGACGATCATTGCCGCTACCATAGCAAACGTTGTACGAACAGCACCCATCCCACATGAGAAAACCAGAGATGTCTCAGCAGGTGATTTCTCCTTGATAACACGTAAGTAGGCATCCAGATAGTTATCTTCAATGGGTCGATCGGGAGATATGGGAATTCTGACTAAGAGTTAAAGTTTTCCTCGAAGATACAGGTATCCTCCTACCGATGATACTACATTTGCAAAGGACTAGTTAGCGCTCCAAAGAAACGGGCGAAGAAAGACACCAGATACCTCCACACTCCAACCTTCTTGGCGCATGGTTTCCCATAGTTCACGGGAGGTACGAACGTTCCTGTCGTCAACGTGAGTCCAAGTGGGAATAATTGCACCGTCGCCAGCGTCGTTCGCTAACAGGTATCCAAAGTGATAAAACGAGACCCATATGAATGCCTTTGGAACACATTACACAATGCTCGATGGCGTACCAAGCTCATTGTGAGTCAGGATAAGCCCTCCGTATCTAAGGCGCTCTAAGTTACTGCACGTCATCAATACAGCAAGAACACAACTTACTTGCTGGCCTCCGCTAAGATGTCATTACGTAACCGCTCCTCAATCGCCTCGAGGTTTTCAGCCCGATCAGATAGAGCAAGAATGCGCCTTGGCTCAGACGCGTCACGCAGCACGAATGGACGGCCGGATATGTAAACTACCAATGTGGTTCATAATCCGCCAGGAGGCATCCTCGAGGTGTAAGACTGGGCCCACCAAGGGCCCACTTACCTATAGGCTCCTCTCTGGTCGAGAACCAGACAACGTGGGCAGGGTTTGGGGTGCCAGGTCTACACCTGAGGATGGACAAGATAGCTCGAAGACCTTGAGTACGAGGTTGTGCAACACCGAAGACATTCAGACTAGCATGGCGTGGTGCTCTGAAGTTGGGGGCGCCATGGACGTTAAGGTCGAGGTCCAAGGCACGACCTGAGCAGATTCTAGTGGTTCTTCAATCGCGGACATGGAAAAAGAATACCTGAGGGATAGTAATCCGTCTTCAGGATGAATCCTCTCGACAGCACACTTCCTGATCTCGTCTTTACAATGGACGGCTCGGCCCGTTTAATATTAGACATAAGATCCAGAGGCAAGATGGGACCCTCTACGGTCCTTGATCCAGGCGGCCCAGAGAGATAAGACTCGCTAGCGACGCGTGCAGGTATCGCATCGGGTGAGTATACGCGTCCTGGGATAGCTTGAGACTGAGGCTTGTTGACGATTGGTGCAGATGCAGGTCTGCCCGTGGGCGGACCGTCAAGAGGCAGCGATGGCTTACGCATTGCCATGATGAGCGTTCGGGAGAAGGAGGGACGACTCTATATGCGCTGCGACGTGCACCAAGGCATAATAAGGGGCACGTTAATTAATGTTCCATGCAAGGTTCCATGACGGAACTCGCTCGCGCCCAAAGTCTGGGTGTAGCCACGTGCCATACACCAAAAACCGTCATTCACCAGAGTAGTTACTCAGAGTAGTACTGTAGTTAGGTCGTGGTGGCAATAAAGAACTTATCCTTGTCAGTACCACTGCCACTGAACTAGGGACGCAACCACGTCAGAACCGCTACCAATCTTCCAAAGTACCTCGCCCATCCTTGACTTCTGCGTGAGTTGAGATTATTATATCAACTATGACGACCTTTCATTGAGTTTGCACATGAGGACGTTGGATGACTTAGACTCGGACCAATAGGTCAGAATAGACAGGTAAGGCATTTGTGTTCAGTCTGGCCGTCCGTGCGGGCTTAGAAGAGCCAGCGAGACTCGCCATCTCTTTCTCTCATCCTGCCACTCTTGAAGTAGCCTTACGTGGCTCTTCTTGCATCCAAAAAGCTGGCCTTTTGTATCTCTTCACCCATGGAACCCCAGAACGCATCCAGGAGCTTCCGGCTGGCTTTCTATTGCTCAGGGCATGGTGAGAAACTTGGCAGGGGAATCAAAAATGAATCTTACCCGCCGTCATTAATCACAAATAGGTTATGGGCACGCGACTCGCGTCTCGGCACTCGCGCGACACCTTCTAGGGCTCGATTCCAACCCCGAGGTTTATTTGGTGTCCACGGCTCCTGAACATGTTTTCGCCGATAGCATTTCTCGGGGAGCCCAGTATCGCCATGCTTATGTTGACCCCGTCATCGTCCAACCAGTCGCGTTAGTGGCTTCAGTCATTTCTATGGCTGCCTCCAAATAACCCTTTTCCTGCATAGTTATCATGTCGATAGACAAAAGAGCATCGAAGTGCTTCGATCCTTTTTAGATCAGAAAGACGAGTTCCTCGAAAGAGAGGTGGCATGGCTGAAGTCCACCGACGTAGACTGCGTGCTCAGCGACTCCGCCTTTCTTGGATGGTGCGTCAATAGCACGACCAAGCATGATCAAGATATGTCCAGCTGAAAGCTTCACAGTTTAGCCGCAAATGCCGCAATGGTCCCCTGCATACTCGTGACCAACTTCACTTTCGACTCAGTGTACAGCTACTTGTCTACTTCATACGTGGACCGCACTTTACCGATTGACTCTGTGACCTGGGAGTCTTCCGGCGAAGACTCCAACATAACTGCGGACGTGCCCATTCCTTATGACGATATCAAGGCACTTGTCGACGAACTGCATGCTGGATACCGCTGCGCAGACCTTCTCGTGCTCCTACCTGGTGCAATTCCTATACCCTCATTTTCTCGATATCCTCCGCTTCCTGCTCACCGCTGGACGGATGAGAGCGACAACTCATTATTGCACACGGCCGTCGTTCACCTGGACAAGGGACCGGAATATGGTGGATTACTCCCTGCTGTTCCCTTTCCTTCGCCTCCCGGTGCGCAAAAGTCGATAGAGAAGCCACTGCCTCGGTTCGTGATTCAAGCGCCACTGCTGGTGCGCACGCCCACCAACGTAGCCTCGGGTGAAAGCGTATACACCCCGGCTGGACGTTCTGCCTTCCTCGCCTCACTTGGCGTCCCCGAACATCTGCATGATCCTTCAACGACGCACATCCTTGTGGTTTCCTTTGGAGGGCAGCGCATCCGTCGTCCAAACTCGGGTGCGACCACACCTGTTCGCGGTCTACGGGCCACGAGCAGCAACACCTTATCGAATGGCCGTTCAGGCAGCACGTTGCTTTCTCCTGGAGCACTCCTTCCCCATACATCTGATTCCCGCCTGGCTACAACATCCCAGCTGCTCATGCCTGGGGCCCCTCCCGCGTTCAAGCCCGAGTGCAGCCCTCTGCTTTCCTCAGGTTCATTCCCGGACCGGCTTAGCACGGTAGACGAGATAGTAACCGAGGACCTGCCACGTCTGCTTCCCGACGAATCTTGGATTGCTATCGTCTGTGGAGTCTCCAAGGAACAGTGGGCAGAAGGCGAAGACGAACTTCCGGAAGGATTCTACGTTGCTCCGAAGTATGTCTACATGCCGGATTTAACGGCTGTGGCAGATGTTATACTCGGCAAACTGGTATGTTCATACAGATTTATTATTGAATTATGAATTGACGGATGTTCGTGGGCAGGGTTATGGCACAGTCTCCGAGTGTGTCGATTCGCAGACCCCTTTCGTGTATGTGTCGCGCCCCCTTTTCGTCGAAGAGCATGGGTTGCGCCGATTACTTGAACAAAGCGGCGTCGGGCACGAACTATCGAGGACCGCGTTTGAATGCGGTGACTGGGCACACGCGGTGGAAAGGGCCTGGAAACGTGGCAAGCTGGCAAAAGACACGATCCGGGCCAAGGGTGGTAATCGCGGTCGAGACGAAGAGTGTAGACAATTAGCTGTTAAGCTCGTGGATTGGATAACAGCTTGGAAGGAGGCAGTGAGATATCAATAAGCACTTGATTATGTACAACGGACATGTATTCAGATAGATTGAACTATTTAGCTATTTAAATGATCTCTTAAACGTCAATGAGCTTCGATAGCTTCTCGGAATTCACGCCGTCCCGCGGGACGATGGAGCAAGGGAAGGGATAAGGGCGCCTACATCGCGACTGTCAGTTAATCGGTGAAAGAAAGTGGAGCACAGTACTAACGAAGCCAAAGTAGGTGTATACTTGGGCTCAAAGTCGATGATATTTCCGAACGCGTCTTTGCGCTTCTCGAAGTTGAAGAGCGCGAGTATGCATGCGATGGAAATCCAGAGCGACGCATCGGCCAGATGGCGACCCGGGCTTTTTGATCGATTGTCATTTCAGTAAACATTAATGGGATGATCACAAAAATATGGCGTACCAGATTCGCCGTCCAAATCCAAAAACCAAATCAAAGTTTTCGTCTTTAATCTCACCGGTTTCCGTTAGAAAACGCTCGGGCAGGAAGCGTTCGGGAGAGGGATATTTTTCTTCGTTGCGAGATAAGGCCCTGTACGGTTTGAACGTTGCTTTAGCTAGACATTCGAGCACCGCATAGCTAGAATGCTCACCAGACGTTTGGAATGATCGTGGCACCTTTTGTTGGAAGGTTTTATAATATTTATCCTGACTTGAATCAAACATTCCTCACCTTTGGGTATCAACATGCCCTCGTATATGTCGTCTTCGAGTGCGGAGTGAGAGATACCTGCAGTGTATATGAGCATAGTCTTTCTTCTCGTGAATGGACGAATTGGGCCTTACTCATAGGCACGATGGGGTGCCAACGTAGCGTTTCTCGTAGCATGGCTTCGATGTACGGTAAACTCGGCCGATCGCTGAAGTCAGGAAGACGGTCGTGCCCAACAACGGCGTCAATCTCCGCCTGCGCTCGTGCCTGAACTTCTGGGTGAAGAACCATCGCAAGTACCCAGACCTGCATTGTTGTCGGAGTCTGTTGATTGAAGCAGAGTCAGTCATGGTTTTACTGGCGAGATTGCTGGTGTGACCGCACCGTCTCAGACCCGGCTGGCCAAGTCTAGTCAATAGGATAAGCCAGAGGACAATCGTACGCACCGCTATATGCTGTCGCAGATGCATCCTTGATCATCTGGGCCGTCTCTCCAGTGTCTCCCAGTCGCGTCAGCGCCTGAAAGACCAAGGAATGTTCAGCAGTTCCCGCCGACTTGAACTAAGGTTAATCTCTGGTACCCAGATACCTCGCGAAATTCTTCCTACCATCTGTTTTAACACATACTCAAAAGGTGGTTCCTTCATGTCCTTCACGCGATCGCGCAACTCGCTTGCCCCTCTCTTAACGCCAGCACCGGGAAACCAAGAAGGGAATTTTAGCACTTGGCAGTAAAGTCAGATTCGCTGACTAGCAGAAAAGAATGAAACAGTCACGCGAAGGGTATGCGTCAAGTACGGCTGCCAATTCTGGTGTCTCTGCCTGCCCGACAGATTGCATTACACGTTTGATGTTGCGAATAATGGGGTCATCATCGGGGCTTGCGTTGTATCCATACATCGCCGACATCACGATTGAACCTGAAAAGCTACGAAACATGAGCACTAGTGACTCGTTTTTTGTCGTGCAACCGGCTGCTCACAAATCAAAGTGATTCACGTAGTCATCCGGCGAGCTCAAGAGATTCTGCAGTAGCTGGTATGCCTTCTCGACTTGCATCGATCGATATATCTTCGCGCCTTCTGGATGGAGAGCTTGATGATACACGCGGCGGTGCACCCGCCATTTGTCCCCGTACGGCATGAAAACAGTCCTAAAACCAAGTCCGAAGCTGACTAAAAGTGAGCAGTATTATCATCGGGCACAATATATCAACGTACAGTCCAATGGTTTCATGATGAGGTCTGTCTGAGTAGTTAAACGAGCGTTTATCGAGAAGGTCCTTGATGACACGTTCCGAATTCAGTACGATAACTTTCTTATTGAAGAATCGTATCATGAACACTTCTCCTGGATTCGGTGTCAGCTCTTTCCGTCTGCACTGCAACGCTAATGAATCTACCATATTGCTTGCTCCATTCCGTGTAGGTCAACCACGATCCTGCCTTGTCCAGTTGCCACAAGTTTCCGACGATCGGGTACGGACGAGGACCTGGAGGGAGTCGTTGGTGAGCTTGACGCTTTGAGGACCAGTATTGCAGGCCAGAGATAACGATAGCAGCGCAGAGAACATGTACAGCCGATAGAGTCATGGGTGAGAATAAATGCTTGGAATACCTGAGGGTCACCTATTCGTGCCAGAAAAGAAAGTGGGGTATTTATACGCCAATGTCACCTGCTGCTGGGTTTCTCAATAGGAAGTTCAATGGCCCACTCAGCCGATACATCACCCACGTTGTAAAGTGACATGACTCAAAACATCTTCCTTGTTGCCTCCGTTCGTAATCCATGAGACCAAAAAAGGCCCTTCGCCCGATTATGAGCGATGAGACTGAGCCTGAGAGCCCTCTATGTCACAAAAAATGTCTAAAGGGTTTGTCAGAAATCATCACATCGTTAACGAGGTTCGATGAAACGATCCCACCTTGGCGTTGTGCTTTTCGCCCCAAAGTAGGCAAAGATGATGTAGTTGGGGGAGAATAGGGTGGATTTCGTGTCACAAGCTGCAACATGTGCCTTCGGACCTACTCACGGGTCATATGTCATTGATTACTTCGAAACACTCTTACTTGGGCATCTCGGCTTGTGGAAGTGTTCCGTCTGGTATAACAATGTGGCATGCGGCCAGTCTAGTAGTCTTTCCATCGAGCCATACACGGTCGAATGAAACACTCCTCTCATCGTCCGATAGAAGATAAAAGCCGACTAGGATCATTTATGCAGCAAAGCACTCGGTCCACATCCGACAGCAGATGCCAGCCTTCTATGCGGTCCGAATGCCATGGTATAAATTGTCGGTGCATGAGCCGCAGTGAGCCTGATGTGAAAGATTGGGGTCAAGCACAAAAGTAGTAGTCATGTCTGAGGAAAACCCGTCGGCCGAGATGCAGAATACCAAGGCTGATAGGAGGGCCGGCTACCTGGGTATCGTCGCTACAGAAATGCGCATCGTGAACAGAAGAGTGGATACAAGCGGCTTCGGGCGTATACGCCGCCCCCATAGAAAGCGAGGCATCGAACTGAGAACAAGATCTCCAGAATTTAAGAGAAGCCCTAGTGCGCTAGCTGACGTCCTATTCTTGTCGAACCCGCTTTGGGGGTTCGGCCGCTTGAACTGTGTCGCGACCCAGAAATATAAACGTGATGAAGAGGCCCTAGTCACCTGCCAGTAGTTGAGTTCGGCCCAGTCCAATGCTAAAGGCGACCAAGTTAAGCTGCGAGCATCGGTGATTGTCTTGAACCGAGTCTCCGGAGAGTCGGGCCAGTTGCCCGCCCCAAGGAGGGGCTATGTACAAAAAAGGAAATCTGCTGCCTAATAGTGGTGTGGAAGACCCGACTGAGTGCTCAGTACAGCCCACTGAGTGTTCGGTCCCGCCTCTTGCCCGAGCTACGTTAGTGACAAATGTCTTCCCCCTCCCAGCCATGGAGCATCGGCAGCTCACGACTCGGCGTACGCTCAGATGAGACGACTCCCTCTGGTACACCTGATGTTCGCGCCCTTCGCGCTCAGTACACCGGCACTCCCGTCCCAAACATCCCCACACGCTATAGCGTAGCTTCTTCTTCCAACCCAAGCCCCAACCCAGCCATCTTCGCTCGTGGTCGCGAGGACTTGCCTTCCATTTCTGTCCGCCCCTCTAGTGAGGCTCTTGTTGGTCGAGGTCGTCCTTCCATCAGCGGCATTTCCGCTGGTCGACCTGTCCTTACAGGGACTGTTGCTGCTGGGAATGAGAACGCTGTAGACCTCGATGAACTTCCGGACGAGGAGAAGGCTAGAGTCCTTCGCAAGCATCTCGTTTTGAATGACGAGCGTAACAACCGTCCTGGCACAGGGACTGCCACCCCCACGGACCATGACGCTGCAAGCGCTCACAGCTCAAGTCCTGCCCTCGGTGAGCCTTCCGGAAGTCTACGACCCCAAGGACCTCAGCGGCAGCCTACCGAGACATTCCCAATCCCATACGACGCGCACGGTGCGGATGTGACGTGAGTTCTGCCTACTATCGCCGACGCGACGCGTGCTTATCTGCCCAGACACGACATCTACAAATGGCACACAGACCAGCGCCGCCAGGCTGTTCGTCCTCGTGCCGCCTCGTTCTCAGGCTCTGTACAGGCTGCAGACCCCGCGTTCGAGCACATCCATGAGCCAGGAGGCTTCCGCCGGAATTATGTGCTTCTACGTGCAGGTGACAGCGGCAACGACCTCAATCACACTAGCAACTTTATCGACTTCTTGTATATTTATGGCCAGTTTGTGCGTGTGTCTGTTGCCGCCTACGATCAGTCCCTTAACGCGAGTAATACAGGCTGGCGAAGATCTTGAAGAAGAAGAAGAACCTCTAGAGGACGAAGAGTCCGTAAGGCAGGATGCTGCCACAGATGAACGTTCCCCACTACTCAAGGACAGGCGAAGCAGATCTGCTTCTCGCCGCAGAGCATCTTCTGTGGGGCCGCATGGAAACTCGACGGTTCCTCAAGCCATCCTTATGGCAAGTCACACATCTTTTTCATAGATTTCCCTTATCTCATACTGCTTTGTAGTTGCTCAAGTCCTTCGTTGGCACCGGTGTTCTATTTTTGGGCAAAGCGTATGATACATCACTTTTTCGTTCTGGTTCAACTTGTAACCTTTGCAATAGGTTCGCGAATGGCGGATTAATTTTCTCTGTGGTCACCATATCTGTGGTTGCTCTGATCTCGCTGTACTCGTTCTTGCTATTGGTGAAGGCCAAGTTCGCTGTGACGGGATCTTTCGGAGGTTTGTTTCTTTAATTGCGTACCTCCATGCCACCCCTTGACATATTTCCTAGATATCGGGGGTACCTTATATGGACCGTGGTTGCGTTACGCTATCCTCACTTCAATCGCGATTTCTCAGATTGGATTCGTTTGCGCGTATACCATCTTTGTTGCGGAGAACTTGCAGGCCTTCGTGCTTGGTATCACGCGATGCGCTAAGCTCATCTCGACGCCATATTTCATCCTTATGCAGCTGGTCATCTTCCTCCCTCTTGCTCTTGTCCGCTCTATTAGCAAACTCAGCACGGCTGCCCTTGTTGCAGATGTCTTTATCCTAGCGGGTCTCTTGTACATCTTCGGTAGCGAAGGGGCGATTATAGCCAAGAAGGGCGTCGCGGATGTCGTCATGTTCAACTCACGGGACTTCCCACTTTTCATCGGGTAAGTTACTCAGTTACCATTATCTTGATTGGCTGGTTGATTCATCGCAGGACGGCTGTGTTTTCCTTCGAGGGGATTGGTCTTGTCATTCCAATTACCGACGCGATGCGGGAGCCGCGCAAGTTCCCCAAAGTCCTCACGGGTGTTATGATCTTTTTGCTCTGTAGGTTTTATTTGACCTCACTTTGTTACGTTTGCTCATGGACTACAGTCTTGTTTGGTGGCGCTGGTGCTTTGTCATATCTCACTTTCGGCAGCCAGACTAAGTCTGTCGTTCTTGTCAACCTTGACCAGTCGAATCGGTTCACGCAGGCGGTACGTTTCTGTCATTAACGTCCCAAGGGTACGTGTCCTCATCCATGCCCAGGTCCAGTTCCTTTACTCGATTGCGATTCTGCTCTCGATCCCGCTGCAATTCTTCCCTGCTGTACGTATCCTCGAGAACGGCGTGTTTGTACGCTCTGGTAAGGCAAACATCCGTGTCAAGTGGATGAAGAACGTTTTCCGGTTCGGCCTTGTTGCCATGTGTACCATGATCAGCTGGCTCGGTGCTGCTGACCTCGACAAGTTTGTTTCCCTTGTGGGCAGCTTCGCTTGTGTGCCGTTGTGCTTTGTCTATCCGGCGATGTTGCACTACCGTGCTGTGGCAAGGACACGTAAACAGAAGGCGGCTGACATTGCTTTGGGTGTCTTCGGAATGGTGGCCATGGTGTACACCACCTATCAGACTATTCTAGTCAGTTTACGACCCCTTGTTCGCTGCATGTGTGCTTTGCTGACATCCTGTACACTCCTAGTTGATGGCAGTCCCAGAACCTTCGGTTCCTGAAGCGCCCCGCACCTGCTGAGTGGATAATGCAACTTTAGAGACTTTCATATGATGTTGCTTTGCCGCGTAATAAATCACTCATACCTCGCCGTGTCTGTTGGTGCGGCACGTTGAATGACACAGCAGATGATTTGACTACGGTCAATCCGAGTTTACCCTTGTAATTCACACTGTTCTTATCGGCTCAGTGTGACTCTGGACATCCGAGCCTGTTGCTCGCGCTGATCTACCCTTGAGGGCGGTTTGGTAACGTTAAGCAACGGCGACGTGTGTACAAGCTTCGCGTCCACTGTATGTAAGCAACATGCGCCTTGGTGCAAGCAGAAGGACTGTGAACTTTGTCTTAAAATGTGATGGGACCTCACGCCAGGAAGTCAGAAGGCCAGTGCGGGAATGAACTTAGTGACGGCGCGCCCGCCATGTGCAAAACGCGTGCCCCCTTCACTCCTTCGTGCACCGTTTCATCTCTGCCATACTACAGGCAGGACAGCGTGCATCCCGTACGACATGCTCGACCTGTTAAAATGCAATACACCATTCCCCTGGGTTCTTCCAAGGTCCCTTCTCCCTCAGCCCCTCGCTGTGCGACATCCTAGCTATTCTCGGCAGCAACTGACACAACTCTATTGTACCTGGCCCTCATTGCACTCATACTCATAGATGTCCGCGACTCGAGCAGGTACCGTTCCTCAGGCTCGGGCTGTCCGACGGAAGCCGGCGCCGAGTGTCTCTCTCGATGTTCGGTACCCACTTCCTGACCCAGATGATCCCTTTGCGCCTCTGGCTATCCTCCGAACGCGTACCGCAGAAGCCATTCTTGCTTCGACGAGCACCTCCTTCGTCCCTTTCCCAGCCGCAGATGTGAGGCTGCCTCGACAGTGGACCCACTCAATGTATGCTGACAAGGATGGAGTAACGGCATGGACGACGAGAACCTCGTTCTCGCGAAACTTTAATGGACGCGAGACATTCAGTACTGGTGACAGGTCTCTGTTTAACCTGTCCGCCAAAGTGGTTCCCGCCGATCGGAAGCGCGCCCAGTCAGCTCTATCACGATCAGGGACTAGGTGTTCCTCGTCCCCGAAAAAGGTCTCGCCTTATGGACACAAATCTCTTAAGGCCTACCTACTCGCTACCACAAACTCTTCTCCTACTTCCAGAGCCATGGCACAACCACCCCAGCAGTCTACTCACTCCCTTTCGCCAACCCCCACGTTCGTTGATGAAGATGCTGATGCGCGTATCAACCGTCCCAAGTTGTCACATATGAACCCCAAAGAAGGTATGTCACCCGGTATTGTACTATGTTTGCCCACTCATTAAATGTCATTAAATGCCGAACTCAGAAGACCCTGCATACGCGCCGCACGCGCAAGCTAGCGAACTTGGCCTGCCATATAAGCGTAAGTCCAGCCTCACGAACAGAATGGAAAGCCTGATCCAGAATTGCGCTCTCCACAAATAGTCCATCGAAGGCCATGGACCACCGCCTCAACATCAACATCAACTCTTGCACCGGGCTCCGTCACGCCTCCATCGTACAAGGGACCACAGGCCGCTTCACAGCCCACACGTCGCTCTCATCCTCCCTCCACACGCTCGCGACCGAATTCGTTCGGAGTACTTAACGTCCCCCCTGTTCTCCCGTTGATGCCCTCCATTGACTCTTCGCCCCGCCCGCCCGGTGCGATGGGTTCCGAAGTTTTGTCCATGTCCATGTCTATGTCCATGTCCGACCCCGACCTCACTAGCTTCAGCGACCCCGGAACCTCCTTCTCTCATAGCTTCTCCCTTCTCTCTGCCCCGATCTCATTTGCCAAGTCGAAGCCCGTCGCGCAGCGTCCATCAACAACTGCGGGCCCTCGAGACGAGCGGCGGCGGCACGCTGTTGATATCGCTCGGGAATCTGTCCTGCTTAGCCCACCCGAGCAGGCGTTTGACGAGAACGCGCTGCCGACACATGAGGAGATTGCGGACGCGGCGTCGTACCTCGTCATGGCTGAAAATGGAATCAGAGTTCCGTTCGGCGAGCTTTTCCGGCACGAGCGGGTGGTGTTTATTTTCATCCGTCACTTCTGGTGCCCTTACTGCCAGGACTACATGGCCTCAATAGCTTCGACCGTCGACCCTCGGGTGTTGCGAGATGCTGGCGTCAGCTTGATCATTATTAGTAATGGATCATACAAAATGATCAAGTCCTATCGCAGTAAGTCAGGCGTGATTTCTAATGTTGTGAACAATAAACTAATGACTGCCTCAAAGAAATCTTTCGCATGCCATTCAAGATATATACAGACCCTGCTCTTCGTGTTTATCAGGCACTAGGAATGGGCAGACGAACAGGACCTGACCCGCAAGTTCGTGGGTCCTATATTAGACATGGATCCGTGCGAGGTGCAGGAATGGTTCTGCTCAACGCTCTGCGTGTGGGGATGCCCATGTGGGGGCGTGGAGGAAACATGTCACAGCTCGGCGGGGAGTTCGTTCTCGGACCTGGGTGAGTTGCCAGCCTTGTTTCAGGGTGTGCCCTACATTTCTAAATTCGAACCTCCACGCATCGCGCACTTGCTTATCCATCTCGTTTCAACCTGTTTCGACCTAATGCCTCCATATCATCTCGGCGCTCTCACGCAAACAGCCTGCGTGTATCATGGGCGCACCGCATGCCTTCTGCACGTGGGCACGCGCCAATCATCCGCGTTCTTGCCAATGCAGGGGTCTCCGTGTACGCAACGAGCGAACGTGTACGGCGAACTGGTGCACATGTCATGACCCATGCAGAAGAACTCGAGTGGATGGAAGGGCGTCGGCGGAGCTTGAACCGCATGCAGCAGAAGAAGATGGCTCGCAGGCTGGGCGTACGCGTTGATGCATGTGGCAGTACTGAGTCTTCGAGCAGCGAGGGCGACACCGAAGACAGGGTAGATGAGTGTGGCTTCGTGCAAGCCAAGGGGCAAGAGCGACAAAAGCATGGCATCAAGGTACTTCGCCGCCGCCCACACCGGAAAATGAAGCAGGAGACGCTCATTGAGGAGCGCGACGAACTCCAAATCGGAATCGATGGAGGAGTATCCACGGCGTTTGCCATGGGTGAAGTTGAGACCGCGCGTCAACCGGATTGATCTTGTCATGGCCATCCCACCTGTCGAGAAGATCGCATGCATGGCAAACGCGATGCATATTGCTCGCCCCCCAAAGGTCAGGCCTAATGAGCGTCTGGGCTGGTACCTTTGCTTTCTTGCTACATATTTGCCGCTGTGTGCATTAAGCCCAGTTCTTCCTTACCAAACATTGAACTACCGTGTGGTTGTATTGGCAGTCTCACTTTGCATTGATGTACATGCGCCTTATGATATTTAGTATCTATGTATAGTAAGTAACACTATAGTGTACCAGAGTATTTAGCACTAGAAGGTCCATAAATTTGTTTGAACCTTCGTTGTCAATGCATCAGTGGTGTAGCGGTAACATTGGGTCTTCCCATGGCCTAGCTCCGGGTTCGACTCCCGGCTGATGCAACTCTTTTTGTGGCCCTTCGCGGCTTCCGCAGTTCGTGCAGTTCTTATGTGGTCATGACCGAATCCGTTGCCTGTCAATAAAAACACTGTTCCCATCACTCTCCTACCCAGATGGATCGGTCGTGTTGAGTCTCAGTGATATCAATATCAATTACAAAAGTTGTATTCGCCGCGTTGAATTCGGACTCCGCCGAATCGCCGAAACTTTTGAGCGACTTACACGACCGACCCTCTGGCAAAACTTGTAGGTGGCCGATCTCGGCTTGGTTTGCCGAGCGGCGTTCTCCCACGGCACCAATGCTAGCTCATTCGACACACTCAAGCCCATATCTTCGCCCACATCGTATACACCCCACCTGTAGATATTCAAAGACTTATAAATTACAATAAATAAAGTGAAAAACGCTCCATTTCTAAATATCAGGGGCTAAAGTCAAGGGTTTGGGCAAGCATGACTTGAAAACCCCCATATACTTGATGCTTCAGCATGTATTCATTCAGGGCATGAGCTCGAGAGTACCTCCTTCATTTACTCAAACTCCCTTAAGCCAATATATTTGGAGTACATGCATCTGCATTGAGCTTATGCCTAACAATGCTTAGACAATTGTGCTGTACAAGTGTTGAAATCTTGAACATGGAAAATAGGGGCTTTCAGCCCAATAAGAGTCGGCATCTCCCTAGTGCCTCGTTGACCGGCAGCTCTATTGCTTTTTGTTATAAATTGGAAGACATTGTCATACACCCTTGGACGTGCCGGATAGGTGGATCAAACACAAATCACAACCATTGACCGAGGGTACATTAATATTGTTTCACTCAAGTTTCACTGATATTTTCACAGTTGCATACTCGCCTGGCGGAGCGTTGGTGCTGTGGGAGAACGCCGCTCGGCAAACCAAGCCGAGATCGGCCACCTACAAGTTTTGCCAGAGGGTCGGTCGTGTAAGTCGCTCAAAAGTTTCGGCGATTCGGCGGAGTCCGAATTCAACGCGGCGAATACAACTTTTGTAATTGATATTAATATCACTGAGACTCAACACGACCGATCCATCTGGGTAGGAGAGTGTGTTCCCATAACATTTTTAGGATTTTCACGTATGGGTTCGTATCGAATATAATTGTGAGATCGCAGTGGGTCCGTAATTAAGAGAATAGATTGTACGGTGATGACTTGTGCCTTGCTCTCGCGATCGGAAGAGACAACAGGAAATCGTATCGCAGGGTACTAATTATAAATCCACAAATGAAGAACTATCAAACACATAACAAGTAGCCAATGAAACCCGAGTGCGTATGGCTATATAACAAACGAAGATATGAGTGAGCTTAGTTCATTATGCAGATGCATCGGTTGCGCGGGCGAGCTTCTCGCTGGCTCCGGGGAAACGGGGAGAAATCGAGCATTGGAAGTCCACAGGGCGTCTGTGTTTAGAAGTGAGCTTTCTGGTGCTGTCAGCAGCGCATGAGAATACTTACGTTGTGATTCCACCGGTCCAGCGCGTAGGGTGAACTTCAATCTCCTCGCCCGTTGCATTTTTTGCTTTGGCGAAGTTGAACATTGCGATCAAGCACGCCATGGCAGACCACACAGAGCCGTCCGCCAGGTGGCGACCCGGGCAGATGCGACGGCCATAGCCAAACCCTAGCAAGTACGTAGTGTCATCGTTGGGCTTGCCGTTAGGCAGCAGGAAACGCTCCGGCCTGAACACATTCGGTTCAGGGTACCGCGCTTCGTCATGAAGGATACCCCTTGTTCAAGAACGCGTTAGACTCTGGACATAGAACAAGTGACCAATGATGCTTACCATGTGTTTGCGATCACATTGGTGCCTGAAACAGATTCAGTGGATATTTAAACGTGTCGGAATTATTCTTACCGGCAGGAATGAAATATCCTTCGTAGGTATCGTCCTCGATAGAGCCGTGGGGCAAACTCGTGGTCACAACGGGGCACCACCGCATTGTTTCGCGTAGGATTGCCTCTAGATAAGGGAGAGACTCGCGGTCGCTGAAGTCGGGCAGCCTGTCGGTGCCTACTACGGCATCCATCTCGGCTTGGGCACGTTTTTGAACATCCGGATACATGACCATCAACCACAAGAAAACCTGAAGGGTGGAAAACGACTGCAGCATGCTCAGTCAATGATTTGCATACAGCAGGAACGACCTCACAGTATCAGATCCAGCTGATAAATAGACATCAGATCAGTCCACCAAAACTCCTCGTGCTATTTGTAAGACTGACCAGAAAAGGCGGTAGCAGAGGCGTTCTTGAGGTTGTGCTCAAATTCTTTCGACATTCCCTTCTCTTCCGAATTCTCAAAGACGTCGCGAATCATGGAGGCACCAGCACTTCCTTCAGCCTGGTGGAGGGCGTTTAGCGATATTCAAAATATTGGAACTAAAATACGGAGACATACCAGCTGATCCTGAGTCCACTTGTAGGGAAGCTCAACGGCCGCTTGGGTAGACTTTCTGGTGAATTCGACCATCTTCCTGAACCCACGATCGGGAATCCACGAAGGCATTTTGAGAACTAGTACAAGGTTCGATATTAGCCGACATAATACAAAAAAGGGAGGAAAAAAGAGAAACATCTTACGGAATGGGCAGGTTGCGACAATCGCCATGACGAGAGGCGAACCATTGTTAACAATGGCTTCAGTCGCATTTTCGATGACGTGCACAAGATGGTCTTTCCTGGACATCATGTCATATCCGTACACAACGGCCAAAATAATGGCCGCAGAATGCCTGAAAAGCGGTATAAGCACATAGAATCGAGTTCGTTCTTAAATCGATTCAACTTACGTCTGGAAATGTGCCTCAAAGTGTTCAGGTTCTGCCAGTAGGTGACCGAGTAGCTTGTGTGCTGCGCGCAGCTGCACTGGCTCGTACTTCCCAACGACATCGGCGCGCATAGCCTGGTGATAGAAGCGTCTATGCATCCTCCAATTGTCGGTGTAGGGCATGAATGCAGTGTTGAAGTCAAGACCCAGACTAAAATGAAAATGATTGGTTCTGGAACAATATGCTTCGAGCCCAGACACTCACACTGCAATGGGCTCAACATCATGTTTCTCGGAGTAGTTGTGGGACCGCTGATCCAATAGAGCATGAGCGATTTTTTCGTCGTTGATGATCAAGGTGTTCCGGCCCATGAGAGTGCAGTTCACCATGCTGCCTAGAGCAAACTCAGTTGAGTAGCATGAAGAAGATAACTGATAGCGTACCATACTGCTCCTTCCAAGCGGTGAAGGTCTTGAAAGCCTTGTCGGTGTCGATCTGGAGCGTGTTTCCTAGGAAAGGCAGGCCCGGAGGACCAGGAGGGAGCGGCAACGGGTTACGCTTGGCCTTGGACGAAGACTGAGAATATATGAAAACGAGTGAAACTGCGAGGACAGACAAGGCAAGAAGAGCCGACATGATCGCTGCTAGTGGGTGGGTGGTAAAAGATAGGAAGTGGGGTTGTGTAAACAGGGTTTTTATCTGGGACACATTCTTATATGTGGTCGAAGAAATTGCATAGCAGCAGAGCGCAGTCCTGTTGTCGCGATGTTACCTAAGTGTCCTGGAGCTCGGTTCAGTTTATGTTCATCTACAAAGTTCCCCGTCCGAGAGCCGGATGCCACAGGGACGAGGTGGCCTGATAAACTCTTGTTGACATCGGAGTCCATAATCCCGTGAGATACGAGGTAGACAGTTGCGATTGAACAGGAAGGCTGCTCCCGACAACTTTTGCCTCGAGGACATTTTGGGATGCAAAAGCACTGTAGGCCTCGGTCTGCCAGTGTATCTTCAAACGACTCCGTATCGTTGTTTCAGGATATCGTATCTTTGGCTCTTCACGCTGTAGCGGAGTACCACATGTTTCGGATGCTAAGCCCGACCTCCGCACCTCCGCACCATGGGAACTGAAAAGACTCGTGAAAGTTTGAGAATTCAATCGGCAAAGTATGAAGAAAACATTTCTACAGGGCTCGTCCGAGCGCTCGCGAAAGCATTTATCCATACCTGAAGAAGTCTCTGACCCTGAGTCGATCTGCAAAGCCATATCGAGCCTGACTCGGAGGAGCATGTAGCAATTTGCACGGGCAGTTTGTTCCATCTCGATCATGGTGAAGGCAATGGCAACAGACCTCACAAACATTTTATCGGCAAGTTCACTTCCCGGATGAGAGCTTGTGTCTGTGTCAATGTTAGCAACTTGGTTAGCAAGCGCGATACTGAGGAGACATATTGCTCGAGGATTTACTGCAGACCATGACCTAAGCTTTTCCAGCACAGGCTTACTGAACGATGGGCACGGACTGGCCTTTTGAGTTCGCCTACAGCCAGACCTTGGCCAGGGCTATGTAGGACCTCCGAGTCCGCTAAGAGCTAGGCGTCAAACTGTCGTCAACCTGCTTATCCATATAGCCCAAGAAGGAAATTATTGGAACCTGCGAGTGCAGGACTTCAAGCGACCGAAGTCTATGGTCAAGAGAAGCCGCCTCAAGGTGCTAGAAGACTTCAATGCCCCTGGCAACAATGCGTCACGTACATTAGCGTCGCCACCCTGGGCGCTACCCTGACTCAAGGGTCTAAGCACCTACCAATAATGCCGAAAGTTTCGGACTCGCATCTATAGGGGCCGGGCTTCAAAGACATTTGACATAAGGGTGAACATGACAAGCAATAGGACGGAGATGAAAGAGACATACGGCGACGGAAGTACTAGTGCGGTCCTGAGATAGCATACTCGCTGTTTGTGGCGAGGGTTTTGCAGTCGCGGGTGCATGTGCATAACGCCTGCAAACTTGAACGTCAATAATGCGAGCAGCGCCCTTGAAGCTTTGAAGCTTAACCGACGGCCAGCTTTGCTCCTTTACCGGGCCCGGGATACTTGGGCTGTCCTTGCACATCTTTCTACTTCATACTACCTCAAACGGCTGGCAGAAAATTTTAACTTCTTTCATAAATGTATAAGTTACAGCGAACTGATTGTGTTCGGCCAGGAACGCAAGTCAAGTCCAAGGCAGCAAAGCAGATGCAAGTAGTCCAAATGACGTCGAGGGGAATGCGAGTACACGTGTAGGGGCATTGTAAGTCTATGCGTATGTTATGAGGTGTCATTGACGGCAAGCTAGCACGTACAACACATGTACGGTATTATGCGACGAAGGAGAGAATGATAAATGCTGGTAACGTGATGAAAGAAGCATAACCCTATATAAAAGGCTGGAGTATTATCGCAAGCAGTGTGTATGATATCTTCCATAAATCGTTGAGTGTTGCTTCAAGTTCTTGCAATATTAGGCATGATCATGCGAGTCGGAGACGGAAACGCAGCATGTACAGAGGACTACACACGCTCCTCTTTTTATACGCCGCGGAACGACGACCCTGCCGTGAGGGTGGTGGACGTTGGCAGTGGGTTCAAGTCGTCCATTGCGCCGGAGGTCGAAGTCGACTTGGTTTTGTCATGGTACTGCGACTCCGCGAGTGTTGTTGATGTTGGCAGAGCACGAGGACTAGGAGCCGCAGATGTCCCAGTACTGGCAATATCTTTTGGTTCATTCGTCATGGTTTCTTCGCTTGGGTTGTCGTGTTTCCGGTGACCCACAATACCGACGCCTCGCAGGAAGATTGCTGCAAGCAGGGAGGCTACAAAGCACTCAACGGGTTAGCGCCAGCATTACGGGCGACATATAGTTGAGACATACCAAAGAGACAGAACGAAGCAGCTGTCCATTGCGATCCTCGGTAGCCAGAGAGCTGTGCACTCAGCGGTGCATTTGTGCCAGACGAGTTTACAGTGACGCCCAGATCAGCTGATTGCTGCTTAACGACACCGTCGAACACGATCGTCGAAACAGTCAGGCCGAACGCGGTTCCAAGCTGATAACAATTTTTAGCACTGAGACTGTCAATGGATGCGAAGCAAAAACCAACCTGTGTCATAGTCTGGAATAGAGCACCCGCCACACTCTGCTCGTGGGGCATAGCAATTTTGGCAATGAAGATGGTCCCGGCCGAGTACACAAAATCGGCACCAAACACAGAGAAGACAGTGGAAGGAAATCCAAAGGCCCAATAGGTCATGTTGGGCTCAATGAGAGCGAACAAGATACCAGCAGAAGCAGTGAAGAGGGTGCCAACAACTGAGCGTGACGATCAATATCAATGAACAGCAAACAGTAAGAAATACACACCAGCAAAGACCACGAGTGGAACCTTGCCCACGAGTAGTGCGACGACGAAATTGCACAAGATTCCGGTGATGAACATGGGAATGAACCGAACCATCGTTTTGACGGGCGTCAAGCCGAGGTAGTTCTGGTAGTACAATTGTACCCAGAAGCTCCAGCTCAGGAATCCACTCCAGTTGAGGAAAGCAATCATAAGGATGACAGACATGCGACCTTTCGCGCGTGCCCAAAGAGATAGACGCATGAGAGGGGGAGGTGTCCACCGTGACTTGGGGCGTGTAGGATCATCCAGTGCTTTTTCGAGTCGGTGCTCCCAGAAGAGGAAAAGTGCAAGGAATATGACGCCAATGATAAGAAGTGCGATGATATCTGTATGAGAATCGTGCTTATAAGCGTTTTAAGATACCAAGAAGCAAACGCCTAAAGACTCACAAGGTGTTTTCCAACCGTCTGGAGCGATTTGACCCTGTCCGAGGACAAAAACGATCAAAACCAAACCAACAGTGACGAGGATAGCGCCGATCCAATCTACCCGCCTGTCAACATCGGGGGAGATATGGTCCTTGTCGAATGTCAGCATCCCGCCGATTAAACATAGAGCCGTAAGCCCGGTTGACAGATAGAACGACGAGCGCCACGATTTACTAAGAGACTATAATTAGCTCGCGGAACCGACGGGGAATCGGCCTCCGTTGGGGATGGCCAACAGAAATACATACACTGTAAGCTGTGTGAGAACACCACCGATGAGCGTGCCGAATGCGCCTCCGACAGGCGCACCGGCCGCGAAGGTGGCAAAGGCTGCTGCACGGGCTTTGGATGGCGGGAAGGAGTGGGCCAGAATACCGAGCTAGATGGTTTTAGCTTAGCGCAGGAAAATAGAGGCTAAGGAATGCCAAGGCGACGTACACAGGCCGGTATAGAGGCAGAGGCGCCCACGCCCTGGAAGCCACGAAGAACGTCGAGAGTAATCCCGTCTAACAATCGCGAGATGAGATAGCGGTAACACATAACGGGGCGAGACAAACCTTGGGCGAATCCACATCCGAGGGAAAAGGCCAATTGCCACAAGCTTCCAAGCATGAAGACTTTCTTTCTGCCGAAGAGGTCTGCGAGGCGACCAAAGAAGAGGAGGAGACAACCCTATGATGTGAATTATGAGCATCGGTTTAGGGGACCGTAGGGGTGAGCACGTAAGACTTACAGAGCTAAGTGAATATGCAGACACAAGCCACTGAAGGCTGGTCTCCGGAACGTCGATATCACGACCGATGGTGGGGAGTGCAATGGACACTGATGTAGAGTTGGAGATCTGGATAATGGGTGCGAGAGTGAGATAGGACATGAGAGAAGCTATAAGTCAGAACATACGTTGACCACCATGGCCGCTGTACATGTTGCGACCAAACATATCGAGCGGAGGGTACTCCTCCGAGGAGCCTCTACTTGCTGCTTCTCCTTGTCGCTAATGCCATGGGCTTTGCTGGTCGGGCGGCTAACGTCCTCATCGGAGTGGTTCATCTGACGCTCCGTGTTGATCACTGTACCCTGTCGACTCGTAAGGCAAAGAAAGAGAGCGGGAAAATGCTCTAGGATGCTCTGGGCGGTGTGAGGGGGTGTGAGGGGGTGTGACGGAGATGTGTGTGTGTCATTGGGCAGTTTATATGTGGTCCGGAAGGGGAAGATTGGACTGGGCTGGCCAGTTGACTGGATCGTCTGAGTCTGACGGCTAGTACGTTATTGCCTCGTCGACTTACAAATGTTGATTAGCCAATTCAGGTCAAGTGTTTCCACTGCTCCGATCCATCGCTCCGCCCCAAACAGATCTACTTCCTTCCCAGTCCTATTGGTGCCCGTTTATTCCTATCCTACAATGGCGCAATTGCTAGTGGCATTGCTCATCTTACCACCTCGAACAGGCTTTGTCGACGTTCCGTCCGCGATGTGTCCTGCTGGAAACCACGTTCGTTTACGAGACATTTTGATCGCAACAAGTCGCAACAGCGACCATCCGCCTGTCGGCGCCCGTAGGTGACAGGAAAAGTGATATCCGGGGCCAGGTAGGGCCAGGTAGAACGATTGAGCCAAGGATCATAACCTAGTGCGGTAAAATATTCCTTGCTACTGACAGCCTGGATTCCTGGAAGCTCAAGCGCTTACTCCTAGTACTGTATAAGAAGTGTTATTCTCGTCTATCCGGAGCATCCTGAATAATGGGTGGAACGGCTGACCGAACGTTGTCCGAACGGCGCGTCACAGCCAGCCACTCTGATTGGTAGAATATCCATAACCTGATAGCATGATGTTGTTCGCTGACCAACCGCTGACCGCTAGTTGATCGTCACTGTCGAGCCGACGTGCTGCGCGTCGCGAAGCCCACGTCTTCGTGAAGTGAGCGAGATCTTTGACTTACTTAGTATGTAGGGGAGTTGATGCCTCTTCTACCCTGTTGGAACGAACAAATGGCGCAGCACCGCAGTTAACTAGCATGCGTCAAGCTGTAGGTCTCAGAGAATATTTCCAGGTGATCGAGGCAGCACGAGGCAAGATGCATGTTTGATACATAGACGAAGGTTCCTCGTCCTCGCCTACTAAGTCAACAATTGTGAAGGCATATGTCATCCATCGATATCACCACTAGTGCACGTCGATCACTACATGTACGTGCTGTAACACTGTGAAGTGAGAGTGTAGATTCAGATAACTCCGCTTAACTATCCCCCCTCTGAATCCACTACGTAGCTACAAACTTTTACGGCGTTTACTGCCACTACTAAAAGAGCTCACGTTGCTCACTACTAAGACCCGACGCGTATTCATGCGCGATCGGAAAGCTGACCCAGCACCGAAGATATTCGAGTTACACTGGGTCTAGACCGTCCAGTGCGGTGTCCAATGGCATTGCACATGCACTGATAAGAGTAGGCTATCATGGTAAGCTAGCTTCATAGGTTCACGGAAACGCGGTGACCTTCCCAGACTAAGCGGAGCAGCGAGATCAATGCCCTTGAAGCTAAAGGGCACGCCCACACAGGCCGCATCATTTCGCCGAGCGCGAGCCTAGTGAATAGAGTGGGGATGCGTGACAATGTATTGCGATGTAATGCAGTGGAATAGCCCATTAATGAATATAGCAGTGCCATAGAGGAACCATAACGTTGATGAATATATGCTAAGCGTCTGAACCCCCTCGCATCCTGTCTACCTCTCCCGTCTATAGCATCCACCTCTCGAACCGTCACTCTCCGCTTTACACCCTACGGGCCGTTCATGCTGCGAAAGGCCACGACCGACAAGCATGGTGCAAGGTCGACTATATGGGCGCTCACTCCTGGATCTTGGCGAGAATCTCGGAGTCCTTGAAGAGGAAGTACTCCTGTAAACACGGTATCAGCATCAGAAGCAAGTAGATACGGCGGTGATGAACAATGAAGTCGAGGTATGTTTGGGCGGTGTATAAAGGACAAGCGAGGTCATGCACGATACATGTCCGTCTTGATGAATGTTGACACGAAATGACTCGACTTACATCTTCGCCAACCTTTATCGAATTGCCGCCCCAGCCGGGAAGGAGGACACGGTCGCCAGCCTTGACGGTCGTGGGCACGACGGCACCCTCTTTGTTAGGAGCACCGGGGCCAACGGCAATGACAGTGGCCTCAGGGAGAGGGCTCGAGGTCGCCGATGCGGGAAGGAAGATGCCCGTGGCGGTTTTCTGCGAGTGCGTAGACGCAAAATGACGGACGGGCAATGAGGAAGAGTGGAGAAAAGGCGGGGTAAGGAAGAAAAATGTCAAGTCAGAACGCGTTCTTGTAGGGCATGCAGCGGACTCACAGTCTCGGGCTTGAAGCGCTGGACTAAGACGCGGTCGAGGAGGGGAACAACGGCCTTGATAGACTTGAAAGTCGCCTGAGCAGCCTGAAAGAACGTCATTCCGTTAGCACAAGCTCACGGCACATATGCAGACCGGAGTCCGCGCCGAACGAGTGTGTTCAATACACAGCTGAGACGCGTCGACGGGCGGTCAGAGAGGTCAACGCACCATTAGTGAAGTTTAGTTGAGGGGAAGGTAGTGGTACGTGAAGAAGAGGGGGGACAAGAAGAACGAGGACACAACTGCAGAGAAAACTGACCCAGCTTACCCGCGCAGAACCTTCCCGACTTTTTCAAAGTCCTTGTTTGGCACCACGTGACCACAAACAAGTCCCGTCGCTTCCCACACGCGCCCCGATGTACTCAGGGGCTTTAGTCGTTGTTAACGTTCTCTAATATTCGAGAACTTTTCCTGTGTACCATTCAACGCGATTTGAACCATGAAAATGCAATGTCTTTGATGTTAGGAGGAATACAGACTGTGGTAATGAAGGGCGTGTAGTAATTATACGTCGGTCGAGTTGTCTTAAGCAGTGTCTACGTCCGGAGTATGTGAACAGTGAGCCGGGGCTGGCGTGTCAAGTTGAAATCTGACGGAGCGTTGAGTATAGCGTATGTGTGGTGTATGCTGCAAGGTATGATATAACACAGAAATATACTTCATCCTCTCTCTCTCACTCTGCCTCAATAGGCGGAGTGGTCCGCTTGAAGTAGTCCTCAGCCGAGCACCATGTCGTGCTCGCCGCTCGTGCTGCCATCCAATGTCCGTTCGTGCGCCTGTGCTTGCGGGGCCGGCCCGTTCGCATTGTCATTATTAGCCTGTGTAGGCGCCTGGGTTCCCCCTAGCTCAACAAATCGCTGATCGGCACGGGACAGAGACGCAAAACCCGCGGGACCCGTTGCGCCCGAAACTGTCTCGGCCCGACGCCGAGCACCCTGTGTCTCTCCAACAGCAGGAGTAACATTGGCAATCGATGGACGGAACGCTGAGACTATTGTGCGTGATGTCCGCGGCACACCGACTGAAGTCTGAGCTGGCTGGCCAGGCCGGACAGCGGCGGCGGCGCCTACGGGATTCGTCGGGCCAACTGCGGCGTTGGCAACAACCCCGCGAGGAGGAACACGCGTGCGGTCCGGATCATCCATGGCTGGTGCAGTGGTACCTCCCGGTGCTCGCTCTCGTGCCTGCCTCTCGCGCTCCGCCCGTCGATCTGCACGTCCCTCAGCTGCAGTCCCCGAGGATGCCCCATCTCCACCAACGTTTGCGTTGGTACTGGAAGATCCATGAGCATGGGCATGATCGGCGGATGGGTCGGCTTCGTCGTCACCATCCTTCGCTGAACACCAAAACCTGTGGCCTTCGCTCCACGCCGTGCTTTGGCACTCTTTCCCACAGTACTTGGCTTTCCTACACCTTCGACACTTGGCGAACTCCCGTGGATATGACTCCCACTTCCCACAAAGCACTTCGAGATAAATGATATCAGGAACAATAAAGTTGGCAAGGAGCGATGAGACTCACTATTGGCACATTGCCTAATACCGCCCCTCGACTCATCCTTACGACATGCGTTCCGCATGATGACACCCGCCCAGTACTGGATTTCAGGCGGGAGTCTTGGCGGAGGGTTGGGCATCTCGCTCTCGGAAGAGCTCGGTCGGAAGGTGAACCGTTCCACAAGCGAGAAAACGTTTGTCATGCGCTGTGATGAACTGCCACTTGCTGGGGCTGAGGATGAAGCAGCTTTTTCCTTCTCCTTCTCCTTCTCCTTACCACGCGTCGTGGCATTGGTGAATGCGCGGAAGAGACCATGCGACTCTTTGTGGGGTGGCGGCTGAACGGGTGCGGGCGTATTGCGTGAGCCGCTCGGTCCCGCAATGGGCTGCTGGCCCTGCTGCTTGGCGCGGGCAGCGGGGAGGGCGACCGCAGCGGGATGGAAAGAGGCGCGGGGCTTGTAAAATGCCTGTCGAACATGCGGGTACTTGCTGAGGTAGGCGAGAAGCTGAAGACTCAGGAGAACATCTTCATCCTTGTAAGGGCCGGCATCTTCGCGATGATGGTGAGTACTGTGATGGCTCGGTGTGCGTCCGACGGGAGGAGGGGTCGCCGCAGTCGTCAGCTGTTCTCCATTAGGTCCAGGCGTTAGTCGTGTAGCCTGGCGTCCTGCCGGTATCGCCGCGGGCGTTTGCTGTGGGGTGACAGCAGGGAGGGAAACAACGTTAGCTCGGGGCGTAGCGTCGGGGGCGTTGCGCATGAGACGATCGCGTGGAGTGGGTTCCACGCCGACTCCACGAGGAGTACGGGTTGGCGGAGGAGGTGCTAGGGTTTCATCCATTGCTCCGGGTGCACCAGGCGGAGCACCCATCGCAAAATCATCGTTCTGCTCCAGTGAGACAATCCCATCCTCCACGCCAACGGGCATCCCATCAGCACCCTCTACGCCGCCGCCTTGAATGATGATGTGAGCGTCCGCGTTCACTTCAGTTGGGGCAGGTTCAGGGGTATCTGAGACAATACCGACGGCGCGTCGAGTCCGTTGAGGAGCCATGCGAATGGTTCCCTGGGAGCGGATGGGCGGAGCAAAGCCTTCATTATCGTCCGTGTCATTTGAGCGGTCCATGTCAACGTCCCCGTCGTCCTCAGTCTCAGTCTCAGCACGTGAGTTGTCGGTCGAATCATTGGGGGATATTGTTGTATCACGCTGGCGCATAGCCCGCTGACGGATAGTACCTTGGGTATTGTGAGAATTTCCATCCCACATGGGCCTGGCAATGATCGTTCCGCTGCGTTCGCGGGTATTCACGACGACTGCGCCAGTGGGTGTACCAGAGCGAAGCGGGGTCGTATTCACTGATGTCTCAGCTGATGTCGAACCGCCGGTTTCACGGGATGAGCTCGAGGAATCACGGTCGTAAGGACGTTCATCCGCTGGTGATGTCACCATAACAGAGGCTGAACCAGTGTCAGGCGCAATTGAAATCTCGGTGGTAGCAGAAGGTGGGGCAGGAGTGACTTGGATGGAGGCGTCCTGTGCATGCGTTCAAAATCAGGTTGTCATAACAGGAGCAGACCACGTACAGACTGGGATGCGGGCTCTGAAACTTCCAATGTCTCTAACCTTTGTTGTTGTTCTCGCGCTTGTTGCTGGGTGAGCTGGCGCTGAAGTGCGCGAGTAAGTTGCTCCGCTTCCTCGCGCTGGCGCTGTTCAACAAGGGCCTGCTTACGGGCCTGACGTTGTTCACGAGACTCCCTAGGCAGGCCGGTGGCACTGGAGCTAGGACCGGTTGCAAAACCCTTGCTGGCCAGCCAAGCCTCCAAGATGCATCCGACGACTTCAAGGGTGCCTGCTTGGACCACGCGACTACGAATGGGTTCGCTTCCCCTAACACCGATGTTGACAACACATTGAAACGCGAGTGAAAAGCGATATGCAGCGTGTTTATCGTAAGACGTAGGGTTGAGCGTTGGAACTAGCTTAGGTGGACGACTGTTGGGAGGGGCGAGGCCATACATGGCGTTCGGGTTCTCTGGGGGAGGCGGACATAGGCAGAAGTCGTGTAGGATGCGGACTAGACGCTCCAGTCCGCCATCTGTTGTCATGATCTCGCGTATGCGGGGGGAAGTGGAGGTAAGGTAGGTGAGATGATGGAGCGAGTTGAAGAGCGGGAGAGGAGAGACCGTGTCCAGAGCTGAACGAACGAGCAGATCGTCAGGCACATGACAAGTCGCGGTAGAGAAGGGCTCACCTCGTCTATCGTAGAGCTGGGATGTGATGCAGACTGAAGCCCTGTTCTGAGCGGGGAATGCAAAATTGGACTCGCGCATGGCGTAATGACTAGAGGGTAGCGGGCGACGTCGATCGCCGGACACCGCTCACGTTTGCTGGAGAGTTGAGGAGAGAAAGAAAGCTGGGCAGTATGAATAATGGCTGAGAGTGAGGACAGGATTCGGCGGCGGACAGGAGCAAGAGAGAAGGCGAGGATGTGTGTGTGGCTGCCCTCAGCGGCGACGCCCTTGGCCTGTGTTGATACGATGACTGGTCACTTGTGTGCCACTGTTTGGCTCTGTGGCTCCCCTTTCTCTTGAAGTCTTGAAGCTCCCCCTTCGACCACACCACCGACAACATCCACACAGATGGATAGATCATCAAATCAACAACAGTCTTCAAGCTCTGGACGTCTATGCGCTCACAAGCAACCTCGATTGGACCGCATCTTTTATAACTTAGTATACTTGGATACAAGCTTTTGGGTTTGTGGCTCGCTGCCTTTGTCTTGCAGTGGATCGCGGGAGGCACCACTAATAGTACTCGTAATATACTACTCTCGTATCAATACGAGCTCACACAACTCGCTCATAAGGTCGCGAGTGTAGACAATGAAGCGAGCAGATAACACAAGGCACCCTTTCCGAGCCGTTGCTTGTGCCCATCAGCGAATGGTCCACATGGGAGAAGACTCTTGTCCGTGCGATCAGATAACAAATGTGGCATTTCGTGTGCTCAACCACACAAAATAAATGCACCCTCGCCGCGGACTTGCACGCTTAGGATAAAAAACTTGAGAGACAGCGGGCCTGGCTGTTTATCATTACAGCAGGCTAGGTGTACATTTTGAAATCCTGGGTTCAAAAGATGCGTTAAGTTGCTAGGTTCTGATTCTTTCAGCTGGAGTCATGCAAACAATCCCTAGCTCCGGCTGGGTATGAACTGTGTATATGAACCACTACAAAGCAGAATCTGGCACCAATATTTCGACCACATATGTATGCGCAAGTTGCTATCTTGGAGTTGGTTTAGTTACTGTGCACAGCCACCCGGCGGAACCAATCCGAGGTTGCTCAGGGTTGACGTTGAGCAGCAGAAGCCAGAGTCTTCAGACCTAGAACTGGGACTCCCAGTCCATCGGACGACAACCGCATCGGGCTGCCTGACTCTTATACTTCGGCACCTGCATCTGCTCACGCTCTTGGCTTGAATCCCTGTAGCTATGAAGTTCAGGTGAGTCCCTTGGTCCAACTACCGTGGCCCCCGCGCTCACTTTTCGATAGCTCGGCCCTCAAGTTCAACGCCGTTCCCGAGTGGTGGGATGACTATATCGCGTACGCCTTACCCCTCGACGAACTCGTCCCTTTTCTTACGCGAATGATACAGTTATGATATCCTCAAGAAGTTTATATACCAGCTCGAGAAACAACAACAAGGTCAAGTTGAGACGCCATATCGTGACTTAGAAGCTGGCGGAGAGTCCGACATCCTAGATATTGCTAGCCGCGATCCTGCGAATCGCGATGCAACCTTTATACCCCTCCTCGATCGCGAGTTACGCAAGATAACTCAATTTTACGAGCTCAAGAGCAAGGAATTTTTTGACGAGCTCGCCGCTCTCGAGGAGTTCATCAAACAACATGAGGAGAACGGCGTCAGTGCGGGAGACAACTTCCTCGACGGGGACATGGACGGAGATGACGATGACGATGACGATGAGATTGACGACGAGCATGGCGACCCAGGCCACGCTGGTTCAAGTGGGCGTCTCAACCGGCGTCGACGTCGTAGCTCGGCGGCTCGCGAACCACATTTCCCAGGTGTGTCCTCAATTATTTGCTGAAAGTGCTTAGTTTGCTAACTAATTGCTGCAGAGCCTATCCCGGAGGAAGGATCCTATCGTGATAGCATTTCGTCAAGCGAGGACGGCTATCCCAACGAGATGGAAGCATCCCTAGCTACCCTGAGCTTGCAACCGCAAATTGCGACCCCGCTTTCTCCCATCTCCCGCCGGGTGGATAGCACATCGAGAAGTGTATCGCCGACTGCTCGTCGTACGGATGGTGGTACCTACAGCATGTCCCCGATTGCTCGTCGTACGGGTGCTGGCTCGCGGAGCCGTTCACCCACCGACGTGAAGCGAGGTGGGCTGGCAGGACGCTTTCGTTCTTTGAAGGATAGCTTTACCAGTGCTGCAAGTGCTGACAAGACGGACGATAACAATGTGTGGACGGCTAGGTCGAGCTATGCTTGGGATGCTAGGCTCCTAACCAAGCGCAAGATCACGAACCTATATGTGTCAATGTCCACCTTGAGGTCTTACGTCGAAGTCAATTATTCCGGTTTCCGCAAAATCTTGAAGAAGTTCGTCTTAGCTTGTCTCACTAATAATGAATGAATGCTTACAGATTACTAGGTATGACAAAGTCACGTACAGCGAGGTAAACTTCCTCTTCCTACCCCGGACTAGGGCAGCTCCTCATCCGCTTTTTATAGTTGAAAGACCGGTACATGCACGACCCCGTTGAACAATCACTTCCGTTCACGCACGAAGCGAAAGAGACCCTCGATGCTGCGCTCGATACCCTTATCTCGTTATATGCGCGGTGTGTGACTCGCGGCGACAAGTCTATCGCGTCCCAGCAGCTCAAACTGCACCAACGCGAACACGTTGCATGGGAACGCAACACCGTGTGGCGGCAGATGATCGCGCAAGAACGGCGCGGCGTGTCCGACACTGCAGGCGCTGAAATGGCTGGTGCGACTTTGGTGCACGAAGAGGACAAGGGGCTCGCGAGCGTGTCGACACCATTTGGCAAGCTCAAGGTCACCAAAAAGCACGTTTTCTTGTTGCTTGCCATCGTGGTGTTCGTCACCCTGCTCAATGTCCAGGTCGTGGTTGGGCTGGAGGCCAACCGTTGCCTTGCAATCTTGATATTTAGCACGATTTTGTGGGCTACTGAGGTACGTGAGGGGGAGAACTCCATCCTCGGATGCCACTAATAAGCAACCTAGGCAATTCCTTTGTTCGTCACGTCAATGATGGTCCCGTTGTTACTCGTCGTTTTCAGGGTCTTACGCGATGCTGGCGGCGAACAGGAATCAGCACAAGATGCCACGAAGTAAGGTTCCTTGCTTTAATGGATGCTCATATACTCAGGTTTTGACATAGATACATCTTCTCCGTAATGTTCTCGTCCACAATCATGCTCCTCATTGGTGGCTTCACCATCTCCTCTGCCCTGAGCAAGACCAATATCGATCGCGTCCTGATCACTCGTGTGCTCAGTTTCGCAGGGACGAACCCGCACCGTGTTCTGCTCGCGTTCATGGGGGTATCGTGTTTCGCCAGCATGTGGATCAGTAATGTCGCTTCGCCGACGTTGTGCTTTGCACTCATTCGAGTGAGTGCATCCTCGGTTCCGTAAACCTGCTTAGGGCTAAAGGGTTTTACTAGCCTATCCTCCGGACATTACCCCCTCGTACATCGTTTGCGCCAGCGCTCATTGTAAGTTTCACGTCATTTATGTATTTTCCTTGTAGCTAATTGTCCTCTAGCTTGGCATAGCCCTTGCAGCTAACATTGGCGGCCAAAGCTCGCCCATTTCTTCTCCTCAAAACCTCATTGCCCTGGGCTACATGGAACCGCCACTTTCCTGGGGCTTGTGGTTCGCTGTGGCCATTCCCGTCTCAATAATCTCTGTGGTCCTCGTTTGGCTCCTTCTCCTCGTTTCGTACCGCCCTTCCCGATCACCTGACGGTGAGGGCGAACTCGAGATCAAGGGCATTCGACCGAACAAGGAGCCTTTCACGCTGAAGCAGTGGTGGGTCGCCTTCGTGTGCCTGGGCACAATTGCACTGTGGTGCGTCGCGCAACAGATCGACAACTATCTCGGCGACATGGGTGTGATTGCCATCATTCCGATTATCGCCTTCTTTGGCTCGGGCGTGCTGAAGCGGGACGACTTTGAGCAGTTCGCGTGGACGATTGTCTTCCTTGCTATGGGCGGTATTGCGCTTGGACAAGGCGTTACACAGAGCGGGTTACTGGAAATCTTCGACCACGGCATCCAGGAAATGCTCGAGGGCTTGACACTGTACATGGTTGTTCTAGTCCTTTCGCCGGTCGTGCTGGTGCGTCCTCCCCATGCATTGTTCCTTCCTAGTTGAGATCCTATGGATACTTTTATAAATGCAGGTTATTTCAACATTTATCAGTCATACTATTGCGAGCGTTTTACTCGTCCCGATTGCCCAGGAGGTTGGGAAGAGCCTACCTGGAGACCACCAACGTCTCTTGATTTTCATCACTGCTCTCATCTGTTCGACGGGCATGGGTATGCCTGTGTCAGGTTTCCCGAATCAGACAGCGTTAGTAGCCCATTGTCTATAAACTTGTTGCTAATAAGGGTTTTCTCCATTCTTGTAGTGCCAACCAGGAGGACGAGCTGGGACAGCTCTATCTCACAAACGTCGATTTCCTCAAGAATGGTGTACCCGCCAGTATCATTGCCACAATCGTGCGCCTACATTATCAGTTATATATCCGACATATCCCCTCACGCTGATATTTGCTTCGCAGGTTGTGGCTACCGTAGGTTTCTTATTGATGAAAGCCATTGGGTATGCCTCAGTTTTATCCTATGTAATAAGCACGATTCTGATCTGCTTGGATTTAGGTTGTGAACGGTCGGGCGTTCTGGTGTAGCATTCTTTTGGACCCAGACTTCCTATTCCCATCCATGGGTTCATATAGGAAGTATCTAGCGGACAACCTATTTGCTCACTCAACCATAGAACTTACAGAGAATATAATTTATCCCCGGGATTTCCTCGGGTACCGTGCAAACACACCTGACCCTATCCGAAACAATCTATTCCTCGCCTTCGGGCTGTAACTTCGTCCCGAAAGTTGAGGTCATTTTAAGCATGAGAACGGATTCTAGGAGCTCTCCCAGTGTCGCCCAGGTAATCTGTGCTCACTCTTCCTCACACTCACTATGCCCCCATCAGACTTTGCGTACGCTAACATTGACGAAATTGTCGACAAGCTGACCACAGATGAGGCTATTTTACTCACTGGCGGTGTTGGCTCATGGCACACGTATGCTGTGCCGCGGCTCGGTATACCTGCAATCAAAGTACGTGCAAGGACATTGGCATTTGAGAACTAAGTGGATTAAGCTGGTGGCTCGCAGGTCAGCGACGGCCCTAATGGTCAGCCTACTCCACCAATTAGTAGGTGTATCACTTACCGCTTGCAATGCAGGCGTCAGAGGGAACCAGTATTTCATGGCGACCCCAGCTAAGTGCCTGCCGTCGTCTACGGCGCTTGGCTCGACATGGGACGTCGAGCTTATGGAAGAAGTTGGGCTAAAACTTTTGGCTGGCGAAGCAAAACTGAGGGCTGCACCTGTCATCCTGGCGCCTACATGTAATATTCAGCGTGTAGGCCTAGCTTTTCCATAACCCCTTCGAAGGCTTACGCTTACCTTTAAAACAGAACCCACTAGGCGGCCGAGTACATGCTTCACGCTCTTGGTATCCTCAATGGTGCTGACGAGCGACAACCTAACAGAGTTTCGAGAGCTTTGGAGAGGACCCATTTCTGTCCGGGTACATGTCTGCTGCGTACGTGAAGGGAGTGCAGAAAGGAGGAATTGGAACTGCAATCAAGCACTTCGTGTGAGTGTCCTGTGGCGTCATTTCTTTGGTATCGGCTTATTTGATTTAAGGTGCAATGACAAGGAGAATGACCGCAGAGGCTACGATGTGCGAGTCAGCGAGCGGGCATTTAGGGAGATATACCTCATGCCCTTCATGCTTGCGCAAAAACACGCCAAACCGTGGTCGTTCATGACTGCGTCAGCGAAATCGCGTCTCATTCTATCATCAAAAAGCTGACCCATCCTTTCTAGTTACAACAGGGTGAACGGGACACACGTATCGGAAAACAAGTATATCCTCCAAGACATCTTGAGACGAGAGTGGAAGTTTGATGGGCTCGTCATGAGTGACTGGTACGTGCGCTGTAATTCTTCCATACGCAAAGACTCGGTGATGAACGGTATCTGGAACAAAGGTACGGGACATACAGCATAGACTTGCCTCTAAACGCAGGGTTAGACCTCGAGATGCCCGGTGTAAACAAGCTTCGTACTCTCGACTTAGTCAATCGGGCCATCGTTGCCAAGAAGACATCGACAAGAATCGTGAAGGATCGTGCGCGAAAAGTTGTCGAGCTAGCGAAGCGAGTAGCACAGGAGGCTCCAGAGGTGATTATCCGTGCAGTTTCTAGCTCATCGAAGCATGCTCAATTATAACTTCAGATTCTCGACGGCGACGGAAGAGAGCGAACTGTTGAAAGTGAAGAAGACAAGGCTTTGATGCGGCACCTCGCCGGGGAGTCTATTGTATTGCTCAAGAACGAGGGTAATATCCTCCCCTTGCGACCTGAGACGCTTAAGAAGGTCGCAATTGTCGGTGGAAATGCTAAGGCCGTAGTCCTATCGGGTGGTGGCTCTGCCTCACTCAAGCCTTCCTATTTCACGTCGCCGTACGATGGCTTGGTCGACGCGCTCGGGCCCGATATTGAAGTAACATACAGTGAAGGCGCTAGTAGTAAGTTTCGGGCAGACAGTACTAATACTAATATACTGATAGGGACTCGTTCGCAGCATACATGGTAATGCCGACACTTGACTTCGAGATGGTGACATCTACTGGTGATCGAGGGTGGATTGGCTCGTGGTATTCTCATGAAAGCGACGACAGCATGAAACCCCTGTCTATGCCTATTCAAACGGGAGTTATCGACGAAACCCGGGTTTTCATCAGCACTTACATGCCCGAAGGTATTACGAAACGATGGACACTCAAACTCGAGGGTCAGCTAAGACCAAGGCCTTATGACTGCGCCTTCGAGTTTGGCTTGACAGTGGCAGGCAGGGCAAAAGTGCGTGTTCACACTCATACCTGCTACATTGGGCCCTCATGCAACTACCTCCTATTTAGCTCTTCGTTGATGGTAATCTGGTCATCGACAATTGGACGCGTCAACGTCGCTCTCTGAGTTTCTTCAGCAGCGGATCGATGGAAGAGCGCGGTGAAATCCATATCAAGGCCAACACGAGCCCGAACATTTTCGTCGAGTTCTGCAATGTGCGTGGCCCTGCTGAGGGTGATGAGGTCGAAGCAGTATTATACAGCAATCCTGGAGTTCAATTAGGTGGAGCGGAGGTCCTTGATCCGGATATCAAAATGGCCGACGCTGTAAGACTCGCAAAAGAGGCCGATGTAGTGGTAGCTGTCGTGGGTCTCAATGGGGATTGGGAGACAGAAGCATATGATCGCACTACTTTGGCCTTACCTGGCAGGACAGATGAACTGGTTTCAAAGTTAGCAGCTGCGAATTCAAAGACTATTGTAGTCACAGAAGCGGTGAGTACGTTTGGATTAGTCTATGTCCATGACGAAAGCTCATCACTCTACAGGGCTCTGCCATTGCGATGCCCTGGGCAGATTCGGTGACAGCAATTGTGCACGCGTGGTATTTGGGCAACGCTACTGGTACAGCGATTGCAGACGTTTTACTGGGCAAGAAAACCCCATCAGGGAAGCTATCTATGACATTTCCTGCACGTCTTGAGGATGTCCCAAGTCATGGCCATTTTAACTCGGACAATGGCAGTGTGAGTGGATGGATCAGTTTTAAGCATTAAAGATAATGCTCAGCTCAAGGGTCTATCGCAGGTTCATTATGGGGAAGATCTGTATGTTGTAAGTACAAGTTATATAACATGTGCCTTAGTGCTCACTGATTCCTTGTAGGGATATAAGCACTACCACCACCGCGATATTGCACCTCGATTTGCATTCGGGTAAATAATTTCTTGAGCTTGAGCATATTGTCAACCCGCTCATTAATTTCTCAAGCTATGGGCTATCCTACACTCAATTCACTTACTCTGATCTCCGCCTATCCTCTCCTGTGATGTCTAACTCTGAGTTCTCTCTCACTGTGAGCGTTATCGTCAGCAATGTCGGGAAGGTCTCTGGATCCGAAGTTGTCCAACTCTATGTTGTCATGCCTTTAACCTCTGCACTCACGCATCCACCGCTGCTGCTACGTGCTTTCAGCAAAGCGAAGGACTTAGACCCAATGGAAAGCCGCAAGATTGAGTTCTCCTTGGACAAATATGCCGTATCTTACTGGGAGGAGCGCTTCTCTGCGTGGGTTGTCGAGCCAGGAACTTACGGTGTTAGAATTGGCCCAAGCAGCATGGACCTGCCACTGCTCGGAGAATTCACTCTGAGGAGTGGTTTTGAGTGGAATGGACTTTGATGTAGCGCATACATATTTTATGATGAGAAGCTATGAGCTCATAGTAGGATCAGTCAATTTGGTTTGAACCGCCCAATACACTCGTTAACTACCCTAATCCAGTCATCAATGTTAGAGTGTCTGCCCGACGTCAAGCTCTCATCTCAGGAACGATGTCCTTGCCTTGACCTGTTTTCAGGAAGTCTCGTAAGTTCGTTAAGGCTTGGAGCTCCATTGCAGCCTCAGTATCCGACGTTTCTGTTCCCATGTGCGGGAGGAGAACGTTCTGCCGAAACTTCATCAGACGGGGATCAACCTCCGGTTCATTGGGAAACACGTCTAGTCCGACAGACGATAACTGGGCTTGCTGGGTCAGCGAGGGCTGCTCAGGGGAGCAGAGAAGTATGCAACTAACATGACCGTCTTCTAGGGCCTTGATCATAGCCTCTTGATCAACCACCATTCCTCGTGCTGTGTTCACGATAACTGAACCTCGCTTTAGTAGTCTAATTTCTCGCTCGCCAATTATCTTCTCCGTCGCTTGATTTAGAGGAACGTGTAAACTCAGGACATCCGCTTGCTGACATAGTGTGTCTATATTGTCCACGTATTCGCACCACTCAGGAGCTTTAGGGTTGCGCCTCCGTGAGTGATATACGATGCGCATGGGGAAAGCGTGCGCTAGATGAGCAAGTCGCAGACCGATACCACCTAGACCAAGAATACCCAGGGTGCGACTTGTGAGGTCGTATGTGTTACGTGCTGAGATAGAAGTCTTCCACTGGCCAGCACGCAATGATCTTTCTGCGTAAGAGAAGTGGCGAAGACAGGAGATGACAAGATACAGTGCCGTAGTTGCGGTTGCATCATCTACTGCGTTAGGAACATTTGAGACAAAGATACCTTGCAAATATGAAGGGTGAGCCCGAGGGCTGTCATTTCAAGCAAAAAGGATTTCACCTTTGTTTTTGCATGCATGAACATCCACTTGGTCGTACCCCGCGCCATTGTGTGCAACCCACTTGACGATGGAGGGAAGGCCCTCAATAAGATTTTTGTCGAAGGTCCCAATACTGTATGCAGACATATTCCGCCTGTAGATTCCGACTACACGTTCATGCTTCCCTCCCGACTGGAAGGAAGCCAAGAAATCAGCGCGATTTGAGGAGTTCATTTGCTATACGGTGGGCAGGTAGCGAGACTCCCTAAGTCTGAATGAAAGAGATTCGGGATTGATGGGACTTACTACAATATCCGCCAAACCTTCAAACATCGCTTCGACTTTCTCTAGGCTCATCCAGACGATGTCACCTGCGGTGACTCGTAGGTATTAATGTTGATATACTCCCAACTGAAACAAGACTCGTACCACAAAGGAGTATCTGTGGAAGCATTTTTGCAATTAGTGGTGGTTGCGAAGGTAGTAAGTGTTGATAATGTGATGACGGGAGACAATCATGATGTACAACTACACTTTCCTGAGGCCGAGATCTACAAGGTTCGCGCGGTCCACCAACTTGGACATCATCTAGTGGCAAAGCTCAAAACGACGAGGTCTAATTCTCACACATTTTATGTCGAGTAAGCGTTGAGCTATGTTGCATAGATCATCACAGTTGGGTGTATTTCAAGTTGGTACGATAACGACTAGCCCGATACCAGTGGTGACTCGGACTCGAGGCGACCTCGAGCAGCCTCGAGTCCTTGGTTTGCTGACTGAATCTTACCACTTAGTATCAACTGCAGTCACCAGATTTATACAGAGAGACCATCAAATTCAGGCGGAAAACACACCAAGAGGCGAGTCAGCTCTTTATCTAACTAGAGCTGAGTAGAAGTGAGCGCTAAGCGCTAAGACTCGAGCTGGATTTCAGCGCTTAATATGTCAAGGCTCGGAGATCACGTGGGGTAGCGAACGAACGTGGGGTCGTGTTCGCGAAGTTGAGTGATCGCGTATGTCCCATTTTAACTTATGGCAGAACCTTCCAGCTCCTTGCAAGTCACAGGACCTAGTCAAAGCGACGCTCAAAGTTTCAAGTCATCAGAAGCGGAGGTCTGGTATTTAAAAGAGATAATATTTGGCGAGGGCGAGAACCGCCAGCGGCGCAGGATCATCACCCAGAACTTCAACGGGTGAGCTCACTCGTAGCTCATCTCGTAGCTACCCTGCATGTGCTAATTCGTAGGGTTGCCCACCTTTCCCCACACCTTGAACTGAAGTCCATGCTCATTCATAGCTATATGTCCGTATCTATCCGTTCAAAACCCCCCATCAATCTAACACTATGAAATACAGGTAACATCCTTATCCTGAGGGGAGACATTGAAATTGAACCATATGACCGCCCCACCGTGTCTTACGAGCATCTCTCTCAGCTAGTGGGAGAGTATCTCCTCACGAACTGCCCAGACATCGACATTTCGGCCGCGCTCTCTGCCATGCCTACCACCACAAGTGAGCTGGCGCTTCGCCCCCATGACGTCCCGCTCTAACGAAGCACAGAGGGAATGGACCTTAATCCACTCTTCACAGCTCCCACAGCTTTTCGACCTGCAGGTGAAAGCGGCGAGCTCATGTTGTTTGAGAGGGCAGGCATCAAGCTTGTCCACGGCTGGCTCGTAGACCCTCATAGTCGTGAAGCCGAGGCTGTCTTCCGCGTCCAAGACTATGATACTGCTGTCACCTTGATAGCTGATGCCGATCATATAACCCATGGGAAGCTGTTAGCGGGCGACTCATTCGACATGGACGCTAATCAAGCGGGACCAAGCAATGCTGCCGGGAGCTCAAGCCAAGCCGGCCCGAGTAACGCAGGCACCAGTTCTCGCGGCGACATTTACTATCATTCGGGAAGTTACTCTGACGAGCAGCAATTGAAGATTGGGGACGGTATGAAACACAATAACAATCCTGACCATTGACTTATGGCCATTCTGTGTATCATCTAGCTATCGTGCTCCAAACCTTCCTTGAAAGCACGAAGTCGCAACTCACGTACCATGGACTTTTTGAGCTAATTTCACTTGTAGCCCCCGGTCAGCTCGTTGCCCTTTTCAGGAACTCGCATCTGTCTGTACTATACAAGCCGAAGCCGGGAGTCGATACCGCTGAGGATGACCACTCAATATATTCATTGGTGACAGATTATGTCTTTCTCAATGAACCTTCTGTCGTTTGGGAACGTTTCGAAGATGTTGATGGTGGCTCTTCGGCTTTCGTCGATTTCGACTTCAAGAATAGCCAGCCATTGGGCGGAGATTTCGCAGGCCAAACCGCGGAAGGTGCCTTGCGCCAATGGGAACTTGAGACGGGGCAGTTTGCTGCTGTTGACCCAGCTGAGTATGTCCACCAAGACGATCATCATATTGTACGCTAATGCTTTTATCATGCAGTCGTGCCCTTGCGCAGCAGCTACAGGCTGAAGAAGATGCTGCCGCCCAGCAAGCAGCTGAACAGCGTCAGCTTCAGGCTGTCTTGCGTCGGGATCGCGAAGAAGCCGACAAGAAGCGTAAAGCCGACCAGGAAGCCAAGAAGGCAAAGAAAGCGAAGGACAAATGCATCATCATGTAGACGTGCTATTGTTTGCGTATCATGGATCCCTATACCATTTATTGAATCGGGACCGCTGATAAAGGTCTCGTTAGCACTGGACTGTCATGTAATTACGGGATAGGAGTGCGTAGTTGATATATTATGCATATAGCAGATTCTGGATACATAGGACGAAAACTAAAGACAAAAGTAAGTCCATGTTGTGTGAGGAAAGGTCATGATCATGAGAGTCGTTGGTCAAGTCATCAACAATGCATCACAGGAGCATTAGGTAGTCAGACTAGCAAAAAGTCCAGCCAAATAAGTCAAGCAAAACGGATAAATAACAACACCAAATACAGAGCTTCAAGATCCTTGGTATTTCTTGATGAGATCTCGCAGTCGAGCCTGACCAAACGCCATATTTCCAGAAGATCGTGCAGGCTTTGGGCTGACCGCAGGAGCAGATGGAACCTTTGACGGCAGCTCTGATATCGTCTCTGGAAAAGCTGGCGCCTTCCGTGGAGTCGCACTGACCGAGGAGACCTTCGCTAATGATGCAGTGGTCGAAAGCATTGGGGTAGCATGGGATGAAGAGATAACGGCAGGCGAAGTGGCTGACTTTGGGGGCCGGGGTTGCTTCTCGGATGGAAGCTGACCTTTCGGTAGAACTGCTGTGTTAGTCGAAGCATTTGAAAGAGGGGATTTGCCTGATATTCGCATGGGCATCGGTGTGGGTTGGAATTTACGCGCATGTGCGTTACGGGGGGTTGCACTGGGGGTGCTACGAGCGCGATTGGGGGGAGCTTCGCCATCTTTTGTCTTTGAAGCCCATAAGAGAGCGACTTCTGTGACTTTGCCTCCTTTTCCTCCACGTGCAGACCGTACGTCGTATTTGACTTCTGAGTCACTTGTAACTGGAGTATACCGCGGATGGCGAAGGTGGAAGAGGTTACTTGTTGGTGGGAGTTCATCTAGGATTGAATCATTACCCCGAGGCAGGTGGGCCTGTACTAAGGCAGGCAATTTGCTGGCACGCAGCGAGTTGTCGGATATGGTCTTAGAACCGTGCGGAACTTCACTGCCCTTCATACGAACAGTGCCATGAACAACAGCGTCTTCATCGCGAGAAATGACATTTGACCGTCTTGTGATAAATCCTGAGGAGCGAGGGTTAGGCGCTGCTGAGATTTCCTCAGGAGGTGGCGCGGGCGAGCCTTTCGCATTGCCTTTCTCTTGTTCATGTGCAGGGAAAGACTCAGTTTCGTGTGAGGGGACAAACCGAGAGGCAACCGGGGGCACTATGGGCACAGAGTCATCTGCTGCAGGAGGGGTGGTGACGTCCAGCTTGCCAAGCCAGTCACTGATCCTCCCCTTGGCCTCCTTGCGTATTTTCTTTACGTCCTCGTGTCTCGTCTTCTTCTGCTTGCTGCCATCGTTCCGAGTCATGTCGCTACCCTTCTCCTTCTGCTTGCTAGAACGTCCTCTCTGAGTCCTCATTTCATCGTCACTATGTTGACTATGAGCACCAGCAACATGTTGAGTTTTTACGTCGGAATCCTGGTCATGATCGAGCTCGAGCTCAAGATCTTGTTCCTTCTCAGATTCTGAGGGTTTGAGGAACGCTGCCCGTTCCTGTAGAGATAGACTGGAAATGGCGCTGTCGTTGAGACCTTGAGTGGTCTCTCCCGGAGGAATAGCGATAGGCTGGATCACCATGCGCACATCAGGGCGTGGCTCGGGTTCTAGTTTTCGAGTTCCAACCTCAGCGAGCAAACGTTTCTCGAGCGCATCCAAGCCACTTTCGTTGTCATCCTTCCCAGATGCATCTAAGCCAGTGAACGAACGAGGGAATTTGATGGGGGTAATCGCAGGCGGTGTTGGAGGGAGCTGCGGAGAAACAACGGGCTTGGAAGATGGTGGCTGCGATACAACAACAGGTTGGGAAGGAGGTGATGCCTGCTCAGGAGCTTCAAATACTGTTTCAACCCGTGGTTTGGTCCGTATAGCATGTTCCTTGTCCGATTTCTCAGAGGTTAAAGGTCCTGAAATTGACTTGTCGCTAGGAGGTTTGACTCTGATATTGTTGGACAATCTTGATCCTTTCGGTAGGTCAGCGCTTAGATCTTCGCTTCGTCTCTTGACTTCATTTGCCATTAGTTCGAGAGCATGGACGCTTTCGCTCTTGGCGGACCCTCCAGACAACGACTGCCTAGGAGAGCGGACAGGGAGAGGGGAATGGAGTAGACCCTCAGAGTCGTGAGGGTTCGGCAGCTCGGGAATATCAACAGGGTCAAGCTGCGGGCGTTCAAACAGTATATCTGCAGATGGCTGCTGAGATTGAGTAGGATGTATTGAGAATCGATGAGATGTAGGAGAGACAGAGCGATGACGAGTGGATAGACGGAGAGTACGCGTGATACGCGAAGCCCGAACGCCTTTACCCTCTTCACTTTGAGCCTCTTGCCCGCCCGAAACATGGGTATTCACCGACTGCGAGGATTGAGAAGGCATAGGGGGTAGTGGCGGATATGCGGAAGGGAAAGGGATGGCAGAAGCCATGCCATAATCATAATGACCAGGGTGTAAGGGCTGAGTGCTCGCAGGTCTGGGAACCGTGACGCCGTAGGGGTTAGGATGAACGGGTGGAGGACTCATGGCTTGATGTATATAAGTTTCTTGAGGTGCAGAGGATGCTGGATAAATCGGTATGGCCGGAGAAGGTGTCCAGGGCATGCCACTTGCCATGGGTTGTATAGGGTAAGGAAATGAAGCGTGCGCAAGGTACTGTTCGGTATGAGGGGACAATGGTGGCGATATAGGCGGTGGTGAAGCAACATCCAGACCAGGTGAATATGATTGGTTGTGGATTGACGGGTCGGGCACAGCGAGTTCATGATAGATGGTAACTGGAATATTGATAACCAGTTCCTCGCTATACAGCATTAGCAAGAGCATCCTCGTTGGACGGAGTGGGAACTTACCTCGCCGCAGGGGCAAGAACCCGTATGCTCAATATACATCTCACCTCAAAAAGACCATCTGTCATCTTCCCGTTTTCACCTTCGCGAATACCACCTTTGACCCCTCGTGCGTGGCGAGGAACATCAATTACAAGGTTTGCAGCGCCTTCTATACCTGGAGGCACGGTATATTCGGGTCCATCAAATTCCACTTGGGTGACGATCTCTTCAACATCTACAGCAGGATCGGACGTTGCAGGAGCATGAGATAGATGAAGACTCCGTGATAGTTTCAATGAGACTCCCGACGTCTGATAATAACAATGAGAAGAAACCCAACTGCAGGATTGAGTGACTAACCCATCGTTGTGAATGATTCTTCAGCTGCAACTCGATCCAGGCGCTTTTCCCCGCGACAATGACGGTATTCATCAAAGCTTGAGCCCAGAGCTTTCCTCCTTCAATGACTGCAACACCACGTGGCAGCGATGGATACTGTTCGCTCCAAGCTTCCACCACGTTGACGTCGCGTTTATTGGTGACGAGACGCTTCTCTCCTTTCCAAGCGACGCCAACGCTAGCACGAACCTCGTATCTGATCTGAGCAGGACCAAAGGTTAATGAAGACGGAGATGTTGGAGGCAGAGTGAACTTGAAGAAGAATGTGGTTTGTCCTCGCCTGGCAGGAAAGTACTGAGCAGGAATCCCCTCCGTGTGATCGGGATGAACTGCGTTAGAGGGAGGGAGACCCGGTCCTTGAAATAAACGCCGCGAGTGCAAGAACGTCGATGTAGCAGAGTGATCTCTCGAGTTTACCTCTGGAAAATGGTGAGAGCCTATGGCAGGGTATAACATGCACACGAACCTTGTATGGCAAATAGCTCGATCATCATCACTCCTAAACCAAGACCGACTTCCCCATCTGCGCGACATTCCATCTCCATCTTTCCCGCAACATTTCCCCCTCCGATGAAGACAGGATCTGAGAGAGTGAGTGAGACCTTCACCTTAGAATGGTGAGGCGACGCGTTCATAGGCTCTGGTCTGCTTTGGAGGGCCATGATGAAGCCGTGATGGGAATACTGAGAACAGAGGAGAAGTTAATGTTCACAGAGAACAGCTGATTGCTGGACGCAACGTTGAGAGATGATAAAAGAGATGATAAACAAGACAGATATTGGTGATTCGGACAGCACTTGTAGCCGCGCTGAGACAGATACAGATGTGAGACACGATGACGTGAAGAGCATAATATGTCTGGGGAGGCCGTTTACCGGGACATGATCACGGGATTGTAGTGATCTAAAGGGTAGTTGCTAGGGCCTCTCAGGGTGCAAGTGGCTGATGACGAGAGGATGCCTGTCCAGTTGTTTAGACTTGTTAGGATCTAAAGCTATTGGCTTCTACGTCGCAACTTGCCGACTGTGATTCTCGCCTGAGGCCATCGCCATCGCGAATCAAGTTGGTTAGTATGATTCGTCCAACCCACTCCTTTGCTTTCTTACACGACCAACGGCAAGTCCGGAGAGGCCACAACTAAACTATACTCATACAGGTGGGTGATGCCCAACTCGAGAGTTGAAGCCGCCAAACCTTCATTCAAGTCATCTGCACATTGGATGACCATGGGATGATCGCTATCCAAAACCTCTCGAGTACGACTCTTGCATAAATATGTATTACCTAACCACCGCGGATCCTCATGTTCCTCTCGTCGGCACCCTCCATGCCTGCACTGAGTCACCTAGTCCCCACTGGGCGTCTCCAGACCAATCAGCTGACTTCACCTCGAGGAAGAAGCTTGAACTCAAAAACCAATGAGGCTGATAGCACCAAAAGCTTGGTACCGACACCGTACTGAAGCTGCTTAATTTTACTTCCCGTGGAACCTACATCTGCGGACTGTGGGGAGCTTGAAGTCGTCCGTCCGCGGGTCGAAGCTCGTCTGCGTGAAATACTTTCCAGAGAAATTTTTATTTCATCAAGTCAGGCTCACACATGCTTACTTACGTGGAAACAGTTCACTTTCTGTCTCTCGCCGCCTCAGAGCATGCACTCAAGTTTCCCACTGCGCATGTATAAGGATCTTGGGTAGTCAAGGTGTCGGAACAGCGGCTCGCGGACTCCCACTTCTTTGACGATCACTCCTGGGCGCCGTAGACATGGGCTTCGGAATACTGCCTGACCGTCACCTTGGCGAGAATGTTCCAGGTATGACCAGCCTTTAGCAGATGGATGTTAACTTCGCGCTCATAGCTTCGTTTACATAACTCAGGTACTTCGCTTCTCGATGACCTTTATCGCAAAGGACCCTCTATGTCTGGCTCGGAAGCCGATGCAGGTCTTAAGCGTTCGAATAAGGGCATCGTTTTAGTACCACAGTCAGTCTTTTCCTATTCTAATCCTTCTTACTCCAGACAGTAGACATCTTTTACACCATCGCAGGCCATCGTCCTCGCCAAATGATCCCCTCAACTGGCCGAAATGGAGGAAGGTTGCACTTATTCTGACGCTCACTTATGGAACAGGTGTCGTAGGTGCCTTCGGCCCCATCATCGGCGCAGGCCTTGAACAAGTTGCTGAGAATTTTGGAACTTCCGTTGATTCTCTCTCCGAGATCACAGGCGACTGTGTTATTGCAATTGGTCTGGTTCTGATTGTGACAGCCCCTGCAAGTGTCATTTGGGGCCGCCGCCCAACCTTCCTGGCGGGATGCATACTTTTGCTCGCTAGCTCCATTTGGAGCGCACTATCGAAAGACGTCGGTAATTTGACGGCTGCCCGAGTCATTGGGGGTATGGGCATGGCACCTGCGGAATGCCTGGTACAAGCCTCCATTGGGTACGCGACAAACCTTGTAATCACAGTTTCCCTTCTGACTACCTTTAGTGACATCTTCTTTGTGCATGAACGAGGAAAGTGGATCGCGTTATGGAGCGTATGACTTCTATGCTTGATTTTTACAGATACATCCCTAATGTGATTTACAGTTTGCTCTTCTAGGAGGTATATGTGGCGTGTCTATTGTTAACGGGTACCTCATCCAAAATGCGTGAGTTTTATTGCACGACTTTGAACTTGAACTTTCTAAGAACCGTGTAGTTCCTGGCGTGTATGCTTCGTCATCATGGCTGTCTTGGTGCGCACTTTCGTGCTCCGCACATAGTGCAAATCTAATAATTCATTGAAAGTGTGCTGTCTTCTTGGTCTTGGTATTCTTCTTTGTTCCTGAAACAGCGTACAATCGCCCTGAGTCCCTCACTTCCAAAACTACGTCACCATCAGACGAATCACATGAGAAGGAAGGTCCAGACAAAGTTACAGAGGTGCAGGTATCAGAAGTCGAGAAGGCCTCGGGTCTTAGCATTCAATCAGAGACCGAACGACCACGTTCGTACTGGAGCTCCCTCAAGCCATGGGAGAACCGCCGTTTCTCCGATGCGAGCTTTTGGAAGTTAGCGATTTCTCCGTTCACTTTTGTATGTAGCCCTATCGTCGCATGGGGTACCCTCGTCTATGGCTCAACTTCCGCTTGGCGTACGTCCGGATTCATCCGTTTATGTCTGTTATCACATTTCAGCATTATTGATCTTGATGTTCAGTCGTCGCATTGTCTGTATCTGTGTCAATGCTTTTCTCCTCCCCGGCGTATGGATATGATTTCCAGGCTGGGCCTGTTGGACTCATCTCTGGGGTCGGCCCGTTCATCGCTGCCATCCTAGGTAACGCGATTTCCGGGCCTTTGTCTGATTGGTCCGTGAAGTGGCTCTCTCGCCGGAATAACGGAATTTACGAGCCAGAGTAAGCATCGTTCCTTCCTCCGTTTATTCTTAGTCTTGGTTTCACACCGTTCGGAATCTGCGCTGATGTAGCATGCAAACAGGTTCCGGCTATTCATGATAATTCCAACATTGATTTTTACTACAATAGGTTGGTATGGATGGGCCATCAGCGCGAACCTCCTGGATCTTTGGATTGGTCCAGCTGTTTTCTATTCCCTTTTGAATTTTGGCCAGGCACTGGCGTCCGTTGCGTGAGTTGTTCTGGACCAGATATATACTTCCGTCAGGTGTTTACAACAGCTTGCGGGTTTGCAGAGTCGTGTCCTATGTGGTAGACGCGCACGCAGATTATGCGCCGGAGGCTTTCGCCACAATCAAGTATGTGAACTCATGTAAACTGATAGAACCTAGGCTGAACAACACATAACTCCTGTAAAAAGTTGCATCAAAAATTTGTTCACGTTTGGACTCACGTACTACACGGACCCTTGGCTGGACAAACAAGGTGCTTCTCTGTCCCCCTCGGCTTCAACGTCAACAGCACTGACGAACTGAGCCATAGGTGTACTAAGAACGTTCTACACGATTGGCGGGATAAATATCGCTATCTGCCTGACAACCATCCCCATGTATATCTATGGGAAACGGGCGCGAAGCTGGGTTCATAGGAGTTCTTGGATACTTTCTTGACAAAGACAAGTTCGGCGTGACAAGGATTTATGCAATTTACATGTGGTATGCTACAGAGATGCTTACAAGATTGTAGAATGCGATGCGTTCCGACGTTACGAGAAGCGAAGCTCTCAAAGTCTTAGCAGAGTCACTATGAATTCTCGCCCAATTACTTCCGAGGCGAGAAGCGATCCGCAAGTGCTTCCCGAGCTTCTTCTTTGCTTTCGAGTGAATCGCCTGCGTAAGGATTGAGACCTTTTCTAAGTTTATCGGCGGTCACATCTCTTCTAGTGTCCTCGTCGACGCCTTGCTTGGCATCTTGAATCTCCGAGGTGAGGTCCGTGCCGTTGGTAGACTGTTGGATGGCGCCACGCTGTGCGGCAGGCGAAAAGGAATCTATGGATGAGCCATAGCCGCCAGAAGACGTCGCTATATACGGTAAAACGATAAGCAAATTGACAGGTACCGGGGAAACATGCATACAGTCGCCAGGCGGAGGGTAATTACCCGTGGCAGCGTCTCTCGCGTTTGGGGGTATTCCGGAGTCGGCCAGTGCTATAATCGGATGTAAGTTTCTGGATATAGTAAGGCGAAGATGCCAGATAGCGCACAATCGTTGACAAGAGATCCATTTGCGCCGTTGTTCCTGTATTCGTCTGACATGTTCGGAGTGTTTGCAGTGTGTGAGTTGCTAAATTTCGAGTGGATTTCTGGCCTTCCTTTATACTCCCTCGTCGCTGGAGAGGATGACGTCGGGGAGGGGGAGAGCGAAGCCCTTCTGTGACATCATTGGGATCACGTGTGGGGTCCGTGCGTAGGCTTACGTGATTTGTTTACCAGCGGGCGTGAGACGAAAATTGACACTCGTCCTCGCAGCTTTGGTGGGGGCTTGGAAATCGATATTGAGTTTCGATCACCCATCTGTCCCGCATCTGTCCCGCTCCGAGCCTCCATTCCAATTCCAGCAAGCCCCGTCGAGAGACGAAATCATCCTATTCCATATCCAAATCCGACTGAGTGCCCTTTGCACTTCCAGAGCCGATCACACGCCCCGGCGGACAGGGACACGCCATCGATTCGTTTCGAATTCGAATACACGGCCGGTCACCAGGCTGAGCAAAGAAGAACATGATGGCCGTCGACGTCTCCTTCCCCCTCCCCCCCTCCCAGTTCTCAGTCCCTCATAGCGTACAGGTCCCCCTCAGACGCTCCTCTCGCCTCGCCCATGGCGCACACTCTATATTCGCGCATAGCCACTCCTACCCCTCCCCCTTCCCACAGCGCAGGAAGCGTCAGCGCTCAGACCATACGCTGGACGCCGACGACCGTGACAGCGACCGCGAGGTAGACCCACTCACCCCTAGGGCCCTCCGTGCCCTCAAGCGCGCTCGCCTCTCACCCGTCGTCGACGCCGTTTCCACCGACTTACCCCCGCAACCCTCCATCCACCGCACCAGGCGACGCAAGGAGAATGTTACCGTAGAAGATGACATTATCAAGAGACGTGAGGATACCAAGGTATACTACCTGAACGTACTTTTTCGTCGCTTTTCACCTGGTTGACGACACGTGTATTCCAGCGACATGCCACGAAGCGACCTCCATCACCTCCTCATGCGCAGCAGCAGCCCGCCACGCCATTATCTACTCAACGGCTTCAGAGCTCTGATAAGCAAGTATTCTCGTATCCCATGGCAGATGACTGTCTTCTTATACACTCCATAGTTTGCCATTGGATACCGACGATGATGCAGCGTCGCACCCGTCAAAATCACCACCGGACCTATCATCGACGAAACCAAACTCACAGCAGTCAACTGCAGTTCCGAGATCTATAACACCCGCATTGGTGGTTGTGGATGAACTCATGCAGGCCGTCGCCCAGGACTCTAGATCCGCTTCATCGTGCTCCCCTCTCACGCCTCTCACGCCTTCTCCAGAGTTGATCCCAACACAGTTGCCACACTCACCACCATCTAACACTGTTTTCGATGAGGACTCACCGTCCGGAATTATATCCCCCAGTGAGAATGACTTCGCTATGAACATCTCTGAGTCGACTGCCGCTACTTCATTTACCTCGCAATCTTCAAATGTTGGATCATTTTGCGAGGCATCTCTTACCGAGCCTTTATCACCATTACTTGGGTCTAGCGATTCGTTGATCACGGGCCCTGCTTCCTCGGAAACATCCATGGACACGGATAACTCTTATTCTGCTTCGGAAGAGGCCTCCCAACGCGTGTCGTCCTCGTCTGCTGCTCGAGCCTGTCGCGAAATTAACATCTGGAAGCTCGCTTGCCAAGAACGTGTTGATATCATGTGAGTAGATCTGAATTTGGATGTTCTTGAGGCAACTCGGTTGCCCGAACGTATCATGAGCTTTATTGCATCCAATTTCAAACATCTGCTACTGCACATTTCAATGTTTTTAGCATTTGTTTGTTTTTGTTTTCCATTTCGTTTCCAGGTGCATTTGACAACAAGAGGCATGTTGCTGACTTGAATATGTTTAGGGTCCGTCGATATGGTCCAGAAACCATTAAAGCACTCGTAGCCGCCGAAGCCACTCACCCCGACGATCACCATTCAGCGACATCCATTGAGTCTTCGGAGGCTCCCATTGCTGGGCCCGGCCCCAATACCACGCGCTTCAGGTTGTATACCCCCGCAAATTACACGTATGGCTCGTCATCAATTGGTGGCGACGAGGAAGATGATGACCTTGGCTATAATTCCACTCACCGCTCTTCCCATGAGGACGAGATTGAGTGTGATTACGAGGAAGAGGAGGATGATGACGACTATGAGGACTTTGAGGATGATTTTGGAGACGCTGAGATGGAGACAAGCGGTGACGCTATTCCGAGCGTAACCTCAAATCCCGTGTCGAATGAGAACGCAGGCTCAACCGGTAATACTGCCCCCGATGACAATTCGGCTGGCCACTCGTCTATAGGCTCCGAGAACGAGATACCGCTTAGCGAGGTCCCAGCACAAGGGCATGGCCAGGAGTCCAGTACTGGCACCACCCGGCTAGACTTGGGCCCTGATCCTGCGTCGTGCAATTTTAGCACGAATTTTGACGTACCATTCTCTGCCGAGTCGCCATCTCCCCAATTTGTTCCTCCTGTTGCTCAGTCCCATACCCCACCTCAGGAGGTTCCGCAGAACCTGCCATCTTCGTATCCCGATCTGTCGTCCAACGCAGCCTATCCTCAGGGGCCCTCTTCTCCACATTCCCACTTCAATTACCGAGCGCCTCAAGATGCAGCCCTCTCTCGGTTCCGTACCCCATTACGTGTTCCTCGGCTTTCTTCGCTTCAGGTTGCTGTTCTATCTGAACCTCCACGAGCGTTCATGGGCCGCGGTACTCCCCCTAGCAAGCAGAGAGCTTTTGATTGGGCATCAGGATCTCCTTTCGACGACACCTCGAAGATGGGCTATTCCAGGATGCCTGTGTACTTGCACTCACCTTCACCGCCTCCCTCTCCTTCGCCACTCTCTTGTTCTGCGTCAGGACCTAATTTTATCCAGCCGTCTTCGCAATCGGAGCTAGGAGCTGCTTTTGACTTGGGTGTAAATCAGAATCCTGGACCTGGAGAATGGACGTCGTTCTTATACGCCATGCTCGGAAATGACAACGGTCTCCTCCCTGGATCATCGACGTTGACCACGGATACGCAGTCAGGAGTGCCAATGTCCGTGCAGGATAACCCTGCTGGTTCAGGGGCAACCTGGTACGGGATGGGTCTTGGGGATGCTAGTGCAGAGCATGCGGGCGTGGCGATGCCGCCGTCTCCCATTCCGAGTGAGGGCGAATCAAGTGAACTGCGCTTCGCCCTGGGCTAAGGCAGTCTTATATATCCTGCCACGCCCCTACCCCGAGAATGGTGGCAGTTTGATGTGTGGACACGCGCGCCGCATTTCAACCTTGTCATCTCGCTTCTGATACCATACCCGTGCTGTTTTTATTTGTCGCTGTTCCCCGCTCACCTCTCACATCAATCTTAATAGCCGCCTGACCATCCATACCTTATATCATCTCACCTCTGTAGCCATACGATACCATACCCACTCTGGATCCGCTGTTCACTTGCTGTTTATCTTGGTCTTACCTGCTTTCTGGTTATTTTTACGTCATGGAACTGAATGTCATAACCCGATATCATTCCCATGATCTTTATCGAATGCAGGGACCGGGCGGTCAGCTCCAAAAGTGTCGTGACGCGGTAATGAAACAGTGCGAAAGGATGCAATTGAACTGCCACGGTTGAAGGCAACCTGACCTATACATCCTCCATGCTATGCCCCGATAAGTATGAGTACTATCTGCTGGTCAACAGGAACATCTTCGTGCCACAGCTTTCAATGTCCTGTTTAAGCCCGCTGCGGCACCCGTGCAGTCCGGTTGATCCTTTGTATGACACTTATTTTGAAGAATTTACCCACAGGTACTACGTAGTCGTCGTTCGAGTGGCTCCATTCAAAGCCTCGTTGAGGTGAAATTTACCGTCGCATTATTTTTGCTGCGGGACCAATGCAATGCTACCTCGGTGTAATATCTTTGCCTCGAGCTTGCCAGCGGCGGTTTTTGCTAGCAAACAGGAACGCGATTTGGGCACGGTCAATTGCCGGTTCGACATTCACCATCAGCGCACCTAGTGGCTGAGGCCAGGGCTCAGGCTGCTCGGCGTGATCCTCGCCGTAACGCGCCACATGTGTCGAAGTGCTCGCTTCGAGCTACGTTGCTCAATCGGCCCGGGCCTAATAAGACAGCGCACATCGGGTGGATTACTGGCTTCCTTGTGCGTGATTCGTAGGAGGTAAATAGGAGATATCTCACATTGGAGTCGGCGGCCAGGCTTTCAACGGCTTGCATCTCTGGATACCCTGCTCTTATTTGGGTCGGTGAAGGGAAGGTAGCCCGTAAGGCTGGGAGCCCGCCGTCAGCGGATCAGGCCAGGATAGGCAGCGAGCGAAATACCAGTCTGGTATAGGATGGAATGAGTCTGAGGTCGTTTGAAACTTCCTTGCTTCCTCGCTCAGACTAGTGAGTGACCTGCGGCGTAGAACCGCAACGTGGATGCCTTTGAAGTCGGACGACGGCATAAATGAATGGACGCATGAGGCAGCGTGACTCCTAAGAGCCTGCGAGATCGCAGAATCATCGATAGAATGCATCCATACTTTCTCAAATGGCCATAGGACAATGATGTAGCCTCCCTGCAAATTTCCCTGCTCGCTGAGCACATCAACGTGTTTCAGTAGTGCACCCTAGTGTACCTCCGAGGGAACAAAGTATTTCCATGGAAATGTCAGATGCAGATGTGGTCACCACTGATGTATCTCTCAGGGTCCTGAACTCCCCCCCAAACAGCCAGGTGTTAGTACCTCGGTTGATGTTGTGTGGGCGGACTCCGAATTTCCTTCGATGATGCAGCGCTGGATTCCACTGCAAGGCATAGACCCGGGTAAGAGCATTTAAGAGAACCCAATCTTGAGCAAATGGTGGAAATGAGTTATCATCCTTGTGTGCATGACGCCATGCCCTGGTTTTGGACACATGGTATGAGGACTGGGGCGAGATCCTCAACTGTTTGATCCAAGGACGAAGTATTGTTGTTCGCCGAAGGCTGAGCTCCATTTGCCGATATCCTTGATCAGATGAACGGGGTCTAGAGACGTGAAACGTTCATGCTCAAGGTTTGGTACCGCATCAATCAAAATGTGTCCGCAGATAGCGACACGGAAAGTCTTCTCTGTTGTCCTGATAATATCCCGATGCGGCATTTTTGCTTAATTAGTTTGAATTTGAGCCCGAGTGTCGATGATGTATGGCAACCATAACAAAGAGGGCTGATTATTCACAGCCGAGTAACTCGGAGCGCTAGTCAATAGCATGCATACATATTTCGCGACGTAGGAAGGGCGTATTCGATCGCGGCGACCCGAGGAGGGAGTCAAGCTGAGTCGAGCGCTTAACCCTTCGTGAAGCTGGCAGAGTATGGGCGCTAATCCATGCGAGAGGCAGTTAACCACACGCTTTGCTCAAGCTAGTGCCTCCTGTAGTACCAGTATATTCAGCTGGCTTGTTACTTGAGTAAAATGGCCATGCAAAATGTCAACAATATCGGAAAGACTTGTGCGAACGTGCGCGTGAGCTTCGAGTGAGTGAAGTGCTGAAAGTAGGAAAACAAAGTAGTACTGTGAAGAAATGAATGTGCTTGGCGTGGTGCGAGTACACGTGATCGAAACGCGTCGCGACAAACAGAGGTCAATTGAAGCCTGAATGCAACCTGCAAGATTCGAGATAGGTCGAACAACGCCAACGCCCATTCTCCGTCGTTTCAGCATATCACCCTTGTCGGAATGAACTCTGTTTCAACCGAGTTTGCCACCCATCGCCCCAAGCTCCAAAGTGCCCTCGAAGATGACGAAGATCCGCTCGCCGCTTTTGAAGAAGTGGTTCAGCTCTCCACCAAGTCATCCCCAGCTCGCGTCTTCGCTCTTGAACAGACTCTCCGCGCGTTCTGCGAGGATCCTCGCTACTCGGGAGATCTGCGCTACCTTCGTCTTTGGATGGAGTACGCGCGTGAAGTCAATGCCGAGTCAGAAGCCATAATATACGAGTGGTGCATTTGGCGCAAGGTCGGCGTAGCATCGGCACTCCTCTGGGAAGCCTGGGCAGCTAGTCTCGAGGTGAGGGGTCTGTGAGTGCGGCGTCGCTTTTCCATCATCTGGCACATCCTGCCCAAGATTGACCTCTTGCATGGTCTAGGCAAGTTGAAGCAGATAAAGCTTTCCGCACCGGTATTTCTGCAAAAGCGCGTCCCGTTGAACGCCTCAAGAAACGTTATGCCGAGTTTCAAGCCCGACAATCCCCATCTTCACGCCCAACACCAAAGCCACGACGATCGTTCGCACCGAGTGGTTCTTCAGAGGTCGATGCTTTGCGGAAGAACCCATTCAAACACTTTCCAGCCTCAGCTCTTCCGCCGCCATCCAAAGGCCAAGCGTCGAAAATCAGCTCTGCATCTACCTCGGCTACTGCATCTGCATCTTCTACCACACTATCTTCTACATCTAGCGCGTCTACTGTAACTCCGTCTTCTGCCGTGAAATATGGCCACTCGCGATATGCTCCTATGCTTGCACCCCCAGTCCCGGGCCGACGGCCTGAAAAGCTTCGCTTTGATCTGTCCCTCTTATTTACTAGGGAAGGTGTTGAATACAGTACTGCAGAGGTTCGTGCTCGCTCGATGGGCCTTCTTGGCAAGAAATGGGGTCCTCCAAATCCTTCCGAGCTCCCTGCTTCCCCTGTACCGCCTTCAGGCAGTAACACCGGCGACAAGGGTGCGGGCAAAATGAAGGTCAACTTCAATGACGACGGTACACGATCGACGCAAAACATGGGTTGGATGGCTTCTGGCAAGCGCAAGAGCTTTGCTGGCACGAATGAGCCCACAGTCACGATTAATACGAAGGAAGCCCTTGCAGATGTCTTTGGGATGTACAACTCCCCAGAGCGAACTGTACGCTCTCGGATAGGCGTTGGGGGGAAGCATGCACCAGTCAAGAAGATCGAACCGATCAACCCATTATTGAAGCCCGTCACACCGTCCCACCCGACCCAAGGTTCTAATGAAAACTCAACTCCGAAAGTTGCCAATGAGGGTTTGTTATAATTTTCTCTTATGTCCTCAATGTTGTTCAAGAACATTTGTAGGTTTCACGCCGTTCAGGGACGAAAACGCTGGGTCGAAAGAGAATAGCAAGACTCCGATTGCGAAGGTAAAGCACGCGTGCAATTATCATTCTTAGCATTAAATTGGCTGTTTAGTTCAAGCCGTTCGTCGACGGACAAGGCAACCCTCCCGCCATCACTCCTGAACCTGGACGCCGAGCGCTGTCCATCAAGGATGCGAAGGGGCCTAAAGAGCCTTCACCAGCCTCGGAAACGAAGGGTACATCGTCGTTGGAAGAGGGAAACGTATTTGCACGCGTGTTTACGCCGGTGTCAACGAAGGAGCCCCTTACGCGGCCTGAAGCTGCTGCTTCTGAGGTCAGAGAACACCTCGAGAGCGTGTTCGCGCCACCAAGCAAAGATAAGGTGGATCCACCGCCATCTACGACTCCTGCGTCGGGAGCGTTCAAACCATTTGTCGACTCGGATTCGAAAACACCGTTCAAGGTCTTTAGTCGTCCTGGCGCTTCATCGGAGAATGGCGGTTTGGGTGGAAATATATTCACTCCCAAGCCGAGCGCATTTAAACCACTTCGAGACAGCAAGCGCGTGCTTACGCAGCAAGAGCCTGTCGGGGATGCGCCTCGCGCGTTCAAGCCATTCCAAGATGGCGGACTGGTCTCGTCTACACCCGCACAAGGGAAGAATATCGTCGGTCCTTCATCCGATGTCTCTTCTAGTGATGACCAGGCAGAATTCGCTGATGAAGGTGGGTTCGTGTATACGGATGCCGAGGGTCAGCCGTCATCCGTGTCAAGCGAAAGCCAGTTTGAAGATGAATACCAAGAAGTTGGCGAGGAAGCCGTGTACGACATAGGCGAGGAGGACGAGGACGAGGAAGACGATAGGCACAGGCAACCTCTGGGAGGACGATTTGGAGCCATCAATGTGATGACCCCCATCACCGAGCGAACCTTCGAGTATACGCGGAGTACGGCTGGGTTCCTGACACCGCACGGAACCGATGCCGTCGAAGCGGCGGAACAGCTTGCTGCCGAGCTGAGAGAAGACAATGAACAAGAACAGGGACAGAGATATGGCTATATGGACGAGGATGGCGAGGATGAATTCAATCCACCGAACGCATCTGCAGAGTTCTTTGAAGATCGGACGGGAACCCTCAGTCTTGGTGATACGCTTGCTCTCGTTTCATCATTTAAGCCGCCAAACCCATGCAATCCTTTCGATCCGGCCATCATGTCCAAAGTGCTCTCGCTGCTTCCTCTGGAGCAGGAATTCTACGACCTGCGTGACGAGGAAGCAGGGATGCTTGGGGACTTGCAGAGGTTTGCGGCAAAGAAAACTAAAAGAGGCGGCAGTAGCGGCCGGGGCTTCGACGATGACAGCGGCATTCTCATGAGCTTGGGCGGGAAAGCGTTCAAGGTGACCGAGAAACTTGGCGAAGGCGGCTTTGGCTCCGTGTTCGCTGCACGAGATCTTAAGCGCCCTGCAGGCGAGGACGAGGATGAAGACGACTTCGATCTCGACGATGACGATGATGAAGACTCAAAGGTCGCTCTCAAAGTGGTCAAGCCGCGGAATCTCTGGGAGTTCCATGTACTCCGGAGGATACACCGTACTGTTCCCGAAGCCATACGTCGAACGATCATTTATCCTCTTTCGTTGCACGTCTTCAGGGACGAGTCCTACCTTTCGCTGCCGCTATGCTCGCAGGGATCCCTCTTGGATATTGTTAACAGAGCTAGCTCTGCAGGCATCTCGCAACAGGGCGCGTGCCTCGACGAGTTGCTCGTGTTCTTCTTCACCATCGAGCTGCTCCGCTTCCTCGAAGGCATGCATAGTTCAGGATTCATACACGGCGACCTCAAAATTGATAACTGCCTCCTCCGACTCGAAGACATCCCTTTGGGTGATGGCCCGCTCGCGCCAATGTACGGTTCTGGTGGCGAAGGCAACTGGAGATACAAGGGCCTGGCCGTGATCGACTTCGGGCGGGCCATCGACACAGCGCTGTTCCCGCGCAGCCAACGGTTCGTCGGCGACTGGTCCACAGACGCGCGTGACTGCCGCGAGCTGCGTGACGGCCGGCCCTGGACGTACCAGACGGACTACTTTGGCCTCGCAGGTATTATCTATTGTATGCTTTTCGGCAAGTACATCGAAGACTCGGCCCTCGCTCCCACGATGGATGACGCAGGACGTGAATGCCTCAAGATCGCGACGCCGTTCAAGCGCTACTGGCAGTCGGATTTATGGACTCGTCTCTTCCATATTCTTCTGAATTCTGCCCAGGTCGGACTTGACGGTCAGCTCCCACTATGTGAAGAGCTGGCGGAGATCCGGCAGGAGATGGAAGCCTGGCTGCAAGCCAACTGTAACCGAAGCAGCAACACGCTGAGAGGTCTTTTGAAAAAGATCGAGGTTTCGCTATTTTCATGATAATGTCCCTTTCTTCTCCATTATGATAGCAACACATTTCAAAGTTCGATGTTTCTCCGTTGGTTTCCGTTCATACCAGTTTATCTCAACACTTGCCGCTCAATTGATGAGTAAACGAGGCGTACGTTGCTTTTCAGGAAAAGCTAAACAGTAGAGGGATGAAAGCAGGATCGAAACGCCCTAAATTCACATAGTGTTTATGCCAGTATATGGGTGCAACAGTACTGGCCGGCGCTCCGTGCGAGCGCCGGCCGGCTCCTTCAGGAACATACAAAAGTGGTGGCACAACATATCAACCTCGCTCCGCCCAACAGCGACAACGGCGAGGATAGACGACAAAACAACGGACGACGACGATTTGCTACAACATGAGAAGGAAAGCAGGAAAACTCAAAGTTATGCAGGGCCAACACCGCCCATTGGCGCCTGAGCAGCCTCGTAGGGGTGCGGTGGGCCACCGGTAGGGGGCATCATCATGGGGTAGGGCACAGCGTGTTGCACTGGGCGTCACGGGTTAGATAGTCCTTGAGCCGGAAAAACGAGGTTGCCTACTTTGTGGGCTCTGGTGGTAGTATGGGTGTGCATGTGCGGGAATCGGTGTGGGGGGCATGGAGGGACGAGGGCCGGCACCATTCGGTGGTGGGTAAGTACCCGGCGGAGGGGGCATATAAGCGCCTGGGGGTACTTGGGCAAAATTAGTTCTTATCCTATATAACCATATGTAAAAGCCTTACGGGCCATCTGCGGCATTGGGGATGCATACATGGCTGCAACTCGTCGGTTAGAACATAATCACCGACATGCTCTAGATCTTACGTTGTCCGTTTGGAGGGGGCATTCCGGGAGGGTAAGGCATGGCCTGCATGAAGGGCATGTATCCTGGCGGTGGGTGGCCCATACCTGGCATCATCTAGGGATAAAATTAATAATCAGACTTGAAGACGTCTTTGTTGCTTTACCTGTCCGGGGTAGCCGTAAGCGGGGTACGCGTACACGTAAGGCGGCTGCTGCTGCTGCTGCTGCTGCTGCTGCTGCTGCTGCTGCGGGGGTGGTTGCTGTTGTCGCTGATCGGCACCATCCTCGTAGCCGCCATGCTGCTGCTGAGGAGGCTGCTGAGGGGGGTTTTGTGCAGATGGCTGGTGAGGCTGCTGAGAGAGTGGCGGGAACATGTTCATATACCGCTTGCCGCTGTAAGGCCAAAGAGCAGCTGCGCGAGCATTAAAACATTAATAATTGGCATGAATAAACGGATTGGCGAGGAAGCACGCACTAATCTGGGATGCTTCCGCAACCTTGTTGTGTTTGAACGGGTTGAAATCGTCCTTCACATGTACCGGAGTCTTCTTAATGACCTTGTTGCCAAAGAACGGATTTGAGGCGACCTATGGAAGGGATCAATGTGACTTTAATCTCTTATAAGTAATATAGTTTCTTATTCCTCACGGGTTCTTTCGGCTTAGGAGAAGCACCAGCAGAAGCAGAAGCATTGCTCGGTATAGGAGACGTAGAGCCCTACGTTGTCAAGAACATCGCTAAGATTAGCACCGTTACCCGCCCAAACGCAAGAGCAATGACTCCCACCTTGGAACCCGGCCTGAAAGACGATACGTTCGGGTTCAAACGACTTCCTCCCGTCGGTGAGGTAGGTTGTGTGGTAGCGGGCGCACCGTTTGGCGCACTCGGGGTTGGAGAAACAGCCGAGGAAGTAGCCTGTCTGGACTTCGAGCCCTTGAACGGAGGTATAGCCTGAATGACCATGCTGATTCCCGCTTTCCCGTTCGATTTCCCATCTTTCACAGTAACAGGCTTTGGCGCAACAGTTGTACCTGCAGGCTGTGTCCCTTTCGCCGCAACAGTCCCTTGCTTCACGCGCGCCGCAGCAATCGCAGGGCTGGCACCCTGCGGCATGCGCGACACACTTGGTGAGGACGTGATGCCTGTGACACCGATGGAACGAGCTTGCGTAGACGCAGCATCCTGGGATGACTTTTCGCGAATCAGCTTCTGCTTCTCCTCGTCTTTGGCAAGAATAGAAACGAGATCCTCGGGAATTGGTTTGTTTAGCTGGAGATAGGCAATTAGTCCTACCTGAATTCAATGGTACATTGAAGTGACTGACCTTGAAAGTTTGGCTGAACTTGAGCAATTCCGCCTTGCGTTTGTCCATTTCGCTCTTGACCAGTGCTTGCTTCTTCTGAGTCAAGCGTTGGCGCTCGTTTGTCACGAAATCGCGGAACGCAGGTACAGGGTCCGCATGAGGCTTGTTCGAGCTCGATGTCGACGGTGCAGGCGAAGGACTCTTCGCCCCTGCATCTTTCTGCGCCACCGGCGCACCATCCGGGCCGTTGACCGACACTTTTGGGATTTCTGCCGTGGGGGCCGCAACGCCTGCAGATGCAGGCGCAACAGCACCAGTGCTCTGCTGCTTGCGTGCACCAGGCGGGACGTACGCATTCTGACCACGAACCACGGCACCGTACTTGTCCTCCTCGTTGACGCCACTGTCATCCGCAGCAGCGTTCATCGTACGTTCCTCAAGTATGTGCGGATTGTTAACCGTGCCCTATTCACGCATGGTTCGTGTTCAATCCAAGGAGTTCCAACATCTCAAGCAGAAATTGGTCGCGCACCGACATAATCTCCGTGGCCAGCCGTTGCGCATTGCGTTCCCGCTCCTTGTACCCAGCCGCACTCCGATCCAATTTTGTCGTGTACATGTCCTCGTCAAAGGTTGTCGTGACACCGAACATACTCTCATTCGCTGCAAACTGGTCCCACGGTACACGAGAGTTAGCGCCGGCGCCAAAAGTGAGCTCGTCTCCAATTCCACTATCGGCGCCGTCAGCAGACACAGAACCGGAAGCGTCAACTACTGGACGCCACGCCTGGAGATCGCGTTCGCGGTTCAATTTCGCGTTGGCGCTGATATCCGCATCCGTCCGGAAAGCTATCGCACAGAACAGGTCAGAAACATAGTTCTCATCAGCATCATCCTGCCACAGCTTGTGCATCGATCTGCACTGGAATCTTTGTTCTCCGCTGGCAATGGACTTCGGGCGATGCAAGAAATGGATAAACAGCTGTACTTACAATCGCCATTAGTGGGAGGCTTAGCGTCAGCGGGGCCGGATTGCCAAGTGTCGAAGTTAGTGGCGGCAACGAAAAGCGAGTCACGTAGAGGCGCCCCAGCCAACGAGATTTCCTTCGCGTCGCGGAGAGTGACACCAGGAGTATCACCCTCGCCGGCGGCAGAGCCGATCACGCCTTCATAACGTTGACCGGACTTTGTAGACAGTGTGATCGTTGTGCCCTAAGGCGGCGATCGGCGAAAGTAACCTGATGAGGGTGAAGGAAACGCACTGTAAGACCTGCGAGCGCTTGCAGGACACGGTCGTTGGCAGCGCCGGCGGGAGGGCGGGCGCCATTGGCCGGGGCAAGGGGCGGGAAGGCGCCTTGGTTGGCAGGGGTGGATGCATTGGACAAACGAGCGTTACTGTTTACAGGAGAGAAGGTAGGGGAAGCGCGAGCACCAGATCCCCAGGCGGGAGGACGGCTGGATGACAAGGGTCAGATTGAGTTGCATGGTCACGATGTAATTATGAACGAAAAATATGTGACGAGACGTACCGAGCAGCAGGCTCGGCCATACCCTTCCTGGGTGCCTTCTGTTGACGAGCAGAGGCAGACATAGCTGACGGTCAGAGTGATAGAGAGGGGAGAACAGAGAACAGAGGAAAAGAAAGAAACGAGAAGGTGAGACTGTAGAAAGAAAGGAGAAATGGAGAGATAGCGACAAGCAAGACGCGACTTTGGACAGCCGCCAAGTTATAGCTGGCAATTGCAAGGGGCAGCGTGTAAAAAGTAAAGCGCTGCTGAATGAAAAGGAGAAGGAGAAGAAGATCAAGCCTGGCTAGGCTGGTGGACGCGGGGGGAAAGACGAGCAGCTGGCGACTCGGACAACGGACTCGAAACCCTCAGGCTCTCGTCTCAATAACTTGCTACAACTCTCCTCCACCGCGGGAACATAGCACCGCTTCGCAAGGACCCCGACATCACCTTCTCTCTCTCATTTTCTCTCCCTTCACTTGGTCCAGACCAGACACACGTCTGTGGTTTCTGTATCCGCGCAGTGCGGCTGGCTCATCTTTTTCCTAGGCCATCCCACGTCATTAATCGTTCTAATGATTCGTTCGCGGAGGATAGTCTTTGCGAAGCATCCGGACTTCAAATTTGGATCCTTTATTCTCGGGGTCCCGCCGCGTGTCGTGCAGCTGACACTCTTTCCCTACCCTGTGCGTGCTCCGTCGATCAAACAACGAATCTCGCCACAACTCAATAATGTCCAAAGCGGCTACTTTCATGCTCGTCTTCATGTTCTTTGGGGCGTTCAGTTCAGCTTAGCACCAAGCGTGCACCAAACAGTCACGATCGTGACCGAGGACTAGTTTCCTTCTGTCTCTGTTCTCGAACGGATGCATTTCGCCGTCACCTATGACAACTGCTCGTCCATATAAGTCATTACCACACCTTCGACGTTGCTGCGCACCGGCCGTTCTCACCGCCGAATGTTCTACTCCGTGAGCTAGCTTGCGCTAAACGATTCTGACAGGTTCGTCAGTCGCCAACGTATTCTCATTCTCAAGCCGAGCCAATGTTTTCAGTGAAAGTACATACAGTGAACCTGCTCAACAGGTCCCTTTAATATTAGAGGCAAAATCTCGTAGTGCCCTTAGGATCATGGCCGCAAACCCGATGGACTTTTCGAAACTAGGCTCAACTGAGTTACAACTTCCAGCCGGCGGTGTTTGACTCTAAAAAATAACCTAAGCTTACCATGACTTGCATGATGTCAGCGAGGTTGTGCATATGAGGGGCGAAAGGATATTCAGCGGACAATAAAGCACGTCACTGAACCACAATTCTTCATGGAGGGTCCCAGCTGCAGTCAGATATTTTGTGGACAATCACGCGTATGTTTTGTTTGTTCAAAACCGCATTATATGCCATGCTACCTGGTCTTGGTAGCGGTTTACAGAAGAGATTTAGTTTAAACTGCAATGTACTAATCTCTCTTTCGACTGACTTTACCTTAAGTTCTATCGCCATCCAGCTCAGATGATGATGATCACAGTCCTCCGATAAGGATGAGTACAACCGAAGCGTACGCACGCCGGTAGGCTAGCGGCTGAGCTTAGTCTACGGCATGCGAAATACAACAGCGAAACTCGGTTGAAATCGGTCTAGCTTGTCAAATAATATGAGCTAGTGCAGACCACTGTAGGCCTAATCGCGTGGAGTGTTCAGGCCGGATCAAAGACTCCTCTTCTAAAGGTCGACTCTATAATGGATACCCAATTTACCTAGTCGTCCAACATCATGCCGGGGTTCTAGCAGTGGCTGCTTAGCATTGTCAAACTTCTCAGTGGGTGTGCTCTGTGAAGGCAATTTGTTCTACCCCTAGGTGGACTTAGGAACAAGTTTCCAACAGAACATAGGCATAGCCGACTGTTGACGCCTGTCACGATCTTGAGGATACCAGGACGGCTGCACAGGTCGTTACGCGCGTTATGAACAAGGGAATCATGACAAAATTGTGACACGAACCTTCCGGCGGCGAGTGGTACTAGTAATTAAGTAGATCATCCTTCGGCAAAGCGCGAATCACAGTTTACCGGTACCGCTGGCATCAGGATTAAACGTTATTCGATTCTCGTATTGCAACGCTCAACAACCTACGGCTCCTCTGTGCACGGTTCCTCAAATTTCTATGAGAAAACATGCTCCAGCGTCTGTGAATAAGGGTCGCTGGTCGTTGTGAAACATTCTGGAACATCATCTCCGGACTCCATCATGGGCTCGTTCGACGTGAAGTTACTCCATAACCAAGATCTTCCGAATTTCACAGTCGCGGGTTGATTGACCTGAAGAGCGGACTGCGATGTCACTACTGGATCTAGGTCTGATTGTCAGGAATGTAGAAATCAAGGGCCGTTGGTCGGCCCCTTGCTTGTTCCTTGTCAATCCTTTGCTCTCCGTTCTTGGGCCAGACTTTGGGCGTTAGGAACAATGTCAATCTTCGCTGAGATTTTGCTTCCTATTGTGCATCATGGTGGCTTGGAGGCAACTCACGTGGATGAGGAGCGCAGCATCCATCCACCAATGCTATCCTCGTAGAATGGACCTTCCCCTACGGAACCAGCCCCTTCCCTCCGCTCCGCCGGCAGGTAACTTACCAAAAAAGCTTGTTTCTTCTATTGACCGATCAGCTGTCTTCGGGAACAGTGTCGTTACTACCTTCCTTGGCGTTTGTGTCAGGACAACAGGCACCATACGAGCCCATGTGAGCATCAGCACTTTGCTCTCCGCCGTCAAGATTTTCAAGGCTTGTTCTGTCTTCAACATCCATGGTGAGCCAGACACGACCTACACCATCTGCATGGCATTCGAACTAGTTCAGTGCGACACCAAGACGGGACAGAGACGAACAAGCCGAGACACATGCGAGACGCGGGGTGTTTGACTTCAATGGAGAGCGGATGCACTAGAGCCGGCGTCAATATGTCGCATCCCTGCAGGAGGACAAAGAACGCCAGTGCGCTCAGGTGCACTCACTGCTGACACTGACAGTGCCATCATATCGTCTCTGGCCATCGATCACGCTTCGGACCTTTCCAGCCTCTCCACTTCCCCACATGCATTCAAATAGTCTCCGTTTCGTGTGGGCTTTGTGCACCCACTTCCCTCTCTTTCTCTCCCCACATTCAAGCAGAGAACGAGACTGAGCCATGAGCCAAGATCGCGAATCCGGTGCTTCCTCAGGGATGCCTGTCAACTTCCCCGTCGTGCGTCTGAGTGACATCAGCCCTCGGCCCGTGTTCATGCAGAAATGGGAGCGCCTTCGCCACCGCGAGGCACACTGGTTCTCGCAGATGGTCGCTGAATTTGTGGGTGCTCAAGTGCACTTTATCTTCGATGGTAGTGACTCACGCTTTCCTGCCTCGGGGGTTGACCAGATTGCCGTGTTCGTCTACGTTTACTGTGGGGTGGGTGCGAATGTGGCCTTCATTGTAGGGACGGTTCTTGGACAGCCTGGCCTTGGCTGTATGTGCTTTTCACACCTTTGTACCATTGGAGTCTAATTGCGCTTGGATGCGCAGCTCTTTTCAATGTCGGCTTTGCATACGCTATGGGCATTACACTCGCCGTTACGTTGTGCTTTGCAACTTCAGGCGGACACTTTAACCCTTCTGTCACCATCTCCATGATCATCTTCAAGAAATTCCCTGCCATCCGTGGCCTCCGATACATCTTCGCACAGATCTTGGGTGCATACGTCGCCTGCTTCTTTGTTTACGTTCAATGGGGGACGTTCATTACCGATTGCATTGAGGTCCTCAAGCTGAAGGGCGAATATGACACTGTTATGTTCACGTCATCGGGTCCTGCTGGTGCTTTCGCGCTCTACGGGACTCCCGGCGGCAGCCTCGGGCGCATGTTTCTGAACGAGTTCGTCAATGTGAAAAACTTCAGTGTCTATGCCTCATCGATTTTCTGACTCAAGTACCCTGACCAGAGCTTCATCATTGCCCTGGCGATCTGGGGTGCACTCGACCCGACGAACCACATGATCCCGCCCGCTGCTGGCCCATGGCTTATCGGCCTCGTGTACGCAACCGTCATCTGGGGCTTCTCGCCTGCTACACTCGCTGCCAACACAGCTCGTGACCTTGGCGGGCGCTTCATGGCCATGACGATCTGGGGTACGGAGGCCGCTGGAGGCCGCTATGCTGCGATTGCCGCTCTCACAAACATCCCTGCGACCGTTTTCGCCGCCTTTGTCTATGAGATGTTCTTGGGCTCGCATACTCGCAGTAAGTCGTTTCGATCTCAATGCATTTGCATTAAACTCTAATCAATGTGCCTCAGTCCTTACACCCTCTGCCTACCATTTCTATGCGGCGTATAAGAAGTACCACGACGACAATGGGATCAAGATCCCCGGTTTTGGCGAGGACGACGAGCACGCCAATGTTACCATTGGACGCACCAGCTCTTACGAGAAGGCGCAGGATGAACAAATATCTCGCGTTTAATTCCCTCGCTCCCCTCCGGCTCAAACACTCTGGTCGCAATTTCAGGGTTCTGTAAGGTTCATCACAAAATCATACCCTTACGTGGAGCTCTCGGTAAATTGCATCCCTCGCGAGTCCGTCCTCTGTTTACGATGCCTTTCAAACATCAAACGTCACCACCGCGCTGTGAAAGTATATCTACTACTGTACTCATAGTGATGTTTACTCAGGTTCTGTTAATGAATTGTCTGCTTCTGAATTCAAAAGCACCTTCATCACTCTTCTGACTGATGCCCCCGCCGTCACAGGGAAAGAAGCATGAATCAGAGTCTTGTCGGTAAGGCCTCGACTATCTTATTCATTCATTGAGTTGTTGCAAAGTTGCAGCTATCGAGAAAGAACGCCTAAAGAACACCTAAAGAACGCCTTCAAGTCCCGGTGATGATGACGAATACACTAATCTCGAAGCCGCATTTTTCTATGCGCATGCCACATCTCGCGATTGACAAACAGACTCTTCGTTACCACCGACGTGATTGCGAAGAGTAAGAGAGTATTTTTGCAAGCTCAAAATTCCTCAGGGCAGCTCCACAAAAGTTGAACTGAATTGAAACCCGGCAACTTTCCTAAGTACAAATATATACCACGGTCTTGGTAATGCAAGGTCGACCAACTATGGCTCTGGCTGATGGTTTTCAGATTGAAATAGAGTGACGCAACAATGATAGATGTCTCCACACTCTGTCAGTACCGCAAGTACACACGACGGCCTTCAAAGGTGTACTTGATCATCCACCTTGTTAGACAAAACCAAAATCCGTATACTACCTATCGCGTCGTGTGATAATTTCGTTGATAGAGTAGGTTTTGCCCAGACTTACTCACAGGAGGCTACTAGATGAAGGGGTCCTCGCTGTGCAACCATACTCGCCCACACCAACGATGCCCTACGAAAATGTCCTACGAGTTGGCCTGCGTATTGTGGATGAAAAGCAGAGTCTCTCGTCTGGGATCTTGTCCTACATAATCATGTCCATATGGACCAACCGGTCAGAACGACTTGCGCGCAGGCTGACTTGACCGTCAGGAACAACCTGGAACAACTCATTCATTATCTGATGTCAAGGCTAGACGTCATTTGTGTATAGCCTTGTACAGCTGGCGGCTGACGAGGCCTGAGCATAGTTCACGAGGTGAAGGAGCGATTGACAAGGACGTATGTAACTCTGTCCAACCAATCTCATCTGATCTCGGTTCCTCGGCTTGCGCTCACCATCAAAGTTGAGGTTCTATTAGCTTTGTGGCTGTGAAAAAAGGGTGGTAAGGTGTCACCATTTCAGCCAGGACAGCAATCGCAGAGAGGCTTGGAGAAAGCCTAATCTCAGTCAGACACAAGTAGCTGCCATGTAATGATACGTTGTAGGACAGATGCTACAAGCCCGCAAAACGTCGCTCGGGCGCTCTCGAGCCCCAGTTTCATTCATAATTGTGCATGACGAAAATTTGATGGCCCGGAGAAGAAAAGATAGGCTGTGACGGGACACGTCATTGTGTAGAGACGCGTGCCAGCAGGCTAGTTACTGTAGTGATGTCATGCTACATACTTTCCATACTGCGCACAGGTTTTCAATGTCGTGTTCATGTACACAATATATCCGTTCGCCAGATATTGCTTTCGAGGTACGTGTCTTTCCATCCCTTTGGTATTGAGGTAGGTCCCCGCGGGTCTCCTTGTCGTTCGGCGATGCCAGCTCACGACTGTATACAACGAATTAGCGCCAAGATGAACTCTTCAGAATGAGAGGTTGACGATGATCCACACATGCGTCTCACAACCTGTGCAAAACAGCACGGAGCACCCTGTCGAGCTGGCGACTTGTGGCGAAGTGATGGGCCAGTAGTTTCTTGCCAACGGCCATTCGCTCCTCGAATTCGCTACCGGGGAACTCATTCGTGAAACAACCGCATGGACCGGACATCAATGGCGGTGAAGTACGCCCGGTTGAATGGTTGTGGATGATCGCGACAGCGAAGAGCGCGAACGAGCCTGGGGTATAAAAGCCCTGCTGTGGTGACTATGCCAGCATACAGTTCTTCTTATCGAACAAATTCGCCATCTTCTACCTTTTTTATTCACGATGAAGTCTGCCTTCGCTGTTGCCATTGCTGCTGCCCTCGCCAGTCAGGCTGCTGCTTTCACGATTAACTTCAAGAACAACTGTGGCTACAGTGAGTATTATGTGAAGTTTAAAACGTTAGGGAAAAGATGACTGACACTCGACTGTAGCTGTCTGGCCCGCCGTCGGCAAGGCCCCCAACGGCCAGCCCGACCCTTCGGTCGCTTTCGGTACTACCCTCGGTGCCGGCGCTTCTGCCAGCTTCGGCGTCGATGACCAGGCCCTCGGCATCCGCGCTTGGGGCCGTACCGGATGCGACTCCAACGGCGCTAACTGCCAGACTGGTAACTGCAATGGCGGTACGTCGATCAGCATCTATACCGTGAAAGAAATGTCAGGGACTAACTTGTCAACTCTTAGGCATGGTCTGCACTGACGCTGGTATCACTGCTGGTGTCATCCTCTCCGAGTACGGTTACGCCAACTTCGGCGCCCAGTACGGTGGTGAGCGCACGTCGTGGGACCTCTCCCACGTCAGCGCGTCGATCAACATCGACACGTCGCTCTCCTCCAGCGATGGCCAAACCGTCACCTGCACGAACGCCAGCTGCCCCTCTGACCAGGCCTACGACTCGTCCACCGACTATGCCGCTGACCGCAACTCCCCCCTCGGCCAGACTTTCACCCACACTTTCTGCCCTTAAATTATCAGCATGGGTTTCACGAACTTACCTTATGTAAATGGGACATAAATTATTGGTAGTCTTACGTGTATATTGCTGTAAAGACTAGTCGCTGCATTATTGGTCGATATTGTCAATAGACTCACCAACACTCCGAACAGTTTGTCGGACGAAACATTGGCAGTGGCCAAGATCATTGACGAAAGCAGCTTTTAATCTGAGAGCATACAGCAAATTTCAAGGTGGAACAATAATGATAACACGCCAACACTACATCACCGAATGAAGGAAAACAGTCTACTGTTCTTCCTTTTCCGTCGTGTAGACCAAGCACAAACCATCATCACCGGCACTGACGACGACCTCACCCCGAAGACCAAGACTGGCTCCCAGGACTGGTCCGTGGTGACCAGAGTGTTCCTTCAACAGTGTGCCCGTCCGGCCGTCCCAAGTGCGCAGCGTTCTGTCAGCCGACCCAGATATGATAAGGTGGCTTTTCGGCGCTGGAACGGTAAGGAGAGTGGTGACCGCATCCTGAGATGAGATGTTAATATACGCGATAGCAGAAGTCAGATATGGTTGTGATACCTGATGCTGTAATGTCGCTCTTTGGCGCATGGTCGACAAATCCCATATGCACGCCTTACCATCCGTCCCGCCAGTGACGACGACCCCAGGACCGCTATCGTTGCCAGAAAGGTTCACAAATTGGATAGACTCGACACTGTCTCCTTCGGCATGGCCACCCAGAGCACCGACGATCTCGCCTTTTGTCAAGTTGATGATACGAACGCTGCCATCGTGGCCACCAACCACGGCAAGGGTTGACGAAGGATTCACTGCAAGCGAAGTGATGCCGCCCGTATCGAATCGCGCATCTTGTGGGCTGAGCTTGAAGACGGCGGTAGGTGATCTTGGGTCCCACATAATCAACGATCCGTCCGCACAAGCCGTGACCACTCGCTTTCCTGTCAGATACGTTAGAATACGGGTAATTACTTGCTTGCAACGCCACGCACCGTCTGGAGTGAACTCGCCGCACTGCACTGGTCCAGTATGCCCAGCGAACACCTGCATAGTGTTTCCTGACGGCACTGGCATCATGTAAGTAAACGCGGAGATGAATGCAAGTGGTCACCTACATTGCCACAGCCAAACCATGCTATCATTCGATCCTGCAAGTAGTACATTACCTCGAGGATGCCACCGTAGCCACTATAAGGAAGCTTGAGCCTCATGAGCGGGGAAAGAGTAAGGGGTCATTCTTACTATAACTTCGTCAGGTCCCTGTAGCTCGGTCAAAAACTCCCAAGTCCTGAAATTCTCTGTCCCGACTCGTCTCCACACCCTGACCTTCCCGTCCATGCCACCAGTCGCGACCATTTGCCCGTCTGCGCTGAACGCAGCGCTGCTGACACTATCCGAGTGGCCCGTGAGCTTCACGATGACTTCGCCGTCTGTAATATCCCAAATGTATCCCAGATCATCCTCTCCGCCGGAGACAGCGAGAGGCTCTGTTGGATGGCAAGCCACGACGAATACCGACCCATCATGGCCTTCGAAGTGTTGTTCTGAAGTGTCGGTAACATCGGCATCGTCGTGAGATGGTAGTTCAGCGACATCATCGGCTTCATCGTCTTCGTCCATCGGATGATCTTCGCCGTCTTCCACCTCCTGCAAGACCTCTCCATCGTCGATAAATACTTCCTCTTCGTCAACGTACTCGCTTTCATCGACGTGATCAGTGGCCATTGTGAGTGCTGGGGGTTTTCACTTAGAATCGAAGGAAGTTGAAGGTACTGTCGGGATGGCGCCGAGCTTTTATAGATAATCGCGTGCTGAGCGATCGGCAGCTGACCAATGTTCTATACTAGCTTGCTAAGACAGCGCGAGTATCGAGTCAGTGAAGCGGGACCGGAGCCGTTCGTGGTTGTATAAGGCAGAAGATGGGAGGGCGATGCTCTGAAGAATATTTGATTATCGAAGTACAAGCTTGACGCTTAAGTGCTTGCGAATTCATCTTCACGTGGGCCGACGCGTCGTAACGCTAGCGGCTCAGATGCGCACACACCTGAGGCCTTGAGGGGGACCTGTAGACGACGGTGCCGAGGCTCCGCGACACTTGGCTACCCAGCTAGTTTACCTCTCAGTAGCTTACCAGTATCAAAGACGATTTACGTTGCTTGGATGAGGGAAAAGGGCAGAGGCCGCGTTGTTCTGCGACGAGCTACAACAAGTTTCTTGAAAGCGTTTCGGCCAACGCTCGGCTTACTAAGCGCAACTGAAGGCCTCCGGCGGCAGTACAAAGCCTATCCAAGTTGCTCACTCCACGTCAGTCCGAAACTTACCTGTCTCTTACACCACCATGAGACTCTCATTTTCCTTATTTTTGGCTGGCCTGTTTGCCGGTGCAAGTGCCTCAAACGTTCTTGACCTTGTCCCTGATAATTTCGATGGTGTTATTGGCCAGGGCAAACCTGGTTTGGTCGAGTTGTAAGTGTTTAAGCATACTCTACTCTCTTAAGCAGTGTTAATCGAATTTCCATTGCAGCTTCGCGCCGTGGTGGCAAGTAAATTGTGCTTGACCCGTAGGTCTTGTAAGCTAATGTCCTGCGAACGTCCAGTGGTCATTGCAAGGTATGCAGTTCGTTCAGAGTCGACATTTCTTAGTCAGATATTTAACAAGCTTCAGAACCTTGCACCAATCTATGAACAAGTTGCGGACGCGTTCGCTCATGCCAAGAACAAGGTGGTTGTCGCGAAGGTAGATGCCGATGGTGCTGGCCGCCCTCTTGGCCAAAAGTACGGTGTTACCGGGTATCCCAGTGCGTTTATATGGCTACTTCACACATCCCATGTGCTTACTGCGCAATAGCTCTGAAGTGGTTCGATGGTGAGGGTAACGCTGAGCCGTATGAAGGTGGACGCGACTTGGACTCTATTGTTACCTTGTAAGTGTTGGTACCAACGTAGCTCTTTAAACGCCCGTTGCTTAACAGGTCACAGCATTTCGAAGAATGCTGGTGTCAAGTCCAATATCAAACCCCCTCCGCCTCCGGAGACTCTCATCCTTGACCACCAAAACTTTGATGAAGTTGCCCTGGACCAGACCAAAGATGTGTTGGTCACTTTCACTGTAGGTGCATGTCTCTTCGTTTCCAGTCAAGCCTAACTTATACGTCACAAGGCTCCCTGGTGTGGACATTGTAAGAACTTGAAACCCGTCTACGAGCAAGGTACAACGCGTCAGGATCCTCATTTTTTACTATTGCTAAAGTTCAGTGTTTTAGTTGCGAAGGACTTCAAGGCCGAGACTAACGTGTGTTAGCTGAGACTTGCTCCTGCTTCGAAGACTGACCATGCTGTGTATGAGCTAGTGTGTCGTCGCTAACATGGACGCCGACGCCCAAGACAATAAGGAGATCGCTGCTCGCTACGGAGTTGCTTCCTATCCGACCATCAAGTTCTTCCCCCGCGGCTCTCACGAAGTGGTCGACTACGATGGTGGTCGCTCCGAGCAGGACTTCGTTGACTTCTTGAATGAGCACTGCAACACCCACCGTGCTGTTGGTGGTGGTTTCAACGACGACGTACGAGACTTTTCCTTAGTGCTTGAGCCGATACTCACGGGTTCTGAACATCTATTTATTCCCAACTTTAGGCCGGCCGCGTCCCGGAGCTTGACACCCTTGCCCAGAAGTTCCTGGCCGCTTCTGCTGATGCTCGCGACGCCATTGTTAAGGAAACCTCTGATATTGTCACCACCTTAGGTGCGGCTGCGAAGCATTACGTTCGTGTGATGGAGAAAGTCTCGGCAGACGGCGAGGCCTACATCGAGAAGGAGACCTCTCGGTAAGTCAACAAGCTTTGGAGACCGCTCTCCACGGGTTTGGGAATCGCGTCCAATGACGCCACGGACCATTTTCGCTAACACGTTCCATTCAGGTTGACCTCCATCCTGACCAAGCGCAACATGTCGCCCTCGAAACTCGATGAGATCAAGATCAAAGCAAACATTCTGAGCGCATTTGTCGCGAAGAAACTCGAGGAGGCGGAAGAGAAAGTTGAGAACCTGTTTGGAAAGGTCCATGAGGAGCTTTGAGCATCGATATGACACAATCACGTCGGACACGAGGCTATTAGCCTCGAGGCAGAAACTCTCCTGATGTATTAGAGAAGCCTCGGATCTTTTCCCTTGCTTTGATTTATACACCCTTTATTGCCACAACAAATAATTCCTTCTTGCCGATGTGACGTCTGCCAGCAAGTGCTTACATAGGACGCGACCGCTTCTTCCTTTCCTTAACCACACGTCCCCGAGGGCTGCGTTGGAGGACACCACTGAAGGAAATCTTGCATCCGGGGAAGCTCGGATATTTTCAACGTGCCTCGAGGCTTGGATGCGATTCGCCGTGCAGCGCGCTTGATTATCGACTCGCTGGTCTTTCACTATCACATCTATTTTGCAGGCGCTTTACGCCTTGTGACACTTGGGGGCGTTCGTTCATCCAGATATATAACTAGACATCCCTTGCGATCATCAAGTTTCATCTTTCCCACTTGGAAGTCCATCAGACCCATCTATTCACAACATGGACGACGATTACTATGTTCCACGACCACCTAGTCCCCAGTCGGATGCCTCTGGCTTAACGTCCGATGGGGATGAAGAAATGACACCGCGGCGGACGTCCAGGAGGGTTCGCTCTCCGTCGCCATTACCACATCCAAGAAGAGATCCAAGAAGAGCTTACGTCGAAACGGAGGTTGAAGAAGACAACGAGGCCAGTTACACGGACGAGGGCGAGTGGGTAGAGGTAGAACCAGAAGAAGACGAAGAGGAGGAGGAGGAGATGGAAATCGAGGAAGAGGAAATCTTGGATGCGGCACCATCCGAACCAGGATCAGAAGAGGCAGAGTCGGATGGCGGCATGCCCCCGCCTTCAATACAACTCATGCGAAGAAATCCCAGTGCAATTGAGGCGCACCCACAACGCTCTATTCGCGCGGAGCGATACTCGAATCGCCTCCGGCAGTGGCGGCCGACGTCGTTTTGCGCAGGAGGGGTAAGGGAGCCACTCCCACCGGTGCTACGCGTTGTAACGTGGAACGTGGACTTTGCGAGCAAACATTCCAAGGATCGACTCTCGGAGGCATTGCATCACATCATGGAAGATGTTATGCATTGCAATATCGACCAGCGGCCGGATCCATGTATCATCATGTTGCAGGAGGTGCATCAGAGGGCGTTCTCTCTGCTACAGGAGCACTCGTGGGTCCAACGGTACTTCATCATTATGCCTGGTGGACCACATGTCTGGGGGAATTGTCCCTACGGCATCGTGACACTCGTGTCGCGCACAGTGCCACTCGTGGACTCGTTCGTCATCGATTATCCAGGATCCCTCATGGGCCGACAGGCACTCGTAGCAGAGATCAAGCTCGGAACCCCCGCATATAAGCTGCGGAGACAACTTGTTCCATCGCAGATGCGCACATTCCGCATCGCGAACACCCATCTGGAGTCGTTGCCCTCCGGCGGCCCACAGCGTCCGGAGCAGATGCGGATGGCGGCGGATAGTCTGCGCGACGAGGAAGTATGTGGCGGGCTGGTCTGTGGGGACATGAACGCCATCCTTCCGTCGGATGAGAGCATCCCGGAGGACGCTGGTCTCTGGGACGCGTGGACGCGCGACGAGGGCGACGAGGGCGACGAGGATGGGTATACGTGGGGGTATCAATCGCCACTACAGGACCAGCATTTTCCGCCAGGACGTTTGGACAAGGTTCTTTTCACAGACGGAGACGGTTTCTCGGTCGATGTTCCTGAGCGGATCGGGGTCGGGGTGAGAGCTAAGTCAACGCGGAGCAACATGTTCGTGAGTGACCACTATGGGCTGGTCACCACGCTGCACGTTGCCCGGGCAGAGAATTAGATCTGCCGTGACTAATACCAGACCGAGAGGGGCACAGAGGAGTTGTCCGCAAGGGAGAAGGTGGCTAATCTTGTACTCGGCGTACATGCTGCGGGCATTGAGCTGGGAGAAGTTGCCAGGGGTGGAATTCATGTGTATGTACGCATATTTGGGACAGGCCGATGAGTCGTTGTCAAACTGTCAGCTACAGAAGTTTCTCCACGAATCAGAATTTGATGTGCGACGTGGGATGCCTATTTTTGTCGCGTCAGGCCATTTGCAGGATCATGATAGCATTCCGGAGCCATGTGCCATATCTGGCGTACTTTTCTTAGCTGGATTACGTAGTATGCATGGAGCAGGCAAACACGACACTGCAGCAAGTTCTGCTGGCTGCTGGTCGCCAATGGTCTCCAGACGAACCAAGACTGGAGTAGAGAGGGCGTCAGATAATCCGACGGTGACGTTCGCGGGGGACAAGACAAGCGAAGCGAGACGTGTCTAATGGAAGCGAGAATCTGAGCTAAAGCCAAGCTCGGCCGAGCCGATCCAATGGGAGCGCCCAGTTGTCCGGTTGCCGATTGTTTGGTTGCTTCGGGACGATGCAAATATTAGATTAGGGCGGAGACATAAATATAAGGACGAGTTCTCCCCATCATCATCCTTTTCCACCAGGTTGCACTCTTCCCTCGAGCTCTCCACTCTCCTTATCCACCCATACCAGTCGCCATGAAGTTCGCTACCCTCGCTCTCTTCATTTCTGCGGCTGTGGCCCAGTTGACTATCAACACCCCGTATGTTCTCCTTATTCCCTCTCTCCCACGCACCCCGTCGTAGCGCATGTCCGTTTCTTATCCTATCTTTACAGGGCCAGCGTCGTTCAGTGTGAGCCCGTCCTCGTCTCCTGGTCCGGAGGAACTAGTTAGTCCTTTTTGCCCTTATATCCATGTTTGGTATCTGATTCAGACATGTCTTAGGCCCCTACTACATTGTTTGTCTCCCTACCCTTTCTATTCATATAGCGCAACTAACTTCCCCCTTCCGTTACATGATCTAGAGGTGAGTTGCTTGTATGCCCAACCAGCTCATATACTCATTTTACTTCTCAGCGTCCACAATGGTGCTGACCCCAACGGTACCCCCATCGAGAACTTGCCTACGCAGTCTAGCACTTCCTACACCTGGAATGTCAACGTTGCTCAGGGAACTTCGATTGGTTTCACTATCCGCGACAGCACTGGTACGACTGCCCAGACTTCTGCTTTCTCTGTCCAGGGCGGCGGTCGTGAGTTCATATGCTAATCTGCGCGTTACCCTGATCTGACGTCACATGCGCAGCCTCTGACTGCTTGAACGGTTCGAGCTGTAAGCCAAATTAGTCACAAGATATTCGCAAGTCTTGCTTACATGATTTATAGCCGGTGGATCTAGTGGATCTTCGGGTAGTTCCTCTGGTTCGTCCAGTTCTAGCACTGCGTCTGCTACCTCTTCCGTGTCTGCTACCTCTTCTGTGTCTTCTGCGTCGTCCTCTGGGTCTGCGTCAGTAACCACTCCTGCAGGTTCTTCCTCTGGCTCCGGCAGTTCCTCCGGGAGGTAAGCATGTTCATGTCAGCACAGTGATACTATGACTCATCGTGGTGTGCTTCATAGCTCCACTGCCACCTCCGGCTCTTCTTCACCCAGCTCCACCGGTGGCTCGACTGGTGCTGCCACCATGAACGCCGCTAGCATGGGTGCTGCTGGTATCGTCGGCGCTGCTGTCGCTGCCCTCCTTCTCTAAATGTGGGGATTGGCCTGAAGGGGAAAAGGATGGACCTTCAACATCTTGAACCATTTGTTGTGAAGTAGTGTGTGACGAGTTCTGTTCATCCGAATGTGCGGCTTGACATTTCTTTCTACTTTATATACATACTTTCATACATTTTCTTTGGACGTTTCCCGGATTCAGTATTGAGCCCGTCATGTTTGTAGCTTGTTTGTGATCAAACTTGTCAGCTTAGCTCCAAAGTGCGATACCCTAATGTTACCGTCGATGTTTCCGCGCTCGAGTGATCTTTGAAGAACATCTGAATGTATGATATTGTCTGTGTCTCAGAATATGCATGGCATCCCTTGTGTCGGACTGTGAAATAAATTCAGGGTATCCAAGGAACAGGCATTAATGCTCCGAGTCATGGCACATCATGCATCCCGCATTATGTTCTGCTGCCAAAGTGCTTGCGCCGTAGGAATTTTCCTATAAGCCTTGCATGGGTCCCCTAAGTCAAGACTTGCCATGAAATTTTTTGAACTCCCCAGTCTTTATCTTTACTATCTTTACTGCGCAATAACAGACCAAGTTCAATATCGCTTTCCAAAATTTCAATGGGCAGACGTGGTTGGCCATCCAGGACTATTTTGACTGTATGTTTTGCGTAGATCGAATCCAATTATTACTACCGTTCTCTGGAAAAACAGATGATTGTAGTGACTATACGTATAATGTTCGCATAGCACTAATTAGAGTCTCCCATTCAGGCCGTGGCACGACTTCAGCTAGGGACGCTGGCACCTTTGCGTACGTATACCAAGTACATCATTACACGCAATATCTGATTACAATGTCGATGACAGATCCCATTCCTAACCAAGAACAAACATGATACCCAAAGAAGTCCTACATATGAATTAAGATAGGGTAACCTCCTGCACCACAACGTCACTCGTGCCGTAGATGGCAATGAAGTTGTTGTTGCCAGTGGTGGTAACGCCGGGCCAGAAGGAAGGGGCGGGGCCAACCGTGAGCTTGTTGCCCCAGGTGTTGCCCCCGTCTCCGCTCGTGACGATCTTGACGGCCTCTTGAGCGGTACCAGCCACGCCGCTATCCTCGTTAGTCATAAAGATGGCGACGAGCGCTCCGCCAACGTTGGCGACCTGCGGGGACTGTGCATTCAGGCCGTTGGGGGCGGCGTAGACGACGCCACGCGGGCCCCAGGTGCTGCCATCGTCGGACGACTCGCTCTTCTGGACCTGGAAGATACCGTTCTCGACGGACTCGAAGACGGCAAACAGGTTGCCGGCAGCGCCGTTGGCCGCAATGCCGATCATACCGTCGCGCGCGTCCGTCTTGTCCGTGCCGATGACTGCGACGGGGGCGCTCCAAGTCGCACCCTGGTCGGTCGAAGAGGACATGATGAGGTCCTGGTCGTTGGCGTTGTTCTCGCGCGAGTAGTAGACCTGCACGGCTCCCGAGCCGGTGACGCGCAGGAAGGGCTCCCAGAGACCGTTCGCTAATTACAAATGATTTGTGAGTATTTAACCTCCCCAAATACCAAGAGGAAACTCACGCTGCGAAGCCGCTGCCTGCTCGGCGGCCTGGCTGAGGAACTGCCAGGTCACGCCTCCATCCTCAGAGTAGCAGATGGTGATACGGTAGTAGGTGTATGCGGAGCCGCTCTTGTCATTGTTGCGGAAGGAGGCGAGGATGCGACCACTTGGTAGCTGTTGAAGGTAGGCGTTGTCGATGTCATGTGCGTCAGATGCGCCGCTGGTGACCTGTCCGAGGATGGTCCAAGTAGCGCCACCATCGGTGGAATGTATTGCGTTGATGATGTTGTTTCCATCCTGGAAGTAGGTGGCGGAACCAAGCAATGAACCATCATTCATCACTGACGCGCGACCGTATGTGTTCGCGCCAGCCATGCCAGCAGCTGAGCCTGTCATAGTGGGAACCACAGCTGCCCGTTTCTGCAGTCCGGCTGGAGAAGCGGGCGCGCCCAACACAACACTGGCAACAGAGAGGGCGGCGGTCGCCCAAGTGACTATGCTAGAGGTAGAGAAGAACCTCATGGCGAAAGAAGGTGGCCTGGTGAGATAATTTGAGCGATGTGCTAATATGAAGAAAGCGAGTAAATGCGTACGAGAATTAGCTGGTATTCTGGGGCGAGGCAGGGACCTGCGGGCGAAACTACTGGTTCTCTTCAAGTTCCACGGGCCATAGGCTTTATATGTGCCCCATTAGCCTCTCCAGCCGGTGACAAGGAGAAGCTCTCGGTTCCGTGCCTGCGGCTGAATGCCGGTATGGGAGTTTGATCACCAATGCAGCAAAGAAGAACGATCAAGCCATGCAGATGGAGGAAGATACCACAGATAAAACGTGAGGGAATGGCATTCGACCGCTGTCAACCAGCGTCAACCACGCGGGATGACAACCCAGCGCCTTGATCTTTCGCAGCAACGACCAGGAACTGGCCTGAACTGAGCTCAACCACCCACCAACAATTCCGCATCAGGCAGAAACTAACGCGATGCCGCGTGGATGACGATGTCTGGTAAGTCAGTTATATGGGTCACAAGGCTTACCCCGGTGCTTCCCTGTTCACTGTTTGGCAGGGCGATGCAAGATGAAAACGTGGTGCATCGAGGACAGCCAAAGGGCAGCTGTGTCTCCAGCCGCCTGCATAATTATCGCCAGATTATCGGGATTTGCAAGTCTTGTCTTGAGCTAAATAGAGCTAAGTACCAATCCGAAGAAGAAGCGTTTACAGCGTCAAGCTACTTGACGTTTTGCACAAGCGAGTGGCTTTTATGCTGGTGCAGCTGCACGAGAGATATTAAACGGTTGTCTTCGAGGCCACAATATCAAGATCAGGAGGCGGCCCGTAGCTGAGAACCTGAGAAAACTTACACTTGAGCTCATGTACACGGATTGAGATGACCGTCTGGACAATCGAGGCACATCGGGAAAAGCCGGTCCTAGGCCGGGGTAATGGTTTTTCCCGGCCCTGCCAGCGTTATCCTGACCCACGTTTTTGCAGGCCTTTCCTTATCACTGGATGTAAGCTAGCAGATGCTAAGCATATATACCTGCAATGACCGCTTCTTCGCGGTCGTGAATATAACCCAAGTCACCTCTAGATCTAAGGCCCAAGGGCTTACACACTCAACATTGCACAGCCAGATCTCGCAGTCCTCCATTCCCCGAAGAAACGAAAAAACCCGATCGCATTTCTCGCCTCAAGATTACGCGTTGATTGTCGCCTCACATACTTCGCCACTTTCTCGTCAATCGTCCTCCTTAGCTTCGACAGCCAGGCGTAGTACATCCACTCTATGAAACCTGTTGTGGGATACCTGGGCACTCTTACAGCCATCTGACAATGCTTGCCTTAGTACAACTATGCTGCTCCATCAGGGAGGCTGCGCGCGCACCGAGCACAGATAGGTCAAGCTACAGAGCCCCACCCAAATACAGGGCTCGACGTTAGAAGGCCAGGTGGACCGGGCGAAGGTCAAGCATCCACATCCACGCGTATCCTTAGTCTAAGGATGTTTGCATGTAGGTACTATCCTCCGCTCAACCCTCTAGCGCTCAGCGTCCAAGCCTCTAGTCCCACTAGTAGGCCCATCGGATGGGACCGATGATCGTCGTTCATGCCATCCTCTTGACCTTTTCTTGGATCTTTACAAGCAAACGCTGATGTCCCCTTTTTCTTTCTACTTGGTCGCTCATACCTGGGAAACCGCATCTCCCCAGTTCACCACGGTCCCCGGAACAACAAGAATGTTTTGCGAAAAATCCCAGTAAGTTAATAGAAACAGACAGGAACGTACTTCAACATTGTTTCCCCCAAACTGTCACCCGCGTTCCTGTGAGGTCAGTGTCAGGCTACAGGGGACAGCCAGTGGACAGCCCCAACATCCACATCACCCGTCGCAATATGTCAAGGCTAGATCCTGACTCTGCCAGCGAAGACCTCCCCTTCCCTCCCCTTCCTCTATCATCGCATATGTGCCTTGTTGGAAGACACCAGACGGGTATCAGATGTCGAGTTTGGCAGGCCGGCAACGGCGCCCGCCATTACTGTGGGCCAGAGTCTGCCAGAGTATGCCCTCGGTTGCCCCTTCCGTAAACCTTCATTTCCACCGAGTTCCCCTTGATGAATTAAAAAAAATTACACGTATTCAACCTCCACACCTCCACATGTGCGAACACACTGACTGAGAGTAAAATGACTAGCCTGGCCGTATGGACAATCTAACACTGCCGAACTGAATAGGTAGTCGTCGGGATTGGGAGCATTTGGGAACCGGCGAAGGCCGAGCTGTGAAGGTGGACATCGGTGAGATTCGATGTTGACTATTATGCAAATGATTTCTTCCGTAGATCACATATTCATCCGTGATGAGACCATCATAGCATTGTGCCACGTGTACAACGCTGTCATGCTCAGCAACGCTTGGTTCCTATAAGTCGTAGCATAGGTCAGCCGCCCCTTGGCCTTGGCACCTGTTCCAGAATCAAGAAACATGCATTAAATCCACGTTCACGCTTCAACGCTGCCCGACTCTGACTGGAAGGCATACAGAGCCTAGATTCGAGGAAACTTCGGCATTTGGTCAGTCAGAATATACACAACCTCCCGGACGCAAAGGTCACAAGAGATCTTTGGCTCGGTCCCTTTAGCCTTCTCATCGCTGTCATTTCCTGTTAAGTACCTTACTCTAACCTTGATTTGCCCCAGTTTGCCCCACATTGATCAGGTTCTGGCAGCTGTTCTGGCACCTCGGCGGGACGGTGCACACGCCAAAATGCGTTGGCCGCCTCCGTATAAAGTCCTTCCGACAATTCAACAGCACATCCGGTTTCCTTCGTCTGCGGTTTCCCCGCCGCCCCCACGCAGCGTCCTGACTGTCTTGAGATCCTCTGTCGTCCATGCCTATCCCAGAGTGGACCATTGCTGATTTTATTCACCATGGTCCTTGGTGGAGAAACAAAAGTATGGAGGGAAAGTGCTGAAGTGTGATTATGTATTGACGAGTCATTTCGTCAGGCATTTTGTTGCTAAATCTCTATCTGGTCCTACCTTTACTCTCAGCGGCAACCAACGGGCTGGATTCATCGATGCTCAATGGTAACGTAGCATGAGTCTTCAAGCATTCCATCTTGCTGAGTTGTGGCTAGGCTTGCAGATCTTACCTGGCTGGCAGGACTATTTTCACACACCGACAAGCAAAACTTTGGGTATGTTTCTCAATTGCTGTCACGGCTGAGTACCACTCTAAGTACTCTCTCATAGGTCTTGTCAATGCAGCTAACTGCATTGGTGCCCTCGTCGTAAGTCTCCAAAACTTTTCAAGGACGAAGTTTCTGAGAAGACTTATTCCGATTCGTCAGGGCATACCCATCACTCCCATATTCAGCGATCTCGTTGGACGGAGAATGACACTTTTCATGGGCGGTGTCATCATGCTTGCAGGCATCATTATGCAAGCTATGGCATCCACCGTGTATATTTTCATTGGGGCTAGGATCATCGGCGAGTGTTCTTCCTCGCTCACATTCACCCACACTGACTTTCGACTGCACAGGCGGTTTTGGCATGGCTTTCACTGTAAACGCAGCACCGTTGCTTATTAGCGAGCTAGCATATCCGACACAGGTTGGGAAATTTGACTCAAGATCACATTTGCAACTAATGAATATATGCAGCGTGGGAAATTGAGCTCGCTCTTCAACACAATGTGGTACTTCGGTAGCATTGTTTGTCAGTGATTAGCTTCTCAAGTCTTCTTATTATATCTTACGTTGTTTTTCAGCTGCGTGGATATGCTTAGGAGCTTATGATCGTGCCGGTGCTACGGTTTGGTCATGGCGGGCACCCGTGTTGGTGCAGCTGGTCATCCCCACTCTGCAAATCTCGCTAATATGGTCCGTCGAGTCTAAATCGATAGCCGTTGTATGAATCACTCAATACGAGACGTAGGCTTACCCCGGAGAGCCCAAGATATCTTGTGTCCAAGGGCTTGGTCAGTTGTTTCCATTTAAGCCATCTGGTATCTTCGTGGCCCTAACACCTCTTTCAGGAGTCTCAAGCTGCACGGATTCTTGCAAAGTACCACTCCACCAGCAACGATGAACGAGACCCTCTCGTAGTCTTCGAGATGGCACAGATTCGACACGCCTTGAAACTGGAGAAGGAAATTTCAAGCGGAACTTCGTACTGGACATGTTTCTCGACAGCAGGAAATAGGAAGCGTATGACCGTCATTTTCGCGATTGCACTCTTCTCGCAGTGGAGGTATGTCCCTTACCGGATTCCTCTCCTTCATTCCCATGATAAACGACTGCCTACAGTGGAAACGGCCTTGTCTCCTACTACATCAACATGGTTCTCAATGGCGTTGGCATCACGAGTACTCGGACCAAAGCAGCGATCAATGGCGGACTGCAGGTAAAGTTGTTGACTTTTTACTTGCTCGTGACCGGAGCTAAGGGTACGAATTTCCAGGTGTTTAACTTAGCCAGTGCCATCTGCGGTGCATTGCTCGTGGATAAGCTTGGCCGTAGAAAAGTCTTTTTAGTCTCAAACATCGGCATGCTCATCGGTACGCATGCTCTAGTCAAACCTACCTTACTTCCTGAGCTGATTTTATTAATGTAGCCTTTTCTATGTGGACACTTACTACAGCCCTATTCGATGTATCACAAAACGCAGCGGCTGCCAAAGGTAACGTCATCACGATCTCAAGCGCCTTTCGCAGACGCTGACGCTCTTCTAGCCACCGTTCCGCTCATTTTTCTCTATTATTTCTTCTACGACTTCGCTTATACGCCCATGCTCATCTCGTACACGCTTGAAATTCTACCATACAAAATCCGTGCCAGAGGTTTTGCCATCATGGTGATATTTACTCTCCCATCTAGCTTACCGCAAAGTGCTGATGTCATATACAGAACTTCACTGTTTATGCTGCGGTTGCGTTCAACCAATTTGTCAATCCGTGGGCCCTTGAAGCTTTGGGTTGGAGATATTACCTGGTCTACTGCGGGTGGTTGGTTCTTGAGTTGCTATTTATCATGGTTTACATTATCGAAACTAGAGGTGGGGTTTCATCCAGCTACGTAAGAACAAGCGACTGATTCAACGTAGGGAGAACGTTGGAAGAAACGGCTGCTCTGTTCGATGGAGAAAAGGGACCACAAGAGATCGAGGAAAAAGGAGGCGAAGCCGCGACCATGACTATGAACCAGCTCACCTCTCGGACAGGCAAGCGTGAAAAGGGTTTGGCCGAAGAAGAGTACTTTGAACTACAGGAGGGTAGCGGTTTCCACCTACCCAGTACAAGGCCGCCATCGCAGATGGATTCACAGTCAGAGGAGTCGGCCATCGCATTATCTGTTTAATGTTCCAAAACCACACACTGTATTTTATGCATATTTACTTGTAGTACCTGTAGTACTTTGTACGCATACGTCAATACGTCAACATTGGGTTATATAGTTCATTCTTGGATCCAAACTTCGACTTGCTTCGGCTTTGTATAAAACTCGCCCCATCCTTTGGAATCAATGCGAACTGGGGTATTGGTAGAGTCGAGAAGCGGTATATAAGTCTTGGTGACAGATTCCTGTAAGGTGCGTCATAAGCATTGTTCTTCGTCAGTGATAGCTAACATACTAAGCCCATGTTCATCCGAATACTGCATAGTGCTTTGCTGTATGCGCACATTGTCATCAAAGCCTTACTAGCACTGATTAAAACCAGCCGCACCTTGACTTCATAGTTCCGTTGCTGATTATCACAGCGCATCCCGGACGAGAAGATGACCCTCGGCGCACGAAGCCGACACAGTTTTTGTGGAGGAAGTAATCAACAGTCTCTCCATACGCATAGAGTTTCCTAGCGGTGAGCAGCTTCGTCACATTCCTAGCAACCGCTGCATCATAGCACTCTTTGTTTGGATAAATGTCACCGTAAAAGGCACAACTAAACGCTTCATTAGTCTACAGTTCGGAGTGAGCAACCAAACGTCACTTGCGGGTGACCGTGGGGGCGAAGAAGGATGAGTGCATATGCATGTACTTTGAAACTTGCATCAACCTGTTTACGTTCATTCATCATTCATCGTCATTTGCAAGGTAGGAAGTCCACTTCACGCACCCAGCTCTCCAAGCTTTGTCCAATTTGCTAATGATGCGTTTAGAAAACAGTCCAGGAAAGTCGATCTAACCTACCGTGCTTATGGCCTCATCAGTAAGCGAACGCTGGCCCCAAAAGCGTGCACCTACTCATGATTGTCTACAAAGGTTACTGCATCGCCAGGTCTGCAGTAAACAAGAGTATCATTAAAGATTGTTCGAAGATCAAATGCTTGGCCCTGTTCGCATGCTTGGTGAAACTTGAAGTGTAGTGGAACATCAAAGAACGTCGTCTATCCTAGGTCAGTAATTGTATTTTGGCCCTCAGTGAGCTCACCTGTCCCCGAAATGCCCTCACGTAGGGTAGGATCGTCCGCAGACTACAATGACTCGTTGAGTGCGAGCTTTGGCACAGGCGTAAGACGACACTTGCTTCCCCGACCAATATTCTGCAACCGCGAACATGTCGCGGTCAGCATTCCTTGCTTTCCCACTCTTGATCTATGTAATTTAAACAGCATAAGCTAGCAATTAGACCACACAGAATATCCCCAAATGAGAAATCTTACAAAGTCGAGGAGAAACCTCCGGTCCATATGCTTTATGGCGTCAAGCCTGTATCCGCCTGCGCCGGTGGTCTCAAAATATCTGAGTGCTATTTTAGAGGCTCTACGCTGCGGTCTAAATTACCTCGAGAATCCACTTCCCCCACGCGAGAAGGTCTTCTTTAACTTTGGGATGCCGATGATCGATCTATGCAAAATTGTTACCTACGCGACCCACGCATGACCCATGTACTACATACGTCACCGCCGAGTAAGTAATCGTAGTTTCCAAGCTCCTTGTCGACATGTTTAGACCAGCCCTGGTGCCCTTCGCCAGTGAATTTGTATATTGCTTTGCTTTTCGAGGAGTCATCCCAGTCAATGCCTAGTTGTACGATATTAAGCGGGAAATGTAAGTGGCCTTTTTTCAACTCACCAGTAAAGTGTTCTTGCGTCCAGCGCAAGTCGCTATACTAAGAAGGTTCATGCCAGTGAGAAATGGGGAATGTCGATGCTGCGAATTAATGGCCTGCGAACACGTACCTTTCCCATTCTACCTGTGAAGTCGTACGCTGTCCATGCCTATAGCGTGTTGGACTGCGACGTATGAGTGTGGGACAGCCCACGCACCTGTATGACTCTTTCTTTTCCTATTTCCTTTGTGCGATCGGTGGGGTCCACGGGGACTGCTGGAAACGATTCTCGGCGGTCCGCACCCATTTTATGCTGCCAATCTTCATGAGTCCTTGAGAGTTATTATCAACTAAGGAGAAACCAGTAATTCACATTGAGTACTGCATCTATCAAAATAAGAAGCTGGTGTTCCTTCGCGGTCTTGCAGGCGTCCAGAAGTTCCTCGCGGGTTCCCCACCTTGTAGCTACTGTGCCTTTCTGATCAAATTCGCCTAGATCCCACTAATCTCTTCAATCAATCCTTCTTATATTGAGAAGTTGTCATAAACTCCTTACAAGGTCGTAGGCATCGTATCCTTGACCAGTCTGTGTGGAGTCAAATAGTACGAAGGATATAGAACGGCCCTAACTACCAAACCTTTCGGGTGGCCTTATGAGGGGGCGGCAGCCATACTTGAGTGATGCCCATGTCTCTTAAAGATGCAACCTCAGATTGGAAGTGTTTCCACCAGCTCATAACAGGATGCCGAGCTTCCCAAGTGAAGAATTGGATCTTAAGAACGCTTATATGTGGGTTTCGTCATGGTTTCATGAGGCTTGCACTTACCATACACGCATTTTCGGAGCTTTCCTTGGGTCTGATGCGCATGTGAGATAAAGCTGGGGCTGAATACGCCCATGGGAGGGATTGGAATAGATTTCTTATGTCCATTACTGTTAAAGAAAGCGGCGAGCTCGAGCGGGAGTGTGTTGTATGTGGATGTTAGTTGGCGCAGCTGACGTTAAACGCGCGCTTTGTGACAGATAGGCGATTTAAAACTCCGCTCCAATAGAGTATATAATTGAAGATCTCACCACGCGAGGCTTTCCTTCAACCGTTTACTTGGCCGCTATCGCGACCGCGTTCTGTACAGGCGTTTCGTCTGCTTGGAGCACGGTCAAGGTTCGAGTTGCTCGCAAGACGGCCTATAACGAAGAACCCTCATTAATCGCTCTAATCACGAATTTCTACGCTGAGAAGAGTTTCATGACGAGGCAACAATTCATGTTTGCCTGTAACTATCCGTGGCACTATTATTATTGGTCCCATTCACTAGCTAGTAATTGAAAATTTCATGCTGTCTTATTCGTCAAGTTTCCACATCACATATCAAGGGATCGACAACACATAGTGCATGGCGGGCAAATGTAAACCAACACGCCATAGCATGACATACTTGTACATGACCCTATTTCGTCTGACTATCTGACTGGTCATACAGTGAACTGGCGGCGCACTAAACGTATGGACACTTAGCGCCGTGATGAAGCGGCAGCAAGCGCTGGCCAGACGTGCACTCCGTTGCTGAGAGAAGCAGGAGGTATAGCATAAAGCCATGGCGTGTTATGCAAAACAGTCGAGGCGCCGAAAAGACTCAGGCCCTCAGGCCTCGTATGTCAAAGATGGGCTCGGGGGTCCCATGAGACTTGCATCTAGCGCATAGTAGCCCATCATCTCCCACCAGCATGGCTTGGTCCAGAGCTGATTCGGCCTACTCGCCTAGGTACTACCTTGACTGGCGAAAGCTCTGTTGGGATGTTTAAACCATCACCGGCCTACCAAGAGCTTGATAGTAAGTGCCCTGCTTTCACGACAACGCGTCATTCGAGACTTACCTGGGTGAAGCTGTCCCAATTGAATGTTTGAGTTTGGGGCCCATTGAATATGTTGATCTTGCGCTTCTTCTTCTTGGGCTGCTCTCCGACATCAGATTCGTCAGAATCCGGACGTGCCTTCTTAGCGTCCGCCCTGCCTGCCTTGCTGGGGCCCTTCTTATCCTTTTTGATGGTCTGCTTTGCATCAGTGCTGTCTTCCTTGTTTGTTGAGCCTTTCTTCTTGGATGTAGTGCGCTTCATTTTCTCCTTCTCTTGGGCTTCATCCTCGCTTTCAGCAGGCGCGACCTTCTCTCGTTTAGCTTTTGAAGGTTTCGAAGTCGGTGCCGCTTTCGTTGGAACTGGTTCCGCCTCAAGATCGTCGGGGTCCTCTGAAGCGACGTCCTTTCGTGTCTTCTGCTTCGGTTTGGGTTTCGGCCGCGTAGAGTGCTCGAGGTCTGGTGAAGGAGGTCTGGCAGAAGTTTGCTCAATGTGTCCACTTTCCACCTGTTTGCTTATGGGCTAAGATTCGTTCAGTTCGTCAGGATATTCAAATATTCGAGGGGCGGGCAACGTACCTTTTGAGCCCTCGACGCTTTCTTGAGTTGTTGCTTAAGCTCAGCAACTTCTGCTTCCAACTCGGAAACCTTCTCCTGAGCACTGTCTGCGGCAGCTTTGTTATCTCCTGCGTGATCCTATCGAAACAGTTCAAAGTACGAACAAAGCGTAGCCAAATTCTGCACGCACCTTCCACTCTCCTAGCACTTCCTTTAATTTTTCTACTCGTTGTTTCTGCTTTTCAATGACGCGTGCCTGTTCGTCGTTCTCAGTTCTTGCCTCATCAAGGGTTTGTTGCGCTGCTTCGAGCTCACGATCAACTTGAGCCTTTGTCTTCCGCAGAACTTCGAGGTCAGCACGTTCGCCCTTTTTAAGGTTCTGCCAGTTGTCGTGCTGATGCTTCAATTCATCGTGCACATCTTTAGCCGCCTCCACTTCTCGCTCCAGTTCCGTCACGCGCGCTTGTAGTTTGTCACGTTGACTTGAAAGGCGTTCGAGTTTTGCGGAATGAGAATCGGATTTGGCATTCGCACTAGCGTGAACTTCCCGAAGCTGCCTTATCTCATCCTACAAAGTAGTGAGCTATAGAGAGCAAGAGACCGAATCACAAGCTTACCTCCATCTTCTCCTTTTCCATCCGACTCTCAGAAAGGTCCGCAGCAAGAACTTTGTTCTTCGTCTTCAGCTCCATGATTAGAGCTCGACGCTGCTCTAACTCTTCATCTATGTCTTGTATATTCACCCCTCTCTCTTCGAGTTCTTCTTGCAGCTCCATGATCTGATTCTCCAGCTCCGTCTCCCTTTGCTGAAACAGAGAAAGTCTGAAGTCTCTCTGAAGAAGGGCGACACTTTCGCGTCGGAGAGCCTCTCGCTCCTTGAGTACAGAAAGGCGTTCCGCCTCCAAGAGGGAGGCAGTCCTGAGGTGTGCTAAGCGATGGCAAGACTGTAGGGTGTCGCAACCGTCACGCCAATCCTTGCGTTCCTTCTGAAGTCTATCATTGCCTGATATTTCAGCATCGCGGACGCGCGCAACTTCGATGGCCAGATCTTCGCGAAGCTTCTTAATCGTCTTCTCGAGGTCGTTGTTCCGCTGAACGAGCTCTTTGATATGGCTCTGCTGAGATGTAGCCATCGCCTCGTACGGCGCATATGGGTGGCCTTTCGCGCGAACGGGAGTAGTGTTGGGTTTGGGGATGAGTGACTGAGCCATTGGGTTAGATGTGGTGAGAATTCAAGAGACTACCAAGGGGACGAAGGACGTGAACGATAGCGTTATGTAGCCACTTTCTCTGTCCCATTAATATTAATTGAGCCCGCGCGACACGGTCACGTGCCTACGTCCGGCGCAATAAACATATTATCCTTTATTTCCCGAAAATATTTTGGCGACCAATATTAATTGCGTTCAATGATTGAAGCTGCAGATTGCAATTGGTTGCAGGGATCTAATCGCAAATATCTGCATTGGGCGGCTATGATAAAGATGTTTGACAGATTTGAATCCAGTAAATTTATCGACACGAATTAATGATCATGTCGGCATACTATATAGTACTTGATAAATATGAAACAGTGCTAAAGTCAGGCAGCGTTCCCCTCAAGCAAACTCAGCTGTCGCAAAAGAACAAGTAACTTCACATCTTAGCCTTGGGCTGAGGATCATCTGAGATCTTGACAATCCTAGCAACAAAAGATCAGCCCAGCTCAGTATCACACGTAAATTTCACCAACAGCTTGCCAGTATTTTGGCCAAGGTAAAGCATCGGAAGAGCCTTGGGCGCATTCTCAAGACCTTCAACGATGTGAAAGCTGCGCTTGATTGAGCCATCGGCGACACCTTTGGCAATCTCTTGGATTGCCTCAGCGTATCTGTGCGCGTAGTCAAACCTACGTATGTTGGTTAGCGCTCCTGGTTGAGCTTTCGAGTTAGAATACACACACAACAAAACCTTCCATACGAGCACGTTGTCCGATCAAGGCTTGGTAGTTCCTGAGGCCTTTCGGTCCTACCATCGCAGTAGCGTCTGAACCTCAAGTCAGAGCAATACCTCAAAGAATACGTTCCACCCACTATAAGCGGATATGGCACCTAGACGATTAATTAAGTCATTTAGTTTAGAACACGTCCAGTGTCGGAGTAATCTCACCGCATAGCACAATGCGCGCGTTCTTCTTCAGCCGACTCATAGCGAGATCCAGCATTTCTCCCCCAACGTTGTCAAAGTACACGTCTAGATAGCCAACGGTTTTCCTAAAGTTGTCCTTGAACTTAGGGTCCTTGTAGTTGAGTACCTTGTCTTCATCTACGCCGGCCTCCTTGACGAGCCACTCGCACTTCGCGGGTGTTCCTGCGATAGCAATAACGGTCGCGCCCGCCTTCTTCCCGAGTTGACAGACAAGAGAGCCAACAGCACCTGCGGCGCCAGATACCACAAGGGTTTCGCCAGCCTTGATCTTGCCCACATCATGAAGGCCCTATACCAGCATCCAAGTTGATGGATTGTCAATTAAAGACCCAAACATTGTGCACGCACGAAGTAGGCAGTCATGCCTAAATATTGGACGATGGAGCTAGTTACCGACGAGCTAACAAAAAGGCTAACTAAGAGCGTACCTGGCGCGCCTAATGTGTTCATGAAATCCAGTGGAGTGGCTCCTGGGGGGCACCTGAGGTTGTGTTGGTCGCGATAGAGAACAGACTAGTCGATGTCACAAACGTAATGAGGGTGAGCTTCCTGTCGGGAAGCACGAGGAACTCCGCCCATCCTGCGATGAATATCAGTATGTCAAGAAGAACAAAGATATGTCACAATTATAGCGAAACCCACCAGTCATTCCGCCAACACGGTCTCCCACCTTGAACGTGCTCCCCTCCCCAACCTTGACAACGACTCCCTGACCCCCTGCGCGCATAACTGCACCTATTTGCACGGGCTCGATGTAACTGCGCACGTCGGCGAGCCAGCCGCGCATGGCAGGGTCGAGAGAGACATGAGTGACCTGGACAAGTGTTTCCTCTCTGCCCACTTTCAGCGAGCTCAATGGAAGTGTTTGAAGTTCAAACGTGTTCGAGTTAACCTCGGCTTCAGGACGCTCACGCAGCACGAGCTGTTTGAAAGTACTGGGGAGGGACATGACGACTGGTAGTGTTGTCCAGTAGAATGGGGTGTAGGAGAACGAAGGTCGATTCTCAGTTTTGTATGAAGGCTACCGGCAACTAGAGTCAGTTGTGCCGGTTTCAGAGGGAAATGCTGAGGCCAGCGCTGACCTCTGCTGAGGCCCTGGCGCCTGAGCGTTGCCCGAGACAATTCACCATGCATCAATGCATCATTCTTTGATCCCCATCCCGGTTGATGATGACTCCGGAAACAAGGAAGCCGGGTGGCCCCTATCTCATGCACCTGAAAATCAACACGTTCTTGTTCCTTGAACACTTACTAACGCCTGACCTAGAAACATGCCAGAAATTCCTACGAATGTTCTAGAATGACACTATTCGTTGACTAGACACCAAATTAGCATTACAGATAACACATCGATATTACATGAAGTGGAATTCAGATCTAAAGCACTCTACAAAGTTCCGACACTTTGCAGCCCTAAATCCCGAGCGACAACGCAACGGCCCCGATCCCGACCCTTTTCCGCTTCGAAAGCTTTGATAAGCGCGTCATTGCCCTCGTCAATCCTTGTGCAGACGGTTAGAGCGAATGAATTTCCCTGTTGACACTACTCTGACTTACCATTTGACAGGATGGGCTTCCTTCTCAAGAAGAACTTTGACTGTGGTCCAGGAGAAACGGACCAACGATGGAAATCCAAATGTTGGATCAACGGAAGACTTGAGCCATGCTTGAGTTGTAGGGTCTGGAATAGTTACTTCAAAATGAACCCGACAAGACGAGACGGGAGTCAAATACAATACTTACCAGAGGGGTACCCGCTACCAATGGTATTACCCCACTTCAGAAGGGAGTCTGAACTCAGAGTTCAATGACCGAAGTGCTTTACAAGAATATAAGCCGACATACCTTCTGATGCCACACCCTCTCCATCGCCTTGAGATGTAGACTCTTCGTACACCCAGTTCTCCAAACAGCTATCTCTCGTTACTTTAGCTCCCACGCTGGCGGCGCCAACTATCTTGAACAACGAGTCGGCCTTCTTCCGTACAGTGAAGGCAATCCCGGGAAAAATAGAAGAAAGCAGAGCAGTATATTTGTCGCAATCGCCAAGAGCATCAACGTATATCTTCCAAGAGGGTTAGACATAGAAGCCGTACGGCACGACGAAAGCCCACCTCTGATAGCTGAATTCCCTTCTGCAAGACTTCCTGGATCAGCAAGATAGTGGCATCTTGTGCCTGTTTGTTCAGGTTTATTGGAGGGTTACGGAGCATGCCAGCTGATATCGCCTGAGGACTGAAGTACATTCAAACAAGCTCTTTGTGCACAAAATCTGGTGTCCATACCTTAAAACACGTACGGCCCACCCTAGGTTATATGGGTCGGAATTGAGAACTCGCAGTAGCTCTTCGCGCTTCTGAGGCGTGAGTGTTTTAGAGTCTACAAGATGCTAGGCTTTCAGGTGCTCAATGTAAATGGTGAAGGACTACTGACTAACCTGCGAAGCCCATTCCTTCTAGCTGTTCTTCGTATGCCTTGGGGCAGAAAGCGACGCCGTACACCATAGGTCCCAATACAGGTCCCCGGCCGGCTTCATCGACACCAAGGATGTAGGGGCCTGAAGACGTGGGCAAATGTGAGTGGTGAGTATATGAGTCAATGACGAAGCGTTGCTCGAAAGGTCCTGCATTGGTCGACATGACGTCTAGCCAGAACACGCGTTCGCGTTATTTGTTTGTGCTATTAGGACATGATACGCATTAACCAATATTTAATACTTTAATTTGATTCGAGGTATGCAACGTTAACGTCTACTTATCAACGTGAGCGACTATGCCCTTAATTCGTAAGGTACGCGGCTAGTCGTTCTTAAACGGTTTAAGTTTAGCTGGCTATTCTTCTACTACTTAGACGGATCCCGAAGATAGTAAATTTGAAGATAATAAATAATGCATTGGAGTTCGAATAAAATCCGACTATCATACAAGGGCTAGTGATACATAGCGTAAACCGTCATATTCCAGCTGGTGGCGTTATGGTACTGTGCGGAAGAGCAATGGGAAGTCGTAGCGATAATTACTACAGTGGATATCGGTCATGCCACCCCCGTTTGGCATTATCTACGAATCTCCACGGGTCGGTTCGCAGAGATGCTGTCAAGCGTAAGGGCTCAGAAAGATGCTTTAGGGAATTGTTAGAATGACTCACATTTAGTCGCAAGGCATGGGTAGCCTTGTGTGTCATGGTACGACAATTGTAGCCGTACCTTGAGTATTCTAGTTAAATTTGGGTTGAGAGGAAGAAAATATGGAACACTCACCAGCAGTCATCAGATGGTGTCAAGATTCCTTCTGCAACCAGAGATTAGACGTCTACGCCGTCCATACATGGCAAGCCACTCACGTTGTTGTTTCCATTCCAACAGCCAGATGTGCATATGGCCGTTGAGCAAGGCGAGAAGGCACGGGAGGCAAAGGGGGTCATCTCGGCTTATGGCAGTCCAGTCCCCTCTTCGCAAGTCAAACACTTGACTAACCCAGTCTTCGTGAGCGATATTGCTGGAAGCCTGCCCCATTAACGCCCATTCCTGACTTGAATATCGCAGACATCCTTTCAATCTATTTTTAAGGCTGTGACGACTTTCATAACTCGGAAGTCTAGCCCAATCTAAGACGCGTTTGAGTATATCCTCCCTATAATGTGAGCGAACAGGACTGACTTCTCTGGCACCAAAGGTCATTGCCTTTGACTGTTTCCCCGTGGCATCGTACACCTGATCATCAAGGATATGTTGGGTTAAAAGGTGAATATTCAAGCCGTGAGGTGGACAAACAAGTATCGTTGGCGCCATATACTTCGTCCAGAATACCTCGACGAAGTCCCCTGGAGTCTTTATTGGAGGAAAATCGCGCTGACTTCCGTTCCTTGAGGATTTCTTCGAGTTGAAAAAAGCAAGCACTCGGTTGGATGTCATTTTCGGAAGCTTCGATCAGACTTTCCTCATATCGATTGTCCATGTCGCATGAGCCAGTCGTATGCACCTCCCAGAGTATCTCAGGACCGCAAAATGGCAGCCAGTCGGAAGCAACTTTAACATCCAACAAAATTTAGCGCATCAAAGCATCAAAGAAGAGACTGGGCTCACGAGTATATGCATCGGACCATTCAATGTGGTCACCATCGCGTGTGAGAGTACGCTGAGCTATGTCGTTCAGAAACTCGAGAACGTCCAAGATTTCTTCAAGCTGAGAAGTTGAGAATGCAGCAAAGAATTTTCTCCGGACACCCGTGTCCGAGAAAAGCTCGTTGTCATCTTCGGAGATCGCTTCAAGTCCGTACATGGAGCAGAATAACCACAGACGATACAAGGCTTGATGAAAGCGGACCTGTTCAATGAAGGTAAGGCGACTCTTCGAAGACCGTCGGTCTTTGACTCTGGTTTCACCGTAAGGCTGAGAAAAGTGAAAGCGCATGTCGAACCCACTTCCAGCTGAACGAATCTTCCATTTCGTTGACCATCTTAGCCCTGCTGGCGAGAGCCGCAATCTCTTCGCGCGTCATGCTTGGATTGATAAAGAGCTCATCCTCAGACAGCAGCTCATCAACCGGTTTCCGGTAAAGGTTATTACGCTCGCAACGCAAGAGTCTGACTGCTTGTGGGAGGCCGGGGCCGACGACATTCTCCAGCACGGCACGCACGGTTGACTTAGGATGGGCCTTGAAGACATCATGCACGAACTTGCATGAAAGGATCATGCATCCGAGAGTGTGTAGATCTTGGAGGTGTACAAGGACGCGGTCTGTAACGTCGGCATTGAATGGGAAAGACATGATGGGATGCATGGTATCTGTTCGTTCGACGATTTAGGGGTTAAATAGGGCGGTGATGGCTGTGCGTACATGAGGCGGGATGTCCTAATATAGAAAGGCGGGACCGCCAAGCCCGCCCATTTCCCGCCGCTGGGGCGCACATCGCGTCGGGCCCCGCACCGATGTGACTCACAATGAGTCTGACGCATACTGTATACAACGCGCATGCACCATGTGGTCGTTTTATTGTGGAAAATGCCGCCATACAGTATACACGGCGATGAATACACCCACAGCAATAAGCCCAATCTAGACGAGCTCGACAATGGTAAGCGGAATTCGAAGGCACAACCTTAGTTCAAGGAGATGAACCCGCCATCGGCTGACCCAGGCGGTCCCCTTGTCATCATGCCTCGCCTCGGGTCTGGCGATCCCATACCCATGCCACTCATACCCCCACCACCCATACCGCCCCCCATGTTAGGACTCATGTTCATACTAATAGGCCCCGGGCCGCCACCCATGCCCATGCCCATGTTCATGTTCATTCCGCCACCTCCGCCGCCTGCATTCAAGCTCACTCCCATGGGTCCGCCACCCATATTAATCACTCCACCTATACCCATGTTGCCCATTGCTCCGCGGGACGGGTCACTGTAGAAATGGCCTGCTGACACAGGGCTAAAAGGTGCATTGGAGAACCCTCCCCCAGGCTGCTGACTCGGATGATGCGGCGTGTGTGGCGTGTGGGGAGCGTGATGGGGTGGTACATGGGCAAGATGCCCAGGGTGGTGAGGAGCATGATGTTGAGGTGTGAGTGGTTGTTGGGACGAATGCGACCGCGTCATGCGAGGCGAGCGTTCCGCCTGGGCCCGTTCCCGTTCCCGCTCCCGCTCTCGCTGAGCGCGGTCTTGGTCAGCGCGAGGGTCATTCTCGCGAATGACTTCGAGAAGGGGTGTTGGGTCATAGTAAAGTTCGGAACCTTGGTCGACGTGGAACCTGAGCACCATCCAAGGGCATGTGAGTTGCAGCAAGGCAGTGGCCGTAGACACAACGTACATTTGTGTCCCTACATCCCATTGGGGTCCGCGGTCGGCACGAGCGGTAGCCAGAAGGGAGTTCCATTCGGACGCAGACTCCTGTATGTAGTGCAGGATGAGCTATAGTCTATTATTCCAGCTTGAAGTGACTAACGATGGCCTGTGAGAGTGCGTTATTCGTCGGATAGTAGGTTTGGACTCGGACGCTCTGGGTTTTTGCGACAGCTTCAATGTGAGAGGCAAACTTGGTTCCAACGCGCTGAGTGTTATGGCGGGGAACCTTGACTTTGATATTAACAGACGACTGGGAAGCAGTTGAGGGAGACATCACAAAACGCGAAACCAATAGTTCGAGACAAGTCGAGTTGTGGCTGTGAAGCACTTTACGACTAGTATGAATACAAGCCCAACGCTGCCAAAACACAGGTCAGCGCGCGAGTCTGTCGTTCGCATGCGCATACTACTAAGAATGTTCGTTTGGGCCACGCTCATCGACAAGAATAATTGCTATACATCACTAGGATTAAAATCAGTGTGAAGATATTGAAACTCGAGGCTACGGGAAGGGAAACACCGTTATAATGTCTCTACATAAACTCTAATATCATACTCATACGGTAGATTCAAACCTCGGCGCTGCACTCACTTGGTACCGGCCCATCAGGTTCCAGGTACACGGTACTCAATTCTATAGGGTGTCCAACTTCCTCCGTACTCCATGCAAGACCAGAAAGGTGACAAACATCATATCGATGAAGGTTGAGGATCATCTTTGGGCCGCACATTGATAAGACTAAGACTTGGGTAACGTTGAGAGCGGTCCAATATGTGGCGGCACCCGCACCGTACTAGAATGAAAAGTTCGTCAGCTTCGGCTCAGTTGTTTTCAGATAGACGTACTCCTTTGAGGCGGGGAACCCATCCTATGGTAGTCATCATCCCGGCGAAAAATACGCTAAAGGCAACAAAGGTAAGAAACAGTACGCAGACAGCAAACATGCGAACTAACATGATGAAATAAAGCAAGTTGTCTCTCACTACGAGTGCCAATAGACCACTGCGTGAAGAGTCTCGCCAGTGAGACTTGACGTGACCATAGAACCGGTAAAGCGCCAAAACTAAGAGAATGATCTCAAAGGCCGTTGGAAGGGCAGCATTTAGACTGTATATCCACATATCCTGCTTATGCGCAGGAAGGGCAGTATGACAGGTTGACTCGGGAAGCACATACTCTCCTATGGTAAGATAAAACCGCCTTAGCAACTGTATGCAACAGCAAAGGCATGGGTCATCTTACCGGTTCCCAGCCTTGCTATGATGCCTAGAGCGACAAGACAAGTACCCTGAGCAACGATAAACGATACCAACAGAAATCTCAGCATAGCCGTAGAAGGTTTGTATAGCGCGTATACGCGTATGGCCATGAGCCCTTAACGACTGGTGAGCGTCGCGTAGATATTGCGTAAGTCTGCCCTACCTTGTACCATAAAAAACAACACTGCTTGACATATTAGCACAATGAAGTCCACTATGCGACCTAGAGTGGAACATGGGCCCAGTGACTTCACAGAGCGGGAAATGGGTCATGCATACATCTGGCAAATTTTTTGAGGGAGGCACGATGGTAAGAGCAGGATACTCCATCCTTCCTGTTAATGGCACTCACGACTGCAGCGGACTTGAGCGTTGAGGTTGAGAAGGTTCGAATGAATGCTCACCTGCTTAGACAAAGACAAGGGCAAATCCTCTACTAAAACTGATGTTAACGACTCTGTCCCGGGTCAGCGACGTACGGGGAAGACATGCACGTACACATCAAGAACCTGGGTCGTACTAGAAATCAACATCAAACCAAAAGTCACTTCCAAAATACACAGCTCACAAGACGAATATGATCCCAATATAGCGAAGCTAGTGCCTCTCAGCAACCATATCAACCGGACAAGGTCGGATGAAACACACCACAAAGTAATAGACGATGGACGGTGAAAGCCTTTTGCTCTAAAATGTCGCATCAGAACCTGCTTGAAGTTCTTGCTTCGACTACTCACCCATATCAGCTCAAGCTAAGTTACGAGTCGAGGGATTAGATGTTGCTCGGTTGTCACTCGCTCGAGATTACATTACCTCAGAGCCGATATGAATCACTAGGTGCAGAGACGTGTGAATGAAATCTTAGTGACGCGCTGAATTAAGGTAAGCTTACAATAGTCATAGATCACAACTCCAAACATAGCGACTGGAATGCATCATCGATAATGGTTATTGTTTGTGAGCTCTCGATCATGATGATTTCATTACTCACCGTCGCCATATGTGATGATTTGCGCGAACCTCTCCCATTCAGCCTTGCTGGGGGCTGAGGGGAGGCCCTCGAGGGACATATTGGGAGTCGGGACGCGGCGACAAAAAGACGGAAACGTTGCTCTACATATATATGTGATCATGAGGCACGTTGTATGACAAGAGCAACTGAGACAGGCCCTTTCATTTGATTGCTCGCTTGCGGCATCACAATCTACGTCAAACTCAAATGACCCTGGATTGAGCCAGGGATGCCCTATTTATTCCGGACTCTAAAGCCTGCCAAGTTCGCGACGTAGCAATTAGCCTGCGAGGTTTTCAGAAGCAACCCCATATAAGCAAACGCCGACTACGAGACAAACGGCCAAAAGCAGCTTCTTGAAGATCCCGCGCGTGGCAACAAGAATGAATAGCTTCCGTGTTAATAACATGAAGCAACGTAATAAAGAGTCTTTCTGCGATGAAGCATTCCGCGAATGAATTGGCCATGAAGTGGTGGGCGCCGTCGCAGCCTACTAATATACTATGATTGAGTACTGTTCACTCCAAAAGCAATATCCTGTATTTTGCCTTGAAGTTTCAAGTCCCTTGTCAAGTTCCACATACATATGCACAGTGAAGCGGCTGGCATCTGACATTGAACCCGAGCTTAGTCCAAGGGGCACCACAAAGACTCAATGACACAGTCGCGGGGACTACGGTTGTACGGGGCCGAATAAACAAGCACTGTGACAAGAAAATCCTGTAAGTTCAGCACCAACGTTGACCTCCTCATGAATTCAGGAATCCAATCTTGACGCTTCAGACTGATATACTGCATGACATGGACTAATTGACGTAATCAACGACCGACGACCTTCTTCTAGTGTTGCCGCAAGGTGAGGTACCTTGAGGAAATATTCAAGTAGACTCGTAACACAGCCTCACCTTATGCGGCCTAATAAGGCAACGAGCCACAGGCTCTCGCGTCAGGGAGACTGGGATAAAATGTCGACCCGCTGGCAGGCGACCGACGGAGTTTGAAGTTTGGCTCGGCCCGAGAGAGATCACCGTCCGAATAGGGAAAATCAGCCCCTGTAGATTAGATACGACGCGTCTGAACGCGCTCCCCGCCTCATGAACGCGTCGAGCCCATGTACTTATGTCCTTATCCCTTACTCCACTCCTTTAAATTATGAATGAACATTACATCAGCGATATACCCGGGGCCCTGTCCAATAACGCGCGCGATTCGCTCAAGAAGCTCCCCCGATCCTTCCTTGACAATCTTACATTCAAGCAGGTCGAGACGGTTTTTGCAATGACAACATGGTTCGACGCTCGATTCTCAGGCGAGCGAAACGCTACGACACTTTCAAATTGAAGCTGCTATCCGAAACATAGCAGGAGAGCATGTTATTGTCCGCGCAGGAACAGGCTACAACAAGACTTTAGCCACGATACTTTCACTAATCTTTGCACCTACTCGAAAAATCGCGATTACAGTCTCACCGCTCAAACTTCTTCAACAGAACCATGTGAGCTCTATTCCTGTTATAAACGCTCACCTAACAACCGCAAAGGTCGAGGAATTTAATAGCTACGGTATTTGCACTGTCCAAATCAACGAGAATACACCCGATGACAAGAAACTTTGGAGCCTGTGTACATCCCGTGCATATATCTACTAAGCTTTACTCTATTTTATCCAGGACATCGCTCGAGGTGTATACCAGAATATACTGGTTGCACCCGATCAGTTCTTTCGGTTTAAAGGGCACATACTCCGCCTCGCCTCGCTCATCATGCGAGTTCATTTGTTCAGCAAAAACATCGGTGATCTCCTCAGTCTGTGGCCGACAGAGGCCTTCTTGACGAGAATATCCATAGCAATGGAGATCTTGTTCTCCTCCAGAGCAAACAATTCCTCAGCATAGACGAGATCGATTGCCTTGACCCCAGCCTCCGAGACAGCATGCAAGAGTTCGTTCTTCCTCTGTTCCATAGTAAGAGTCCCTAGCCAGTTGTAGTCCCAGATGAGCGGACGAGCAGTCGCCTGAGCGTAGGGATGGCCATATCCGTAGTACGTCGCCATGCCATTCGAGTGCTTCATGCGGGGAGGGACAGCATAAAAACGCGATTATATTCGACTATCTACGACGCGTTGGTGGACGCGTCGAATACCCCTGAGGCTAAGATAACGGGCGTCGATCGCCTCGGCACCACAATGCCGGCTTCGCGAAGTCCTTACAAATCCTTTCCCATCCGCCAACTTTCACACTCCGTCGGTCGCCTGCCAGGGCCTCGACGAAATATCCCAGTCTTCGCTACGCGAGAGCCCGAGGCTCGTTACCCGATTAGGGTGCGTCAGCGAAGACTGGTTACGAGTCTAATATTCAAGTTCAAGGTGACCTTAAGTTGACAGATATACCAAATGCGGAACCTTGAGATGACCTTGAGGTGATCCAGGCAATGTCCGGGCGTTGCCGCATCAGTGCCTTCCTCTCTTGGGCAAACCCCCTATGATCGTGAACTGTTCATCGCTGCCACTAATGTACCAAGTACTGCATGCAGGGACCGTTAATTCACCATGCTTCGCAGGTTGAAAATGATTTCTGTATTAGGAGGGGGCTCGTAGAGAAGATTCGCTGCTTTATTTTATGCAGATGTTGTTAGAACTTGCTGGCACCAGGGGGAATCGAACGCGTCAAGAGTCAAAATGGGTAGCAATGTTACCCGCTAGACTACGAAGCCGTGTTGGCGCCGTTTGTAGCGCATAATTATCAATAGCTAAACCCCACTAAACCCCAATGGGGACTATTCCTGCTTACTCAGAGGTGTCCGCGCCGATAACCAAGGGTTCTCCCTGATTAGGTCAACACCTTGATGCGACCTTGACTCGTCTCAAGAGGTCCCAAGGTTAGCTTGAGGTCAGCTTAAGCTGCTTATAGTACCCAAATCTGGACCTTAAGCTCACCTTCACCTTACCTTGCGGCAACACTACCTTCTTCAGACAAGTCTTCAGAGCCCAACTCAGAGCCGTAACGACGGCGGAACGAGTGGACCATAGTCGTGGGCGGGCCCAGAGCGGTGGCATTAATTTCCGCCAATGCAGTTGCTCTCACCAAAGAACGAGATCTGTATTATTCAGTTTCTTCACTACGGTTATTTTTGCTGGATATCTTCGAGAGAAGGTGCCTCACCTTAAAAGGCCGATGGCGTTTGAAAGAAAACATCATTGATTGGGTAGTTGGTGAATACATTTTCAATGCGCCCACAACATCCCCAAGGTTGTGGCCATGTTGTACTTAAGGAACTTGTAAGGGCAGGAACAGCTGTGAGGAATGTGGCGATATAGTCACGGCCCAGCCGAATTCCCGGTTAGCAAATCACTGCAGGCAAGATGGCGAGGATGGTATCGTCGCCATATGTGACCGCACGAGAGTACTCGTGAATAGGTGGTACCACTACTAGTAGTACTAGGGCCAACAGGATGTCTGAGGGCGAAGATACCGCTCAGGCTGGTCAGCAGCTACAACAGTTGTGACTGAAACTACCGATTGTTTAGTCAAAGATACTGAGATGGAGCTCACTTGCTCACAAAAGATGCGAAGCCTGTATCGCAACGACATTGGGGACCGACGAGGAAACGCGCTTTCCGAGATCATCGATCATCTCGAACTCGGAGATACCGTACCGGTCAACCATAACAAGCAACCAGTAGTGTTTAGGTTTTGATGGGAACTCCGATGCACGCCGGCGAGACGCGAGCTACTTATTTGAACCTAGCTTGAACGAACCCTACGCACTCCTACGCATCTGCATGATGTGTCTCCCCACGTTTCTACTATTTCCGTCCTCTCCCTCAGGTATCATCGACCTTTATGGCGCTATGGAGATTCTTGCCGCTTTTTTCATCGCTGTCATGCCATTGCCCGTAATATCGGCGGGCCAGGCAAGGACCGCAAGGTCGCGAGTTTCTTTGCTACTAGTCGACAGCGTAAACGCTTATGAGACGGTCTTGGGCCGACTGAGGATGAGGGATTCTAATCATCTCACTCTTCGACGTCTTCAGACCACGACCTCCGCATATCTTGTTGCGGGTTCCCTACCTCCGGTCGTCAGGCAACACGAATGCCGATGAATCTTTCTGGTGAGCATGATTCGTCTTGTCGTGCAGCCCTTAATTGGTTGAGCCTTTGCTGTCAGTGGGCAGTGCGGAACTACTGTGATGAGGGGTATTCTACGAATGACCGTTTACTGGCCCGGATCGTCATGTATGGCGCTGGGCCCTGATAACTTTGAAGACGCAACACCAATCTCTTTCCATGGAGCACTGTCCTACAGGCTAACTCTCGGCGCCTGGTATACGTACCTCAGCCAAGTCTAGGCCCATTGAGCGCTCGTTTGCACCGCACCCTTTTCTTTCTTGATTGTGGATTCCCTAGTATGGGATGGAAGATCGAGACAGGTTCTTTTCCCTGGTTTTAGGCCTATCTAGACTCGCCGTTCACTTGTTGCAGTTGATCTGAGTCTTTTCTCTTCATACTGCTCTCGGTCTGATACGTGCAGGAAACGACGTGTAACCTCGCTAGGGGTCCCATACCTTTCTATGTCTTCCGTCCACCAGCACATCAGGATTATCACCCGATGCCTAGAGAATGCCTTACTATTGATCCAATCGACTCTACCAAGAGTCCTTGCGACCATTTCGTAAGGGTTGTCAGGCCTTACACCATTTGACCAGTGATTCCAGTTGTTGGGCCCTTCCTCTCAGGATCTTTAAGTCTACGGGAGATCTAGGCTCGACGGCTCCTAGCTCTAGATCGTGGCATCAGACAAGGGTCTTTGGCTCGTCCAAAATTCAATGGTGCGGTCCTCCTACTCAAACAAACACACTGTACTACCCCCAAACATCTCATGTCAGCGCGGTTTCGTGACGGTGCGATACCACGATAAATAAGCACTCGGATTAGGACCGCCGTCCTCCTTCTTTACCTTGATGTCCGTCGTCATGCTATCCATGCAGGGCCTGCTCCGTCTAACTGCTGCTCGTGCCAGATGCATGCCTTCCTCAGCTCGCTTGGATGAGCTCGATGAGCAGCGGAGGGCCTCAATGAATATTGTATGTGGTGGCTTGGTTTCAGACCTATCTCTGCCTCACGAGCTAGTCTAGCTGGCGGCTTTGCTTGCGTTAGTATTCAGGACTTTGTGAGGGCAAGAGTTCTCGAGTGGTGCTAACTTATCCACAGTCTTCACACCATTAGTCAGTTTCAAGCCCTCGCGGCGGCGACCTTAGGATTGTTCTTGTATACAGTGACGGTTCATATCACGTCTAGACTACTGTCTCGCGAGACGTTAGAGGTTTGCATCCGCCGACACATTTAGAATTCTAAAATGCTGACAGTTGGATGGTTTGTAAACTTGTAAACTCAGACAGTCGATGCGGGTGTCTTTGGTCTACTCAACGCAATACCCGGCCTTGGCATCATCGCAATAACATGTGTACAGCTGGCGTATACTATACCACCTTGGGCTGCCGGCTGCGCTATTTGTGCCTGTGTCGCACCTCCCTTGGTGATACTTGTTCTGGTGGCTTGTGCCAAGTCGGAGGAGGCCGATGACCCTTCAACGTCCACTTATTCATCGTCTTCACGCGAGGCCGAGATGGCACAACTCTGAACCGGCCCTTCTCCTAAGCATGTGCATATCTTTCGTTCCGTCACCTTAAGTAGTTCCCCGCTTGCTGACCATTTCTCCTTGTATATACCACACATTGTTTTCACTGGAATCTGTCGCTTGAATCAACATATGCAGGCTAACGCTAGTGCCTACAACTGCCCCGTACCAACTTTTTTTTTGCCCGTAGCGTTCTATCCTTGCAGTTGTTGTAGAAAGCGCAAGAATTTACAAGAATTAGTTATAAATAAGAATATACAATATGTAGATCCTGGGACCAATACCACGCAGGAAGTTGTCCCGTCCGAGAAACTACATATCCCACTCGTCCCAGATGCCCTCTGTCGAGAACGTTGAGGCGGACGCCGTGCTCGGCGTCTCCAGCATTGCCGTCTCATTGAGCTCGACGATTTTGTCACTCACACCATCGCGGTCGTCCTTCTCCCCACGCATAGCTACGAGCAAGGGCTCCTCCACCCCTCCGTTCGCTGGACGGAGGCTCGAGTGCAGGAGTAACCGAACATCCGTGCCCTCGAACACCTGCACAAGCTTGCCCGCCGCTAGTGTGCGCACCTCGACAAACTCGGACGAGAAGAGAAGGACGTGTGCGCCGCGATGTGCGAAGGATTGAGCGGGTGTCTCCCATCGGATGTAGCCGCATGAACGCGAGGGATGGCCGTGTTTCGTAATGAACGTGCCGATTGCTGAGCAAGGTCATCACCAGAATTAATTGGGTGATCTGAGGTTAATAAAGGAAAGAACACTTACTGTCATACACAACAAGTAGTTCTGACGCATCACACCGTATAAGCCCAAGCGGTTTGGCAGCTTCACATCGGGACTTAAGGTCCGCCACGCGTTTATTTGTCGCCGAGTCGCTGAAATCTGGCACGACAGCAACGACAGAATTTGATGCACTGGGGCTGATCAGGGGGTTGTATTCTGACCTGTGGCATATACACTCACTGTGTAGGATCTGCGATGACAATTCCCTTTTCCGTGGCAATGGCGATCGTCTTCGTCAGCGTCGTGACCGAATACGCGTCCTTTGGAACATATAATGGCTGCGACAACATATTGGGTTAGACAAAGAGTTAATTATATTCATAGGCAGCACACACCTCGCCATATGGTCGGAATGATGACGTCATGTTTCGAGAGCCAAAAACACTATTACTGCTCCGCACGGGACGTAGGGAGAGATCAGACGACGAGATAGCTTCAAGAGCGTGCACCGTAACCTGCAGGAAAGTCTTCACCGCGTATACCACTTGCCTAGTAATCAGCATAGTGCAAAGTGAGTGCATTCATAAAGGACAAAACTCACGCAGCACTCTTCCACCAATTCTACCCGCACGGCAAAACAGAACATTCCCGTCGTGCCCTGCTATCTTCTCTAGGCTCGCATCCAGGCTGCTTGGTGGGCTCTGGCTCTGCGAGACACGCGCAAGAAGGTCCAGCGAATAAGAGATGAGGTAACTGTCGTGATGGATCACGAATCGATTGCTTTCCTGCAAGGCAATGATGGTGTTTGGGTTCGGATAACTAAGCACGCGCTGAAAGCCTAAGGAAGGGACATGTCAGAAAGTAGGGAGATAGCGATATAAGGATGCGCACGCGAGTCACCGCGGAGACCAACATAAATCCCCGACGCGCTACCAACAGCCATGAACCTTCGTCCACCCATCGCAGTGAAGGAAACAGCATTAATGACACGACCGCTCTTCTTCCCGGATAGCTGTGATGCTCGAGAACCACTTGAGCGGAAGAAACCATCGTCGAGGACTTCAGGTGCAAATATCTGCCAAGATGGATCGTGTCAAAATATTATGAACTGGGGGTGCAAGGAAGCCGTACTTTATTTGCATCCCGACGTGCATCATGCACACCTTTCGCGTCTACGAGGGCGTCGCGCCACTTAAGCCGTGCCCCATCACTTGGTGCATAAAGAGTATAGCGCCTTTGGGCTTTGGCCGCGGCGTGATACACTGTGAAAGGGTAGACCGGCCGTGTCTGCATCCGTAAACTATCGAGTAATCCGCCATCCTCGGCCCGTTCTTTGCGTCCCTCCGGGGGAGCGTCAAAAGAACCTAGTCGAAGGTATTCGAGTGGTATGGGCTATCATCGAGAAAGTGGGCCATAGCGCAAAGCATTGGATTGGGAGGACTTACTCGAGACGACACGTATCGCTTTGTTACACCTCCTGGTTTCTTTTCCTCCCGTGTAAGGAGAACTGAAGAATGTTGAGCAACAACAATTGTATGCACCAACTGGAGAAACGCACGATAATTATCAAGGAGAGCAACGAACAGGTCGTTCCAACCATGCCAATCAATCTCGGACTTACTGTGACGTGCAAGGTTGCCACAATGTACGAGCGTCCGACTCTCATCATACCAATCGATATCCTGCGCTCTCGTGAGACATTCTGTGGATCGGCAACATTCAAGATTGAAGCACTTACAATCAGCTCCCCGACCGCAAAGCTCAAGCTCTCGCACAAGTTGTAGAATTTGACCTTGTTCTCAGCTGCAGCAATACCCGGCTGAGTGCTCTTCAAGAAGTCGCTCAATAGCTCGAGTAAAATGGGAAGCTCGTCTTTATCGGGATGACCCGGTTCAGTGATCTTCTCAACATGCTGAAGTATGAGATTCAACCGCGGAAGACGCGTTACCGGGCGTGACAGGAAGGTCGCGAGATCGCGTTTCCGTACGCGGGGGTCCGAAGCGCGTGCTGAGATGAAAGCCTGGTAAGCCCGGTTCCGTTTTAGTTCGGTTCGGTGGAGTTCCTCCGCCAGTGGGTAGTGCTTGATGTACGCTTCATAGTCGGAGCGGAAGGAAAAAGAGCCTTCCATGGATGACATGGTGTAGATAAATTGAGTTAGAGTATAAGGAGAAGCACTTACCTTCAAGGATGATATCGGTTACACTTTGAATGATTGGATGCTGTTCCTCTTGACGGGTAAACAGAAGGCCTAGCATGCGTTTGTGATGTGCAAGGATGTCTCCGAGGTTATAGAATAGCTCTTTTATGAACGCATGGAGTCTGTCGCCAGCAATGACAGGGGGATTCGCGGATCGTAAAGGTTCAATGAATACCTTGTCAAGACGAAGTCTCATTAATATACTCTAACTCTGTAAAACAGCCAAAAACTCACCTGTCGTACTAGTTCAAGGTCTGCGACGTAGTCACGTTCAGATTTGAACACCTCGAAAAGCACAGACTGCCTCTCCACTTCACGTTTCCCGAGGCTATCGCGAGCTTCCTGTGGCACTAGGCGGTACCATTCCGAGTCTTCGTCTGATAGTTCACCCTTCTGGAAACGTCGTAGACCTTCATCTGATTGTAGCCTGGAAATGCAGTTAGAATACACGCAAAGAACCGCGGCGATGAAGTTACCCACGTCAGGTTACTGAGCTCGCGTGACAGTCCCGGCATGGTAGCCTGCGATGTGCATCTCATCAATCTCACATCTGCCTGGATGAGATAACAGGGGCCAGCCACTCACCTCCTCAAATGAGGACGCAGCCGAACCTGCTGAGGCTGGAGTAGACTCTCCTGTGGCGACATCTCTTGCGTGTGCCGAGTGACCTACATCAGAACGACTGGAGCGATGACGGGGGTAATGTGTGGCCGGAGAGAGCGAGCGCGGGCTCGCTGCGGGGGACGTTGATGCGACGGAGAACGATGCCGACGAGGCATGGGATGGGTGAAGGGAAGATCGAGCCGAGTTAGAGCGATGGATCTCGGGCTCAGGGAAGGCGAGAAAGCCGCCAGGGGGCGGGGCGGTCTCGTATGCGCTGCGAACGTTGCGGCGGATTAGGAGCGGCGGGCCTCGTGGAACGGGTGTTTGCCAGTTCTTAGGCGGAACAGGTGGTGGACGGCTCGAGGTCGGTGTAGCATCATACAAGTTGGTATTTGGGGATGAGTTGAGCTCGAAGGCGTATGGTGCGTAGGCTTCGACTGGACTCGGGTTGACTGGGGGGCGGGCACCAGGCGGGATAGAGAGATGCGGATATGGGCGGTGATTATGCATTGTGTTCACGAATTCTACCTAACAGTGAGGAGGAGCGTGTAGTGGACACAGCACCGCAAGCAACGCTGCTAGATCAGGGCAGTACAGGTAATATTACGATCCTCACAATAGCTGTCGCTCTAACGTCCAATGATCTTTGCCGATTTTCTCGATATGTCAAGGAGATAAACGGTGGGCTACTGTGGAAGACGCGTCTCGCGATGAAGTAGGGAGAAGAAACTTCGGGAAGGAGCTAGTTCGCGATAACTGACAAGATCATTATGATGCAAGCTTTACAATAGCCGCCAAAGATTATACATATTGATCCACTCCATATGCGCATGCACAACGTCATGTCTCCAAAAGTCGACACCATTTATAGACGTTGCTAGAGGTCATGTTTCCCGGGCCCGTAGAGCTCTGGATGTATAGAAACAAATGATTGATTTTTGGTTACAAATAAAAACGGTCCAGTACAACCAGTTGGGTAATCCTAGGCAGTGTCCTGCGCACCATTATACCGATATATTACAAATAGTCAGGGACCTTCTTGTTATCCGTAGCAAGATACAAGAACACAAGATCGTGGCTCAAATTACGCAGCAGCTTGCATGAATAGTAGTAGCTCACAAGAGCACACCATTAATTCCGGCGCACTCTCGGTGCCGGCAGAAGGCCCATTAAACCAAAAGCGAGTGCATACATCCCGGATGCTGTGAGAGCAGTTAGCGCTCAACAAGGACGCCCGACACGAACCGAACAAGGATACGAACCTCCAACAATACCTTTGACGTACCCTAGATTCGACCATCGGCCGAGCGTAAGCGCGAGCAGAGACCAGCCGGAAAGGATGGCGCCGGTAAGGACAGGGATCACGGACGACAGAGTGCCAGATTCACGCCAAGAGCGGTACTGTGCCCAAAGCAGCGCGTTTAGGAAGGAAAGGGCTGGATCCGGATGAGACTTACGTTGGGCTCAATGCCGCGTATCCAAGGCATAAGTAGTACATAAAGAAAGAGGCCGACAACAAGCGCGCCGAGTGCAAGCGCACTACCTGCTGACGTTCTGTGACCCGAAGAGAGTAAGAAAAGCGCGGCAGATTATGAGGATGTTGTCAGTAGATGCACCTTTCCCAAAGTCCCTCGCCATGAGAGAGAATGGCCAAGAAGGCATGATGGGCGTCAAGCCAGTAGGTGAGGGCTGCGCCCGGGAATACGAAGCGTAGCTGACGGCGTGTATGAGCTGAAAATGTTGACTGGTACGCGCTCGACATTGTTGCTGCGTCGCGTCACTAGATATTCAGAGAGATGTAGATGACAATTGCTGGAAGGTTTGGGGAGGATGGCGCTGGGGATAGGAAGAGGTCCAAGGGGATGGATGGAAGTTTCGTGAGAACGCGCTGGGGCGAGAGGGGATGTGTGCAGATGTGTTGACACGGAAGGGCGGGGAGAAAGAACGCGAGATGCGGCGAAGGGCGAAGAGAGAGAACGTGGCTGGATGGGGTTTGCTGTAACGTCCATCGCATGATGTGAGTGTGCACAAGCTCGCCGTCTAAATCAGAATCACATGCAACCTTGCTCGGAACGCAACGATCGGCCCGATTTCATCCTATGACGCATCCTGACGCATCTCCATTTCTCCGGTCATCCTCGGAGTCATATTTGCCCTCATGAGCTTACTGTAAACAACGGAATTGTAGACTTTGTAGTGCGGCCAGAGTGTATGATAGAAAAAATGGCTTGAGCGGAGTGCGGACCCAAGAAAAATTGATACAATGTCCAATCTTACTCCATAATTGACAATCATGTAAATAATAATCACCCAAAGAAAGTCACGGAAGAGGAGAGTTACCGAAGAGGCTGAGGCCAATCCGGAAGGCTCGACAACGCCGCATTGCATGACTCTCGCACTCGTCGTTTGCCTGCAGCATCGCCCGATTGCCGATAATGATCGTGCACCTCGTGCAGCTGGAATACACAAGCCGCAATTGTGTCTACACCGGAAGTACTGAGCAAACCTGGATGGCACCCATGGGCAAGATAACTCACCGTGATTCGAGTTCGCGTCCTTGTACATTTGTCTCCAGCGTTCGGCCTCAGGGTTATACTCTCCATACCCACCCCCACCGAACAGTCCGGGCGCGCCTTGAGGCCCAAGCTGAGCGACGTACCGCCCAAGCTCATCTTTTCGTGTACCCCACGCCGCTTTGAGCACGTCGCATGAGTTGAACATTTGCCTCCACGTGTATACATCCCACGCCTCGAGCTCTGTCTTGTGCGTACGGATCCAATCGCGTGGGTGAGGCTGGCCTCCTGGTACACCTCCCGTGAAGCCCGAGGCAGATCCGCCTGCACCACCAGAGTTGTTGTAGCCGTTCATCTGTTGCTGCTGCTGCTGCTGCTGCTGGCCATTGTAAGGATCAAATTCAGATAAATACTGGGCGTTTTGCAGCTGCTGGTGGTAGCCAGTCTGCTGGGGATACTGCTGCCCGGGGTATTGTTGCTGCTGGCCGCCGTACGAGCCTGTTTGACCTGGGTTTTGATAACCAGTCGCGTATGGCTGTTGGAATTGCTGTTGCTGCCCATCAACGGCGGAGACGAGCTGCTGGCCAAAAGAGCTACTCGGCTGGAAGCCACGTCCAGTGGGCTGCGAGCCTATTGACCTACAAATGCCGAATATCGATGTATTTAGTAGTTGATCGGGATGTGGAAGGCGGTAACGCACCCTCCTCCGGGCGAGAAGCCTGGCTGCTGCTGGCCCCATGGCTGCACAGTGGGCTGGGGCTGGTAACCGCTGTACTGCTGATTCGCGAATTGACCCTGTTGCTGACCATATGGTTGCTGTTGCGGTTGATACCCGCCGTACCCCTGTTGGGGCTGGTTTCCGAGCGGGGGAGACGACAAGCCAGACGAGCCAGAGATGTCTGGAAACCGCGTGTGAGGATTCGATGGATCGTTCACAAAAGGATTGTTCGAAAGCTCAATGGGCGTTGAGTTCCGGTCGTAGGAGTTGGCATACATTGTTTGGCCTGAGGTCTCAAGGGGATCGGGGATCAGAGATGCGTAGTCGAGGTGGGGTGGTGATGATAGTAAGGGACCTGTGGACCTCGTCACTTATATGGGCGAAGGTATGCAGGTGCGTGCAGTGCAGCTCAGAGTCTGTGTAAGCCTTGTAAAAGTAATAGTCAATGGGAGGAAGCTGTGAGGGTGAAGGTTTGCTGAGGCTCCAGCTGCGGGCGGTGCGCAGCTGCGAGATATCCGACCGGCAGTCCGGTTTCGGCCAGAGCGAATTCGATGGCGTAATGGCAGTGCTAATTCTGGCCCCTCCCAGTACTAGCTTTCATGTTGACGAAAGTGCTAGCACGCATCTGAGACGCGCGATTATACACGATATAGCCTAGAGGCATCCGCCCACCTCAAAACTGGTGTACTGGCGTCTGTTAGCCTCACCGGACTGACTGCTTTGATGCTAGTGATTGCAGGTCACAAGTCCTATGGAACTCTGGAACGGCTTTGTGCTGGTGAGAACCGTTGGTGTTGGGTGCGCGCCTTGAATGCCCGGCAATTGAGGGTTCATGGGTCTTGAGGAAGTTGCTCGAGTTTTATAAGAGGCACAGGAAATTATTGTTGCAAACAAGCTCTAGAGACTCAAAGTTGAAATCATTAACCGAGCTTCGGGCGGTTGGAGAAAAGCGATGTTGTTTGTTGTTTGTCGGTAATTATAAGTTGTTCATCGCATTTTACCTTGACTTTCTTTGCCTTGAATCACCGTGACATCGATATTCTCCTGGTGCCTCGTCCTCATTGCGTCTGTATGGCCTAACTTATCTCTCATTACTCTACAGAGGCGTGCGCAAACCTAGTCCGCTGAACGCCGTTCAATCGCGCTAATCGCTCCGGTCCAACCAACGAGGCATAAAAACGTGCACCCTATCGATCATCCAACACTCACGTTGATCGTCAAACTCCAAGTCAATCTGGAGCTCAGTTGCTACTAGGCAGAGGTATTCGTATTTCCCATATTGCTGTATAACTCGTTTTCACACCTGCCTTTCTATCAGAGGTGATGCCGACCCTCACAAACCTCGCAATTGGACCAAATGGTCAAGCAAATGATAGTGATGACCAAGACTCACTGTTCGGCTCTCCTCCCTCATCTCCAGTCACAGGTAGGCCCGCCGATGCATCCGGGTCAGTCACCCTAGGTGACCCCGGAGAGTCGCTCTCAACAACGTTAGACGTCCTCATGAGCCCGAGACAAAATGTGGGGACCATTGCACTTCCTGGTTCCCATATGTCATGTTCTGAACTCCCAGAATGTCTGCTAGTTTCGCCTCAAGTGCAAAACCGTGGCACCTCTCATCAAGGTAGTATTGGCTTAGGTGCAGTGACGATATCGAATGAAGTCCCTCGAGCATCCAGCACTCCGGTGCGGACCGTCTGGTCATCTTCCGCCGTTGGCCCCCCAGGCTCTTACTATCGCCGGGACTACAACTACCAGGAGCCCCCGGGTACAGTTTTGGGCCCCCCTTCTGAGTCGGTTTTCAGCGTCTTAGATGCTGGGGCCTCCACTGATGGTGAATCCTCCCAATGCAAGTCGAAGACAGGCGGCGTCCGGAGAAAAGCAAAGTTTACCGCTCGTTCAACCCCGCAGCCTTCCCTGCCGATCGAAAACTTGGAGCCGGGAGCAACACCCCCTCCAAACTTTCTACGGAACCAACAAGCGCTTCTAGGCCATGCAGGGATTGTGAGCGGCATCAGGGGCCCTTCTCTTTATCCAATAAGGCAGAAGCGTAATCAGGCGCCTCGGAATACAGGGAGGAGAAAGGCAGTTAGAGGGGGTACCTCCACCAATCCTATCGTGATTGAGGATGTTGAGGAAACGCGGCCACGAACCACAGCTCAGTCCACAGCGCAGGCCACATCTCAAGTCACATCACGATCTGAGTCCACACCCGCATTCCAACCTCAGGTATATCAAAAAACGGTTACGAAGGGCAAAGGCAAGGAGATAGCACACCCTGCAAGTGGCGGTCTCACCAGCGAAGATGTAGTAGCCTCTCTCATCAAGGAGAAAAACATATTTCCTGTTTTGCAGAGCTTAGTCCAGCTACTAGGCGGAGATGCTCTCGCAGACGAGCCAAGAGACTCTCCCACTCCTCGTTCCACTCCTACTCCCCTACCCTCGATTGCTTCGATTGAGCCTCGGCCGGTGCCATCCTCTCGACCATCCAGTGCTTACCGAAAATCGTCCCAATCTTCAGGACGTCAGTCCTCTGAGGATCCCTCCGAATCGCGGCCTTCCAAGCGTCGCAAAATGATTCGTGTTCCAGCCGGAGCAGCAGATTGGGATATTCCTTATCCCTTTCCTGAGGGCGAAGGCCCGGAGACTTACAGGGAGGATTGGGAGAAGAAGCGGGCGGTAAAGCTTGTAGGCGAACTTGTGAAGCTGATACAGGGTGCTACCGAGCGTGCAGCGACGAAGAAGATGGCCCAGGTGGAGAAGGGGACGAAAAGTAGACGGAGTCAACCCGCCAGCAGTACGAGAAGCAACTCGCACCGACCCGAAACACAAGCTGAAACTCCTAACCAAGATGCTTTCTGTAACGACATAGTGGGCGCTAATGTGAATGACATCAACATGATCTCCTCGAACCCTTTGTCTTTGTCTTCAGGACCAACTCCAGATCCTCATCTCGATAAGATGTTGCAATCTTTTCTGACTGCCATGCCCCAGCCCACAAATCAACCGATGGTTTCATCATCTGATGCATGCTCTTCAAGCTTGGGTAGTTCATCGCGAGCGACTAATGCCTTCCCAGAGTTCGATCAAACAGAGTTGGAGGCGTGGCTGTCACAACTGGGCACGTTACCTTTGGCTGGCGCTGATAACTACGGTATTGGCCATATTGCAACAGACAACTCGCAGGCCGACGGATCGACGGATGGAGTCCCTATGGATGTTGATATGGACGAGCAAACTCAGCTGGCTGAGCAGCAGGATATGAGCTCGTCGGTGCTAGACTCAGCCATGTCAATATTGAATAATTCGGAGCCTCCTCCGATGGACATGTCCCAAAACTTTCATCTTCCCCACTTTGACGCGGACGTTCCAGATACCGCGATTGATCCCGCTTTGCTTGCTCTGTCGTTGCCCTCAGGTTCTTGGAACCCTACTTCTTTTCAGCCACTACTCGAACAGCATTTATGGCCTTTCAATGTGCATGTAACCTCCAGTTCTGGGGGTCCTCCATCCGATGCTCAGGTTCCTTCGGTACCCTCTCTTGTCCATTCGCCCATCTCTTCGGCAGGCTCCTTCCCTGAAACACTTACGCCCCGCTTATCAACGGAACCTGAGCCAAATGTTCATATTCTCGGTCAAGATAAAGGTGAGCTCGACCGAATTCGAGCAGGGTGGGGAGCTGATCTGTTTGCTGGTCTTCAAGTTGGCATTGGGGAGACTCAGGGGTATACGGGAGAACGTCTGGAGACTGAGGCCTTTACGTCGGCACCTACCCAGGAGCCTAGCGCGAAGAAGAAGGGCAAGCAGCCTGTGAAAGGCAAGCCTCCGAAAGCGAAGGCTTCGCAGAACCTTCTCCTAAAAGCAGCAACGACTTCACAATCGCAGTATTACTCTCCTGATAAGCGTCAAGAGATTTTCCAACGTGCATGGGACAGAAGGGACGAGCTCAAGGCGAAGATCGAACGTGCTAAGATTGAACTATGGGAAGTGAGCTTGGAAGGCGGGGTGCTTGGCGTGCTGGGAAAGTCCAAGTGAGCGTTTGTCGGTCCTTAGCAAGAATGTGCATTTATACCATCGAACAAGTAGTAATTCATATCCGCATAATTTGTCGCTTACATTCACAAATATTCAAACATTGACCTACCTAATCTCGCTGTGGACTTTCATGTCTAACGCGTCCAAAAACTGCATCTGTTCCCTCCAACCTCTTGGTATGTCAGGTAGTCAGGCCTCAGGCTTGAGGGTGGCTCTCACCGGAAGCAAAAGCGGCATGCATGTGGCTGTACATGAAAGGGCTTCGTGCCTGTCAGAGTTGCTCGAGAAGCCCTGCCAGGTTTCACACCCGCTTATAGTCGAGCTGGGATCGCACACTTGGACGAGCGCTTATGCTATAACTATATCTCTTCACTTCAGTCGTCCACGGCAACGCCAGCAACTGCGCCCATGCTGGCTAATATTCTGGGGCTTGCGCTGTTGGGTGCCGGCGTGGTGGCGTCAGCTTTTCAGGTCACTTTGGGCAATACATCTGCACCAGTGGTCAACCTAGTCTATGCCCAGTACCAAGGCTCATTCAATGCGACGTCTAACATCACCAGTTTTTTGAACATCAGCTATGCCGCACCTCCTGTAGGCGTGTATCTACTCCAACCTCAGATTTGGCCCATTTTCTTGAACTGAGACCGCATCCCTGTAGGCAGTCTTCGGTTTCAGGCGCCACAGCCCCCCCTGAACATATCTGGTTTCCAACAAGCAACCTCATGGCCGGACATGTGCCCTCAGGCCGACTTTGGCGCTAGCAATACCTCCCCTGTTCCGGTGTATGGGATCGCGAAACGGAGTTTGCCGACTCCTGCGGCGTCTGAAGATTGTTTGTACCTGAAGTACGTTCTACGTTCGTGTATCTGAGCTTTGTAACTCTCCTAAGCGATGCCATCCCAGTGTATGGACACCAGGAACGCTGGAATCCGCCACGAACCGTTCCGAAGGCGGATACCCAGTTTTGGTCTGGATTCATGGCGGAGGGTATGCTGTTAAATTAATATGCCCTGGTACGTTGTTGACCACCTTGGCGTCAAGATACGTGCAAGAATACTCGGCCATGTACAACGGAGCAGACATTGTCTTGGACGGAGACAATGGCGTTGTGGTCGTCGTCATTCAGTATCGACTTGGGCTCTTTGGTACGCGCAAGTTTCATTTGTACTCGATATTTCTCTGAACAATACCCTAGGCTTCCTTGCCGGGAGCGAAATGAAAGAGCGGGCAGCCCTGAATGCTGGCCTTCGTAAGTCCCCGGTATAAGATTGCTCTTTTTGACCTCTCACAGCTTTTGATCAAATCCTAGTGGACCAGCAGTATGCGCTGAAATGGGTACAAGAGAATGTATGCACCGCTCTAATTGTCAAACCGCTTTCCCCTTGATTCTAATGTGGTTTAGATTGCTGCCTTTGGTGGCGACCCGTCCCATGTCACGATTTGGGGGGAGTCCGCAGGCGCGGGCTCCGTTCTTCAGCATATTGTTGCAAACGGCGGGAACACACAACCTCCGCTGTTCCATGCCGGAATAACCAGCTCGACGTTCCTTCCCTCGCAATATGCTTACAATCATCGTGTTCCAGAAGTAAAGTCCCGCCATCCCCAACTTTCTAAGATACTTACGGAAGTTTAGTACCTCTACAGTCAAGTTGTCACTGAGGCAGGGTACGCCCTCTGGTTGTAGGTAAAAGATGCCGCTGAACTAGGAACAGATGCGCTTCAAGCACCGATACCTTTGCCTGCCTTCAACATGCCGACGTTAACTTACTGGAACAAGCCAACCAAAACGTGATGCTGAGCGGGTTTTACGGCACCTACCTCTTTGTCCCTGTAGTCGATGGAGAATTCATCACTGATCGGCCCAGTGTGCTCCTCGAGGAAGGGAAAGTCAACGGGGCAAGCTTTGTATTTTGGATCGATGTTCCTAGTCTGACTGCAATTCATTAGGACCTTCTGCTCGCGTTTGGCAATGCAGATGAGGGCTACCTTTTCGTGGATCAGAACGAGACGATGTTATTCCCTGAGTACATTGCTAATGTCTTCCCCGATATGACTGCGGAGATGGTGGACATTGCCAGCCAAATCTATGACGGTTACGGTACACCCGTCGAGCAGGCCACATTGGCCATGGGCGATTGTGAGTGTACTTACTGGCTTTATCCCGGCCGGCTGAAACTAATATTCTTGTGAATAGCTATCTTTGTTTGCCCCACTTACTACCTCATGGATGCATTTGTTGGCCGGACCTGGAAGGTAGGCTATGGCCCATTACTACTCCATGCACTGTTTCTGTTTCTAATTTGATCTAACCAGGGTATATTCGCTATTCCACCCGCGTATCATGGCCAAGACTGCATATACTATTTCAACGCGTTCGTATAGGCGCTCCTTCTCACCTTCTTCATGCTCACGAGTGTGGACATATAGAAACCCTCCGCCATACGACAACGCGGTCTTCATCAAGGCGTTCTCACAGTCCTTCCTTTCTGTGGCAAGGTCATACGACGTTAATGTCAAGTTCGACCCAAGCAATATCACCCCGTACTGGCAACAACACTTTGTTGGAAACTTCGAAATGCTGTTTAATCGCACAGAGGACTATCAACCAGTGGTTGAGCCTGTAAAGACTGATCCATCATTGCTACGACGTTGCGCGTGAGTGTGTCTTCCTCCTAAGTTATGGGTGCTCGTTGACATCACTGTGCGTTGTAGGTTTTGGCAAAGCGTCACGAGCATGACTGCACAATAACCTGGCTAGGGCTGTATCTAGAAGTTGGACTGCGTCGGACCTAGTATATCATCCCTGAGCCCAGTTTAGAACGGTTTGAGAGAGGGCCCACGTTCTTTGTTTTTTGTCGTTGTTCCGTCGGGATGCGTGAAGTTACACAAAGCTACGCGCTTTCTTTAACTCTCTTGCACTGCATTGATCTTCCCGTCTTTCGCATCTTCCCGAGGGTCACCGCCTTCATCACATCACATGGACCCAGAACGATCTATGAGTAAATCTTACTGAATGTTCCTGTGCAGTCCCCGCGATGAGTCTCTCAGATAACCTCGGCCATATGGAGGGTGCAAGATATTGCAAGAAGTTAATGTCGTGTTGACTGCGTACCAGGAGCAATCTGAAAGGTCTTCACTACATAGAAATGGGGGATCCGGCCCCGGCCCTGGCCCGATCCGCCGTCATAAACTGTTTCGAAGCATGAGAGTTCCACCCATTCATTGCCCATTCATCTCTAGTCAATCTCCAGTCCTTCCAAGAACAGCTTCGGGAGCGCACATTCGTGAGAAAATGTTCGATGAAACCAGCACACAGAACACTTGTTCAGTAACGCTTGTCAAAAATAGACGCCTATCCTTGCGACTGCCAGGCGATTGCCGTTGATGACATCGATGAACTTTACTTGCATCTTCCGTTCTCTGACCTTTTCGAGGAGTATGCTTGTGGTAAGGCGTGTGTTGGAAAGCACGGCGCTTTGGTTTCTGGCTCTATGTGGACTTTCTTGGCAGGGCCACTATCACAGGCTATTGAGCACTTGCCCAAACTTGCTCCCAACATGAACGGGCAACTCAACTCGCCTCCAGAAGCTGAACCGACCTGGCGGACACAAAGAGCCCCTTTTCTGAAAATTCGACAAGCGCCCATATCCTTGAGGCACATAATGATTAGTTGTTACTCCTGCAGCCCGGACCGTCATGTGTAAGGTTCGTAACACACTGCTTACTAGTAAGGTTCCATCGCCAAGGGTCTTCCAGAGGCTCAGCCGCACCATCAACGTTCCAACCTCAAAAACATACTAATCAGAGCGGCGAAGATCCTTTGTGTCTTGCGCCGAGGTACCAGTAGGGCTTACACAAATAGCGCCGCTGGGGAACCGAACGACGCCTCTACTCCTGTCTCTCCCCACCTCCAGCATGTCGTCGTATAGTTTGTCAGATGGCGTGCCAGACGAGACCCCCGCCGAGCTGCTCGCCGACAGCCTCAATCTCATTGGAAGCACAACCGTCGCCGGCACCGCTTATGGGGTTATGGTCACCCTCTTCGTCACCTGCGTCTACTACCTCCTGTTAGGCGCCAACCGCCGGAGAAATGGGCGCAGGACATGGTTTTACCTCATGTATTGCATTATCATGTTTATCCTTGGCACTCTCAACACCGCAGCGAATGCATGGACGCGCCAGCAAGCCTTCGTTACTCACCGTCTGTTCCCGCTTGGGCCGACGGCGTACACGAATCTGCTGTTCAACGTGCCGATGGGTATTATTGGAACTATGTCGTACACTACGGCGCTTTGCATGGCAGACGGCTTGATCGTGAGTTCATGCCTTTCGTGGTGATGCCGACATAACAATCCTTCTGCGTATCAGCTATGGCGATTTATTATGCTCTATCAAGATACGCGGTATCGGCACTACATCGTCCCTTTTCCGTGTCTTCTTTATGTCACTTCAGTAGGTGTGTATTGTATTCGTGGGTGCGGACTAACTTCTAACGGCTATCTTCAATGGCAGTTATGTCCTACAATGCTGCTATACATTCGTCATTATCCAACTTGTATTCCAAAGTCACCGTCGAGCTAGCTACTCCGGCTTACTCACTCACTGTATCGCTCAATGTCTTGACAACATCTCTAATGGTCATCCGATTATATCTCCATCGCAGGCACGTTCAAGAGGCCCTAGGTCCGTGTCTTGGCCTGAGACCTGCCTACTTATGTTCACTGACCTGTATGCTACCCAACGCCTAGGTCGCGAACATGGGTCACAATATACCAGTATTGCAGCTATGCTCATTGAATCCTCTGCACTCTACGCTGTCTGGTCTATCGTATTCATCGTGCTATATTCCCTGGGTCACCCAGCTGAATACGTCTTGTTGACAACTCTGTCGCAAGTGCAGGTAAGCCTTTGGACTAAAGATACCACTGTTTTCCAGCGTTGAAGAGGTCTTTCTAGATAATCGCACCACTCCTGATTATCATGCGAGTCGCTCAAGGAACTGCGTGGACGCACTCAACACAACAATCATTGTTATCGACAATGAAATATCGCAGCAGTTCCCAAGACAAGACCTTTCGACTGCGGAGAATGCACACCAACACCGATACGTTCTCGAGAGCATCCGCCTCTGTCGGGCCAATTACTCCGGACGCGAAACACCCGCCTCCACCTTGTTATCTCCATAATCACGAATCCGTCGTGAAAGATCGCGATTCCACCTATACATCCCACTATTGAAACCTTATTAGCCGGGTGATCCCTAGTTACGTCCCGGCTAATTAGCCACCTTAGCCACTATATCCGCACACCGCAGGAAACACCTCTCCTTCTGCCCTTTTTTGTATAATACTATTTCTGGAGCTTCTCGTTGCCGCCAGGCACGTTGTCCTGATCATTCCCAAGTCCCGAACATTCCACCGGCATCTCGGCTCAACGCTCGGTTCCCTCCGGTCTGATCTCACGCCCCGCGCTCCTCCCGCCCCCCGCCAATTCCCCCGCCCTTTTGTCACACGTGGGATTTGCCACCCCAGTGAAATTTTACAAACTCCGCTCCGACTCGCTACGGAGCCGACCT